GTTACGCGGTATAATATTGAACGCAATATGGAGGATAACATTGGTACGCATGAAGAGGCAATCAGCTGCTTGGTAAAGTCCAAAGAAAAGGGCTGCATTATTAGTGGTAAGTATTGGGTTTTGATTTTGAACGAGGTTTAATGGGTTCTAGGATCATGGGATCAAGAAATCACTCTCTGGGATCCTCGACAACGATCGCGAATCGTGAGCAGACCGCAGAATGAGAGAGTTTATTCTATGGATACAGTCGACAATCAACTTGTTGTCGGAACTGCGCAACGAAAAATACTCATCTGGGATCTGCGAAATTTGGGTAAAACTTATTCCGTAGACCAGCGTAACGAGGATCTTTAGATATTTGCGAGCAAAAAAGATTCGAACTTGAAATATCAAACAAGATGCATCAAATGCTTCCCAAGCGGAATTGGCTTCGTCATGGGTTCCATCGAGGGTCGAGTGGCTGTCGAGTACTTTGACGTCGACGCTGAAGTTCAGCGAAAACGGTAGGAGAGACTAGGAGTCCTTGTCTAGGACCTATTCAAAGATATTTGACATTTGCCCAGCTACGCTTTCAAATGCCACCGCCAGAAAAACGAAGATATAGAAGAAATATACCCCGTCAATGCTCTAGCCTTCCACCAGAAAGTATGGCGATCGAATTTAAGTCTTCATTCATTATTAAAAATTCTAGTACCAAACATTCGCCAGCGGCGGCTCAGATGGATTTGTTTCAACTTGGGATGGATTCAACAAAAACGACTGGCAATTTATCGACGCTACCCAACAAGTGTTTCTGCTCTTGCTTTCAGTCCTCAAGGCGACCAGGTACAAACAGATAAGATAAACAACCCTTCAGTCTTTTTCTAGCTCGCCATCGGATCCTCCTTCTTGGACGAAATCGACGTCCAAGGCGACCGCTACATTCCAGAACCTCAACTTTTCGTTCGCCAAATGGCCGACGCAGAAATCAAACCCAAGAACATGTCAACTTAGGAGAAACTTTAGGCCCTTCTCACTGCCCCTTTTGAAAATAAATAAACTCACATTTTCTTTAATAAATACATTTCTTGTTTATTGTAAATAAGTCACTTCTGGTCAGATTCCTTTTTCTGAATGGGAGAGCTTCGTCCGCAGGAATAGACGTACAAATCGTAGGGGACCAGTTCGGGCTTTACGAAACTCTTCTTTGGCACCGCAAGTTCCTGTATTTTTTATTTATTTGTTACAGGAAAGGGAGTCTTACCTCGATTCTTTTAGACGGGATAGCCTTGAGTGTCGCGGAAGTAATGGGCTGGAGGGGTTCTTGATTTCCCCATGGAACGATGGGAATTGGGCGGGTGTCGTCTTCCATTTTATCAGACTAAAATATTTCAATTTTTCAACATTCATTCTTCGTTACTTTTGGCTGTGAAAGCTCCTCAACTCGAATTCTGCTGTATCCGCACTTCGGTCTCAAGATTGGCTTTCGAAGCATCGCCGTTTTCATGTCTTCTTTACGCTCCTTTCGCTGCTTTCGGAGCCGAGCTTCATCAGCACCAGCGTAAATTGACTTTCTTGGTTGAGGGTCGGACATATTTTACCGTCACGGGCTCCTTTTAAACTGACTTTCTTTTGAGAAAACATCGTTTTTTGCAGATAGTTCTAGAAATTATTAGAATTTGTGAATTTCAAAAGGCTTCAGCCTGATTCAAATCAGCGTAGAGGATATTTTCATACATAATTTACGTATATTCTTCGTAAATGAAGGAAAATGACCTAAAAGGAAAGTTTTTCCTTTTATGAAAAAAGGAAAATTTTATGATTACCCCAGCTTACTGCTGAGAAAATGATCATTAGCCAGAGAGAAAATTGATTTTCGCGACTTGAGACTTTAAAATTTTTGGAAAAGTTTGGAACGCTTCACGATTTTGCGTGTCATCCTTGCGCAGGGGCCATGCTAATCTTCTCTGTATCGTTCCAATTTTAATATATGTAGGGCCGAAGCCACTACGTTGTTGCGTCAAGTTTTGCGCGTTTATAAATGAAAGTCGGGCTCGTCCCGGCGCCCCCACCCGTTATGGTTTCTCCTTTTTCGCCTTGAGCGCTCTCGCTCAAAGAAAAAAAAAATCGATCTTTGCCTGTTTCGAACGTTCCACTACTCAACCCACAAATCTCCATTTTTGACTCATCCTGTGACTCTATCTGTCATCCCTTTTTTCGCTTATTAATTATTTCTTTCTGTACATTTTTCTTTAATTTTGATCTTTTATTTTATTTTTGATTTTTGGGAATTTTTTCCAAGCTTTTTCTTTTCGGCGCAAGGGATTATTCGTCAAATCCTGGAGTGGTGACGCAGCTCAAAAATGAAGCAAATCAATTGTCGCCCGCCTGGGACCATTTTTGACTTTTCGGCCCTTTTTCCCTCATTGTTGACACAACATCCAAACATAATTAGATAGACATGTTAATTTTATAAATAATGACAGTTGAACCAGAAAAAGGCTGGCTGTTCTTTTCAACTTTCTTCAGCTTTTGAACTGACCATTTTTCGTTTTTAGAAGAGAATGCAGCACGACGAATTGATCTGGTCGAATATTGGAAACAAAGTAAATTTAAAGATATATGATTCACATGAGAACGTCTCTTTCAGAATTTTTGTGCGTTCAAAGCGTCTGCAAGAACCCAAGGGACGTCCAAGTTCTGTAGAAATGAATACAATCTTACTGGTAAGCTATTTTAGGGCATTTTTCTAAAGATAAAATGGGCCTTTTTGTTCTTATTCTCCCCCAAATGAACCCATACGATATTTTTCGACGAGTGGAATTTCCTTTTTCGACGTATTTTGTCAAAATTCTTGTCGACTTTTTATAGACTTGATCTTTAACTTTATTGTTTTTCACTCCTCCTGAGCGATTTTTGTTTCTAGGTATCTGCGCCCGACAGACCTGTCCTTTGGCGAACAGCCAGTACGCAACGATCAAGGAAGAGAATGGCGTCTGCTATCTTTACCAGAAGACGATTGAGGTAATTTTGTTGCGGTGGACCGATTGAACGGGATTCTAGCGCGCCGCGTTTCCAGCCAGATTGTGGGAGAAGACCAAATTGAGCCGCAACTACAAAACAGGTACAGACGAACCGACCCCTAACCTCGGCCTTGTTGGACCAGTTATGTATATAATCAATTGTTTCATATTCGACCCACATTTATCTGGAAAATTCTAGCGCTCGAGCAAATCGACGAAAAGCTAATCTACTGGCCTTGGTTCTTGCGCCACAAGTGCAAGCAGCGATTCACGAAAATCTTTCAATACCTGATCCGAATGCGAAAACTGGTGTTGAAGGGAGACAAGGAAATCGTACCGCTAAGTCGGAAACAAGAGAAGAGAGACACGAGGTTATTGCTGAGCACGATCCTCATTTACAGCTCCCCTTTGGGAGTTTTGACTTTTTATCACACAGATGATTTTCAATTTTTTAAATAAACAATTCAGACGAGAGAAGAAAGCGCTGGTTGCAGCTCAGCTCGAGACTGCAATCGAAAAGGAACTGCTTGATCGACTGAAGAAAGGAACGTACAACGATATTTACAACTTCAACAATGCCAGCTTCGATAAAATATTGAAAGAAGGCGAAGAGAAAGAAGATGAAGACGAGAGCGAGGACGATTCAGACGTCGGCGAGACGACTTTTGTTGAAGACTTTTCCGACTTTGAAAGTGTTAGTAAATGAGTATTGTTTTCCAACAAACTTAGAATATTTTCCTTACTGTTGAATTCAGGACGAAGAGCAAGATATTGAAGATTTGGAGCTAGAGCAAGAAACAGAAATCGAAGCACCAGCCAGAAAACGAAAGCATTTGAAGATCATGAAGGAGAAAGAAATCGAATTAGCTGGACCAAGCAAGAGAAAACTCAAAAATTGACTGTGAAAAGACTGAAAGATTGTGGACTACTTTTTTGATCATTTAATCATGAACAAGCCATCTTAGAGGAAAAAATTGAACGGAAATTTTTATTTAGAAAAAATGGAAAGAAATAACGATGGGATGGAAGTTGTGATGCAGCATCATGAACGACTCGAAATTCCAGAGGGCTTTTATTTGGAAACGATTTGCCACTCGGATTGGGTGATTCCAGAGCGATATACGGATCTTCAAAACGTCGGATCTGGTGCTTACGGATCAGTCTGCTCTGCGAGAGACAATGAAAATGATGCCGTAAGAGCTCAATATGCCATCATTTTCTCTTGACTTTCTCATTTGTAGAGCGTTGCTGTTAAGAAGCTGGCCCGGCCCTTCCAATCCGATATTCACGCGAAAAGAACGTATCGAGAACTTCGTCTTTTGAAGCACTTTCGCCACGAGAATGTTATTTCGATGCTAGACGTCTTTACGCCAAATGATTCATTCGAGAGCTTTCACGACATTTACTTCGTCACTCACTTGATGGGCGCTGACTTGAACAACATCATCAGGACGCAGAGGCTGACGGACGAACATGTCCAGTTTTTAACCTACCAGGTTTGCGCTGGCGTTTACTTTTGGACATACCGACTGTCTAAAACGCATTTTATCAGATTCTTCGAGCGCTGAAGTACATCCACTCGGCTGGAATCATCCATCGAGATCTCAAACCTTCCAACATCGCTGTCAACGAAGACTGCGAGTTGCGGATTCTCGATTTCGGGTAATTTCGTGTCTCGATTCAAGAGGTTGAAATAATATATTTTTTAGCTTGGCAAGACACGCGAATGAACAAATGACAGGTTATGTCGCGACAAGATGGTACCGGGCGCCAGAAATTATGCTCAACTGGGTTCGTATTTGTCTCTTTCAGACGAACCAACGACGTTAAACACTGTATAGATGCGATACACGACGACAGTAGACGTCTGGAGCTGCGGTTGCATCATGGCCGAGCTACTTACTGGTAGAACGCTCTTCCCCGGTAATTACTTTAAAAGTAGTAACTTTGTCTTCCCAGACAGTTATCAAAGTGGCCTTAAAGTGTTCATGAATTTATAATTCGAACTAGGTGACGATCATATTGATCAGCTAAAGAGAATAATGGATCTGTCGGGGACGCCGGGACCCGAACTTTTGGCGAAAATTCAATCCGTACACGCGCAAAACTACATCAAGACTCTCGAAAAGCGACGGCCCAAGGACTTTAGCGAAGTTTTTCGACCATGCTCTCCTTTGGTACGTATAGGAAAAAACAAATTAATGCTCTTTCGAATGTAAGGACTAATTTATATTTTATGTTGAAAAAAGACTTCTTGATTAAATTGGCATCGGCCTCTTTTTCTTGTACTTTTGGGAGATTTTACGTCGCAAGAGGAAAAAAGGGAATGATCGTCGGAATTATTGATGATGAATTATTTAGGCTATTGATCTTCTACGACGCATGCTGGAACTTGATCCAGATAAAAGAATTACAGCTGAAGAAGCATTAGAACACGAGTACTTTTCTGAATACCACGACCCAGATGACGAGCCTACAGGTATTGATTATCCTAATTTTCTATTATTTTGTCAAATCATATTTGACAATCATTGATTTTGTTCCAATAACGCATAATCCCGACTGTTGAATGTTGCCGAAAGTTTACTAATCGGCTTTACATTTGGATTTACCAATTCTCAGACCGATTCGTTGATCCTGACTTGGGTAAAAAGCTTTGTGGAGAGCGCTCATTTTCGCTAGGAAAAGAGATAGAAATTGAATTTTGGAAAAGAGCTTCGATTTCAACTTTCACGGGAAATCGAAGACCTATCAAAGATTTCTATCATTTCCCGAACTTTCTCATGCGTCGCTTTTTGCCGCTTTTTGATAAATCGCCGCTCTGTTTAACTTCAGAGCTTTATTAATTCTCCCCAGAGCGGATTCCCAAGAGACTGCGTAACAATTAATTTAACCCGACAGAAATCTGAGCTTCTCTCTCCAATATTGAGCATATTAACTCCCCTTCTTTTACTTATTTTTCTGCTTCTAGCGGACAAGTTCGAGGACGTCTACGAGAATCAGAATCTGACTGTCGAGCAGCTGAGACAATTGACTTGGGAAGAGTTGAAGAGCTTCGAGCCGCCGGCATTAGAAGAAGTCGGCCAGTTCTGAGCACGCAGAGAATAGACTTCCTACAGTTGCTCCTATTTTCTTTTTATGCAATTTCAGATCAGGTCTCAGGTAATTTTTGTTTGTCTTCCTTTTTAGTTTTCAGTTCCCAGACCTGATTGTACCTTGTCTTTATTTTCCATGTAAATAACTATTAGTTCCTACTACAACTATTATTGATAATCAAATTCAGTTCTGCCTTGAAAAATTGAGTAATTCAGTTTTATGATCTTATCATTTTGCTTCTATCTTTATTTATGAAACAATCTTCACTTCACCTGAATACATGCATTGTGAGCTTTTTATTTATACACATTACTTATCCACTTTGATTCTGCAAAAAGTACCCTCCCCGAACCTGGAGCCTGAAATCCTTCTTTTTTCAACTTCTCAAAAAGATTACCTCTATTATCCTATTAACATAGTAGGATCATTCATTTGGCTTCCGTTTTTTTTTCTTTTCTGTTTGTCCTTATTTTTCGAATTTTGAGCGTAAATTCTGAAATTCTTCTTTTTAAATTTACTCCTTGTTGTTTTCAGAGAGATATAAACTTGCTGATGGAGCTGGATCTCAATCAGGTTCAAGAAGCTCTCAAATTAGACAATAATGATGAGGATGCCTCGATGAGTGCCTACGAGACCCACCATGTGAAATACGGCCTGTGGACAGTGCCACAGAGATACCGCGATTTAAAACAGCTCGGCTGTGGGGCTTACGCGCAAGTCTGCTCGGCTTTCGACCGGAAATACAACAAAGTAAGCATCAGACTGTAAGCTTACGATGTCGAGCATTGATTTATTAGTGTGTGGCGATGAAAAAGCTGACAAGGCCATTGAAAACGGTTGATTATGCCCGCAGAGCCCTACGAGAGCTGAAATTAATGAAGCACTTTTGCCATGAGAATATAATTTCAATAATTGATGTCTTTACGCCACTTGCTTATGGACCAGAAGACATGGAAGAGGAAAGGTCCTTATTTATATTTTTACAAAAAATGATACGAAAAGATTCAAGTTTGAGTTTCAGGAGCTAATTGCCTCATTCAAATTAATAATTTTCTCCAGGATTTTAATTGAAATAAAAAATGACCCAATCAAAGATATACTTCGTGGTGAAAAAAGCCGACGGAACCCTGGACCAAGCGATCAAAACTGCAAATCAAAACAACACAAAGTTCGACGAGGAAACGATACAGTTCCTAGTTTACCAAATGGTGCGCGCTCTGAAGCATATCCACTCAGCCAATGTCATGCATCGTGACTTGAAACCGGACAATATTGGTGTGTTAGAGAAGGACGGCATAATTCAGATTCTCGATTTTGGGTAACCGCTTTGTATGAATTTTAGATTTGGATCCTTTCAGATTGGCGCGCCATGTAGATGATTATATGTCCGGCTATGTGATGGCTAGGTGGTACAGAGCACCAGAGATAATCCTGAGATGGATGCGCTACAACGAAAAAGCGGACATCTGGAGCCTCGCATGCATCTTCTCGGAGATGATGACCGGCAAACCGCTCTTTCCGGTCGACTGTTGGCAAAAGCTCTTAGATGAGATAATAAACCTGTGTGGGACGCCGAACGATAAGTTTATTGACAAAATAGAAGGCGAAAATATAAGGAAATGCATTCGTGGCTTCACAAAAGTAGAGAAGAAGGATTTAAGAATCATACACACTGGTTTCTCCGACCAAGTAAGCCCCCCCTTTGAAGCCCGTTTTTCTATTCATGTTCTTTCAGGCAATAGACTTGATCGAGAAAATGTTGAAAATTGACCCCGACGAACGAATTTCTGTAGAAGAAGCAATCAAGCACCCGTTCTTTGGGGACCTGCGCGATCCACCAAACGAGCCCACCGCCACTCCCTTCGTAGACAATTCAGAAGGCCACAATCTTACCATCGCTGATCTTCGCAATCAAATCTGGACGGAAATCCACACCTTTGAACCTCGACCTCTTCAAAGCATTTACCCCGAAGATTTCTACTCATCCGATGACGAGGAAATAGAACAATAACATCAAGAAATCGACGGATCCCTTTCGCAACGTTTGAAAATTTTCAATATTTCGCTCAATTTTTAACTGATACGATGATTCTTTATTATTATACTTACTTTTAATCGTGTAATTTATTACCTTAAGATAGCTACTGTGAAATTATTCCGAACCTAACAGATAACGAGCCACATATGAGGGAGGTTGTAATATATGACGCTTTAGAATGCCGGTGAAAAGGGATGACGCCGAGGCTGCTCTGGCAATCCTGAACCGGCTTCAGACTGAATCTGAAAAGGGTAAACATCTGGATTCGTCCTGTCTTTCTTCAATTACGTTTCAGACTCTCCTGTAGCACTAGCTGCTACTCGTGTTGCAAATATCTTCCAGTCACGCCTTTACAATGCCTTGCTAGATATTCAGGAGTACTACGAACTCCATCTGAACAACAAAGACACCCCACAACAGGTAGTTATCTCCCCATCGCTCGTTCAGGCAATTTTTCAGGACCCCGAATTCGACATCTTCAGAATAACGCTGGAAAAGAGCGAATCTGGCTTAGGATTTTCTATTACAGGCGGTATCGACTCTCCAGTTGACACTGGCGACATTCATATTTATATTTCTAAAATCATTCCCGGCGGAGCTGCTGAACAACGTAAGTACCGCTTCCTCAATTGTACGGTAGCGCTAATCCACTTTATTTAGAAGGACAACTAAGACCTGGCGATGCTGTGCTGGCTATCAACAACATTGATTGCCGTACGGTTACTCACGGAACATGTGTTGGTGAGTAAATACAACCGCTTTTTGAAGTGGTGCTATTTTTACATCTCGCCAATTAGGCAACATCTTACGCCCCGTATTTATCCAATTTTAGACATTCTACGGAGCTCAGGATCATCAGTAGAACTTTCAATCGGCCGCAGAAGGCCACAACTAAGCTCAACTCTGCTCCCCAAACCAGAGCTCCTTCAATCGTCCTCTGAGAACATCCTGGCAAGCTCAAACTCAACGATTAACGATGCTACGACGGAGCTGATAACAGTCAAGCTCCAAAGAGCAAGACAGGCCTTGGCTTCTCGATCGCTGGCGGCGTGGGAAACCAACATATCGAAGGAAATGACGGGATTTTCATCACCAAGATCATCCCCGGCGGCGCTGCCGCTCAAGAAGGCAGGCTGCAAGCGGGCGATCGAATTATGTTCGTAGGAAAGGTCAGAAAATTTAGACGAGACATACAGAGGGACATTTTTTATATGCACCGCTGTCTTTCAAAGTTTTTTGGTAAATGAATGATAATTGATTTATTGCACAAGAAAAATTGCACGAAAATATTGCACATATGGAGTAAAGCATTGCATCTTGGTTTGATTGCACATGTTCTTTCTTCATTAGTATTGCACTTCAAAATTACGGAAATTCAATAACTGCACTATAATTGATATTGCACATTTAATTTTCTTAAAAGGCTCTAAGCACGAGTAATTATTTTATAGAATATGTCACTAGTCACGCTTATGATCCTTCCCTGATGCATCATTATCAACGGGCACAGAGATAGAAGATCTTTTCAGTCGAATGATCCAACATTTCGCGAAAGCCAGAGGACTCATCAACTCGGAGCATTCTGAATAAAATAAACATTACATTAACTGAAAGCTCTCTTTTCTTAATGATCTGCATTCCGATTTGCCTGGGTAAGGGCAAAAAGTGCCACGTGGCATTGTCGAGAGGAGGAAGTCGAAAACACGGTCTAGAATGATTCATAAATTCTGACCTCGATAAAGACAACAATTCGCTAGCGCGTGTCTCTCACGAACAAGCGGTTGCCTTTCTGACCAATACCGGACCAACGGTTTTGATCAAACTTATCAGGGAAACACCCGTACAAGTCGAATCCTCAGACGATCACGTTCTTCCAAGTGCTACCTCAAGTTCCATCTCGTTGACGGAAAACCTCGCCTCGAGTAAAGGGAACATTCTCGACGTTTCGCGAGTGTCCGACTTTGGAATCCCTGCTGGATCAGCTGCTGATTCCGCAATCAAACATGGCTGTGCCGTCTATGACGGAACACAGGGTAGAAATCACATGCCCAGAACAGGTAAAAATCTCGCAAAACGCGAAAATTTTTCATCTGGCAATCATCGATCCTGAAAAGGAGGCTATCAAGTGCGCTTCTTTGATATTTTTAAGTGACACTAAAACGAGGAAAAAGTGGTTTTGGCTTCAACATCGTCGGCGGAGAAGCGGAAATCGATCCCGAGTGGAACGACTCTCCACCAGGAATCTTTGTTTCTTTTGGTAAGAGCGCGATGTTTTGTTGTATCGGCCGTGTCAACTTTTGTTTCAGTCCTCGCAGGAGGTCCAGCTGACAGCTCCAAGTCGTTACAAAAGGGAGATCGAATTCTCACGGTCAACAGTAACAGCATAGAATACGCGTCGCATCAGGAAGCTGCACTTATTCTGCGCAATTCTGGTGATACTGTGGAACTTGTTGTTCAACATGAGGTAAAGATCTCTTTCTAAAGCAAGACTCGAATTAATTAAAGCAAAAGAAGGTCGCATTCCATTTTGTAGCTCCAGAAAGCCTAACCCTAACTCTCCGAATGAATATCTATTTATGTCTTTTTCAAGCCCGAGAACTTCGCTAAATTCGAGCACCGAATGCATGACTTGAGGCAACAGATGCTGAGCGCCAGTATAGGCGGAGGGCTACAGACTTCCTCGAAGAAAGAAATGACAGTGCGCGCATTGTTCGACTACACAGCTGTTCGCGACTCTGGGCTGCCTTCCAAAGGGCTCAGCTTTCGCTTCGGAGATATTATCCATGTCACGAATGCGTCTGACAAAGAGTGGTGGCAGGCAAAGTGAGTATAACTATGGCAGCAAGACCACTACAGTCAGCATTTTCTTTTGAACCTATTGAGATTTTCAAGGAAGCAATAAAACAACGTTAACAATTTCCCTTCAGTCTGATGGGAAAGCCAGCTGAGCAGGGCTGTATACCGTCAAAGGCGCGCGTTGAAAGAAAAGAAAAACTACGAATGAAGCAAGTCAAATTTCGTCGCCCAGGTCAGCCAAACGGCGAAGTTAGAAAAAGTCGCGGCCGGCTGAATGTTCGAGTCAATGCTCTTTCCTCGAAGTTGAATCTGATGAAGTCAAAGGAGAACATCTGTAGGGAGGAAACTCACAGCAGTTCTAGCGATGATGAATTCGAAATGGGCGATGACTGGGTCCTATCATATGAGCCGGTGAAGCAAGTTGAAGTTGAATATCCAAGGCCAATCGTGATCTTTGGCCCGTTGAAGGAAAAAATGTCCGACGAGCTAATAAAGCTTGACGCATCGAAATACCAACAAGGTTTTTATTTTTTATCAAATGGGATTATGGGAATTATCCAAATTTTAGCGATTCCGCATACGACCCGTCCAAAACGAAATTGCGAAGTGGAAGGTCGAGATTACTACTTTATCTCAAAAGCAGATATGACCACTCAAATCGAGAACCGCGAATTCATCGAGGCTGGTCAATTCAGCGATAACCTCTACGGAACGAGTATAAAGGCCGTGATGGATGTTGCTCAAACGAATAAGCACTGTATCTTGGATGTTTCCGGTATGTAACATGCTATATTGATCCTTGCTTGAGAAAACGTCGTAAACATGAAATTAGGCGGCGCTTTGCGGCGGCTCTCCGATGCACAACTTCCGGCAATTGCAATCTACATCAAACCACGCTCTGTTGAAACTTTAATGGAGTCTAACAAAAGATTATCCGAACAGGCGGCGCTTCAAATAATCCAACAGTGTCAGCGACTCGAAGCGGATTACGCCGAACAATTCACTGCCGTGATTCAAGCCGAAGGTAATCGTTTGCCCTTCAGAAGCGTTCGGATTTCCGTAATGATAACCCAAGGGATCAGTCTGTCGAACGTGGCTCTAGAACTCTGATAAACTCTCGTAATTTCCGAATTTGATGAAAAATTTTTGATTAATTCGGTTTATTCGGAAGCTATAAGCTTTTGAGATTAATAAGGGTACCCTCTTAAAATGAACGATATAAGGGCTAGCCTGCTGAGGTCATTAATTATGAGCTCGCTCGATATTCTGTAACCCCTCATTGAGAATCTCTTTTACTAAGCCGGGGTGCTAAGCGCCCATCGAGTTAACACGAGAACGCGAATTTACAGTATTGAAAGAAACTGTCGTTGAATGCTGCTGATAATGCTCAATTTTAGACGGAGAAGAGCACGTTCGCGAGCAGGTGCTCGAAATCGTCGAATCCTTGAGCGGTACCTCGCACTGGCTGCCGACAGGCGATAAGCTCTGACCCTCTGCTGCGTACTAAGAAAACTTTTAATTTGAACAGCAAAAATCTAAACTCTATCATTGCCTTCCAATGCCTCTTAATTCTCTACTTCCACATACTTCCTTAATCCTCGTTTTTAAACAAGCTGTACATATGTTTATTTTCTTCTTCGTTCTTTCAATGATTTCAAACCTAGTTTACTAAGAATCGCAATATCAAAAAGAAAACTTCGTTCCAACTTCTATCGCTCGAGTTCAACTTGTATCTTTTACTTTTGACCTATTGAAAAATCCGGACGCCCAAAACAAGAATCAATTTATACCATATCAACGATCAAATAAAACTCTTATCAAAACGAGCTTATATTTCCAAAACGAAAGCTCATCAGGCCGACCACTCTGACGTTATTCCTTTTTCTAGTAGGAAATTCTACAGTAGCACTAAACTTCAGAAAAGAGAAGGTCCTGGAGCAAGGTGTCTTTGTTGAGCGCCTCTCTTGGGATTGAATTTATTTCTTTCTTGGCACGTTTTTGATCCTAGTCGAGACTCTTTTCAAGACTTCAAGTGCTCTCCAAAGCCGTATTGTTAACAGGGCTCAGAATACTACGAATGCAGGCAAACTGGCAACAGTTTTTTAAACTAGAACTATCTTGATGATCCTATTAGATACAAATTGTCGAAATCCTTAATCAAAATCCAAGCTTATTAGTAATAAGTTATTACCTTTCAAACAACAAAAAATACTGCAAGATGACTTCCGCACTGTACCTTGTATCCCTCAAACATGACCAATGGGTTGGAAAAGAACCCTGCAACAAAATATAATCCTGACGATGCCGGTGATCATCCCCTTTTCACGCGAGAGTGATCCTTTCTCGCGGGAAATAAATATTCCCCGGGAACATCTGATCGTCACGGGCATCTGACGGTGCACCTGTCTATGTCTGGTGCAAGAAATATTTGTTTACGAGTGCTTCTTCTTTGTATAATTCGCAGGCGAGCTCACTAAAATCGTTTATTAGCAATTTTTGGCCTGGAAACAGGTGCATTTGTCATTTTGTGATTATCTGGGAACGGATTCATTATCCGCGGGGCTCAGCAATATTCATAACTGTCAGCTAATTCATCTTCAAAATTACCGCAGCCTTTAGATTTTTAGGGCGTTAATTTGGCAAGTTATTTTGGCTTCGACGCTTTTTAGGAAAGTTTAAAATGTCCAATTACTGTAGCAAGATTGAAACTAAAGGAGCAAGTTATTGTGTTGAAGTTCCACTTTAAAAACTTGCCTAATGCTAGTGCCAACAAAGCGCCAATACGTTTTTTTGTGTTGTTATTGTTTGATGAAGAATCAAGCACAATGGGGTGCCTGACATTGTCAAACTACAGTCAGATTTGCACCCAGGATTTGAGCGCACTTCCAAGGCATTTTCCGCATGGGTGCCCTTTGACCTGTATCGAGGGCGATTTTACGCGAGACTCGGATTTGATCTTGTTATTCCGAGATCTGGGTCGCGCGAGGGGCCGGGCTGAACCTGTTAGCCGATCGATGGTGCCGCTGATGAAGGGCCTAAGCCTATTTGACTTCCGTTTGAAAAGCAAAGACGGTCGATATTCAACGGACATTCCGTATGGAGATCGAGAGATTTAAATATGCAATTATTTCGCCCCTTGTTTGAACCTCTTCAAAATTTGAAAAAGATCTTTCGTAGCTGATTTTTATGAGCGAAATCAAAATTTCGAATCCTATTGCATCCAAGAAATTGTCATAAAGTCGATAAAATCAGTTTTTGAGTACCAAGAAATAAGTTAAAAATTATCGATTCTGCCAGACGCTGTCATTTAAATCTGTCGGTTGTGTTTTCACGGGGCAGAGTGCGAGACAATTGAACTCAAGAATTGGAGCTTGAATCACACAGCTCGAGTGTGTAGTGATTTTGGAAAGCTGGAGAACAGAGACCCTTGAACTTGACTGAGCAACAACAAAAAAGCTAACGAGAGCCCAGCATGTTGTAGCAGCATTAGCAGTCGTCGTTTCGGAGCGCCCTCTGGCGCCCGTTTGTTGCATTTGACGGTTTACTACGTCGCCTGGTCTTCAAGGCAGCCTTTTCTTTGAATCTTCTGAAGTCGGTCTGTTCTAGTGGAAGTTTGATTGAGAGTAACAGACAGAGAAGAAGTGGCGCAACACTCGGCGCGCTAGGAGCAGCGGGCGCGTGGTTCAACGCGTTACACTTGGACGAAAAGGTTGAAGAGCGCGCGCGCACCACGCAAAAACTCACAACAGTGAGCGCTACTGCCACTGCTTGAGATAGAGATTCGACGCCCTGCGGCTGCGCACGGAGCCTTATTGCACAAAACAGCGGTGACCTCCCCTCAAGTCAAAATTCGAATATCGCAGTCACTCCGAGTCACTCTATCATTGCGTCTTACCAAACCGAGTAGTGAATAGGCCCTGCCGAGCGATAAGGACCCCCACTAATCGAGAAAGAGAGAAGACAACCCAGTGACAAAAACCCTAGACAAGAGACACGAAGAATAGAGATTTTCCTGAACGAAGACGCCCAGTACATTTCTGACGAAGACAGACCGGCACGAAAATGGGCTGGAAAAGTATAGCCTTATGGCTACATTTAGCGAACAGTTGGACCTTGACGACCGAGAAAATCAGCGAAAACGAACTCTACGACCAGTAAGTTGATGAATTGGGAGGGGATGAGTCGGTTAGATTTACGATTAATCGGAAATGCGGTTTGATTCCTCGCGACATATAAAATGATAGTTACTTAGAATCCTGTTTCCGGGCCCGCCTTCCTTTCCGGGGAAATAGTTATAGAAAAACAGATGATCGATAAAATACGAATCGATCAGTGGTCCGTCAGCTTTCGGGGTAGGGCTCCTCACACCCGAGCATAGTTTTTGATGTGCGATTTTGTCACCCCGACCCCCTGCCATGTGCGGATGGATTTGCGGCTTTCTGAAGGTGATTTGGGCGGCGTTTTGGTGACGATTCTGATTGAAAATTTTGACCGAGACATTTTTCGGGGAGGAAACTCGAGCTTGATCGAGAAGTAGCTAGGTCAAGCGTGGCGAATTCAGTTCCAACCGGTTGCCCGCCCAGACCGAAGCAAGTTGAAGGCCAGTCATCCGGAACGACCTTCCAAGTGTTCGCTCTTTTCGTGATAGCGATCTTTAATCGCGCCCAATTATTTCAAAAAAGTATTAGCTACAGTGAATTCCTTTGTTGAGAGCTTTAATAGGGCTATCATTAGTTCCATTATATACTCGATGTCATTAGTTATTTATTGAAAAATATGTGATGTCGGAAAACGAAACGCGTAGGAAAAAAAGTTTGCTTGAAATCCCGGACAGGAAATAAACAAAATCGACACTTCAAAGTACCCAAATATGTTGTTTACCGGGCGGCACTTCAACCCCAAAGTGGTTTGCCTTTCCTTTTTCCTAAATCATAGTTGCCGCGTTTTGCAATTCTAAATGCAATACAGCTTCATAACATCGCTTTTAGGGACTCTGGCGAATACATAAAAATCTTCTCGTCGAAAGGTGCTGATCAATACAAAATTTCTGGAGTCGATTCTGGACCGTTCTATGTCGAATCAAGGAGAGATGAAACTTTGTGCAGTGACAATGTCTGCGGAATCCTGTGGCTCAAACGAGGAATCAGGCTGGATAGAGAAGAGAAAGACTCGTATAAAGTAACATGTGAGTTAATTACGAGTTTATTGCTGTCTTTAGCGCTATAATTTGCTCCTGCAGGAGTAATTGCAAGACTTGATTTTTGCTTTTTCAAGTTTGAAAAAGGCAGGATTCTCGTCGCCTGTAAAATGATAAGCGTTTTTCTATTGCCCCTCACGCTTTTGATGAATAAAAATCAATCGTCAAGCAAGCGATAACGCTTCAATTTAGTGACGGCATTAGACAGAAACGGCAACCAGGTAGAAGAGGACACCCTTACTATCGAAGTTCTTGATGAAAACGACAACGCTCCAATCTTTACCGCTGCATCTTCCAAACTTCAATGCGATGAAAGCACTCGAACTGGCGGCAGCTGTGGAAAAGTCGAAGCAATCGATGCTGACGCTGGAAACGCTGGCGAAGTCGAATACAGACTTCTGCCCAACCAGGAGACATGGAAAAGACGAGGCGGCGATCTGGAGACCAAGAGCATGGGAATCTTCAACATCAACAGTGAAACTGGTGAGATCACGCTGAACAATCCCGGCCCTTCTTATTGGGACGCTGAATCGTACGAATTCGTCGAGATCGAAGTAACTGCTCAGGAATGGCTCACAAATTGGCAACTTTGATCGATCGTTTGTGTTTTATATATCGTGACAAATTTAATGCAATCGGAGCGTGGCCATCGCCGCCCGTGGAACCCTTCATCCCCTTAATTTTGGATCTGAGATCGATGACACGATCTTATTTCCCAAGCTCTCTAAGCTGGGACAGTAGGCATATTTTTAAGGCCGAGCTTAGACAGCTGTCCATGTCTTGTAATCCCCTACGCGGCCTGTTGTCCATTCTCACCTATGATTTGAAACTTCAGTTTACTCATTACACTTAGTGAGCCAAATTAGGATGCACCTGGTAAATCAGCGCGAAATCCTCCAGTCACCGAAAAGATCACCATCTACATCAAAGACGTCAACGATAACCCTCCTCGAATCGTTGACTATGAAAAGGTCATCAAAGTCGGCGAGCTGAAACCAGTCGGTTCGGCGATTGGAACCGAAAATTTCGGCGGCAAGTACTCTTTCCGAGCTACTGATGCGGTAAGATATACAAGCAGTCGAATTTCAGGCTAACATAGAATTAAGGATGTCGACCCAGAAAACAACCGTGTTACCTTCCGGCTCAAGTCTGAATCTAGCCCCTTTGAGATTGTGAACAAAGATGATAACACAGCCTTTCTCCAAATCGCGAAACCCGGTCTCGACTTCGAAACCCAGAAGCGATGGACCATCGAGGTCGTCGCTGAGAACGAAGACGCTGCTGATCGGGGCAAAGATGCCAACTTTGCTATCACGATTGATGTTTTGGATGAAAACGAGCCCCCAATTTGGGACGATACTAACATCATCTTCAAAGAAGGAGACACGAACGGAGCCAAATCGCTGCGAGACAACCCACGAGCGAAGGATTTAGACTTTGGTGGAAAATCTCCTGTTACTTATCGAATCACCAAGGACCCTCTTGGATTCTTCGATGTTGATCGCAACTCTGGGACTCTTACATATGTCCACGTAAGTTCAAAACAAAAGGGTCAGTTATAATACTTTGCTTCAGGCTGCTCCACTAGATCGAGAATGTGAATCGCCAGCTTGCAACTACAGGAATGGAACCTACGCTCTCGAGCTCGAAGCCTGCGATGATGAGAACCTCTGTGCCAAGAAAACCCACTACATCTTCATCGAAGACATCAACGACGAGGGACCACGAATCGAATACAACGAACCCGTCTGCAACATCCTCGATTCTGGCTCCTATGTCGTTATCAAGGGCTCCACCGACGTAAGTCTAACTACAGTATTAACGGAAACAAGATCGCACTACTTGAGTAGTTTCGATCGCGTCCAGTTTTATATTTCATCCAAGTTTGTTTTTTTATCTGGAAATCTGACTAGTAAATAGACCAATTTAAATCTTACAAAAACTCACATTCTGCTTTTAGCTGAAAGCTATCGACCGTGATGACTGCAAAAAGGACCACTGTGGTCCTTTCAATATCAAAATCGTTGGCCAGTATAGCAAGAAGTTCGACTTGTACAAAAAGGACGATGACACTTATCAACTTCGGTAGGACACGTTCAGTGGTTTTCTTATAATAAATGTGGTTTACAGATACATTCCGCAAAAGTCCCTCCCTGTGGGAGAAACGATGCACATCCAAGTAAGCGGCACCGACCACGAAGGAAACAAGCAAGACTCCGTCATCACTCTCAACGTCTGCAGGTGAGCCTTTATACAAATTGGGTTAGTCCCTACTGGACAGGGGTGGACTTTCATTTATTTTTTGTTCGGCCATGCATAAATTTCTCCCGCCAGGTCCGTGGTGGTGTCGGTGTAGTAAGGGGGAAAGATCACCGAAGCGTGACTCAACGGGCGGTAATCTGCGGTCTTATTCACCACCACATGATGAGGCTTGTTTCGGAAATAGCACCCTTCGAAATGCGATTTAGATAGTTTTTTCTACCAACAAATAATTGAATTTTGCTCTTTCCATTGATTTAATTTCCGATAGCGTGTTAATTTTGGCAAGTAGCAATGCTTTCTTTCTGAATATCGCCACCCCATCGCGCTCAATAATTCATTTTATCACTGAGACTCGCTGAAACTTGCCAATTAGGATTATAGCTTGAGGAAATCAGGCCTAGAAGCTTATCCGGATAGACGCTTGGCGAAAGCAACAGGGTGTAAAATCGGTGAAATTTGAGTCCGCCTAAATTTAGAAAGCTAATCTCATTGCCGTTGATTCCTTGACACATCTCTCCCTGCTGTTCTCAGGGGAGCTGACTGAGCTGGATCGCACCGATATCGGAGCTAATCTTTAGATCTGTCAACCTGTCGGGGGCATATGGCCCTTCTTGTCGATAGAAACCAACGTCTCTCCAAAAAAAATTCCCCATTTTTTCCGTATCAATTTTTAACCAGCTCAATGTCGATAAATTCCATGGTTTATTATTACCAGTCACGGTTGAATATTTTCTGTAAGGATTTTAATAACAATTAGAGTCACAAGCTCTGACAGGGCTGTTTTCAATTCGCCACAAAAGGGCAACCCGCTGTGTTAGACAAATGAATCCCTGACAGTGATCCCATCGAGTTTATCTTGTCTTGGTGCGGAAAGGGGTTATAATAAATTAAAATATTTCACCCCAATTTCTTTCAACAAAGGCGGAATGCCTCCCTTTTACCAAATCCGGATGAGAGCTCAAAGGCGTTTTCTCACGGGCGCATAATTTGGGTGGCTTTGAGGAATGTCTATAGCTTTTCCTCTAAAAATATGAACGTTCTAATAAACTATCGTAGTTGTCAAAAATCGAGTGACTCGCCAACCGTGGCTTGCCCTGTCGTTGCGACGTCGGGCTTTCCATGGTGGTGGTTCTTTGTTATGGCCGCGCTTCTTATCATTTTGGGTAAAAACCAGTTTTGCTTTTTGCATTTTAGTTCCTTTACTAACCTCTCAATCGAGTGCTTGCTGTGATTCACTAACTAACCCTAATCCTAGATGCAAATCTGCTTTCGACGAAGCTGATTGTGGCTTTGACGAGGCCATCGCTGCAGGAGGAGGGGTTGTCGGCCCCTTCTTGGCCATTGTTATGGCAGTTATCGTCATTACCTGTGAGTGTGATTACTAAAATCTCTTAGCTTTTTACTAAACAAAGGCTTTGCATGATTTATTCTTTTACTTTGAAACCAGTTCTCCTTGTTCATTATAATTTTAGCAATCGTCGTTTTGCTCATCTTCATCAAAATGAGACGACAGCCTGAAAAGGCTGATGCTCTTATCGATGACGTCGATGATGAACGTGCCAACATCATGGCTTACCACCACGAAGGTGGTGGAGAAGAGGACCAGGTAAAGATTAATTACTTTAACTTTCCTTTGTTTCGCGACTTTTCATGTCTAACATCAAAAATTAGACCGATTATGATCCTGAATCCCTCGTTCGCGCCAAGCACCAGAAGAACTCGTTAATGAAGACTCGTCCCGTCAAACCCAGCCTCCTCGGCCCTGGAATTCCTCCAGAAGACATTGGTCAATACATCAACGCGGTTAGTTGGCCCCTTGACCCGCATTTATTTGACACATGTTTTAGGCAAAGGGTCAAGCAGATGAAGATCCAAGTTCACCTCCATATGACTCGCTGCTCACCTTTGACTACGAAGGAGGCAACTCCATCTGTGGCGATTTATCCGAAATTGCTTCGAATGCTTCTGATTACGACGATGTAAGATAGAATCACCAAAACTGATTCAAACTTTATTACTTAGGACATGAACCTGGACAACTGGAGCTCGCCGAAATTCCGCAAATTGGCAGATCTTTACGCCGGCCGTGAAAATGATGCCTACGATGGATGAATACCCTATCCGCCCAAAAACCTAATTAAATGAATATAAAGCTGAACCGGTCGAATACCTGATTACCAGTGTGCCTTCAAAATCGTCAAAAACAACGACCGCAACAATCCAACAACCACAATGCGCCAGAAACAAACAAAAACGTTTCATTGTGATTGCATAATCTATTATATTGTGAATAGCCAGTCGTTACCTTTCATTGTTCAAAAAACTTCTACCCCACAATATCGTACCCCCACTCGAACCAACCAAAAGCTCCTTCTGAATTCCGATCCACAAAATCTGCTTTCCTCATGCTCAGAAAACGAGCGAAATGAGGCCTTTCAAATAACAAAATTCTGCTTTCCGTATTTTTTTCAATTACCAATAATACTTCTGCTATTTGGAGCATCATTTTGCATCCAAAATGGTGCCAAAATATTTTTTCCTTACTACGCTGAGTTCAAGCCACCTGATATTTTGTAAGCTTTACTTGCTTGAAGGTAGATTTTTAATTGAATATATTGACGAGCAAGTCGAGTTTTATTTTTAGAAATAATTCTCTGTACAAAGCATTAAAGTCCTTTATTTCTGCGAATTTCGCATAAACAGTCTTTCAAATAAATTGAATAAACAGCATAAAGAAAACATTGTCGTCGTATTTTATTCGTTTGCTTATCGCGCCATTCGTCGGCCAATAACTGCTCCAGCGAGAGCATTGTCGTTTCTAGCACCGATAGCTGCGCCCAGAAGAGCACCACGGTTAGATCTTTGAGCTTCGGCGGCTTCAAGCTCAGCTTGACTTGGCCCTGTTTGGACGATGACTTTGTTGGGTTAACGAAAATTCACGAAGAAATATAATTTCAATTGCTTTTATTTTAACCCTTTTCTATGTCGCCAGCTTGCTGAGGAGGCGCAGGCTGTGGCGGAGGAACTTGTTGGTAAGTCTGCTGGTAACCTGGGTGTGGTGGGTAGCCAGGATAAGGTTGGGCAGGAGGTTGTTGATATCCAGGATGAGGAGGATAGCCTGGCTGAGCTGGTGGATAACCTGGGTAGCCAGGTTGCTGAGGAGGATAACCTGGTTGCTGAGGAGGATAGCCAGCATGCTGAGGTGGGTAGGGTGCTGGAGCAGCCTGTGGAGGAGTCTGTTGCTGAATAACTGGGGCACAGACAATCACGTTGGGCTCCGCAGGTGGAGCAGATGCAACTTCAGCTTCTTGAGCTTCAATTTGTGAGGCTTCGAGGGCCTTTCTAGTGTCCTCTTCGAATTGACGATCGGCTTCTTCCTGGGCCTTTCGCCGTTCTTCTTGCTCTTAGAATTTTATGGGTTGAAGTTTCAAAATAATAGAAAACCTTGAGCCTCCTTTTCCTCTTGTTCCTTTCTTGCTTGTTCCTCGGCCTCTTTCTGCGCTTGTTCTTCTGCTTCCTTCTGAGCCTGCTCTTCGGCTTCAGCTTTCTCCTGCTCTTCACAAGCAGCCTCGTCTTTCGCAGCTTTCTTTTTCTCTTTCTTGTCTTTTCGTTTATCAAAAACAGCCTTGGCGGCACCGCCGACAGCTAATGCACCGAGAAGACCCATTTTTCCTAAAGTGTATGTGTTAGATTTGAATGAAAGATCATGCGATGGGACGTGGTATTTATACAAAATTGTTAGCAAATTTGCATAGAATGATTACTGACTGTCACAAGAATGCATTAAAGGAATTAGTCATTATTTTTATGTCGTAGGACGAGTCTCGTTTGTTTTCTGACATTGAAAAATGCTCGACTCAGATTTGTGCCTTACTCAGAGATTTTCCGTTATGAAATATATATTTATTGTACTTAGTAGACATAGTGAAGTAGTTTTGCAGGTTAGGTTTGGATAAAATACGGTATCTATCGGTAATCAGAGTCATCATCCTCATCTTCAGAATCTTCATCACTGTTTTGGTCGGAAAAGTCGTTTAGGTTATTTGACGGATATCCTTGGGAGATCTTCCACTGGTAAACTCGACATTGAGGCAAAATCTCATTTTTCAAAAGCTGAGGAAAGTTAATTTAGTCAGTAGATAATGACGTTTTACCGATCCAAAAGTGCCATAAGGGCATGCCCCTCCAGCATCAGCCATGTATTTGGCGAACTTTGGCCAGTCGATATCATTTGGCCAGTATTTTCTGTCATCTTTGCCACTGTAAGTGAACCGAGTCTTATCCGCTTGGTTGATACACTCTTTGATATTTTCTTTCTTGTCACAATAAGATCGGATTATTTTTAATCTAAAGTCAGCATTAGATTTGTCTACTGCTAAGAAAGTGTTACCTTCGAGTATCGATTTCCATATTTTCTTTCCATAAAGTTTTTCAACTTGCTCGTCAAAAGAGCTGTTGAAATGGTGATACATTTCCATGTCGTAATTATTGAACTGGTAGAATCGTGCTTTCTGTTTTGTCGAAAATTGAACTTCGTCGTGTGTTTTTACTTTTTTGGCTGGACGTAGAGATCCATGAAGTCCATGCAGAGTAATTTTCGCATAACCAGAATACTCTCTGCGAATTTTTCCGTTATCATGACGAAATCCATCGCCTTTGTAAACTGATCAAGGTCAGAGTTGAAGTTCGGCCCAGCATCGAGTCCCATTTCGAAGGTCTGAAAGTTTCGTGCTCGGAAGCTCCAGGGAAGTGAAGCGTTGTAGCATTCTATAAAAATGACATCATCATTGGTTCCTGAAACACGTGTAAGTCCCACCTGGTATACAATCCATGTACTTTTCGAAATGCTCGCCGGCTTTTCCTAGCATCGCGAGAAATGGCTGACCTTCACAGGCCAAGTTACAAGCATGATCAACCATTCCACTTTCTCTCTTGTACGATCCGTAAAAGAAGTCGAATACAGATTTGTAATGACTAAGAGGCTCGCGAATCGAGGTCAGGAAAATTGTATCATCGTGCGTTACTGATCGAACTGCAGACTCATCCCAGCGGAAATGGTTGAAAATGATGTCGTATTTGTCGGTCTGAAAGAATATTTAAGGTCAGACGATTAGCTAACCGGATAATGCTAATAGCAATTGAATCCTATTAGCATCAGAATATCTCATCGTTTCTAAAACTTTACCTGTGGTGGAGCAACAAACTCAGGCTTAAACTTTCCAGGATATCCTCCAACAAAGGATGCGAGAGGCTTTGATGCGGCATAAAGTTTATGCTTCTTCTTGAATCGATTGAGGATTTCAAAGATAGTTGAGCTCGCACATTTGTGCTTTTTGAGAAAGACAATATGACGATGTGGCCTGCATGTTCGCGCTGATTCTTCGTGGGTTATTCCGAGGTTGGAAAGAAGCTCTGGGATTGTATTGAAAAACGATGAAAATGATTATGTCTGACCTTGAATAGAGCTAGCATCTAACAACAGGTCTTCAATAGACCGGCTGTACCAAGCTGGATAGCCTTCAGAATCAACTTCGCCTTCTACAGCTACTGGAATCGGATCATTCAGAAAATACTTATTCTTTCCATTGTCTAGTCTAAGAATATCAGGGTCAAAGTTTGGATCATCTTCTACTGCTCTTTGAAGGTTCCCGATCAAAAGAAGCTAAATATTTTTGACTGGAAATTCTAGCGCAAGGTAACAAACCATAAAAAGCACCAAAAGCAGGACATAATTTAGAACTGGCCGTTTCTCTACGTTTTCCATCAGCATAAAAATGTTTTTCTGAACTTATTCCAGCTCTTGTAACGAGTGAGTCAATATGCGTATCGGGTTCTCATTTAGCGGTCTTTTGCAAAATCCACCGGTCGTTTAGTGTTTCCCCGCTGATCGCAACAGTGTGACGCTCCCCCTGGCTGTTTAGTGGGAAAGTGCGCAAGCAGAAGGATGAAAATTTTCCCTTCTGTGTCGTTTCAGATATCCGAGCGTATTAGATGTCCTTATATTAAGACTTAGGGCTCGTCTGTTTTTAATTTGGGTATTTTATTTACAGTTCGAAAAAATAGCTGTATAAAAATCTTCAGTAAATAAATCAGCACAGAAATTTAAGTTATTACATGATATATTATTGCCAATAAATTATTGGGATGTGAAGCCCATTATTAATTTTCATCTGAGAAGTATATTCCAATAAAGTCTTCTGATCCTTCATGGTCGGTAACCCAGCCCGCTTCGTCAGACGGGTCCATGTCTTTGTTGCAGTTGTTTGTATGACAGCATTGATGACAAGTGGACGTGGTTCGCAAAGATGGGAAACATTGTTGGGCTGCTCGAACGAGGAAGTTCTGCTTTTTATTATTGTAGCAAGCAACAGCAGCCTTGCAACCCATATTGATTGTGACGACCTTAAATAATTCGTAAAAATGCAATGACTGGAGGTAAATTAACCTGGAAAGCTGGGTTATCTGGATCTGGTTTAAGGTTATCTGGGCCGGAATAAACATTTCCGTCGAGATAAACTTCGTCTTCGAAGGCAGACATATTCATAAAGTTCTTTTGCGTAGTGATGAAGCATGAGTCCTGTTCCTTGGCGCAGAATTGTTCCTTACCCTGAGATCTGCATTCTTCGTAAGTTTTGGCATTGACACACTAAACATTTTTTTTGCTGGATGAAACTGACTAAAAAGACTTACGCTCCAGCAGCTTGTCTGTGGCTCGCCAGTTCGCTCAGCAAAACGCGGGAAGGCCCATTTATGCTGAGATGGTTCGAGCTCATCGATAATGATCTTGCCAGTATCTGGGTCTCGCTCGTAGAATGTTCCACGGTCTAAAACACTCATAGCATCAGCAACTAGAGAGTACAACTAACCATATTCCATATCGTCATCGTCCATGAGAATAACAGCTCGTTGCTTGCCCCAGTTTGCTCGGACATTGTGTTCAGACTCAACTCCAAGAGCTTGCTTGAGCAAAGCATACTTAGCCTGAGGCGTGAGATATTTGACCAGTTGAGGGGGGCACACCCTCGAATGGTTTGATCGATGTGACCCATTCTGGCGAGTCGAAAGCCTCAGTTCGATCTTCGTTGAAGTCAAATCCGGTTCCGCGGAAGTCATCGTCAGATGTCTCAAATGCTGGTCGATTTTCAGAGAACGAGGATGAGAATGAAGAGTCAAATTCAGGAGCGTTGTTGACGTAATTGTCGGTGAAGAATGACACAGCATCCTTGTGAATAGGCGAAACAGATCCTTTCACGAGTTTTATTTTCAAATATTTGGGCAAAAAAGCCAAAATGTAAGAAAAAGTCGTTTTGTATCAATTTATGAATAAAAAACTCATTCCTGTATTGAAGTCTTCTTCCTCTGCAACTGGCATCATCTGCTTCCACTTCTGATCAAAGTCTTCATAAGTGAAATAGAACTCAGTGTACCACTGCTCGACTTCCTGTGCCATAGCGCTCAAGTAATTTCCATATTGAAGTGCGGCTTCAATCGGTGCAATATCTCGGATAACTGGCATGGACGGGAAATTGATCTGCTCTGGTTTAATAGGAACAAATCTATCCTCTGTCTTTGCAAGCTCATCGTTGATCATGTAAGAGACTTTCTCTGCAACGAGATCGTAGATTCCTTGCGCTTGAGCCTTGATATCCTCCTTCCATGCTTGGATGGCGCCATAGTTGTAGTGAATTTGTTGGAAATCGGGTTGTTTTGGAAGTTTTTCGAATTTGATATCGCCGATAGGTTTGCGGGTTGTTGTAGTTGTCGTTGTAGTCGTCGTTGTAGTTGTAGTCGTTGTGTATGGTACTCGAGTGGTGAAGATCTGATATCCTCTGGAATTCTTGTATTCGGTTGGATTGAAATCGATCTGCACGCCATGATCTCGCTCGTAATCGAGAACTGCTCTGAGATAAATATCCATAGTAGCATCGATTCGTTGCTGCTGGATTTTCAAACGGTTGTTGAAAAGCATTTTGTAATGCTCGTATTGATAATGTGGTTCGTTAGGTCTCTGAGGGCGCATTTGGAATTTAGGTGGGAGGAATGGCGGCTGAAGGTCATCAGGAGGAGCGATGATTCCCGTATCAAATTCAAACACGAATGATTCCTTTTCGTCTGGTCTTTTGGACGAGTGGTTGGAGCTTTAGTTGTCTTCGAGTTCTGGTACTCGATCTGTGCATGATAGTAAACCTGCATATCTTCTTGGTATTTGAGCTCAGCTTCTTGCTTTGCCGCCATCCATTGTTGAAGTTTTTGAGAAAACTCATTCAAATAAGAGCTGTATCGGCTCGGAGATTCTCCAGCATACTTTGGTCTTCTTGTCGGCTGCGGTGGAAGGTTCAGTGTTGGCATTGGCATTGTAAATGGCTCTCGAGTTGTTGTAGCGTAACCTTCAGTTGTCGTGTAATCGACTGTAGGCGAGAGATTAGTTGTGTAGTCCCCTGTTGTTGTGATAATAGTCGTTTCAAAAGCAATGGTAGTCGCAATAGTCGTTGTCGTATAATCTGGGAACTCAAAGTTCATCTCTTGGAGAAGCTCTCTCCATCTACTGAGCATCTCTCGGTATTTCTCAAGGTATTCTCTGTATTCTTTACGAGATTCAGATTTCTTCTTTCCACGGCGGACTGGTCGAGGAGGAAGAACAGATACAGCATCATCATCAAGTCCCGAAACAAGCTCGTCAAGTTCACCGAGCTCAAGGTCGATCAAATTATCAAGCCAGTCATCGGAGGCATCTTCAGAGTTAGCACTTGAGATCTTGTCGAAGTCTTCAGTTCGCTCAGCTTCGTCAGTTGGATCATAACATGAAAGAATCTGCTTTTCGTCAACCTCGACAAAGCTCTCTTCAAGGCCTTCTCGGCACTGACATGTGTAGGAGCCAGGAATATTGACGCACAGCACTTGATAGATGTCATCATGCCGGCAATCATCATCAAGAGCAAGTGCGCATTCGTCGATATCCACACATTTGCCACCAAACATCTCGTAGCCTTCCTCGCATTGGCACTGGTACGATCCAGGCAAGTTGACGCAAATTTGATTGTCTCCCAAACATGAAGTCGTGAGATCACATTCGTTGATATCTTCACAATTGAGACCATCTCCCTCAAAGCCATCTGGACACAGGCACGAGTAAGAGCCGATAGTATTCGTGCAAATAGCATATTGATGGCACTCATGATCGAAAGATTGACATTCATCAAGATCTTCGCATCTTCCATTCTTAAATTCCTGACCTTCTCCACAATCGCAAATATAAGAACCAGGGCTGTTGACACAAACAGAGTCGAAACTGCACTCGTCGTAGCCAATCTCACATTCATTTAGGTCTGAACAGGTCACACCATCGCCATAGAATCCTTCGATGCAAGAGCACGTAAAGCTTCCGTCAGTATTTCTGCAAATAGATCCTTCAGAAGCGCAGTTATGAGTTCCAGTAGAGCATTCGTCAATATCAGCACAGTTAACACCGTTGCCTTCGTAGCCAGCGTCACAGCTGCACTCATAGCTTCCATCTGTGTTCGAACATGTTGCTCGATAATGGCAGCTTGCAATGCCATAAGCACACTCATCAATATCTTCACAAGTCATTGCTTTTCCAAGTTTGTATCCTGAGCTGCAGACGCATTTATAGCTGCTGATGGTGTTTAGGCAAATTTCATTGTCACCGGTGCATTTGTTTCCACCAAGGCATTCGTCAATGTCTTCACATTGATCACCAGCAAAACCACTCAAACAATCACATGTAAATGAGCCTTCAGTATTTCTACAGACACCATTCGATGGACAGATTGTTTCTGTCGTCATACACTCGTTGATATCAGAGCAATGAGTTCCTGAACCAGAGAAGCCGCTGTTGCAAGAGCAGGAATAAGAGCCGAAAGTGTTCGTACAAGTCGCATCCGCATGGCATTCGTTAATTCCGGAACATTCATCAATATCGACACAGTCACCATTCTTGCTTTCGAAGCCAGTGTTACAGATGCAGTTGTATCCTCCTTTAGTATTCTGGCACCTCTCAGTAGCAAGATCGCATTCATGTGTGTCCTTCTTGCACTCGTTGATATCTTGGCAATAAGTTCCAGAGCCCTCGAATCCGTCAGAGCATTCGCACTTGAAGGATCCAGGAAGGTTAACGCAAGTTGCATCAGAGTCGCAATTGTCGATTCCAACAGCACATTCATCGTTATCAACGCAATCTCCATCAGAATTTTTGACGAAGCCGTGTTTACAAGTGCACTTGTAGGTACCAACTCGATTAAAGCAATCAGAATTGTCGCCACAGATAGATGCATCTTCACATTCATTGATGTCAACACATATACCATCATTGTCAACGAAGCCATCATCACAGCCACAGACAAAGGAACCATCTGTATTTGTACATCCAGCGTTAATATCACAATAATGTATGCCACTGATGCACTCGTCGATATCCTCGCATGACTTGCCGCTGTCGCCAAAGAATCCAGGTTTGCACTGGCAGGTGAAGCTTCCGTCAGTATTCTCACAAGAGGCATTTTCAGAGCAGTCATGGGCATCATTAGCACACTCGTCAATATCAACACACTCTCCATCATTCATTTTGTAACCGTTGTCGCAGAGACACTCGAAAGTTGATGGCAGATTGTTACAAGTCGATTGAGCAGGGCATCCGTGAGTACCATCTCGGCACTCGTCGATATCGAAACATTTCTTGCCGTTTCCGAATGAACCATCAGGGCACGTACACTTGAATCCTCCTTCAGAATTGACACAATCAGCTGTTGAATCGCATGGGTTGTCAGTAGCACATTCATCAATGTCTACACAGACTCCATCAACCATTTCAAAGCCAGATTTACAGTCGCAGATCTCATCACTGCCTTTCTTGTAGCAATAAGCGTTATCACCACAGTCCGTCTTTTTGCACTTCTTTTAGGTGCACAGTAAAATCCGTTTCCTTTGTGTCCGGCGAAACAGTCACACTGATAAGCTCCTTTGTTATTGGAACAGTAACCGAGGTCGCTGCATTTATGAGCTCCGAGCATACATTCGTCTTCATCCATACAGTTGAATCCGTCACCAGTGAACCCCTCATTGCAGAAGCACTTATAGCTGCCTTGAGTGTTCAAGCATCGGCTATTTTTATGACAGCTATCGATTTTCTCCGCGCACTCGTTGATATCAACACACATGAATCCATCGCCAGAGTAGCCAGATTTACATTCGCACTCATAGCTGCCGTCAGTATTGAGGCATTTAGAGTCTTGCGAGCATTGATGAGTTCCAAGAGCGCACTCGTTGATATCGGAACAGGTGAATCCGTCTCCAGTGTAGCCACTGCCGCAGCGACAGTCAAATCCTCCGTTGTTATTGACACAGTCTGCTGACGGGGCGCAGAAATCAATGCCGACAGAGCACTCGTTCACATCAACACAAGATCGCCCATCACCAACGTATCCGTTAGTGCAGCTGCATGAAAATCCTCCAAATTCATTCAGGCATCGGCTACCAATCACAGCGCAATTATGAATACCAAGAGCACACTCATCAATATCCTGGCATGAATAACCATTTCCTCGAAGGCCTCGTTTGCAGTTACAGATGTAGTTGCCAACAGTATTTATGCATTCTGCTTCAGGGTGGCATTTATGCTGAGACGTGCTGCACTCATCTTGATCTTTGCATTTACCATCAACCATAATGTATCCGGAGACGCAAATGCACGCGTAGCTACCGTCAGTGTTTTTGCAAATGCTATTTTTGCCACAGATATTTTTATCTTGTGAGCACTCATTAATATCCATGCATTCGCCTGAAACAGACTCGTATCCCGCAGAACACGAGCATTCATAAGATCCAGGAGTGTTGGTACAGTCTGAATTGTCGCCACATGGATTGTTAGCGCACTCATCAATGTCATCACAATTTTTAAACCCATCACCTTCGTATCCGTCTGGACACTTGCATTTATAATATCCGTCTCTATTTTTGCACTGAGCAAGTTTATGACACGAATCTTCTTCTTCGCATTCATCGATGTCAACACATTTCGAGTCGACAAGCTCATGACCTTCTTCGCAAGTGAGTTCAAATCCTCCGAGTCTATTTTCACAACTTCCACCTTTTGAATGACAAGATCGTCCGCCTGACATTCGTTGAAATCAGCGCAAACGAACCCGTTTCCGACAAATCCATCTTTGCAGGCGCAAGAAAAGCTTCCTTCTGTATTCTCGCAAGAAGCATTTTCGTGACAAGAGTTAACAAGTGAGCACTCATTGATATCGGCACAAGTGAAACCCGAGCCCTCAAAGCCTTCATTGCACATGCAGTCGTAAGATCCATCTGTATTAGCGCAAGAAGCGTTCTTATCACACTCATGGCTTCCATCAGAGCATTCATTATTATCGACACAGATTTGACCGTTTCCTTGGAATCCTTGTTCGCACTTGCACTTAAACGATCCTTCAGTATTTTTGCACTTCGCATTCTCGTCACAATTGTGAGAGCCATTTTTGCATTCGTCGACGTCGCGACATTTACCCTTCTTGTCCATTTCAAGACCGTCAACGCATCTGCATTCGAAATCCTTATCGTTCAAATCGACGCAATATGCGGATTTATGACAATCAGCCTTTTTGGTCGCACACTTTCCAGTTGGTTTGCACTTGGTTACTCCATCGCCAGAGTATCCGACGAGACAAGAGCAAGAATAAGAACCGATGGTATTAGTACACTGAGCAAACTCAGCGCATGGATTTTCATCGCATTCATTGACATCAACGCAGAAATCACCATCATTTCCACTGTCGGCAAAGCCGTCTTTACACGTGCACTTGAAGGAGCCTTCAGTATTTGTACAGATAGATTGGCCAGAACAAGCATCTTCAAGGCATTCGTTGACGTCGACACAGCTAAAGCCATCACCACTGTAACCAGTATCGCACTCGCATCTGTAATTTCCAGAAGTGTTGATACAGTTTGCATTAGCAGAGCATTCATTATCACCGGAAACACACTCGTCGATGTCAGCGCAGTCAATACCGTTACCGGCGAAACCATCCGAGCAAGAGCAAATGAAAGAGCCGCTTGTATTCTCACAATTTGCATTGTTGCCACATGGATGAGAGTCACACTCGTCGATGTCAATGCATTCTCCGCTAATCATTGAGAAGCCCTCAGAGCAACTGCACGAGAAACCGCCAAAGAGGTTCGTACATTCCTGGTTGTTTCCACATACAAATGGCATTAAACATTCGTTGATGTCGTCACAGGATTTTCCATCGCCTGAAAGGCCAGAATCGCACGTGCATTTGAAAGAACCGAAAGTGTTAACACAATCAGCATTTCCGTCACATAAATTAGAGATGTCACATTCATTGATATCCGTGCAAGAACCGTCAATCATCTCGAATCCAGCTTCACACGTGCATTCGTAAGATCCCTCGGTATTTCGGCAGTTTGCAAAGAGACCACAAACATCAGCATCTTCAACACACTCGTTGATATCATCGCAGTTAGCTCCAGCGTATCCAGCAAGGCATTCACAGTTGTACGATCCTTCGCTATTAATACATCTCTCACGATTAGAGCAAGTATTAACATCAATACATTCGTTGATGTCATTGCATTGTTGACCATCTCCGGCGTAACCATCTTTGCACCTGCATTTAAAGCTACCGTATTTTTCATCTTGCAATCAGCGTTAGAATCGCAGTCATGATTGCCAGTGTTGCAAAGATCTTCAAGCTCACATCCGCTTCCAAAGTCTCGGAATCCGTCGACACAGTCGCACTCGAAAGAGCCTTCAACGTTCGAACACATACTGTCATTGCCGCAGACATTGTCGATCGCGCATTCATCGATATCAACACAAGCGTTGTCTTGTTTCTCGAATCCAGGAGGGCAGAAACATTCGAATGAGCCAATATTGTTGACACAGTAAGCTTTGTAACCACACTGAGAGTTTTCACATTCGTTGATATCCTGGCAATATCCGTTGTTGTCCTCGTAACCGATGACACACGCACAAGTGTAGCTTCCTGGGGTGTTTTTGCACACGCTATTGACACCGCAGAAGAGCTCAGACTTAGCACACTCATCAACATCCTCGCAAGAACCGTCATTGTTTTCGATAAATCCTTGGGCACAGACACAATCGTAGCTTCCGAAAGTATCAGCGCAAACTTCGTTATCGCCACAAACACTATCATTTTCTCTACATTCATCGACATTATAACAATTGAATCCGTCTCCGGTAAAACCGTCGGTGCAAGTGCAATCGTAGCTTCCGGCAACGTTGGAGCAATCCGCATATTTGCTGCAAATGTTTTCACCGGCACATTCATTGATGTCCTTGCATTTCTCACCATCACTTTCGAATCCGGTTTTGCAAGTGCAGTCAAAGGATCCGATTGAATTAGAGCAGACTGCGTGTGCTTGGCAAGCATTCTCTTCAGAGCATTCGTCAACATCTTCGCAGGTAACTCCGTCACCCGAATAACCCTTTTTACAGACGCATTTGAAACTTCCTTCAGTATTCTCGCATTTCGCGTTTTCATCACAGTTGTCTGTTTGAGCATTACATTCATCAATGTCAAAGCACTGTAGTCCATTACCGCCATAGCCATCAGAACAAGAGCAAACAAACGAGCCGACTGTATTTTTACAAGAAGCATTGCTGTCGCAAGGATCTTCAGAACACTCATCGACATCTTCGCAGTTTTCACCGCCATAGCCAGGATGGCAATTGCAATTATAAGATCCGGAATTATTCTCGCAACTGGCGTTTTCTGTGCAGGAGTCAAGTCCAAGTGCACATTCGTCGATATCTGCACATGAGCTGCCTTCTTTTCTAAATCCAGATGGACAGACGCATGTAAATCCTCCGTCAGTATTACTGCAAACTAAATCACCGGTGCAGTTATCCTCTTGAGTTGAACACTCGTCGATATCATCACATTCATCGCCTGCGTATCCATTTCTGCAGGAGCAGACAAATGATCCTTGGATATTTTCACAATCTGCATGCATGGGGCAACTGCTATCAACTGCGCATTCATCGATATCTTCGCAAGCGTATCCGTCGCCAGTAAAACCAGCATTACAGGAACAAGAGTAACCACCAGACGTATTTGAACAAGCTCCATTAGACGAGCATTTATGAGTACCATCATCACACTCATTAACATCCACGCAATCACTATTTGAAAGAGTGTAGCCATCGTGACAAATGCACTCGATATTTCCATCGATTTCGGAGGCATCCGAATGTGTTGGACACTCAAGAACAGCTCTGTTGGAAGCAGCGGGATTAACACAGGAGCCGTCGATTTTCTGCCAGTAGTCCTTGCAGACACACTTTGACCCACCTGCGAAATTTACACATTTTTCGCCAGATGCGCATTCCGATAGACCAAGAGCGCACTCATCGATGTCGATGCAGATTTCTCCGTCTTTTCTGAATCCTGGGATGCACTCACATGAAAAGATCCGATTGTATTTGAACAGACTGATTGGGGAACGAGAGAACATGGCTGATCGACAATGCATTCGTTAATATCAGCGCAGATGCCGTTCACTCTCTTGAAGCCAGCTTTACAGCTGCAAGAAAAGCTGCCAACTGTATTTTCACAGTTTTCTCGAACCTTGCAGTCAGCAAAACCTTCGTCACACTCATTGATATCTTGACATACTCCAGCGATCATTTCGAAGCCAGCATCACAGCTGCAGTCGAAGGATCCAACAGTATTAGTACACACGCTATTATCTGGGCAAGCATCAGCTAGAGAGCACTCGTCAATATCTGAACATGTCAATCCATTTCCAGTGAACCCTGGTTTACAAGCACACTCAAATCCAGGGCTTGTATTTTTACAAATAGCCTTGGCGTCACATGGATTCTCTTCGCACTCATTGATGTCGACACATTCTATTCCATTTCCAATAGTTCCATCGGGGCAAATGCAGTCATGTGATCCAGGAGTATTGAAACAATCATTCCCGTTGCAGATATTTTCGATCTTGCATTCGTCAATATCGGTACATTTTCCATCGACGAGCTCGTATCCGTCAACGCAGGAGCACTCGTAGGATCCAACCGTATCGGAACAGATGCTATTTGATCCACAGATATTTTTTGGAGAGCACACTCGTTAACGTTGTCACAAGATTGTCCATTGCCAATGAAACCACTCATGCAGGTGCAAGAGAAAGAACCTGGAGAATTGTTACAGACAGCGTTTGGACTACAGTCACTTTGTGCTTCGTCACACTCATCAATGTCGATACACTGAAGAGCGCCAAGTTTTTGGTATCCATCATCGCACTGGCAGTCATATCCACCAGCAGTATTGACACACTGAGAATTCTCGCCACATTTGTTTTGCCCGTTCTCACACTCGTTTATGTCCTCGCAGTAAACGCCATTACCGGAGAATCCATCATCACAAAGACACGAATATGAACCCGCGGAATTCGTGCAGCTAGCATGAGCCGAGCAGGGGTTGTTCTCACACTCATTGATGTCGTTACATTTTCCGTCATCGAGGACAAAACCATCTTTGCAGATGCACTCATAACTACCGGGCATGTTCAAGCAATTAGAGTTATCTTGGCATGTTGATGAATCCGTACACTCGTCAATATCCGAGCAAGAAACGCCATCTCCTTGATAGCCATCGTTACATTTGCACGAGTATGATCCATTATCGTTAATGCAGTTTGCATTTTCATGACAGTTGTTGACTCCCTTGCATTCATCAATGTCATTGCAGACTCCGTCAATTTCTTCAAATCCTTTCGCACATTGGCAGAAATAGCTACCTTTTGTGTTTTGGCAGTCGAAGTTTTTGCCGCAGTCACTTGTTTTAGTCGAGCATTCATCGATATCATTGCAGAAAAAGCCGTCACCTTCAAGTCCTGGAAGACAAGAACATTCATATCCTCCCTGAAGATTATTGCAAGAAGCCATTTGGGAGCATGAGTTTTCTCCAGATTCACATTCGTCAATATCAGTACATATTTCGCCTGAACCGGCATAGCCTGATCTGCAGTTACATTCGTATCCACCGTTAGTATTCACACAGGCAGCATTGACATCACATCGATGATCGCCGTTACTACATTCGTCAATATCTCTGCACTGATCACCAGTTTCCATGAATCCAGGTTTGCAGTGACAAATGTACGAGCCGAAAGTATTATGGCAGTCTCTCTGGCCACAGATACTACCGTTGCCACATTCATTGATGTCGGTGCAGTGTTGCCCGTCACCGGTAAAACCATCTCTGCAGGTACACGAATATGAACCAACTGAATTTGTGCAAGAAGCGTTTTCATCACAAGGATCAAACGTGCATTCGTCGACATCGAGGCAATTTTTACCATCGCCATCGAATCCAGATTTGCATTGGCAGCTGTAAGATCCGTCAAAGTTCTGGCACTCCGCATTTTTATGACAAGAATTTTTTCCAGTAGCACACTCGTTTATATCGGTACAGAAAGTTCCGTCACCAGAGTAGCCATCTTTGCAGGTGCACTTATGACCACCGAAAGTATTCTCGCAGTCAGCATTGAAATCGCAACTGTGAGTGTCAAGCAGGCACTCATTCTGGTCCATGCAGACAAACCCGTCGCCACTGAATCCATCTTTGCAGATGCAATCATATGTTCCAGCGGTATTGAAGCAATCAGATTTTTCGTGACAATTGTGTCTGTTGGATTCGCACTCGTTAACATCTTGACAAACTTTTCCATCGCCAGAGTATCCCAATTTACATTGACATGCATACGAGCCAAGGGTATTTAGACAGTTGGCATTTTTGTCGCAGCTGTCAGTTCCTGCTTGGCATTCGTCAATGTCGATACATTTTCCGGAAGAAGACATTCTGAAGCCAGAATCGCAAATGCACTCATGACTTCCGATAGTGTTTTTGCATGTCGCATGCGATCCACAAGTCGATGGAGAAGCGCATTCATTAATATCAACGCAAGAAAGCCCGTTTCCAGAGTATCCAGAATTGCACTTGCAGCTAAAAGAGCCTTCCAAATCGGTGCACTTCGCATTCGTATGACAGTCGTCTAAGTTCAAAGCGCATTCGTTGACATTGTCGCAGCTCTTTCCGTCACCGACAAAGCCAGATTTGCAAGTACAGGTGAATGATCCCTGAGAATTGTCGCAGGTAGCGTGCTCGGAACAATCATGTAGACCCATTTTGCACTCATCTTTGTCATCGCAACTGTACGAGCCAAAAGTATTGAAACACGCAACATCGCAATCATGGGTGCCGCTGCTACATTCATCAACATCTCTGCAATTTTCAGGATTTCCGAAGAATCCCTCAGAACATTCGCATTTAAATGATCCATCTGTGTTGACACAAGATGTAAGTTTCTGACAGTTATGTGAGCCCTGAAGACATTCATCATCATCAAAACAGCTGAGTCCACTTCCATCGTATCCTTCGTTACAGGAACAAGTGAAACTGCCTACGGTATTAGAACAGGATGCGTTTTCATCGCATAAATTAGCGTCGCATTCGTTGATATCCGAGCATTCGATTCCGTCTCCTTCAAAGCCGTCCATGCAGTCGCACTCAAACGAACCGTGAATATTGATGCACTCTGCATTTGCCGCGCAATTATTTTCACCAGTAGCGCACTCATTGACGTCAGAGCACATGAATCCATTTCCTTCAAAGCCAGCTGAGCAAGAGCAGTAATATGATCCGATAGAGTTCTCACAAGAAGCGTCTGGGCTGCATTCGTGAGTTAGAGCTTCGCACTCATTTGTGTCTCTGCAAGTGAAACCGTCACCAGTGTAGCCGGATTTGCAAGTACAGGTATGAGACCCATCAGTATTATCACAATTTGCCTTGTCGCTGCATTCATGTGATCCAGTGGTGCATTCATTGATGTCAACGCATTTGCCGTTTTTCTTTTCGTAACCGCCAAGACAAGCGCATTCGTAAGACCCAACAGTATTGACGCAGTCAGAGTTTTTGGGACAGAAAAATGAATTGATGCTGCATTCGTCAATATCCGAGCAAACCTTTCCATCTCCTTTATAGCCAGCTTTGCAAGAACATGAGTAGGAACCAAAAGTATTGAGGCACATAGCATCCTCGTGACAGACATCAACTTCAGTGTCACACTCGTTGACGTCCGAGCAACTCTGGCCATTCCCATCAAAGCCCGCGTTACAAGTACAGACGTACGACCCAGAAGTATCCGAGCACGTCGCATCAGCATGGCAATCGTGTTCGCCCGTGATACACTCGTTGATGTTGTTACAGATTTTGCCACTTCCAGAATAACCGGCTTGACATTGGCAACTGTATGATCCTCCGTTGTTGATACAATCAGCGACTTCATCACATCTGTGTGTACCATCAGTACATTCGTTATTATCAACGCAGGTCTTTCCATCGCCAGAATATCCATTTAAGCAAGAGCATGTAAAGCCTCCTTGTTATTAATACATCTGGCATTGTCGTCACAATTGTGTTTTCTAATATCAGTCTGAATACACTCATCGATATCCTTGCACTCGTATCCGTTGCCCATGTAACCAGAGTTGCAGTGGCAGAAATAAGAACCGTCTGTATTGTCACAAGTTGCATCTGCAGAACATGGCGAAAACTGGCATTCATCAATATCTGAGCATGAGAAACCATCACCTTCATAGCCAGTGGGACAAGAACAGCTATAGCTTCCGATTGTGTTCGTAAATCTTGCGACGGCGTGGCAATTATCAAGTCCTTCGGAGCGCTCGTTAATGTCATCGCATTCAATTCCATCGCCTCTGAACCCAGTTTTGCAACTGCATTCAAAAGAACCAACAGTGTTTTTACAATCCGCTGAGGCATGGCAATTATCTGTATTCGCAGTGCATTCGTCAATATCTCGACAAGTTTTTCCATTTCCGCTGAAGCCTTCGTTACAAGAACACACAAATCCAGGAGAACTGTTAGTACAAGATGCGTTACTGTCACAATCATGATCGCCAGTATTACATTCGTTGATATCAGCACAGTTTTGACCATCTCCCTCGAAGCCATCATCGCAAGAGCAGCTGTAACTTCCATCAAGATCAGTGCAAATGGCATTATTGCCACAGACCTTTGCCTTCAAGCATTCATTGATGTTATTACAGGTTTCGCCGTCACCAGAATAACCGTTGTTACAGGTGCAGGTGAAGCCCCCGTAAGTATTCATGCAAGAAGCATTTTCATGACAATTATTAGTTCCTTCGAGACATTCATTGACATCGACGCACTTATCTCCATTCATCACAAATCCCTCATTACAAATGCAGTCGTAAGAACCCTTTGTATTAACACAGGATGAATTTTCGTCGCAGTTATCTTGCTTGTACATACACTCGTCAATATCGAGGCAATCTCCTGCTGCACGAAGGAGTCCATATTTGAAGAAGCCAGGCTTACATTTGCAATTGTAGCCGCCTTTTTCATTCACACAGATTGAATTTCTTCCACAATTATGCATTGAACCAGCGCACTCGTCGACATCATCACAAGTCTCACCGTCGCCTTTGAACCCTGGAAGGCAAATGCATTCGTAAGAGCCAAGGGAGTTCATACATCTAGCATTTTTATCACACGAATTTGTGTTTTGTGCACACTCGTCCACATCAGAACACGTTTTTCCGTCTCCAATGAAACCTGGTCGGCAGCTGCAAGAGTAGCTTCCAACTGTATTTTTACAGTTCGCGTTTCGACTGCAGACGTCAGATTTAGTGCACTCGTTTATATCCACACATGAAGAACTGGAACTATCGAATGAAAAGCCCTTGTTGCACTCGCAGTTAAAAGAACCGATTGTATTCAAGCAAGTACTGTTTTCCATGCAGTCATGCGATCCAGTGGAGCACTCATCAATGTCGGAGCATGTTTTGCCATTTCCAGTGAATCCATTTTTACAAGAGCAAGCATAGGAAAATATGCTGTTAGTGCAAAGAGCATTTTTGTCGCAGCTTGTAGAAGTCTGGCACTCGTCGATATCTTCACAGATGACACCGTTTCCTTGAGATCCAGCTCTGCAGCTACAAGTGTGACTTCCTTTAGTATTCTTGCAATTCGCATGTTCGTGACATTTGTGAGTTCCCATGGAACATTCGTTAATATCGACACAAGTTTGCCCGTCTCCACTAAAACCTGGCTTACAGGTGCACTTATAAGAAGCATCATCGTTTGAACAAGTCGCATCCTGCGAGCAAGAATGAGTTCCGCGAGCGCATTCATTAATGTCGGTACATATTTCGCCATTCCCATCAAAACCAGCAAAACACTTGCAACTATAACTGCCATTGTTATTAATACATTCAGCATTTTTATGGCAAGTATGCGCTCCAGTGGAACACTCGTCAATATCGATGCAGGATTTTCCGTCACCCATATAACCTTCGTTACAATCACAGACGTAGCTGCCAATTGTGTTGGCACAAGATGCCATTTTCGAGCATGGACTTGAGGAGCACTCGTCAATGTCACTGCATTCAAAACCGGTTTGACCATAGAAACCAGCGTTACACGAACATGTGTAAGATCCAATGGTATTGGAGCAAGATGCATTTTCGTCGCAGTTATGATTCTCATTCAAGCATTCATCGACATCCGTACATTGGCGTCCGTTTCCACTGTAGCCCTCGTTACAAGTGCAGGTGTAGCTGCCAACATTGTTGGAGCAGAATGCATTATCGCTGCACATATCGTTGTTTGTTGCACATTCGTTGATATCAACACAATTTTGTCCATTTCCAGCATAGCCTTGGTTGCAAGAGCATGTGAAAGAGCCTTCGGAGTTGGAACAAGTTGCGTCTTTTGAGCATGGGTAGATTCTTCCTTCGCATTCGTTGATGTCAACACAGTATGAACCATCGCCTTCAAAACCGTTCTTACAAGTGCATTGATATCCGCCATCGAAGTTGTCGCATTTTGCATTAATATCGCACATATCAAGCTGACACTCATTTACATCTTTACACAATTCGCCGTCGCCTGTGAATCCATCTTCACATCGGCAAACGTAAGATCCATCAGTATTCGTGCAGTAAGCGTTGTCACCGCAATCATTCTCTCCTTCGCATTCATCGACATCTTCGCATGTTTCGCCATCACCTGAGTAACCAGAATTGCAAGTACAAGAGTACGAGCCGGGAAGATTCTTGCACGTAGCGTCTTCTGAGCAAGTAAATTCGTCATCACACTCGTTGACGTCGTTGCACTGGACTCCATTTCCAATCCATCCGTCTTTGCAGATGCAATCAAAGGAGCCTTTAACATTGAGGCATTCGCCATTGATGCTACAATAGTGGTCGCCCGTCTCGCACTCGTTGAGGTCAACACATTTACCATTCTCGTCGAAAACATAGCCAATAAGACACTCACATTCGTAAGAACCAATGGTATTTTCGCAAGCAGCGCTCTTACCGCATGGTTTGTCTTCACACTCATTGATATCATTACACTTATTGCCATCTTGAGTGAAGCCCTCTAAGCATGAACAAGTATATGATCCTTGAGTATCTGTACAGATTGATCCAACACTGCCGCAGGGTTTCGCGAGACACTCATTTATATTCGAGCAGACACCGTTATTGTCTTTAAATCCAGGTTTACAAGAGCAGCTGTATGAGCCGACGACATTTTCACATCTGGTATTAGCTCCACAAGGATTTTTCAAACACTCGTTGATGTCCTCGCAGATTCCATTAGACTTTTCAAATCCTTCATTGCAACTGCATGAGAAAGAACCGATTGTATTGGTACAGAAGCTGTTCTCAGAACATGGCGAAGAAGCACATTCATCGATGTCTTCGCAGCTATATCCATTGCCTTCAAATCCGTCAAGACATGAGCAAGAGTAGGATCCTGGCTTGTTTTGGCATTGAGCATTTGCATGACAAGAGTCAATGCCAGCCAAGCATTCGTCAATATCCACGCATTGGCCGTTAACCTTTTTGTATCCAGAAAGACAGACGCATTCATAAGAACCTTGCTTATTTGAGCAGCTGGAATTGACTCCGCAGATTCCAGCTTGAGCGCATTCATCAATATCTTGGCATGATTTTCCATCTCCTTCGAAACCATCATTACAGGAACAAACAAACGAGCCATAAGTATTCTTGCAAGAAGCTTTGGCATGACAGTTTTCATGCGTGAGACATTCATTCTCGTCCTCACATGAGAAGCCGTCTCCGATGAAACCTTCGTTGCAACTGCAAGTGTAACTACCGACGGTGTTCTGGCAAGTTGACTCCAAGTGGCATGTATTCGCTCCCGTGGCGCACTCATTCACGTCATTGCAAAGGAAGCCGTTTCCGGTGAATCCATCATTACAGATGCAAGAAAATGATCCTATTGTGTTGACACATTTGCTATTCTCTGAACACTTTGCGCTCTGGTCTTGGCACTCATCAATGTCAGAACATTGAAGGCCATTGCCAATGAAACCTTCTTTGCAGGTGCATTCAAATGAACCTTCGGTGTTGATGCAGTTTCCATTGCTGGAGCAGTTATGCGTTCCAAGTGCGCACTCGTCTTCATCCCGACAGAAAAGACCAGTTCCGCTGTATCCGGTGTTACATGTGCAGGAATATCCTCCTTCGACGTTATCGCAAGTGGCGTGTTTGTGGCAATTACTTGTTTCAAGAACACATTCGTTCACATCTACGCAATCAAATCCATCGCCAGTGAAGCCATCAAAGCACTCACAAGTGAATGAGCCCTGAGTATCCATACATTTAGCTCGAAGAGCGCATGGTTTTGGAGACATTCGTTAATATTTGAACACGCAGTTCCATCTCCCTTGTATCCACTGTTACATGTACACTCAAAGCTTCCGACTGTATTTGAACAAGTTCCAAAGATGGAGCAGGTATGGCTCCCTGCCTGACATTCATCGACATCTTCGCATGTTTGACCATCGCCAGCGAATCCTGAATTACAGGTGCATTGAAATCCGCCCTCTGTATTGAAACAAGTTGCGTTTTCATCGCATCTGTCAGCATCTTCACATTCATTGATGTCAGTACAAGTGAACCCATCGCCGAAGAATCCTGATTTGCAGTCGCATTTATAATCGCCAGATTCAAAATGGCAGATAGCGTAAGCGTCGCATTCATTATTATCAAGGCAAGCTTCGCCACTGAGACAAGTTATTCCGTCACCAAGGAAATCTTCTCTACAGGTGCATTCAAAAGATCCTTCAGTGTTTGTACAGTCAGCATTTTCCGAGCAAGTGGAGATTCCAGCCTCACATTCATCAATGTCAACGAAATTAGCACCAAGTTTCTTGAATCCCGCATTAGCAGTGCAGAAATACGATCCGATAGTGTCAGTACAGTATGAGTTCGCTCCACAAATGTCTACGATATCACATTCATTGAGATTCACACAGTCGTATCCAATGTTTCCATCAGTTGAGACATCAACAAAACCAGTCAGACATTTGCACTCGTAATCACCGAATCGATTCATGCAAGTAGCGCTTACTGAGCATTCGTTTTCTTGCATGCACTCATTGATATCGTTGCAAGATTTTCCGTCGCCGAAAAAGCCAGATGGACATTCGCAGGTATAAGATCCTTTTGTATTTGAGCAAGTTGCAATAGAATGGCAGTCGTTCTCTTCGTCACACTCGTTTATATCAAAGCATTTTCCTTGTGCGGTTTCTCGGAAGCCAACTTTACAGGAACAACTGTACGATCCGAAACTATTCTGACAGTTGCTGTTTTCAGGACATGAATCGCTATTGAGACACTCATCAACATCAGAACAAGTGAATCCGTTTCCATTGAACCCATCTCTACAAGTGCAATCATATGAGCCGTCAAGATTTGAACACTGAGCATTGGTATGACAACTATCTATGCCCATAATACATTCGTCGATATCTTCACACTCGTACTCACTTTTCTTCGAGTATCCAGATTTGCAGTTGCAAACGTATGTTCCTGGCTGGTTGACACAATCAGCTGATGTCGGGCACTGTGATGATCCGTTTTCACACTCGTTGACATCATTGCATGTCATGCCGTCTCCAGAGTAACCGTCATTACAACTGCAGTTGTAGCTTCCATCGGTATTAGAACACTCTGCATTGCGGCTGCAAGGTTGCAAGAGGCATTCATTAATGTCTGAGCAGACGATTCCACTTCCACTGTAGCCACTGTTGCAAGAGCAAGAATACGATCCAATAGTATTCGCGCAAGACGCATTCTGATCGCAAGGATCATCTTGGCATTCATCAACATCGTTACAAGAAAATCCATCTCCGGTGTATCCATTCAAGCAAGAACATTCGAATGAGCCAACTGTATCCTGACAACTTGCTCTCAAGTCGCAAGGAGATGCAAGACACTCATTGATATTGACGCAATTACCGTTTTTCTTTTCATACCCGCTGTTGCAGTTACACAAATAAGAGCCCTCTGTGTCAATGCATTCTGAATTCGCCATGCATGGAGACGAAGAGCACTCATCAATATTTTCACAAGTGGATCCATCACCAGAGTAACCTTCTTTGCAAATGCAGGAGTAAGATCCGATAGTATTCGTGCATTGTGCATTTGACGAGCAGTTGTTTTCACCATTACATTCATTGACGTCCTGACAATTACCGTTCGAGTCAAAAGTGAAGCCATCTTTACAGACGCATCGAAAGCTTCCAATAACGTTGACACAATTTTCATTTTCTGAACAAGTTGAAGTTCCGTCAGAACATTCATTAATGTCAGCACAGATTTCGCCTTCTTGAACGAAGCCTGGTTTGCAGTCACATCGGTATCCAATTGGCAGATCTATGCAATTTTGGCGGATTCCGCAGGTATTTTTGCTCGCATCTTTACATTCGTTGATCAAGACAAGTTCGCATTTTCTTCCATTTCCCTTATAATTATCATCGCAAACACAAGTGTAGCCTCCGATCGTATTGTTGCAAGTGGCGTTTTCATCACACTGATTGGCGTTCTCATCAGCGCATTCGTCGATATCATCACAAACAGAACCGTCACCCTTGAATCCATTTTTGCAAGTGCATGAATATCCACCATTAGTGTTTTTGCAATTAGCATTCGCGTCACATGTTCCAGGAAGTAGACATTCATCAATATCTTCGCAGATTTTGCCATCGCCGCGGAATCCCTCTTTGCACTTGCATTCATACGAGCCTTCTGTATTCATGCACCACGCGTTTCTTGAACATTGAGCCTTGCTTCTTCTTGATCTTGCTCCGAGGAAAAGATCCATCATAATTTCCATTGGGATTACTTCAAAGTTAGCGGCTTCACATTCATCGATGTCATTACATATTTGGCCGTCGCCTCTAAATCCTGGATTGCAATTGCATCTGAATCCACCGTTGGTGTCAGTGCAGGACGCATTTGCGTCACAAGGATCATCAAGGCACTCGTCGATGTTCTGACATTGACCATTTTCGTATTTGAAGCCTTCTTGGCAAATACAGTCAAATGAACCGATGGAATTGATGCAGGTTGATTTCTTTGGGCAGATTTTGTTGAGAGAACATTCATTTACATCCTCACATGATTTTCCATCTCCGCTGTAGCCTGTATTACAATTGCATTCAAAGGAGCCGACGAGATTTTGACAAGTTGCATTAGCATCGCAAGGGTCTTCAGCGCACTCGTCAACATCTTGACAAAGACCAGACTCGTTATATTCAAAGCCAGTCTTGCATGCGCATTCGTAGCTACCAACAGTGTTCGAGCAGTCTTCGTTCTCAATGCATGGATTTTGTTTGCATTCGTTTATATCCTCACAGACTCCGTTTTTCTCTACATAGCCGGACATACATGAACAAATGAATGATCCGATTGTATTTCTACAATTTTGCATTGGCTTGCACGGATTACTAAGGCATTCGTTGATATCGGTGCACGTTTTGCCGTCTCCAGAATATCCATTCTTGCACGAGCAAATAAATGAGCCGATTGTATTGACGCAATCAGCGTTTTCACTGCATAGCCCTTTCATACATTCGTTGATGTCCGTACAACTCTTCCCATCACCAGTAAATCCAGCGTTACAGGAACAGCTGGCGATTCCCGAGTCACCGTACATTTTGCGTTTGCATCACAGACATCTTTTGCTTCACATGGATCAACATCAGACGGTCCATAATCGTAGTCGTAAGCGGTATTGAATACATCAGGTGCGTCGTAACTTTCCTGGACGTACTCGTCATATTCTGCCTTTTCTTTTGCCGTCATTGGTGTTGTGTGAGGCATATTACCACCAAAGTCAGCATCGTGTCCCTCATCAAAGCCAGCAAGTTTAGATTCCTCCTCAGGAGATCCGTAGTCATAATCATATGCCGAGTTAAAGACATCTGGCGCGTCATAGCTTTCTTGGACGTACGCGTCATATTCAGCCTTTTCTTTGGCAGTCATAGGGGTTGTATGTGGCATATTTCCGCCGAAATCAGCATGAGCACCCTCTTCGATTATAGAGTTACTAGCCTTTTGGCTTTAGTTGTTGTAGTTGTGGTTGTAGTTGTGGTAGTACTAGTAGTAGTAGAAGTTGTTGTAGTAGTTGTCGTGGTAGTACTTGTTGTAGTTGTTGTTGTTGTGGTTGTGGTACTTGTTGTAGTAGTGGTTGTCGATGTAGTAGTTGTCGATGTTGTTGCTGGAATTTCAGTCGTAGTTGGCTCTGGAGTTGTTGTAGTAGTTGTTGTTGTAGTTGTTGTTGTAGTTGTTGTAGTAGTTGTTGTAGGAGTTGTTGTCGTTGTTGTTGTCGTCGTTGTTGCCTTAGTTTTTGTTGTTTCTCTTTTTACATTTGATTCCATTTCCACGATATCCAGGATTACATTCACAAGCGAATTCATTTCCTTGTTTTATACAAGTAGCATTAGGACTGCAATTATTTTCCCCTGAGTCACAAGGATGCTCTTTTTCAGCCTCAGTACAAGTGAAGCCATCTCCAGTGTAACCGTCTTTACAAGTGCATGAAAACGATCCTTCAGTATTCAAGCAATCTGCATTTCGATCGCAGGGTTTCTTTTTGCATTCATTTATATCTCTGCATTTCTTGCCCTCAAAGCCTTCTTTGCAGACACAAATATGACCGCTGCCAGATTTCTCGCATTTCTCATTTTTCGGGTTGCAGTTATGGCTACCATCATCGCATGGATGAGCAGCTGGCTCAGAGGTATCGTATGATCCGTAATCGTTGTCGTAAGAATAATCGTAGTTGCCATACGAGGCAAAGTTCTCTTCATAATTTTCGTAATCATAATATGCAGCCATAACGGCATTGTACTCTTCATCAGTCTCTGGGTCAAATTCCACTGCGTAATCAGACATGTCAATTCCACTAACGTCGATTCCACCACCAAATTCACGTTTTGCAGCCTCCGTTGTTGTGGTATAAACAGTCGTGGTGCTAGTCGTGGTTGTTGTTGTAGTCGTTGTGGTCGTTGTAGTGGTCGTTGTAGTAGTTGTTGTGGTTGTAGTCGTTGTTGGAGCTTCTGTTGTTGTTGGCTCTGGGGTCGTTGTCCGTTGTGGAGCTTTGTTTTTCTTGTTCTTTCCCTTATTGCCGCCTTTATTCTTGTTTTTCTTTGACGGAGCGGGAGCGCTTTCCGGAGCAGAAGCAGGACTCTGAGGTCCGCCACTTCCCATTCCCCAAGCAGCTGCCCCCTTGAACTGATCACCAAGTTTCTCTTTCGCCATGGCCATCATCATCGCCATGAAATCGTCAGAGGGCTTGCTCATATCTTATAAGTGGTCTTTCTTTCCGTTTTAATAAATATTTAATAAAATAATAAAATTCATATTTTATTCACAGGAACTGTGTTTTGACCATTCCTGGTGTGAATGCATCAATTTTGTCTTTCGCTTTATCAGAGAAATCGCTGAGAATATCCTCTTGCGCATGGCTGAGCGCCGCCAGTAAAAGGATGATCCTGCTGGCTCTGGCCCTCATGGCGTCAAGTCTTCTTCAGAAATAGCTCTCTACAGAAGAAAAAAGGTTGATTTTTCCTTCTAGCGCATCTAGTAAATCCCTAACAAGAGTATTCTCTACTCCCGTTGGCGCGAGAAAACACCAGCCAAGTTGACCAGAGAAGAAGACGAAAGTCGCTCAGTGCGCCAATTTAGCGAAAAGGTGTTTACGTGTTGATGGGAATTGTGGGTTTATGAATGCGACCACCGAATTTATCTTTCCATTTGAGAGTCCTAAATAGAAGACTGACCTCGCGTGCAGAATTTTCGAGATTCACGTTTTTAAACAAACATTTATTGAACAGTTGATGCATTAAAACACATCATCTGGCGGAAATAAACTTTCATTTTTTTCTTCAAAAATATGTTGTTTTCAGAAAATACCCGAACATGGGACCAGAAAGCTCCAGAAAAGACAATGAAGAAAAGAATAAGTGAGGTCATTATGTTCCGAAATCGCTTTACTAAATTATTAACACTCCTTTATACCTATTTTGCTCTTTTATTCTAGTCTAGGTGTTCAAGATGATGATCTTTATTTCCTCCTTATTTGTTATGTTTTTGAAAGTCGTCTTTTTCATTTCTACCGCCGTTGCGAATCCAGCTGAAGATGCTTTCCGAATCATTTATCCTGGAAACATGACTTGGTACAATGCAAGAGATTTATGCGAAAATCAAGAGGGAGCTAAACTTGCTATTTTCGATAATGAAGCTCTTACTTGCAAGTAAGAAAATAACTTCCTTTATTGGTGCTGGTTATTGCTGCTTTAGCATTTCAACGCCTTCAAAGACTACAAAGCCTGGACAGGCATTTATGATCAGAGCGAAAGTGACAACGCTGGACGAGTTTGGACATCATCGGATGGTCAATCTCCTGGCTACATCAAATGGGGAGATGGGCAGCCCAGAAGTCGACACAATTTCGTTTGCGTTTCTTACGAGTCTGGCATTGATTTTCAAGACCGCCACTGCGCTTCAAAATTCACTCCATTATGCAGATATTACAAGCATTACCCGAAATATGAAAGTATCAACAATTTCACGCCGTCTTATCACACTGGGCCAGCGATAGATGATTATAGCAGGAAAGGGATGAATATAAAAGAAAATTAATATTATATAAGAGAAACTCAATTGTCGTCATTGGAGAATGTCAGCAAAAGAACTATATTTTTTCTATTGACTTGATGAAAAATTAAAATTCTTATGTCACATAAGTTATGTGTCTATGGAATTTCTTCTTTTGAAATTTTAATGTTCTTCTACATCTGTACTTTTGTCTCGAGATAACCCGCTTGAAGAGATAAGTGAAGCTTCAAGAGAATAAAAGTCAGATTAGAATGATATTTTTCTTGTTTTTCTGAGATTCGTAGACTCAAATCAATCAGAAATTGTGTTCAAAGTTTTCGATGAGATTTCAAAATTAAATTGGTTTGAAGCGAGAGATTTTTGCGTTGATTATGGAGCTGTACTCGCTACTTTTGATGATGCTCTTCAGTATCAAGCGGTAAAAGGATGAGATACGATTAACGACATTAGTAGGAAATCACTAATAATTGAGCTTTTTTCTAGCTTAGTAGGGTGGGACTATAAACGTAGAATGAAGCTGGGGATTTTTGACTATTGATAGTCGGGGTGAACAACCCTGAGGGCATTTAGATACCTCGAAGTCCCAAAATCTGCCAACTGAAATTGTAATTTTGAAGCCCAACTAAGCTTTTAGAGGCTGCCCACCAGTCTAGAGTAGCCCAGGCTCTGGCGGTTTGTGTGAGCCAAGAAAGTAGTGAGGGGATGATCTGGGGAGCTAGGAGCTCGAAGTTTGGGATCTCGACCATTAGGTACTTTTTCACAAAAAGTACACGATGTGTATCAAAAATGCCTCCCAAAGACTTTCTGAGGATGTTTCTTCATTAAAAATGTTCTGAAATCATTTGAGGTCATCTGAGGTCAGATCGGGTCACTTATCACTTTTTTCAATTTATCACAATTTTTGACCTCGAATGACCTCAAATGACCCCAAATGATTTCAGATACATTTTTTAATGAAGAAACATCCTTCTTTGGGAGGCATTTTGATCACATCGTGTACTTTTCTACACAATTGGTCGAGATCCCAAACTTCAAGAGCTCCTAGCTCCCCAGATGCATCTCACTTTTCTTGAGCTCAAATGAGCCAAATCTAGACTAGTGGGCAGCCTAAAAGCTTAGTTAGGGCTTCAAAATTACAATTTCGAAGTTGGCCAGATTTTGGGACGTCGGAGGTATCTAAATGCCCTCAGGGTACGAGATCACCCCGACTATCAATAGTCAAAATGATCCCCAGCTTCTGGGGATTCTAAAACTGTATTATAGTCCCACCCTACTAAGCTAGAAAAAGCTCAATTATTAGTGATTTCCTAGACATTAGGTTTTTAGAAGCGAAGTATTTTCGAAAATTATAATGTGTGGCTTGGGATTTATGACAAAAATGAAGGAAGCAACGCGAATCGTCTTTGGAGGGCCTCAGATGACACTGATCCTGGGTATTTCAACTGGGGTGCAGGCCAACCATCAAGTCCTTATAATCAAGTTTGTGTGAGCCACGAGCCTGGTGAGACAATGATCATGCAGGATCGACCGTGTGGAGACCATGCTACTTTTTAAAAAAGTTTCCTCTTTGCCGTTTTCTTGGACATTATCCAGCTTATGATACTATTCAAGATTATGTGCCGGATCATTATCCTTACACTTCTTTGTTTTCTAGCGAAGATTATTCTAGGACAGGGATGATAATGATTTTCTAGCATTTTTAAAATTTTCAGACATTCACCAACTATTCTATTCAATTAAAGAACACCAGGGGTGCATCTGTTTCTTGTCGCAAATAACAAGCTCAACAACAATGGAAATGAACTTTCAGTGTCTTTCAGAGGGATTCCTTCTTCTTTGTATTTCTGCTGACAAGTGGTATAAAAGGATGACTTGATAATAATGAAGACGGTAAGACGCGTGGGAACGCCATAAGACGAAGGTTTTGCTATCTGTTTTTGAGTTTGAACTTGAGTTTGCCTTTCCTTCGAATCGATAAATTTATTGGAGAGATTTTCGCAGAGACTAATACGAGTAAATATTGAACAGATTATTGGTGAGTGAGTGAGTCGACCTTCTGGCTAAAAACGCCCGCTTATTTTTACGAGAGGAGCTTTTGTTATTTTCAGAAGAGCCTTTTCTGTAAAGGAAAACGCTTCAGCATTCATTCAGAGGAAAAAATGGGCTACAACGAGTTGATTAACGAGTGTTCTCCGCACGACGCCATGGGACAGCCGCCTGGTAACTAATTTAGTAAACTTTCAATGCTGACTTTTGTTCGTAAGCTTATCAAACAGCCCCTTCTACTCCTGAGTTCAATCCAGCTCCCGTGGTTCAAGTCACTCAACCGAGGTCTTTTGCGACCGACCAACAGTTGCTCGATGTTGGATCACCTCTGAAAAAGTTCAAAAGATTCTCTACTTTATTTGTAAAAATTTATCGAACACTTTTTGAACTTGAAAAAGATGGGGAGCGGAAAGTGGAAAGTCGGATTGGTTGAATCCTGCTTCTCCTTGGAATGCTGCAAAGCTTACTGGTAAGCAAAGAAACATTCACAGCTGAAACTAATTATTTATTCGAAAAGGTGTCCTTGCTGCAGCTTGGCAGATACCTCCCGCGAATTGGGACTCGATTACGATCGAACCTTCTGGTTTACTTTCTTCTGCTGGCATGGTAAGATCCTTCATTTTCGGGAACTCGAAGATTGACTGCTTGTTTAGCCATGTTCCCAATCGCCTTCCAGCACCGAGAGTTGATCCGCCAACGGCACGGAATCATCGGCTCTGGCTGTGATGACTTCTGCACCTTGTTATGGTGCGCACAGTGCGTCCTCGCTCAGCACCATCTCCACATGAAGAAATGAAGAAGAGGGCAAACATGTTTTGACTGTTCTTTCCTGTTCTTTAGAAAGCAAATAGATATCCGAATACAGAACAAAGAGTAGATACCGAAATTTAAATTGATTTTCGTCTTTCAAAGGCAATATCCATTTCTGTAAACCAAAACGCGTATTTCACTTTAACGGCGCTAGAATTCCAAGTCGACAATAATCCAGGAAAGCGACTTAGAGCGAATCTGTGGTGGGACGAATTTAGATCTCGTCCAATCAGCGCGTCGCTTTTCTCTTTCGCTTCTCGCGTCGCGAAATAACGAAATCTCACCGAAAACGAAATAGAGAAATTTTCCAAGTCCGGGCTGTTTTAACCACGGTAAGCATTCAGGCTCATGTTGAGCGGAGTATGAGCGAGTGGGAGGCGAATTTTTGAGTGGTCTCGGCTATTTTTGAGCTTTCGATGAAATTATATGGAAAATTCCCGAAAAAACGCAATACTCCGCGATTTTCCGATAACGTTTTATAAAGAATCAGTTTTTACTAGTTATTAAGATTAATGCTAACGGTATTACTGTATTTTTCAAAGAAACAATCAGTCGAGCATACTTTACAAATTATCAATTCAATCATCATCGTTATTTCAGCTTGTTTATTTGACAAATATTTTAAAATTAACATGGAATTGACAGTTTTCTATGTTTCTAAATTCGAAAAATCTCATAGTAATTAGGATCAGCGCCTCCCACGTGCGGTTTTTTCATATCACATCATGTGATGCCCGTTTGTTGAAATTTTATCATCCTATTGTGAAATTCCTTTCTTCAGATAAGAACATGCGACGCGTTTACTGAACTAAAGAAGTACTGAAAATCAAGAATCCGGTCAAAACAGCCACGACTTCCCTTAATTCTTCAACATCGACTTTCTATCAACTCTCTCCTGTAATTTACCTTCCCTCCGACAAGCTCAACTTTAATAAGAAACAACAGACAACAAAAGAACCAACAACTGCTGCCCAACAACTTTGCTTTTCTTCGTTTTTATTCAAATTTGCTGAAACATAATCAAACAACAAAACAACCCCGTGTATATTTGGACTCCCCAAATCAAAAAGCTCAACCCAAAAAACTACTAAAAAGGAAGAAGGCCCATCTAACCTTTCACCATGGCTGACAAGGGCGAAATGACGAACCAGATCAAGGCAATGATCTTTGGAAATCGAGCTCCTGGCCCCGGCCAAGCCGATCTCAAGCCCAAAAAGCCAAGAACTATCGCTTACGATCGACATAGTCTCGTTGAAATCGGCAAAAACACCGCTAGGTAAGAAAAGTCGCAGTCTCTTACATAATATCTCTAGAATCTCCCATCCCTTCTGTTTTTTCTCCCTCTACTTTTGTAGTTCGGGAGATAAAGTCTTAGCGGCAGAGTTCTGTCGATGGGGGACCTCTTCGGATGGACGCAAAAGTTCGAATTCAACCCTTTTTCTAGCCACACCCGCCCAAGCTTTCTCGACGTCGAGTACGACAACATCTCGCGCGTCGACGGCAGCAAGCGGTGGGATCCCGAGCGCTGGCACGCCGGAACCAAGGCCCAACATCTCAAAGCCCGGCGAGAAGCAGCGGCGAAGGAAATGTCCGCCAAGGCGAACAATGCTAGCAGCAACTCGTCGATCATTGGCGAGCCAAACTCGTGGCGCAAGTCGAAATCTGATAAACGATCTGGATTGGCGATGGACGAAGAAGTGGAAAATGGAAAAAATGATGAAACTTTTGGCGTCTCAACTAGGCTTGGTCCTCAGCGGAGAAGGTACTTGTTATTCCTGTAAAAAAAGGTCATCTTCTCTTTTCTAGCTATAAAGAAGGCTGCAAGCCTGGCAACACCCGCGATGAGGGACCAAAAGGCGATCAAGGATCTTTGTCCAGTTCTGGCGCGAGTTGGCGTGACTCGCGCAAGAAGGAACCCTGGCGCCGCGGAGGAGACGACGACAAGTTCAGCGATTTCCGCAACGATGACGGCGGCCGTGACGGTGGAAACAAATACGGCAACAATAACGCTCGCTCTGGTTACAACGATCGCAACAATCGCTTCAACAACAACCGTAGTGGTGGTCGCTATGGACGAGGAGATCGTTTCGGTCGCGATTCCCCTGACGAAGAGCCCGAATGGATGAACCCCGATGACGGAACCGAGGCGAACGAGATGACTTTCATGGCGCTTGAAGGACTCCCAGGAGATATGCGAGGAAAGGAAACTTCCCAAGGTCGGGATAAAAACCGTGACTCGCCAGAACTCGTCGCGTTTGACGAGAGTGCTTTTATGGGCACAACTGACGATGGCGGAGAAACGAAGCTTGGCGGCGCACTTGGCGCTGCTCTCGGCGAACTTGACGATCCTCTCCAAGGCGAGCTTGGCGGTGCCTTGGAGGACGATCCTCAAATGGACGGATTGATCAAATCCTCTTTCATGGATATTATGAAGGACGATGACACTGATCCCGCCCCTGGCGCATCCAAGTTTTCCGCATTCTTCGACTCACCTGCAGAACCAGAACTCAACCTTCCGAGCAAAAAGAACGCGACAGCTGGATTCCCACCACCGCAGAATATTGGCGTTCCAGCAGGATTAATTCCGCCCAATGCAGCTGGACTTGGATTAAAAAGCCAGCCCCAGCCTCCGTTGGGAATGAACCTCTGGAATATTCAGCAGGCGGGATCCGGCGCTTCTCATCCTACTCCCGAACAGCAGATGAAACAGCAATCCGCGCAGAATAGAGTCAACGATGTTTTCAGCCAGTTCAAGAATCCTCAAGGTAATGTCGAATAGTAGAACATGGAAATTTAATTGATTATTAGTCTCCCCAATCATGCCTTTGCGGCCTCCCGGTGTTGCTCCGATGCCAGCTGCTAGAAACTGGGACATTCTTCCAGGAACGAAAAACGAGCCGCCTCGACCACAACAGCCACCAGCAGGTCTTCCAGCTAGCCTCTTCGGTTTCGGAAACGGCCCATCTAATTCGCAACAGCAGCAGCAACGAGCAGGTCCACCGATGCCTCCAAGAGGATTCCCGATGACAGCCATGAGTGTAGAAGATCTGGAAGGCCCTCGCCGAAACATTTCGCCAAACAATGATAACCAACCAGCTCCTGACGTTAAGCGAAAGCTCATGAACCTCCGCAACGAATTCGATCAGAAATCGAATGTTCAGCGAATGATGTTTCTTGGCGCCCAACAACCTCCAGGACAAGCCCCTCAAGGACTGCTTCAACATGCTATGCCTCAACGAATGCCGCATCAGATGCAGCATCAAGCTCCGCGGGCCCATCAGCACATGCAGCAACAACATCAGAAGCAGATGATGGATCAGCGAGACGTTCGAGCAGCTCAAGAGCAGCAGCGAATCCGCGTTGCGCAGTACTTGGCTAGCGAAGAGAAAAATAGAACTCTTACTCCAACTGAAGGTACTAACTCCGGTTTTTTTGTTCAATTCTAAATCTTCTTTTCAGCAACATTCATGAAGCAATTCCGCGCCGAGCAGAACGGCCTTTACGGTCCCGGGCCTCGAACAATGATAGACCAAAACTTGAACCAGCTCAATCTTGGCCGTGATAACCGTGACCATCCCCGCTCCAGCCAAAATCTCGATTTCAATCGACAAAAAGAGTCATTCGAAGAAAAGCTCCGCCAGCAATCGAGCATCGGCAGCAGCGGCCCTCCTCACCCAGAGCAAGTCCCGAAATTCAATCAATTTACTCCCACTTCTGTCATGCGAAAAATGGTTCATCGAAAAGGCGACGAGCCCGGCGATGGTCGACCGCATCGAAATCCGAAAATAACACCACTCGAGCATACAGGCGTCGTCCGAGTTCCCAAGGGAGCTACTGAAAGAAAACTAAGCAACGGAGGAGTTTCTGGAAACAAAGGAACAGCTCAAGGAGCGATGAGAAACATGACGAATGCCCCACCTGTGATCTACACCCAGCAGCAGCAACAGAGAGGCGCTCCGCCTCCTGTTATCAACAGTAGCGCGCCAAATAGCTCGAGCTCGACGCAAATGCTTTTCCACCAGCGAGGCCTCATCCCAAGCCAGATTCGCGCACCAGCAAGCCAACAAGCCAGCTCTGGAAACAACGAAGACAACACAATGATCCATCGCCTTCTCCAGCAACAGCCCCAAGCCAACCGAGCATTTCCCGAATTTGGCTGAACGATAAAAGAGCGAAATCAACGAAGAAACAATGTTACTAGAAATGATTATCATAAAAGCATACTTTGAGTTACTTACATTGTATTCACCCTCTTCCCCCAAAAAAGCTTTGTATCATATTTCTTAAATTTACTGACCCTCACAGAATTCCTCCCCCTAAAAAAAGCACTGAACCCTTTCAAAAAATGCAATTTCCACAAAAATATCGAACCTATTCTTTGTAAATCTTCCCCCTCCCTTCTTTTAGTGATGAAAGTCACTTTCCCCTTTAATCCCTCCCTTGTAAATTTAATTAAACAAAAGCAAACTTTCATGTAAATACTTTTAAAATTTGCAATTTTCTTGATGAAAATTTGATTTTCATTTTGGAGATACAAGTCTGTGGAAGAGTGAATTTTACGATCCACAAGAAATACTAGACAAAAATTTTGATTCCTGAAAATATGCTTCAAGTTCTGATCCTTGTCTCGTTTTTCTGCCTGAAAATGACGCAAGGGATGAAGCAAGCATATTTCCACGGAACCTTCGCTGATTTTCAAAGCCACATTCCCATTCCCCAAAACTCACCCTCCCCTGAAACAAAAAAACTGAACATCTTGCTTGCTGAGAATAACTCCCCGAAAGACAAAAAAATATCATTCACGCCCAATGAAAAAGACTATTAGTATTAACCAAGTGTGTACCCATATCAGCCCCATCTATATATTTTTCCTATTCTACGTTTGTTTGTTTACTGCTCTCTCCTCTTGTGGTTCAAAACGGATTCGAGAGGTTAGGTTTAAATCTGTCCAACCCTCATTCAAAGTCCTCCAACTCACAGTTTCCTTTCACCGATGGCTTCAAAGTAGCCCTTGGATGATCAGAGGGTTAACGCACGAGATTGGTCAGTGAGTTAACTCCCTTGCACAGCCATGTCTTTTTTTAACCCATCGGTGTAAGGCCTAAACCTTCACTAACGATCCGTATTCGTTTATCCGCCAGAGCCGAGAGTGATTTTTATTTTCTTCTTTCTAGGCTTTTTATTTATTTACACTTTTTCACCAACCTGTGTTTCAACTCAAGTTCAACTCCTGTTAGTCAACGAAAATACTATTACATAAATCTTGTAAGCTGAATATTAAAAAACCCTATTAACCCTTGGATTTTATCTTCAAGGGATTACTCTTTGGACACAGAATATATGAATAAAATAGATATCAAATAAAACCAAATCTTCATGACTTCGATTTCAAAACTTGGTATCCCCTCTTTTTGAAATCGAAAGATTTTTGTCGCGTGTATGAGAGACCTGATTCTTTAAGACAATTGTCTGTCGGACGGAAATTTCATTTCGGAAGAGGTTTTTTTCAAAGCAAAAGTCAGCAGTAGAGAGTGTCGGGAGATTACTTTTTATAATTGACGAGTGAGTAGAATTGGGTGATTTATTAATTGTAGTAAGATAATCACTGATTATCTTTGCTCATAAATTTGGCTCCAAAAACTTGTGAAAAGATAAGAAAATTTCTTGCAAGATCTGAAAGTTGGTATTTTTCTTTAGTGAAATACAAATATTACACAGGAAAATTTCCTGAGGAAATGCTTATTCACAAATTTTGGTATTCGTTTTTACAAAAAAATTTTTATGGAAAAAATTCGAATAGCTTTCGATTCGTCACGAGGCAGATAGAAAAGAGGGTTCATTTCCGGAAGGAATAATCAAGAGCCGAAATCAACCCTCGTTTTTGTTCCATTTCCTTCGTGATTCATTTCGAGAACTGCCAGTCTTTGCGGAAAGAGCTCTCGATAACTCCTGATATCGAGGCGCTCGGCACAAATTTTCCGACGCCACCTACTCCGGCCATATTTAAACTCCTTCATTGGTCACTTTTTCACATTCGCATTTTTTGCTTCTCAGCTGAGACAACAACTCACAATTTAATTTTTTGCGACCGGTTTACAAAACCTACAAGAGAGTTTTTCAGACAGGATAGAGATCGGTCTGTAAGATGGGAGACGGCGAAAACCCAGATACCAGTAAAGGAGATGGTTTAATAGCTTTTACTAATCGCTTTGCTTTATGCTAATAATTTGAATGAAAATAATGAACCGCTAATAGACATGCTTGATTTGCACCCAGATGATGACATTTCTGATGGTAAAAAGCCAATTTTCAAAAAAAGTAATTAAATTTACTTTCAGTCTTGTCGGAAATGGATGCGGGCGAGGAAATGCGGCTACTTGAGGAGAATCCGCCTTCACCGCAGCCTGGCTCTCCAGTTCCAGCAGAAGGACTTTCAAGCGACGACGAATTAATGGCGGGTGACGATGTCCTCGACAATGAAGCGCAAGAATTGCAGGAAAATCGGGATGAAATGGCGACGCCTCCGCTCTTGGACAATCCTGAAAGCTCCATGCAGCCCCCACGAGCTTCAGAAATTCCAAATGAGTCCAATCATCCTGGTAACTTGAGATTTTCTTGATAAAATTTACGACCTTCTCTAGATCAACCGGCAAACATGCTCAGCGATGGAGAACTTAGCTCCGAAGAAGAATTGCCAAGCAACAATCCTGTTGAGTCCTCTTCTGGATCGAAGATCGTTGGAACTATCGATCTTCTTTCCGACAGCCAGACAGATTCTTCCTTCGTACGAGAGAAATCGACGGTGTCTGCTAAAAATGCCGCTACCGTGGATCGCTTCAGGGCCCTTCGGATGCAGCGCCGACAAAGAGAACTAGCAAAGCGGTCTGAATCGCGATTGCCTGAAAGTCGAAGCATTGTGAAACCGCGAACGAAGCCTCCTTCGATTGCTGGTTCTGTTACCGGCGAGCTTCAGCAAGGATTGCGCCAGCTTGATTTTTCAAGCCCTGGCCAGCGGCCACTACTTCAAACAAAAGTAAGCATCGAATTTTGTCTTCTTTTTAACACTTTTTTCTAGAGCCGAACGAGAATTCGACCGGCAACTCCAACGACCAGTCCCATGATAGCGACGACGGAATGACTGAGGTCGTCAATTTTCCCATCTCCACCCCGATGGAAGCGACAACAAGCATGAATCGAGATGCCTATCGACCCTCGAACGCGCGAGAGAACCTCGTGGAGCGAGTGGAGTATGAGGAGCGGGAATCCCGGGTGAAGACAGAGCCGATGTCTCAGGATGACCAGGCAATGGCAGCTTTGAACGAGCACGAGAAGCTGCGCAAGTGCCGAAAACTCCTCCATCGGATCGAAGGTGTCCAGAACTTTGGTAACTTTCAGTACTCGCAAGAGAATCTCCGCTACGTCGGGCTCATCCGTGACCGCTACGAAGATCAAGATCGCGTCAAGAAGGTGTACGACAAAGAAGTTGACTATCTGAAAACAGCGGTCAAAGAAAAGTTTGAGGAGCAGATCCAGAAGCTTAAATTGATGCGAGATCTGGAAATCAAGAAGTTGGATCAAAAGAAAGACCTTGCTCTCACTCAACTTCTTCACTCTTCTGGCCCGCTGGAAGCCTTCCACGCCCTTGACGAAGTTTTAAATCAGCAGAAGGAACTTTGCGAAGATGCGGAACGAGATCCGCTCAAACTTGATGAATTGATGGGCAAGTACCATTCCATGAAAAAGGTAGGAAAATCAATCGAAATTGAATCTCAAGAAATCGCTTTTAGTCGATCGATGATAGTCGAACAAAATACGTGGAGGGCGCTGGCTTGCTGCAGCGAAAGCTCACGGAAGTGGCGCAAGCAAAAGTGGTTCAGTCCAACAAAATCGTTATCGACGAGAAGGAGCCTCTTTTCGTCGTAGAGTACCCAACAGCTTCTAAGAAGGTGAATGACAAATAAGAAAATATGATTTCAGTAAATTCTAGCGCCGAAGCGAGGGATTCAGCCGAGAAGATTTCCAAGTTGTCATCAACCTGGATTCCGATGAAGAGCCAAGCTCAACTGATGCAGTTTCCTCCGGCACGATGCCTTTTCGACAGAACAAGCGGCCTCGATTGGGCGCTAGAACCAACACCTGGACCCACATGGATCGACAGCAAGAGATTGAGAAGAAACAATCGAGATCCAGGTAAATTTGAATTCCTAAGATCATCCATTTACTTTTCTCTCAGATCTCGCGGAAACCGAAACGCTCGAAGAGGTCACACGATGACCCACGACGCATCTACTGATGAGCAGGTAGCGAACTATTATTACTGAAATTCTTTCTCGTTAAATCTATCTTCCCTCTAAAACCCAGACCTTCTCTTCGCTCTTTCTTTTAAATTTAACGGTGCACTAAAACATAAATACGTATTGACCATTCCTACTGAAGAAAAAAGAATAAATCTTCCTGACATCTAAAAGTTGTGAAACATTTTGAAAATGTTTTACTTTGACTTTCCTTTCTCTTGGCAATTTGCATATAAATATTCTGTTTAGGAGGAACCATGTCGACGAAAAGTGACTCTCAACAGAAACTTCCTCGATCGACTGGCGTCCGATTTCATGACGATCGAGCCACAGGTTTCAAAGCGATCGAAGAGCCATGATCGCGTTCGAGATCGAGAGCGCTCTCCCATTCGCAAACGAAGAAACTCCGCAGAAGAACACCCTTCTCCACGAAGCAGCAGATCACGACATCGATCTGGTCGCTCGTCTCGGGCTTTTGGTCGATCAGGAGGAGATCCGGAACCAGCTCATCTTGATTCCAAGGATGCAGTAACCCTTGTTGAATGCAGCAAGATTAATTCGGAAAAATCGACTTCCGAAACACGGAGAAGAATTTCTCCCGATACATGGGACTTTGTAAGATTCGGATTAAACAAAACAGGTATTTAAAAAATCTTCAGTCGCTGGCAAGGAGTACTACAAGCAACTTCTCGTTGTTGACATCCGAGACGCCGATGTGCTCTACATAGATGTCCACCACAATTGCTCGGTACGAGTTTTCCGTGGCCTTGAAAAGCCAGATTCGCCTGCCTCTGCTTGCATCATCAAGGTCGACGATGGACCAGATATGATTGCCGTCCTTGCGTAAGTGGATATGCTCTCAAACAGTTCTTGACAGAAATTTTAGTCGAGATGGTATCCGAATTCTCAAGCAGCGCTACTCTAGAAGGAAGAACGCCGATCTTACTTTCGAAGAGGTTATCAAGTTCCCAATTGATTTCTCGCCAAATGAGCATCTTGGAAAGCACTCTTTCGCATACGTTGGATTGGAAACCTGCACTTTCGAAGGAGAAAAATGCTTGGTTACGTTCAACAAGAACAAATGCCAGGTGACTGGGCATAAAATAATCTTAATTATATCTATTCTTTAGCTCGAATATTTTGCTATTCCTGAGGACTTCAGTTCTATTGAAGATATTAGCGTCAAACTCGTCGAGCTCGCCCGCGACTACAAAAACACGTAAGCTATAGATTGAGTTATCCTCTCCGTACAATCATTTTTCTCAAGTTTGTACATGTCGAAGACGTACGATGCTAACCACCTGTTCCTTTCCGTCAACGACATTGGGCGACCATTTGTAGCGCGTGTCAGCTTCAACGGAGAGCCCGACGTGTCCTGGCAGAACCAAGGCATTGTTCATGTTCCCAAGGACTCGATTGACATGATGGCTGGAGTTTGTGAGACTCCGAATGGAACTCTTCTGATTTGCGATGGAAACGGATCGAAGGTAATTTTATTGAAGACAGATGTCGCCAATTTAAACGAATTATTTAGTACCCACAGTATGGCAATGTCTGGGCCGTACTCGAATCGAAGGAGTACGACAAATCCGGCAAGTTCGTCCCTGTCAAACTTCAAGACAAAAACGGGCGAAATATCACCGTGCGACGCTCAGTCGACATCGTCTCCAATCATCGCAACATCTTTCTCTGCACCCACCCTCTTTCCGATCCAAAATGCCGAACCAAGGCCGAGATCTACGCCTTTGCCCGCCCAGATGATTTTTAATGTGCTCCCCCAACTGTTCCTCCGCACTCTTCAATCCCAGTTAATCTTATCCGCTTATATTCCTCTTTTATAGATGCTATCTTGTTCCCCAAATTCAACCTCACTACTGCCTTTTAAATTATCTGTAGGTTTGTAAAAAGCCTCTCCCATTAGCGATCACAATTATTTTCTGGCAAAGCATCTTTAAGCTGTCTGTTAACCCTGCCGTCTGGGATTCCCAGACTTGAAGTAATTTATATTTTAACTGCTAATGTTAATGACTCTTATATTGATACTTCTCAAATTGAAAAAACAAACCTGAGCCTCCCCTTATTAATTTCTTTTCAAGAGCAAAAGCATGGACAATTCGAAATCGGGCCCGGCGCAGAGGACTTCTTCGGATAGAAGATCCGCAAGCTCCAGTTCTACTCGGAATGAACAACATCAACAAAATCAATTCAAAGGGAAGGTTTTCTACTTCGACAATGAGTGCCGAAGAGATCAACGCTTCGACAGTAAGATTTTCATAAAGATATTGTATCAAATATTCTTAGAACTGGTGAAACAAGTTCAATACGCTGGAGCTTCAGTCGAGCTGTTCCACACGAAAAAGATCACGCACTACATTTCCATCAGCGGGCGAAAGCCGCAAGCTCAACCTCCTGGCCCTTCAAGAAGATCAGGAGGGACAGCCAGACCACTGTCGAGAAAAGATCTAATGCTTGCAGCTGTGAAAGGAAGTCAAACTACCAGCAGGGTGGCTATTTTGGATTTGGGGGTTAGTTGGAATTGGATTGGATCCAATCCAATAAAGTTTGGATGGAATTTGGATGGCCAGGGTACCGGATTTTGTTGGGGAAAATTGGGCAATTGGGGGAAATTGGGGAAATTGGATCCAATAAAAAATATATCTCTAAACTATGCAAAGTAGGGTCATTTTCATGATAAAAATGAACAATCTCAGATAAAAAAATCATTGTTTTGGCTCTGTTGATCCTCCTTTCGGATAAAAACTTACTGTTTCATTTCTTTTCAAAGTACTAGAAGCCTTGGAAAAATTGGAAACCCAATTGGATCCAATTGGAATTGGGGATAATTGGGGAATTGGGTAAAATTGGATTGGATTGGATTTTGGATGGATAGCTTCGACTCAAAATTTATTGGATGGAAATTGGATGGCGAGACCCCGAAATTTTGTCCAAAATAGCCACCCTGACTACCAGCCCGCCAACCAGTTCAATAGAAGAAAATCGAGGAGTGCGCTATTACGCCTTTGACAGTTTACTGAGACTCGTGGCGAAGCAAGTCAGGGTAGAAAAAAGTCGAAGAGCGATGAGACGGAGCAACGATGCAAACAAGTCGTTGGACTCTCCCGTCAAATCGCCAAAAGTCGCAAAACCAAAGAAGCCAACAACAGCGTATCCTCAGACAAGCAGGCGATCACTCTTCATCGAAACGAAGAGTCCCGAGAAGAAGACCAAAAAGATATACCTAAGAGACAACTTCACTAAAATCACCGATGTTTCTGAGCGATTCCGTCCAGTCTACAAAGATCAAATGACGGAGCAAATCGTTTCACTAGAACGAGTGGCCTACAATAAGTGTCCTTTTGTCGGTTTCTTGACTGACGAAGAACGAAAAGAAAAACGCGATTCGATGAACCTCCAAAAACAACAAAAGTATGAGCAAAAAGAGGGAACGAGCACATCTGCCAAGACAACCAGCGCCAACGCCACAAATGCAAAAAGTGATGCGTCGAAAACGCTCGGAACAATGTGGAAGAACGGCGGAACTTGTGAGGTCTGCCAATACTTCAGATATGAAGATCCTGAAGAGCACTTTGAATCGCAGACGCACAAGAAAAACGTCAAAAACTACGAGGAGCGCTTCAAGATTATTGACAACAAGAGTTTCAAACTTCAGAGCGGCTTGACAAAACAACAAGAACAGAGTTTGTCGAAAATGGAGCGCCGTATCGCTATTATTAGCCATCGGAACAAGAAATATGCTGTTCGTAACGAATCGAGTTCGACTTTGGCCGAATTAGAAAGGATGAAGTCACCTATTCTTGCGGAAGAGACGCCTTTTACGGATAAGTCGAGCCAAAAGCTTCGACAAAAGAATCCCTCTTCTGACCAAAATGCCAGTGGAACTAACAAGTCGTCCGACAAAGCAGATGAGAAAGAAGTGAGTGCAGTTTTGTCGCCGGTGATTAAGGAAGTCGAAGAAGAAAATCACGAAAATAAGAAAGTGCAAGAAGTTGTCCCGAAAATGGCTGTAGAAAATTATAACTACAACGAAGGGTCTTCTCAGAAGATTAAATTAGAGGAAAGTCAAGCGATCGAAAATGAGGAAGAAGTCGAAGAAAAGCATGTTGAAATTCCTGTAGAAGATATTGGTGAGCGGGTAGTCGCCGATCGCCAGATTCATACGGACAGTCAGGAAAGAGAGGATGAAGAAGAAGATAGTGATACTCAAACAACTTCAGATTCTTTGACCGAAGACGAAGATCCTATGATGATGGACGCGACCGAAGCTCTGAATGCGTTAAAAGATGAAGAAGCGACAGATGATAGCTGGGAAATCCCAAGTCGTATGAGCGAAGTATCAGCTGCCCAAGACAAGAGCACTCACTCACAAAAGGCGATCCTTTGCAAACAGAAGACCATACAGCTTTATAATTTTGAAGACTCATCTGATGAAGAAGATGGTCACGTGCTTCTGAAGAAGAGCGCTCGAAAGAAAGCGACCGACAAGAGCTTCAATCTTGATACGACAAATGAAGAAGATGAAGACAATAAGACTACCTCCGTCAACCTTCCTCGTGAAAAGCCTCGAATCATCCATCCAAAGAGGAAGCGAGGCGACGATTTCGCCCATCCAAATGACAGAGTTTGCCCGCCGAGTCCTGATAGTCGATCTCCAGCTAGGAAAAAACCTGATGTGAATAATCGTTTTGATGGTTTTAACAGGCATGTGTTAAACAAATTTATTTGACTTCGTCACTTGTAGATTTTTGTCTTTGTGGATATTTTTGCGTAACACTAATAACAGAACTAAATTGTCCATTGCTGATGAACATAATGAGAAGAATGCGCCCGAGTATGTGATTACTGATTCGCTCAAAGAAGCTTCCAGCCAAGAGCAAATGGATGTAGAAATAGCTCAATCTACAGAAAAGAGAGAAGAGGCTGCGGATGACCAAGAAAACGACGAAGAAGATACCGTTGAGCCACCAACTGCTGTCGAGCCAGAAGCTGCGGAGCCTTCTACAAGGACGAGACACTCAAGTGGAGAGGTGGAGGAGCTCTATTACCGAAGCTCTGGTTGGGATAGATTGCAAGAAGATGACTTCAATTGCTCTGACGAGAATAGGAACAGCTACAAAAATTTCAACTTGTACAAGTCATTTTTAAATAAAATATATAACCGTTAACCCATTGTTATTTGCACACTTTTTGAGCTTTAAAAAAGTTCCAAATCAGCACAACCTGACACTCGGGACCAAAGAGTGACCACAAAAATTGAGAAAGGCTGGACTGATGTTTATTTCGATGACGACAGGGACAGTTAGAAGTTTTCTTTGCTACTTGAAGCACTACAGTTAATCTCATTAATTCAATAGTTCAAGGTGCAGCGACTGATTATTTCGCGTTAATAAAGCTTAAATCTCAATCTTCTAACCGCGGTCTCAGCAATACGAAAATGAGTTGCAGCGCGCTTGACAATGAAAACTTCGTTGAAACACTGCCGGATCCACACCATCGGCCTCGTCGCGCTCCTTTCCTAGTTTCACCGCCAAAAGCATCGGAACGAGGATTTACACCTCCGCCTCAGGAGGACGATAGAGTAAACGAAACCTTGCGAACAGTTGAGGATGATGCTAGCTTTGAGATTTCGCTCAACCACACAGCGCATCACGGTTCGATCAATCTGGAAAATGACGAGGAGTCGGAGGAACCTTGGAACGATCCTCACACTTTTCCGCCGAAAAGATTTGCTCAAATGGACGTTGCGCCCGAAACTCGCATTCAAATGATCAACGAAGAAAATGAAAAGTTCGATCGTCTGCGGAAAGATTATAGCCCGCGGACTAGATACTATTCTTCTGGCTACGATGCCATGCGAACGACTGAAGTATTCGAACAACGGTTAGTACTTTTACTTGTGCTTACTGTAATTATGCATGCATCTGGGGTGGCTTCTTAGTTTCTTCCTTCCAACTGTCAATTAAACAAAAGTACCCACCCTAGGCATAATTACAAGAGATAATTATTCATGATTAAAATTTAATCATTTTGTTCATCTCAGAGAGAAGGAGGGGAAGGCCAGACCTGCGTGGCCTTTCAGAAGGACATCATCAGTGATTGCTGCTAACCGCACCAGCGCCTGCCTTTATCAGCAAAAGTAAATAAATAAACAGTTAAACCAAGAATTTGCATGCGCAAATTATCACGCTTATCCATCCCATTTAATTTCAATCCATTTTTCATGAAAAAGGTTAAACAATTATTTCTAGGAGCTCTTCTCCTGAGCCGAACGATTTCGAAGAAAATGCACAGAGCTCTTGGGGCCATTCTATGGACAAAAATGGCGTCCACACTCTTGAGCAGCGCTCTGAACTCGGAATCTCAGGTACATTTGGCGAGATGGACATTGACTCCCGTCAGTGACGGGCCGTCACAGCGCTTCATATAATTCGATGATCTAACTGCCTGTTCATTTAACTGTAGCAGTTCATTCCGCTTATTCGCACTATTGAAACAATTATTTAAAATACACTTGTAAATATCCTAGTCGGTGTTAGCTTCATTTACATGATCACTTTCACAGGACAAGAAAGAGACGGTTGATTCATGATTAATTTGCCGTTCTTTTAAGTCCGAAAACTAACCATACATGTCATTGTTTGATTGGTGAAATTAACTCTTCCTGTATCTTTTGCTAATGCAATTCAGTCCCAGTTCCGCCAGATAGAAACGCGTTCAAAATCGCTAATGGTGCCATCTCAGCAAACCGCGATTTCGAAGAGATCCTGAGTGCTGGCACGATAAACTGCCAGGTACTGATGACTCCAATGATGGAAAAATATATAATTAGGCTGATTACCACTCTTCTGCAGCAGAACAAGCATTCGTTGACCGCTTGAGTCCTGAGTCCAGAAGGCTTCATTTCAAATATTCTGATGATCGACCCTTACGGTATCAATTATCGAATTTTCAGCGAGAGTCAAGTTTATTTTAGTAAAACCTCAATTCAAAGAAAAAAGAGATACGATGATAGCGACAGCGAAGAATACGTACCAGGAGTTTTAAAAAGTTCAAAGTATGAGTTTCCCATTATTTGGCTTTCAATAATGTCTTTTAGAAAAAAGAGAGGCCGCCCGAAGAAAACCAAAAGTTAGAAAAAATAACAAAAAACAAAGTTTCAAATCTCCACTGACTTTACTACTTTCAACTCACTTGTAAAATTCACTTATCCAAAAACTGCCAGGTTTTGTATTTAATGCGAATAAAACTTCACGTTCAGTTCAGCTTTTCTTCGAAATGTGTTGCTTCAAAGAGAATTATTTGCTTAATTTTTATCTTGAACTAACACTCGGACTTGTTGTGGCACTTTCGGCCTCTAATTATTACGCCTCTCGGTTGTTTTCTAGAGCACGTCTCAAATTAGCTTTGAAAATTATAAATCAATAAAATCGAAAGGTTTGTTCAGGGCGTCAATCCTGAAAACCACTGATTTTTAATATAAAAAATCATTTCGATTTTTCGTCTGATTTCTTTTGTTTTTGTCGAGTGATTATCAAGTAAGAGAGAGCTATTGAAATCATAGAAGAGTTCATTCCTAATCTTCATCCTGCCTTGCTTTCAGGATGACTAAGTACCAGTGGGGCGTGCTTGGCGGTGGTCAAATGGGCTACGCTATCATTGCAGGAGCAATTAAAAGCGGCGTTTTGGATGGAAAGAGTGTGATTGTCGGGGATCCGTTTCGGACGAAGCAAAAGAGAGAAAAATGGGCGTCTCTTGGTGCAACGTGTTTGACAAAAAATGAAGGAAGCGGTTCTTTACTTTGTTCTATTTCTCCCTGTCAAATTTTGAAGGCGCTAGAATGTCAACCGGTTCAAAAGAAGTGATAACACAAGCAAAATACCTTCTTCTTTCTGTAAAGCCTCAAATGATCAAGGAAGTGAAGGAAGTTCTATCGAGCATGAAGTCTGATCAGACTGTCGTGTCAGTAGTCGCTGGATGCGATATTGAAAAGCTCAAGGCTACATGTGGCCAAGCAAAAGGTACAGTTTGAGACAAACAGAATGTCATTGTTCTATCGCCATTTCTAGTGGTACGTGTTATGCTCAACCAAGCGTGCCTTATTGGACATGGCGCAGCCGTACTCTGCCCTGATAAGGATGTGCCCAAGGTCGATTTCGAAATGATCGAGGAGATGTTCAAGGCGACAAATGGAAGTGTAGATATTGTCCTGGAGCGATCGCTGGATGCTTTTACTGACGGATTTAGAATAACAAAAAATTAATCACGATTTTTGATCTTTGATATTCATGAAAAGCGCCCTCTCTGGCTCTGGAATCGCCTTTGTGTATCAATTTTTGGAAGCTCTTGCTGATGGAGGAGTTCATTGTGGTCTGTCCCGAGAGTTGTCGCAGAAAGTCGCTGTGCAAACTGTACTTGGTGCCGCGAAAATGTGCGAGGAAACTGGCAAGCATCCGGGAGAATTGAAAGGTACTCGTTTCATGTCAAGGATTTTTTGATGAAGAAGGTCTAAAAAACTGATAAGGCAATTAAAGCATCGAATGTGGCCTAATTCTGAAATTAAGACAATGTCTGTTCGCCATCCGGAACTACAATTACCGGAATCCGAGCCTTAGAGAAAGCTGGTTTCAGAAGTGCCGCTATCGAAGCTGTTATCGCCGCCACTGAACGCTGTAAAGAGTTATCTTGAAAAAATAAAGCTAATCAGAAATCTTTCTTTCCGCGTTTTTTAAAGAAAATAATGATCTATGCAGGTTTAAATCAACACTCTCTTGATTGAGTATTTTTGAGCATCCGTTCATACACGTGAGAAGTCCGTAATAAATTTGCTGTTTCCGTTTACAGCTACCTAAAATGATTTAAGAATTGATAAATATCATTTGCGTCTTGGTGATAAAAACAAATTATTTTGGAGAAGACTCGTTTGATAAATAAGCTCTGAAACGTTTTTCTAGCTTCTGATAAAGCAATTATAGGATCAACTGAGAATTAATTCTTAGACCGTCAAAGTTAGACGTGTAACTTCATCCATGTCGATTCCGGACCAGCAATTTTTGAAATCTGAGTCAATCAAATTTCCTCGTCTTTTTGCTCGTTTCAATGCGCTAGAATCGATCCAATGCATTCTTTATCAACTCGACTAATGAATATTGACCAGCCGGTTGAGTGGAGCCATCGATTTAAGGTCTTTTTGCAGAGATATAAGAAAATACAGTATAGTTTAATTTGATGATAGAGTTCGAGAGCAAAAGAGTGCTTTTAGGCAGTTTAATCGGATTTGTTATTTTTGCATTTGTGGTGCTCCTGGTATGGGTAAGAACATCGTTCAGCTCCTGTTCTGTCATTACAAGAGAATGACACGCTGACGTTACAGTAAAGCTGACGATTATACTTTCTTAACACGTATTTTAACGGTATTTACGCGCGTTGTTCTTTTGATAACGAATGCGTCAATTACATTATACCTTGATGGACTAGTGCGAACTTCCTTTATCAACAATTTCAGGCTTTGAAAAATATGGAACCAGAGAAAAGACGGAAACTGAGCCTCTTCCGACCCACTGTTGTCCCGTCATATGAACTGGTGGAAGAACCTCTTGATGCTCAAAATGCCTAGACTTGCTAATAAAACGACATCTGATTGAGTTTTATAAATCAAAACTTTATTATTTTTGATTTGAATTTGTGTATTTACAGGGGTGAATATATTTTACAGCAGATATCTTCTTTGTCATTTTACAGCAGTGTTGCATTTTTGTCGATTTTGCATCCGGGATTGAATTTCCTCTTTGAAAAGTCGTGGAGAAATCGGCCAGAGCGGTTGTTTTTTTTTGTACCGGGAGTTTTCCGCTCGAGTTTAATCAGCTGGATTTTTTTCTTTCGAGAAATATTTATAATATTGAATTGATGGCAAAAAATGCCTTGTGAAACAAACTACCAAGCTGATCAAATCGAGCGGAGCTAGAATATTTAAAATTTCAAAGTATTAAGATTTTTAAAAATTAGTTGCTGAGGACAAAGTAGCTGTGTGGGTTTCCAACTTCGGACTCGACAACTCGGCCACCAAGGTCTTCGCACTTGTCCAATTGCATTTTCCTAAGGAACATTACGAACTGAAATTGAGGCAAAAACGTTACTGGTAGAAAAGATCTCCGGAGTCTTTGTTTTCGATTTCGCAGCAGTCCTGGTGGGAGGAATCGTAGGGGTTTCGGTTGGGGTAGATTCCACAGCATTTGTCCTTGTTGTGGTCTGGGAAGGCCTATTTGTACTGTTAGAATACTGTTACACGAAGAAAATTTTTACCTTTTCACACATGTTTCGAGAGTCGAAAGTACCAGCCTGCCCATTATCCAATCTGGTACCAGTGACAGTTCTCAAGCTTTCATCCATGCAGTAGTCTCCCTTTTTGTGACCTGCAATTCCCATGGAGCATTCCGATTCTCCGAGAGCAATCTTTTCAGCAAATCGCTTATCGCATTCGCAGATGTTTTCGGCAGCAGACTGTGCGTTGACGGAGCAATCGATGACTCGGTTGCCCTGATCGTCGACGGTCAAATCAGCCTGGTAGTCGACCTGTGTGTAGTTTTGTGAGTAGTCGATATTGACGCATTTGTAGCATCGGTAGAGCTCTTTGCATTGGAAGTCGGTGTGATCCTTAACTTTGCCGCCGCCGATGACACCATTGTCGACTCCATCGATCCAGCAGTAGCAGCCGTAGTTGGTGTATTTGTCCTCAAGTCGACTCAACTCAGCATCGAAGTCAGGCTGAGAGTCTGGACTCTGGCTGTCACTTCCCCATCCAGCAGCGTAGGCCATCATAGTTGCGAGTGTTCGGAAAGTATCGTCAGTTCCACCCATGGTTCGAGCATTCGAAGAGATAGCGTTATCATCGACGAAAGAGCCGGTCAGAGTTCGCTTGATTTTCTTGGTGAGACTGCTGTTTGCGACTGTAACAGCGGCGAGTGTGGCAAAAGTTTCTAAAATGAAAATTTGAATTAATTTATAAAGATTTTATTCTTCATCCGACTTGAGAGTTTTAAATATGAATTATATTTAAAACAGCTGACTATCTCCGTTCAATTTCAATTCATTTATATGAAGATATATAAATGACTTCGTCAAGTTTCAATAAATCTCTTTGTTGTCTTCTGCGAAACTTACCATATTGAAAAATGTACTTTTCTGTCTTTTTGGTTGAGTGAATCTAAAAGCTATGTTTTGCTTTGTGAGATGATTTCTGAAACCGACGACGTTCCTTATATAGCGGGGACGCGCGCCGACAAGGCTGCGCTAGAATGCGCCGCGCGACGTTGCGCGCAAAATCGAGGCGCTAGCGAGTTGTAACGCCTTTTCGTGAAATTTTATTCCCACGACGGAGAGTTTAATGAAGAAGTGTCGATTCTTCATTTACATGTATAATTGTTAGTGTTGCTGAGCACGTGATTCCGGCTATTTATAAGTTTTGATTTCTAAATAGGGTACTCAAGCAACAATCGAAATTATGTTGAAAAGCAATGGCCACTCATCAACAGTTGTCTTTTGGTTATGTTTTTCACGGAATAAAATTTATCAAAATAATTAATATTTTCTTTTGAAAAATTCTTCGTAAGCATACTTCTTTGATAGACTTTGAAATGAAGTAAATTCTAAAACTTTAGAAGCTTGTTTATTCAGTAGAATCTATAAAATCGAATCAGAAGTCTGATATAATACCGAGCATATGTATACAGTCTTAGGTCGGAATCGCTCAGTACGTTCGTTATCACAGTTCTGGCTAAGTCTTCCAAGTTTATGGCCAAGTCCACATCATAATCTCATTACGCCATGGCTTCTAATTTTATTCTGTGGCCATTTCGCGGCAACTTTAGCACCCAATCGGTGACAAATCCGTTAAAAAGATTACTAACGATTCATGGAACTTATTTTCTAAAACAATTTTCTCGGAAGAGCTCAGTTCTAGTCGAAAAATACAGTAGCTTTCTTGTGTTTTTCATTAGGGTTGTCTATCGGGAAGGGAAAAACCAAAACTGGTCAAAGCTGGAAAAAGACAATAGAATATAGCGAATACAGTAACATTCTTGTGTTTTGCTAGGGTGGCTTTATCGCTAAGGTGAAAAACCTGAAAATGGCGAAAGCTGGCTCAACAATAGAAGGTGCGTTAATGTCGCTGTTGCTGGCTGACATGACGCAACTGGGCTATGTAATCTAAAGGGCTGGGAGGAGATGATTTTTTGCTCTGTCTCCGAAATGTCATCAAGCAAAAACATCGAAGACGACATTCAAGTAGCGTGTCCTTCTCTTGAACTCATATGCATGAGCGTTTGATTGACACAGTCTAAGCCCGCAATCTAGACCCGTCAGCTTTGTCAAGGTCATAATTTTAGAATTATCCTACTCTTTCTAAACATAAGCCACTGAGGACATCATTCTCTCATGTAAGTTCAAGGTGGTTCAGTGAAACTGAGCTAACTTCCTGATAGACGGAAAATGACAACCCAGGCTTCTATCTTGTGGTCTGATTTGGCGGTCTTATCTTTGGTTCGGACTTGTTGAGCTTTCCAGAAGAAATTTCAAAGAAATTTTGCTTTGTAAATAACACTATGGTCTTTGATAAATTATCCTAATTTATTGAGCCAACAGAAATCAATTGTCGAAGCGGTTGCAGAGAGAGAGAAAAGAAGCTTTATAATTCGTCTCTGGATCGTTTTTGGCAGTCGCAGGGTTTTTCACTGAAGTACTTTTTCCACTGATTGTTGAGATCTGGGTCAGATTCTTGCGTCAGATGTTCATGGTTCTCTGTCACCTTTACAGGCCTCGACTGCTTCTTACTAAAAATGGCTTTTAAAAAATTTCTTCCGAGAAAGATTTACCTGTAAAGCTCAATAGTCTTTGCGTAGTAGCAGTACATAAACTCTGGATTCATCCATTGGGCAGCAAGAGCATTGGCGTTCAAAGCAATTCGGCGAGCTTTATCGTCATTGTTCCTCGCCCATTCGATTTTCTCTCGAAGGTCGGATAGATCTTCTTCAATTGGAATAAAGTGCTAGCAATAATGAATCAAGAGAAATTGGCTTCAAGCGCTTACCTCCCACGGCTTCATATATCTATACCACCACTCGTAATACATCGACTTTTGCTTGAGAATCACCGAGTCCATTTGCATCAACAACGCTGTACGATAGGGCGCAACAGTGCCATCCACAAGGACTTGATACTTAAACTTCCCCATGTCAGGATAGGACACGTGTTTCACTTGCTCGCCATATTTTTTCGGGTCTTGACCTTTTTATTGTGCAGATTCCACGTCAGTCTGGCGTCGATGTCCTCAGGATGTTTCATCGAAAGTTCACAAAGTGTTAGGCGGGAAGGATTCGAATCTCGTCCGCGGAAGTAGCCCCGTTCTATCTTATCCTCCCAAGGAACAACTTCCCCTACGAATGAAGTGAAGATTAAAATTTTTGACGCGATTCAGAATTCTGAATTTTCACCTGATATTTGTTCAACGTATTGTATGTCTTTCCTCTCTCGAAACAGCGCATGTCTCGTATTCTTCGTCTGATCCCATGTCGGAAGTGCAATGTCTGTCGTGTTATCGGAACCGCACCAGGTCAAAATCGGCTGCGGATCCGTCATGTTCTCTTCCAGCGGCCAGTCGCCGAGGTTAAAGATGAATTCGGCATCTGGCAATTTGGCTTTTCTCAGTAGACTCAAAAACATCGAAGTCATGAAGCCCCTTTTTAACTGTTGAACGGACGTTTTCAATAATTTAACGCGCGAGCGCACGGCGCCCCCTTTTCGGGGCAGAGCCCGTTTATCCTCGATTTTTTCAAGTTTTCATGATCGAAAATTTTCGTTACCCCACCTTGCTGGGGCTAAATTTTGTCGACAGTGTGTCTATTATGTCTTGTAGAAGACTTTTTTTGACCTAAGAATTTACTGGTTTTGCGCTAGAATGTTTAAATGGGGTTTGCCCCGAAAAAGGGGCGCCGTGCGCTCACCGGGAAAAAAATTTTGTGCGCTCCCGCGTTAAGCAGAAGTGATAGAGTCAACGTGATGAAATGCTGTTGTTATTAACAAAAAATTTAGGTCAAATTCACCTGTCATTACTCTATTTGAGAAAAACCAAGGACTGTCAATTATTTTTAGTTAATTGTTTTGAAATACCCCTTCTCTGAACGTGGTGTTTAAGGAGGTAGATATCAAGAATCGCCATTTTCCGTCAGACTTTTCTCCCAAATTTAAAATAGTAACACCCTTATTTTACTTTGAAAACAAAAACTTTAGGCCTTTCTCTATTTCCTATGGAAGCCGAAATTTCGAATTTCAAAAAAAAAATTTGACAAATTTTTCGTCAAAGATCGCTAACTTTCGGAAAATGGTCATTTTGGCGACAATCGGCGGTGCCCGATTTGCATTGTAGCACCTCGAAAGCTCAAGAAATCTTAATTTTTGGCTTCCATAGGAAACAGATAATTGCCTGAAATAAATTTTGAGCCGAAAAAATTAGGGGGTCACTATGTTAAAAATTTGAGAAATCACTGACAGCAAATCCGATTCTTGATATATACCCCCTTAAGGGGTTGGAATTAGGTTTTTGCTAAAATAGCCTATTCTAGACCGGCGCTCAAAGCCAGCCAACCTTAGATTTTCTAATCCTCTCTTCGGCTATAGATAGAGCTATCTTAGATCTAGCAACATCTGTCTCAAATTTTTTTTTCCTCATCAACTTCTAACGGTAGACGGCGAAACTCAAACCCATCTCATCGAAAATCCCGATTTTAGCCAATTTTACACCTCGAATATCTCGAGTTATGTGATTTGCAGAAAATTTCTTAGTTCAATGAACTAAGTTCATTTTTAAAAAGTTCGAACCTTTTTCTAGCAACTTTTACGAAGAAATTGCGTTATCAAAAACAAAACTAAGTTTTTCTTGTTTGTAGCGCAAGTCAAAAATCTAGCTAGTTCTACCCCCTTATGGAAATGATAAAGATTGTAAAATATCCAAATATTTTCTCATTTTTAAAGACGGATTGGGAGACATAGTCCCGTTATCCTTATGCGCAATTTGGTAGTACTTTAAGTAGTTCCCCTGTGGCTTAGTTATTTTAAGTTAACTCTCCTATGGCTATGTCGATATGTCTCTCGAATTTGCTGGATTTCGTCCCTCAAAGCCGAAAGCCTTCCTTTTTTTAGACAGGTCCATTTATTTTTTAAGCTCATTCAATGACCTAAAACATACAATTGTTTTTCTTTGTCACGCATCATGTTCAGGACTTTGTCAGGCATAATGCAGAGAGTCAAGTCAGAAAATAAGGGCCTAGTCTGACTGAAATTCCACGTTTTATTGATGCATCTTCTTTCAGTTTTCATTCGCTGACCTAGAAAAAAGTTGTTCTGTTCTTTGTCAGACATAAATGAATGACTGTCAGACATAATTTTGCGCCGCAGGTGAAAAGTACCAAAATTAGACCCTGTAGAAACCAAGTGCAATTCCTTTATATACTTCAGCTTGCATTGCTTGAAATGAATAGAAACTGTTTCACTTCGAAAATCGAAATTAAAATAGGTAGAGCAGTTGTCCACGTGTTATATACCCAACTTCCGACACAAGTGCGTACAGACATCGATTATAAAATTCAAGGGGATAATGTTTAGCGTTTCCTATCCGTTTTACAATTCAACCGTTTCCTAAAGCCCATTATAGTTCCGAAATCCTCGACGTAAAGTTCTTGATCTTTGATGACAACATGAGCAGTTGCTTCACCGTGTCCTCCTGCTGCCCATTTCTTCTTTTTTCCATCTTTGTAAAGTCGGTCTAGATCAATTTCGCCAAACTGGGCTAAATCTTCGTCCAGCTGGTCGAAGTTCGAAGGACAGTCGAATTCTTTGTAGAACTGCTCCAAGGTTGATGGGCAGTAACAGGACTCGTCGTAGATTGGCTCGGGAAGAATTTCTGAAAAGAATAATTTTATTCGAAGTCACGTTTTATGAACGCACTTCTCAAAACCTGCTGTTTCTTGTACCGCACATTTATTATAATGCCATTTGGAGCGGATCCGCGCATCCGATATCTGAAGAAGATCGACCCGTCAAACTTGAAGCCAATCTCCTTATCGACTTTCACGTTGCCGTTTTTTGCCAGCACCTCCCACTTGATGTCCTCTTTCTTCAAGTTTCGAGCATCAATAATAGAACCTGATGAATCTGAATTCATGTTTTTCATTTGCGAAAAGAAGAGCGCAAAGTAGTACCTACAGGTCTAGCGTAGAAATATCTGGTAGGAGTAGCCGCTGTTCTACTTAGGCCGGGGCCGTAGAATTGCCATTCTGTCGATTTACCAAAAACAAAAGCAAAACCGAAGAGGAACAGTGTGACCATCCCTACACTGGCGAGAATTGTTGTGCTTGACGTTCCTTAATTTAGTTTTTTTCAATCAGTAAATTCAATTAATATGATATTTTCCTAAGAGAATTCTGTTGGAAAAAAACTGCCATTTTATTTATTTGATACCTTTATTTGTCGATCTCTTTTGTGATGGAGGCGGCTTTCTCTTCTTTTGACTCTCTTTTGCCATGTTTTATAATTCTGCCCCCGTGATGAATCGGAAAATAAAAACGCGCCTTCCCGCCTGTTACCGCCGGCGCCGCTAAAAATTTCAAGAAAACCGGTGAATTTTTAAAAGTTTTTGTTTTGTTGTTTGAGGAATATCTCTGATCGGCCGCCGATCGCAATCAAAACAAGGCGGAGAAAGTGGAGCTCCAAAAGTGTTATAATCAGCGATTTTGAAAAAGAGAGAGTAAACAAAAACAAACTAACGGTCATCATTTTTTATTAAATTATGGGTAAAATTAGAGTTAGGTTGAATTTCACACTTACCTTTGAAAGAGAATCGGTATTGAGAAAATTGAAGATTGCTATTACTTAAATTACTATTCTTTAATCTCTAATTATTGTCATTTTATGAGTGGTTAACGATTATAAAGCGAGTTTATTCTTCTTCAACTGGTTGAAAATCCATCACTCTCATAATTTACCTTGCCCGAAGCAACAATTTGCCAGAGCGCTGTGAAATCATAGAAAAATAGATGAACCGTCTGGTTGCTCAAAGTTAAAAATCAATACCAGTATAACTCGAAGTCAAGTTTAGACCATGGCTTTTGGTTGAATTAATAAGTTGATTTTGCGGCGGTTTGAGGGAACAGATCTGGAGCGGAAGCGCAAGTTTATACTCAAAATGAGCAAGGTTTTCTTAATCATTCCTTCGCCAAATGCTCCACTCGGCATTTTAAATCCTTCTTGGACGAAGAAATCACAGATACAGTAAAAGTACGGCCTTGTTAGTAACAAAATATGCAAATTGAAAAGCGGGATTTCAAATATTTGAAATTTTTAGAAAGAGGGTCTGTGTAGCTACAGAGTTTTTTGCAAGGAGCTGTCGGGGAAGACAAAGATCTGATGTAAACTACTAAAGTAGTAGAATAGTAAGTCTCCTTTTGGATGAATAGAAAATGGCCTTGAATAACCTCCAAAGAGATCAGAAAGTTTTTTCGGCGGTAGCACAAAAAGAACAGAACATTCTAACTCACAGTGTCCTCGGATTTTCTTGACTTTTAAGCCCTTTAGCAGATTCCGACGAAGTGCGGCGGCGTTGAAACGTTGTCGAATTTTATATCGGATAAGATTTCTTTTCACCTGCGTGGATCCGTGAGTGTTATAGGAGTCAGCAGTTGTTTAGAAGATAAATTCAAGATTTCGACTTCAGAAAATCAATTTTCAAGAGTAGCGCGTTGTTGAAAACCGTTCAAACTTCAAACAGAAAATGGGTTTTTGAACACGTTTATAGATAAAAAATATTTATAAAAACTCAGCACAGATACTGGCAGTTTGAAACTAAGATTCAAGTTTTAGCCGTTTTTTAGCAATTTGACTCGATTTTCGGTCAAAAAAACGAGAAAGACTTTCCAAAAAAAACTATGATCGGAAGATAGCTTGATAGATAGTATGAACACATCTTACTCCATGGACGGTTCCGTTCGTAACGTTTTTACCAGTTAGAAAGATACGGTAATAACGGACGCTTATCATGTTTTATTTTTTCCGCGGCAGTGACGCTTTGAATAACTATAATTTGCAAACTTGTTCTTCGATAGTTCCGTTTTTATTCAATATCCACGAGAGCATTTCGCACAGTGACTTTTTGAAATATTACCAAGTTGCCCAAAAAACTGGCATCATCCAAGAAAGGGTTAATATTTTCCTAAAAGCTTCATCTTCTCACTTCTTGTTTTTCCAAAGCTGTATTTCTCCTGTACCTCTTTCTCCACGAAGTAATCCAGCAAAAATAGACCGTAGAACATCTTAATCAAGAACAATATAAAAATTCCCTATGCAAAGAAAACTACCTCTACTAACATTTCCAACGCAAGTAATCCGAGAAAGGTCTGCCGAACGACTTAGCCTAACATCCAAAAAAATGTGTGTTAGGATCAAAAATTTCATTGTTCAATGAAAACGTGTGTTAGACTAAACCGTAACATTACTAAGTATGGCTTCAAACTCCCAAGGAATGCGCTGGAAACGTCCCTGTTTAAGGGGCTATCCTCTTATCTTTCAATTTTCCCCTGAGTCAGCTTGATCAATGATCATCTGATACGACAATCGTAAGTGCTTAATTCTCGTCTAATCAACTTTTTGAAAATAATTACGAGAAGAAACGTGAGTATGTCTTAATTGAAGCCATTTCCTAGAGCGAGTAAAAACCAAAAATCGTTTTTAGGAGGTAAGCTCACCGCTGGTTAGCCATAATGACGTTGTGTAATTCAAACATTGCAGTTTTTTGAAGGTAGTTAAAAATGAGTCGGAGCTTACCTCACCTGTTTCCGGGTTGAGCTGTTTAGACAGACAGACATTTTTAGACAAAGATCTTTTCCGACATGATGGCAAAAAAAGAAGAACATAATCAACCCCCTCCTATTTCCAAATACGTCGTTGAAATCATAGCCTCTCTTTCTTTTCCTCTTCTTCTTTGGGTCTTTGACGATGCTGAACCTATGTATTCTATGTTATTAAAATATGCAATGGCCTTCAAAAAAGTGCGTATAAGAAGATATGCTGCGTTTCTATCGTCACTTCGAATATCAATCAGAATAGCTGATTAGACTGTGGATCAGATTTAGCCACGGACGGCTTAACTCCTTTACCAGGAAAATAATTGCACAAGAACGAAAAATCACTGGCCGTCAACAATAAGCCGTTCTTTTGAAAATAAGGGGTCTGGAAATGAACGAACTTTGCGTGGCCGGTGTTGAATTATAAGTGAAAACTTACACCTTTAAATGTGACGTCTGCATTTTAAACCATTTTTGTTGCGTTTTAAAAGCATGAAAAGTGCTTTTCTGAAGACACACCAAAAAACTACATGATATCATTGAGTTACTGCAAATGACTCGCCTGAATTACTGATTTTATCAAACAGCTGATGATCAGATGCAAAGTCAGCTGTTTAAGTTCTCAGTATCCTCTAAATAAGACCGAGAGGAGAAAATCAAGTCGACAAAATGATGCTGCAGAACATCTACGAAAACAATTTATACATGAGCTGACAAACAATAAAGCTTCATAAATTGCCCTTTCCCAGAAAATGAAGAGTTGAAAGAGTTGAGAACTGTACGAACCCGAATAAAATGCGGTAATACTGACATTGAAGTTACTAAAACCAATAAGCTGATGGCAATAGGATTAAAAGCAACCAGGATTTAGAGAGCTCCATTTTTCGTCAATGCTAATGAACGCTTTCAAGGTGAAAGATAATCCTAAAAAGTCAAACATTAAAAGTCAGAGTCTACGTGTATTAGAAGATTCCAATCTCTTCCTAACCCCATTAAACTATCTAAAGATTTCAGCGCGATCGTGAGGAGCGTTTGAAGTGAGTACTTTTCTGATAATATTTTTGGATCCAATTCTCGCCGAGAAAGAGCCACAAAATTGATTTTATAACAAGTGCTTTCCATTCATTTTTGTTATTTTTTAGAAACCCTAGAAAGGGATTATAATCTCGAACAGTATTTATGTAGAATATTGGCCGAGGACCCTTACTTTTTAAGGTTTTCGCGGTCGATTATATAGAGCCGCAGCAAAAGCTAATATGCCGCAAAACAAGTGCCAGTAAAACTGTTTTCAGTTCAATGAAGATGGAATTTTATTTAGACTCCACGGAGGAAAGGAATTTCAAACCTCCGAGACAGCTCGTTGATTTCAACTCGCCGAGCTCATTAAAATTTCCGGGCTGATTAAAAATCGACTTCTAAGTTTTTTTTTAAACGAGCGCTTCCTGAATCAAATCAATGGTAAGCTAATTTTTTGATCGATCCAAAAATCAAGCCCGGATCATTGAAAAATCACTCTGCACATGATTAAAAAGGCGATCCAATTAAGGCTGATCCTTGTAAGTCGAGTTTTGTTTGGGAAATGAAAGTGACGGAAATTGGAAATCTCGATCGTTCAATTGCACGGCCAAGAGGCTACCACATCATCCGAGGACTTGGAGCCGCGCTAGAATTCAAAAAATTGACAAGCGAGGAATCAACCGCCGTTAATTGCAGTATCCAGAGAGTAGTCATGACTCAAGATCGCCTTCTCCTGAAAATGGATATCTAAAAACAGCTCACCTTCTCTATCCTAGGAGACTTTTGGTCAACTATCTCAGCGAGGGGATGAAATGTAATTACCTACTTATCAACGGGCATAGAAGTTTTAGTTGAAATCGGAACAGGATCATCCAGGATCTTTCTCATCTCCCACCTCTAATGGCCGGTTCCACATGTCCTGAATAATTGGATTGAGCTAGCTGCGGTAAATTACGACACACGATCCTCCGATCGTTGTTTTTACAGCGAAGAGTGGAATTCTGCTGGAACCACGTCCGAGCGCCAGCTGACTGCGCTCAACGTTGTTTGATGAAGCTAATCATCGTCGAAGAAAAATAACGTTAAGATTTCGAAAAGGCGAGCATTAGAAACAACTCAAGGAGTCATTTTGAGGGTTTTAAAGTTTCTTCTTTTAAATATTCGTGGTCACGTTTTTAGGGAAAAAAGATGGTTGTTAGAAATATTCGTTTCACTGTAACCATTGGTTGTTGGCTTCTGTGACATGACTTTTAATTGGAAGTAAACTTAGCGGACGCCTTTAACATCATTTGTTTCTCTGGTTTCTTCTATTAGTTTCATTTACGGAGGATTATCAAAACCCGTGTGGGTTACACTTGGAAGGTCTAAAGATTTCCTAATCTCTGGGTTATGCAACGTTTCGTCCTGCAAAACCTTGCCTAAGCTGTGGTAAAAAACACTGGTGCCGCTTCCAGAACGCCGTAAAATCTGCGGCGCGGCAAGAAATTTGTCACTTACCGATTTGGCAATTAGAAACACGAGTATGACATTTCTACTCGCGGAAAACAACTGAAACGTACTTTGTTAGAATTGAAAGCTTTCAGAGGAACTCGATTATCAAATAAGACGAGGCTTATTGCTGGCAACACTCGTATAATTTGCGTTTGCGTCCAAGCAAGTTGTTTGTTTTTAACCCCTTTTCTATCCGTGGGGAAAGGCCAAGGGTCGTGGTTTTTGGAACTTCTTATACAGTCGTTTTTCTTAGACAACTCTCAGTCCAAATTCTACATATTCATTGCATTTGCCGACGTCGTCAATATTACAGGCATTTTGTGCCAAAAAGTCCGTTATCTTGATGTCACTTATCCTGGACTCCGACTGTAAGGAATTCGTGACTTATAAGAAAAAAAATGAAAACTGGACCAACGGAAACGATTGAAATCTCCATTTATGACATATAATAATCATTGTCTCCAAGATTATGTCGTTTTGAGGCAACTTTTTCATTCCGATGCTATTCAGGACGCGAACTTCCATAATTTGTCTAACAAAAAGACGTCCAAGCAACGAAATTCATGAGGAATTGATCGCATCGATGCATCATCAAATTTCAAATTCCTGCAGCTTTCTGCCCTCGTCGGTTACGGTTCACAAATTTGGAAACGTGGCTTTCAACGTGCCGAACATATTTGCCACCTGACGTTGTCTGCCCTTCATTTCCCAATTAATCAAACCACAAAACGTGACGACTATATTTTTAGAAAATGCTCGAAATATAGGATTAGCTATAAGTTCTTATAAAGCGGAAATTATATTTTGGGATCTACGTGCCATTTAGCGTATCTATTCGATCCTCGGCGGGAAAATTTTACGTTGAGCTGCGGCGGTTTATTTACCAAAGTCTTCGCGTCAAGTGGCCCCCACGTCGAGATGGTTTCATGTTTTTGCATCGAAGTGCTAGGCATCGATCTAAGATCCTTGGCTTGAAAGTAATTTTTCGAGCAAAATTCGAACAACAGTAATCGTTAATGGACGTTCCATTTTCCGAGAAACGGTAAAAATGCATTTTCAAGCGGGAAAGGTGGAACATTTATTCGGCTAATTGAAAGTCCTACGTCCGGTTCGATCTTAGCCTAATTGGATCAACGTGCCTTCAAGTTTCCATTTCATGAAAGTGACGACTATATTTCTAGCAGATTATAATAAGCCTGGAAAAATAACCTTCAAGGCTTTTTCGCAGCTCGAAGCACATTCATGATAAATTGAAAATGACGATTTTCGACGAAAAAACAATAAGGTGCCAGATTACTAACATTAGTTTATTTCAGAGACAGAAAAGAAAACGGTTATAGTTGGTGGTTATAAAGGCAGTTGTAAAGAAGATAACAAATCTATCCCCAAAGCACGACTGGCAAATAATTATTGACGTTGAATCCATGGATGGGATATTGATCATTTTCCCGTTTCTTAACCCCGCGGACCAAAGTGATGACATCATATGTATTGTCTGCTGCATAGTTAGGATCTAGGAATTTTTCCGGCCAATTCATGACAATATCAGCCAGAACTGTTGTCATCATAGTCGATATCATCAGAGTGCTCAGTTTGTCGAATCCTCCAGGTCTTGTTGAAATGAAGTGACAAAAGAAATCGCAAGGGTTGTCTTCTTCAAGATTTGCGAGAGTCATTTGGATATTAACTGATCTTTTGTTCAGGAAAGCAGAACAGCGCTTGTAAAAATCATTCTGCAGGTTCCGATCTAAAATTTATTTTCAAGTATGACTTCACGTGATGAACTTACTTTTGAAAAGAATACCCAAGGCATTAAGAGTATGATATTTGTTGAGATGAGTATTAGTCTTTGCCCTTTTCAGTTTTCTTAAAAATTCATCGTCGGACTCAAGACTTCCCACAGGATCGTTGTCACTGACAGACGATTCAGCCTTCTTCCTCTTGATTGCTCTTTTCTTGGGTAATTTTATGTTGACTTGTTTGAGAACATTATTGAGCTGAAAATTTGCGATCTTGATCGAATCGATTCGGAACAATTCGTTTTCATTAAAAATAATGTCAAAACAGGTGATCTTTGATTCGTCGTGGCCAAGTGTCGCAACAAGTTTCTTGAAACAGATTGACAATAAATTTTCAATCGTCAGATTCGATGGCTCATCAATATTCGATATTTTCAACCACACATCTTTACCGTCGTCGTCATAGTACACGGTCATCTCGCTCTCGGTACTCGCTCGATATAATTTTACTCTCGCAGCATCATAAAATACGTCTGAGTGCGATTGCTCTAATTAAAAGTCAGCAACAGTATCAATACTCAAAGCTTACTTCTAAATAAAAGTCCCATTGACGACAATGATTCTTGGTCATTATCAGACTCTTTTCGACGTAAAGTAGAGCCAGATTTTTGGGGAGATTTCATTTTGTTGTATCAGGAATATCTCTTGCAAAAAAAAGAGCAAACAAACAAGAAATACAATTCATCCAGTTATCTAGAATGATTGCACAATAAAAGAAACCGTCAAATGCGGTTTCAATATGACTTTTATTTCAGAGTTCGGGATTTATTATACAACAATTTGTTGCGAAACGCGAAATCTTCAACTTTTGTCAACTTTTAGTCAAATCTTCAACTTTTAGTCAACTTTTGTTCACGTCCATAAATCTTCCACTTATCGTATCTAATGAACTAAGCAAGAAAGAACATAGATGAATGTGCGGCAAGGCGAGGCCTGAAAAATCACCATAAAATCGCTCAATCGACTTCCTTCAACAAAGTGCTTTTCAGTAAAAATGACGTCGAACTGATTTCGAGTGTAGTGTGACCGAATTTCGCAGCCACAAATGACATGATTATACTTTTTAGAACTTTCCGTTGAACCAATATACTCGGGAACACTAATTTTCGAGGGTTTTCTCGATCTCCGCAAAGATTTAACGTTGTGGTTTTCAGTTACTTGAATAATTCTAGCCTGCTTTTTTTTTGATGTAACTATTGATTTACCGTATATACCGTATATGACCCGACAATTGTCCCATTTCCCCCGATAGTGAAGTGTTTTGCGAAGCATATACCGTATAGGGTACGGATATACGGTACTTAATTACGAACGCGTACACTCAACTGTACAAACAAACTGTCATTCTGAGCTATGTTCAGCAGGGGTGTTAAACAAGCTCTTCTGTCAATCACTACTGTTCCGGCTGCATAGGCCGTTGCGGTTATTTTTTAGAAAATTTGATATTCAAAGTTGGATGGATTATTGTCGAAAAATGAACTACTGTAGTGGGAATTTAAATTTTTAAAAACCACATTTCAACTTTGCGGTTTCAACTTTCTAAAAAGAATTTGAAGCATTATGAGAAAAACAATCGATCTTCAACATTATTGTCGAGTAAGTACCTTGGTATTGTAAGTGTTTCCTTCACTCACGCTGCAGCTTCTCACGATCTAAAAATCTAACGAGTACTCCTTCAGACGAGAACCGTACTCGTTCTTGCCCCTTGAGCGAAGTCCAACTCATCACTTGATTCTTGATCACCGAATTGACACCTCGGCGAGGCGCAGAGCACTTGAAAATCTTCCTCGAATCGACACCGCCCGGTCGCGATTTAAAAACAACTTAGACGATGCTTGATGCACTCGGAGACGAGTAAATCGATGTGAAAGCCTGCCATTTTGATAAGAATCATGGGATGTTTACCTTTCTTGATCGCGGCTGAGTTGTCAACTTCTCAAGATCGACTGGCTTCAAATCTGTATCTACGCAAATATAACGGCCAGCTCCGATCTGCAAATTATCAGTTCCTTGGAAAATACGAATCAAACATAAATTAACAATTTTCTTGAACAACCAAAAGAAGCAAAAATTACCAGTAGTGGTCTCATTTTTTAAGGGATCCCCCCATTTCCCGAACTTTGACCCGTATCTACTTTTTTCTGGTCTAACTTATGACTCAATATGCATATGCGAATGTTTAGATAGAAAGCTGATTCTACCAGAATATGTTCATTCAGAAACGAGCTTTTAAATGCGCTATTAATCATACTCATAACTTATGAGTTAAAAGCTATTAATCATATTCATAACTTATGAATAGCGCATTTAAAAGCTCGTTTCTGAATGAACATATTCTGGTCGAATCAGCTTTCTATCTTAGCATTTGCATCTGCATTAGAGGCCGTCAAAGTGATTAAAGTTGGCGAAAATGGCTATTTTTGACCATTTTCAAATCGTATCTACTTTTTTGGGGGCTTTTTAATCAACAATTTTTTGCTTCTATAGATAGCTCAAAGCCTAAACTTAATATTCTGGTAGAACCAGCATAAATTATGCTGCATAATTGGATGAGTGAAAAAAATTTTTTTAGTTGTAGAACTTTTTGGAGTCATTTTTGGCATTTTTTTGGTGGTTCAATGCTCTCTAGCGCCAACAAATGGCCGAAGATTCTAGTGCGGATATCATATTCATAATCAGGACATTCTAAGCTTTCGATCAACCCCTTATTTGTCCACTTTTGATAACGATGAAAAATTGAAAAAAATTGCGATTTTCACGCTAAGTACAAATTACATGCTATTTTCCAAATTTTGGAGGCCAAAATTTTTGGGATGCACTTATGTAGAGGGGTACTATAAATTATAGTCTATAATATATCAAAATGATCCTCAGAACACGAGGAATCTAATGATAGGCGAAAATGAGCTGTGCCAAAGTTTTGAAAAATCGGGGGTGATCCCTTTAATTAATAATTCATTTATGGTCATTTCTAAAGCTTTATTTATTCAATATCGATACTGTCGTATCTTCAGGCAGTTATGAATATGAGTGTTGGAAAGCCGCGCCAGCATCATCAAAGTATCAAGGTCATATCAAGCTCGCATTAAAAAATCGTTACCAACGCGTCGGAGACCTCCACGCGATGCTAGGTGAAATGAGTTTGGCCTTCATCACATTCGTGGTCGACAAAAGCGCGATCTTTTGCAATAAAAGATCAAAAACGAAGGTTCTTGAAAATAGAAATGTAGGTAGAAATAACAACGGTAAACGCCGGGGCAAAGAAGGAAGTTGCGAAAAACGATGGTGAGTACTATGAAAATATTGCGCGTAGAAAAAGTTTTTATAGGGTTCTTTTAACTTATAAAATTGCTCTTTCGTAACTTTAATATGAACCTTTTTCTGAGTTTAGAAGATTCTGAGAAGAGCTAGTCTTCAAAAAAGAAAACAAGCTGAGAAAGGAAGAATATTTCGCAACACGTTTTACCCCGGTAAAAAGGCATAATAGTGGCTCGTCAAAAATTTGGTTAATGTTGCACAGGCCGACGACTCGTTAGAAGGAATGGCGTTCGCTGTGGGAATGCGGTAAACGTTTGTCTCAGCGTAATAAAGTTACTGTCACGGACAATCGTCATGATCTGATTCCTCAAATGCTCGTGTACAGATGGACAAATTTCATCTTGAGATCATGAAATTTACAAAAAAGTTCATGGTCAATATCTTGTGAGAACGAACATCTGTCATCCCGTAGCGGATAAAGACCGTTACGTACCGTAAAATCGTGGATCTTAGTTTGAATCAGCCCATCTGAGTGTACGTTCGAAATGACACGTTCGATTAGAATCTTGAAAAAGTGTTGGTCAAAGATGAACGTTTATTATTTCCAACTTCACGGCTTAGAAAGAACATCTCGGTTTCGTTCAAATAATCCAGCGTCCATATCAAAATGTTACCACCAACAATTCCGACCAAAACCAACGTCATTGCCAATATAAAAGTCAAAGCGTCTGCATAAGAAAGAAGACGAAATAGAAATATGAAAATTCTAAGTGTTTTGTTGATTTCTACAAGTGCACAGGACTACGATTCATTGGCTGGCGCCCTTGGTGCAATATCTCTTGAAGATTTTGCGTTGCCAGATGAATTCGTTGGTGGAACCGACCTTGAGGAAGCAATTAATGAAGCTCTTGATGCCCTCGTTGTTGAAGCTGCTGAAAATGAGGTCGACGCAGAGATAAGGTATTTCGGAATAGCTTCCGCGACGACGACCGCCACAACGCGAGGAACAACAACAACAACTCAATCTCCGGGAAGCGGTTGCTTTAAATGCGATGCTATGTCGATGACTTTATGTGCCGTTTCTGGAGTGTTCGAAACGTGCGAAGGAGAAAGTAGTAGCTGCTTCATCGAAGTCCGAGAGGTTAATCCACAGCTGACCCAGCTCTGCACTGGCTGCAAGAATACACAGGCATGTTATAATTTACAACAAAGTAATTTTATAGGAACGTACCAACATCACCAATGCAAACCTCACTATGCTCAGCAGCAGGTTGGACGACGTCGGACAAACGAGCAGTCAGTTTGCCGACAGTGCTTTGATCAGTGCACCCTTACTGATGGAAAATGCTTTAGTGCGCACGACACTAATTTCGAGCAACCGAATGTGAACAACTTGACTCCTTCCGGTGGAACTCCTGGTAATTCAATTATCGGGATAAACTCTCAACGACGGTTATATTTAGGTAACAAATGGATTCAGTACGATTTCGCCGCTCAGAAAACAAATCTTATAGCTCGCAGTCACTTTGATAATCCCATTTCTGCGTATACTGGTTCAGAAGCAAACCCGATCGGACTCGGAATCCCAACTGGAGCGATGCATGATGAAACAAGTTCTATTAAGGGTAATGGTATACATCGGCGCGGCGCCGCTCGCTCGATCCGCGCTCCGCAAGAACCTATTTCTCACGAGGCCGTAAAATCTGAACGGATCGAGATTTTTCGAGATTTAAACAGATTCGGAATCCTCAAAGTCTCTTCTATAAACTGATCGAAAATTAAAACAATTTTCAAAGAGGAACAATGTGAAAAGTGCCAGTTTCCTTCAAATGACATTTTCTCCATAATTTCTCATCCAAATTTTTGAAAATTAGACTGTCTTGTAGAGAATCGTCAGCTCTACGATTCCTGTGTTTCAGATTTTGTTTTAAGCTTTCATTTATTTTACATCGCAATTTGTAAAGAGCGCAGCGGAGCGCGCCGCGAGAAATAGGAAGCGGAGAGGCGCGGGCGAGAATAACTCTCTTTTCAAAAGAGCGCACATAATTTTTGAAAGCCCAAATGAAAAATCTGAAACACAGGAATTGTAGAGCTGACGATTCTCTACAAGACAGTCAAATTTTCAAAAATTTGGATGAGAAATTATGGAGAAAATGTCATTTGAAGGAAACTGGCACTTTTCACATTGTTCCTCTTTGAAAATTGTTTTAATTTTCGATCAGTTTATAAAATAGACTTTGAGGATTCCGAATCTGTTTAAATCTCGAAAAAATCTCGATCCGTTCAGATTTTACGGCCTCGTGAGAAATAGGTTCTTGCGGAGCGCGGATCGAGCGAGCGGCGCCGCGCCGATGTATACCATTACCCTTAACATGAGGATGGATCCGTCTTTCCTTGACATAACTCAATGGAATCTCTACTTTGCGTCTTCGAATGCATCACCTAACGACGGTGTTCAACGCGGAAAAGATCACCCAAAAGCTCTTCCATTCGCGACCATGAATACTGACTATGAAAGCGTCGCGACTTCTCCAACAACTACTGGACGAGATCAAAGACGTAAGTTGCATTCTTTTCCTGCATGAAGTTCATTTCTGCTCTTAGATATGGTATACTGGGGTGTTCTTGGAGCCCCAAAGTCATGGTGGGAGTCTGATTTGAGGCAAATTCAAGCGGAAATACGATCTGGTGGAGCTGCAAAAGTTATGCAGTAAATACATGCGAAGAAGTTGCTTGCTTTTATACTGTTTCTATATGTCAAATAAATTTACTCCGAATGTTTTCCTTTTTCAGATTTTATTGCGGAGAACTTTGGCGAGTGAAAAGCGTTGAAGACAGATTGATGCTTAAAAGTTGAAGATATTTTTCTTTTTGCTTCGGGTTCTGCCGCCATCTGGTTGAGTTCGCGGACGCCTTCAAGCACGAACCTGACTTCCGCTTTTGCCTCGCAGATTTCTTCAGTGAGCGCGCTGACTTTCGCCTCGAGCAGTTCTTCTTTCTTCTTACAGTAGTCTCGTGCTTCAACTTGGGTCAGCTCAAGAAACACTCCGTGGCCTAAATTCACAGCAACTAGCTCACAGTTGTCGATTTCGGCGTCGCAGTAAAAGTTATTTCCCAAATCAGCCTTTGTTCTCATATTTCCTTTACGCCCAGTGGAGATGAATTTTTCCATCGTCTCGAATAACCGCCGATATTCAGATTGCTCTTCAATCACTTTGTCACGGTAGATCTGCAGCTTTCTGATCTTGGGACGGAGATTGAAATTGACATGCTTTTCGAAGGAGGTGATCTTTTCACTGCTCATGATCTAAAAGAAATATTTGAAATCAACAAAGAGAATTCTTAGTTTCTAAATGTATTTGAACCGAGGATAGAGTTCTAAGGGACAGGGCAGTAAACAAAGTTGAGCTGACATCAATTGCAAGTCTATAAATTTGTCTAGAATTTGAAGTCTTTATACTTCTTGGATTTCTGGTCGGAGTTGTCCTTGCCGGTTTGTTTTCTCTTTCGATCACGGGCGGTTTTGTTCAAGTGCTCCGCCATCATGTCACTTAAAAATGCTCAGGTATTTGCCTTTCTCCTAAATTTACCTCATATCTTCTCCGCCAGTGCCTCCACCACCGCCTCCAGAGGTCGCCGAGCGACTCTGGTACTTGGAGGCGAGCGCCGCAGGATCCAAGTCAAGATCTTCGGGGTTGATAGCGACTTCTCTGCCTTTAGCGGCCTTGAGATCGTAGACATGACCGGTACCCATCATGCCCTTGCCGACAGCCGCCTTCTTCTCCTCGAGAACTTGATAAAGCGGAGGAGGGTTGGACATATCGACAGCCTTTTGAGGCTTTCGCAGTTCCATCGGGGTGTCACTTCCGGCAGGAGGAGCCTCTGACGTGATTCCTTCAAGTTTTCATTATGCTGATGATTTTGACCAAAAGGCTTACCGCTGGGAGTCATGAGACCGTCAGCGATCTGAGAAGCAGGATTAGCTTGAGTAGGAACACCAGTTCCATCCTGGTCTCCCTCATCTTCAGATTCTTCCTCAGAGCCTTCGTCTGAGTCGGACTCGTCAGAATCGCTCTCCATCTCACCCCAGAGAGCTTCAGAAGGCTTCTCAGCTTCGTATCGAGTGTCGTCAACATCAACGCCGAAGACATCACCATACAAAGGTCTTCCTCGCTCGTCGACTGGTGGTTTTCCCCAACCGCCAGCGTGGTAGCCGAATGAGCAGCCTGAAGGAATGGGTGCGTTGAGACCGGGGATTTTAAGATTGGGGTAGCTAGGGGGAGGTCCGTATCGCTGCATGGCAATAAGCCATGGTGGGGGAACCTTATGCGCGTTATTGCCTGTTTGCGGTTAATAATTGAGCATAAAATTAACTTTTAGATGTAATTATTATCGACCGTTTCCTAGAGGCATTCCTAAAGCAGTTCGTAAATCATCCGTCAGCTCTCCGGGTTTCAACTCCCTCAAGCGCGTCTCATACTCTTTTCCCTTAATTGCACCGTTTATCATGCCACACTATGCGCTGAGTACCTCGTAGTAGATATCTCCATGGCGGGTCATCTTCGGTTTAGTCTGATACCTGAAGAAGGCATCGTGAAGCTTTTGGTAATCGATGTCGATTTTTCCGAGCTTTGGTCGAACTCGCTGTCGCATTTTTGTCTTCATCGATTGTTCGGCTTCTTTTTGTTGAAGCGCCTCTCTCATTTCCATGATTCCAGTCTTTTTGATAAACTCGGGGAGCTCGAATGGGGGCTTTTCGATACCACGCTTTCCGGAGAGATATTTTCGCTGAATCAAGTTGGGTGAACTTGTTCTAAATCGGATCTAGTTCACCTTGTAAGACCAATGACGTGGGACAGGGACGCTATTACGGCCAGATTTAAGGAGGACAAGAAGCTTCGGATCCATGGCTAAATGAAAAAGTTTAAAATGTTTTGGGATAATATCTTACAAGTAACATCGTGCATTTCAACAAGGTCAGGTCGTTCGACAATCTGCTTCAACTCGGCAACAGTCAGCCTTGATTGTTTCTTGAGCTTCTTCTTTGAGAGTTTTTCCTTATCATCACCCTTTTTGTCATCATCATCCGAGTCTTCCATCATGTTATCGTTCTCGGGGTCGACTGTTTGATAGCCTGAATATAAATTAGCTTCAAAAGAAGTCGTATTGAACCACCTGATTTCTTTTGCACTTCAGGCATCACCATCTCCGCTGCCCTAAACGCCTCGAAGACTCTTTTGAACTGAAGGCTAGATGGATCCAAATCCGGCTCCTCGGCAATGTAGTCAATTTCAAAGCCCTTATCTGTCTTCTTTTTCGCTTTATTCTTGTCATTTCCAGAGTCGTTACCAGTCTCATGACCTGAGTCATTTTCACTGCGCTTTTCCTCTTTTCTTCGCTTTTTCTTTAGCTTTTTACGTTGAGCTTTCGTAAGTCGCTTGCCGTTTTCATCGATTAGAGCTACTTTTGGCTTTTCAGGAGCTGGAGCAGTCAGTTGAACTCCAATTTTGACCTCTGGAGCTTCTTGCGTCCATCTAGATTTCTTTCTTCGTTCTTTCTTCGCCGCGCGCTCTTCTTCGACGATTTGAGCTTTATCACTGTCTACCTCCATCACTTCATCAGGAGTTTCGCCTTCGCCGCCAACAGGAGTCTCTGGCTCCATCGAGTCTTTTCCTTTGTTAGAGGCTTGATGAAGAACTTCTGACTTCATATTAGAAATGGCTTCTGCTACATCTTCTTCGGACATTCTTCGTTCTTCTTGAGTGGGTTGTTTATCTGCCTGCAGCTGCGAAATGTCCGGCTTGATGTCAAATACGGGGATACTAGATGGTGGAGCTTCTTGTTCTTTCTCAGGCTCTGGTTCTTTTTCTGGCTCATCTTCTGCGGGAGGCTCCTGGCTCGATGGCTTCTCTGACTTGAAAACAGGCAGTGATGCAGCAGTTTGCTCGGGTTCAGCTACAGGCTCTTCCACAGCTGCTGTTTCCGGCTCTGCCTCGGGTTCAGCCGGTAGTTCTTGGCTAGATGGCTTCTCCGTTTTGAAATCAGGCAATGAAGCTGTAGGTTCTTCAGCAACTGGTACCTCTTCCTCTTGCTCGCGCGCGGCTTCTTGGCTCGAGGTGACTTCTGACTTGAGGTCGAGAACGGGGGCTGCTTCTGATTCCACAGGTGCTTGCTCAGGAGCTTCATCGGCTTCTTGCGCATTCAGGAATTCAGTCAGTCTGCAGATAAGTAATTAGTGGAGGCCCACTGTGGAATTTTATTTAGAGAAACCCTCTTCTTACCTTTCTTGGAGATCAGCCTTCTTGCCTTTTTGGTCAAGCCCATGTGTCTTACAGAGTTCTTTTAGGTCCACAACCCGAAGTCCCTGGAGATCGGGGTGAACCATTCTTAACAAATTTGCATTTTTATCACGTTGAATTTATATTAGGTCATTATTGAAGGCAAATGTGGCACAACGATGAAAAATGAAGAAAATCTGGAATGCAGAAAAGCGGATTAGGTAAATAAAAAGAAGTTATAAATCATCAACGACTTCAATGACGATGCCTTCAGATGAGAAGTCCAGCTGTTCAGAAGATGACTAGAAAAAATAGAGAGTGATCTTGGAAAAACCCTACCAGTGTCGTGGGAAGATATCTCATAAAATCTTGCAGCAATTCTAAGCTTATAAAGAGCTGTAACAGCTGACCCATCACGGATATTCTCCGACGTTTCGTGACTGCTTCGATCTTCGAGCCTTCAGGGACAAACGAGATCGCAAAGTCTTCGTTCATTTTGATTGTGAAGTGCCTTTTATATTTGAGTCTTCCATGAATCGCCTAGTGAAACCATTGATACAAAGCGAGTTTGAAACTCCTGTTTACCCTTTTGAAAAGCTCGAAGGTTCTATGCGTAAACTTGATCAAGGCTACGCGTCGTCGAATTCCTTCCTGGTCTCTGAAATCATCGAATTCCCATGAGCATTTTGATGATACGCATGCAGAATCTGAACCAGCTGATAATTTATAGTCCATTGAGAGAACTACCTGATCCAAATTCATTTTGCCGCCTTTGTATTTCTGGAATGAGGTCTGGATGAAGGTCGAAAATCGTCTCCCCTCGTCGGGGATCGATGATGAAGAGGTTTTTATCTGTTTCTAATCGAACATAGCTATCAGAAAACATTCAAAACGTACCTAACAAAAGATCGGAAAACTGTGCACCGCTCCAATTGTTCGCTGCATTCCACTCATTGTCTGCCAGGCCTACAAGCTGCACAAACGAGACTTGTCCCATCGTCGAGGTCATCTTTTCTATGCTAAGGTCTTCAACCGCAAGAAAATGGCGAATAAAGGAGTTGTTTTCAATGGGCATGTGATTTGGTATGTTATCGCCAGGAAGAATACGATTCCCGCTTTCGAAAATGTAGCGTGCAAGTTTATGAAGTATCGTTGTTGGCCAGACAGGTATATGTGGACTTTGTTTACGCACCATTATGGCTAATTCTATTCCAAAGCCTTACAAAGAGTTCAGTTAGTAATCTTTATTTATTGCAAGATTTGTGAACAGTTTCCTGATAATGGCCATTTGTGAACAAAAATTCATTTTGTAAATAAAAAGGAGTTTTTGGGGGAAAATGCTAGCATGTGACTTTTATAATAATGTTTCATTTTATATTTGACTTACGAACCAATGAAAGTTGCTTTTATGCAAAAAACCAGCTTACTAGCACCAAAAACAGTATCATCTGATCTGATGTTATCACCAACACCTTGCTAAAAAGTACCCTAATGCAAGGTGCAATAAATCGAACTCCACCCTGATAAATCATGATCTTCATAAACCGGAAAGTTGACCCTTCCATCTCCAAAGAGATCAGACAAGCCCGCCGTTACAAAATGCCAGTACTCGCCTAGCTCTCGGTGATTGATTGAGTAGACATAAATGTAGTCAATCGCTTCATTTCCGCCCATCCAATGAGGAATTCCCCATCTTGGAATGATCTGGGGATCTGGATGATTTGCGAAACTCTTTGTCAAGTGAGCCTCGAGTTCTCGAAGACCAGAACTCATTAGCCTGTATTTCTACAATGAAAAAAAATAAGCAGCTGAATATCTGTATTTTTCTATACACAAAAAAGGGCCAGGCTTGATTATCCCAGCAATAAATAGTAAGGAGGTGTAGTACAGTAACTGAAGCATGTTTCATTGAAATTTAATTATTCTAGAGTTGATGGAGAAGCTCATGGACACAGGGAGGCGTTAGAATTTTATGCTTCTTTCTTCGGTGGAAGGCGGCCAATTGGTAGCTGTCCGGTTTTAGCTTTTTGCTGAATCTGTTCGTCAAGGGACAAAAAATCACCAGCTTCATATTGTACAGGAGTTTTCACTTGACTTAACATGACTGTAGATATTCGCACTACTGTATTTATACCCTACCTCGAGAAGTAATCCGATATCTTATTAGTTACAGGTCTAAAAAAGGAACACATTTCGCCCAAATCGATACTATTCGTCCAGATAAAAGTCTTTGTTCGATCTAAGACCGCCTCAGTGTTTAGTCGCAAGTTGAACCAGTTGAGAGGATTGTCGAAGCCCGTCGTTTTTCTGATCTCGGACCAGTTCGTCATTTTCGGTCGAACATCAAGGAGGGAAAAGTTGAAGTCATCGTCGACATCGCCGCCGTCATAGTAGTCGATCACATAGGTTGCCTGAAAATGAAGTATAGAGTGACTTATTTGATGTTTTGACTCACGTATTGGCCACATCTGTTAACAATCCAGTCGTGTCGATCATATGGAAGAGGGTATCCAAAGAGTTTATGTCGGATTTTTGCTCGAAGAGAGAATTCCTTCGCTTTTCCTCCGAATCGCACCAGTCTTGGTCCTTCTGGACAAGTGTGTGCATGGAATGCTTCCCATTTCAATACCTAAAAACATTAGACTTTGGCTTTGGACTTGGAACAACCTCTTGCCAAGCAAGCTCGTTATTTTTATTGTGAATCTTGATGATCGCATTCATTTGAGCTGGATCAGGATCTTCGTCCTTCCATCGCCAACCCTTTCGAATCATCGCATTCCAGAACATCTGCTCAGAGGGATAGAGCCACGTTCCGTCCGTGCCGTCTTTTGGGATCGAGCTCGACTGACGCTCGGTTGAGAGTTGGAATGGCTGATCCGGCGATGGCTTTTGATTTGGAGGGGGCATCATGTTTCGAGGATCAATATCAGATTCGGGGAGTTTCACTGGGTTAATTCCTACGAGCACAATTGGTTCTTGAATATTAGTGAGTTACTAACCTGAGGGACATTCGGAATCACTGCTTCCGCCAAATCCAAGGGGGCATTCCGACTTTTCCTCCTGCTTTGGCGAACTGCCATACCCGAGCGGGCATTCTGACTGACCACCACCTTGTGTGGATTTTTCAAAGTCCTCAAATGTCTTGTTAGCCGGATCGGCCATTCTAAAACAGAAATCGTCAATCTTTTTTGAAGAAGTTATTTTTCTAAAAATCACAAGAGCCTCCACCGCAACAGCCCGAATTACTAGATTCACTTGGCATCGAACTACAGGCTGATTGATAAGAATTATCTTCTCCGTCGCGCGTTTTTCCTTCGTCAAAGTCAGGGGGTAAATGAAGGGGCTCTATAAAAACTTATCATTACTTAGAAAAACGCTCAAATCTGACCTATCGTGAACTTCTTTCTTTTCAATTTGAAGCCGAAAGTCGCGACCGACTGCTGAAAGGGTTTCAGTCCAACTTGTACCATCTTTTTCACTTCTATCGTTCCGTCAAACTGCGATTTGAACTGGCTTTCTTTGACCAAAAAGTTCTCAAGCTCGTACTGAGCGTCAGAAAACCTACAGACTGTCTCTGCCACACATCTCTGGGTAGTGAGTAGAAATGTGTGGTTTGCAGGCGATTTGGACGCAGATAAGAGTCGGATTTTGAGCAGTAATTTTGATAAATTGCTTCCTTGGGGATAGCACATTCCTCCAAAGTCTTAATAAAAAGGCGTTACGTTACATAACGCCAGAGCTTATCACTTACCAAGAAAGCAAACTCTCCAGACGGAACTACTGTCATCCTTGATTCTCTCTAGCCCTTGAATGATTCTCTCGTGAAAGTGTTCTTTGGACGAACTGTCCTCAGGGTCGATGATAGTTACACAATTCGATATGCTCTCGAAATTTCTGGAAGTAGAGACGTCATACAAGTGTCCAAATCGATTCGTCCCTGAAAATGTACCGGTGAAAGCAGACTCAAATCCGGGGTTACGCCGCCACTAAGGCCCTCCAAGCTTGTGATTGGTCGATGGAAAAAAGATGTCACAGGGGGTAGAGACATGTTTTAAATCCCGGGTAAAGGCTTGCTTTCACCGGTATTTGATAGTGGTCCTTTCTCAGAGCATTTTTACCAGGTATTTGTTGCATTCCAACACGTCCCATCGGTTGCTTTTGATATGCCCATGCGATCTTCAATTGTTCTTCGTTTTGTCTTTTTCCCGGGACATTTGCCTTTTCCTGTGAGTCCGTCGATTCTGGAATCTCCTTTGAAAGAGCATTCGCTCCTCTTCCGATGAGGAGGATCTTGTGTTCACTTTCAAGTCCTTCTGCGCAGAAAAACTTCGCAAACAGCTTCCAATATACAGTTGGATCATCTTGGACGACACTCAAGACGTAACCAAGAGGGATGCCTCCGCCAAGAAGTTGGGTGTCCATGGAAGGGATCCCGCTCGATATACAGTTCACAAGATGATGAGGGCTCATCCGTACCCCCTTTGGAGGACGTTTTTGACCTGCTTTCACAAATGGCATTCTAGCAATTTTCAAAGTTGACTTCGGCAGATGCAAGTAAAAAGACAATACAAGATCGTATAATTCAAGAACGAATTATATTGACAAGTATTTTTGATTTTTCAATTAGTTTATTTAATAGAATAAAATAGTTAAACAATGTATTTCCGTCAGTTGAATTGAACAAATTTGGTAAACGAGATTGGGGTGAAGAGTACTAGAGCGAAAATTTTCCAATGAAGGGGTAAGGTTATCTACAAGGGCAGGGTCAGGATGGCAATGAAGGGTGCTTGACGGATGTTTCGAAAGACTGTCTGGTTCTTCAGACGAAGAACATGTCGCCGACTTCTTTAGTAATTGCAAGAGTCAGCGACTCGATGTCGCTTTCGTAGGAACGGCCAGAGTCCATCGAGTTGACGGATCCAGCGTCAGAGCCAATTCCCTAAAAACAAGTTAATCATTTGTGTAATTTTCAGAATGAGGTAAGAATAAGATTCATGAAATATGAACTTACGCGGCTCTGAAGGTATCGGGAGACTCGGTCGCCCATCAACTCAGCGTAGAGGCAGGGGATGGGAATGGAAACGGTGCGAGTGCATCGAGCGTAAGCGTGGCACAGATGGTAGGTCATCATCTGCAAGTTATCGGCGTCCAGATTGTTTTCATCGTGTAACAACGTGTAGTGCACGGGTCGGCTAGTACCCTGAAGAAAAAGTTAAATTCTAGTTCGCTGCTCGTGCGAGTAATTTACCTGGATGCCCTGGGAGGCGTTGAGGTACCAGTCGCAAAGCGACTTGGAGGTAACCACGGTGTCGACCACTGTTCCAGATGGAACGTTGCCACTCTTGCCGATCTGATCAGCTTGATTTTGGGCAAACATGCGGGTGTGTGTTCGCTTGTTCACGACAATAACGGTAAGCTTGGGGCTATAAGAAGAATTAGTTTCGGTGAAAGACCTTCTCTGAAAGAGTGAAGTGGATTTACCTGTAGCCTCCTGGGAGTGCAGCAAAGGCGGCTTTCATCTGCTCAACCTCGAGCTTGGCAACAGCCTGGAGTTCGCCTTCAGAAGCACCATTGCGGTAGACGATGATTCGTTCGGGCTTTTTGCCGTTGGCGCGCTTGTAGAAACCCTTCAAGCCTTCAAGGAAAAGCTCCTTGATTCCGGTGGCGAGGGTGAATCGGGAACGCTGGAGACGTTTTCCAGTGAAATACTAAAATTAATAATAATAACTTTAAATTAAATTTAGGTTAACCTTAGTTCCAGAAGCATCACATGAGAAGGATGCCGTAACAATTGAAGGATTGCGAGATCCTGGAGCCGGGTGGCTGAAAGAGAGTCCAACGACCATGCACGGCTTCGTGAACATTTGGATTCGATTCTCGATCTTAGTGTTAGTTCCGCCCAATTTGGTGTTGATCTTCTGGAGAAGATTACCGTAGAACATGCCGTTAGCACGCTCGACGTTTCTTGCCTGGACGCACTGAGTGACGATTCCCCACTGAAGCTCCGCCTTCTCCTTGATCATGGAGTAAATCTGGGAGTCTCGTCGGGGCATGATGACCAGCGCGAATCGGACGTTGTTGTTTTGGCAAAGCTGGAAATAGCGAGCCATGTCTTCGTCGTTGTTGGCGTTTAGGATTCGTTCCGGTGGAGAGGCGCGCATGCCTTCGAAGCCAGCGGCTTTGCAGAGACCATTGGCGAAGTCGCCGATCTGGCGCTGGTCCATACGCGACTAAATTTTGGTTATTCCGTTGAAGAATTAATTGATTTAGAGAACTTTCGACAAATTGAAAACTTACCTGGAAAGCAATGACGACCCACTTCTCGATCGCGGCTGCATTGAAAAATCGCTCACGTCGGGCATCCCAGGCTCCTTGGTTGGCACGCACGGTCTTTCTGTTCCCATAGATGAGCGCTGGGGCGTCCAAAACGCGACCGTTGAGCTCCTCCATCTTGGCGGAAACCTTGGCTCCGTAGAGTTCACCCATTGGTGAGAGTTCCTTGATGGCACGTTGCGCCATTTCGTCAATGATCTTCTGTTTTTTCGGGGCGGGGTCGGCGATGGCCCGAATCATGTTGGACTAAATTGCAAATTATAACTCTAGTTTCTGTAAACGATTGTTTATTTACCTGCATGATTTCATCCACTTGGCCTCGATGAGGTTGTCGCGGCGCAACTCGCATGAGTTCGAGCGGGAAGTACTTTACGTTCTTTCCAGTGCCAACCTGGATCATTGGAGCCGATGGGAATCGAAGCCTCTTCTTGTATTTCTGGACATAGTAGTCCGCGATGTTGACGGTGCGACCGTTTTCGTTGACGAAGGTTTCTCGGTCGGCGCCGTTTCGCGAAAGCGTGGTGCACCTAAAAAAGATTAAAACAAATCAAAAGAAAATCTATATTACCGGTAATCACGGTCGCGGTTTTTCAGGTGCTCGGGGATAAATCGAAGCTTGCCGAGATACTTCTCGAGTTGCTTGCGGCGTCCATCGTTCCAGAATCGTGGGTCCGCCATCTCACGCTCACCACCGCGTGGTTTGAAGACTTCCATGGCGACTTCGGTTCCAAGCTGCTCCTTGACGAAGGCCTTGGCGGCGGCGTCAATATTGAGCGCAAGGGTTCCACCGGAGTTGCCGTCGATCGCCTTGAGGCTCTGATGGTAGCCGAACCAGACCTCTCGTCCACCTCCAATATCGCGACGATTGGGTTGATTGGCAGGGAAGAAAGATCGTCCGACAGTGACGGTATCGGTCGAGGCGCGGTGGCGGAATACGATGTCGAAGGCCTGAATGGCATCTTGCTTCAAATCGACCATGTTGCCGTTAAGGTAGGCATTGATGTCGTTCGACAAGTGCATATTCACTAGAATCAATCATCATAAGGAAGCGCTTGTACTATTTTACCTCGTCGAAGAGTGACGGTGAAATCTCGCTTGCGAGTTCCCCGGGGCGCGTACTGGAATCTAATTGTTTGTCCAGCGTCGCCACTCTCGTTCGCCAGGATACCTTGCTTCTCCAAGTAGAAAAGAGAGCTCTGACCATCGTAGGGCAGCATGGCGTGGTGCGCAGGGAACTTCTCCCTCAGGAAAGCGGCCATAAACAGGCGCTTTTCGTCGCTCTTCTTGACGGACTCTTTGCCGAGGACGCAGTTATCCTCCTGGATATGCACGTCAAGTTGGATGATGCGCATGTTGGGCGCGACTTTTGTCCGGTAGAAGTTCGAGCGGAGAGCGATTTTACGACCGGCTTTTCCAGGAGCCTTCCCCACTGAAGAAAAGTATGAGTTTAACAGAGAAATAATAAGGACTTACTTGGAAGCTCGACGTCAGCAATTCGGGTGAGTTGCTCTCGCATTTCACGAGCATCTCGATCCATTTGCTCGAACGGGTTCGAGCTACCGGAGCTTGGGTGCGACCGGGAGTCGCCAGATCCTGAGGTTGACATCTAAAGTTTACGATCAGTATAGAAAAATTCCAGAAAAGCAAGAAGATCAATGATGATTTCAAAAAACTTTTTGTGGGGCCGGAAATCGTAAAAAATCTGTAAGTGCAGTTTTCTTCAGCTCGCCGAGACGAGTCGAATGATGGGTCTAACTCCTGATAACTGTCAGGATTTACCGGTTTACCGGCTGGTTACCGGAAAATACGTTGTCAGCTGCCGTTTTTGTTCTAGAAGTGGTAAACAGATGATTGACCCAGGAAATTGTTCCTTATAGTCGGTTCTACTCTAGGCTCAAAGATGAGGCTCGTATCAATACTCTGAAGAGAGTTATCACTAAAACAGTAAATTTTACATGCATTTTGTTGTTGCTGCACGTTCCTGATTTTTGTCCCATTTCTGCCATAAATAGTATTTTAGTGATAACTCTCTTCAGAGTATAGATACGAGCCTCATCTTTGAGCCTAGAGTAGAACCGACTATAAGGAACAATTTCCTGGGTCAATCATCTGTTTACCACTTCTAGAACAAAAACGGCAGCTGACAACGTATTTTCCGGTAACCAGCCGGTAAACCGGTAAATCCTGACAGTTATCAGGAGTTAGACCCATCATTCGACTCGTCTCGGCGAGCTGAATAAAACTGCACTTACAGATTTTTACGATTTCCGGCCCCACAAAAGTTTTTTGAAATCATCAATGGTACCTGATGGTCAAATCCCTAATCAGACCCTTGTATAGTTCAATCTCTATTACTTACGATTGAAGTTGAGGTGGTTTTCTTGCTTCGATGAAGGGCGTTTCCAAAACTCTTTTCAAGTAATCGTGGAAAAGCTTTTTCCTCGACGTCTGAAAAGAGTGAAATTATCAACTGCCGATTAGTCTTATATAGATAATTTTTTGAACTTCAGGAAGGCTCGTGAAAATAGCCGATTATCATGGCTTATCAAAAAGGGTTCAAGCATGTCACAAACAGTCACAAATTATGATCATTTTTTCATCCTCAAGAAGATTTCTCTCGTGATGGTTTTGATGATTAGGGAGTCAAAAAATATGGAGACATTAAAAATCAAAAATGACAATAAGCCAATCGGAAGGGGAAAATGATACGGAGGCGGTTTTCAAAAAATTGACGTATTCACGTGCATCTCAGATATCTCTAGATATTTGAGGGCGTCGGCCCCGCTTGGAGAAAATCTATCGGTGTTCTCGATTTCGCGAAAGAAATAATTTGTATCTTGAAATTTTGCTTGCCCGTGAACACGGAGGAGAAAAATAAGCTGGGGGATAAAAACTGATCTCTCGACTTTTGAAACTGTCTCGCTTTATCTCTCTTTTCGCTTCCTATCTTTCTGAATTTTACGCATTTTTACTCTCGCACTTACCTTTGAAAAACAAAGTCTGTTCGAGAGAAAAAGTGCGACGGGGTTTAAAGCGCTTTTCCCTTTTTTCTAATTTCAAAAAGGGAAAATGAATCAGGCTCTCTCGCGCGCCGCGGGTTGGAATATGCCGCGCGAAAACGAGGTCACGTGGAATTGTCGCCTGGAAAAGCAAATTGAACTGAATCGATTGTTCGAAATTGCAAGTTTTCACATGGCTAAAAATAACTCTCGGTGGGTCGCTGTAAAAATTTGATGGGAAACCATGGGAACTAACTGTATCTGCCAGTATAACAACTAAATTGGCTGATCGATGCGGATCTAACTGATAGAAAAATTTTCTGAACAAGTGAGAATTCTGCGCAATAAGTTCGTTTTTCAGATGATAACCGATCGAGTTTGCGCGATTTTTGATGGTAGAAAGATTTCGTTACTGAATTAGGTTTAAAGATGACTTCGATGATCATCAAAAGTCAAATTCTAATTCCAAAACTGAAGCAAGGATGGAGTATGCAGCCTTTATGTGTCTATCCTCAAGGGCAAATTGACACTCTTGCGTAAATTTTACAGTCTCCTTCACGGGCTGAGCGTGCAATTAAAAGGGAAAACTGATGCCACTCGCCGCAGGGCAAAAACTAAACTAACATGATGAAATTAGTCGAAACTGACTCAGTTCGTATTCCTCGGGGAAGTTTTAAACGAGATGCCCCTAGAAACTTCTACAGGAGTTCTACGCTTTTGAGACAAGAACAGGACAGTCCAAAAATCCAAAGATCAAAACGCACAAAAGTAAGACCATCACCAAACACAGGATATCGCTACGAAATTATATCTTCATGCACAGAGTGAAATTGCAAATGAATAATTAAAGATATAAATATACTCAATCAAAGGTTAAAATATTACTCGTTATCACCAGTGTTACAAATTAATATTAATTCACAATAAAAGATATTTTTCTTATCAAAAAGAACAGACATTTTAGGCACTCAAAAGACAGACAGTCCGACAAAATAGAGGATGATTGCAGATTCGCAGAATTTTATTGTTTTTTTTGTATTTTTGAAAGTATTTCAAGAAGAATGATTCGTGTTCGAATGCTCCACAGCAGCACCACCCTCTGGCTGGATTTTTTAAATTTTCGTTTTTCTTTTGAAGACTGATATTTTTTGATATCTGATGAATATTTGCTTGTTTTAGCAGGTAAACCCTTTCGCGCTTATTTGCCGACTTTTTGGTCGAAAATGAAACCAAGGAAGAAAATCCTTCATTTCATGCCAAAGAATTGGTCAAAAAGCAAAAATAAGTTAGATTTGAATTTGAACTTTTCGAAAACTAATTCTTCCGCCACTAGGTAGTGCTGGAGAGCGTCCGGCAAGGTTACATTGCCACCATCATCGTCACTTGTGGGCGCATAAAGGCCACATGTTCTACAGGGCCCCGCGTACGTAACTCACATTTGTTTTATGACATTTGTAAAGAGGGTTGAAGTTAAGGTTAGTCGGAGAAGAGGAAGGAGCATAAATAGACGAGAATAAATTATAAAAAACATATACTGCGCCCACAAAAATGGCGATGATGGCAATTTTGTCAACTCACTGTCACGAGATAGCCACAGACAAATTGGTATCCTTAGGAGTTCCTAAGGATATGGTTTCGTTTATGGGGAAAACGTGCTTGAACTTGGACAGTTTTGTGGATTGGAAGCTGGGTCGGTTTTTTCTATTTCTTTTTTTTTCGCAAAATTTATGACGAAAAGCCACATGTGGATCTTATAATGAAATATTGCTCTTATGTTGCCTCTCTCATTTTACAATAATTACTGTAAGAAGAGGCGTTATAATAAATAAGAAGTAAGCAAGGGATCAGACAGTGCACCACTACAGAAAAAGGCAAACTACAGTTCTCCGCAGTTCACGAAAAAAAGTAATAAGATCATGAATAAGTTCATACATAATAATAGCACCGGTTAAACAGTTACAGAGGAATTAAGGTAGGCAACAATTCCTCCACATGTGGTCATTTCCGCTAAAATCGCTGGATGAAAAAAGAAAATCGAGAATTTCAGAGTTGAATTGTAGTTATTCTGGAGATTTTTAGGGGAATTTTACTGCTCCCCGTGCTCGGACATTCGAGGAAGAAGGGCCACATTGTTCGAATTGGCGCGTGGTCGGCGGGGGAAGCGGTGGATGCGCTCGTGTTTCGATAGATGATCGCTAGAAAGAGTGATGAAAAGGTGATGCTTGTTGCAGAGTTGTGAAAGAGCAAAAAAGGGCGTTGCTTCGTCAAAAAACATGTTTAGACACTAACTACCTTGAGGTATTCAATGATAACCTCAATACCATCTGTTAGACTCTCATTTTTACGTTATTTATTCATTAATTTTTCAACCGGAGCGGATGAATTATATTGCCGTACTACGGAAGCACTCTGATCCATCTCAACAAGCGCAACCACAAATATTGATGACTTACCTTCGCGAAAATCTCTTTTCGCAAAATCGACAAGCGTACGGTTTGATGCCCTCGTGTGCTCTTCTGTGTCTGCTCAATTCGTCGGATCTGCTGAATTTCCATTCGCATCCGGGCCAGTTGCAAGCGTATGGTTTCTCGCCTGTATGTCGTCTGAATGAAGAGGGTGATTTTCCAGGCCTAACAAAAGGGGATAACCTGATGTGAGCTTTTAAATGACTGCTCTTGGTGTAGCTCTTGTCGCAACCTGGGAAGGTACAGACATGATTTCTCGGAAGATTGGGCGGTGAGCGTTTTCGCTTGTCGATTTGATCGATTGTGATGGACTGGTTGTTGTAGTCGTTGTTTCTGACAACTCGATCGTCGTCTGGGTAGATTCTTATTGAGGTACCGTTGATGTCTGTTCCTGTTCGCGGCTCTTGCTGAAAAAGAATTGTTAATTCACGACGACGGTTCTTATCATGGTCGTCTTTTACTACTACGGTCCTTATAAAACTACGATAAGAGCCACTAGTGACCTTATTGAGCACTGGCAGGCTCGAGAGCTACAGTGTTCAGATTCTGTCACGCTCTGAGATTCGATATTTACGGGAAAGATACGACCAAATCCGCAAATTTGAGCGGGGCTAATATTTGCGCTACACTTCGGTACTCTATCGGCTGTTTTGATGGAGGCTTGTTTGACGAGATTAACAATATCGGGGTCAGCTATCACAAAAACATCACAAACTGATTTGATGATAGACTAACAATGAGAATACGCTCGTATTCCGAGGAATTCTTGAGCAGTCTCAACATATAAAAAAGTTCGACTTGGCGAAAAGACAAGGTTCAAGAGCACTTGAGTAAGTAGTGGTTTATGAGCACGTGAGGTTGTATCGTGAATTGATTCAATTTATCGATACCATAAAAATCATCATTAATTCTCAACATAGCACCTTGATAGTACGAGTTTTTCCCAAAGGTAAGCAAAATTAGCCAATAAAACTGCGCTTCTTAGCCCATAAGCCAATCAAAACGTACCTTTATTGCTACTGGAGTCAGATTGGCGCCGATAACCGGGTGGAATTGATGATTTGGGTCCAAGAAAAAAACTTTTTCTTTTCCATCTTTTCCTTTCAGCGTCACCAGATGGCCTTTGACGACATTTCCATTTTTCAGATCGTTGTCAAAGTCGGGCTCTGGAGGGAAGGAATAGGAGGGACCGGGCTGCATGTTTCCACTTTGGCTAAATGTTTGCTGTTCTGATGTGCCGTTGCTCAAGACATCGAGGAAGACATCGTCGAGGTCGGAGCCGAGAGGAGAGCCAAGGGATTCGTCAGATCCATCGGACACTGACTTGAATCGCTTGTTGTGCGTCGCGTGGACTCTATTCAAGGAATCTTGAAGCCTAAAAATTGACGTTCAAGAGTTATTTTGTAAATATAAAGGCTTACATTTGGTCCGCGCCTCCAAACGGAATCGAAATATCTGACGATGTCGACATCTGGAACGTCTGCTGCTGCGGAACTTGCTGCACGGGCGCGTTGATGAAGGAAATCTCTTGCGAAGGTTCTTCTAAACCGTCGTCGAAAACGAGCAATGAGTCATCGTAACTGTGCTGGAACTGTTCGTTGAGGGTTGGGTTGTTGGAAGACGAGCCTTGATCCCAGATCATCGACTCGTCCAGTGAGTTTTGCGCGGAGAAGTCGTTTTCAAGCTCCGTTTTGAAGATTGTCTGAAAACGAAAATAAGTAAATCGGGGTAGAGATAATAGGCTCTTATCTTACCTCGCTTTTGAACTGGAAGGTTTCGTCGAATTCTTTGGAGACATCTGGCGAGAGCGTTTCCGAACTGCACTCCTCATTTGGAAATGGAAGTAAGCTGTCGAGTTTATCGTTTTCCATGGGCACAAATGCCATTAAAGTGCCCGCTTTCTGAAAATAATCAATGGTTACAAGAAAATCTGTGGATTAAGATTTTACGGCGCACATGTGAGATGATTATTTGGCAACGGATTAACTATCGTTATAAAAAGTGATATTTTGTGGAATATTTGCGCGCGTTTCAATTCTATCCTATGATTTTAATAGAATTTTCTGGTAAAAGGTTGTTTTTTCACTAAAATGAGGTGTCAACTCTGAGCTCACAGAAAAATCGAGGCAAAGCGCGTTGATCTACCCGCTCAATCCACTGTAAGAACCGTTATTCTAGAGCGTTTCTCTCTTGATTGTGAATCTGGCAACGATTGATACAAAATCAATCGATTGATGGTGGCATAAAAATTAAAAGCGTTCACAACAAACGAACATCTGACTTGATTTGATTACTCAATGTAATCAAAATTAAGAAACGATGAAGCCGTTCGTAAAAATGAAAGCCGGGTAACTAACGAAATTCTCTTAGACATTTATGGCACCGAGGAATTGCCCTAATCGAAAAATTCGATTACGGAAGCGAAAACACATTCTTCTCAGGGTAATCGATATTCCGTAAATTGCTCTTCATTTATCGTAAAAAATCTGACAGAAATACAAAAAAATAATGCCTGTTTTAGGCCATCAATATATGGAAGTTTACAAAGAAAGAGGGCAGATCAGAGGACACGAACTCGAGATTGAGTTTATTCAGAACAAATTGAGCCTCGGGGCTCGTTCTGTGGAAGGTGAAAAATCGTTCCTCAGGACTTGTGATGTTTCAAAGCATAGAGGACTCAAACGAGCTATTTCAGAAGTATTTTGAAAATATGAAGGGTCTTGAAATGCTTATGAACCGCTAAAATCATCGAAATAGGACCGGAAAGGCAAAAAATCAAGACGTAGAGCCTTGTTAACACACTCTTCCACAAAGAAGCTCATCCCAGTGTTCCTAGATCGGCACTTATTCTAGCCAAAATGTTCAGGTTCAGGGTGGGCATATGCTAATCCTCCTCCTAGCTGTTAATTATCGAGACTAAGTTCGACCTCATTCAACGCCTTCTTCGTGTAAATAACTCCCCTACCACGTGGCTTGATTTACCTTTCGAGCGAAATTTCGTTACGTTATGAAAAAGGCGAAATCGATAGTTCGCTCTCTCATCCACTGTAACTCTTTTGGTTTTGAGTTGTGGAAGGGAAACTAGGGAGATATGTATTTGAAAAGGCGATGGAAATACTGCTGATTGGGCGCACTTTGTTGAAATAGAATTGACGAGCTAATATTTGTCCGCTGAAAGCAAAAAACTGAAAGCTTGTGGTTGATTTCCCGTGACCTTACTGAGCTAATTACGGTAGTTTTTCGGGGCTTTGGATAGTTGAACCAAGTGTAGGCCAAATCATTGAGGAGTTTAAATATGGGATTTTTTATGGGCCTCGGAGATTTGATTTGATTGCTTTCTTGGGAAGGAATGGAATTTCTTTAGCCTTCGATTTCATGATTTTCTCGTTGATAGAATTTTACCTTTCGACAGATGGAAGTTTTCAAGGAATAAATATGCTTGTGCTTTCTCTCTTTTTAGGAGTAGTATTGGAATGAGTCGTAATTTCGCCGTTCGAGTACCCCGAACAGTTGTCCATTACGACCAAAATGAGAAGCTCGTTAAATAAAATCGTATTATCTATAAAAATTAAACAACAAAGCACACCAGGGTAGTTAATCCGATGCTTTGACCTCTCGAGGAAGTTAAAAATTTTTTGTACTGTAAAAAATGATGAGAATCTCAAAAAAGAAAGCATGAAAGAAGAAAAGGGCTCTTTTTACAATAAAAATATCATTCAAAAATGAGACGCAGCAAAGATAACGTCAAGTTTATAAAACAGGTCTACGAGCCGCCACTATCAAATCTGAGAGGGTGATCACGTGATCTTTTAATTCATCGAAAAATGCAGAAAAAAATCAAAAATGGGTCAAGATTGAAATGATCTGACATCGCCTGGAAAACAGAATCATTCATTTCTAAATTGACCATATTTTCTGCCGCTGGGAACTTTTCCTGGTGTTCTACTGTATTGGATCATAACCGTCATTGCCCGGTAGATTTGAATGTTTTGACAAATTTGCATTTCGACTGTCTGCTTTTTGCATTCTCTATATTTGCACTGGTTAAATTTATACAAGGTCAATTTTGCAAGAGCAAGCACAAAAATCTCAAAAACATTTGCATGTATCTCGTTAAAATTTTAAACTCAAGGACACTCCTCTTTGGCGAAAACATTGGGATAACATGGGGTCATGAAAGATACGTGGTTCATACCTTTTTGGGAGGATTTTCTCGAGCGTGTCTTGCTCTCTAAAAAAATCAAGTGATACACTTGAGGAATGGGACGATTATTTTGTCAAGTTAGCGCCTCGTTTTACGTTAAATCTCGCTATTGGCGTTATATATTTCCTTGGGCACGCTAACTGCTGTACTAATTTCGCTACTGAAATAAATACAGATGCAATTTTTGAGGATGCCCTTTCAAACTACCGCGCTGTGCAAATTTGATAGCAAGTCTCGTTGCCGCAAGGAAGGAGTGTTTTTACTGTCACGCAAAGGACGAACTTACTTCAGGGTCATTTAGGGTTACTGAAAAAAGGCTTATTTTTACAAAAGCTTCGATGGATGATCATTCTATCGTTAAATAGAAGTCATCAGAAAGGCAACTATTTTACCCCACAAGTAAAAGTTATAAAGCTATATAGACAGGTAAAGCTTTTTTTGTCATAGGCTTCGAGCAAAACATAAATATTCGCAGACAATCAGAAACAAGGGTAAAGAAAACTAACCAGGACAAAAGCCAATTTCTAAGAAATTTCACATATTCTCTCTTTCTTTCTGAAAAGGAATTCTGCAATTTTTTATCTGAAAATCTCCCTTTTCTCTATTCCCTTTTTATGTTTCCCGAAAATTGGCCAACGAAATGTCCCGTGCAAATATTTTCAAACCACTTACATTTTCAACTCGATATTCTCTTTTCCCGTTTTCTTCCTTCTCAGTCAAGTTTTCCATGTCCTGCCAGAACATGTCAAAGGCGTCTTCCATGATTTTGCTATCTGAGTATCTCTTTGATGCTTCCAGATATTATAATTAATATCTTTAGCTCTAGACATCGTAAGGTCTCGCATTTTTTACTGACTGTGGCAAGGTTTTTCGTATTTTTCTCGGCGAAATGCGAGCGAACCAAAATTTCAGCGACCCTGTTTTTTTTAAAGATGGTCCGATCTTTTCCCTCGAAGCTTCAAAAATAGCGTTTTTTGGGAGTGGCGGGAAAAAGGGGTGGGCCGCAGCCCAAGAAAGCCATTTTTGTCCACTTGCCCGTCAAAAAGGGGGAGTTGCCGCGAACTACAAAGCCACAAAAGTTGCGTCACTCTTTTCTTCATTTAACACTTTTGTGTCTACTGAAAAGGGTTTAGACAAGGGCCTTTCTTGGGAGAGTTTTTGAATCACGAAGATATTAAATAACCGGTATTAGAAAAGAGGAGAAATCGCCCCAGGCGGAGAATACAAGCGGAACGAAAAGGCGGAGAGAAAGAGGAATCTCTTACTGAACAAAGAACAATTTCTGACATGAAGAAAGCCAAAAAGAATTGGCCGAAACAAAGAAGAATTGGATGAAGAAATTCTTTCTATAGAATTTATATTTATATATATATAGAAGAATATCTTTCGTAGAATAAAGAATTGAATCACCAAACTTTGAAACGGTAGAAGAAGAATAAGGTCATTCGAATACCAGCTTGTAAACACCAAAACATTCTAAGAATTTGTTCGTCAATCAGGTCGTAAAAGAATACTCTGACTCAAGAATCCCTGCTAGAAACCAACTCTTGATATGATCATAATGATCATTCGTTGGTTGTTTTATGTACCGCCTGTAGATCATAAATAAGAATTACGAATGGATGGATTCTTGATACAAAATAGGTTGTAAAATAGATTTAAGGCGATCTGTGTCATAAGGAACAGAATAACGTCATTTTTATCGTTAGAACAATCAAAGATTTTGTAAAATAACTTGAGTTTTTGAACATTGAAAAAATGTAAAGATTGTCAACTTCATGCTTACTTAGCTATAAAAGTTGTGGACTTGATACTTTCGTAGAAACATGTCTACAATCCAAAACCATGTACGGTAGTAAATAAACTAAAGGTTAATTTCCGACGCTCGGTAACCGCAAATTTCAGCACGCGCGCTTGAGCGATAAAAATAGAGCAGATTTAGCGCTTCAGACAGCTCAGAAAAATAGAATAGCAGACTTAATGAACAACAAGATAAATCTGTTTCGACAAGTTTTGATTTTTGTCGAAAATAACTCTTCGCGGATCAAAGTATCAGAATAAATTTATCGTTTGAAGCATGTTTTAAACTAAAATGGAGTCGTTCTTTTTCTTTTATTTCTTTCCTGAGCAATAGGGTTGGCCAAAAAAATCGAAGGTCGTGCGCCTAACACGAGTCACCCCTCATTCGAAGCGCCATCTCGAGAGGATCATTTTGAGCCATTTATGAAATTTTTAAAATGGCAGGAAGCCATCGAAAAAATTAATTTTCTGAAATTTTCGATTTTTTCAATTTTGAACGATATAGCCATTGTAAAATGAGTCATATCTTTTGCTGAGTCATGCTGACATCATCCTTAGTCATGTTAACATGTTAACTAGCGTCTATACTTTCGATCAAGCATAAATATTCTTTAATGAATTTCGAATAAGAACCATAATTTAGTTTAAAACATGGGTAAAGTGTATTTTAATAGCAAATGGGGGTGGGTGGGGTTTGGGAAATAACTGAGATTGATCACCTCGGAGTTTCCAGCCATTGTCAAGCCCCTTAAATTTAAAAATCAAGGAACGGGGCTGAGACGGCCCGAAGGGCCGTCAAGCCCCTTAAATTTAAAAATCAAGGAACGGGGCTGAGACGGCCCGAAGGGCCGTCAAGCCCCTTAAATTTAAAAATCAAGGAACGGGGCTGAGACGGCCCGAAGGGCCGTCAAGCCCTTAAATTTAAAAATCAAGGAACGGGGCTGAGACGGCCCGAAGGGCCGTCAAGCCCTTAAATTTAAAAATCAAGGAACGGGGCTGAGACGGCCCGAAGGGCCGTCAAGCCCCTAAATTTAAAAATCAAGGAACGGGGCTGAGACGGCCCGAAGGGCCGTCAAGCCCCTTAAATTTAAAAATCAAGGAACGGGGCTGAGACGGCCCGAAGGGCCGTCAAGCCCCTTAAATTTAAAAATCAAGGAACGGGGCTGAGACGGCCCGAAGGGCCGTCAAGCCCCTTAAATTTAAAAATCAAGGAACGGGGCTGAGACGGCCCGAAGGGCCGTCAAGCCCCTTAAATTTAAAAATCAAGGAACGGGGCTGAGACGGCCCGAAGGGCCGTCAAGCCCCTTAAATTTAAAAATCAAGGAACGGGGCTGAGACGGCCCGAAGGGCCGTCAAGCCCTTAAATTTAAAAATCAAGGAACGGGGCTGAGACGGCCCGAAGGGCCGTCAAGCCCCTTAAATTTAAAAATCAAGGAACGGGGCTGAGACGGCCCGAAGGGCCGTCAAGCCCCTTAAATTTAAAAATCAAGGAACGGGGCTGAGACGGCCCGAAGGGCCGTCAAGCCCTTAAATTTAAAAATCAAGGAACGGGGCTGAGACGGCCCGAAGGGCCGTCAAGCCCTTAAATTTAAAAATCAAGGAACGGGGCTGAGACGGCCCGAAGGGCCGTCAAGCCTTAAATTTAAAAATCAAGGAACGGGGCTGAGACGGCCCGAAGGGCCGTCAAGCCCCTTAAATTTAAAAATCAAGGAACGGGGCTGAGACGGCCCGAAGGGCCGTCAAGCCCTTAAATTTAAAAATCAAGGAACGGGGCTGAGACGGCCCGAAGGGCCGTCAAGCCCCTTAAATTTAAAAATCAAGGAACGGGGCTGAGACGGCCCGAAGGGCCGTCAAGCCCTTAAATTTAAAAATCAAGGAACGGGGCTGAGACGGCCCGAAGGGCCGTCAAGCCCCTTAAATTTAAAAATCAAGGAACGGGGCTGAGACGGCCCGAAGGGCCGTCAAGCCCCTTAAATTTAAAAATCAAGGAACGGGGCTGAGACGGCCCGAAGGGCCGTCAAGCCCTTAAATTTAAAAATCAAGGAACGGGGCTGAGACGGCCCGAAGGGCCGTCAAGCCCCTTAAATTTAAAAATCAAGGAACGGGGCTGAGACGGCCCGAAGGGCCGTCAAGCCCCTTAAATTTAAAAATCAAGGAACGGGGCTGAGACGGCCCGAAGGGCCGTCAAGCCCCTTAAATTTAAAAATCAAGGAACGGGGCTGAGACGGCCCGAAGGGCCGTCAAGCCCTTAAATTTAAAAATCAAGGAACGGGGCTGAGACGGCCCGAAGGGCCGTCAAGCCCCTTAAATTTAAAAATCAAGGAACGGGGCTGAGACGGCCCGAAGGGCCGTCAAGCCCTTAAATTTAAAAATCAAGGAACGGGGCTGAGACGGCCCGAAGGGCCGTCAAGCCCCTTAAATTTAAAAATCAAGGAACGGGGCTGAGACGGCCCGAAGGGCCGTCAAGCCCCTTAAATTTAAAAATCAAGGAACGGGGCTGAGACGGCCCGAAGGGCCGTCAAGCCCCTTAAATTTAAAAATCAAGGAACGGGGCTGAGACGGCCCGAAGGGCCGTCAAGCCCCTTAAATTTAAAAATCAAGGAACGGGGCTGAGACGGCCCGAAGGGCCGTCAAGCCCCTTAAATTTAAAAATCAAGGAACGGGGCTGAGACGGCCCGAAGGGCCGTCAAGCCCCTAAATTTAAAAATCAAGGAACGGGGCTGAGACGGCCCGAAGGGCCGTCAAGCCCCTAAATTTAAAAATCAAGGAACGGGGCTGAGACGGCCCGAAGGGCCGTCAAGCCCCTAAATTTAAAAATCAAGGAACGGGGCTGAGACGGCCCGAAGGGCCGTCAAGCCCCTTAAATTTAAAAATCAAGGAACGGGGCTGAGACGGCCCGAAGGGCCGTCAAGCCCCTTAAATTTAAAAATCAAGGAACGGGGCTGAGACGGCCCGAAGGGCCGTCAAGCCCCTTAAATTTAAAAATCAAGGAACGGGGCTGAGACGGCCCGAAGGGCCGTCAAGCCCCTTAAATTTAAAAATCAAGGAACGGGGCTGAGACGGCCCGAAGGGCCGTCAAGCCCCTTAAATTTAAAAATCAAGGAACGGGGCTGAGACGGCCCGAAGAGACCTTAAACGGGCGTTTGACCTAGATTTTCTTTTTGAAATTGATCATTATTATACTAGATTGAAAGAACAGACGCTTAGGAACATTTTAAGATGATTCATGATGACGTTAGCATGACTCAGCAAAAATATGACCCATTAAACGATGTTGATTAAGCTGAAAATTGAAAAAATCGAAAATTTCAGAAAAATATTTTTTGGATGCCTTCCTGCTATTTTAAAAATTTTATAAATGGCTCAAAATGATCCTCTCGAGATGGCGCTTCGAATGAGGGGTGACTCGTGTTAGGCGCACGACTTTCGATTTTTTGGCCAACCCTACTGAGCAAGAATAGGACTATCTGAGGCAGTTATTATTCAGTTATCTTCAAAAACCTGAAGAATATTTCGTTTTGTGAACTTTTTTCGGCAGCTTGGACAAGTCTTCTGTGGAAGAGAAGAGAGGCAGTTGAGGCAGGCAGTATGGCCGCATGAAGTAAGAACAGCTTTCGGATGATTTTCATCGAAAAGCTCGAAGCAGATCCTACATTTGGGCTTGTTGTCTTCTTCAGGAGCTTTTCTGGACTTCTTGGGCTCCGGAGGTTCTGAATATTTTTAATAAAATAATAATTATGATTTCAATCTATCTTTTTTGTAACAATTTACCGGCAGTGGTGTTATCTTCATTCATTGCGTCTTCTGTGAGGAACAAGGATCGTGTTTGAACTTTCCTGCGAAATGTTTTAATCTTGCCCAGTTCTGCATTGCTTTCCTCTTCTGCTTTTTGTGCGTCTATGAAAGCTGCATTAGCCTTTTCGACGTTTTTCAATGCCTCATTCACCACTTTTTCGGATTCTTTAATCATTTTTGCGGTCTCAGCCACCTTTTTCTTTGCATCTTCGGCTTTCTTTTCCGCAATTCCTTCTTCTTCTCTTACGTCCTTATAAATTTCGTTGACGATTTCAGCACGCTCGTATTTATCTATAATAGCTTTAAAGATGAAGTATCAATTTAAATAAAAATCAATTTTATATAAAGTATCAAATTCTAACATAGAGATCCGCCTGTATGAGCAGCATCTTTGCAGCATGTTCCAATATAGAACTCTCTGTAACTGAGTTGATCGGCCCCGCAACTTTTGCCATTGACACCAGCGTAGCATTTGAATTTCGCATCTGTCTCTTCAAATTTTGCTGATTTATTTTCTGGAAATTTCTCTAAAGCGCAAGATCCACAGTATCGCTCGCCATTTATATTCGCAGTTTTCTTTACCGCACTGAATACATATTTTAAATATTTATTAAATTAATAAAATTCAAGATTATACATATGCTCATATAAGATCCTTTTAAATGAAAATATTTTACATACTACCCACAGGAAGAGCATTTTCCAATCGACCCATAAGAAGTAACGAAAGATTTATTCACACAAAGATCCGTAGCTATGTTCTTCATTGTCTGTTTTCAAAACGTTTGCGAAATACCAGTCTTGGCATAATTCAATTTTGATAGTTTTCCGACCGTTAGAAAAAAATTGAGAGATTCTATTTCCTGAAAGAATTTTTTCTCAATTTTTATTAAAATAAAACTTCTGAACAGTCCAGAGAGTGAACTTATTTGCACATACTTTGAATGAATGATAAGAAAAAGTCGTAGCAGTATCGATTTGAATTAACGAAATAGTTGAATTAAAAAGCTTTCATACAGTTTTTCAAGAAGACAGATAAACAGTTCTTTCTCCGAAATAACATTTGACCTTATGTGGAAAGCACTCGACTTCTGCTGTACCGAATCGAAGGAGTTTCTCGCCGTAGACTTCATCTTTTGGTGCAGCTAGAAAGAAATTGTTAGGAAGAAAATTGGGGAAAGAGGTCAAGATTACGATTCTTCTGAAGCCATTTTTCGACGAATTCGTGAAATCTTGAATGTTTTTTGGCCGCATAACCGTTTGCTTTACGGTAAGCGACTCTTGCTCGATGAATCTTTCCAGGGATGAGCTCAGAGCTGTGCGAGCCTTTGATGTAGCGGATCTTCTTGTTGTTCAAGCCTTTTTTCACCGCAGCTTGGACAGAAAGAGTTCCAGGAGTCGTCCGAACTTGCTCATGTCGATTCGGCTCAGTTTTCATAACTGCGGTCACATTTCGACGAAGAAAACGTTGCTAGAAAAGGGAATAGTAAGCAAAAAAGGATCGTGGATAAGGGAGAGGTTTAATATTCAATTGCAGAACGAGTGAGTTTTCTGTAGAACGGATAATTGTTTTCTGTCTTGAAATTCTCTTTCTGCGCCTCTTGAAAAAATTGGGAATCTTTATTCGAATTCTTTTGCGTCTTTACTCGCTTGCGTTTTACTTGGCTCTTTACTCGACTCTTTGCACGACTTTTAGCTTTCGTCTTTAACCTCGTCTTTACCTTCGCCATCCCTTTTTTCGTCTTTTGCTAGAAGAAAAATATTTGAGAAGAAAAGCATCATTCCAAAAACTTGAGTTACACTATCTTTCAGTCACTAATCTGCGACTGTAGTATTTTATTCTATAATAGTTGAATCATTGCTTTTGACTTCAAGAAGTTAATGCCTGATTTTGGTTTGCTCATCTGTACAAAATTAAAACCTGCTTTAATGAGTAGAAAGCTAAGAAAGATGCTCTAGTTAACACTCGAAAATTAAGAAAACTTTAGATACCTCGAGAGAAACAAGCGAATCCGGCAGGTACTGGCCGTACTTTCCCAAATCTTCCTTCTCACTGGCTTCATCAGTCTGAACAGTTTCGGTATCCTCATCTTCAATATTCATCAGCTGAATTGAAATCTTGTTGACATCCTCCACCATATACGTTGTAACGCGGAAGAGGAACTCTTCTTCGAGCTCGTTTTCAACGCGTTTTCGGTAGACATGCTCTTCGACTGGAATGTCGTGGATAGTTGACATGTGTCGGACGATGTGCCCGGGGCTGTTGTTCTCTTCGCGGTGGTATTGATGGATGTTTAGAGCGGATTCTTTTTGAGTGATTTCTAGAGGAACTTGAAAAAAGGGAGCCTTACATGAACGTACCTATGCTGAACTTGGAAATCTGGAGAATCAGCTTGTCCAGAGTGAAAGCGTGATAAGCTGAAGTAGTGAACATTTCTCTAAGGGTATCTTCATAAACGGAATGATCAACGTTTCCATCGTAAAAGCACTTGACAAGCTCAAGGAAGGCTTTGTAATACTCATCTACTTCGACTCCGAGTGTTGGTACGCAACCAATATTTGCAGTTTCCTTGTCCATCGAATTCGAGAGCTTCCATTCTTTCAACAACGCTGCTGCTTTGTCACGGATGATTTCTAGTCGCTGGCATAGGATGGCGTGAAGGCGGAGGAGGAGGAAGTGCGTGTTGCCGCAATACATGAGGTTGAACTTTTTGGGATCATCGGGCTAACAAACAGTTAAATTACAGAGCTTAGATATAAAAAACTCACTCTGAGGAAAGAAGGAAGCCATCTACTGATAATTTCTTTGACTTGCTCCTTCTCCGGCTTCGTTAAATTATGTTTCCTAATCGCGTGCATGATCAAAGAAGTAGCATCCTTGATCACTCTTCTGTCCGGGACACGCGTATGGTAGTGCGGCTTGTTTTCATTGCCCTGCATGGCCATTTCGTCGCAAGTTGCTTCGATTTCGTTGATGAGATTCTTTGGACGGAGAAATTTTTGATCCGTCGCTCGGAAATTCATGCCTTGGTGATCCATGGACTTCAGGTAGTTTTTCTCGAGTTGGTCTTTCCACAGCCGATTGAAGTGTTTTTGACTTTGGCGCCACTCTTCGTTTTTAGCTTTACAAAGGTCTCATTAAATTCAATATCGAGAAATATATTCATGTTAGAGGAGAGAGTACGATAGTTTCAAATCATTTTCGAATGTGAAAACCTTTCCTTTTAATCGTTTCAGAACAACCGGGACAGTTAGCGATGGGGACTTCTTCAACCCGTCGATGATGTCAGCAGCTTTGTCGCCGTAGATCCTGTGTATCGCTCTACGCTGAATTACATTAGAAGTTCCGCCAAGCGTATCTTCTAATTTAAACTTCACGCGTTCCTCGTCTTTCATGCGTTGCATCTTTTTCTGGACTCCTTCAAAGATTTTGATTGTGTGTAAATTCGCTTCGATGACGTTGTCGAGTTCGAAACGCTCATCTTCGCAGCGGATGATGACATCTTCGTACTGGTTCTTTTTTGTCGAGCTGAATTGGGGATCCTCTGACCAGGTTGGAAGAGAGACCCAGATATCATTGAGAACAGAGGCTGCAAGAGGATCTTTTGAAGGCGGCCGACGATGCTCTTTGGGCATGGATCGGTAGGACGAACCAATGTGCCTAGCGTTACTGTAATCAATATCATAAGGAGTCGGCGCAGGGTTGGGCTTGGGCAATGAAACAGATGCGGCTGGGTTTGGCGGTGGGGACTTGACCAGGGGTAAACTCGACGGGCTAGGTTTGGCAGGTACAATTTGAATCGACTTGGGCGTGATTTGAAGCTTGTTGCCATGGTCTGACGGGTTCATGCTCGATTTCGGGAGATCGATTGCTTTGCCGAGGATTTTTCCGAACTCGACGAGCAGTTCCGGTGATTTGCCGATGATCGGCTCGACAAGTAAAATCAGCTCATTGCGATTGATTATTTCGTTGTTGTAAAGACTGATGCACTTGAGAAACTGGTGATATGCGTCTGTTTCTTTGAGCATGCTTTGAACTCGTTGAAAGAATATTAATTCCGAGTCTGTTGCATATTTAGCGGCTTCGTGAAGCGTAATTCCAGAGAGCAAGCGCTTCTTTGAGCTCGTTCCAGCTGGAGATGAACCAGAGTTGTTCTTCCTTTTCGACGGAACTATTGGTGTTGCTTTCTCGACTTGAGTAGTCGAAGTTGCTGGTTTGGCTAATTGATCTTCCGGTTCTGCTTTTGGCTCTTTCTTCGGCTCCTTTGCTTCTGGCTTGATTTCTGTCTGGTTTCCAGCAAGTTTTCGTTGCTGCTCAATTTGCGCTAGCCGCTGCTGCTCTTCCTTCATTTCTGGGAGGAAGTTCGTGAATTCTTCCAACAAGTCAAGATCGTTTCGCAGCAAATGAGCCATTTTAGAGTAGACATCTGCCGTCATCTCTTGTGTCTTGGGCTGAACGCGCCTAAAAGAATTGATAAGGAAGGAAAAAGTGGGTATGTTCGTACTTGTACTCGTTTAGAATTGTTAGAAATTCGCGAAAGACACCATTGTTGTTCAAATATCTCGTGCGGATTTTCTGGATGAGATTGATTGCTTCATCGAATTGGCTGTTTGATTCGGGCTGGCTTGGGCCGGAACTGGCTGGCGAACTGGACGAGGAGGGTTTAGAAACAGATGGAGTTGGCACTTTCTTTTCCGGCATTGGTGTTGCTGGGGTTGTTGCTGGCATGGCTGACGGTACTGATCGACTTGATAAAGATGATGCAACTGGAGTCGGTGTAGAAGCTTTCTCAGCGATCGAGGAGCTTTCCGAAACGGGAGTAATAACTGATCCTAAAATTGTTAGTTTGTTAGTTTGTTTTCATTCCCATGTTGGGGGAAAATAAGATATTTTGTGTCTCTCTTGGTAAGTTGATAATGTGAAACTCTTAAAAACGGACTAAAAGAAATTTTTTGAAAGGATTTTGAAAGGAGATCGAAATACATTCGCTTGGTTGCGCATTAATTAAAATATTTTCGTCATCAATCCGATACTAAGGTGATATTAATTTCATCTGACTGTTAACTACAGTTCCCATAAGTTAATTTTAGCTAAATATCAAGCGATTGAAATGGTTTGATTTCTGAAGGCATATTACGAAAATATATGACCTTTAGTAAATATCTATATCAATGCCATAAAACGTAATGGAAAGTTTAATTTACCAGACATCTGTCCAGGGTTGGGTGACTTTGCAGGATTACTGGCCGACGTAGAAGTGGAAGATTGTCTCGGGCCCTTTCCAGGATGATCTTCTTCGAGTCCCATGATGTCTTCTTGTCTGATTTCGTATCCCTCGGGCAGAAAAGTGTTGAAGCCGATGATCAACTCTGGGTATCCCCTGAACAACTCGCGCACTCGTCGGATCACTCCTGGCGTGTCAGTGCTCTTAATTTTGGTTCTTATTGATTTTACGGAAAAAGTAAAACTCTTTCGACACAGATTTCTTCGTCACTAAACTTTACGTGCGTAAACTCGAAATCTTATCGACGATAAGAAACTTTCATTGAGGAGAATTTCTTTTTTTACAAACTAAAACTTATTTCGTAAGACTATTTCCAACCATCGATATCAAAATAGAACCATTCCTGAGACTTGAACTCCTTCATAATTTCCAAGAACTCATTATAAATAACTTGCCGATCATCAAACTGATTTTTCACCCTATCGAGATAGCTCAAGGCATCGATAACCCTCAAGGGTCGATTCCCCCCTTCTCCCCCGTTCATTCTTCTTTCAAGCAATTGCTCTTCTTCTCGAATCCTCTCTATAACGGCTATTCTTCTTCGAGAAAAGGGATATTTTTCGTTAGCTTGGGAAAAAAGTGAATTTGTGAGCGGCGAGCGTAGGCGCCTGCGGGGGCAAAAATGAAAAAGTCCTCCCACACCGGGAATCGAACCCGGGCCGTCGGAGTGAAAATCCGAAATCCTAACCCCTAGACCATGTGGGACTGATGAGGATTTGAAAATGTACATTCTTATTGTAAGTAACTCGGCCTGACATAAATTTATTTTATTCATAAAAATGAATGTTCACAAAAACTGCATGTTTTATTGTTCTTTTACTCTTATAAGTTGCAACGCTATCAATTACAAAGAAAAAAGCTATTGTTCTAAGTAAGAATCGATCCGTGGACGAGTTGGTGATGGAAATCTTCATGGCGACATTTATGAGACGCCATGATTTCTCAAGAAAAAAAAAACAATTTTTCTAACTAAGTCTTCATATCATTTACTTATCATAATTTCGGTAAAAAGGCGACGGCGGGAGTGGTTTACCGATAGAACTCGGACGACGTCCGAATTCTATAAGACCGAAGTCTGAGAGGGGTTCGGACACCTGAAAGGGCCGAGTAACGAAGTAACGTACATAGCTTGCCGGAAGGTCATTAATTCACGTCGTTTCGAGTCTGAGAAAGTTCATTGAGATAAAGAAGTAACCACTCTGCCAGAGCGCCTCGAACATCCGCCTACAAAACCGATTATATCAACCGTTCCAGGCTGGAAATTCAAACATAGATTGAACCTCTTTGCATCACAGATTCATGGTGCAAGTTAAAGTCTGTGACAGTTGCATTTTGGGACAATTTACAAACCACAGGGAATCTCAACTCTTTTGCAATTAATCTTCTTTGCCGCGGGGCCACCTTTTTCCGTGAAAACCGCAAAAATATTCTTGAAAACAATTTGCAATCAGTAGATCATCTTCGTTAAAATTTTCAAAGCAGAAAAGTACTGTAAAAATACTAGCTCTTTATTTATGTTATTGAGACTTAGTTCCAGGTGGCCGATTTTTCTCATAAAAATCTTGATCAGCTGTCATAAACGCATTTCAATTTTCCATCCCACTCTGCTGACACAGAAAATCGCGGCGCTCACAAAAATATCCGCCCTGGCGCTCCAATAATCCGAAATAGGGATGATGACGATCGGAATCGCTGCACTCATCAAACCATGACGAGCAATCTGAGCGGTTGGTCGGAGCTGTCTGAGGCAAACTTGGGCGCCAAGTTTCGTGCCCCAAGGCGGCTCTCTCCTCCTCGCCCTTCTGCGCCCCGTGGCCAATCACCACCATCGCCAAGCTTGGTGGAGCAAGCTCGAGTTTTGCAACGGCCGCCCCCTCAGCCTCCAGTCTTACCTAACCGATCCAGGTTCAAGAAACAGCCAAAAATACAACTCCTTCAAACCAGAGATTCCAAGAAGCGATGCCAAATTAAAGATAAAGAGATGATTGACGAAGATACTGAATAGAAGCTTAGAGAAAGAAAAATCAAGAAGCAAGAGCTACTTCAATGCGAATTAGCCTCGGGCTCGCAGGAGCTGTCTCTGTCGCGGGTCATGATATTATTTCACTAGTTGGTTCTAGTGCTAGAATCCCCTCTCCAAAGAGTGGAAGTCGAATTGATTGGACATGGAAGCCACTGGATTTTCATGGATGGGGCTGGGACTGTGCCGAAAGAACAGCAGAAGCAAGTAATGCGTGCCAACGCTGGTCCTGGGATCTCCTGAGTCAAGAAGCTCTGAGTAATGAAAACTCAATTTTCCCACTTGAAAATGTCGAAGAGACTTCCTCCGGTTTATTTATCAGTGATTTGGGAATGTCCGACAATCGACGCTACTTTGCGCGGGATGCCAAATCTGGAGAACTGCTAAAAAGCTACGATCTAAAAGTTGGAAAGCTCCCGAGTTTCCCGACGGATTTACAGTGTGTGACCCTGGCCGAGAATCTAAAAATGACATGCGAGTGGGACATGGGATTGCAAAGCTTCCTCCCCTGGGCCAAATCTGACACGAAATTGATGTTCAAAAAAGTTAAGAACATCACCGGCTGGTCAAATGCCCAACTCAGCCAATTATCCTTCACTGATGCTGATGTTCTGTCAGAGTGTCCAAAGTACTGCACGGAAGGAAACATAGGCTGTTGCGAGTTTCAACTTTCAACGGAAGACATGAACGACGACGGTGACCTGTCTCAGCGAGTCACATTTCTGATGAAAGTCACAACTCAAAACGAATTCGGCCAGGCAACGATGAAGAAAGCTAATTCGGAAATTATTTCACATTCACCAACGATGAACATGAAACCACTTTCGCCGAGTAACTTGAGGGCTGCGCCACCAAATGATTACGATGGTTACTCGATGATTATAAAGTGGGATCATCATCCAGGTATGGTTTCAGATTTGAAGATAAATCTCTTATGAAAAATGATTTATAATTGCAAATTTTCTTTAATATAACTTCGCTTAACAAAATCTGAAACCAAATCTACAGGCGCGATGAACAGAACCATGTACCAATACCGAGTCGAATATAAATTGCAAACAGATCACTCTTGGCAGCAATCTCGAGAAGTGTACTTGAACGAACTGGAGCTCAATTCAATGATGATCCCTTATCACGATTATGAGTTCCGCGTCAAGGCCAAGCCAGGCATGACTGGAATGTGGTCTGAGCCTTCAGAGACGGTGACAGCCAGAACAGCGGCTACTCAACCGACTGCGAATTTGAACGCGAAATATACTATTCTTTCGTATTCAAATAACAAGGCTAAAATCAAGTTCTTCTGGCTTCCTTATCAGCAACAAAATGCGCCAAATAATCGATTCCGAATCAGGTTCGTAGGGACCATTTCCAACTCGATATAAAATTGTTTCTAGAGTCAAGACTCGCAAATGCCTTCCTGATCAGCAATTCCTACATGACCGCGTTCTCTACTCAACGATCCTGAACGACCCGACCGTGACCTCGCATGAAATCGAACTCAACGTTCGCAACATTCCATGCCTCGATGTTGAATTCATAGTTGAAAATGACAAAGGAGCGACTGCACCTCAAGTGGAGCCAATCGATTTATTCAGAAGTAAGACAATACTTTCTCTACCAAGTTGAACACACGTTTAAATCTTTTGAAACTGAACCCGGCGCGATTTTCTATAAATAATTTTTTTTTTCTTAGTTGACGTGAACGCTCCTGAAATCGAAATTGTCACTGGCACAGATGGGCACATGATCATCTCCCCCGGCGAGTTGCAAGAATCAATCTTATCCGCTAGCATCAACGTGTGCTACAACATTCCTGCCATCGGCGAGACTCCCATTTGCCACAAACAAGCGCTGTCAGAACAGGAGCTGTCAGCAAAGAATGGGCTCGTCCCGGCTAAAGCTGTGCTAACGCCTTGTTATGATTACAACGTGTATTTGGAAGGTGTGATGGCCACGACGAATGCGACGGTCAGATCGCTGCCACAAGCAATTAGAATGGGTATGTCATCTACGTAAACTACATCTGCGGATTTTACAGGTGAACATTTAGTTCACCTAATTAGTGGAAAAACGTGAATGTCAGCGTTTTCGTTGATTTCGATCAAAATATGCTTTGTTTTCACATATTCATTAAGACGACTACGATATGTTTATTGGAAACATTCTCAGCGTCCGTGACATTACTCGAAACGAGCAGACAGGTGTTGCTCTTGCCGTCGAGTTGACTGTAAATTGGGCTGTCGGAGATGCTATTAACTTTGTCTATGGAATGCATCCTGCGATCTCTTGGCGAAATATGGCCGATGGAAAAGTTCATCATAAAATGGTATTTTACCTATTTATACCTTCATCTTTTTTATACTTATTTTAAGGTCGATCTAGATAGGAACTTATTCTACCTAAATGAAACAGATGGAATAATTGGCGTTTCCGAAACAGCATTTTGGTTGTCAACATGTTGCAATGAGGATCCGAACTCTTGTTTTGCCCAGACGGAAGAAAAAGTCATCACGATATCAGCCGGAAGTAAGTCTAATCTTCTCCGACCTTTTTATTAAGTTTTTCATAGCTCCTGGCGTTGTTCGCGACCTTCAAATTATCTGGAGCAAGTTCGAGGATGCTTATTTCCTGCACTTCGTTGAGCCCGAGCAGACCAACTCGCCACTTAGAAGCTATCACGTTTTCTTAAAATACACGGATCCGTCTGCTGGACTCAAGGAGGTCGTTAAATCTGTTCCCGCGAGTAGCCACGAAGTTTCAATTAAATTCGATCAAGTCTGCAAAAGCGTAATGGATACGGTTCATGTTACAGTTCTCGCTTACGGAAGTGATCTGAAAAATGGACTGATTCCTGGTCGACCAATGTTGAGAACGTATAAGTGCGCGGATTTGATAATCGAAGGTAAAATTGATATTTTCACAATCGGAGAATTACATTTTTAAAAGGTTTATCGACGACAATCATGGCTTCAGCACTCTTCCTTGCTGTCATCATGGTGGCACTTTGCTCATACGTCGTTTTCAACCGAAAGCAAGTGAAATTATACGTACAGCGAACGTTCTGGCCCAAACTCGAAAAGCCTAAGTTCGATTTCCACCACGATTCTCGAGACGACTTCCACTACAAAGCAGAAAAGGCATCGCTTATTGAAGTCGAAGAGATCACAGACATCGCGGTCAACATTCTTCCCGAAATACCGAAAACGTTCCCGAAAGCACAAGATAGTACAATTGACTCTGGAATTTCCGGATCAGAGTACAGCGGCGGCTCTAGCAAGAGTATGCCAATTTACAAGCTTTCTGGTGGAATCGGGGGCTTCCCAGTGTTTGATTCGTTTAGAAGAGAGTCGAACGCCACTTCTGGAGTTATGTCTGGTTCTGATAGTGGTTCTGGTCTTGAGGTAGAAAACATTTTATTGAGCTTTACTAACATCAGTTTAAGTCTATCCATGCTCGTTCGAGTAATCATTCTGGCGACTCGCTTCTATCCAAGGGCCGTCGAGATTCTGATGCATGGAAGAAGCTCTTCCCTCAATCCCCTGACTTGTCTGACTATGTCGGTGGAGAAATTATGTCGCCTGCTATAATGGGCCACTACTCCGTTATGGACAGCAAATTTGGCCTCCAAGAGCGCACTTCGAGCCCAGTGCCGGGACAATACGTAACTGGATACGTTGAGCATTCGAATTTCAATTTGACAAATATGCCCACGGTCTTCTTGGAGAATTTCAAAAAAATTCAACAAATCAGAGAGGCCGAGGTTTTGCCATTCGATTATTTACGTAAGTAGTAACTGAATACGGCCCATGTTCAATCAAATTTTAAGCCGGTCTGCAGACATATGATCCTTATCATCGGACATCAGCGCTCTTCCCGAATTACAAAGAATCCTCCCCAGTTCCGGTGATTTCCCCACCAGAGCATCACCTTCCGCCTGGCTACACAAGAGCCAATATCTTTGATTTGCCTAACGATTCCAAGGACGCGTATTCCGACTACACGGACTACAATGATTACAACAAGATTCAATCGTTCATGCCACCAAAAGACGGAATTCAAATTCTCCCACCAGGATACACAAAAGCAAACATTTTCGATCTTCCCGAAGATCAACCAAAATCAACGCCGATTCCTCAAAGACCTCGACAACCAGTGACTCGAATGAACATGTCATTTGAGTCCGACTATATTTCTGATGGAACCATGCCTCAAATAATGGCACAAAACAAAACAACTTGTCCAATGCCTTCTGCTGATGGATATGTCGGAGAAAGTTTCCTACCAAGTGCTTTTGAAAAGGCACAAATTCGCGCTCCCCCGCAACCACAGGTATTTTTCAAGATAGTGTCATTAAATCTAATCTTGCTTAGGGCGACTATAGAGGAATTCCCCAGATGAACTTGTCCCCTGACGGCTACACAACAGAATCCGACATGGCGATGATCTCCTCCATGATTCCCAAGCACATTGCCTCCGCTCAATTCGTTCCCTCCCAAATGATCCACTCCGATTACACCACCTCCTTAGACCTAAGCAACATTCACATACCCCGCGTCAACAGTTCCGCAAAGAGAAAAAAGTCTTTATCCCCTCCACCCAGTGGCTACGTGTCCATTGAAGGCGCGGCAATGCTGCACCGTTTTCATTAAAATATTTTAAACAAACTGCTCCAAATAGTTCATATAAACAAGTTTTCCTTCATTCAAAAGAACTCTACCCCAACTTCCGTTACTGTATTTGTACATAATCAGCCTTAATAAACAGACAAGACTCCGCTCAAAAAGATATCAATTAATGCATCTAATAATAATCGATAAAAAGTCGAATAACACGCGCATAATGACCTTGAAAAAATACTTTGGATTGATTCAGCTCCCTGCTTATAATTTAACGGTTTATTTTGCAGGCACGTGTGGCAATCGAATTGTTTTAGGTTATGATTTATTTACAGTTGCATTTCATTCTGATAAAACTTCCTTGATTTTGGGCTCTTTAGGTAAATAACTTTTTTGGCGTAGGAAATTTTGAAAATCAAAAGTGAACTGTTACATGTTTACTTTAAAAACAGCGACTTCATCGAGGGACTCATCAAATTCTACGCCCTGCCTTGGACTTGAAGCCGTGGCTGAGTACTTGTCGAGCTCGATCTGGACATTGATAACTTGGACTATTGAGCCATCGTTAGCTACTTTTCGGTCGACGTAGTGGGCGAAAGATGTCGCTCGTTTTGGAGAAGCACCTTTTTTGGTTTCAAATATGACGTTTCGAGTTACTAAGTCTTATGATTTTGAAACAATCCTGTCTCGCGTATAAGTCGATGAATAAATTCTAGTTCTGCTAGCTCTGGCGCGGATTCAAAGTCTTGCAAGAATTCATGACTTCTTTCTTGTTCACGAAATTCTTCTTGGGAGGCGTTTGAGTATCTTTCGAAATCATCGTCTGGGCAAATTTCATTGACTGAACAATCTACTGATCCTGGGACTTCTTAGTGTTAAAAATGATCTATTCGAGAATTTTAGTTCTTTTGAGAATTTTTAACACTTGTCTGCCAGGGAGTGAGATCTTCCCCCTTGAGTCTGTCTTCTGTACCTCCTGAACCTTTCCAGTCGTCTTCTTGAGGCGAATCTGCGCTGTAAATGTCTTTTGCTATGTTATCAAATTTTAACCCACTTGCGTAAAATTCCAGCATAAACATCGCGCTGGACTTGGACTTTATTCAAAGCTAATGATAACATTTCTTGCAACAGGTTCGTCTTCCAGTGCTCTTAGTGCCGGAATTCTTGATGGCCGAGTAGCATCATTGAGTGAGTTCGGCATTGCCATATGAAAATCATCACTTTCCCATTCAGAATCGTCCTCGTCCGGTAATGGCGGCAGCATTTCTTCCGTTGAGCGTTGTCTGCTGTGATGTGCGCAGCCGCTGCGGTTGATTTTTCATTATTCGAGAATTTATCAAAAAGAAAAATTGCCAACCTTGTTGAAGGACCTGGATTTGGTGAAAGCGGATTCGTAGCAGGAAGAGGCGTTGGTGGAATATCATCTGCCGGACATGAGTTTTCCCTGAAGAACATTCCATAAACTCGACAGCAAAAAATTGGCTTATGTAAGCGCAGGGACGGAAAACAAATGTTTAAGGAGGTGACCTGCGAAAGTTTGCCGGGCAAACCTTTTATCCGAAAGTAAACGGTCACATTTCTTTCTCGAAAAAGTTATTTGGTTTTCCCATTTTTCAAGTGCCGGAAAAACGAACCTCTGAAAGTGTTGCTGCGAATGCTCGTATGATGGAGGTCGATCGGCCATGCGAGCAGACATGACTGAGCAAACTTCTGGGCAGCCGAACTCATCGCTAGGAGAACTTGTTAAAAGGAAAGAAGAAAAGGTCGTTGAACTTACCCGTAGCTTGATTCACGGTAGCCAACTGGAGCCATTGTCTTTTTGAAGTCAGTATAAATGCCGTACAAGTGCTGAATCGCGATCCACATCAAAAGCCCCGTTGACGTAACTCCTAGTTCAAAAACGTTGATGACTGGCTATTGTCGTATTAACTAACCTAGTGCTGCTAAACAAATCGTAATCAACTGTTCGTTGTGGAGAAATCCTCCTCTTTCCGACTCGTCTTCTTTCTTTTCCGCCTTAGAATTGTCTTTTTCTTCGCCTTTTTCTTCATAATTATTTGAGAAATCAGCCGACTTGAGAATCGGCCTGGGTACTGCAATATTTCCGCCATGAGCTTTCCCATCGTTTTCTCCCGCTGAAAATCAGAATTACATTTTCGGAGAAATTACGATACACAATCACAAATGCAAACACAAAAGTAGGCTATAATCTCCTTGATAGCGCGGTGGGAGAGCAAAAGCGATAAAGGGAGAAGAGAAGTCCCACGCTGAGGCGCGCATCTGGGTAGAGATGGCCATCGACCTCGGTGCTGGATGACCTGGGGGAATAAGTTCTCGGCGGGAGATGTTATTACTTGAGTACAAACTTGGATTCTACATGGATTTTTGAAAGTCTCACAGTCTTATCAGAAAATTCTCCAGTTCAAATTTTTGATAAGTAAAAAAAATTATGAACAGTATTTTTGAGCATCTTTTTCGAGAAATCCATCAATGCTTAATAATAATTTCCAAGCAAATATGTTTAAATGCTTCATAAACCGCCGTGACAGAGCTCATCCCTTTTTAAAAACTCGGCTAACAGGCTTAAATCCCTTGTCTCGCCCGTCCATAAACCCGGAAAGCCTCGCCGAAAAAGAGGTCGGTGGCCGTAAATCCGAACAACCTTTGCGCATATTTGCTGGGCAAAGCACTAAAACTCGTGCCGCACTGCTCACAGCGTCTGCTCAAATAAAATGCATCAAAGTTGTAAAAACGGGATCGAGTGTGACAGCCGAGGCCTTCCATCACGCGGGCTCAGAGGAGCGGTGGATCTGATGCGAATGCGGGCTGAGCACACGCTCGGACATCAGTCAAGGGGAGCTTCAAAGATGCATTAGTAAGGTGGATCTTGACCTGCTCGCAGCTCAATTTTGAGATGATACGGACCGGACGATGTCTTTTGAAGAAATTTGACAGGACCTTTTTTAAGAATTTCGAGTCGAATCGAAATTTTCGACGGTTATTTTTGGCATGTTCCGGCATTTTGAATATGTTTTGCACGAGAAAAATATGGAAAACGGGAAATAGTTAATTCAGGCGAAAACAGTAGGCCATTGAAAAGTTCGGCCAGATTGATCGTTCCCGCCTTTGGCAAATATCGCATGATATTACGGTTAATTGTATTTTCGGAGGCCATTATATCTCGTTCTTTCGAGGTACAATAAATTGCCATTCTTATAAATGAGGAGGATTTTTGTTAGGAAAGTGTTTGAACAGGCCGTTTGTGTTCCCCGGCCGCGTGGCTCTTCATCCGGTCAATTCGCGCCTCTTCAAGAAAATCCCCCATTGTAGTGAAACCTTATCTCGTGAAATCAACAAAGACCAACTTATGTCTAAAGGAGATTTTTTGCTTCAAAAGCACTTTCGGTGAAATTCCTGTGGACATAAAGTATCAAGCGAACTTGAGAATTTTCAAAGCTCAAACAGGCTTTTACCGGGATAAGGGTCTCTCGAAATTTCTCAGCGAGAAAATTTCTGCAAAAAAACTGCCAAACTTAAAGTGTTTATAAACAGACAGGCAGTAAGCTTGATAAAGAATTTCAACCAAGAATCCAGTTCAAAATTAGAATGATTATGAAATAAATATTTTACTTTAGGAAAATCATGTTCGCGCGGCACATCAAAGGCGCACTGACAATGTGGACCGCCGGTAGCGGGTGCGGCGAAATCCGCGTTTCCGCCCTTCAGCTGAATGTCTCTTTATGAGCTTCCAGATATCAAAGAGTCTGTGTTCCGGCGCCGCAGTTCTATTCCATAAACTCTCCATTCTTGAGCATTTCCTATCCGCGCGCAAGGCCTGAGCGGCTGCCTTTTCTTTTGTAATTTTTTGGATTTTTAAATCCCTCAAGAATATTCCACTCAAAAAAGTTCAGTGAAAATAATTATTTTAAAAACAAACAGATACGATATCCGCTTCACGACACCCTCCGACTCTTTTTTTCATAAATCAAACGTAAACAAAGTCCACATTTCCAAAAACGAAACATAAACTTTTCAGGCCACCATGACAATTAGAATGATACTTGTTTTTGACAATTTTAAAATATTTACGGAAGCATGAGCATTTTGAGTTAGTCATATTCGGCGTTGGGTTAAATGCATCAGGCTTGCTGCTGGAGCTAAGACTTGTTTCCTTTTCAGCAGGTTCCGATGGGAAAATGTATATTGATTCGGAAGTGAGATTCTATCTGAGAGTTTTGTCGGCAAACCTAATTACCACACGTCAGATCTCGATCGGAAATAACTTTCCATCTGCGGCGATCTTCTTTTGATGCCCTTGAACCTGTGTGTATTCAATAAGGCCATAGCTTGAGGCATTCGCCCGCAGCGGGTGCCTTCTATTCCCGAGCGGCGCCCCTGCGCCCGTTTGGGCACTCGCCGCTGGGCACAGCGCCGCGCAGTGGCCATCTAGCTTCGCGTTTTATATTAAATCAGCCTGATCATACCTCCCAAGCCAAATTATCATATTGTTTTGAGTGTTTACCGAGCAAAGGTGAAAACTGAAAGAACTTCTACTAGGAGCACTAGAGAGATCTCAGCTACAACGCTCTCGAAGAACACAGCCCTAGAGCCAGCAAAAGCGACAGAGTGTTTGACAGATACACAGCAAAGACAAAGTCTAGAGGAAACGATTATTGGATTTGAAAATATGCTAGAGGGATCCTTTTCCATGTACCCAGAGCAGATCCCAGTCCAGACTCAAAGAGACGAACACGCAGCATCCCAAGTCCAATTCGATCAAACGTAAGTTGAATCAAATTCTTCAACAATAATTCTTCTTGTAAAATGAAGTAAAAACAGTCTCTAAAATTTCACTTTAGCCAATTCAATGCTGCCCAAGCTCCTGCAACTCAGTTCGCCCAGTACGCGATGCTCAACGCCCAAGCAGCTCAAGCGGGTCAGCCATTTCCGCTCAGCTATCCTGGTATTAGCCCTGCTGATCAGTACAGACAGTACCAACATTCGCACGCCAAGCCTCCATACTCGTACATCTCCCTCATTGCTATGGCCATTCAGGTAAAATAATATTCTAATTGTGACAAAGCTTTCTAAAACCAAATCAGAAAAACCAAACTAACTCTATTCTTCAGGCATCTCCTCGCAAAATGTGCACTTTGAACGAGATCTACCAGTTCATCATGAACCTCTTCCCCTACTACCGCCAGAACCAGCAGCGTTGGCAAAACAGCGTCCGTCATTCGCTCTCTTTCAACGATTGTTTCATCAAGGTAATAAATTTCAACCAATTTTTTAGCCATAAATATCAAATTATTCGAGAATTCATAAATCTAACCCATTTTCAGGTGCCCCGCTCATCCGAGATCCCCGGCAAAGGTGCGTTCTGGGCTCTTCATCCCGAGGCTCACAACATGTTCGAGAACGGCTGCTACCTTCGTCGACAAAAGCGATTCAAGCTCTCAAAGAAAGACGAAAAGCCCCGAAGTCGCCAAGGCAAACGATCGCTCGTCTCCGATGACGCTCCGGCTCCCAAACAGAAACGACGCAACTCGATGAACACTTCCACCGACGTCTCCCTCGAGAGCGGCAGCCCATCTTCCGAGCCTGGCTTGACAGTCCCCATCAACAGCACCAAGACTCCGTCCCCGGAGAAGGAGCAAATCATCAAGCAAGAAGTCTACGACCCCGTCCCAAAGGTGGAACGCCCATTGACCGAAACTCCAGTCCTCCAGGAGCAGCAGAACCACCAACCAATCACCTCTCAGCACAGCATTGCTCTCAACATCTCTCCTCTCACTACTGGAGCCTACAATCTCCAACACCACTCGATCCCGACTTCTGAGTCCGCCATGCCTTCGATGTCGTTCTCCGCGATTCCAGACATGTGGCAGCTGTACCCCTCCGTCTACTCTACCATGACCAACATGAACTCATACGACACGGTCGCCTCCACCATCAACCCCGACATTTCCGCCAGCTCCACCGAAGAAGTCAGCTCCTACTAAAGCAACTTCCGCGCCGCTTTAATTATTCTGAATCCTTCTTTCTGAGCACTAAAATCTAAGCTTGTATATTTCAAAAACAACAAAACCCATTTCCGTTCTATCAAACGCTACCCAGTTAAAAGCCAATCTGTACAAAATAAAGTTATAAAACAAAAAAAAACTATCCGTGGGAATCAATTTTCATCCAGCAGCAAAAAAGATAGGCAGGTTCTAAAAAGGCGCCTAAATCAAAGCAGGTGCTTGAGTGAGGCATTATTCAGACATTTCGAGGGGCGCACTCAAGTGATACTTTCACTGCTCGCGAATTCGCCAAAATCCAGCAAACAATGCAAGCCACCCTAAGGAGCCACAACAGAAAAGACATCATCAAAGTCAACTTTTATGGGGGTTTAAACTTGGGAATGGACCAAGTCCTTAGGGATTGAACAAGGCCTGTCAGAAGATACCTCAAAATTTCCACTCAAATTAGCATTTTTGCTAACATCAAAGACCTAAAAACGGTTCCCAGTAATCGTCTATGTTATCATACAGAGCTACTTAAATATTGACAGTATCCGAGTTTCCTTCAAATCACGGTTTGCAACTCTTAGCATGCTACCAAATCGATGAGAACTTCTGAAAATCAGGTTCGATGAAATGAGCTCAAGGAAGAAAAGTCGCGTAAAAGTGCCCCTGACCGGGAAGAGTAAATACCCGTCGCCCTTCAAGAGACAATCGACTCCAGGGAGAAAAGCTTTAATGAGTGAATTCATCATCATCATCCCAGACGTACTCGTGAAACACTAAGCCTCTTGGAGAATGATATTCTCGCTTTATATGAAAAGGCTCTTGAGCAGCTTACCTTGAGAGTTGGATTCGCTGACTCGTTGGGTTTTCGTGATGATCATTGAACCTTCATGGTCTCTTTCGATGGTTATCTGGTCAAAGTTTCCAAAGGATCCAATCTTCTTGAGAGTGACGAGTTCGTCGATCAGCTCGTCTTCTGACTTCCCTTCTTTTATGATTTCCGCGGCGGTCTCCACCACTTGATCAATGATTCCTTCTTGTTTTAAATTTTTGATTTCATTCTCGATATTTTCTGAGATTTCCTCAGAAGACAAGGAAGAAATCAAATTCTGAAATGTTGATTAAAAATTTCGATTATGAAATTTTCATTTGTAAACATTTTAGATGCTCAATGAAGTCACGAGTGATATAACAAAAAGGGATTAGGGCATCCACACGTCAATTGGAGGTGGAGCCTTTCAAAAGCTTATCTGCGGCTGAGGGACTAAATATAGGGATTGACGTGGCGCAGTTATGATGCTCGCGGTCAGCTAGAGTCGGACATTCGTCCAAATATCATGACGCTGGTAACTTTCATAAAACGAGCGAGCATGTCATTTCTTATTGAGGTAAAAAAAGATGGTGACGTTAAATATTTTCATAGAAATATTCTCTTTTTTTTACAATGTCTACACGTCTTTCTCCGTATGTAGATGGTAATTTTGTCATCGTTTTATTCCTATATTATTATTATTTTATGGAATGTCTTTGAATTATACGTAAGACTCTCTTTAAAAACGTATGACCATGTTATTATGCTCACTATATAGCGACTTTTGGCGAGGAGACGTGTGTACGTTCGGATAAAATATTACATAAAAAAGTAAACGTACCTGCGCATCAAGAATAGCTCTTCTAAGCTCATTCAGTTTCTGTACATCGCTGGCATTATGCGTTACTTTTCCATCTCCATTTTCTTCTTCGGCATTTTTGCCCAAAATTCCAAGCGCAAGAAGAAGCAACCTGAAGAGCTTCATTCAACTTGTTCTCTCTGCTTTTATCCTTCTGTGTCTATCTCTATCACAAAAGTACAGATGCTTCTAAATCTGAAAGAAAATGCTAAATTTTTATCATTTTTCTTGCGAATCTGGCGAGGTGGATTTAATTACATAGAGTTAGGCAGATAGGTGGCTCAATTGGCAAAACGCGACCAGCGCTTCAAACAGAAATGACAAAAAAGCCTCGAGGAACCTATTTTTTGTTGTTTCTAAAACGATCTTAAGTCCAGACTGCTTGGGAGTCAGTGGAATAATTGGTCAGAAAGATGGATAATATTTTCTTCTGGGTCAATTCGATAACTGACATATTTCATTGTAACATTAGTTTGTTTGCATAAAAACAGATATTGTTCATTCTTCAAGGCTCAGTTCGGTTCACCCAAAAGCCAAAGGAAAGTGGAAATGCGAGATATAATAAAGCTCATGTGACCGTGACCGATTACATTCATTAACACCGATAAGAATCGGTGGTGCAGGATTTCTAGTACCGCCGGGGGGCAATTTCAGTACGCCAATCGCGCATGAACCTCTGCAGTACGCGGTCGCATGAAAAACGTGCAAAATTCCTTCTGAAACTACACATATTTACGAAAATAGTAAATCAGAGAATGATTTTAAAAGATTTTCTTTGGGCAGTGCTGCAGATTCATTCTGCACTTGGACAACGAGTGGAACAAGAGAGACTTTATCCAACAGTCAAAGTGCCTGTAAATGGCGGCAGCAGTTATATTGTCCCTCTAAATACCGAAAACCTCGACACTGATTATTCAAATCAAGTCTCATTTGATCAAAATAGAGCATCACCGATTCCAGTGGGCCCTCCAAGCCCCGTTGTAGTCACTTGCCCCGTTTTGGATCTTGAAAATCTTCAAGAAGACGATGAAGAGTTCCAAATTATTCCAGCTTTCAAAACATTCGATCGGGGCTCAATCATTCCAGTCAAGATTAAAACGTCAAATACGATGTTCAAACAGTTTTTCGTCCAAGTAAAAGATGGCGAAACTGGCCAACCTTTCGGCGATTTCGGAGTTGCTTCTACAGATCGTTAGTTTGTTTTTAAAAATATACATGCCAGCGAAGAATTTTAGCTTTCAACTGTGACAAATCGAAGCCGAATCAAATGGACACATTCCGAATTGAAAACTACGAAGGCGACGCTATTGATGTCACGTGGAAGCCGTTATCTGCTCCTAATGATTTACCAGCCACGGTCATCTTAACTGGTTCTTTCAAGTCAGCAGGTGGTGCTTACAAGGAAATAAAATCAGCAACGCTAAAAAGGAAGAGAATCGAAATTTAACTCGATATATTCATTTTAAAACTTGTTTTCGATCTTTTTCAAGGCGAGCAGATGTGAGTCTAAGAGAATGCTGCGAACTTGAGTTCCCGAAAAGCCTGCACAATGGCGACTGTGCTAGAATGTGTGAGAAGACAAGCATTGTGGATGCTCTTTCGAGTGCTCTTGAATATTGTAAAAGCGAAATTTACAAGCTCCAGAGATGCTATCATACAGGTCGCGGTTGATAAAACTTGTTTGATATGGCTTTTATTTCTAACATATTTTATATCATAGCATAATAATTAGGATTTAATTTACCTTGATAAAAATGTATTTTCCAGAAATTTAAAGGTGTCTTATCGAAAACATTTTGTTGACCAGATCAAAGAATCATTCGTAAATACGGAAGATACGGACCCGATAGAAGTCTCCAAGCTTATTGCCAGAAGTGATATGGAAAGAAAAGATTGCTGCGAGAGTGATTCGGTGACTCAAGATTGTCTTGGGCTTTGCGACGGAGCTCAAACCCTTTTTTGGAAGAAGCAGTACAATCAATGCTCAAGCGTCAACAGGTAAGATACCATTTTATATATCGAAGTAAAACTTTCTAAGACAAATTTATTCTTGCTGGTCAAGAACAACCTGCGTGGGACGATGCGAACAGAATCCAAGAAATGATCATAAATGTCAGTGTGATCTGGACTGTATGATGCGAGGGGTAAGTCATTCGCATTATTTTTTGTCCTCATGTTCTTTAGGATTGCTGTATCGATATGCCATTTGCATGCAAAGTTGACTTGCCCGTCAAGATTTCCTATTGGCCATCCCAGTCACTTTCCTGCACAAAAACAATCAATTTTGCCCACTATCAACGACCAAAAGGAGTTCATCAGATGGAAGCTCTTATTGTCGACCCGAAGAAACCAAGCCCTTACGTGGCTCTCGGACTCGAGGGCTTTGTTGGAAAACTAAAGACATTCTTCAATGTGAAAATTGACGGCGCTTATAGATTCTACTTCATGCTCGGGTCGAAGGACTTTGGACAGGTTCTCGTTGATGGCGTCAAAGTTGCCGATCTGATTTGCTCGGCCACTGCGAAGCCTTTTCAGGTACTCATTCAAAAAATCCTAGTTTTGAATATTTGACAGGTTGATCTTCTCATGCCGTTCGGAGGCCACTCGCTTGAAATAATCTTTGCTCACACTGCCGGCGCTCATCAACTCAAAGTAGCCTATGAAGGACCAGATACTATGATGCGGCCTTCCAAAATTCCTGTCGTAAAAGAATCAGACATATTGGAAATGGGTCTGCCTGCTGAAATCGCAACTACTACAGCTGCCGTCCTTCCGACGCGGCCAGGCGCTGTTCTCGAGAAATCAACAACGACTACAAAAGCTTCTATTGGCTGGAAGAATCCAAATGTTCCTTCGGTTCAGCCAAAGTATGCTATTTCCAGTAGAAAGATAGTAACGTTCATTTTAAGAACTCGTCGACCAGCACCAACGAGGGCCCCTCAAACTGCACGACCACTTCCGAAAAGCTCAGACGAACAAACTAAACCTGAGAGATTTGATATTCGCATTATAGTTGGGCTAAGTCTTGGTGTTTTTGTTGGAATCGTCGCTATTGGACTCATATTTAAATACCTCAAGTAGTTTCACTGGAAATATTTTATGAAACTTTTCATTCCTCTCTTTCTTCAAATAAACAAATTATCTATTTCATACTGTATAAATTATACAACTAAACGATTTATTTTCTTTAAAGTTTATTCACGAGGCAGCTGCCGGAATTAAACACTTTATTTGACGCCGAATTTGAGAATTGTGTCTCTTTCTCCCACAATTTTCTCACTTATTCATTTTATTGGACACCTTATAGTACGCTGTCGTAATGAAATTTTCAAAATGATATTTGCAACAATGGAAGATTCTTTGGTTGTAAATCAACTCAACCATCCCACGGGGTCCCCACCGGTTCTGAAACCGTTATTAGTAAAAGATATTTTTTTAGCAATCATCCCTTTCTAAGTCACCGTAAGTTCGCCCCGGGGCTGTTGGTGCAGCACGGTGCACGGTTGGTCGTTACAAAAACTAGCACTTGTCAAAATTACTTGTATTAAAAAATTCTAAATGCCAAAGTTTTAATAGAGAATTTGAATTTCATTCAAGAGACTGTGTCCAAATGTCTTCATTTAATCAGTATGTCACTTCAACGGCAGATTATATCGACCCACCAGGTGAACAGAATATGTGTTTTAGAATTTCCAATAAAAATATGTTTTTTTTTTGTGATGTTCTTTCATGTTTCTAATCGCGTTGTTAAAGTTGACATTTCAAATAGGGAAGAAAAATGATCTTATTTTGCCGCGTAATTTAAGAATTCTTGAGATATGTTCAAGTTTGAAACTTTCGCCGGTAATTCGCTCATTTATCCACTCAAATGAATGACTCTGCCGAAGTGCTTGTCAAAAACTAGCGCGGTGGTGGTGCTTGAGCCTCCAGGCTCATAAATCACTTCTGACATTTCGCCACCGACGGCATTTTTGCTTTATCCCTTTTTCCCAATTAAGGCTGTCATTTAGTGAAAACAAAGCTAAGAGAACCTCACAATGCCCTCTTTGATAAAAGTTATTAACAAAAAAATAGAGAGAAGATTGATAGAAATCGAAGACGAGGACTTAGAAGATACGAAAATAGAGAGGAAGCTGGACAAATGCAGAAAGTATCTGATGATTGGTCTTGCTTTGGTGGGAGTTTTGTATTATATTGCTTACGAGTTTGATGGGTTAGAATCGGAGACATCCATGGTAAGAAAACTAGGTTCTATTGAGGATAAATATCTAGGGATTCCGCAAAAACTTCAATGATACTATCATGAAAGAGAGCCAGGTCTCCTATGATGGAAACCTCATCATGGAATTTAACTTTGTTGAGATCAAAAATGGGCCCTGTCTATCTGGGAGACCAATTAAGATAATTAAAAAAGAAAAATTGAAAACATGTCAAACAGACGATGATAGTTAAATCATTTTCCTTAGACTGACGCAGCTATATCTTGGGTCCAGATCTCACAGAACTCCGGCCCCAGTCGTCCAGCTATGGTTGCTCCTGATCCCTACAAACTTCCTCCACCGAATGAATATGATCCAGCAAGACATGATTTTCCGAAAGCTTACATTATCGGCGCTCCTCGGTGCGGCTGTCATGTCCTCCGGCAGTACATGGAACATCACCCGCAGATGTTCTTCACCGAAGAGCAGAACTTACACTTCTGGGACGAGAAATATTCTCAGGGGTAATTTCATCCTGTCTCGTTTCGTCAATCTTTATCAAATTTCTAGCGTGGATTGGTACAAGGAGCAAATTCCGGCAGTAAAGCCTTGGCAAATCTCCGTCGACTACACGAGTGAGTACTTGATCCAGCCACAAGTGCCACAAAGAATGATTGATGAGCTCCCAAATAACCAGACGAGGATAATTATGATGGTTTGTGACCCAATCGAGCGCGCCGAACTCGAGTTTTTCGAAATCTACAACAATTTGGACACGAATCATGCTGATTGGAAGGCAAAATTGGACGCTGTCGGCGACATTGTAAGAATTCTCAAATATGAATGATAATTGTAAAACTCATTTTCAGGTGACCGATTTTCCAAGTTTCGCCGATCTCTACACGAAATTCCTCTCCGCCATCAGAGACAATCCTTCAGAAATATCAAAATACGGCGTTACGGATTTTGAGGAACTCATCGAAAATATAAGAACCATCCGCCCAGAAACCTCAATCCTGACCACATCTCTCTTCGATATCCATATTCGCCGCTGGCTGCGAGTTTTCGACCGCGGGAATATTCTTATCATGGATGGAAGGCAGCTTCAGACAGCGCCAATTGTGGCTGTCAGACGTGTTCAAAATTTCTTGAGAATCGAAGATGCAATTCCGTCAAAAGCATTTAGTTTCAATGCGACAGCGGGACTCTTTTGCATCGACACAAGTCAATTTTCTGATTTGAATGAGATCGTTTGTCCAGCAAGGGATTCGTTTGTTTGTAAGTATATTTCATCACTATTTCGTTGATTGATAAGCTATAAATTTTATAGTATGAATTAAAGTGCATCAAGTATCTTCATACTTTATGAATTCATAAAATCGTCGATAAGTACCGACAATCTTCATCATTTACTTTGTCTTGATCTCGATGTATCCTAAGTGTGAATATATCGTTCCTACAAAGTCTTAAAATAATGCTCCGTAAGCATCATCTTTTAGTGCCCGATGCTGCGCCTCGAATCTCCATGGAAGTAAAAAACAAGCTGAAAGAATGGTTCGCCCCTCACATGGCCTCATTCGCGTTCATGACGAATGACACTTTCCCCTGGGCTTATCTTCCTCAAGTTGCCCACATAGACATGCCAACTGGACAAGGATGGGGAGATCTCAACTGAAAGTAACAATTTACGAATCTATATATATTTTGAAATTATAAATATTTACACAACTGCAGTATCTTCAAAGACAATATATTTAATAAAAGCTTATCAAAAAATAGTTTATTTCTTATTTACATATTGCTGCTTTTTGCATCAGATATTACTGAATGAAGTCTAGTGAAAGGGGAAAAGAAACGTAGTTTTTTAATTATAGTTGACCATGATCCTGAGGAAGCTTACCAAAATCGTGTGCGCTAGAAAATTGTACATCGAGGAGGGAAGTGACAATGTTACCTTGATCAAGATGATATTGGACGATGTCGAACTCATTTTGCAATGTGTAAATAAGGTCTTCAGGAATCTCAAGCGACTGGCTTTTATACGTTTCTATTTGTTCAAATAGCCTTAGCAGCTGCCCGAAGCCCTCTAAAATATCATGAATAAGCATTCTGCCTGATTTTTACAGGGGGAAGTTCTCCTAGACATCGAAACCGGTGTTCTTGATTCAAAGGCAAGGATTCTCAAAGAATCGGTCGAAAAACGACATGTCTGCTTGACTATTTCGATCGTCAGGAATCATATCTACGTCTTTGTCAAGACGAACATCTTGCTCTTTTTGTCTTCCTTACCAAGTTGGTAGATTCCATAGAGCCTGGTGTATCTCGATTTGCTCCCGTAGATAACGTGCTCTCCGTCAACGCCGCTTTTTGGTTCGATCAAGTTCCTCTCAAAAAGCCTCTCAAGAGAATTGATGTATCGGATGGTCCTGAAAACGATGAAAATCAAAGAGATAAGAATGGACTCACGTATCTTGTTCGGTGAAGTCCTCATTACTTGTAACCAGTAACACAAGATCTTGATATTCTCGTGCTTTTTGTAGAAGATCTTGAGATGCGCTGAATAACATCAAATTTCATAATCATATCATATTGATCAGTTTAATTGAATCTTGATAACCGTTTTTGAATAGCAAGAATATCATAAGCAAAAATTCTTCAGAATTTCATTTAATGAAATTTATTTTACCTAAGAATTCCCTGGATTGACGGAAGTTGTGTGTTTCGATTCATTTTCGTTAGCTGAGAATACTGATCGTTGAGAATTATTGTTTCCTGGTAAATCCTTTCGCAATAACTATAAACATCGTAGTTCACGATTGTGTGACCGGCGAGCACCTCAATAACTGCAATTCGGAAATAATAAACATTTCAGAAAACGATAGAATGTGCCCCTGCTAGCCAAATATAGAGCAAAACTGAATGCGTTTTTTATTCTTTCCTTCCTGAGAGAACGTACTTTGCCAGGCGAGCTAAAACGTCGAGTTTGGGGTCCATTGTGAAAAAATTCTCCATCGAATCTTTTTTTGAAAAACCACTATTTATTGGTTGAAAAACTTCTTGGTTTTTAACGCACGATAAAAATTTTTATCCAAAATTTTTTACCAAGCCTTGGATGATAGTGAGGGTAGTTGGGATTCCATCCATCATCAAAACAGTGGAAAGCTAGTGTAGGAACACCTGATGATTGAAAGAACGGCTCAAAGTTTCCACCAACGTTGACAGGTTCAAATTTCGGAAATGCCGATCTGTCTAGTCTTGCATACCGTTCTTCCCAATTCTTCAAAAGTGTGCAATCTTAACTTGAGAGTCAAACTCAAGATCATTGTTCAATGAAGATATAAAGAGTTTTACGGTTAGATAGAATACGTCGACTACCGAATGGCGGCAAACAAATCATTTCAAACAAGATCTGCAAGGTGAAATTTTTTACCTTCGCCTTGGCTGATCGGACAATCGTCCCAATCGACTTCATCTGCAAGTCTTGTGGCGATGGTGTTGAATAACGGGGATCCTCGAGAGAGGCAAATGTCTTTCCCAAGCACCGCCTGGTCCAAACTCAGGTATGCATTGGACAATTGCTCGATTGTCGATCGGTATTCTTGGTGATATTCGACGGATCCAATCAACCCAAGAAGCGATGTCGGCCAAGTTTGAAAAACAATCGTTCTCTTATTGCTCCAACCCGTCATTTTCATTTCGTAAATAGCCTTTATCAATTCGTTTTGAATCACCAATCCACTCTTCGCATCCTTCACTCCTTCTGCAAAAGCGTCCATTTGCGAGTCGACAATGATAAAGTTCTCCTGCACAGTGCTGCCGAAAAAGAAGCAGGCTGGCGCCTGAATTTCCGCCAAGTCTGTGTTCATTTTTACGTCTATTGTCACTGTCTTTCCGCTGAGTTTGTCGAAATCGGCGTTGGAGAGTGGCACGATTGGAATCTTTGGAATTTTGCCCTCTTCCTGAATTATATACTCCTTCACTGTCAAACTTATAAAACGCGTACCTTGAGTTCTTCAACAGTCTTTCTAACATTATTGACATTATTCGAAGGAATAACCGCGTCTGTTGAAATATCGCCTTTGACATAATGCGCTGAACCGTACTGAGCATCATTTTGGTCCAAGTCTTTGAAAATGCTCAAATCAGGAACAACGAAAAGACCGGTGCAGTTGGCAGATTCTGCTTCGAGTGCGAGCTCCGTCACAGACTTTTCTCCAGTTTTGCCATAGCAAATTCTAATAGAATTGTTCACGCTGTTTTATTAAAAAGAGATAGAGTAGTTATCATCGCAAAGAAAAATATGAATAATTATCTTCAGGCTCAGCGAACAATCTAATAAGAATCTTAATTAAAAATATATTGAAAGTTTGCTTATTCATTTCGATTCTCATCAGCTTTTGCAAAAATATATTTTGCTCAATTAAAAAATAAACGTCGTACCTGCCAGCTTCTATCGGGATTATTTTCGAAACCACCGATCCAGTAAGATTACTATCAGAAGACCATGCGATGTACGGATCTTGATCTGTTCTATCAACAACGATGCTACCTCCTTGATCTCGAATCGTTGTTGAAATCGGGGTAGAAATCATCACTCGGTAGAAATTGATAACAACTTGGTCGCATGTGTCTTTCCAATCCTTGGTGATGTTGAAAACGAATCTGGAGGTGATGGATTCATCCCCAGGATTAATGGTTTCCTGAGTGAAGGATTTCAGTGTTTCGTTCATGTGGTTTCTGTCGATGAACTCGTGGAAGCCTTTTCGATCACTGACAGACGAATCTGAAGGTCGTATAGGCGGAGCGCGGCCCAGACTTTCCAGATGTAATGATAAGTTTGAGGATTCTTTTAATTTCGGAAGTCGATTATCGATTTTTGAGACTGGTTGCTAAGAATATTTTTCTAATTGCGGCGTTAGTTCTTGAAAAAGTGCTCTCAAATAGTAAATGTACAATTTCTTTACAATTTTCCTGAAGGACCAGCCGATTATACAGCCAATCGCGATTGTAAAAGTCGCGAAGACTAAATTAGAAACAACTCTTCTCATAGGAAGCACCATCTTTTCTCTCTCTCTTTCTCTTCGTTTTTTTTAGTTTCTCTCTCTCTCAATAATTACTCTTGAACTCTGAGACTGGTATCCCCTAAATTTGCGGTTTGTCTTTGCGGCGCCCAGCGTGTTGGACTCAAACAGTTTATAGGTATTTAAGCATTGTCAGAGACGCCAATGCGTGCGAAGGAAAGCGAGCTGCTTTTACTGCATCCGGCGAAGATGAAGGTATCCGATTTGTTGCTCGCATTTGCATAGATGCTCAGGCACCTGCATTATTCAGTTGATTCAAATGTTTTAAAAGGTGAATAAGAGAATTTTCTTTACAATAATTTTTTGAGCGTAAAGATAAAAACGATAGTTTTCTTACAACATACGGTACGAGCTTTGATAACAGTTTTTGAACACAGTCTTTGATCGCAGACTGTTTGATATTCTCGGGGAGATAATGTTCAGAAAGTGAAAGCAAAACCGATGAGAATACAAATGATTGAGCAAATAATTGACGATGGAGACGAGCTTGTCGTTGTCGTTGTGGACGTTGGCGTCGTTGTTGTTGTTGTTGTTGTAGTTGTTATTGTAGTTGTTGTAGTAGTAGTAGTTGTTGGAGTTGTTGTTGTTGTAGTTTTTGTCGTTGGGAAATCGTGGCCATGGCGACAAGATTCAGGAAATCTCGTTTTGTCTTACAATATTTAAATTGACGAAACTTTATAATAATCAAAAGTATCATTTCGCATTATACGTATTTCACATTACCTGGAACATTATCTGTGCAGAGAAATCCATGAGCATGTCCAGAATCTCCATTTAACGAGTTAAAGCAATTGACTGGCTCCCAGTTTTTCAAATCATGGTTATCAAAGTCCCCTGTCCAGTCATAGTCGACATCCAAAATAGCACAATCGGTGTCTAAATTTTCGCAGGTCTTAAATATTTGCAAAACCAAGTACCCATCGTATTAGGATCCGGCGCGCGCTCCCAAAAAGTTGGCTTCGTCACATCGCAGGTAACATCAACTTTCTGATCATTCTCGTCAATGACATGATATTTCCATTCAAACTTCTCTTTGTTTTCTTTTCTTACAAGACCTAGCCACAAACGGGCCCCTTCTCGATTGATTTGAGAAAGGTTGAACGCCAATTTGGAGATTTTCTCCTGCTCTTCAAATGAGCTTCAAAAATATTACCATCAACTGCAAAAATTATCACCAACCTGATGGTGGAGAGCGTTTTATTCCTCAACTTGCAGTATTCAGAAGCCTTCTGAAAGTTTAAATAATTGTCAGCATCAGGAATAAGCGCATAGTACTTAATCCCATCGTAAGCATCGACGCAAATATCTTAAATTTTGACGATAAGACACAAGACGAGTTCTTACCGAAGCCATCACAGTCTTGAGAATATTTTGAAGCACTGAATGATCCGATTGTGAAGGGAATCACTATTTCTTGACTCAAAAATATTTAGTATAGACTGTACGTATATAATAAAGTAATAACGCACTATCGCTATATATCGTTCAATAGATATCTTTAATTTGAGCCTTTCCTGCGAAGAAAGCCTTCATTTTATCTCTTCATAAAATGTGAGAACTTTGTGACTTGAGCATAGAGTGAACTTAGCATCCTTCATTGTATTGGAGCGTGGCAATATTTGCTTTTATCCCGATAAGGGACTGCAAATTTACTGGAGATGCCCGCATCATGAAGTTAACAGGCTTCAAGACAAATTTCACATGACTAGTCATTTTAGCCGCAAAAACAGATTAAATAAGACACTTATTTGATGGATACATAGATGATAGAATGCATTGAAGTAATATGAGATAAATTATGCCACCAAATGTTTCTAGTAATTTGTATTATTCTATATACTATCAAGAACCTAGTCTATAATACATAAATGTAAATAACAAAATAGCTACAATACTCCTCGTTTTTGACACGTGCGTTGGACGATAACTAACGAGCCATTTTATTGATCGTTTCATAAAAATTTTCCAGCGAAAAATCTCGTTTTTCAAAGAATTCTTTGTCTAATATAAAGTCCCATCATCAAATCAAATAGCTAGACAATAGGGCAAAATATCTCACTTTTGTGAGATTCACTTTGACTGAGAGAGATGACTGCGGAGGGCTTTGATTTTCTGTTTACACGGTGGCCAGGTTTGTTTCTTCGCGACTGTTCTTTTTTTATGTTTTCTGTATTTCTAAAAAATATTCAGTGATAAGTAAATGGCAAGTCTTATGGGCGTGCATGGCGGGCTACACCTGGTATTGTACGGCTCTTACTCAAGGGGGCTCTGTCATTCTCCAACAAACTCCAAAACATCGATGCAAAACAGCACTTGACGATACCATCGAAGGGTTTTCCTTTGAAGACGGCCTTGAATTTTCCCCTTCTTCTTGTGAAAAATACCCCGATTCCTGGACAGCTCAATGCCTTCATGGAGAAAATCTATCGGCATGTTTCAATCGACAATCTGCGAACCTAACGACGGTTGAATGTGACAGTGGGTTCATTTATGATGACGAACTATTTGAATCAACATTCGTAACGGAGTTCGACTTGGTTTGCGAAAGGTCTTATGTCAACACTGTCTCAACAAGGATTGGGTTTAGAAGGATTTTCGACAGTTTTTGGGCAAGTCGAGAATCAATGGTTCAAAAAAGGATTCTCAAGACTCATAACTAAGTATATTCATGTCGGGACTGTTCGTCAGTGTGTCTATTTTTGGTCCTATTATGGATCGTTTTGGGCGACGGAAAGGCATGCTTTTTGGTCTCATAGGACTGATGATCGCGAATGTTATAATTTCAATCTCCAATTCTGTGGCAATGTTCACTCTTGGGCGATTTCTAGCGGGTGCATTCGCCATGGGAGCCGCTACTTGCTGCTTTGTCTATGCTGTCGAGCTTCCTGGCGCAAGATGGAGGACATGGTTCGGTCAAGCTGTGAATAATTGCTGTTCGCTTGGATTTTTGACTCTTTCGTTCATTGGGTACTTTTTCAAAGATTGGCAATCTCAGGAACAGCTTTGGAATAGATTATCATTCATTATTCATAGGTTAAGTAAATTTAACATAATGCGAGTCAATCAAAATTATCGATGCGTTCAGCGCTGTTCGATTAAGTATAATCAAAATCCGGGATATAAGATGTCAGGTGCCAGATATTGAAAAAGAACTTTACTCGCGTCATTCTCAAGCTGTAGACAGTCGCTAGCTATAGCAGTTTTTCCGCTGCCTTTTGTGCTATTTTTCTTCTGGGTTTTGCCTGTTTCAAGGTTTACTCATCCCTAACTGATCTTTATGCTATTTGAAGTTTAGTCCGTGGCTTTTCTCAACCGGCAATTATGAGAAGGCAAGTGAGAATATACTTGAAATCGGCGTAAAATACTTTCCTGACAGGCAAATCGATTATGAGTTCACTGAGAAACTCACTGCTCAAATCAAATTGAAACAATCCGACGAAAAAAGCGGTACTATGACGTGAATTTGAAATCATTGATCATTGGCTTTAGCGCAAGTTCGAACTCAACTCGATATTTTACGTCCTCCAGGCATGCGGAAAATAACGATGATCGAGCTCTACCAGGTGTGTCCTAGACAAAAGTAAAAGACTAATCCTCTTAAATTTATTGCTAGTGGTTTGCAACGACACTGGTATTCTACGGCTTGGCGTTCGGCGCTGGAAATCTTAGTGGAAGTTTGCTCCAAAATAACGCGTACAATGCACTGGTAGAAATTCTTGCTCAGACCGTCACGCCTTTTTTGGTTGATAGAAAGATCATCGGAAGACGCTATGGAACTATCATAACTATGTCTATTGGCTTTTTGGCTTGCTTTGGAGGTAATGTGCTGAAAGTGCTATGATTGTATGTTGCTAGCTGCGGCGTGCGATGTTCTTGAAATGGAAAACGCCAAGCGAGTTCTGGCAATCATCGGGAAATTTGGAGTAACAGGCACATTTGCCTGTATTTATATCCACACCTCCGAGCTTTTCCCAACTGAGGTTCGAGGAATCGGAGTAGGATTTGCCTCAGCTGGCGGGAGAATAGGTGGAATCTTTGCACCTCTCGTTCTACAGTTCGGGAACAAACTTTCATGGCTTCCTTTTTTCATCTTTGGTTGCTTTGGTCTCGTGCAGGTCATAACATGTAAAAACCTGTGAAAAGATTTTGAGCGTAACTATGATTTTAGGCTTTCTACTTCCAGAAACTCTCGGCCAAGAAATGCTCGGGTCAATCGAAGAGGCAGAAGAATTCTACAGAAATCCGAAAATGCATGGAAAAAGAAACTACTCGCTAGCCAAGCTACAAGATGAATAACTGTAGTTCACGCCTAGAATACTTTCAATCGAACGCAATAAAAGATTTTTATTGTTTATTCCCTTGTCCATATAGTTCAATAATAATCATCATTTATCATGATACCGAAATATGCTCCGAAGTCATGCTTATCGGATGCAAAACCAATGATATATAATCTCCCATGATATCTCCATATTTGTGAAAAAGTACTCCCCCCACATAAAGAGCGACTCTCAGAACTCACTGAAAGAAGGAGCGACATCTTAGCTTCACTCTACTGCCTCTCACAGAAGAGTGGTATAAAAATGACCTTTGGGCTGTAATAATCATAAAAAAAAACAGTCTAACTAAGAATCTCAATCAAAAAATGAACTTCTCTCTCATTATCTTTGCTCTGATGGCCATTGTCTCAGGCTCTGGAATGGACCGTCGATTTCGGCCAAGCAGGGTTAATCGATGGGCCAAAAACGAGCGAGCTGCCCGCCAAAGAATGATAAAATTCAATCGGCTAAACGATATGTTTGCTGCTAAAAATCGATGGTAGAATGTCTGATATTTTCAATTGTGCTCTGATCTGTCATAAAAAAAATATTTTCACTCTTCTTTAGAATTACTTCTTTATCTCAGTTAGGCTAGTCAGTTCAGCTAGTATTCTTTTAAATGTGATACATTTCATTTGCACTTTTCTCGGCAAAATAAATCCAACGAAAAACAAACAAAAGAATTTCCTTTAACAAGCACTTTATTTTGAAGAACATGGGTAAGGACAAGAGTGGCAGGTTTTGAACTCTGTGGCGATCGAGTTTGAGAATAAATTTTAAACTAGCTTGAATGTTGGGTAGATGGAAACGCTTTCTTCCTTTTCAAAAATCAGCTTCTTTTGAACATCCATCGTTGAAAGTAACTAAAGAAAATATTGGACGGTATTGGGGAAGGGTGAAACCTTTGTTGTGATCATATTAGCAGTTGTGACTTTTTTGATATGATTGAAAAACGGCCCTTGAAGTCCTTGCGAGTTCACTTGGTTCTTGACGGACTCGAATATCCTCGAACCCTCGGCGAGATCATTGAAGATTCCCTGATCAACGCGTTTGTCCAAATCTCCGGATATCCTCCTGTAATCTCCCCAGGACACGAAGGTGGGGATCCGGACGTGCATCAACGCTGCAAAACGATGAGTGTACCTCGTCTAGACACTTTTTGAAAACATTCTTCAAAAGAGAAAAAGCTTACGTTTTGCTTGTCGCCCACTGAATCAGAGATAATTTGGGGGGTTTCCATTAAGTTCTTCTTCAAGAATCCACGAATGGAAAAGAACGTAGCTCTAGATAAATGGCTCTGTATCCCGTACAGCTGAAGACGCTCGGAGATTGTATCCGACTTAATCTTTTTTCCTAAACGGATGTTTATAATAAAAAAAACTCGTGGTAAGGGAAGCTTACCTTTTCGTATATTTTGGTTGAGTGATTGAAAGCTGGATAGACATCGCAAAATGGAAGGGTAAATCACATCGCCGAGGTAGAAGTTGATGTATTCTAATTCGTAGTTTGCATACAAGCCGAGGCTGAATCCTTGCGTCAGATAGACTTCCATGATAAGCGATGCTTGAAGGACGATCCAGTTCAGATAGATTTGCTCCACGGTGGTAGTCTGAATTAAGGATGATAATCACGGTAGGTATAATTTTATGTAACTAGAATTAACTAGATAATTAGAGGAACCTTGATGTCTGGTTCGTTGACCGCTCTATCAACTTCGTCAATCAACCGTCCAATAGTCTCCAGCTCAAATTCAATTCTTTCCCTCTGCCTTGCTTTGTTGAAGCAGTAGTCTTGAATTAGATTGCAAAATATGCTGCAGCCATAAGTAGAAGTCCAGAATTGAACGTTTCTATTACTCCTGAACTCCTTTGACAGATCCAACTTGAGATACGAGCAGATAGAACTCTCGATGACATTTGCCATCATCAACTTTCCAAGAATTTTTCGATTAGAAGGGATGAAAATGACGAAGAGCAAGCTCCGCGCGATAAGGGACGGGGACTTGTCTGAGAAAGATCGAGTAAAGTCCAGGAACTGCTCGTAAGCTGTAAAGTTGAACATCTTGAGTAGATGGCGGAACTCCTCGAGAATCGGAGCCAGTTTAAGATAAACGTCGTCTGGAGGGACGATTGGCACATCTCGGGGAAACGCAGCTTTGTTTATGTTATGAAACAAATAACAACATACCCATATTGGGAGGTTCGAGAAGAAAAAAGAAGCTGACAGAACATTCCTGGAATAAGAGTTTGATTGTAAAGCGGCTCGAATCCAATGGGTAATCGAACTCCATCATCGTAAAGTTGCGTCTTATTTCCAAGATTCACCGTCTCTCCAGCGTCTGAAAAAATAGCATTGATGTGTTTGATTCTATGATCTGATAAATTAAATTATAATTACCTGATATGAGCTTCAAAGTAGAAGAAATGAGTTGAGATAACTTGTCCGTATCAATTTTCATGTCCGAACTATCAGCATTTGATAGAGATGAAAGCAACGATAGGAGAGAAGAAAGAACTTTGAGTCGCTTGCTTTTTATCGGTTGTCAATAAAAATACCAAAAAATACAGAAGAGAACTTTACGATTAACTTTATCTTTGTCACACAGACAATGTGAAACCAGACCTGACACCGTTCCAACCATCGATATCTTCTTTCAAATTAGCTTTCTTTGCCAATCTAGCGGCGTCGCTACTCGAATCATTCAAAAACTTGACGATGCCGGTGATATTCTTCTCGGCAGCGAGGTTGAAGCCGTAACCCATGTCAGGCTGGAATTCTTCGTCGTCATAAACGTTTGCTGCCTTGGAAGGATTATAATCTTTTACTGAATATGAAACAGAACCTTACCTTGATCAGATCGTTTATTAATCCTGCAAGCTTGAGTACTCCTTGAGATAAGCTTCTCAATTTCTTATCGGGGATATCATCTGATAGGGGGTTCGGAAAAACTGATCTGAGCCTCTGACTAAGACTGTTAATCGTAAAGAAATAAATTGAATTCTATATTTTATCCTGAAAATAAGAACTTCAAATAACTTTTCAGGTAAATCGGAGCCCCGAAAATCAATAGCATGAATATGATGACATGCATAAACCGTCTGCGCCAGGTTCTGCCCATTCAACCAACATAGAAGCGCGCCAAATTGAGTGTCAAAGATGGAGATCAGCTCCGAGTACGAGCAATTATCCCAGGGAATGAGTCCCAGGGCAGCTGCGCTTTTGACATCGTGGATGATTCGTGTTTGAGTGCGTTTAACGCCAATATCCATCTTTTTAGAAATAGAAATTTAGAAGAGATAAGGCTAATTATTAACGCTTGTAATTTGATTTAATGATGCTTAATAAGCTACCACAGAAGGACCTTACGAGATGAATCTTATGTAAACTTTGAGTCACATGGTCTTTGGACTTTTAATATTATCTTGAGCAGGCGAATAGAAAGATATTCTTACCTGTGGATGCATAATTTCAATCGCCGTCATCGCCTCATGCAGCGAAAAAGCAGGCTCATGAACGAGCTGTCCAAGCTTCAATTGAGCACAATCGAGCGTCAATTCTTCCGTGATATCGGCCCATTCATCGGGAGATACGGTCATTCTGATTAAAATACAGATAAAATTAAAGAAGAAGGACAAGCTTTGTTTTGTAAAAAAATATATTTTCTTTCTAGTGTAAAAATATTAGCTTGAGCATGAAGATAAAAAGAGTTTGATTTCAGTTTTTGTTTTCTTTGAAGCCGACGATCTCGTCCCACGCTTTTCGACATTTAGTCAAAATCCAAAGGTGCTCTTCGTCATCTGCGTTTCGGAGGAAGCCACCATCGTAGCTCTAAATTTAAACTCAGTACATATTCTTGCTGCAAGAATCTTGCATTAAGTAAAAACACTCAAGATTATCTGATAATTTGCTTCCATAAAAAACGAGAAAAACCGTTTGTTATCTGAGTAATTATTTCAAGAACTGAAGCGTCTGATGAATTCTTCAATTGAGGAACTCGACAATTATACTCAGCGTCATGAATACCTTGACAATTCTCTCGACAGGATCATAAAATCCATCACCAGTATCATAATGTCCCTTTGGAATCGTCTTTGGCGGATGCTCATCTGTCAGTTGAGACCGCCCTGCAGCTCGGAGCCCGTTGCAAATTTCAGTGTAGAATCGTCTGAATTACAAGTTAATAACTTGAGTAAAGAACAACTTAATGCCTGTCCGGTGATTTGCAGTAGTCCCAGTCATCTTCTGGCTTGAAATCGAGGTTGTCAGCGAAGGTCAGTTTTCCTTCGATCATTTTACCCTCTTATTCCGGTTTTTATCAGTCTGTTGGTTTGAAAGAAGAAACTTTATTCCTTGAAAACCGTTTCCTTTCCAGATTCCGACGATTTTCGCACCAGTAGTCATGTACATGACGCCCTCGCCATGGAATTTACCATCGAGCAATTCTCCTACGTACTTAAAACAAAACAATTATTTCAATAAATATAAAATATAATAAAAAAATCATAAAAATTGTTTATGACATGTAGAAAAATCTCTTCCTTTTTTATATATAAATAATATAAATAAAATAACGCAAAAAGAATCTTCTTTATTATCGTTGATTATGAAACCTTTGTGACTACCAAAATAGCGATATTTATCGATAGTATATCGTCGATATATACGAAATTCAGAATATACCTTATTGCCAGACTCGAATTCATATGTGCCATTTCCCTCGAGTCGTCCATTTTTCTTATCGCCAGTATAAACCGAGCCAGTATACTGTAGCTCGTACATTTCCTCCATTTTCTCGCGTTTTCAGAACTGCCGCGACTCGGCGTCGAGGGAATCGGCGACGCTGATTAGCTGGCCGGATCAATGGGCGCGCTTTTTGATTGGCTAGAGCTGTTTCCGTAGTAGAGTTATCTTTGAACCGAGAGTTTATGGTTTCTAGAAAAATAATCAATTTTTGAGAATATTTTCTTCATTTTCAATTCATTATTGAATCTTTATTTTGGATAATCATGTAATGTCGACATTTTTATTTTCAGGAAACATATTTTTTTTGCTTTACCTTCTTTCAATTCTAAGACTGTAAATTTTCTATATTGAAATTCTTCGATTTCAGAAGTATGATCGGATGGGGAATCACTAGGCTGATCCTGTTAAACTTCTTCATCTTGAAAAATGCATCTGTATCAGCTTCCTTCAGTGGCTGCGCCGGCTATGTTTCCATCCCGAAGGCTGTGACTGTCGATTCCGATCAACTCAAAGTCCAGCTCTTTCTCGAGGGCTCGTCGAAACCTACAGCTGAAACGGAAGTCGCTCCGAAAAGTGGGTTCTTCCACGTATCTCACGATCGGCACGGGCCTATCCAGGTATTTTTTTCTTTTCCTCTTCGCCCTTCTTCATTCCTATTAGATTCTTTTGGTTCATCCTGAAGGCTGGCAGTTCGACAAGAGCTCTGTTTCCGTCATCGTCGATGGCGAAAGTGATATTTGCAGCACTAATCAAGATATAATCTTCAATTTCCAAGGAATCAAATATTCTGGTAAGCATCTATCCTCTGCGCTCGCCAACCTGTGTAGAACACCTGAGTCAGGGTCCTGGAAAAGGTTTAAGTTAAGCCGCTACGCTTCTGAGCCCGGACCACACATCCTTTTCTTCCCAGACTATTTTATATCCTCTAGGGCAGATTAAATCGTCTGGCGCAGAAAATGGTCCTTCTGGCATAACGGTTTCTTTGGAAACGGCCGCTGGCCTGAGATCATCAACCGAAACGAAGGAAGGTGGCTTCTTTCAGTTTTCCGACGCATTTGAGCCCCAAGCTGCGACTTTGTCAGCCTCCCATTCGCGTTTTTCCATTTCTAAGGCCGTCCATCTTCAGTTAGGCTCTGCCAGCTTTATTGGAAACTCTCCCGTTGTTACAGGAAAGGTTCGTTATTACTAATAATTACCTAATAACTTATTAGGAAATAAAGGCTGTCGTAACGAAATTCTATCCGTTTTTCAGTTTTTAAAACGGTAACTTACCGTCGGTTAAAGGATAAGTTCAATGCCAAATAATTTAACCATTTGAATATCTGCTATATTTATTTGCCCAACTTATGTTTCATAAGCTGTGAACATACACTAATTTACGATCTTCAAAGATTCGAGATCTTGTTATTATATAAAACATGTTTAAGAGAGATGAGATGTCTCATTTTTAAATTTTTCAAAGAGTTATTTCTTATAGTATACATAACGAGCATGAAAAGGCTTTCAAGTGACTGGTCGTGCTGAAGAAAACGGCCTCCCCATGTCCAAAGTTTCGTTAGACCTTGTCACGGAAAATGGCGATCTGAAAGATTCGACTTTGACTGGCGAGGATGGAAGCTTCCTTTTCAACGAAGTTCCGGCTGGCTCTTTTATCGTGAAGGCTTCATACGAAAAGGATGGCGCCGTGTTTTCCATCGAGCCCTCCTCCCAGCCCATCTTGGTCTCCAATGACGACAACGTCCTCTCTTCGCCGTTTCAGATCACAGGACTCACAGCCTTCGGCAAAGTGGAAACGAAACCAGGAAGTGGACTTCCGCAAGTGGACATCTTCGTCGACGGAGTGAAAAGTGGAAAAACAAATGAGGATGGAGAGTTTATTCTCGCAAATGTCAAGCCTGGTGTACACGAGATCCTTGCTCAGAAAGCTAAATTTGAGTTTACTCCCGTAAATGTCGAGATTAACTCGAATAATCCGACTGTTCGGCCGATTAGGAACTCGTTTTGAAATGAAATTATAGGATTGAATCAATTCGAATATTGAAATTATTAAATTTAATCCTAGCTTTATATAAGAATGTATAATAAATCACTATTTTTAGCGTCTCAAATTTGAGACTAATATTCAGAAATTCAATGAATTTACGAAGAAGGATGAGATTATGTCTCCTTATGTAAAGTTTTCAAATTACTGTTTTCAATGCGAGAAAGCCCTTCCCGCGTCGAGCTCTGCGCTGAAGCTGACATTGACGAAACGACGATTGAGCTCGTCTCCAGCGCTGGAAAAGTCCTCGACAGTTCATCTGGCTGTTTTCTCGTGAAACCGAATGACTACGTTCTCCGCCCCGTTTCTTCCTCTTTCCACTTCTCACCAAAGGAAATTGCAGTTAAGGTTGAGGCCGAGCCTCAGTCTAGACACCAGTTTAAACGATTTACTCGGCGGTTTTCCGCCTTTGTCCGCTGCCTAGGCACTTGCCAGTCCTTCAGCGCGAGCCTAACTGACGTCAATGGGGAGCGTACGCCTTTAATCCTCGGAAAAGCCGAAAATAACCGACGAGAAATCGAGCACTCAAGACTGGATCCTGGCAAATATACCTTGGAGGTCTCCAGCGATAATTGGTGCTTCGACCAGAGCAGCAGCAAGAAAGAGGTCCGAATCACCATTGCTCCGGAGGGAGAGCCAGAAGGAGTACCCTTAGAAATCGTTCAAAAAGCCTACCGACTGCAGCTCAAATCGGAAGTGATTACGGATGTTGAAATCGTAGCTGGAGATCGAAAAGTTGTCGAGAAGCTCGAATCTGGCTTTAATAATTTGTGCATCACCGCAGGGATGGATTTTTCATCATAAAATAATTTAACTTTTACAGTAAAAGTTTTACTCTTAATGAATTTAAATATCCACTGGCAGGCGGCGAGTACACAATAACCCCTCGTGGCTGTCACAATTTCGCCAAGAGCTCAATTCAATACAGCACTGGCTCTCCTTCTGTCGTCAACCTGTCGCCTGTGAGTCACAAAGTTTCGGTCGAAATCGAAATTGACGAGTCCAAAGTCGCCAGCGCTCAACTCACACTGACAGTAAACGGCGAGCAAGTTAACGGCGGCCACTTTGAAAGCGGTAAGCTGCGATACACCGTCGATGTTCGATCAGAGAAAGTCACCATCGAGCCTAAATCGCCAACGATGTTTATTCATCCGAAGAGCTTTTCGGGCTTCTCGACGTTCGACCCTGCTTCTGGATGTGCCTTGCCTGTTGTTTTCGACGCTCTTGATGCTCTTTTTATCGAGGGAGATATCGAGCCTGCAGTAGAAGGAGTTGATATCAAGTTGGAATCATCTGACGGTTTGATAGAAGAGATAATAAAAAGTTCAAACAATGGGATACGGCTATAAATATTTTTTAAAAGATTGATTTAAAAAACAGTCGATTTAATTGTGGAATGCTTCGTTGAGCACATGTGTGTACCAGTATCAACAAAGTATCCCTTTTAAGACGGTTCTCTTTTGGTCCTTTGAACCCGCATCTGAAATATTCTGTCTCTCCTACTCATCAGACGTATCGCTTTCTTCCCAAACCTAACGATGGTATCGGCTCTTTTAGAATTTTTTTTTTTATTCTATCATTCAGCATACAGCTTCCAAGCCCTTCTGCTGGCCAATTTGGCTGTGGATCTGGTAGATAGCGATGGAAATGCCATGTCTGATGTAACAATCAAGCTATCCGGCCCAGAACGGTACCGCCAGATCGCGAAAATCAACGGACACGAGACATTCAATCGACTTGAGCCCGGCGATTATTTCATCATTTTTGAAAAGAAGGAATTCAAATTCGAGCCCAACAAATTCGAAATCACGCTAACGGAAGATAGGACACTCACTATCGTAGGAAATCGATTTCAGTTTTCTGCTTTTGGTCGGCTCGTGAGTCCGTCACAAGGAAAGGGATTCATTTGTGGAATTACTTACAGTGGGTTGCGCAGGTACTGCACCCCTAAAGAGCGGAAAAAGGGTGCAGCAGTCACGCAATCATTTTGAGCAAGTCTAGAAAGAAACAATAGGAAAAGTGCGGGCGAAGGGTGCAGCAACGCCGCAATCACAAAGGGTGCATAACCTGCGCAACCCACTGTAAGTAACTAAAGTCATTTTTCATTTGCAACCAGTGATCTACCTATCTAGTTTATATGAACTTTTCACGAATCATTAATCCTGGAAAGCTGCTTTTGCGGACTACCTTGTGGAAGCTGTAGCCGTTTCGGAAAAGTGCGCTGATCACTCCGAGGAATCGAAGACGGACGTAAATGGTCAGTTCCGCATAATGGGCTTGCAAAATGATTGTACTTACGATATTCGCGTCAAATCTCCAGGAAATTACGTCGTTTCTCCTGAATCGATCCGAGTCAAGGTTGACCAAGCGGACAACCGAAACCTAGAGTTCCAGGCTTTCAAATGTAAATAGAAAAATACTTCCATCTCTTTACTTGGCTTATTCAAATTCTAGCGATTTCTCAAACCCGATTGAGCGGGAACGTCTTAATATGTCCGACCTGTCCGCTGAAAGGGCTCAAAGTTGAAGTCTTTAGTCTTGATAGCGACAAAAAACGGGCGAAAAATGCGCTTGAAACACTTTATCTCAGTGAGGACAGGTAGATAATTGAAGTTCGAAGGAAAAGTATAGAGCGTGATTTAGTGGAACATTTTTCAACTTCGCGCCACTCGAGTTCGCGGAAAATCCCGTCGAAATCGTCCTCACTGGACCCGATGACTCGAGCAGCCAGGTATTAAATTGACAGTGGCAGAGCTCGTTAATTGACTGTGGCTCTATTCAGATCGTTTACCTCAATGCTCCTTTGAAACACGCTAGTTTCAGATATACGCACCAGCAAGCGTCAGAAACACCAATTCAAGGAGAGGATAACTTTATGATTCGACTACATTGATGTAAAAACAACCTAATTTATCCTCTAATTGAAGCACAGGGACAAAATAAACTTGGCCCAGCGCTAGTTCTTCTAGCGATGGTTTTATCGACCGTCTTGCTAAACCGAGATAAGCTGGCGGCATTAGTGGAAAGCTCGCCAAAGAAAAGTCGAGACGCACAGCCGTCCCGGAACTCAAAAAACTCGGCGAAAGGAAAGGATCTTTTTTCATGAATCACCAAGACCACAAGATTTTTCAAATGACACAAAATGGCCGTAACAATTAACTAACTTTATCTGGTCTCCATTAACTTATATTATTCTCGTTCTTACAGTTTATTGCTCAAGATCACGCTGATCCTAAAAGAAGCATCCAAAAATACTGCTCAACGAATGTGACCCCAATTAACATCAAAACCCTGTCAGCCTCAAAATACTTCATGTTCCGAATTGAAACACTTCCAATTTCCAACCTGAAACTAGTCTTGTTCAACAAGCCGTAATTAGCCTCTTCGCAGATTTGACATCTTAGATGTATTCGCTCTATGATACTCGTTCTCGAAGTATTCTTGGAGAAACTCTCATTTAGAGAACTGTTTCTATTAGTTATTTATTGCCACTAGCTTTTACTTCAGTAGCATTGATTGATCAATTTCAAATTGAAAAATTCAATGGCTCTAGTTCAATGAATCTCGCTGCAAAAACTTATTTATTTGTACACATCTTTATTACATGTATCTTTTATCTTCAAACAGCGTTTCCATGTACAAGATTTCCTTGGAAGGAAGATTCCATTCTAGACTTATTTATTTGACGTCTGTCCAGCACTGTCTCAGCTAATGATTCCTGCTAATCAAATATTTTACCCTCTAGAATGAGTGGAACCTCCCATTTGCGCCTTCGATCGGCCGCATACGGGAACCCACCGACAGTCGGCCCGGTCACTCGCCCGGGCTTGGTGCTCATAGAAAAGCCAAAGATGGGGGACTCTGCGCCAAGTGCAGCTGGCTTTAATTTGACTGGTCGCTCTTCCGTGATGTCTGACGATATCCTCAAGCTGGCGAGGATAGAAGCCAAACGAATGCGCCGTGCGAAAAGTGCTATTGAAAGTCCTACCGCTGCTTCCGCGATTCAGATGCCGCCGTCTGAAATAAATGTCACTCAGAAAAAACGAGACAAACATATGCAGAACGATGCTTCCTCGTCGAAATCGAAATTCAGCAGCACACCTAGCAAAGTGAATTCGAAGATATCTTCTTCCGGTAAAGATCGATTCATTACATCTTCCCCAGAATTATTTTTAGTGGATGTTAAACGACAACTCGAGCACTTGCGCAATGAAATAGAAGGGATGGCGACTCAGCTTGCGGATGAAGTCCCAAGCGATGTCGAGGATGTGGACAAGGATTTCGACGACGAGTCGAATCGATGGTTCGCCCGCGAGTTCTACGCTGTCAAGCACGAGACAACTTTGATTAAGAGGATGCGCGACGAGCGAAAGCAAAAGAATGGGGTTGTCAAATTGCACAGAACTGGTCAGTGGATGCTCTAATTAACAAGTTTCCCTTAACTTCTTCCTTTTAAGCTCTTCGATTGATGCAAGTAGCTGCGAGTCGGCCGATCCTCAGAGTGTTGAATCCGCATATTTACACGCAACTTGGAGACTTGGTTAGAGAGCTTACAGACCTTTCTTCGCGACTGGATCTCCCGCTGTGGGAGCCTCATTCAATTCTTGAAGCACTTGAACAGGCCGTCTATTTTCCACCGCGCAAGAATACAAACAGGTTTCCATTTTTTTCTTATTCGAGGAGAAAGGGGCAGGTCTTCTTTTTGCATCGATTTTCGGGGAATTTCGAGAGGTTTACTGTAACTGTTCGCATTTCAGGCGGCAATCGATCAACCCAAGTGATGTAGCGGAACTCTTGAAACCGAAAAATCGAAAGTCCCAGTCCCGCATCAAGCTCAAAGAGTCTGAGTCGCAGAATCGAGAGCCACGAAGCAGAACGTCGCAGATTCAATTTGATCTACCGACCAAGATCTATTCCGATACTGGAAGGGGCACGGGTGGATTCGTAAACAAAAAGAAGAGCATTTTGAAAAATTCAAAGACGCAGCTTGATGATAATTATGAAGAGAGGCCGACCAAGGTAATTTTTCACAAATTAAATATGGCGCGACGGAAAGCTGATAAATTTTTTTTCTGATGATTGATAACTTAATTGCCAACTGGCAAACCAATTTTTGTTATATTTTTGAAGCAATTAGAGAACTTTAGATAAAGGCCCTCCTGTGTGCAGAGAAGGATGATATTTAAAAAAACTTTTCCTCGGATGGTTTGACTTCAATCTTGTTCAGCCCCGACCGCGTCCGTCAACCGCGCGCACTTCAAGATCATCCGTCTCCAAATCACGTCCGCGCTCTGCGCAGCCAAATGGTAGTAGGGTAGATGCAAGTAGGGTGCGCTGCGCCGATTGCGCTGGACTGGCCGTGCACTCGCCAAAGGCGTCGTCAGTAGTATAGGTATGCACGGGGTTTTGCTAATTTTTCTCGTACCCCATTGGCTGAGCGCCTTTTGCGCGGTTCGTTTGAAAATTAGACTTCCTTTTGCATACCTATGCAGATTTAAAATGATATTGAGTCATTTTGACAGGTGAGCCATCAGATGATTGATGACTTGCTGAATAAGTAATCAGCAGACGACTTTGTCCAGAAATGAGGAAAAAGGAAAAAGCTCCTTTCCCCTCGAGCGACAAAAGTCGACTGAGGAACAGAACCGGAAAAGGTCTTTGCTCCACACCGCCACCACCGGACACCCACACACCTCTAGCACCAATATCGATTCCAGGTAGAATTTCGAAAGCCTGCTCCTTCTACCATGAGTCAACTGACCATTTCGTCGATATTCAGTAAATAATTTTATTTAATATTTCTCACATCGTGGTTTTACATGTCATTCGACTTCGTAAAATAACAAATCATTTTTAAAAATAGACTAGAAAAATATTTATTCAATGAACTAAATATTGAATTTATTGTTTTTCGATTTTATTTCAAATAGAAAGAATTCGTTCAGTAAAAACAGAATTTATTCAAATTCGGCAATAAGCATTTCGAGATCATTGACAAAGTTTCGCATTGCGTTTGAAAGTTCGCGATTTCTATTGTAGACCAAAGCAAAGCATCTTCCGATCTGAAGGAGGAAATGATGCTGAAGCTGTTGCAAATCCATGTTGTGGTAAAAGTCGACAGCGTTTCGGTAGCGTTCGTCTGAATGGTACAGTTGATTCATGTGTGGAAGACGGCGGTCTTCGTTGTTATCATTAACAGGCATTCTTAATAATATTTTTGATAAAATTGTGGAATAAAAAACACCTGTTTTCACTCTCTTTTTTCTACGAGTTGTATTTCAGATGGAATGGCAAAAAAGGAAGAAAAAAAAATCGATTTTCGAAATTGCGCCATCGCGAAAAAGTGCAACGCCACCAGCCGAACACTCTGCTTCTAGTTATAAATATCCAAGGATATCATTAAATCTGTAGAATATGTTTATATTTGATAACCCTTTCATACCTGTCCCTAATGAAAAACCTGGATATTTTTCAAAGCCAGAGACAACTTTGATAAACGATGATAGCGGGGCAGTGCAAAGAGCTTCAAAAGTGTTGGAAGGCCTCAACCGAATCAATTCAAAAATTCTCTACACAAACATCAGAGGAGAGCTCCATCCTTACCGCATTCGACACTTGTACGAGCTTGTTGACCGTTTCAACGGGTAAGTTATTAAAACACTTTTTAAAAACTTATTTTTGTTTAGCCTCACCGAGCGTTACATCGTTTACGAAGATTTGTGGGTTCCTGCTCTCGACAGAAAATGGCAAACAACGAAAGTCAAGAAGAAGAAGAGATTTTCTTTTGAAAACTAAACCTGTGCAAACAATCTGCTTTTTCTAATAAAACAATATGTTTGAATATAAAAACGAGTTTTTTATTCTTTCGAGCTCATGAATTCACAGGAAAATTAGATGTCAAGAAATATGATGGATTACAGTTAAGCAGGACTTGCAGAATTTTGACTGACAGCTCGTGAATATTTGATACTTCTATTAATATCTGATTAGAAGGGATGCGCATTTTTATAATGACCTTTTATTATTCAGGATTCTGCGACAGACGCTGGGTAGGGACTCGTCTTGCCGGTCTTCCTTGTTGTCTCCGATGTAGCATCGTACGTCGTCGCTCGTAGGCAAGTTGAATTCTAGCGTTTTCCAATGCTATTCTGTAAAGAAGACCATCTCGACGTTCCATCAACTGTTGAATTTGCTCTTCAACTGCGAGGAGAGCATCATGGAAAGCTGTAAAAGGAGTTTCTCTTTCCATTCTATAAAAAAAGATGAAAATTTCTTTATGACTTTTCATAAATTGAAAAACAGAGCGACATCTATTTAATTTTGAAGGAATTTAAGAATTTCTAGAATGAGAGAATCACAATTGTTTGTTTTTTCTCTAAAAAATTTCATCGCGAGAGATTTCCAAATAAGGATTTTCCTTTTTTCAGAAAGCTCTTTTCCCTCTTTTTTCATTTCGAGAAGTGATAATTTCATTTCCAGATTTTCCGACTACTTCTGGATAAAATCAATGTCTAATTTATCAATTTCAAAATTTGAAAAAAAGAGTAAAAGAGAACGCACTTTTCGTCGACGATGGCGGGTATCCCACCCACTCCGGAACTACTCCTCCAAATCGGTCACTTGGAGCAGGTTGCGAATATGGCAAAGGACTTCGTTCTGATGACCATGATCGCATATGAAGAGGATCCACCCAATCATGAGGCTCTTCATCCCTATATGCCTCAGGTAAATTTGTCATTTAAAAAAGACAATAATTTTAAAATTAAGCTGACCCAGAAGATTGCATTCTGCAATCAGATCCTTCACGATCCATTCTGGTTCAACATGGGAGCGGATAACCCTCTTTACATCTACAAAGACGTCACTTTGAAGATGATGGCAGGCGTTCACTCCCTCTACCCGATGATTCTCAACCCAGCGCCTGGCAATCAGTAGAACGGTAATCAATCTTCAAAAAATCATTATTAATCATTTTTTTTTCAGTCGTGCTGAATGGATGTGGCAGAGCTCGTCAATTTGGAAAACCAAATTATCACTGTCTTTCCCATGTACTCTCACCAATAAAATCGATTAGGAAGAAAAAAATTTAAAATTTCTTTTTATTAAGATCGAAATGGGCTCTTGCATTTCCAAATCTTCGGCAAGCTTGAAATCTTCAAAGTGGGCTTCGCAAGATTTGCTTATTGAAGAAAGCGCAAGCCGATATGGAACTCCTCTTTTGCGCGCCTGTGAGCAAAATGATGAATAAATAAAAACATCATGTTTCTAGAATTGTTTATTTTAAGAAAAAAATTGAAAAAAATAACGATTAGTTGTTTTTAAGTTTATTAAAAAGGTAAAATTCTCTAGAACTTTGCCTTACTTCAGGGCTGTTTTTGAGATTTTGATCAGTTCTTACTCGTCGTAGCTAAGAAAAGGCCGTTTTTTGGAAAAATGCCGGTAAGTTTTTTCCAAATTAGAAAAGAGCGGAGCTCTCGAAAAATTTTTTAAATTTCTAACAGGAAATATTAGAATACCCGCTCCGCTTCTACAAAGCCCGAGTTCGACATGGTTGTCGAAAGCGCTTCGTCAACCTCGTCGTCTTCTAGCTGCGTAAGCGAGCCTGAACTCGCCCGTCCTGAAACTCAGCGACCTAGTCGCTCTGCCCGACGCACTGACTCCATCCGTGCCCAGCGCGCTCGCAGCAACGATCGAGTGCTCAACAACGAGCCTCAATCCACTGGTCGCCCGGCTCAACCTCGCATGGAAGCGCCAGATGAGCTGCTCACCAGCGAAGGTAAATATTTTAATCATAGTTAGTTCTAGAATGTTAATTAAAAAAAAACAGATTTTAACAGTTATAATTTTATTTCAACTACGTTTTTAAATTTGAAAATTAAAAAGTTTAGCTGATAATTATTTCAGATCGCCGCCACGATCTGTTCCGACAGCTCGGCTTGGAGGATCTCCGACACGCGGAGCGCTTGGCAATCATCGAAGAGCTTCGACGATTGGAAAACGACCTTCTGCGACAATTTGGCGATCTGGAGGCCAACATGCGCAACGGCGACTTCAGTGTCACCATCATCACCAAGTCTGGTCGCACCTTCGAGATGGGAGATGACAAGCTCGTCATTCCCGAATAAGAACTTTTTTCTTATTTTGTTTTTTGTACAAAAAACAAATAAAATATAATCTTTTTACTGAAATCTTGTTGTTTTATTGTTGTTAATTTGCGGTTGTGGAGTAGTCAAGAGAGAATCGATTGATTTATTGAGCGAGGTCGTTTTTGAGTTCTCGGTCCACGCTGTGGCACACTTTCGCAGGCTCCCACTAAAGTCGCTTTTTTAAAATCTTTAAAACTGCTTGCTTGCCTTTTTTTGTCACAAGATCTTGAAAAAAACAAAAAAACCAAAAAAAATGAACTTTTTGTTATAAAATGAAGAATATAAGCCTCCGTCTAATCGTTTTAGCTGATGTCATGGAAGAACATAAGTCTCCACTAAACGGGTGGACGTCTCAAGCTAAGATAATATGTAAGAGATTAATAATTTTGAAATGAATCCTCATTTTCTTCGTCCCGTAAACTGCAGAACTGATTAATAAACAAATGTATTCTAGAATAGTATAAATCGAAATTTTTGAATTAAATTCTATATTTTGTAGGTTATTAAAATGAAGCTTGAAAATCATCTAATGGAATATCAGGGAGACGTCAAATTACTGCTAAATTTAAGTTTAAAATGCAACAAGAAGATTTTCTCGTCGTAAAAAATGCCACAGATTGCTAAAATGATAACATTAGTTTTAAGCCTGTTCATCCAAATCGTTTCATGATAATAAATTTTAGCTGCGATTCAAAAATGAAACTTTTGCAATTCTCATTGGTACCCATAAGTTAGAGTGAAATGAAGCGTCAAATGCGTCAATTACATTATCGACACTTAAGTCTGTTTCATGAATAAAATGTTTTGTTAAGAGTCCGATTCGATTGAAGAAATGAAGCTCAACTCTTACAGTAGGGCCACCATACTTCTGAAGTGACCTATTTGAAATGTTTCAACTGCCATCATCTTCTCTTTTTGGAAATACCTGAAAAAATGAATCTTGACGGAGTATTTTTGGAGAGTCAAATTGAAGAGATTATTATTTTGATTTCATTAAAACACATTTGTTAAAATGACTCAATAAATTTCATGTTTGCTGCATAATTCGCATAATCTACTACTACAACTCTGTTTTAATAAATATTTATTAATACAAATTGGCGAGCATACAAAATTCTTTTGTGTAGCTTTTTCGGATTTCTGCCATTCGCTCAAAGTGGAAATGGGCGGCATCGTCTTCGCCCAGGAAGTAGGTTTTGTTGATCTCGTATTCGTACTGCTTCTTTGCAATAGAGTATTTCTTGCCCTTTGTGATGCGTCGAAAACTCTTTCGGAAGACTTTTTGATTTCGGAAAACATTGTCGTAGATATTTTGTAAGTTGTAACTGAGTGACTGGTAGTCACTTTTCTGTTTATATATTTGTCAAAAACCATTGAGCAGATGTTGCAGATGTTCAAGACTACGACAACGACCGCCGCCACCGCTGCGCAGCTGAAAGAAGTAACTAATTTTCGAGGAAAATGAGTGAAAAAGAGTTGTTTATTGTTGTCTTGAATTTGAACTTGGAAAGAGAACAGGGAAACGGCCTAAATTAGGAATTTCTCCAAATAGATTCGTATAAACTCTAGGTTGATCAGGTACAGTAATATCTTGACGAATTATTAAATAATTATGATTGACAACTCTTCTTTCGTTAAAAAGACGCATTGCGGACTTGTACTCCTCAGCTACACCCATCTTTGTGCAAATGGTTTTGTTGACGGAAACATCGTTTGCATTTGGAAAAAGAATTGTTGCTGTCATACAGTTCCTAAAATTAAAAAGTTAGAGTTGTTCATTTTGTTTTGAAAAAACTTACCGCAAGGTAATTGACATTTTACTTTTTTCATAATAATTTTGGGATATAAAAATCATAGATATTCCCAAGTGCCGTCGGCCAAACGTTAATAAAAACTCCACCACTTTACTGTCGATGCATTTAGACCATTGATCATCTACGACAATGAGAGCGTCACCATTTTTACCGGTATCGAATGTTTCATCAATCCAGTCTTGTGATGGCATTCCCTCTATCAAGAATAATTCTTGGCCTTCTTGCGGCTTGATATCGACGGGTTCTACTCTTGGCAAAAACATGTAGATATTTGTGATGGGCCCTGAAATCGCCCCATATTCGATAACATTTTTTGTGAAAAAACTTTTTCCACTTCCAGTTGTTCCGGATATGTGAAGAGAGCAGGGATGTTCAAAACGTAGGCCAGGCACATAGCGCACTAAAGTGGAGTGCATTCAGAGAAGATGAAAACGCCGGGAATGTCCAATGGGCTTTTCTTGTATTCTGTAGGATTCGTGGTGGCAGCGTTTTCTTTGTAACCGATGATCTTGAATTTGAGTCGGTAGTTTTGGAAAAGATCTTGTGGAAGCCTGGCAAAGTCTTCTTTTTCTTTTTCGGTCTCGCAGTCGAGCTCAGCGCGCAAAAAGGTGATGTTGAAACCTTGCTTGATAAGAGCAGTGTAGTGCGGAGTTTTTTCTTCGTCAATTAGCGACGATTCGTGCTTGACGACTTCCGAGAGGATTTCGCTAACACGACGGTGAACATAAAATCGCACTGGATTCGCGTAGCCAGTAAATTGACGGCCGACCGGAGCTTCAGCGATAACATAAAAAGGCTCGTTTTCAGTCTGGACAGGAACCATCTTGATTGTTTTTCTCTGGTGAAAAAAGTGATCTTTTTCTCTTTTGATTGGTTGTTTATGTTGTTAAAAAGTGTTTAGATTAAACTTTATATACTGTATATTTGACTCATCCGCTGGAGGTGCCAGACAACTTACAGATAAATAGCGCCATCGAGTCAAGTTCATCGTCAGAATAAAGAGACAAAAAAAGAGAAAATAAGCACGTTTTTGACGGTCAATGGTCGCACCGCGAAATGAAAAATCGCCGATTCATGGAGGTCTCTTTTTCACAAATTATCAATTAAAATTGCTCGCATCTTCGGCCGTTCGTAATCCTGAAACTGGTGCTGTTCGATTACGCGCTCCAAAAACAAAAGAAGAGGAAACTTGCGAGTTTGATTTATCAGAAGATTCTTCGAGCGGTATTTATATTTCATTTGGTCAAGTGGATTATATTCTCTCATTTTTGGAACGAAATCCTGCTACGGGAAAAATCAGAGTTCGAGCACCTGCATCAAGAAAGCACCCATTTCCCGATTATAATGCCAAGGAAACGGATCTCGTCGAAGAAATACTCTTATGCCGTGGTAGGCGATGCCCTGAAGGAGCTTCATCGTCGCCAAGACGTGGAAGACGCGTTGATCAAGAAAGCGAACACGAAAATTCGGAAGGAGAACGAGAAGCTTTTACGAAAAAACGCTTCGAAAAGAGGAAAACCGAACTCGACTCGGAAGAAGAAGAAGAAGAAGAGTCCGACGACGACGACGACGACGAGAAAAAATACAAGTCTGAACAGTCTTCCTCTGATGACGAAGACGGACGAGGAGTGGCTCGAGGCAGAAAGAGAGAAAAATATGTTGATTCCGATGAATCAAGCGTCGACAGCCGTTATACCAACAGAAAATCGCAACGTGGCCAAGAGCTTAGACGAGTGGCAAAGCGCAATGTCGAGCCAGTTAAATCAAATCGGAATCGGCAATTCAAAAGCAACAAATCAACAAAATATTCAAGCAAGCATCCTCTCACCAGCCCTAGTGAGCGAACAAGGAGGTCTAATTTATATGACAAATCTTATCGGGGCGAGGAGCAGCGAGGACGGTCAGATCGAACTTCCAAGCGTTTTTCTGAATCCGATGCAGAAGAATATTCCACTACGAAAGTCAGATTCGCTGATCGACGAGAGCAGCCGATTTCAAGAAATTACGCTACCCGAAAAGGAAACACAGGAAGAGTCACCGTCTACGAATCCGACTATGCTCACTCGGACAATAACGAATGGGAAGTCAACCCCCACCTCAACAGACAAAAACATGAGCACGATGCCGGCAAACGTCGAACTGGAGCCACCAGAATCATTCGTCGAAAGCGAGCAACCAACGATGAACAACAACGACCACCAACAGCCAGAGCAAAGAAGCGAAGAAAAATCATCCACCCTCAGTCCGGAACAGAAGGAGAAGATGCCGAACAACCCTTATCCGACATCGAAAATTTTTGGAAATGATTTGACTGTTGAAGGTCCCTCTCAATATAGCGCTTTGGATATGAAAAAATTCAAACGCTATAATAACATGATCAATGTTCACCAGCCGTTTATTTCAAAATTCTCCAGAAATCCTGTAATTGCAACTGGACTTTATACGACTCTTTTTGCTGATATTTGTGTTGCTTATATAAACGATGCCTGGGAGAATAATCTTTATCGCTATATTTTGGTTGTTGTGGATGGACTTTCTCGTCAGTTATTTGTTCGTCCTTTGTATCAAAAAACTGCTGCTGAGACTTCTGAAAATTTGGAAGATATTTTCATGCATATGGATATGCCTGGACAGACGTTTTTGGTTACCGATCGTGGAAAAGAATTTGAAAGTTCGATTTGGCCAATGTTGGACAGATGGGGAGTTATGCCTGTTCAAGTCGATGGACCCCATAAAGCATCTTTAGCTGAACGTGTTATGTAAGATTTTCAAATTATTTTATAATTAAAATTTTGATTATAGACGAACGCTTGAAGAACGCCTTGAAAAATATTTCTTTAAAAAAGGACGTCGACAATGGTATAAAATACTACAAGATATTGCCAATGCTTACAACAATACCGTTCACAATGCAATCGGAATGAAACCAGCTGATGTCACTCGTGATAATGCAAGACAACTGTTTGACTTTATGGAGCAGAAGCGTAACCAAATCGCGCGAGAGCGAAAGACAAAATTCGACGTTGGCGATATTGTTCGAATCCCGTTTAATCGTGACAAGCAGACAACATTCGTCAAAGGCGCCCGAGCAAATTGGGAAAGTGATTTTTATCAAATTGATGAGATTCTCTTTGGCACTCATGTGCCTACCTTTTTTATTGTTAAACTTAAAACTGGAAAACGTGTTGCTCGTCGATTCTATGAGAAAGAATTGAATCTTGTTATCAAACTGTCAGAATTTATCGATGCTTAACTTTTTGTTTTCTGTGCATGTAAATTTGTCTCTTCCTGTCTCTCTCACGTTCTCTCTCCGTGTGTTTAAAGACTGGATCAATTAAATGGTACCTTATCGTCGATGCAACTCTCGAGCAATTGCCAATCGAAAGAAACGAAAAATTCGCAAGACAACAACAACCATCTCCAATCGACGACGTCGACAAACCAAGTCAAAGAAGAAACGCTACTATTGAGAGTAAAAGTAAAATCAATCTTACGCCTCTTTTTTTCATTTTTTTATTTTTAGAATACTCTTATCAAGAATAGAACACTTTTCTTGATTATGGTGGTTTCTATAATTCTTTGCAGTCTTGCGATTTCTCTTTATCTGCTTACTGAAACTGTTCACGTTTTTATGATCGTGTTTCAATAAGAGAGGTTCTTTTCTTATTTTTATATTTTTAAGAAATGACTCATGCCATAAAAAATGAAAAATATGGTCGACTTTTGTATTTGAACACGCGCACTGGCGATGATGAAGATGATAACCCTCAAAAGGGTTATACAGTGATGTGTAAACTTGGCGTTGAAGAAGTGCCTGGTTTGATACGATTTCGAATTCCCGATCACAGCAAGTCACTCAAACTGGATCAATGCATGTTTTTGTGCACACTAGAAGCAGAAGAAAATTATGTACCGGACAACGACTATCACTCGAAAATTGTGAGCACGCTGGTAGTTAAAATCTTGGATTCGCCGTTACTGACATCATTTGACGTGCGAGAATATGCGTTTTTTACAAAATTTTTGACGAAATTGAACTACTCGTCAGAAGCGCAAGAAGTCGAAATGTTTCCATCTGGTCATTACGATTCACGTGATGTTGATGCCGATAAACTTGAAAAATATTTGGTCAAGCACAATGGATACACACTCAAACACCATCGGCAAAAGTTTGCCGAACCTGTTTGGAAAAATTCGCCAACGAAATTCAAGTTCAAAACAGGCGCAGAAGAGATCGAGTACGAAACGCTGAGTTATCGATATCACGTGAGAACTCCGATTTATCATGGATTGTGCAGACAGCCGCGGGTGATCCCTCCACATATAGCAACTGAATTTGATATTCGACTCAACAAGGCTCCTTCATGCTTGCTGCAGTCTTCAGAATTTCAAAAATGTCGCATTCCAATTGAGAAGATGAAAGAATTGTTGGCCGGCTCTCACGATTACTCTGATGATTTGGAACTAGAATATCGAGTTTTGGAACATCGAATTGCCGACGAATGTAATTGCGCTAGCTTACAAACGCGCACTCTGGAATACGAGCAAATCAAAGTGATTGGCTATCACCCTGTTTCCAAGGAGAATCTTGCTACGATGGCTGACAAAAGCAATATTGGTGCCGAGTATCCACAGAACACGTGGCAGCCGCACATTGTGCGTTATAAAATTCCAAGAGTGAAACAGCAAAAATTTGGCGACAAAGCATATGGCTTATTTTGGCGAAGATTTAACATGGATGAAAACAAACTTCCGAAACTCATGGATCATATGATTGAAGCGGTATTTTGCAACGCATCTTCCGATGAGAAACCCATCACCAATAAAAACAACAAGCATCTTGCCAAGATTCCTTTCTTCAATCCTCGCTGCTTCTCAAAGAATGAGCCTGGTGGACGAACTTCGTATACGTACACAATCAGTACTGGATCTTTTCCGTATATGATCATTTTCTCTGGCTTGGCTCATACTCGGAATGCAAAATTTGACTTTCGCACTTGTCCAGTCAAGACGTCGATGAACGATCCGAAATTCAAAATTTGCGAGTTCTCGATCAGAATAAATCAGACAAACGTCTTTCGAACTCCATGGCGCACACCAACTCAACACTATATCAATTTTCTGCAACATAACGGACGATACGATAATAAGGCGATTGGTGGCAATGTCGATTTCGACCAATTTCAAAATGAAGATTGGTGCGTGCCTATGCGATTTGACGATCGCAAGGGGAACTATGGCTTGATCGAAGTGGAAGTCGTTTTCGATCGAGAGCTTGACGTGAATGACACTTGGGATGCGATTGTTTTTCGAGTACCGACAGCAGATTTGACCCTTGACAATGTTCGAAAAGGTACAAGAAAAAAAAATAACAGAAATTTATTATTAATTCTAGAAGCGACAATTGTTTATCCTCAACTTGCTGGTACTAAGCGACGAAGAGAACCAGACTATTTGGATTTGCAAAATGATGGAATTTGAGCGCCCTCACTCCGCTGCGCCACACATACATGCATGCATAACTGTATCTCTTTTCTCTCTCCTTTTTTTGTCAATGATAATAATAAAATGAGTGATCGTTTTTTCCCTGGTCGTTATTCGACAAAAAATGCAAGAAAAAAATCAAAAAAGAGATATAAAAGACTCTTACAGCGTGTATGTATTGATTTTTGAAATGAGCAGATTTTTCAATTTTTGCTTAAGTCGGAATCAGATGTTTCGTCTGTTTTTTCTGATTTGGATTCTTTACAACAAGATGTAGAGCAGCAGCCGGAAGAGCAGCAGCAGCAGCCGGAACAGTCGGAAGACGACGATCCAATACTAAAAAGTAATATTTATTCGGCTATTTTGATGGGTATAAATTGGTGGAAATTTTTGCAAAAATCAAAAATGATTCCAAAACGAATAAATCAAAAACTACGCGAAGAGCTTGCCAATGTAGATATTATGCCGTGTGTGGAAAGATTTGGTAATCATCCGAAACGAGAAGATTTGCCAAAACTGGAAGAATTTCTTGATGTCGATCTTTATTGTTTATTTGGAGGAACTTATTCAGAATTGACAATTTGCTATCGCCCGCAGAGAATTAATGTTAAGCTAAATCTTCGTCAAGTGATTGATAATTTTGAAAGTGCACAACAAAAAAGACCGCTGGTGATTTTACAATCGGCGAGACCGTTTATGAACGAGCTTGGCAATTATTATGTAATACCGTCAAGAAAAGCTGCAGATAAAATCGAGGGAGGCTGGATGAGCATTTGGTCCGCTGTTGTGAAACATCGCTGGCCAAAATTGTCCGAGCCGGATGTGAAATCTAAAATTGAGCACGTGAAAAGGACGATTGGTCTTGAGGAAAACGAAATCTACACGATAGCTGATGGGGTTTTCAATCGACTAAAGAGTAAATTTGGAGTTTCGGTTCGTCTTTTCATTTCAAATTATGTCAACGATAATGTGAATGACAAGACCTGTATTTACACAACAATGGGAAAAAATCACTTGAATCTTTTAATTGGAAGCTTGAAAGAAGACGAGTTTGCTGAGGAATTCAAAAAATTAACTTCATGCTCTTTGAACAAATTACGACGAGAGCCTTGGCGCTGTCCTGAAATGTCCGACGATCGTGATTATCATCGCTCAAGAAAAAAATCTCAGTTAAATGAAGTAGAAACAAATCGTGTTCTAAATTGGTGTCGCTCTGGAACATACTTTCACTCGAAAGAATCAAAAACAAAAGGTTCCAAAAAGTAAGCTTTATTCAAAAAAATCTTTTTTAATTTTTATCCAAGGATCCAAAAAAGAAGAGTTTTTCAATTAAATTCATCTTCTTCATCATCGTCATCGTCGTCGTCGTCGTCGAGTGAAAAAAATACGATTCAAGAAGAAGATGAAATGGAATATGAGGCGGCTGATTGGGACTTGCATGAGCAACAAGCGGCCGAGGCTGACGCTTTTGATCGTCAAGCGTGCGCTTTCATTGACGGCGAAGCTCACGCAAGCGGTGGTGATGATCATGAGCGAGAAAGTGTTGATTTAGCAGCCGAATCATCGTCGTCGTCGTCGTCGTCTTCAATTTATTCCGAGACTTTCAAGCCAATTTACAATGTAGCCTCATTAGCGCCAAATATTTTTGATGAAAATACTCGCGTTAAAATTCTTCCCGATTCGGCAATAGTTCATATGCCACGATGTCCGACAAAGGATTGTCTCTATTCGACTCGTCAACCAAGCAGAATGAAGAAACATATCAAAAACTGCTCCGGCGAGCCGAAAATCATTTATCGCCAGAGTGTAAACGGTCCTGATATATATTCATATGTTGGCGAATTGGCAAAAGAAGGCTGGCTCCCAAGCGTCGAATTCAATCAAAATTATTTTGTTACTTATGATATTGAGAGTTTTATGTCGGCTGGGCCATTTACAACTGATGAGAAACATCACAAGCTGGTCTCGATTGCACTTCACACTAGTCAACAGGAACAAAAAATCTTTATCCGCAAAGATATGCGCTACGAATCTGGGTTGAGTCTAGTCCATGAGTTTATTTTGTATCTAAAAAATCTTCAAGAAAAAATGATTGAAAATCTGCCTGATTGTATAAAAGACGGTGTCGATCATTTTTCACGAATTCTTGGAGACAAAGAAGAACGCTCAAAATACTCGCTTCATCAAGTTGAAAATATGCGCCAAAAGCGCAACTATTTAAAGGATTTTATGAAGCTCAAAGTTTACGGCTGGTGCTCGGAAAGATATGATTTACCTGTTTTGTATCCGCTCATTTGTGATGTATTTTATGAAATGGCGAATCGAGACGACTCACAAGTCAGCATTATCAAGCGAGATGGCGGTTATATGGTTGTTGAATCAATGGGGATTTCTTTTCGCGATTTTAAAAATCATACATCACCACAAACACTGGAAAAGTTGGCTCGATCGTGTGGACTCGATGAGTCTAAATTCAAAAAAGGACTGTACCCTTATGAGTGGCATACCGATCCTGATCAGTTGGAAAGGCGTAAGCAATTCCTTGCTTATCCCTGCTTCAGATCGACAATGACCATACGCTCAGACAAGTATCCAAAAGAGATGAACGAACTTATCGCACAACGTCACAACAATATGGATCCGACAAATATTCTAGAGATTGGTTATTTGTTGAATCTTCATTTGTTGATTGACGATGAGGTGGTGATTGATGCATGCGAGAATCGTGATAAGAATCCGCTGATGGAGTTCAACACTGCGCACGAGTATGGCGATAATATTTTTGAAAAAATTTGTCAATGGTTTACAATGGATGAAGAAAAGGGCTGCCTTCAGTGTGATCCAAATGATGAACAAGTTCAAGAGTTTTTTGCATGCTCGCCCAAGCTCTATGTGGAAAGCAGCCGCCGATGGGACGAACTCGAGGCAATATTCAACGATGATATGTCTATGACGCGATTTCTCATTGATTACAATTTTAACGATGTTATTCTTTTAGAAGGATCGATATCGTCATTTGCAGAGAGTTACAAAAGTCGATTGCAAATTTGCTTGCACTCGTTTCTCTCAATTGCAAAGCTAGCGCAGACAATTTCATTTATAATGTACGATCCGAGCGTGCCACCAATTTATTCAATACCTCCAAAACATTGCGATTTTTACAATAAATGTCGTGAAAAGTTATCTGGAGGCATAACTCAAGTACTGCACCGTGCGATCAATCTCAACGGTGAAAGTGAACACATTCCAGCTGCTGCAAGAATTGCGCCAAATGGTAAACCCTATGTTAAAGTTATCATGTTGGATTTTAATTCTTTGTATCCACAAATCTTTCGAAGTTGGATGCCCTGTGGGCCAGGAATCATGTTTAAAAAAGACGGTGGAAGGTTTTTTGCCGATGGAATGTTCAATCAAAGGGAGAACGCATCGATTGAGTCGATCCAATGGCTCGAGTATTGTAATTCAATGACAGAATACAACGGTCAAATAAAACATGCTTACAATCACGTGGAAAAGAAGATTGCCGGCTACTCTGTGGATGGATATTTTGAGGATCAAGACAACATTGTTGTTTTTGAATTTCGTGGTTGCTCTTTTCATTATTGTCCTAATTGTAAGTCAGGATGAAGAGCTCTCTTTTTTCTGTTTTTTTTTAAAATCAACTAAAAAAGCCCTACTCTAAGCGTAAACCCTGGCGTGCTAATCGAGTGAAAATAGGAAAAAAAGAGTACAAAACACTTACCAACGATGAAATGAAAACGCTCGACGATGAGCGCATGCTCAAAATTAAAGACCATTTGACAGCGTCATCAACAAAATCCGTCACCATTCGTATTGAATACATGTGCCGCTGGACGCGTACTTGGTGCAATTTAGTTTTGAATAATAATCCTCCTGAATCGTCAATTTATCCTTTTCTTTACAAGGGTTCGAAGCAGGTGATTCGAGGCGGAGTGACCGAGGACGATTTCAAAGCGCTGGTTGCATCTGATAAATTCTTTGGCTTTGCGCTTGTTGATTTATCTTCGCCACAAGAAGGAACGAGGGTTCACACTAATTTAGACAAAAATACAAATTGTGTGTGTGTGTGTAAACCTACCAAAAGTGATTGATGCTCATCCTGATATTCCACCCATTTTCGACAAGGTTCGAATCGAGCGAGAAGACGTTCAAGGATTCATTACGGAAATGTTGACAAAAGAAGAATTGGATCAAATGTTTCCCAAAGAGGAGAATGCCTTTTGCTACAATGCGCAAGATTATTTGATAACAAGTGCAATGCTCAAACATTATCACGACAAAGGACTCAATTACAAAGTAAAATATTTTGTAATTTATTACAAAGCAAAGCCTTTCGAAGATTTTGTCAATCAAATGGTCAAAGATCGCATCAAGGCACATTTGAAGAAGGATGCTGTTGCTGGCGCTCGTGCAAAACTCATTATGAACAGTACTGTGGGACGATTTGCGCTTGCAAAGCATCGCTTTACGCGAACGAAACTTGTCGGCTGTCATAAAATGATGAAAGTTTTTTCCAATCCGTTGGTCAAATCGTACAAAAATTTGCGCACAGAAGCTCGCGCGCTCGATCCGCTGCATGAGGTTGAAGTTCGCCCAAAGCAAGTCATTGAAGATTTACCTATTCATGTCCAAATTCAAGTCTATCAGGCAAGTGTGGGTGTGTTTTGAATCACTTGTTATTTTTGTATTTTTTTAGAATAGCAAACTGTTATTTTATCAATTTCTTGATATTTTAAAAGAATACATGGAACCTGGATCAGTCGTTGTCAATTACTGTGATACAGATAGTTTTCTCATAAGTATCACCAAAGACACGCTGGACGATTGTGTGCGCGCCGAATTAAAGTCAACCTGGCTAAATGAAATTAAACCTGCCTGGTTTGCCGAAGAGGATGAAAATCACCCGAGTCAAAAAGAGCCCGGTCTACTAAAGGCAAGTCTGTAAGACTCGGACACTTGTTGTCACGTTTCGTCTGTCTAAATTCTCATCAGTCTGAGTCTCACAGCCAGCCAACCATCCAACTACAGCCACCCATCCAACTGCAACCCAAAAGACGCATATTTCGGCCGCCGTACGGCAGCCGTCGCCCCTGGCGACGGTCAAGGTTTCCGGCCCAAAGGGCCGGACCGGGCGATAGCCCGCTTCGTCCGCCGCCGCCGCCGCCGCCTTTGACGGGGAAAAAAGTCGCGAAACCGCCTAGACGGCGGTCTCGGCTCCTTTTTTCCGAAAAAAATCGCTCGCTTCGCTCGGCTCTTTTTTTCTGGTACTTTTGGTTTATTTTTCGTCGGTTGTAAGTCGGGTTTATGTAAAGGAAAAAAAGTAGCGAAAAAAGTAACGAAAAAAGGTACGATAAAAAGTAACGAAAAAAAGTAACGAAAAAAGTAACGAAAAAGAGTAAGGAAAAAAAGAATGGGATCAAGAATCGAACTCAAAAATTTGACAATAGCGGTAAATAGGATTTGAATTTACAGTTATAAAGGGTTAAGGGAACTTTTTATTCGCATCACCACTTGACCAACTATTGTCTAGGCTGAAGCGACGCTGACAAAAGGATGGTACTGTGGTGTCTCACCAAAATGTTACATTATGAGTGCAATCGATGAGACGGAACTTGAACGAGCAATTTTGCAAATGGACAAAGACGTCAATGTTGATCGACTGTACAAGGAAGTCATGCTGAGCGAAAATGTGACACCTTTTATGAAAAAATCGGCAAAAGGGTGCAAGAAAAAGATTCCACTCAGGTAATTTGCGTCTGTGTTGATTTGATTTGATGTTTTTTTGCTAGTTTTTACGAATACTTGATCTCAATCTTTGGAAGTGCGAAAAAACGAGTGACAAAGAATGTTCCACAAATTCAAATGGACCGAAAAAGGGATCAAATGAAAACGTGGACGATGGAACGCAAGGTCATCAACCCAATCCTCACGAAACGCATCATCAGCAAAGACAGAATTTCTACCACTCCACTGCGGCGTGCAAACGGCGACTTTATTTGATACTGTAATACACAGCCACAACCAAAAAATGACTTTTATACCAAGAGGAATTCATTCAATAATTGAATTTGTCAAATATAAAAAGAGAAATGGTGATATTTCTGCCCGAGCTAGCCGTCCAAGTGAAGCTTTTTTGCGAAAATTTTTATCGCACTATAATCCTCAACATGTTGACAAGGAGCTCATCTATCCGGAAAACCGCCCACGTGAGTTGATCAATTCGCCTGCAAATGCAAGAATCATGGAAAATGCTGAAGCAGACAAAAAATTTCTCGATATTTTGGTTCCGTATGAGCCAGCTCCATCCGACTACTTTGAGGAGAACGAACTCGAATGTCTCGAGCAGGGTAAATTTTCACTCCGATGGCCGCCAAAATCGTATATACGTACGTAGCTGATAAATTTTGATTTTGAAAGTAATATACCTTGTAGAGCAGGGTTGGCGTCACAATTTCAATTATACAGATGCATTTTTACAGAGAGGAAAGAACAAGCTCACCAAAACGTTGACAAATCGATACACAATAACAATTCTCAACAATCGCAATCTAGAGATGCTGGTGCGACAACTTGCCAAAGGAATTGGTGGATTTTTACGTATCGAATGCGACGCTTACTTTATTGCCAAATCGACGACGGGTAGTGGCGACAATGTGATTGAAAAATTCGACATAATTTATCCAAACAGTTGGGGATGCATAAATACGACCAAGTATATCTACAATGAAGAAGAACTCGAGGAACTTTGCAAGGAGATTCAGCCAGAACCTTTTCAACGCGCCCTTATTGCCAATTCTATCATGCGAAGAGATGTCTTTGCAGAAAGTAATGTGCGCTTTCATCGCATACTAGCCTATCAAGTTATAGTTCAAACTCTGCCTGTACGATTTTTGACAAAATAAAAAAAATTCTATCCTGATGACGAGGGGTTAAATAACGGTCCAAATTATTATTCTAGATTATCATTAGGCTTACTTTTAGTGAAAATATTTATGCAAAGGAATGATAAACAAGTTTATCGTTTTCAACTTTTTTATTACAATATAGAATAGACAACAAAAAACAATTTGACTTCATGCAGCGACCTTGGCTCGTTTCTTGGGCTGAAAAAAATTTTTTATATTCAAAAGAAAAAATAAAAAAACTTACAGGAGGCAAATCGTCTTCCTCGCTTTCAGATACAATCTTCAAACTTCCAGATGGTGATGATGCCGCTGGTCGATCGATTTCCATTGCTGCTGGTGGTGGCGGCGGCGGCGGCGGCGGTGGTGTTGGTGGCGCTGGCGGTGCGAGTGACGCTCGTGCTCGAGGCATCGCTGAAAAATTAAAAAATTTTTTCTCTTATTTTGAATCACCTGGAAAACTATCTGCACCGTGTTTCTTCCGCCGCTTTTCAGCATATGTAATATGAGCAGTGTGGGTGAAATCAGGCTTGACGTTGTTGATCACCTCTCTGAATGTCGCCTTTCGAAAATCGATAAAATCAAGAGGAGTTGGAGGTCCTTTTTTCATCACCGCTGCCATGTGAGATTGGGGCGTTTTTGGATCGCATTGTGTCACAAAGTTGTGATACAATTTGAACAATTGCCAGACAAGATTCGAAAAGATCATCTGCTGCCGGTAGATGAACGTTCGGCAGATATTCTTTCGTTTCATCTCCAAGTGATCGCGAGTAGTTCTTGCATCGGGATTTTGCGAATTGAGGACCAAAAATTCCTCCATTGTTGGTAGCATGGCGCGGCGAAGTCGAGCGCGTTCTTTGTCGAGCGTTTTGACCAAAAACTTTCGCATTGAGATCAGCACGCCAACATAGCTCATCGGGCAGAGTTTCGAGTAAACTCGATAGCGATTAATATTGTCCAGTAGCTCAACACAATCGGCATTCATATCGTTCAGGATCAAATCGGTGTCTTTAAAACTGCCGCGGCCTTTTCGTCTGATTTCACGAAAATGTCGAGGAATATTGCACGTTGCTGAGCAATCGACATCGTCTTGAATCGAGCGAGAAAATGCCATAGGCGTTCCAATATCGACAATGCTCTTCAATCGCATCAAATATTCAAATGTTTCACTCTCCAGAAAGCCAATGTGTCGAAGCGAGTGAGTTTCAGCGCTGAATCGTGGATCTGCCTTTGTCGTCAAGTAGCTCGTTTCGCAATAGAAATTAATCATGCGGAGTAAATCTCGGCTCAAATCAATTCCATAATTGCAATCGGGCTCGGTATGAGGAAGGGTCCACTCAGGCGGACACTTGTATGCATCATCCCGCGAAAATCTCAAACTGCGGCTAATAAATCGCATGTCGATGTCGGATGCTTCGCCAGTCAACTTTCGAGAGAGTGTTGGTTCAAAATCAACGACGAGTGTATAAAATTCCAGCATTGCAAGCTGAGTGATCGGGCTTGTAGCAGTCGGATGTCTCATAATCGCAGGAAAGTCGACAAAGCGCAAACCAGGCGGTTGATTGCCACAATATTGCGCAGAAAGTGGCTCGCTTAACATTGAAAAGATGCTCTCCAATTCGGTGTACTCGGAAGGTCGAAATCGTGAATTGGCAGCCCATTGAGCAACGGAAATACACGGCGGCGCGTAGATGTTAGAAAACGCAATTGGCGAATTAGCAAAGAGTCCATGATAGCCGACCATTTGATTGCGAAGTTTTAAATAAAACATGCGCCACGGAGTGTCAGATGAAACAGATCCTCTTGGTAGTGCGTGTGAAGCCGCTGTTGCACGCAGTAATGCAAGCAATTCAGGTGTTGGTGGGCGGCGCAAATTGTTGTTGTTGTTGTTTATCGTCGTCGTCGGCGCGGAGGGGGAACTTCGTCGTCCCAAAACAGGCTCCAATCGCTGCTCGATTCCGGAAAATCTTAAAGTCAGTAAGATATTTTGAAAGATTTTTAATGTATTTTACCTGTGACCGTTTCCTCTGCCTTCTGCGCTCGTTGTTCCTCCCGGCGATAAATGTCCAGATAGATTCTCATTGTCATTGCCATTGTTGCCGTCATTGCCAGCAGGAGAAACAGGTTCATAATCCATTGGATTCGCCTTTTGTGCGGCGGCGATCGGACTTTGTAGTAATGAAGGTTCATCATCTCTTCGTCTTGAATCGTCGTCGTCGGTGATGGGGGAGAGTTTTCGTCCATCATCTCGTCCAAGTCCGAATCTTGAAAGAACTTGGGGTGGTGAAGATTTTGACCGCTTTCCATGTACGTTTCTCCTTCGTAATCGCTCACAAGATCGAGATCGTCTTGAAGAAAGGTGACTTGCTAAAATGAAAAAATAAAATTTTGAAATATTTTGAAATTTTACTTTTCGCATTGGAGGCGGCAAAACAGGCGGCGAAATCTCTTGCAATGGGCGAAAATTGTTTTCTTCGTTCGCCGCCATCTTGATTCAATTGTCTTGTACGCCAATCGAGCCACTTTTTCATAAACAAACTGTCTACAAAAAAGATTCTTTGAAAACAATTTTTTGGTGAAAGAATTTAGATCCAAATAAATGAAAAAAAGTAATTGATAGAGTGAACTGCGTGAATGGTTCAAAAATTGAGCGAGAATGTTTTTGGGGTCGAATCAATGTGAAAAAAAAAAATAGGTTTTTACAAAGCGTCAAGAGTACTATTTGAGTGGGAAGAGCGAAGTTGATATCGTTTTTTCGGTGATGATTGTGGTTGTTGTTCGATCTCTGATTCTAGTTCGATTGTATCTTCTTCAGAGAGTTCTGGCTGATGGAAAGTGAGGTCTGGAGACGAGGCGATCATTTCTGGAGAGTAAAAAATGACTCGTCTTGCGCCGATTTGACGAAGATGTTGTTGACGATCTTCATCATCATCATCATCATCGCAGTTGCTACGAGAACGACGACGACGACGGCGAAGATTACTACGACAAAGATGGCGGTGATGACGTCTGCCGCTGCTGCTCCTAGGACTCACACTTACACCACCGCCACCGCCACCCCAAATAGCACGATTGAGCGTATTAGCGACACCACGAGCGCCATAGCTGAGAACAGGTGTCGAATACGAAATGACGACGCTAAAAACGTTTTTTATCGTTCTTTTTCATGATAAACTTACGATGCAATCTGAACTCCCCCGTGAACTACACTTTTAAGACCTGAGATTACTTTGTCTCGATCAAGGCGAAGTTGGTCCACTGTCTCAGAGTTGAAAACTCTGACTTCGTTTGCTGCGTCTTCGATTGTCTCCACTTGTTGCTCGTTTGTAAGTGGTGGAGACATGTGTTCCGGAGGCGTTGTGAATACAGGGCTCTCAATAATCACCCTCTTTTTTGTCTTTCGTCGAACGATTTTTGCGATCGGGCTGATTGGCGACAATCGTTTAAAACTTACTCGCCGACTTTTCTTTCGTTTTAATTTTGCTGTTGTTGGCTCATCAATAACATTGTTCGCCTAAAAACGTAATTTTAGGCTCAATATTCTTTGTATCATGTACCTGATTTGTTGGAGAAAACGGACGAGGCAATTGCTGCTGCTGCTGCGACTGCTCGGAGATAGGAGCAACAAAAATCTGACTTGGCGGTTGGTGAACAGTTGCCGAAACAGAAGTGATCAATTCTGGCTGCTGCTGCTGCTGCTGCTGCTGTGCTGGTGCTGGTTGGCTCACGGGTTGCTGTTGAATTATGAGAGGAGTGCTCTCAGTTTCGACGACTCCATCTTCGTTCACAAACGGTGCTTGCTGTCGACGATGATCTAAAAAATATATTCAATAAAGAGTTTTTCTAGGAGTAATCTTACCATACTCGACCACTTGGCCATTCAGTTGAACGATTCCGCGGTAAAAAGGTCGATTATCAGGATTCCCATCTCCACAGCAAATAAAGCAGAACCAGACTTTGAAATTGAAGAGGTGATCTCGCACAAAGCACAGAAACCATCGCGCCGCTCCACAAAATGTCCGATTTGAGCAGCAACAGCAGCAAAATGTCGACATGGCATAGACGGCGATCACCCAACCCATAACGATCACAAATCGAGTTTTGAAGCTAGAGCAAATTTTATTTTTGCAAAAAAATACAAGTATAGAAAATGGCCTTTTTTACTATGTTAACAGACCGATAATGAGCAAAATTTTTTCAAAGTATTTTCTCTATATTAAAATTTTCTCAAAAAAATACAAGTATAGAAAAAAACACAATTTTTCCTATGTTAAGGTAAAAAAATTATCAAAATTTTTTCTAAGTATTTTTTACATTTTATATAGAAAAAAATTCCTCAAGAACGCCCTATGGTCTGAAACGCTTGGTATGTAAAAATTTCTCCTATGCTTAAATTTTCTCCCATGTCATTTTTTTCCTTAGATGTCAAATTTGACATTTCATTTTGACATTTCAACTTTGAAATGTGCTGGAAAAATTTTATACCTAGGAAAAATTTATATGCATGGCGAAATTTTGACCATAGGGGGTTTTCAAGTATACCATGAATTTTCAGTCCTACCTTTTTTCATGGAAATTTTGAAAATAAGGAAAAGAAAAAACTGCTGCCGAGTCGTCCATCATCGTCGAATTCGTCGGTGTCGCCGAATCGAGTGTATAATTCGCTTTTGGCTCGATTCGCTCCGGCTCCGTTTTTTTAGGTTTCGCTGTAGCTGGGGCCAATGTTTTAGGCTCCGTCCTTTCTTCTGTCGTCATCGTCGTCGTCGTTGACGTCGTGGTAGTTGAAGTCGTCGACGAACTCGTAGTTACCACCAGAATTGGGGTTTCAGTCGATTCAGGCGACGAGCGGATGGTCGAATGCGGTCCGACAGATGGATGAGGAGTCGAACGATTGGGCGTAGAGTGACCACTTCGAGAAACAGGTTGAGTAACGACAGATACGGTCTCCACACTAGGTCGAGGAGTGCCACCATTGCCCAAAAATTCTGTTCCTTCTTCGTTCGACATTTCGCTAGACTCACTAGATAAGAAAGAGAAATCGTAACTATCCCCGTAGTAGTCATCTGAAAGAACTGCGGTTCCCAGTCCAGCGATAACCAAGACATATTTTACGATCATCTAAATTTAAAACAAAGATAAATTTCTAATTTCTTAGTTTTTTAAAAGTGCTGGTTTGGAGGGATATAGTAGCAAAGAATCTCACAGCCGCACCATACACAAGTGTCCATCGTCGTTTTCAGACAGTGTTCGCAAAAGGAGTGACTTGAAAGGAATGACAACCTTTGATGTAAAATTTTTTTATCAAAGGTCGACAATTCCCATCCTGCATGGATAAAATATTATCTCTTTATTGCCACGATAAAGAGGCATCTGACATAAACCACATTTTAGCATTCTAAATAAAATAAAAACTTAATGGTTCACATGGCTCAATCTTGTTATGCATCCTCTGTTTCAGCGGCAAAAGATTTTACAGAATTCGCTTGGATCCAAAACTTTCGAAGAGCTTCGGTCATTTCTGGCGAGCACGTGACCACATCGGGTAGATCAATCGCGCTGAGAGAGTTGCGTCGGACGAGTCGGGCCGGAATGTATCGACAGCCAAACTACAACAAAAAAGTAAAAAATAAAAACAAAAAAACAATCTTACCAAAGACATGAGTGTTTCATTTTCCGTGAATTTGACTTGGCAAAGGGCGTGATAGTACATTTTCATCAGACGCCCGCCTGGAACGAAATTGATTCGCTTGAAGATTTCCCCCATTGATTCTTTCATAGCGGAGGAGACGTCTCTAGTAAATATGATATACTTGGTTTCGTAAATTATTTACTTACTTAAGATCAATGGGCACATGTTCGCCACTGTCTTCAGCCTCTTCTCCAAAAGAGCGGCGAAAAATGGTCAACATCGTTCGAAGTTGTGCATCTGCATCCTCTTCGCCATTTGGGAGAAAAGCATGTTGCGAGTAGAGAATAAGCATTCTCATCACAGTGCGCTCAATCTTCGAGTATGCCTGGCTGAGCTGATTTTCAGTCGGGCCTTGAGTGGACTCACGCTGAACTCCGATTGTCGTAAAAACCTAAAATAATTTTAATTCACTTTTTTCCGAATTGAAAAAGACTTACCGAAGAAAAGAATCGGGCATCAGCAGCGTAGGGAGGAGTCACTAGGCAAGGAGAAAATCCAAGGGCGAGGAGAAGTGTTCCACGCTGTCGTCCGTACTTGAATTTATCACCTCGTGTCGTTGGCCAAGGATAAACATGGAGTGGCTTTCGATTGAATGCGCGAACAAGTCTCATCGGACGATCGAATTTGTCCTCCAACAAAGATCGAAGCTTCCATTTCTTGTTCGATTTCACCTAAAAACATAATTAACATTTAATATTTTTCAAAAATTTTCACTTACCCAGACTCGAAGATCGCGAATGACAAAGGTTCCGCAGACAAGTTGTTCCCAAATGGGAAAAAACGCTCCAGTGTCATCCCACTTTACGACGTAAGGACTGGAAGCGACTTTATCCGGCCCATAATCGAAAGCGCAAAAGTCGGAAGTTGATTTTACGCTCTCTGGATTTTGACAAAGTTCGAGATTCGAAGGTTTGCAAACATCGCGAATTTCGAATTCGTCGATATGCCGAGAGAAGGACTGAAGAAACAATCCAAGAGGAGTCTTTCCCATTGTTGGTCGAATGCCACTCAGCGACAGAATACTCCGCCGAATGATCATCACCAGCTCCGCGCGATCTAGCTCGATCTTTTGAAGAGGCTCAGGCGGTGGTGGTGGTGGTGGTTGATCACGACCTTCATCGAAAAGGGCTGATTCGTGTTCGACAATGTTGAGAATGTGCTGATCGATAAGTCGCTTGTCCTGCACATTCATCACCATATTTTCAAACTCGGCGCCGTTGAATTTGACCTTGGGCAAATTGTGTTCGCAAGGACCATCAAGAAATCGAGTATCGGCCAAAACTCGGCCAGTTGGCGGTGTCTTAGGTTTCTCGGTAGTTTGAGTCGATACTTCCGTTCGCTTGGGTGTAGAATGACTCGCAGGAGAAGAATGTGTCGTTTCTTCATCCAGTGTAGAAAGCGAAGGCCAAAAAGACATTGGATCCTCTGTCGACGTGTCGATTGGCGATTCTTGAGAAGTGTCGATTCCTGTCAAATCGATGACGACGTCCTCACAAGTATTTCCGTTAACAAGGACGGACATGTCTTCAACGCTGTTTTCGCCGTCGACCTTTTCAGTATCCTCGCCGCCGTCCGCTTCTTCGTCAGTCTCCTCGTCCTTTTCCTCGGTCTGGTCATCGTCTTCGCTCTCTTCACCTTCGTCATTGTCTTCCTTATCGCTCTCATCGTCGTCCTTCTTATCCTTCTCGAGGTCTTCTTCTTCTTCATCATCGTCATTCGTGTTACTTTCATCTTCATTCTCATGACTTTCTTCTTCTTCTTCTGCTTCATCTTCCTCATTCTGCTGGCTTTCTTCGGCGTCGCTCTCGCAAGCTTCATTCTCGGACTCATATTCGTCCATGTCCATCTTTTCTTCAGAGTCGGAGAGGTCGGAGACGGCTACATGCGGCGTGGGTCGATTCGAAGCAAATTTTTTCGCGTAACAATCGCCATTGCTGAGAAATATCTTGCCACGGCCGTACCCAGGATTCTCTCGGAGTTGTTTTTGACGCTTGGCAGCCCAGTAGCGGCGGCGCTCTTCAGCTAAAAACAACATTTAAAATGGCGCTGTTCAATTATTAATTTACCTTCGCGCTTTCGAGTCGCCTCGACAAGATCCAAATAAAATGAGCTTGGTTCGTTTTTCCGAGCAAACCGACCCATCCTTATTTTTTCGAAAGTGTCTAAAAATTTTAGCTAGTTGATTTAGGGATTAAAATTTTCGTGATTGACAATAAGATCGACAATTTCGTCTCGAGCAGGGGACAGTAACTTTGCATAATGATCAGGAGTTTCGCCCTCGATGAGAACGTACAGTTCAAAAACCATGCTGGCAATGTAGTCTTCTTTTGTACCCGGGTGTTGACTGATCAATGTCTGCAGTACTGAGCTGATATTGTAGTTTCCATCTTCGCTGATCTAAGAAAATCGTTAATTTTCGCTTTTTTTGGCTAAAAAATGTACCATCAAAGGAAGATCGTGTCGCTCTCTCAGCAGCGTTTCAAATTTGGGCAAGTCAGACATTTCCATCGTCCACTTAAAGCTGAAAAACGGCACGTCCGAAAATCTCGACCATGCCTTTTCAAATTTATCCATTATTCTGAAAATCTTTTTTTCAATAAACAGCTATGGCATGGAGCTAAGCAGTTGAGTAGCAGCAGCAAAAAGCAGTGCAGCATTTTCTTCAAACAAGCTAAAAGTAAAATATTAGAATCCAGAGTGTGTAGAAATCAAATTCACCTTATTTTCGTGCTGGATTCTTTTCAGCTAATCGCTCCTCCAATTGCTGCATCATTCGTCGTCGAACAGCGCGGTAAGGTGAATCTAATTTTCTTTTATTAAACGGTAAGAAAAAAATTTGAATACCTTGAAACTCTTGTTGCTCAAGCTCAGTCTCAGTAATCTCGACGATAACAGGCGGTGAGACTAGAGCGGCGCGACCCGAAGTACCCTCATCAGCAGCAACCCTGTCTGGCAAACGTCCCTGCTGAATCGCAACAGCTGGTAGATCAGCGTCACTCTGCTCAGATCGTTTCTGCTGAGTATTCTCGCAAATCTCCTGAATTCGATTCGAACTTTCGCCAAGCTGTCCGCTAAAAGGAGCGTCTCGAGGCTCAACCACAGCGAAATTTTGAACGGCATTCACTTGCTCGCCCGGAATCGGTGTTTTTGGCAATGGGGTTGCTAGATTAAATATAGATAAAACGACACAAAGTCGAATTATTACCTAATGGAGAGTCACGAGGAGTTGCCCCGGCGCGGCTCAATGTCACGTGAGCTTGAAGTGGTCCAAAGTAGAAATTGGACGAGAATTGAGGATCGGCGCTTGCAAGGCCTAAAATCATTTTTATTGATTTTAAAGAGAAAATGAAATTTACCTTTTGCTAAAGTGCGAAGTTTTGCCACTCCTTTTGGTCGCTTAGAAGCACTTGCTTCCGCTTCTCCCTCGTCAGGCTCACGCTGGCGTTTTTTAGCCTTCTGTGGTCCAAAGTTGAGCACACGCTTGGCAGTCTTGACGATCAATTTCGATTCTTTGTGAATCTTCTTCGCCAAGGCAAGTCCTTGTCGCACGCTTATGACAAATTAATCGATTAAATCATCAAACAGAGACTTACATCTTAGGAGATTGTTGCTTCGGTGAGAAAGGGATAAGGGCTCTCTGAGCGGAAGGAGATCGAACCGAAGGATTCTTGGAAGCCTCCTTGATGTCGTTTGAATCCGACATTCTCTGAAAGTTAATTACTTATAAATGCGCGAGAATAGCGCCACCATTAGGCGTATGCACAAAAAATCGAACTCTTTTTTTTTCAGTGTTAAAGATGGTGTATTTTTAAGGGAAAAGTTAACTGATTTTTCATATATGCAAATTACAAATGAGTATTTTTTAAAACACCTAAAAGTAAATTGGCAAACAGAAAAATAATTTTGATTCAACAATGTTTCAATAAGATATCCTAACAGTCTAAGTCGGTGGTAAAGGAGAAAAAATAGATAGCACTAAAAATAATTGTGGAAAATAAAGAAAGATAAAGGTGTGCTAGATATACGATAAGCGAGGAAAGAAAGTTTAACAGTAGAGATAGTAAAAAACCTAAAGGTATAAAGCGAAATACACTCACAGGCACACGCTAGAGTAAATTGATTTTACACATCGCGTCGCGCATTCTTCAAGCAGGCCAGAGTTCCTTAAAAATGAAATTATTTTCTTTTTCCCTAAGAAAAAACTTACGATTGACATCTGCCTCCATTTCGAGTATTTGCTCATAATACTCGGCAAGCATCTTGCTGGAGATCATCTTGCTCGAACCGTCAGCGTTGAAGAAGTCTTTTTGATTGAGCCGGCCATTGTCAAACTCTTTCTGCAGCAAAGGGCCAACAGAAACACGGTTGAGCGTGGAGAGAGTTGTTTTTGTTGGCGCTGCTAAATAAGAGTGTAAGTCTTAATTAAAATTTTTTCTAATAAAGAATCACCTTTCAAAGCTTCAAAGAAAAAACACATTAAGCAGACGGCAAGCATCAAAAGCGCAATACCTGTAACAGGGAACAAAGTGTCGCCAAGATCGTAAGAGTATTCGTTCCAATCCTCCCCGCCGTAATCCGCTATGAAAACTTGTTATTTTCATTCAAAAAATGAAAATCACCTTTCTCCTCGCCAGCAGCCGTAGTTGTCGTCGTCGTCTTCATCGTCGTGGCAGTGGTCTTGGTCGTGGTTGTTGTCCCCTCCTGCTTGTCGATGATAGTGACTATCTCTCCCTCGGTCACATTAGCTTAAAAAGTGATTAATCTTTTTCATCGATTTTTTACTTACAAAAAGAAGTCGAATCCTTGCCAACGACGTTGTAATCAGCAATGTCCGGGAAGTCTGAAAAATTTTACTTATTCAAAAGAACATACAAATGATCTCATTAGTTATATCCTCTTTGAAAATATCCATCATTTTATTCTCACGACTTTAATCATACTTTATTATTAAAGATACATTAATACATAAAAGTTTAGCGAACCTTGTTGAGAAGGGATGATATCGGCAGAGCGGCGCTTTCTGATCATCTTGACTAAACGAGTGCTTTAATTACAATTTCCACAAAATTAGTTCTTACCCTTTCCAGCAAAACGACGGCGGCGGTAGTGGCGATCGGGCTCCTCCTTCACACCTCCGTTCCCAAGGTCAACCGGAATCGATTGAGTTGTTGGAGCGAATTCGCAACTGATGGAGCCGTTCTTGATGCTTAGGAAGAGGGCGATTATCGCCAGCGAAGCCCCGAAGCACACAACCATCGAGTAGCTGAAGCACCGAGGCACCGAGGCCTTGCATTGCTCCCAGACGTTCTACAAAAAAATTACCTTGTGTCCTTGTTGATTTCATATCTCTCTCTTACCTGGTGGCGGCGAGTCGGATGGGTGCCGTTTGGAGCAACAGACATCGTCGTGTAAGTTGGTTTCGAACTAGATCGACGTTTTGACTTGAAGAACATTGTTTTTATAATAATTACCTCTGCTGCACTCGAATACGTTCTTGTTGCGGTGGCGCTGGAACAACGAACTGATGGTTTTGCCAATTCGACGCTACAGTATCGGCGCTAGCGGAAGCCGGCCCGAGGTTGGTGCTCTGAGAACCGATATTCTCGTTCATATCTATAACTATAAGCCGTGAGAAGCGGTAAACTTGAATCAATTTTTCTATCAAATAGCGCTTTGTCTCTCAGAAACGAGTTTTTTTCAAAACAAACAAGTTCAACAGGGTCAAAGTTGTATCTGCTAGAATATATTTTCGTAAATTCTTCTCTTAAAATTTTATTCCTTCTCTTGATGACGTAAGTATGCCGGCTTGAGCAAGCGAAAACCCAAATCTCGAAATGAAAAAACACCGGCGACCACTCCCCATTTACATGCCAACTTTTTTCTAGACTGCAAACCAGACAAGCGACGCGACTACTACACAACCAAAACCTGCTCTACCACACCAAAATTAAAACACAGAATTGTTTTTTAAATTTTAAAAGACATTTATTTTAGAAAAAAACAGATGATAAAATGTCTTTTACATCCTTTTTTGCAAAGGGAGAATTAGAAAGTCTTCTTTTTCCAGAGTCGGGCGTCACCAAAGCAGAAGGTGGCGTGAGGCGTATCGATGATCGCCGAATACTCTCCGGAGTACAACTCCCGTTGAAAGTCCTGGAGCTGCGCACCTTTTTCGCGAAAATAGTTTAGCATTCGCGTTCTAGCCACCGAAAAAGGATCGCTGCCGTTCTTGTGCACTAGAAAATGTTATTTAAAAATTTTTTCATTTTAAAACAAAAAACTTACCTGGATCCGGCATGGTGAGCATCGGTTGGGTAATTAATACCCCTGGATTCTTGGTTGGAATCCTGTGGAGGGTGTTGCCATAGCCGACGAAGACCTCATCGTCTTTGGCAAATTTAATCGTCTTCTTGCCACAGTTGACGACGTTGACAGGGCGGCCAGAAATCCAGACCACTCCGTAGGATTGCGCGATGGGCTCCTTCTTTCGTCGCAAAGGAGGACCAGCGACGGGCTGACCAGGTCGTTTGCGGCTGGTAGATGGAGCAGGCTCCTCGAGACCAACGGTGTCCAAGGCATCCGTCGACCCGATTCTTCGAGCCTCTCGCTGCTCGCGCAAGTAGTTCTGGACTTGCCGAGGATGAGCTCCTTCGTCGACTTTAGGAGCGTTGAAGAGGGCCTGGGTGTACCTTGAATTTTTATTTAATTGAAAAAACAAAAAATATTCACTTACCCGATTTGGCACTCCAGGTTTGGGCCGAATCGGTAGAATTGACCACTTCCGCCCATGCTTGGAGGCATAGCGGGGAGAGGATAAGCTGGATTTGGGGTAATACAGCTTGGGTGTTGGTACAATCTCGCACCACAAGTATGCTCCGGGTGGAGTCCTGTAAAAGGACTCGGCGGAAGAGGAGTTCCAATTGGAGCTCCAGGGACGAAGACGTGGGGGCGGTTCAGCATCGGAGGGAAGCTGAAAACCTGAGGCTGGACGGAAATTCCAGCATAAGGGCTAGCAACGTAAGGAGCTCCTAGCGGTGTTGGTGTTGTTCCTGGCCATTGGTTGAAGCCAGCAGCTGGACCAACAGTTGGGGGAAGTGGCGCAGCCATCGGAACTGGAATCTCGTCGACGTTTGCATTCGCCGCGGGAATGTCCAGATTCGCGATTTTCGGAGCCTTGCGTCGTCGAGCGAGATCCGAATCCTTTTAAAATTGTTTTTCAATTTTTTTCTAGAATAAGTTTCTAGAATAAATTTGTTTTTAAACAATTTCCTTGTGTCCCTCTGGAGGAACATCCCAACCGCCTTCGGGATTTGCAAACGGACGTTCTTGAAAGAAGAACGACGATTCGTCGACAGTAGAATCCTGAGAGTTAGGATCCCAAGCGCCGTTGAACGTCTGATCCAGCTGATAAGACGTATCTTAATAATTTTTGATTATTTTTTATTCAATTAAAACAATAAAATATCGATTTATAATTACTAGTCTTTTATATAAAAACATACCCGTTGCCACCGTCATGCAGGTGAGGTTCAACAGATCCTCATAAGCAGGAGCCCAGTCTCCCAACGTAGGCCTTTCCTTCTTTTTGAAGACAGACGAGAGCTTTAAAAAGATAAAAATTTTGAGAGAAATTCATGCATCTTACCTTGTGCATTTTTCTTCAAAATTTGCGTTACCCCTAGGATGCAAATTTGAGAACTGACTCCTTTTTTTCAATTTGACTTGACAACATGTGATCCTTAAAAACATTCTAGAAAAGATCCAACACAAGATTAATTTAAAAACACAAATAAAAAATTTTTTTATTTTTTTGAAGAATTTGTAAACAAAAGTTGTTCTAGAACTGTCGAATGTCAAAATTTTGATGATATCAACCGTGATCACTGTCTAAGCGATAATTTTTATTTTAAACAGTAACTCCCGCATTGATTCTATCAAATCAGTCGAATGTAACAAATATTTTTAAACACAGTATAATTCTATCAGATACTCATATATTTTTAATAGAACTTTACTGTGTAAATAATTTTTGTCGAATGTACCATAAGGTGAATAAAAGGTACCCGCTCTTATCAGCATTTATTTTTCAAATTAGCTCATAAAAGCAAAGTTACCCAATTTACCCGAATGGTCGAATGATCCACTAACAAATCAATGGTCAAACTCTTTCTTCAACTTAAAATAATATTGCTGAAGGTGAACAGTAAAACCATCGATAAGCGTAGAATGAAAATACAGAGGGACAAGATAGCGTACTCTCTCAATTCTTTTTTCTCAAGATAAAAATTGACACTGTCACGCTACTTATTTCTCTGTAAAAATATCACTTGTAGTTTTCAACGCCAAAATTTCATCCTGCTCTGTAACCTAAGAAAACAAAATTCTTAAACTACAGAAGCAGAGTAAAATGTTAACATATATAAACACACTATTCTCTCGTCGTTGATTGCACTATTTTACAGTTTGGAAAGGCGTCAACTCCGTTTTTTATTACTAATAACAGACTTAGAAGCTTCCCAAACTGTAAAAAGTTACATTTTTAAAATCTCTGGTTCAACAAATATTTCTCGTAATTTATATACATGCCAGCTGAAAGCAAAATGGAAACTTGCAGCACAATAGCGCCACCATCTGAGCTCTTTTTTCAAATTTATCATTCATCCAATTTTCTCTGACATGAGTTTTTCTCCTAATTTTCTTTTTTGCTTCGTAGGCTTTCTAACAGCAAACTTACACATTCTTTTTCAGAACAGATTCTCGGTCGATTTACCTTACAAGACAACTTATTCGCCGGCAAGATATTTAATCACAAGTTGAGCAACTCCCACAAACAAATCCTGAGAACAAAACGGTAGATTCTTAAGAATTATCTTTTTCTTCAAAATGATTCTATAATTTTACAAAATCTTGTAGCCATCACTGAAAAGAAGACGATAAAACTCCTGCCGCCTGCAAAAACCATAACTTAGAAATTTCTGATCTGTTTAAATAAAATAAAATAAAACTTAAAATCTGACTCAAAACAATAAGCAGTAACAATACTTGTACTCGTGACAGCTAAACTCTACTTTTATTTTATTCAATTCTAGTCAAGATTTTAAAATTCTTTTTATTTTTTGTCGTTTTTATACAGTAGAGCAGAGCAAAGATTTCTTCTTCATATCTTCCCTTGGATGCTAAAAATCGATTGAAAACAAAATCGATTATTGATTTCAAACCTGGAAAAGCGCAAGATCGGCAGCATTAGTGGTGCTAGAGGTGCGTGGGTGTTTGGTGGTGGCGGTGTGGAGCAAAGACTTTTTCCGGTTCTGCTCCTCAGTCGGCTTTTGTCGCTCGAGGGGAAAGGAGCTTTTTCCTTTTTCCTCATTTCTGGACAAAGTCGTCTGCTGATTACTTATTCAGCAAGTCATCAATCATCTGATGGCTCACCTGTCAAAATGACTCAATATCATTTTAAATCTGCATAGGTATGCAAAAGGAAGTCTAATTTTCAAACGAACCGCGCAAAAGGCGCTCAGCCAATGGGGTACGAGAAAAATTAGCAAAACCCCGTGCATACCTATACTACTGTCGTCGTCGGCTCGCCTCGTCGAAATTGATTCCTTCTCTTCGCAGCCAATGGAGGAGGATGCACCCACCCGTCGGCCAATCAATACGCGCGATGCAAGAAGCGAAAGTGCGGTCGCCCCTGTGGCACCGATAAATCCGCCTCGCGGCCAACAGTTTTCGGTCAACGCCCCAGGTCTTAGAAAATCGACCGGTGAGTCTTTCTTTTTTCGGGAATCAAATAACACGAGAAAAAACTTAAAAAAGGGAAATTGAAAGAACAAAAGAGCCCCCGACAGTAGTAAGACAATATCCTACCGTTATGACGCACATTACCACGCTGTTTGAATGGGAGGAGCGCTTTATTTTTCCGAGCGCAAATATTAGAATCCGAGAGAAAATTTTTTAACGATTTTTATTGTAATTTCTAATTTAATCGACATGGTAATTTGTATCTTTTGATTGATTTGAAAAGTGGGTAGTATTTTTTGAACAATGAATCTATTCAACATGAATTATGTTTCTTGATAATAACGATATCCCCAGTAATTACTGACGGTACTATTCGTTATAAGTATTCATAGTTGATAAGAATATCTTATCGTCACCGTAATTCTTCTTAGATGGCTTGCATTAAAATTTTTTATAAGTCAATCAAGTAGAACAAAATGATTCCAGACAGTAAATAATGGCAAATAAATAGCTTCAGATTTTGAGATTTGGCGGAGCGATTCTCGTTACTGATTTCACCCCGAGCGCGACGTGATAGGATCGCTTATTTTATGTCTGCTCGGTTTTTATATCCCTCTAAATATCCGCCAAATACTTACAACTTCTGATTCCAGCACGTATCGACCATTTTAACGACCTCGTAGAATACTTGAAAACAAGAGAAATTTCTTCAAAAGAAACACATGCTTGGCATATTTGTTGTAGAGGTCCATTTGGTTGCTTTTTGGCTAATTAAGTTCAAAAACAGCCAATTAAACTTTAATTTTTAATTGCTTCATTTTTAAAGAATCAACCGCTAATACTGCGTGCGAAAACATGGGCTGTGTGTATGTGTATCTTGCCAAGCGCGTGCCAGCACTCTCTCTTTCAGGGTGGGGAAAGGTCTACGGCACGGCACGGCACTGCGGCACGGATACGGCACGGCACGTGCCGTGCCGTGCCGCTCCATTCAGTGAATTTCAGTTTGGACACGGCACGGTGCCGCGGCACTGGGGTTAGGGTAAGGCGGAGCCCCGTTCCTTGATTTTTAAATTTAAGGGGCTTGACGGCATTTCGGGCCGTTTCAGCCCCGTTCCTTGATTTTTAAATTTAAGGGGCTTGACGGCCCTTCGGGCCGTTTCAGCCCCGTTCCTTGATTTTTAAATTTAAGGGGCTTGACGGCCCTTCGGGCCGTTTCAGCCCCGTTCCTTGATTTTTAAATTTAAGGGGCTTGACGGCATTTCGGGCCGTTTCAGCCCCGTTCCTTGATTTTTAAATTTAAGGGGCTTGACGGCCCTTCGGGCCGTTTCAGCCCCGTTCCTTGATTTTTAAATTTAAGGGGCTTGACGGCCCTTTGGGCCGTTTCAGCCCCGTTCCTTGATTTTTAAATTTAAGGGGCTTGACGGCCCTTCGGGCCGTTTCAGCCCCGTTCCTTGATTTTTAAATTTAAGGGGCTTGACGGCCCTTCGGGCCGTTTCAGCCCCGTTCCTTGATTTTTAAATTTAAGGGGCTTGACGGCCCTTCGGGCCGTTTCAGCCCCGTTCCTTGATTTTTAAATTTAAGGGGCTTGACGGCCCTTCGGGCCGTTTCAGCCCCGTTCCTTGATTTTAAATTTAAGGGGCTTGACGGCCCTTCGGGCCGTTTCAGCCCCGTTCCTTGATTTTTAAATTTAAGGGGCTTGACGGCATTTCGGGCCGTTTCAGCCCCGTTCCTTGATTTTTAAATTTAAGGGCTTGACGGCCCTTCGGGCCGTTTCAGCCCCGTTCCTTGATTTTTAAATTTAAGGGGCTTGACGGCCCTTTGGGCCGTTTCAGCCCCGTTCCTTGATTTTTAAATTTAAGGGGCTTGACGGCCCTTCGGGCCGTTTCAGCCCCGTTCCTTGATTTTTAAATTTAAGGGCTTGACGGCCCTTCGGGCCGTTTCAGCCCCGTTCCTTGATTTTTAAATATAAGGGGCTTGACGGCCCTTCGGGCCGTTTCAGCCCCGTTCCTTGATTTTTAAATTTAAGGGGCTTGACGGTCCTTCGGGCCGTTTCAGCCCCGTTCCTTGATTTTTAAATTTAAGGGCTTGACGGCCCTTCGGGCCGTTTCAGCCCCGTTCCTTGATTTTTAAATTTAAGGGGCTTGACGGCCCTTCGGGCCGTTTCAGCCCCGTTCCTTGATTTTTAAATTTAAGGGGCTTGACGGCCCTTCGGGCCGTTTCAGCCCCGTTCCTTGATTTTTAAATTTAAGGGCTTGACGGCCCTTCGGGCCGTTTCAGCCCCGTTCCTTGATTTTTAAATTTAAGGGGCTTGACGGCCCTTCGGGCCGTTTCAGCCCCGTTCCTTGATTTTTAAATTTAAGGGGCTTGACGGCCCTTCGGGCCGTTTCAGCCCCGTTCCTTGATTTTTAAATTTAAGGGGCTTGACGGCCCTTCGGGCCGTTTCAGCCCCGTTCCTTGATTTTTAAATTTAAGGGGCTTGACGGCCCTTCGGGCCGTTTCAGCCCCGTTCCTTGATTTTTAAATTTAAGGGCTTGACGGCCCTTCGGGCCGTTTCAGCCCCGTTCCTTGATTTTTAAATTTAAGGGCTTGACGGCCCTTCGGGCCGTTTCAGCCCCGTTCCTTGATTTTTAAATTTAAGGGCTTGACGGCCCTTCGGGCCGTTTCAGCCCCGTTCCTTGATTTTTAAATTTAAGGGCTTGACGGCCCTTCGGGCCGTTTCAGCCCCGTTCCTTGATTTTTAAATTTAAGGGGCTTGACGGCCCTTCGGGCCGTTTCAGCCCCGTTCCTTGATTTTTAAATTTAAGGGGCTTGACGGCCCTTCGGGCCGTTTCAGCCCCGTTCCTTGATTTTTAAATTTAAGGGGCTTGACGGCCCTTCGGGCCGTTTCAGCCCCGTTCCTTGATTTTTAAATTTAAGGGGCTTGACAATAGCAGGGAACTCTGAGGTGATCAATTTCAGTTACTTCCCAAACCCCACCCACCCCCATTAACTGTTTAAATACAATTTATCAGGGTTTTAATTCAAATTATGGTTTTTATTCAGTTTTCAAAAAAAAAAATCAAAATTTTTCGAAAATAATTTTTCACGAAATTTCTCGGCCGATACCTACGTTGCAGACGAATTTATTAAATAAAATTATATTCAAATATAGTGTTTTTTACGAGAAAAAAACGGAAAAAACTGTGCCGTGCCGTGCTGTGCCGTGTCCCGGCACGCGTTCTTTTATTTTTTGCCGTGCCGTGCCGTGCCGCGGCACAGGAATTTTCGGTGTGCCGTGCCGTGCCGGTGCCGTTGAATTTTCTTAAGACATTCCCCACCCTGCTCTCTTTTTTGCAAAAAGAAGAAAAATCGTTATTTATCGATTAAAAAGGTTCAATTACGGCAGCCTACCGCGCAAAGCTTGATGTTGTATAAACTTTGATCCCACGACTCATTTAAAAGAATATTCAAAACTATTTTCAGAAGACAATTTACCCCCGAGAACGAGTTATATCATCGAAGACAACGAAGAGAAGAGAGATTTGGGAACGAAAGAAAGCGAGGCGAAATGGGGCGAATTCAATGCGGAATTAGATCGAATAGAACGCGAAGATCGCGAAATACGAATTCGTTTGTCGAATCTTTACAACGATGGTCCGGAGTTACAGTCAGCATCGAGGACAAATCAGCAGTATGAAGAAGACCTTCTTCCTCGGCCAACACAATCCAAGGTAGCTTTGGGCAGTGTTCTTTGTTAGTCCTGGCAGTTAATGCGGCGGGAATGAATTATTCCTCGCCCTCATGTAATTTCTTGACCCATTGCAAATGAGCATATATTTTGCAGGAGACGCACTTAGAGTCTTGTACAGTGGGTTCTATAACAAGAACTTCGGATCAGTCAATTGTTAAAGGCGCGAGAGTAGGGTTGTAAAGTAGCTCTTTCTGATGACGGGACAGTTACATATTCATGACGTTTTATTAATTCGATCTAAAATTCACCCTAATTAAGTTATTTGTGTATATTTGTTAGTTTTACTTCCTTTCTTAGGTGTTTTTATTCTAATTTTCTTTCTTAGAGCTATAAACAAACCCCTCCAATGTTCGACGTCACCCTTTTGGAATCAGCAGTAACCAGGGATAGTTCGAGAATCGTTATTCATGATGACATCTACTCACAGTTCCGAGTTTTGTAGCACTGTATCGAACTGAAATTAAAGACCATTCATTCAAAAGCCGTCAGAACTCCAGCTCGAGCGATCGAAAGAAGCTCTTCTTGTGAATTCGATTGCGGAAAATGTGCTGACCAAACTCGTCGACGATGTATTCATTGAAGCTGAAAACATAATGGGTAAGCTGTCTCTCAGTTTTGGTAGCGTTCCAAAACGGAGTAGCTCCAATTGGCTATTTGCATTCATGGCCTTGTGGCTTGTTATCATTTTTAATTTAAATGGCACTCGTTTTGAAAATGTATCTCAGACGAATCTTTTGATTCTATGTTCTCGATTATTTTACGTAAATCGGGAAGATTATCTTTGAGAAAGCTGGAAATTATCGCTAATTATTCTGACTCTGACTGATTGAAAAAAGATCATATGATTATATAATATTTTTAAATATATCGCTCTATTGATTTCATATTCAGGCGAGTACGTCGATCAAATATACCAAGAAGAACTTAACGGGATGGACGAGTTCTCGGCAATATCAATCATTGCCTCCTCCATGATGTCAAGTCGTTCCCAATCGACCATGCGCAACCAAGCAACCCTCAATGAGTCGCAGGCAACTGCTCAGACAATTACCGAACTCGAGCTCTCCGAATCAAGAGATACTGAAACACATTCCATTGTGACTTGATCCTTCTTTAATTCCTTCGGAAAATTTTTAGCATTCCTTCAAGCAGTGCCTGTTCAAACTTTTGTTTCTATTTTTATATCACAACATTTTCTTACTTTTCTAAACCTTTTCGAAGCTTGTTTCATTACTTATCTGTGTTTTTCTGTATTTAGATTGGGAGAGTCTCCCCAAGGTGGCCCACGGTTGCTCAAAGGGCCCTTACAGCCGGTCCGAGCTGAATTCAATCCCCCGCGGCCGGCCATCAACGAGCAATCTGACACTGTAATTGAACTGTAAACTTGTTGCCAACGCGAAATTATTCGACTATTTTAGCCTTGAATGAGCGGGACAAACCAAAACACTCTCCTCCATGTGAGGGGACAGCTGGAGCAGCTCAAGTTTGAGCTTCAAAAGTCGAGAATCTTAGTAAGTAAACTACGTTTAATAATAAGTATCTTATACTTATAGTATCACATACTTTAAGCTTTTAATAATAGCCTGTGATTTGAATAATAACAGGCAATTATTCCTGTTAGTAAAAGCATCGATTGCATTCTTCTCGTTATACAAAATTTCATAACGAAGAATCTGAACGGATGAATCAATCAGTTTTTATTATTGCTTTAGGTCTCGCAAGCAGTTCAGGAGCTGAAGGCTTACACGGAACAGAATCAACGTGAAGACCCCCTCGTAGTCGGTATACCTGCATCCATGAACCCGTTCAAAGAAAAACGCCCATGTAACTTACTGTAGAAGGTAAGATCAACTCGATTGCTGTACAAAAATCAAGTATTCGTAGCAATTGATCCTGCGCGTCTTTCTCAAGTCGCCGCAAACCGTCACACAGCTAAGAGTCATTAGATGTCTTTTTTTCTTATCATCAACGCCACTCTATCCGTCTCCCCCACTTATCATCACACTTCTGATGCCTCCTAAACCTACTATCCGGATAACAGAACAACCAAACTGCTGACTCCCTAACAAACAAAAAAATAATCATTTATTGTCAGCTCCCCCCATTTTCCATTTTGTCAAAATTTCTTGATCTTGTAACTATCAACAAAAAAACCGAAAAAACCCGTTTCATACTTTTCAATATCTATTCACACTTGTTTGTGCACCTGAAAGTTCACTTTGAGCCCTTTTTCCTTGTCTGGTTGCCGAGATTCTAGGCTGAAATTTTAACGAAACCATACCATATTATTTTGCAATCAACGAAGAGAGCTCCCACTGAAAAACTCAAAATCAAGCTTATGCTTTTTCTTTCCTCCTTAATTTCCTCTTTACCATTTACCGTTTTCTTTGTAAATACTCTCAAATAATATCTACTGCTTTTTTTAATCGTTTCACAAAGAGCATTTCCGTGCGAATTTATGAAATGATTTGGCCCTGTGGAAGCCGACCTGATCCCAGATCGAGTCGGGGGCAATTTGATAATTCTTTCTTTCCGTTAACTTTTTTACCTTATTGACTTGGTGGAGTATTCCGAGAGTCTCTTGGAAGCTTGGGAAGGGTTATTTTCGCTCAATTAATTATTTTTCATCGTTATCACGAGCACTTAACCGTCCCTGTTTCTATTCGCCCATGTCAGTATTGTTTTTTGAGCTTTGACCAACGTTCTGCCCCTGTAGTGAACCTCTTTCAAATTTCTCAGATGCTCTGCTATACTTGAAACAGTTTTCCTTCTTTAGCTTCATGGAATGTTGCCCAACTGAAAAGGTTTTGTGGTGGAACCGGGTGACGTAATTTTATGATGCGCGCGGGAAATTGTTTCTTAGGGATAGAGCACTCTGGGGAAATTTCAAAGGCTGTTCTTTCTCTATCTCTCATCCTCTCGTTTAACGATGTGAGTCTGTGCAAGCGTTGTTTGATAGCGTTAATTGAAGACAAAAAAATAAAATCTATAAAAGCCCACTGCCTTTCTTTCTGAGTTTTGCCTGAACTTTTATCTGACGACTCAGAACGTTTGAATTGTTGATAGCAAGGAAGAAAGTTGTAAAAATAAACGTGGTACGCAGGTGAACTTTATTTTTTCAACCATCGGCATTCTTGAAGGCGATATTCTGGACTTGTTAATTAATTAACTCCTTGTCAAACCAGAGGTAACACATTTTTGAAATCCTTTTTTTGGAATTTCATGCAGTAAAATACGCGGCGGCGTTCAACTACCAGTAGGGTCCAAATTTGATAATTGGAGTTGAACATTTTTTGCATGTTTTGATGACATATGTAAATCCTGAAGTTTGGTTCAATATTCAGCACGCTCCAGCCGATACACAATGTTTACTGGAAGTGGTCGTGTTTTTGGTGAATCTGTGAAATAGGCCGGAAGTAGTTCCTAATGCGACATGTAATGGTTTGGTATTTCTTTTGCAAGCGGCGGGCGCCCTGCTGGCGCCTATTGATGTCATTTTTTTCTGAGCTGCATAAGGAGTGTGTAGCTCACTCAAGGAGCATCTCAATACTCGGACAAACCCATTCGAGACCGAAATCGAAAAATACTAGCACCCTTCCGCGGGATTGAGTATCGATTCCAGCGCAAGCTGTACTTTGTAAATCATTCCCGAATTGCGGCAATTTTTGATTTTTTGATGAGTTTCGAATTGGTTACCAGTGGGAATCTTGCAGTATTTGATATGCGAATATGATTGTAAATAATGAGGATAATGAATGGGGACATGCCCGGAAAAAACAGCTGTATGCTAGGATAAGTCAGCTTGATAAATACGATTAAGTGAATTTAATAAAGAAATCTATTGCGACAAAACAGTTTGATCAACATGTTATTTATCATATTTAATCCATCATCTGTAAATTAAATATGGCCCCATATTCTTATGTGAAGTAGCCGGCAAAATCGAACAAACCCACTCAGTAATTTCACTGAGAAAGTAGAACTGATTTTGATTGACAGGGAATTAATATTTCGTAAAACTATTTAAGTTTATCAATCAAGAAAAGCACCACAAAAAATACTATCATCATGCCGGCAAAATCCATTAAATCCACTCAACCATCTTATTCAACCAGTTTTGCCCATTCTCGCGAAATGCACGAGATTTTCCATCCCCCGGATAATCAGCTCCTTGAGGCTTCGAGAAGGCTGGAAGTATAAATCCATCCTCAAGTTTCGCTACCGCTATCTCAAATTGCATAATAACGCCCTTCATAACTTCAGAGAAAAAAAGGTTGGCCAAACATGTTTCATTGCAAATATAACATTCAGATTGCGCAAGAAATATAGCTGGCAAGTGTTTTTGTAAACATATGTCGAAGAGATTTTCAGCTCGTGTTTACTGCAAATATTCTTGACGTGAACGTATGTAATACTGTTTTTCTATAAAGATCGGTATTTTGGGTCGTAAAGAATAATTTAATTTTAAAAAATATCAAATTAACTTTTGAGGAATTCGACTGCGAACCCAAAATAGTGTAAGTCACCTTCGGGTTGTCAAAAGTTAGGATAATGAAGCACCTTGACACTCGCTCTCCAGAAGGGGATGACACTTGTTGAACTTACACCCCTCTGAGGATTGGGCGGTATTTCTTTTACGTGAAATTTTTATGTAAAATGTGAAGATTCACAATGATCTTCAAGACTTGAAAGAAACGCCTAAGTAGTCGTATTTTCGCTCGAAAAATAGTTCCTGGATACGTGCCGCTGGTACTTGACAGGTTATATTCATTTCGCGGGTGCTAGAATATGCAGTGAGGGTGACAAATGCTCCGGAATCACTAACCGCTATTTACGCAGCTAAAGATAAAACGCGTTGACGTCAGTACTAAAATGCTATAAGTTCGACCAAATAACAAGCCGTTTTCTATTTTCTAGCTCTTGGCGGGACTTATTGGGATCTTATGGGCTTTTAAGAAGAAGGTTTACATAATAACAAACACGAACAGAATTTCGTCATTGAAAATATCTCTTGCGTCAAAAAACGTCAAGAAAGGTGCATCGTTGGTGGCGTTGGTGGTATGTAACATTGTGGCGGATCTTCGGTGTAATCTTTTGAATCCGTCGAAGAGCAAATTACTTTCTGGTTTGAACATTTGTAAGGCAACCACAGCCGAGGGGCCTGAATCGACTAACTTAGCGCAAATACGTTGACGCCTCGAAGGATACGATTAGCTCGTGTTCAAGGCCACACTACCTAGAACCGCTGTTCCCTTAGCTTGCAAGCGATAGAATTTCGCAAGAATTACCTAAGTTCATAAATTGTTTTTAATCAGAACAGCGCAAGAAGCATCAACAGTAAAGAAAGAAAAGCAGAGAAAGTTTTTACGTGAGAACTTCCCTCGATATCAGGGTCATACTCTTCTGCAAGAATCGTCAAGTCAAATCCCCTGTACTGGATAGTATAGTCTGACCAAAATTTCATATCGAATTCAGCCATGTTCTTTGACGGGTAAACAACAAGTGGGTCCGGCTAAAAAATTTGCTTTACTGTAAGAACTGATATGCTTACAATGGTTCGTCCGCAGTACTTTCTTCCGTTGATCGAAAGATAATCGCGGCAATCGCCGCTCGAGAACATTTCAATGTAAATGTCGTGGAACTCCAAGGTTAGTTTATAATCAGAAACGATCTTGCGTTTGCAATTGGAACTGGAGTAATAGTCTTTTGGGTAGCGCGAGGAGTGAACTTTGATGTACTCGCCGGCTCTCAGTAGAGTTACGTCTTCTAGTGAAGAAGAGCAAATACTATACGATCCAAGGAAAAAAGGATCAACCGTCGTCGTTGTTGTTGTTGTAGTCGTGGTAGTTGTAGTTGTAGTGGTTGTCGTTGAAGTTGTTGTTGTCGTTGTTGTCGAAATAAAATCTTCCTCACTTCTGATCGTCAGGTCGAATCCTCGTCTTCCGTTTATATAGCGTGAATAAAATTTCAGCTCGAAGGATGCGTCAGAAGATGCATTAGAATCACTGGAGTAGTTTGCCGGATACTTGGCCATTGTTGGGGGCTATAAATAAATTTTTAACTTTTGATTGCCAATAAATCCTTACGATTGAGTCGCCACAGAATTTTACTCCATCTACTGAAAGATAATCGTAGCATGAGCCTGAAGAGCTGCTTTCAAGTTCCATATCATGGAAACTGAGAACCAAAATCTTATCCGAAGATATTGTTATTGTACAGCTGTTGTAGCCATCATAGTTTTCAGGATAATTTGGTGAGTGGATGTTTATACTTTGCTCTTCTTTCAGGACTTTTGAGCTCATGTTGCAGATGTCATAAGACCCGAGAAAATCATCAGCGAGAGTTGAGTTTTCCGTTACTGAAACAATTGTTGTATATTCTTCGTATTCGGTCTGGCTTGAAACAGACGTGGTAAAAAATTCTCCAGTTGTGATTTGATTTTCTACCACCTGATTCGGCTGCTTTACCAGCTCGGAAACTGCTGTTGATAGAAAAAAGTAGATAAATTTTCTCATTTCGACACGAATGAAAAAAAAATGTTAGCGAATATATGGGCTGTGGTGTTTGAGAATACTAAACGTAGGAAATGTTATCCTGAACTTTTCCAACGTTGCTAACGTTTCAGTTTATTTGCTTTATTCATAATTATTCAGACAAAAAATCATCTGTGACTCAAATTCTGCGGAAATTTCTGAAAGCTTTTCCCAGGAATTTTTCAACATTTCTGGTGAAACAAATTTACAGTACGAAGGTCAGGATTAAGCAACAGAAAGAAAAAATAATTGTTAAACTGCCATTTCCTTCATTTTCTGGCTCATACTCTGCACGTATCGTCAAATTGAATCCAGTAAATTGTCTCGATTCATCTGACCAGAAAAGTAAATCGAATTCAGCCTTCTTTTGCGTGGTTGGTTTTTTAACAATCGATTTTGGCTAAAGATAAATGATTTTTATCAATAAAACAGCTATTTCTTTAAACTCTCAACTTACGATTGTCTTCCCACAAAATTTTTGTCCGTTGACAGAAAGATAGTCGATGCATCTTTCAACAGATTCTTCTATGTCTATAAAATTGAAATCAAGGACCATCTTATTATTTGACGATAGCTTCAATTTGCAATTCGAGTTAGGGTTGTAATTATTCGGGTAATTAGCAGAATGAACATGAATGATTTCTCCACCAACTAATGGCTCAAATTCATCCGGGGAATCTGAGCAGATGCTGTAGTTTCCAAGATTGCCAACATTATCAAGAGCAGTTGTCGTTGTGGTTGCTTTTGTTGTGGTTGTCGATTGTGTAGTAGACCGTGTCCTTGTTGTTGATAATTGAGTTGTAGTTGTCGACTTTGTGGTCGATTCGGTGGTCGTTGTAGACTTTGTAGTTGTTGTTGTCGAAATCGTTGTAGACTGTGTTGTCGTTTTGGAAGTTGTAGTTGTCGTCGTTGTAGTTTTGGATGTTGTTGATGTTTTCGTTGTTGAATTTGTCGTCTGCGTAGTTGATAGTGTAGTCGAGTTCGTAGTGGTTGTTGCTTGAGAAGTTGGCTTAGTAGTTGATGTTGTTCCGGTACTATGCGTGGTGAAAGTTGTTGATGAAGTGATCAATGTCGAAGTCGTTGAGTTGATTGGAGGATCAATTGTGGTGAAATTTTGGACATTGATTGGTGGCCTCGATATCTCTGATGCAAAAATAAGCGAAATTACTGTAAAGAAAATCATTTTCTCCAGTATTTGTGAAGCGAACGCCCCTCTTTAACAATTTATACTCGTATAACGATATAATAAACGGTATATTTGAGGATCATTGACACTGTTTCATGAACGATGTAAGCGTTAATAAGATGGACGAAGGTAGGAGCGGTAAAATTATAAGTGTTTTTCATACAACAATGCCATCTGCACGCACGTGACCTCATGATCACTCAAACGTTAATAGATTTAGAGTTCATTGACTAATCATCAGTTTATTTTAGTGGTATCAGAGAAATATAAAAAAGACAAGAAACAGGGAAATTTTGATGAAAGCGGCGTCACTGGCAGTGCTTACGGTAAGATTGAATCCTTCGTGGTTTAAACTTTGATCAGAATAAAACTTCATCAGAAATGAATTGTGGAACTCTTTTCTCGTCGGCTAAGCAAGGATTATTTTGAGATTTATGGTGATTTCCTACCTTATAAGGTCCACATAGCTTTTGATAATTTCCCGTGTCTGTTTGATTGAAAAGGAGGTAATCCGGGCATTCGTAAGAACCACCTCCAGCTTTTACTGCTGGGTACCACTCGAGTTGAAAATGGTCGAAATCAACATAAAGTGGTCCGTCGACTTGTCTTGATGATATCGTGACATTGCATTCAGTGGAACTCGGATAGGTCCCCGGATAGTTTGGCGAATGGATATTGATGCAACCGCCTTCTTCGATAATTATTTCTTTGTCGATATTATCTGCAATATCACAGATGTTCACTAGTTTCAAAAAATTATATTTCATAACTGCGGATTTGTTACCATCAAGGATTGCAGCGTCATTTGAGCAGATTGGGATTTTGTACTCTGTTTTTCGGGGCAATAAATCGGAAGCGCCCGGTGATCCGAATATTGCAAGGAATAGAAAAATCATATTTTTATGTCTCTGAAAAGATTGAACGTCAAGGTGTTCTTTTTCCACTCAGAACACTTCCCTGGGACATTTACTTATCGTAATTTTGGGAAAAGTCATCGCCTCATTTCGCCATTTTTATGGCGTTCCGAATTTTACAGAAGAAACTGACAGTATCTTTCCAATTCTGAGAGCTTCCGTCGGATGACTACTGGACCCTGATTAAAGATGCCTTTTGGTATCCTGCTGAGAGGCGTGATAAGAGACCGAAATATCCTGCCGAGTTACCCAGATTAGATACACGGGTTACGTTATCGACTGAAAATTGCGCGCAACGCGTGGCACTAACCGTCAATTCTAGCGGAAGAATTATAATTCACGTTTCATTGCCAGAAAGGATTCATCATCTTCTTAGAAAAAGAAAGTTACTGATAAGGGTGGTAGCAAACACCATCGATAATTGATAAGAAAGTCATAATTCGCGCTAGAATTGTGACACTCGTGACTTGTTTTAGTAAATTCGTCCCGATGAACACTTCTGTTTTTCGACTTCTGTTTGGCGAAATGTGAGATAACAAGAGAATTTCTAGTTTTATCAGGCTGATCTTATCCAACGCCGGATTTGACGTGGATCCCCTGCCCAAATTTTTTCTCGGGAGGACTGAGCGGGAGCGTGAATTTTGCACAATCCCGTGAATCAGTCGATTCCGAGCGAGCTGAATATGTGACGGTCTGAGCCGGAATGACAAAACTAGAGGAGTCAAAGTAAACTTCCGCAAAATGACTACTTCGTAAGACTCAACTCTTTCGGATTTGGTACTGATAAGTGATGATAAGAGATGGAAATCGCCAGCGCTTGTTTATTACTACACTTCTTTGCTATCTTGGTGGCCAAAATATGAGGTTATGCTTTGTTCTGATTCGGTTCTCGGAAAGATAACTCGATTTGGATTCAAAAATTAGTGGACTCTCGGTCAGAAACCTGCGTTTTTCAAAACGAAAAAGGCTTGAGAATAAATCGTTCTTGTTTTTTCGCACCTGCGCGTTCCATTTTCATATTTGCTGACGATGCACCTTGACGGATCAGATTTTCTTGAGCCTCTTTCGGTTTTTTTTTTCATATATTTTTTCGGCGGCAATGATGCAAGAGCTCATATCGTAAGTATGATCCGTAGCAAAGGGTTAATTAAATTTTAATTTGAAGAATGGAACACCAAGTCTCAAAAGCGACCACCTCAACAAGGGAAAATCCAAAACACAATGAGGTGTAATTGATTAGGATAAATCTAAGTTCTTGTTGACCCATCATTATTTGGACCAAAATACCACAAACGTCATCCTAGTTTGTGAATTTCTATCCCTAGCGGAACTTGCTGATTGTTTTTAAGGCCAGAAGTGTTTGGTTAGTATTTACACTTGTTTTCTAAGCGCTTTTATAAGAAGGAAAAACAGTCATTTAGTAAATAACTGCTTAATTTTTAGGATAAAATAGCTCTTTATTTCGACCGTTGTAGTTTGACTTCAAGAAAGAAATTTCATTGATGCCAAAAAATTTTCTTTTCGTTAAAAATTCAAATGAGCAACGAGTGCTCCAGAATTCCATCACGTGACCTCCCGTCGCAATGACGTCAATGCCTTCCAGATGCAAAGATGAGGAAATTTGTTGCTGCGGAAAATTAGGGGCGGCGCCGAAATTTCGCCTTGTCGTGCATTCGAAGGTTCCATTCCAAAGTGGACAAAGTGTTTTCCAATTAGCAGTTTGCCCATTTCTCTGAGAGTTGCGCAAAGGTGAGTCTGAGTTAGATTAGCGGGCACCATTTGCGATCAGATGACCGCGCAAATTGTCGGCTCTAGCCTCTTCCGCGACAAATTATTTCCTAAAGGCATAAGGCTTCCGAGATGAGAAAATAAGGGTTCCATTTCAAGAAAAAAAGGGATTGCAAAATCTTTAGCTTATCCAGAAGCCATTTTTTGCCGCAGTTTTTTAACAAAAAAAAGTTAGAATAGACTATTCTGAATAGTTATAATAACTAATCATTTTTTCTGTTGTAAAAGCCGCAGTTGCGGCTTTCTGCTTTATTTAAGTCGACTTACCAATATATCTTATACTGTATAAAAGGACAAAGAATAATATTTATTCCAAGACATAAACAGTACAATGAATATGTATAAAAGAAATCGTTCAATTTGTATTGAACAAAGATGGGCTCCAGATCGTCGAGAGAGGCGCAGGCGCGCGCGCCTATTCGAGATCATGAGTTTTCATGATTGCGAGAGAGCCCGCCGCTCGGAGCGCCACCTGGTGTGCGCGCGCCGATTCTTCCCACTCGTCTTTCTTTTTTCGTCATTTACACTTGGAATACCGAAGTGATTTGAGGGGCAACGGTGGCGTCTTAGGTAAGAGAAAAATAAGAGAGATCAAGAGAAATTTATAACAAAGAAATGAAATCTGCAAGAAAAAGTTATCGACGAAGAATTTTAGCTTACACCTCACTTTTCTTTTTTTTCTTAAAGACGCCGCGCGCGGCTTTCAATACAGTTCTAATTAAGTAATTTGAGGGGTATTTTAAGTTTGAAAAAATATTTTTATTGAAAAAATTATTGATTTTTTTCCCTAAATTTATATTTAAGTCTCTGACGAAAGTCTCGCTCAAACGACAACTGGCACTTTTCCTGCCAATCTTATATATTCCGCCTTCAATTACAAAGGAGTTAATTCGAGCTTTGCAAAAAGCCATATCGAGACTACCTTTATTGAGCACCAATTCAACCGCAAAAGAAATTTTGCAGAGCGAAAAACGACTAAAGCTTTTAAACAAGCCATAAATACGCCGATCCCGAGCCATTACTTTTACCTTTAAAAGTTCTACTCATATCAAGGTAAGAAAACTCAACCAAAGATCTCCGCTAACTGCAATTTTAAGAGATAAATCCGAAGCAAAGCAGAAACCTGTTTGAATAAAACTACGTCTTCTGCCAATTTGAGCTCGTCTGTCTTGAACCAAAGACTTACTTTTGAGAGTTTACACAGAACAAAACAAAACCCCTGCTTATCCATGATAGCCAACCTCTTTTCCCCCTTGACACAGAAGAAAACGACAAATATGAAACAAAAAACTACTTTGAGGAATCTACTGAAACTTTCTCTTTTTATTGCTGGAACGAATGCTGATCGCCTACCATGTCAAACAGGTAAGATAAAGAAAGATCGAAAGAAACAGTCGCGGGTTCGAGTCAAGGCATTGACATAATTTCTTCGTAAAAAACTTATAATTTACAATTTATTTATTGAGAGGTGATACCCTTAACCCAGAGTTCTTTTTTTCTATTTTTTGATCTGTTAATGAACCCAAAGAATTTGCGAATTAGGGCAGCTTTTGAAACTAATCCCTCAATGAATTCGGCTGAGGCGGCTTTTCTACATTTTCAAGTTGATTTCAAGAATTGAAGAAAACCGAAAATGGGCGGAATTGCGGTCTGTGCTCGGTGCAATTGACGTCACCGTATATCACCAAACTTGGTGGTGCCTGGGCCGCAATCCTAATCGTATTTATTTATTCCCGCTTTGAAATTAACCCTGATCGCGTTAGCCAATCCAGCATAGAAAACTAAAAATTTTCTACTGCGAAATACTAGAAGCCGCTTGCGGCTTCGAGCGAAAATCGTGGAAAAACCGCGCTTTGAGCGGCACTATTTTTCTTGGACTCGAAGCCGCAAGCGGCTTCTCGATTTTTAGCCGCGGAATCAGTTTTTCAGGTCGTAAACTTTTTAGTTCTTGGTGTTTCACTCGATTACAAAAAACGTGGCCAAGGTTCTACCGCCCCGTTGCGAATCCATTTCCGGTTTTATTTCTAAGCTGCCCAAAAAGCCAGAAAGCAGGGAGAGCCAAAAAAATTAGTTGGACCGTGTTCCACTAACACAAGCATAAGACAGCGGTGATTCACAGAAATGTCAAAGCAACTTATGGAACGTCGGCTTCCGGAGGTGGTGAAAGGGCAGAAAGAAAGAAAACGGGATATTTTTCTTAAAGATTTTCTTCGGCGACTTAGGAGGATCCAGAGAAAGGAGCAAAATTACGGGTTTGGCGAAAACGAACTCTGTTATTCTCATGTTGACCAGGGAAAATAAATGGGCCCTTGAAAATGTCGCAGAAGAAAATAGGAGCACTAGAATGCAGAGAAGTGTGATAACCAGGCGTGGATTTGGACAACAGCAGGCGATAAACCGCGCTATCTTGCACAAGTCCAGGTCTTTCTAAAAGACGGATCTGTACACGTTCACAAGGTCTTAGAAAATTAAGGGTATACCAAACGATATTTTGCGAAAAGAAGATGTCGATATTTTTAAAATAATAAGGCTCTTATGGCCGATTTATAGTCGATCAAGCTCTTTGCTCAAGGATCTAAGTGGGCTAAAAAAATTTCAAATTTTCGAAACTTAAAATTCCTTTTCGAGATATTCGCAAGGACGGGAGGTGATAACTGCGGTTTTGTGATACTCGCTATCTTCCTTTCCGCCGCACGTCATCCCTCTATCGGAAGGCTTCTATTCCCTAAAATTCTGGAATTCGAGCTTACCCAATGTGCCTGTCTCTTTTCTCAGAATCGGTTCAATTTCCTTACGCAACATGCTCGGAAACAAGCTCGTTTGGGAGAAACTACTACTCGCAAATCATTTGACAAAGTACCGAAAGTCTAGAGCATCACTTCCGTTTGCAATCGGTATATCCTTAATTAAGCTGATCCTTGATCAAATTTGCATATGATGATCGATTAGAATGCTTCCGGAAAATACAAATATTGCTAAACAAAAATTCTTTGAAAGAGAGTTAGGCTATCCGTCTAATTTGTGTTAGGGTAAAGGACCTTTACTAAAGGTTAGGGTTATCTTCATATAGTGACACCCTTAATTTTGATCTAATAAAATCTAAGCTAAATGATAATTGGACTTTTAATTCTTATTTTTTCAAAATGAAAATAAGGGTGTCACTTTGAAAACTCTCAGAAAAAAATCAACTTTTAGGTTTTGTTAACACTATCCTTTAAATTAATCAACTAAAGAATAAAAGCCTTCCGAGAAACAAGCTCATGACTCGAACATAACGTTGTCATGTCTGAATTGACAAATATCATTTTCACACCTTTCAATATCTGTCGTCACCTTGGGATGACATGAACATATGTCGGCATATATAGTTAGAGTGTAATAAATGACATCAGCGATTCAATAAATTACTGCTAGACAGAATTTTACGCCCGCTCTAATTTATAATTTTTCGTAAAATTTCTCTCGTAACATCTTCTCATAAGAATAAGGAAAATTTTCATAAAATCTCTTACGAAAAAATTTAAACCGCTTCCGATAGGAGAAGGTACACGTTTTTATGTTTTTGATTCGCTCAAATATTTGGATTATGTTTCCGTGCTCCAGTTGCGGAATAAAAAAGGAAAAACATTCGATCACAAATAAGAAGTTGTTTTACACGAGTTCCAACATAATAAACACTTGATTTACCCTCCAGTCTCCAAGTCTGCAACCCCCTTAAAACCATTTTCAATGAAAAAAAGGTTCCCTCAAACTATATTTTAATTAGAAGTGATTTGGGCTCGGCAATTTGTGAAAAAATCTGAGTCTGGGTCTGGAAAGTCTACAATGAAAAGCCGCGTAGCGGCTTTTTTTGAAAATAAAGCCGAGAAGCGGCTTCGCCGGAATTTTGAAATTTTCTGAAAAATTTATTTTGCAAAGCCGCTTTGCGGCTTCGTTTTCGAAAAAGCCGCTACGCGGCTTTTCATTGGAGATCTTCCGGACCCTGAGTCAGGTTTTCTTCACAGGTTGCTGCCTAGGATGTGATTGAGTTTTCTACGAAGGTTGATAATGACGGTAAAATACGGTTGAAGAATTTTGACATAAGCTGTGATCAACTTCAGAAAATCGGAGACGTATTAGGCGGTTTTACATTCCACCGATCTTATCTCGCCCGAGTTCTAGTAAAATGGCGAAATCTTGTTGATTTATTTGACGACTTTGACTTGAAGGATCGATGCACTTTTTCAAAATTAGAAATTATTTTTATGAGTCAGAAAACTATTTATAATACGAAATTTTTACTGTAAAGAAAAAAATTTATTGGCAGTACATGATTTTCTTATGTCTGATTTTTTGACTATTTTGGGAAGGCGTGAGAATTGAATTATTTTTAATCTGACGTAATCAATCAGTCCTTTTGCTCCAGGATTGAGTTTTTTTTTTGTAAACTTGAAACACGTTAGACTTTTAAAACGACGCCGGGTTCAGTTAATCTCTGCTGGCATAGTAAACATGGGCTCTTTAGAGTTGCCGAAAACACACAACTCGAATAGTAATATGTAACAACTAGCGAGTGAATAATCTCGGCTCTCTTCATTTTTTCTAGTAATAGAAGGTTTCCCTTTTTGAACGTGCTCAAGCCGGAGACTTGAACCCGCGACCTGATGAAGTCAGCCCTAATCTTCTCGGCTCTTCATATTAAAATTTTGCGAGATTATGACATTCTCTTTTTAGTTCATGCAAGACGTGCTGGGCCAACTGGGCCGAAACCCGACATGTGCTGTGGACCAGAAAAACCCTACAACTCGGGCATTAAGGTAAGACCTCATTTGAATCAATTCTAGTGCTACTGCGAAGTTAAAATTGAGAGACTTTCCGCTCAATAATTGTTTTGGGAGGGGTTTTTTTATTGAAGTTTGGATAAAAATTGACCGAAAGAAGCTTGAAAAGAGACAGTACAAAAGATACAGTAGATGGGAAACTATCTTTCTCCCGATAACCGCGTTGACCCTCGCGAGGCTCGCGAAGAATTCCAGAAAACAACAAGACGTGGGAGTGACTTTTTGCGGCTTCCAACGCGTTAAACATTGTTAGCCCTTTTTTAAAGAGACTGTTTCTTGTCAATACAACTTCGAGGTGGCAAATGGACAGAAAAAAAATCAGATTAGGAAACGTGTGTCGTTCCATCTCTCCGAGCTTGTTTCCGTAACACTGTAAATATTTAAGACGGGAACCTGTTTCGGAAACTTCCGGTGCTCTTGGGGTCTGAGCTTCTTACTTTTTTCTTTGATGAATAAGTGTCTGAAAGGAAGGGATATTACGTAAGCGCCAGCCAAGAAAGTATTTTGGGAAGCTTAGCATATAATTAGGCTCCAAATTAGCAGTTGCAACTTCCGAGATTCTCAACAAAAGGCATGTCGCTTGTCTCAAAATAAATGAAAAGGAATTCGCGACGTCGTGGCGTGTTCATTTTCACGTAATGAGCTCCACTTCATTCCTTATTTCTCAAGACTCGGAAACTTGCATAATGGAACAATGCGAGCAATGAATTATGATGAGTTGCAATTTTTCGTTCCTTGACCCTGTTAACGTCTTCTTTCGACCTAGATATGTTAAAGAAAAATTCTAGCGACATTCGTAAATACATGATGAAATATCAGAAAACACAGAATTTTGGATAATCTTTTTTGAAATCGAATCGAGACGCGAATTTCGACTTTGTTCTCTAATCCGACCCAAACGCGCGGTTTCAAAATGTTCTTGTTGAATAATCAGCGGTACTCCCTCTTGCCCTCTTTTTGAAACAACAGCGTTTTTCAGAACTATAACAAAATGATTCAGAAATGCTGCTCGAATGAAGACGAAACGATCTTTTCGGTTTGGAACTTTGTTGAAAAACCGGATCACGCCTGTTGCGACGGTTACGTGTACAACACTGTAACTCACGACTGCTGCAACAGCGAGGTCGTTAGAAAAGGAAAATCTGAGTGTGGCAAATGTGTCCTCTCGGATTGGACTAGCTGGTCTGGATGCGAAGTCGGACTCGACCCATTTGCTGGAGTCTTTTCATCTCGCGAACGGCATTTTCAAGTAAGCCTTTTCTATTTTTTACAAGACCCGTAACAGTGTTCTAGCCTCTACCTGGATACGACATTGAAGATTGCGAAGGCGAAATCGAAAACATTGAGTCCATCATCGCCGCCTCCGCCACCGAAGGCGTCTGGGCACTCTACTCTGAGGAGCATACCTGGCCCAGGGTCTACGTCGAAGAAAAACCCGACGACGAGGAGGGCGATTGTACCACTCAAATCGGTGCTCGCTTCTTGAACAAGTTCCTTCTGTCACAAGAAACTGACGCTCGTGAATACCGAGATCTCTTGATCTTGGTCGACGAGAGTACTTCCATCGGAAAGGAAAACTTTGAGATCGTGAAGCGAACGCTTGGACTGATGATTGACAACTTGTGCGATGGAATTTCAGCTGATACGAATCGAGTCGCTATGTTGAGATACTCTTCTGATGTCAAGGAAGACCTCAATTTCATCGATGGCTCGAACGAACCTAAAGTCATGCGAAACATCCAGCGATTGAACTACAAGCCAATCACTGACGACCGACATGGCAGTACTTACACCGCTCATGCTATGGACAAGGCCTTGAAGACCATCTTCACCTCCGAAGCCGGCTGGAGGAATGGAACAACTGAAGATGGCATCAAGGTCCGAACCGAAGTCGTGATCATCACCGATGGCGAGAGCAACGATCCCGATGGCACATTCACCATCAAAGGTCAAAAGGTCAAATACGACGAATACGGCATCAAAGTCTACGCTCTCGGCGTCGGCGACATCCACAAGGACGAAATCCGACAACTCACAAGCATGGACGACGATTCAATCTTCTACCTCATGAGCTGGAAAGATCTCGCTGCCTTCAACAAGATTATCGAAACTCTTATTGAAACGCACTCGGAAGAGGATCGATGCGTGCCCTTTGATGTCATGAAGGATTCAAGCTCGAAACTCAGCCGAGTCCAGTGGATCGAGGAGAAGGAAAAACTGCACAAGCCTGACTTTCCAATCAGCTCAAAGTCGCTTGATGATATTGTCCTGATGTCACGGTAGTCCTTGTTGATTTCTTACAAATATGATAAAATCATTTTAGAGCAAACTTCAAAGCTGAACAGCGAGAAAAGAAGATAGAGCAAAGACGTCAGCTCTTGAAAACGAACCGCGAACAGAACCGAATCCAGAGAACAAGACAAGAGGAGGAAGAGATCGAGGACATCGACGAAATCTCATATTTCCGATCATTGCCCGGACGCTAAACGGAACCCTAAAAATAACAAAGCAAGCAATTCCTATGCATAAATTGCTTCTTTGAAAGAAATAATGTAAATTGTATAAAATTGAAAAACATGAACCTACGTTGCAAATACTTCAAAAAGACTTCAAACTGATTCCAGCTGATAAAAAGAAGGTAACTATCTCTATTCATAAAAAAATAAAAAGTTCAATTCAAGAATCAGTGATTCAAGACGTCCTCTATTTTGAAAATTGCGATGATAAAAGTTCTATAGAAAAAGAATCATCGCAATTTTCATAAAATCTGATGTCTTGAATCGTCATATTTTTACGATAAAAATTTTATTACACATTATACAAACCATAATCAACAATCTTTTCAGAGATTCTTCGCCATGTAATTATTTTGTACATAATTGTCGTTATCGATGCAAATGTCTCGAACCACACGGATGAACCAGATCCGGGAGTGCCAAACCTACTGCGAATACGAAAAAACGAATGCAGTCATGCGAGCAATAGCGAAAACTGGATCATGCCGCTCTTCAATCCTGCAGAAGCTGCCGCTGCCCAACGCAAAATATTGTCCATGATGAAAAATAATAGCCAAAATATTGTTATCAAAACGCTTTTCCTGAACTGACCATGCGGTGTTACACAACTGACTTACGACCTCTGGTCGAATAAAATAAAATTGAACAAACAACCAAATATATTCGTTTTGTCTTTGTCGAGCAGTCGTTTATTTCATGCATGAGAACTCATGATTCTATACATTTTTACTATCGTTAGTAACGATTCGTTACAAGATAAGTCGTCGTTAGAACTCCCTATCGGAGTTTCGAATTCTGAATTGGCAATTCAAAGTTTCCCTCTCACACATTCTAAAAAACAAGTTCGTCACCGATATAAATTGCCGGTAAGGACGCACGAAACACACCAGAGCGTATACAATATCCTTACGCACATTGTTCCACGAAAGTAATTATTTGCTGAGTTTTAGAATTTTTTACCAGCCCCACGATTTAACAAGTAATTTCGTAAAAAGACGGCGTCATATGTTGTAAGAGTATCCTGCTCTCTGTCAAACTTACGGAAGTATTCCACCCGCTCATCCCTGACAGGGCCTACTTGATTTAGGCTTGATTTTCGCGCAACATGTTCCTCGAATGGCACAGTAATTTACCTCTGCCACTCGTCAGCGTTTCTAGATAAACCTCTTTTAGTTTTATGCAAAAAACATTCAAGCTACTGTTGATTTTAACGAGAATGAAATTCCTTGCTAGACTTTTACTGCTCTGCAAATTTTACTCATCTGTCGGATATCGCCTTGTTAGGGGATTCTGAAAAGGATTATGCTCTTGAACTTTTTTGGTGAAAGTGGCACGTTGAAAGGTTATTTGTACTTGGTATTATCTTCTCAATTCTTGTCAGATTACCGTAGATTCCTTTTTATTATGCCATTACTCAAATTAGTGAAATCATAGAGAATCCCAAAATAGATGAATACAATCTTGAGATCGAGCCAATCTTCCTGTCCGAGCCAGAGCAAGTGAAAGTTCTAGGAGAAGAGCTAATAAAAAGGGTAAATTTATAGATCAAGATCGACACAAAGAACATTTAGGGATGGATCAATGACTTCACTTGGGGCGAGTTCATCATCAGGCAGCTGTTTGTCTTCGGCCGCATAATTGTTATTATGTTTGTGTTCGTAATTGCCTTACCATTTTTATGCTACCAATGCTGCCTCCAAGCCAAGGAGATCAAGGAACAGGTCGTATTTTTGTTTGTGTTTACTTTACACATTGTTCTCAGAATATCATTCTCGCCGGCAATAAAAGTCTTAGGTATAGCTTTTATATTCGACTTTAAAAACACAATAAAAAAGGAATTCTCAATTTTAAGATCGTTTCAGAATGATTTTATTTGATCTCTTCGTGAGCATTAATTTGTGCATAATTGAGATTAATTTTTTTTAATTGAGCTGATTTATGCATAATATTGAAGCTTATTTGAACGTTGTAGAAAGCAATTTAGTGGAAATCGAAAGTCATAAAAAACGTTATCTAAAATACAATATTTCGACCTGAAATCAAGGAAGAGTTAGAACAAGCACAACAAGAAGCGATGGAAGCAGCTTTCAAGCAAGGAGAACAGTACATTGAAAAATTCGAGAAACACACTGGCAAAAACGACAAACTGCGAAAGAAATTCGAAGATATGAAGGCTAAGTGGATGCCAGAGAAGAAAGAAGTATCTTTCACACATTTAGCTTCTACTTCTGATTCCGACGCTGTTTGAAATTCTTTTTTATACATAAATAAATACTTAGAAAAAATATGATACGTATTGAATAAAAATACTCTTAGAAACACTTATCCGGTTGTTCAATTGAAAGAAAAAAAAAGTTTTATTTGAGAACATCGATAAACTATCAATAAAAGTAAGAAGAAAAAATATTTTCTATCATCGAATATATGTACATGACGCAGGAGGTACCAGGTATTTGTTCAGTGTCAATTCGAAGAAAAATAATCATAAGGATGATTAATTATTAAACTGGCTGTCGAGAACATTTAATATTTTTTTTTTAACTTTTGAGTATTGAAAATAATGAAAAAAAATTCTCAGGTCCACGAATTCATATGTCTTCTATGAAACTGTATTTGAAAGGTTCAAAGGTAAAAGTTTTAATTCAAAGTGTCAAATAATCGATAAATTTCCTTTATTTATGACTCACAAATTATGAGCATGAAATCTACTAAAAAAGTCGAAGAATTTAGTGACATAACAGTAATGTATCTGGTCATATGATAGTATGAGATCTTTTCCAGTTAGCAGACCTAACTTGGGCCGGTTAAAATAAGGAAGAAATGAAGTTAGTCATCGGACTCGTAAACTCGTTCCATAAATAGCTATGGAGAAAGTTCCAACTCGCTGCTAGTCTGGTGGCGCTGCACATTTCCAGATAAAACTTCTCAAATAGAGTGTTTCAGTCAGAAGTTCTGACTGAGAACAAGTCCGATACAACTTTGAACACTTTTCAGAATCTGTTGATCACAAGATGTCCGTTGTTTTGACGGCCTTACGCATATGTCTAACGCTAAGTGGGGTCCACGCGATCCATTCTCGGAACAAATTTATAAACTACCACGAATTCGAAGGATTTTGGACAGACAGCAAAGCGACTTGCAGGAGTTTTGCAAAGGAAGCGATGCGAATTCAAATGGTCCAAGGGAGTTTTATGATTCCAGGAAGAAAAGGTGGTGTCTACTGTTTCCCGCTGAGCAGACTGGTGTCGAGAATTCGCGGCGTCGAGACGGAACTTATCGACAATTCAAGACATTATAGGTAAATTGAAGCCATTAATAATGATAAAGCTATATATTTATTCAACGAATCGCAGGCATGTCAGGTTTTTATCTTATTTTTGATGTGCTTTCGCGAGAGGAGTTTTATGGTGTAGCGTTATAACGAATAAAACGATCTTCTTTCGAACCGACATTTTGAGAATTTATATTCACCAATTTTCCTCTTATAATATTAAATGATCCGCGTCAAATGTTCACATAAAAAGAGAGCATGAATATTAGAATTCAATTAAGTTATTGAAGTTCTCATTTTATTTTTAGTAATTTTCTCCAACCGCAACTCCCCATCGCGTCAACCGAGAAGAACATCAATAAAAGATCGTTTGTCATTTCTTTTGGGAGTCTCCGTTCTTCGCATAGATACTGCAAACTACTCATGATGGCTGCGGGTTACCAGCATTATATCTTCAAATCATCGACGAGAATATGCTCAATATTCAATGAAGATAGCAACGTCTAGTCAGCAAAAAGCCATGAGCAATTAGTTAAAATTTGTAAAGAGACCTTGTTGATAGTTATGTTTTATATATGGACGGGCAGTTATTCAATAACTGTAATTTTGCTTTTTTTCTGTTGTCTGTTTTCTACTACATTTCCTTAATAAAAATTAAGTACTGAATTTATAATGCGAACAATGTGATCCACGAAAAAATTGATTTCTCAACGTTTTAGAATGTTCCAAGCTAGAACGATGGCGGAAGCGATTAGCGAGATCTAAATATATCAAATAAAGAGTTATTTTGAGACTGAATTTTCTTATTGAGAATACGCGTTTATTCTTAAAATAACGATTTCTATGGAGCCTTTCGACTGTGAACGAAATGAACTTAGAATGGTCTTAAAATTCGGCCACCCTCATTTTAGGTTAGTGTTAGGGAGGTTTCAAGGGGGCGAAGCCCCCTAGGTTAGGCCTTAGGGTTAGGAACTGCGTACTTTTACCCACGGGGGGTCCCGGGGGGCGAAGCCCCCGGGTTAGGAGTAGGGTTAGGAAAAATAAAAAAATCATATTATACTTGGCCGAATTTTGTGGTCATACTACCGAAATGAAACGGCTAAGAGTCGAGATGGAAGAACTCGCTAATTATAACATATCAGAATATTCATTCGAATAGTATAATTTCTCTCTGATGCTCAAATTGAGCGCAAATTGAATGGAATAAATTGTTATATTATCGATGTTCACTTGAGGTTCGGTGTCCGACGTACAATTTTCAATTTTCAAGCAATAACAATGTTCTAATAGCACATAGCTAACGTCTACAATTTGCGGAATATTTTGCTATAAATGGACTTCAAACACGCAGAGAACTTATTTATTTGAGCGTTTTATCTTATGGAGTGTCTGAATTCTTCGTATGAATGACCTTGTTCGTTCTTGTTCATGGAGATTTTCCGGCTAATCTGTGTGCAAATGTCAAGCAAGAGCTTGCCCGTCTTGTGATCAAGCCTAGAATTTCAGTAAAACAACGTTCAAAAATTGGAATGAAGAGCTACTTTTTATATCTCTCCCTCAGTGGAGCATCTCTTACGAGTTCGAAGAGCAAGAGAACGAATCTAAGCAGATGGATGACAGATCTACCCGATGCCGTAAGAGAAAGATCGATTCTAGAGCTTGCTATTCCCGGGTCACATGATTCGTTTGCTTATACACTAGACAAAAAAGCTCCGTTTTCTCAGAACTCAGAAGGACTCGATGATATTTTCGATCAAATCGGAATCGACAAAGTTGATGAAATCGCTAAGGTACTATACTCTTGTTTGCGAAAACCATCATAGATTAAGGAGATCACTTACAACTGGGCAATAACTCAGATCCTCACGACTCAAGAGCAGCTCGAAGCTGGTATCAGATACTTCGACTACAGAACGATGCCCCTTCGACCCAGTCGGGAAGAAGTATACAATGCTCATTCACTTTATGGACCGTCAACAGAATATGAGATGATGCAGATTTGGAGCTTCCTTCGAGATAATCCCGGAGAGCTAGTTATCGTCAATTTCAACCACTTCTATGACATGGATCAAAAACACTACGACTGGCTTGAAGAACATCTACGAACCCTTTTTGGAGGTATTTCAGGCTGGCAGACTTTCGAATCAAGAGATAAGGCATTTATCTAAAAAAATTTATACCAAGTTTGAGACGTAGTATTTCCACTACGACACAAGAAAAACTCAATTGATCTTAAGATAAGATTTGCGATATTCCAGAAGACCCGCTCTCAACCTTATCATTCAACGATATAAAAGCGACTAACTGTAACGTCATCATTCTATATGGAAGTTCTATCAGGCCAGACTGGTGATACGGCCTAATTCTTCGGCTTGGAGGCCGAAGGATTGATGCGTGTAAGAACACTGATTCTTCGGCATAAACCGAAGAATGAGTGATAAAAGATGCACTGATTCTTCGGCTAAGATAAATTAATTCACAGATTCCTGTGCCCCTAACCACGGGGCTCCGCCCCTTAGGTCCTAAAATGCCGGGGTCTAGTCTATGGTTACTTAGGGTTACCGAAGGGTGAGTTAGTTCTGTCATTTTGCCCAGTGCCCCCTAACACTAACCTCAAATCATAGAAAGTACTTATTGCTAAAATGTGTTTTTTTCTAGAAAATGCCTTTTTTCATAAGTGATGACTCATAGATTGCAATCAAAGATTTATCAAAAGAATTTTGATAATGGCTTCTAGAAAATTTGCCGAAGAATCACTGTCAATTTTATCATTAATACTTCGGTTCAAGGCAATTCTCAATTAGCCGAAGAATCAGTGTTATTGAAAGCATCAATTCTTCGGCCTTGCCGAAGAATCAGCCCATACCACGGCCAGACTTTGCCTGGAACAAGGGCTCAAATCTTTCTGATCCATGGCTGAATAAACAAGATAAGGAAAGTTTGTTTTCTGGGTTGGATTCTAATTTGGAAAAAGGTAATCAGTACCTAGAATTCGGATTCTTCATTTACTCGTAGGTCGACCTTTGGATAAATTCTACGGCTCTCAAGCTTTACTGACTGCAGGAAGGGATATTTATTTAAGGTTAAGGGATCCCCCCTGTTTTTTCAAGTACTTGATAAGGGTCTATATTTGATATTTTTAGATTCCTCGAGTTCTGAGAATCATTTTGATGTATCATATGACCCATTTTCAAACATCTTTCCCCAAAATATAAGCCTTCAAAGATATTGAAAATGCATGTAAATTGTACTTAGCGTAAATTGGTCTAAGATTCTCTATTTTTTTCTATCATAATTTATAAAAAGACGTATGAATATCCTCTTTCTTTGATGCCGAAGTGATTGCGAAGAATTTACTATGTGAGTCCTTGAAATGCCTTCAACTGTGGGCGTTTTACTATTTAGGGAGCCTCTATGAGTGGCAGAAGCCAATGCTAGAAGATGTGAACGAGTGGGTCGCTCGGCAAGAGATCGACATCACACATGGCATAAACATTGTTCTGCGGGACTACGTTGATGAAGAGTTCTCCCTTGCTGTAATTGCGAAGAATTTTTATCAATAAAAATTGAATGTTCTAAAAGTATCCCAAGTAGAACTAAACAACACTGTCTCTTTCCCAATTTGTCAAGCAGACAGTGTCTTCAATAGGTTCATCGTTATGACGAAAACATATCAAAGGTTTCTTGTCAAGACTTAACTTCGAAATTATCAAAGAGTATATTTATCTAAAGAATGGTAAATCGTCTTCCACATCGTTGATTCTGTTTCGGAACGCTTCTAACTCGCGTCCTTCCCAATGACCAGAAAATTTAGACAGGCGTTCCATTATTTTGTCGAGTATTTTCTGAAGGCTATTATCAATTTGCTGTTTCATATTTTCTTACCTTTTCAGTAGGAGTCAATGGAGTAGTTGCGTTCTTGATGTTTTCCTCAAGCTCAGATGGTCGGGCAGTTCCACAGAGGACGATGTCTCCATCAATTTCATCCAGCGAGTATCTCAAAGCAAGGCGAGAAATGTCAATATTTTCTGCGTTGCAAAGTTCGATGCAAGCTTTGATTTCCTCCTACAAGAAAATTTGATATTGGAAAAAGTACCGATAAAATCAACCTTGAGTTCATCTTGAGCAGGGTGCCACGGTTGTGGGCCATCCTTGCGGAAGAGTCCCATGGCAATTGGACTCGCATTGACAACAGCGATGCCGCGATCTTTCCAATCGGGGAGATACTTTGACAGGTCTTGGTTAGCCATGCTTCCACGAGTGTAGCCTGAGTTCATCAACAAGTTGCTCAGAAGTGAACCTCACCTAAGACAAGGTCGATTTTGACCGTCGACTTCTTGATGATCTCATCGAGAACTGCAAGAGGATACCCTGTAACTCCAGTAAACTTTGCTTTTCCAGCTTTTTTGACTTTTTCAAGCGCAGGCAAAGTCTCGTTGAGAATGATATCGATATTTGGAGCAAACTCGCAGTCGTGCACTTGAATAATGTCGACGTAATCAAGTCCGAGAAGTTTGAGAGACTCATCAACTGGAAAATTGACACTGGTTTTAGAATGGTAGCGTTTTCAAACCTGAAGCAAGTGCGCGATCATGCGAAAAATCAAACATCTTCTTCGGGTCTGTCTCGTATCGAGCAACTTTGGTAGCGATCACGAATTTTTCCCGAGGAATGTCAGGTAGAAATTTGCCGAGCATGGCTTCCGATTTCCCCTGGCCGTACCAAGGAGCTGTGTCGATGTAAAGCGGCCCATGTTCAAGAGCTAAACATAATTTACAAAAGCTATTATCGAATTGTAGAGGGACCATTTTTAAGTGTAGCTTCACAATCATCAGTGGACACCCCACCGTAACAAGAACCGAATGGTGATGCACCTAGCCCTTTTAATGGTTTATTTTCAAGGATTCTAACTTATCACACATAAAATTTCTTTTACTGTTTATCATTCGATTCAAACCAAATCTAGTTGCTGGACTTTCAGTCCCGTTTTTCCGAGCTCTACTATCTTCATTCTCTTATTTTCACTGTAATACCCTTTGATTTATGTCCCAAATAGAATATCCCAGGGCAAAGTCATACCTTTATTCAACGTTTCGCCACACTCCTTCTCATTAGTCTCGCCGTAAATGGACCCAAATGGACCTGCGCCAAGACCAAGTTTTTGCACTTTTATGCCGGTTTTGCCCAGCTCAACGATCTCCATTCTTCTCTGATGTGAAGTAAAAGGGGCGGAAGTTGCTTGCTCTATTGGCTCCCAGGGGCAGTTTGTTTGCTAAGGTCAACATAATTCAAAAACCGCAGAGAACGTGCACTTCAGAATCAGATCCTTATTTGATCTTGTTATGCAGGACCTGCTCTTTTCAGCGCAAATTTAGCAGTTTTTCTTTATTGAAAGTAGAACTTTGAACTTTAAGAATTTTTAATCAGTTCCACATAGTCCATAATCAGCAGTATCCACTTCAATATACAGTTGTCCTTCATTACCATCGTTAAAATCATACTTGTAAATAACTGCTTCTTCATCTTCTATCATCGCCATATCGAACTGTAACTCTTCTTCGAGGTCGTCATCTCTTTTTATTGAGTTTTAATGACTGTGAAAATTGGAGAGAGAGAGCGCGATAAAACTCCGTTCCTTAGATAGGCTTCCTCATAAAAGTCCCCTAATTCATGCGACAGTCGTTCCTCTTCAGAAGAATCCAAAAATATTTTCAGTTGATTTGAGTTCGCAGATCCTACGAATGCCTTTCAAGCTTCAGTATAAGTTCTTAAAAACCTGATGAATCCGAGTCTGCTCCGTCGGAACTCAAATCGCTGATGCTATCCAATGCATTATCAATGGCGTCGTCGGAGTCTTCCTCATTTTCCCTACCACTATCGTCGGATCCCCCGTCTGAGCCTTCCGAGTGATCATCATTCTTTCCGTCTTGATTCTTTCCTCTTTCTGACTTTCTCAACCCGAAAATCTTCCTCGCAAGCCATCTGTCAAAGTTGGCAAGGTACTGTGTCAGCTTTTCCTTACAATCACAGCCACACGAGCACATGCATCTCTGAGCATTTGAATGAGCCATTTTGAATTTTTATTTCGTGTGTTTTTCGCTTTTTTCATATTGATTCCATGTGATTGCCTTTTGGAACATTAGATTCCTTGTTAATATTCATTCAAAAGGGCGAGGAAACGAAACCTGCGGTAATTACTGTCAAAGGGCAAGCGAATAATATTTTTAATACAGTTGTTATTTCACTCGTACTCGGCTAACCTGTCGAGCTAATTTCATAAATAAAAAGAAGTTTAAAGAAGTTTATGGTGTGAAGAATCTTTCCCGAGGAGAGGCTATTATCTACTCCGTAATCGTTCTAAAATGGAATATTTATACTCGTCATAAAATATGGATCAGAAAACTTCAAAGGTGCTTTCTAAAGTCTGCTAGTAACTGATGTCTAATCTCCTTGCAATTTTTTCTATCTTCAAGCTCAAGATCGCAACGTCATCGATACTGTTTTCGAAGTGAGTAAAAAAGGGAAAACCTAAATGAGCTCCCTAGCTCTGGGCCCTTCCCCGGGAGTTCATTTTGTTTTTATCTTTTGAAAAAAAAATTGAAAATCGCGTTCCTTCAATCATTGATTGGCAATCAGAGAAATCCTTCTAGAACAACGTGAAAATATCACGTAGGGACAGTGTATGAAGAGCTTTCAATAGATTATTTTTTGAGAGCAAAGTGATATTGGGAATTTTATATCCTTCTGCCAAAAATATCCCCATTAAATTTATTTTTCCTGGGCATTGGAGATATTTTTGGAATTAATTGTTTTTCAGGTCAATGATTTGGAACTCGTTTTATCCCTTTCTTTTGCAGGTTCTCAATGCATAAGATTTCCCTTTTTAGCACATTTTCCTTCTGTATACTCACTTTTCAAACACAGTCATCCGACGGACGTGTTGCATACTAATTTCTTCTCCAATATTTGATTTGACATCTGCATTAATTCAGACTTGTTGAACCAGATCAATCTTGTTTCTGAATAGAAACGGGCAAGATGGGAGTAATTACTCGTTTTTTCAAATGCGAGAACAAGAACTGCGCTACCAAGCCAGAATGGAACAATGACGACCACCAGGTTTTTCTTTCGCTATATATTCAGCAAGGTATCTCATTATAAACGTATATGTACGAGTAGGAGTTCAAAGTACTCAACGGTTATTGTAGCTTGAACAGCAGCTGTGCAAAGACTGCAATAAGCTCACGAAGTACTTCAAATATGAGTGCGAAGGAATGCTCTACGGGAAATATCAATGCCACGGTTTGGTCAATTATTTTAATCAAGGAATAATTAGTTTCAAGGAAAATGCACAAACCAATGGACCTCCGCTGCCGCCGTCGAAGGCTCTTGGCAGCAGTGCCTCCGCTGCCGAAAGAAGGTAACGCCTTACTATCTCCGAGAGCACGACAGAAAGGAGGACGAAGATGAGAAGCTCGAGGAAGGAAAAGCCATTCAAAGCAAGGACAGAGCCCACGAACAATCGAAATGTGGCGAGTGTCTGCGACTTGCCACACAAAAAGCGTTCAAACAGACGTGCGTGGAATACTGGAGGATGAAGGCGGATCCAGAAAAGGAAAGACGAGCTCAAGAACGAGCGGATAAAAAACGACCAATGATCAAGTAAGACTCTTACTAAGAGTTCTTGCCTTATTGTTATATTGTTTATTTTTATATATACCAACGACCAAAACTAGGGCGGAGATGAAGAAGAAACAAGAATCGCACGTTGATTTCGTCAAATCCTTCACTGAGGCAGCCGAGTCGTCGATTCTCAAGGAAAGTGACGAGAACCCTGCGGAGGTCAAAGCGGAGAAGCCAAACAAGAAGAAGAAGCGCAACAAAAGAAAGAAGACAAAGAAAGAATCAGACATCAAGACTGAGCCCGTCGATCAATCTCAGCAGGCAAATTCTGACGACAAAAAGGGCGAAGTCAAGGATGAGCAGCAGGTGGAGGTCAAGACTGAGCCTCAAGCAGAGAAAGCTCCAAAGAAAAATAAAAAGAAGACTACCAAGAAGTCCAAGAATGTTGCGCCAGAAGCAGGAGATAACAATAATAATGGCTCTCCTGAAGGTAAGTTTCAACTCTCAAATGATTTCCTTAATTGTTCATCAAGCCGATCAAGCCAAAACAAACGAGTCTGCTGAGCCAGCAAAGAAGCCCAAAAAGAAGCGAAACCGCAAGAAGTCTCCAAAGAAAGAGTCCGGCGACAACAAAGAGAATGTGCTCGCTCCAAACGGTATCAATCTTATCTTCCCCGTAAATATCTTCTAACACAGCTTTCATGCAAAGAAGCTGCCGACGACATCACTGACAAAATGGCCGGAATGGCTGTTTCTTCGCCTCAAAAAGCTACACGAACTTCAACCAGTACTCGACGAGTTCTTTCTTCTTCTGCCCCCGAAATCAAGCCTAACGATCAAGAATAAGTTTTCGCTTGCCAACCTTTTATTGATATTCGAATAAAATGATTGAAAATTTTCACGCTTTTGATTTTTCTTTGAAAACGAGGGAAAAAACGTTAGATGTAGGTGCCGGATAGCAGGAAAAAAGGGTTTAAATAATTGGAATAGCTGATTCTTCTTCAGGGCGCTCTAGTTGAGTGGTTACTTCGTTAACGATAATCATGAGTATTCTTAGGAAGAGCGTGAACTTAAAGACGATTCGAGAAGAGGAGAAAGAAAAGGAACGATCCTTTGATTGATTCCAGAGGCAGAGTTCGACGTTCGAACTCTGTCCTCAACAAGAGGCCAGGAGCCTTCCGATATTCTCCCGAAGCGACCTTGCGATTGCCCTAATTGCGAGACGATTCCCATAGACAAAAGTCTATCAGTAAACCTCTCACACAGTCGCCCTTTTTGTCAAAAATCTTCAAGAGCTTTCGTTGTTGATCCAGCCCAGTGATCTATCTTCTCGACCGCCTGAGTTCGATTTTCAGCGCGGGCTGACTTTTTTCACTTGTTGGAAATCCCTACACAGTGATTGGCTACGCGCCTCTATCAGAATATTCGGAAAATGTCGATGAGATAAGAGAAATGAAGTAAGAAGACAAATCATTATGAAATGCTAGAGCATTTCGCCCATTCAAAATATCATAGAATAGTTCAAACTGTAGTTCAGTTTTATTAAATACATACAATATTAAATCAACTGTTATAAAAATCAAAATGAAAACGAAAGGGATTCTTTAAAGCGAATAAACCCACCCTAAAAATACCATGGAGTTGAACGCTTTAGGGAGAAGGCCTCCGATCCGCTTTCCCGTTTCCCGCGCAGATCACTCTCGGGGAAGTCTAGAAATTTTCCTTAGCGCCTGGTTTGCGCTTGAGGAGAATCTCGAGATTCTGAAGATGTGAATCTCGAGATTTTCTGATGTTTCGGCCAATCACAGAGCCGACAAGGGTTTTTGCAATGACTAGGTGCTCTTGCCGCGAAATTGCGCGCGCTCCAGATCGAGCGACGCTCAGGGCCAGCGTCGCTCAGATTCTCCAATCTCCCTTTAGAGCTCAACTCCATGGTATTCTTTACAAATCAATTCTACGAACTTCGTCTTCTAACAATAATACTTTTAGATATTGTAATGCCAGAAGTGGAAGAGCCAAAAACAAAGCGCGCGAAATTCTCGCGAAAGACGAAAAAGGGATGGAAGAAGATCGACATCAGTCAGGAAGAAGCTGCTCTCGAGCAAAAACGGTTTGAAGAGATCCATTTTGGCGGAGATCTTTCGAAAACAAAGGATGAAGACCTTTTTGTCATCGACAGAAAACCCGTTAAAAAGAAGAAAGAACTCGACAGAAGTGAGTAAATTCCATGAAAATAGTTTGTAACTGTTCTCCTAGCTTGTTATCATGACAAAATCCTGGCGAACAAGTCGAAAGTGGCCGCTGCTGTTCCGGTAGAAAATCGTCCTGAATCGAGAAAGTCCATTCTCCACAATGACAACATGCTCAAACGAAAAGCAAAAATTGTCGATGTTGCTAGAACTGATCTTTCGAAGGTAAGAGCAAATTTCCTTTCCATTATCTAAAGCTGCTTTCGTAGAAACTGACGGCTGAGCAGATTCTGGAAAAGAACAAAGGGTTGAACAACAACTATGATCTCTGGTCTGCCAATACTCTCACGGAAAAACAAAAATTCATTCCAGCAAAGCATGCAAAGCATTTGAGAGGACTTGAGGGCGTCAAAGCACCTAAACACGTAAGAAAAAACCAAAAAGCAACCTTCAGATCATTCTTTTAGATGAAATTCAAGCCGAAAATGATGGAAAAGGTTGAAAAAGTCTCTGTAGCGCACGCAGGAGCAAGTTACAACCCGGACTATGATGATCATCAAGCCTTATTGCTCCAAGAGCATAACAAGGAATTTAAAAAAGTCAAGAGCGAAGATAGCTACAAGGAAAAAGCTAAACCGAAGAGTAATAAGATTTTTCGCTGCTTTAGATTTTCAATCCTTTCTTTCAGACGTCGCTACGGAGGAAGAAATGGCGAGAGAATCAATGCGTGGCTTAGGAATCCTGCCAGATGAAGACGATGATGATCAGTACGAAACTGAAGAGGAAAGCACAGAGCCGGGATTTGTCAAGAAACCGGTCAGAGCTGAAGATAGAAAGGACAAGAAACAGAGGCGGAAAGAAAAACGAGTTTTGGCAGCTCAGCGAGCGTAGGACTATTTGAGATTTCTCATCTTTTTGAAGGCGGACTTTTCAGGGTTCGAAGAAAGAAACAAATGGCAATTTTGCTCAACCAGTTTTACTCAATCAAAAAGATCAAGAAAGGCCTCCGAGAGCACGAAAAAGAGCTAGAGAAGCAGAAAGAGTTTAGAAAAGAAAAACAGGAGAAGCGCGTCCCTCGAATCGGCGTTCTCAAGGCGGATATGAATCCTGATCAAGATGTTAAACTTTCGGAAGAACTTGTTGGAACGCTTCGCCAGCTAGTTCCAGAGGGAAATGTTTTGACCGACAGATTGAAGGTGAAATATTCTGTTGAAATAATGGACTAATAATTTTTGCAGTCTTTTGAAGCAAGAACGATGCTTGAGCCGCGCAAAAAGCAGAAGCGACATAAACAGGCCTTCAAGACCAAGTGGCAGCAGAAGAGGACTTTCAGAGAGTGGGACGAACAGTTTGAGAAGGAATTGAAGAAGGAAGAAAAGATGGAGAGCTAAAATATTTTCTTGAATTGTGCTCTATTCAAGCGGACTTAAAATGACTCTTTCAGCGGTAAAATAAAATGATTTTAGAATGGAAATCGCAGTTGCAAAGGCGAAAATAATCGGAGAAAATGATCTTATGACAAGGGATGGTGAGATTCACCTTTTTCAAGGAAGCTTCTCAGAAGAGCTTTAATAAACCCTCTCTTTTGAAAAGAGTCTATTTCGCCAGCGCATCTTTTGAGGGCCGGATCTACATCCATGGAGGCTGCAGAGAAGCTCATGGAAAACACCCAGAGCCTTTGGCGGAAATCCTCCTTTTCGATCAAGAAACTCTTTCTGTTGGGGAAGTCAAAAGTGAAACTCTTGCGCCAAGACTTTGCAAGCATCAGATGTCGATAAGGGATTATAAACTTCTGCTGGTTGGAGGGTGGGATGGATTAAAGAGACGACATCAGTGTTGGTTTTTTAATCTTAGGACGCGGCAGTGGATTTTGTTGAGGTAAGCACGCCTTTTTCTTTCGCTGATATTTTCATGATAGATTTCAGGGAGACCATTCCAAGCGGAGATGTTGAGCAGAGTCCTGCCGGTCTTAGTTCCCATTCTTTTTGCCCAGTTAGCGCTGATACCTACGTTGTTACTGGGAGAGAAGGCTCTGTTCGATTCCAGAAGAGATTCGCCTGCATATTTTCCCTGAAAATCTCTGAAGGAGAGGGAGAAGTTCCAAAGTACGAGTATGCTAGAGTCTCTCATCAAATGGGCTCGAGATCTGGTCACAGTTCTCATTATGCTCCAAGGTTAGAGATTTGCTAAATTTTGAGACTCTAGATTTTGATTCATAGCTTTTGCCGCGGGAAGAAAAAGTGTCCGAATCTGTTGATGATCGGCGGAAGAAATGAAGAAACGATAGATTCTATGCCTCTCTCATCGTTTACAAATGTGAAAACACCCGAGTTTGACGCGAAACAGAAGGTGATTCTTGATTCAGTAAAAATGAAACTGAATAGCATCAAGCCTGCCTTTCGAATTCACGCTTCTCTATCAGGTACAAAACTACTTTCTCCCACTAAATTCATGAATCGATCAGTCGACAACTGGATAGTTCTCCACGGAGGACTCGTGTTCAACAAAATACGCGACAATGTCCTCGGCGACTCGTTGATTCTATACGACTCTAGCTCTTCCAGGTGGCACACGATCAAAATCAGCGGCGACAACAATTGTCTTCTGAAAAGATTCGGCCATACGTTAGCTTCTTTGAATGGAAAACTCTACATTTTGGGAGGCTCGCAGAGCGATGAAACATTGGTCTCTCAAATGCTCGAGCTCGTTATTGAAAATTAGAATTTATGTCTTCTGTATCGAAAAATTCTTTCCTGCTCCGAATATTTTCTTAGTCCGAAAAAACAGTATTTTTATAGAAAGAACCCTGCTTTGATTATTGTTTCTTCAGAAATTTATCCAAGATGAGACTCGTTAGTCTATTCGTTGTCGGAATAATTTGTCAACAAGTCGATCCTTCGGCCGACAAGCGTTTGCCGTTGAAATATAAGAAAGGCGATTTTAAGAAATCCCTCAAATCATCTTCTGATGGAGAAACGAGCTTCACCAAAGAGTTCTACGAGCAAGACCGAAAGACACAGCAAATGCTCTGTCGAGGTCTTGTTGAAATCGATTACAGCAAAGCATCAGCCGTTGAAATTCTGATTCGAATAATGGAGCTAATCGAAGTGACGGGAACCATCGACGAGGTCGAAAGCAAGTTGACCGTCATGCTCAACATGGACAAACTAGAGGAGTTAAAATCGACACCAAATGACACTCACCTAGTAAGAAGTCCCCTTTTCAAGAGACAAAAAACATTCATGAACTTACTTTCAGACAATCTCAGAACTTTCAAATAGCCTGAACGATCTGCTCTACCCCGTTCAACTCGACGAGCGAAATCTCCTCGAAAAGACTCTTGATCGACTTGGAATCGACATGATGACGTTCTATGTGATCGTTGGTGGCACGATCGTTTTTTCTACCATAACTTTCGTCCGATTTCACGGAAGAGGATTGGTGGAGCAATTTGGTGTCTCGATTTTGCTGAAAATAACTTTAACTGTTCTTTGGCTTCTAAATTTACCCGCAGCGTATGAAAAAGCGCTGCAGAAAGAAACTGCTGAATGGAAAGCCGCTCAATTCAAAGGTTAAAATCTACAGTTTTTTTGTCTTTCTTAAAATGTTCTTCAGAAATTCCAAATGAATGCCGAGGATCGCGTTCTATAACCGACCGTTTGTCCGGCTTCTTTTCGTTCGACACGATAGACCCTTGCGTCAAATATCACCAAGGAATGATTGAACCAAGATATCGAGTTTCTTGGTTCGCTGTTGCTACGAGTTCTTTCATGGAAATAATCAACCCGGTTTTTACTGAAGTAGCGAGGGGAATAAGATCCAGTTTGGATACGCTCTTGGATGGAAAGGGCTTCTATCATCAATGTAGGCCCCTCTTTGCTTTTATTTTTGTCAATTTTCTAGTGATTTACTCTCTTATCACCCTCATCGTCTTCATCTTTTCCTTCATGTGGATTACCGGATTCAAGTTCAAGCTCTCCAGCCTCCTCTTCGGCATCGAATTCGGCCCAGAACCACAGGAAAATCAAAAATCGAAACCAAAAGAAGACGAAAAGAAACTTTTGATGATCGAGAACGCTCTTCAGAAAATGGAGGCCCTGCAGCTGGAAATGTCCAAAACCCTCCACGATTCAAAACAACGTGCCAAATTCGCGGCTAAATTCAGCCTCCCGGCTCCCAAACCCGGGCCAAGTGGAGACCACTTGCCAGTTGAAAACATCTCTCAAAGAGAAAACGATGATTCCGATGGCGATTTCGAATGCGTCAACTAAAATCATTTTTTCTTTCTCACTGCCATTTATTCTTTTTTTCAAACAGGTGCTCATTTAAAATTTTAAATATTCCGAAGTTGTGGTTTCGCGATCATCCAGCATTGATTTGCGCGACTCCAGAGCACGGAAAAGACCTTTACTTGGAATATTTTGTGATTTGACTTCCACAAGAGTTTTGTTTTGAATTCTCCGCGTATGATTTTCAATGAATCTTTTCCTAGAAATCTTCCGATTAGTCCACTTGCCGAGTTTGATAATCCTGACGGGTCTAATTATATCGCTTATAAATTAGGGTCCGGCATGGATCAGGGTCAGATTTTTTTATAAGCCCATTTCACTTTTATCGGATTCCCTAGGTCAAAAAACATATTTTATTCCATTACAGTGAAGCTTGAAACCCAACAAGAAAAAATTTACAGGCAATATAAATCGACATCAAACAGTTGATTTTCTTAAGTTCAATAGTTTCATCAGTTTTAAGCTGTTTCCTGTAATACCAAAGCCAATACTTGTACTTCTATCCTCTGATAGGTAAACAATAAACTTTGCGCCATTCCACATGTAAATCTTTCTGTGATTATCAAAACTGCAACAGAGCATTTCTAGAGCAGAATAAGGGAAAAGGTGCAAGTTTACATAAGCATTTCCTTGATTTCTTCAGGCAGTTCTTCGAGCGTAAAATTGTAAGTACCAGGGCATTTCTCATGTGAGTTTAATGAAATAGCATCAAGCTTGAAAATATTTTTCTTTTTTTCTCAAAACATTTTAACTCGTGGCCTTTGACTTTTCGAGGATCTTTAATGAGCCACTTTCCAATTTAGAAATCTGAACAGTACAATTACTGCCCCACTCTCCGATACGTATTTTAATCGCATTTTCTTCTCTCTGGACCCAAATTTTGGGCTCACTTCGTTGATCTTTCAAGAGCGTGATTTTGTGAGAGAAATTCTTGGAAAGACAGATGGAATCGCCATCTTCATTTGTGACTTTTGAAGGCTTGAATTTGCGAATAATTATCGGCGGTAAATTTTTATGAAATTTGATACCCGATTTATTAGATTTTACCCTTCATTGATCACTCATTCTGAACTAAACAAGCGCATCACTTTTCTGCTACATTCACTTTTCAAGCCTTTTCTCTATATTTCATTGTCTCTGATTTTGCTTTAAAAACCAGAACGACTATCAGCAGGATCATCCTTGTTTGAATTTTGCTCTGAGAAAATATCAGCTCTGATCTGAAATCTGAGCCTCAAACTTCGATTTATCTCGATTCTAAAATTGCCTTGTGAATTTTTCGACGAACAAAAATCATCCATCAACTGTGTTGTTTCACGAATAGCTATAATCATATATTACCGTTAAATTGACGGCGTCAATAATTAGCAGCCTGCACCTTTTTCATTCAAATTGCCTTTTCGACTCTTTTTTTATGTCGATTTGTTATTTAGAAATGCTCAACTCTGAAATGATCACTCCAGCTTAGGGCTAAACTAACACTCTTCCACTTGCAGAATGAACGAGCTGCCGTATGTAATCAGAAAAAACATTTTCGAGAAAATTGGCAGTCAAAAGCCAAAAATTAAATGGTTTTATCCAAGTGGACTTCCTCGGTAAAATCACAATGCTTTTCAAATTTCATTTTTCTAGGGAAATTACGAATGAAATGGACACGCTATCGAACCAACTGAAATTTTGCCTCGTTTATCCTGAATTTTTAACGAAGTTAGGTTAGTCTCTAGAAATCACTAGAATGCTGGTTTTATTGATTTGTTCCATTCAGACCTGAATACGAAAAGACTCCCCCTGAAGTGCCTGTATTTGCTGCACTACTTTCCAGAGTACAGTTCCAGGACAGAGAAAGAAATCCGCGCACGATTACGTAACGACGCCAAAGCATTTGAACACATAGAACACGAAGATGGATCGTGGGAGGTGCATTCGTGGACGATTACTGACATTATTGGAGATAGAGAGGAACATTCGGACTGGGCTTTCAGGTAAAAAAAGAAGTAACTCATTTCCTGTTTGAACAGAGAAAGTAATTTTACTACACGATTTCTTGATGAAATTTTGAATAGATGGGGATCCAACTGAGAAATCTTCGAGGGAACCTTTCAAGAAAAAGAATCCTGCTATTTAGAAATTGAACTTTCTTTTGGTTTATTATATGAAATGTTACATAATGCCCTAACCCGTTATCTTTTGCGTAGAATCAAGTCCCTCGCGTCGCACTGTCTGATCGACATTTGTTTTTGAAAAAGCGCGAATCGGCCATGTTTTTTTTTCTTTCAAAATCAAATTTTAAAATGCGTGATTTGCGATTATATCTCTTTCAGATATTACTGCGAGTACTTGGCATTTCTCATCGACTTATCAGTCGTGCGACTAGAAGATTCGTCCTCGCTCATGGATTTTGCAAGGAGAAATAAATTCAAGAAGAGTGAAGCATTTTTGGCCGATGCTCTTTTGTTCTCATGAAGAAAAAACTTATCTTACCTCAATAACTTCCTTTATTTTTATCTATCGCTTCTTTATTATGTTGTGTACTCAAATATGCTAATCTAAAAAGAACTTTCATTGTGACTGTTGAAAATTTTAAATATTCTATGCAATTATATCTTTATTTTTTATTGTATCTTAAAATTCCCTCATCATATTGTGCTATCTAACTACTGCTCTTTCTACTGTTATTTCTGTCAACCCCTTTCATTAAGTTTACCCGATTTTCTTTGGTAAAAGAATCGCTCCTTACGCCCTAAAGACATTTGAAAATCAAAACTTGATTCTTATCAACTTTCGCCAAATTTTAACTTGGTTGAAAATTTCAACTTGAAATGAAGTTGAAAATCAAGGGTGTCCTCTTTAGGTTTTCCTATCGGATATTCTCGAACAGCGACAGTTACAATTATTTACTGGAGCGATTTTCTTGCCAAAGAATTGGTCGTTATCAATTGATTGGGTAAATCTTCTGTCTTCTATAAATAAGCAAAACTGTAACTCAATTCTCAAGTGTTATTTTTCATTATTTTCAGAAAGCGCAGTATGTCCACATTCGCCGCTCAAATCGCCGTTGAAGACAAAGTTCTTGTCGGAGACGCGGTAAAGGTGAACGCAAAAGTGGCAGAAATCAACAAAGCTGGCGCGAAAGAGATCCAATGTGTTTTCGACTTTGATGCGACGATTTCAAAGCACAAACATAATGGCGAACACGCTGCCTCGTGCCATACTGCGCTGGAAAAGACCCTGGGCGAAGAAAAGTACTCGGAAATGGTTGAGTTGAGAAACAAGTTCATCAAGATTGAGTTCGACCCGGCCCTGACGCCTGAAGAAAAATCGCCTCACATGACAGAGTGGTGGTCAACAGCGCACAAGAAAATCGTCGAACATCATGTTCAAAAACAGAAGATTCAAGAGTCAGTCAGAAAATCTGCCATTCACATTCGAGAAAGAAACGATGAGTTCTTCAAACTATTGGAGGTAAATTTACACAAACAGTCCATTTCAGGGCTCAATTTTTTTTTCAGAAAACGCCAGTTCTTCTCTTTTCAGCTGGAATCAAACAAATAGTCGAATACGCGATGGAGTACAAAGCTGCTGCTGGGCTAACCTCCAACATGGGTGCGAAATCTTAACCCCCTGGCGGCTTTTTAATCCTTTCTATTTTCAGACGTCGTTTCGAACGAAATGATTTTCGACGAAAACGAGAACGTAGTAGACTTCTCCGAGCCACTTATCCACACCTTCACGAAGAATACGCAATCGATTGGCGAGACTTGGCGGCGAAAACTGCGTGAAAGAAAGAATGTTCTTCTCATGGGTGAGGATCTTGTGGGATTGAATTGGCGATGATTAGAAAATCAATTTAGGTGATAGCGAAGGAGACCCAGATATGGTGAGGGATGATGATTTGGCTGAAGGAGGAACTTGCTTGAGGTGAGAAATTCTCAAACTGAAGAACGAGGCCTCTAGAACAGCCTTGTGTTTTCATCTTTCCCCATTTATTCAATTCATTCAGAGTGGGATTCCTCAATCGCGATTCCCCCGAAGCCAGAGAAAAGTACCAAAAACTCTACGACATCGTCATCGTCGACGACGAGAGCCTCTCAGTTCCTATCAAAATCGTTCAAGCAATCCTTTCTGTCGACTCCGAATAGAGCTCTCTTTTGTTTGTGAATTCTAGATCATTTTTTTTCAAATAGCCTATTTTTCTCTAGATCTCGCCAGGTTGGCTGGATCATCGCAAACAACCTATCTTTACACTGATAACGACAATTTTTCCTTCTCTTTTTCAGTCATAACTTTCGTCTTCAGCGCCAGAAAAGTTGGCGGTTTCTAGTTCCATAAAGCCCAATGGAGTGAGTTTATAGGTACTATCGTTTCTTCTTGTGCGTCAAAACACAATCTTCTACCACTAATGTACTGTTACTTCTGTGCCTCGATCTTCACTTGTGAACTTGTTTACCTGAACTTCATTTAACAACATTCTTTTTTTCCGTTTCAATCAAAAACTATTAACAAAACTTAAAAACTCTTACGACGGGCTTATTTTTCAGGTAAGCATATGTCCAGGCAAGATGGTTTTAGACCCCGCTGCGGTACTTGGCACGGAGACGATCAAAAACTTCATCAGGAAAGTTCAAAAATTCGGGTCTTCTGAAACTTCAATTTGAAATCAAGGAAGACTCTCTTCTTTTCTTTCAAGATCCTTCCTTCTTCTGAACTCTGGAAAAAGCAACTGTTAGAGCGCGATTCACCTGTCCATAACCAACACTCCCAGAATTCCAATTTCATCAACTCGTTGAGTAACGAAAGCAGAGAAAACGGTAAGAAAATCTTTGATTGAAAGGTCAACGCTTATTTCTCCGTAGCGATTTTCAGACAACCCTCAGAAGAGGAGATCAAGAAACAGTTCGAAGAAGCGGTAATTTCGTCGATCCAAGGAAGAGACTTGAAACTCGATGAAGTGTGAGTTAATTTCTTTCTATATTTCTTTTGATGGTTAAATCGGTTAGATGGAACTACGTTGTGACTAAGTTTGGACACTTGACTGAGCACCCGAACTGGCGGACGATTATTCAGCACACGCTTCGGAGTTGCCCAGATATTGAATGCGATCAAAACAACAGATATTTCTTGAAGGTAGGTTTCATGAAAAGAATATTTGAAATAGCAACTATTCACAACTGAGAAATGCATGAATTTCTCGACGATTAAGTTTAAACTTCATCGACTTATCAGCTCTTACGAAAATAGGGTGACGAGCAAACCTAAAACCGTTTCCCACGCGGCTAGATTAGTTCTTTGATTTCGTAAGAATTGCGTCGAACAAACCGTATAAAACTCTCCGTTTATTCTCATCTTTTTTCATTCCCGTCTTTTTTCAACAAGAGAAATGTTATGAAAACAAAATGCCTGAAAAACGGGTTAAGACGGACGCGATCATGACCCTGAGCCTGACAAAAGCCCAACTGGCGCAGCTAAATCAAGGCAACAGTTGCTTGTGTCTCATGCCCCAAGAAGCGGACTTCGAAAACCCGGAAATAGCGAGAGATTCGATGTTCAAACCGGACGAGTCGGAGATCAAGGATGAGCCAGTGTCTTCAGATGTTCCTCCATCGGATTCTCCGGAAGGGGTCGGATATGATATGAGCTTGAACGGCTTTTAAAGCTCACTATCGGCGACGCTACTTTCAGTTGTAGAATTCTAGAATATCGGTGAAATCTTAGCCTACAAGAATTTACATGTTCATATAAAATTATCATAACTCGTAATTTTAAAATTTCCATGATCATCATCGTGATACTCGCATGAAAGCTTTTTATCTTTTATTTTATTTCGCAAAATTTTCGTTTACATACATGCTCTTAATAATTCAACTTACTGTACGACCCTTCAAACAAATATAATCTCCATGGAGGGGTCTTCAATTACGCTAAATTTTACAGAAAATTGAAAGAGGGAAATGATGATTTAGCGTAATTGAATGTCCCTACTTGGAAAATTTCTGAGCTCGGCTGAAAGATTAATTAGGTTTATTTTAGAAAGGCAAATCAAATTTCGACCCCAACAACAGCCATCAAGTGATATCACCCTTTCTAACATTGACACCCCGTTCTCTGTCAGCGAGCCAAACACTGCCGACTCGCAGAGCACTCCAGTAACCGACAATCCAGTTATGTCTCCACTTACCGATCTCAGTTATCTTGACAATCTGACTAGCGCACAGCAGGCTGAGTATGATCAAATGTGGGAGGACTTTGTTAACGAGTACTATTCTTAGGTACACCGGATCCACCAGTCCGCGGAACTCAGCCTCATCGCAAAATCCCTCATTTATCGATCGCGATGTGCAGCAACTTTTAGCGTATCTTTAGTTGTTGGTTTTTCTTGAAAACAAATGAAGACAAATTCGAGCAGCTTTGAGAAGATTTCTCAATCGGCAGCTGTAAGCCATCTAATTATAGCGATTATAACTTTTTATTCTATTCCTGATTCATTCTTGGAATCAACGAAGAAGTCTTACCGGTAGTTACCGAATTCGAAAAATTTCGAAATCAGATATTTCTTACGTACGATTAACACAATTATAAGTACGACTATCAATATGAGTAGCTCTCCAAAATGAGTCTGAAATAAATCTGCAACCATATCCCTGATATAAATCCTATATCGCTTCCTGAAATTAACAGTAAACGTGCCTCAAAAATATTTTCAAAAAACCAATCCACCCGTTTCCCTGATTCACAATTTTCAAGTGCTATCTTCACCAAAAAAAGCATAATTCAAAACCACTTGTTTCCCAAGTTCTTCTCCTTTTCACACCTATTTTTCAATCCCCTTTTTCCACGAAAGACCTTTGTTTCTTACTTTTTTATTTCAAATCGCTGTCTACCCATACTGTAAGATGAGGTACCCAGTTCAAACATCACATGCCTTAAATATTCTTCAAGGTCAATTCAAGATTGCGCGGCCTTCGAAACCAATCTTTCCAAGGCCCTGCTTTCATTATTTTCAGAATTCAAATCGCCCATTTTTTCTGATTTTTTCCTTTTTTTATTCACTTCCCCTGTTTCCTCACATGTTCAATAGAAAATACGAGTCCAGCTGCTGGACTCTATTTCGTTCACGAAAATTATTTTTCCAGCATTGAAACTAACAATCGAGCATTCAGAGATTAAATCGGCTTAATGCGGCTGACGGAGTTTTGTAAAATCACGGAGTATTATGTCAGGACTTTGCCAAAAGCGGATCGAGACGTAATTTTGAAGACGCCCGAACCAAAGAACAGCTCTGTACATGAACCAGCCGCGAAGGGCGAGGGATCTTCTTCGAGCATAAAGAGTCAACGAAAAACTATTCTTCTCGCATTTCCACAAGAGAATTCCCAGCAACTCAACAGACCTGATCCACAGCTCTTCAAGGTACCATCTCCGATCGTTCCAGAAATGGTCAGAGAAGAAGTGGTCTATAACGAAGAAAGTCCTACGATGATGGAAACTGACGACGACGAGAAAACAATCGACGTTGAGCGCACCCCTGACAGCGTTTCGGAAAGCGAGCCAGCAGCAGAATCTGCCTACGGATCGGCCGAAGAGCCGATGAGCTTAGCAGACCAGCAAAGCGATAGCAGAAACGAACCTATTTACGTTGATATCTCTGATCCAGAAGACGGGCAGGAGGGAAATTCTTCCCAAGGGATGAAGATAATTTATGCAGATGAAAAACAGGAGCAGCAAAAATTTCTCACAGACGTGAAACAAGAAAAGTACGTATACGAAGAGCTCTCTGAGCACGAATCTCTCGCAGATGGGCCTCTTGAGCTTGATTTGCCGGCAACACCTTCTCCTCAGCCGATGATAAAACAAGAACAGTATGACGGCCCTCGCCCAATCTTTCAACCAAGAGGTATCTTTTTTCCATTTGCTCAAATTTCACCCCAATTTATTAGCCTTTCCGAATCCTCTTCTGCTTACACCAAAGACTACAGGCAACAATCGCGGCAATGGCACTCGCCCTCACGTACCGATGTACAATCCCTACTGGATTCCCCCCGTTCTTCATCAGGTAATATATAATGACTAACGTTGATTGGAATAACATACGATAACAATAGTCACCGTACCGTGAAGCGCCGGGCAATCCACCGCATCGTGCTTCTACATTTTTGCCGAATCGCCCGCCTTTTAATCGCCCTCCGCCGCCAACCATGGACTTCAGTCATCTGTACCCTCAGTTCCCTCAATTCGAGCCCAACAACCAACAAGTTCACCAGCAGGCTCGTCCGCCGCTTCCCCCTCCTCCGCGCCCAAGTCACCAACCACCGCCAGTGCAACATCAGAGAATGCCGCCGCCTTACCAGAATACGTTCATCCACCCTGCTGCTTATTTTAATCCTCACTTTGCACCACATCTTTCTCTTTACCCCCAGCGAGGTAAATCTGTCTCTTCAATACACTCGTCTCAACTTTGACATTTAGAGTTCTATCAAGGCCAATATTACGGATCGCAGAATAACAACGCCCAGCAGAACCATGTCAGCCAAAGCGAAGCTCGAAATCAAGCAGACTCTTCTTTTAATCCATACCAAGCACAGGTATTCAGAGATTGGTCTTCCTTGATTTCAATAATTATTTATCTGAAAGGGTGCTCAGAACAACTACCGGCCATCGTACTTCAATCACACCAATTTCAAGCAGTGAGCTTCAGGAGTATTTCTTTTTTTTTTTTCTTGTTATTTAACCGTATGGTTGACAGTTTATCATACCAGTTCACACAGATACCAGCAACAGTCATGTTTACCAATTGCGCCATTTTCTAGCTGCCAGTTAAGTCTACCTAACCTCTACCACAGTTCTGAACTGCCACAAGATGCTTTCATGTGCCTAAAAATGTGTCTGAAAGACATATCGCGTTTGTCTTTTCTTTTGTCAGTCCGCTAGTTCAAAACTTTGTCATAATAATATCTATTTATCTCAGGACAAAACTGTTAGAAAGACCCTTCAATAATTCAGAATGTCAGATTGGGGAGACTCGGTCGCTTTTTGTTCTACAATTGGATCGTTGCTCGTCGGGCTCACTGGGATATTTCCGCTCCTTTTTGTCAAGAGAAACAATAAGTATGCAGGTAAACATTGTATCAACCGTTTCTGGTCGTTATCAGTTTCAAAGAGTCAGCTTGGATAAAGTACGTCCTCGCTTTCGGCGCTGGAACACTTCTTGGAGATGCATTTCTTCATCTTCTTCCTGAAGTAATGAGTTATCATGAGTGGCCTCTTGGCGCCCTCGCTGGATACATGTTTGGTTTTATCTTTCAAAAGTTCTTTCCCGAAGATGATTCGGCCAAAACTGGTGCATATGTGAACCTTTTCGCTAATTGCCTCGGTAATTTATTTCGCCCCAGACTGACGCATGTTCTGACTGTTTTTGTTCAGACAATTTCACACACGGATTAGCGATTGCTGGTTCATTCGTAATTGGAATTAGCAGAGGCTGGGCGACTACTGCCACGATATTGGTTCACGAGGTGAGTGGCTGATGAACCCTTTGAGTGTTGTTTCATTAGACTTCTATAATTGAATGTCAATTATAATTAAGATTCCTCATGAACTTGGCGATTTTGCAATTCTCCTGCGAGGTGGGTTAACGAGAGGACGTGCTGCTGTTCTACAGTTAATTACTGCATTTGCAGGTATTTACGTGACTAGCTGAATGAATATTTAGCATGGCGAAATTCCAACCATGTCAAATATAGAATCGCGCGATCAGCCTGGAATAAATTTGTTTTCAGGTCTTTCCGGCGCCCTAGTTGTCATCTTACTGAAAGACATTTCACCGGACTTAGTACTTAGATGCGTGGTGCCTTTTACAATTGGTGCATTTATTTACGTATCGCTGACGAATGTACTGCCAGAACTGATGGAAGATGAAAAGTGAGTCTTCCTTGATTTCGATCTCCGTTTTTATTGAATTTTTAGGAACTACCACTGGATCATCCTTAATATTACCATCGGTATTGTAACGATGGGCCTCTTATCCTCGTTATGATTCTTAGTAATTATTATTTTAAAATTCTAAATATTTGAAGACATCGTCTTTTAAAAAAAAAACGCAAAACAGTTGCCTTGTTTTTTCAACCGCAAAGTTACTTTTTCATATTTTCTGTTTCCAAAAATATCCATTTCCGCTCTCTCGTACAGTACAGTTATCGCAAAACCGCCTTTCAACTTTCTTCAAACCTTGATTATCAAAGTAATTCAAAGTAAAATCGACTCCCGAAATTAGTGAAATTATTGAGCTCTCCTTCTTATCTTTTTATTGCCTTTCAGAAAATCTTCCGCTGTTTGAATATTGTCTTATCTCTGTATCCTTTTTCTTCAAACCCAACACCACTTTCTTGAATACGATGCTTATTTAAACTTAATAAAGCGCAATTTGCAGAAAATAGCATGAAAGAGAATACTTTCTAGCATTTCTTTTTTGTTTCTTGAAATTGAATTGATGAAAGGGCAGGAATAAATTGCACTCCTCAATAATTGATGCTTTTCAAGTTCGGAGGTTGTCGACTTGGAACGCAAAATGGCAGAAATATGCAAGATTCTTTCTTTAGATGTGCTGAGACCTTCCCACAGGTGCAATTGCAGTTCGTTTAAAAAGTTCATAATATTAAAGCTTTTATAATTGCTGAAGCCTTTCGAATTCTGAGTTTACCTGTGGAGGGGCTCTCCCTCCAGGGAATCGCATTTGCGCTGAATCATCCTCATTGATTGCGTTTTGCGATTTCAAGAAAAGACGGGCTCGAGAGCGCCCTTGATCGCGCTCACTATTTTTTTCTCTCCACCTCAGGATTGCCGTGGAAAGCGGACTCTTTTCTCCGGCAGTGAGAAAGTCAACTCATCGAGTCTCAAAATTCATTTTTTCAGACGGATAGAAATAGAGGAAGATTTGAAGATAATACTCAGAAGATAATTTGTGGCCTGCGTTTCTTGCACGGCAAAAGATTTAAGTCTCCGAGAGGAAATGCTGATACGTCTCTTATGCAGCTTTTTTATTGTAAGTCATCTTAGAAAGAAAGAGAGAGAGAGAGTTCTGTTGAGAAGAATTGTGTTGTTTAATAAGTCTCAGAATAATTGCAATTTTTACTTGTTTAACAAGTTATTTAACCCTAAGAAGCTGGGAAATAACGACTGTCGGTTAGACACTCAAGCGTTGATAAATCAATAAGTTCCTTGAAAACCGAAGCAAATCGAGGAGTCCCAGATTCTGAATTGCTAACGGAAATGAATCAAATTTAGAAAATCACGCCATGTTATTTTTATTGTGGCCTAGTAGGAAACTGATTCATCGTAAGAAAAGAAAGTTACAGTTGACTTCCTTCGCGAAAGCACTTACTCAGCATGACGGAATTCTGACTTTATTACTCTGAAGAGCCACTGACCTTTTACAAAACTTACAATCCCGTAATTAGCCACAAAAGATCATTTTACTAGCTCATAGAATAAGCTAAGCACACATATTTTGATCCAATTATTCCCTATTCGAAAGCAAGGTCCTTCCGAACGCAAAATTTCATTGTTGTTATGCTAATTTAACGACGTTGCCCTTTGGATTTCTCTCCATGGAACAGGCAACGCAAATGTTGACTTTTTCTTGATCTCTCGGATTCTCCACTGCGTCGGTCTTTTATTCAAATTTAATTTGGAAACGCACGTTTCTACGAAAAGTTTAATTCAAAGTTCGCTTCTCAATATTAAAATATATATAAATTTTAAGCTCATAAATATCTGTGATGCGAAAAGAAAAAACACAAGAAGGAAAGAACTCAAATCCGAAGAGGGATACTGCACGTGGTATGACCAGTGCTACTTTGACTCTGGCGCAAATGTCTGGTACAATTGCCCATACAACAAGAAAGCGAAAAAGTTGACGGATGAGAAAGGACTCGAAATACTGAAGGATCTCTGTCCTTCTCTCTACGGCGATGGCAAAGGAGTCAAAACATGTTGCTCACCTAGCCAGCTGGCGAATATGAAGGCAAACATGGGTGTTCCATACACTTTAATTGGCCGCTGCCCGAGTTGTTACAGGAATTTTCTAAATTTCTGGTGCGAGATGACTTGTAGTCCCAATCAAAGCACCTTCACCAATGCAGCTGCTTTTGGAAAAGACAGCAGCGTTGACCCACCAGTTGAGTACGTAAAAGAACTCAACTACGCTGTCAATGCTTCTTTCGGAGACCGCCTTTTTGACAGTTGTAAAAACGTCTCCAACCCGACAACTGGTGCCAAAGCGTTAGACATCATTTGTGGCAATTGGCCCGACGGATGCAACGGGCAGAATTGGCTGACCTTTTTGACAGACAAAAGCATCAATAATATGGTTCCATTCAAGATTAATGTGAAGTATACGTTGGAAGGCACCGAGATGTCGAATTTAATGAACGCTGAGACATTCAGGTCTGTAACGATTATTTTTTAGTAAAAATATCTTTTATCAGGTGCAACGAGACGGCACCCGGCTCAGACGGCCCCTGTTCCTGCAATGATTGCCCTGATTGTTGCAAAGCTCCTCCAGTGATTCCACCCCCGCCAGAGCCCTGGGAAATCTTCGGCTACCACGGATGGACAGTCATCGTCATCTTCACTTATGTAATCTTCGTATGGGCTTTCGGAACAGTTGTTATTGCTTGGCATTTATTCTGCAAACAGAGTCAGGGGCACACGTCAGAAGGCTGCTGCACGCTGGTGGACTTCTACGGTGGCGGACCGCAAGAACTTGCGATTGATGAGTAAGTAGACTTAGTAGAGGCTTGATTTTATTAGTTTCGTCGGTGATTAACATAGATAATACAGATTAATTCATAAACGAGCGACTCAGAGGTAAAAAATGATGTTCGCACTCACTTGGCTTGATTCAATATTGAATCCTCTAACAAAGGAAACACTCACAGTATCATTTTGTTCGATTAGGTTCAAACGAGGACAGTTTTAAAAGCTCTGTGTTTCATGTGAATGACATCATGCATGTTTTCATCCTTGTGTTCTTCCTTTTGAATTTGAGTTCTTGTCTCAACAAGCCATTAATAATTTACGTCACTTTTTCAATCCGTTTCTTTGTTTCAATCATTTTATTCAGGGAAGTAATCGAGCACGAGCAGCTAAATGCGCATGAATTCAATGGAGACCAGGGTCCATTTACGAATTTGACAAATCGTATCGATCAGAAAATGTCGCTCTTCTTCGAGGCACTCGGCTTAATCTGCGCAAGTAATCCGTGGAAAGTGATCTTTGCTGGTATTACCGTAGTCGTCGCGCTGGGCTTAGGATTGATGAACTATCAAATCACAACCGATCCAGTCGAGTTGTGGTCAAGTCCGACAAGTCAAGCTAGAGAGGAGAAGAATTACTTTGACGAGAACTTTGGCAAGTTCTTTAGGACCGAAATGATGATCTTCTCAATTGATCATGTTGTTGACAGTGCGGATAAAGCGAAAAACGTCAAACTGGCAGATCTATGGCAGGACTACGTCCCATACACGTCAGCAACCGATTATGTGCCTCCATCAGTTCCATTCTCACCAATTTTCCAACTTGGGATCCTCGAAGAACTGGTCCGAATCCAGAACGAAATTCAAACACTTGAAGCTGTTTATGAAGACGCTAAATCGAACACAACTGAATCGATCAAGCTCAGCGATATCTGCCTCAAGCCGATGGCGCCTGTGAATAACAACTGTACTTTCATGTCTGTGACGAACTACTTCCAGAACTCTATTGAGAATCTCCGAAAGAAAGCTGTGGATGGATGGTTCGACACTCTTTTAGCCGATTATCGATCGCATTTAATCGGATGTACGCGTAATCCGACAACGATCGAAGAAGATTCCGCTACTTGGGAGGCGGCAGGTGAGCAGGCCATGTCATGTCTTGCTTCCTTCGGCGGCCCAATAAATCCAAACGTCGTCATCGGCAGCTACGATGAAAAATTCTTCTTTAATGGCAGCCATTTGGTTGTTAATATTCCAGTGATAAATAATGAATGGACTGCCCCGAGGGCTGTGCTTTGGGAGAAGCAGTTTCTTGATTACATCCAGACTTGGCAGGATAAACACTCAATCGTGAACCTAACCGATTTCAATATTAACGACGATGGATCAGTAGACCCTGATAAACCAGCTTGGGTGAGAGTCAAGATGAACGTTGCTTATTCTGCCGAAAGAAGCGTGGAAGATGAAATTGAACGTGAAAGTGGGACGGACGTTTTTACCGTTCTTTTTTCATACATCGTCATGTTTGCGTATGTCAGCTTCGCCCTAGGACCGGCTCCGTTAATTATTGAGTTGAAAATTGCCAAGTTCAATTACAAATTCTCATTTTCCAGGAAACTACGGTTTCAGTAATTCTCAATATCGAGCCGCAAACAGGTCAATTTACGTCAACATCGCGAGTGTTTATTGACTCCAAGATTACCGTCGGTTTCATGGGCGTCTTGATTGTCATGGCTTCCATTATCTGCTCCCTCGGGATCTTCAGCTATGCCGGCGTTAAAATGACTCTGATTATTATCGAAGTTTTGCCATTCCTCGTCCTTGCCGTTGGAGTAGACAACATCTTCATCATCGTCCAGCATCTCCAACGCGATCATGGTTCGAGCAAAGAAACAACTGAGCAGCAAATAGCTAGAATTCTTGGAGAAGTAGGACCTTCTATGGCCTTGTCAAGCGGGTCCGAAACTGTAGCATTCTTTATCGGAGCTTTGAGTACAATGCCTGCTGTAAGGTCGTTTTCGCTTTTTGCTGGAGCTGCGGTTTTATTTGACTTTTGTCTGCAGGTAAGTCAATTGAAAGCTCTCCTTTGGGACCTGAGTTCAGACTAATGCAGTCTTTAATTCTTAACCCGAGTCCAAAAGTTCGTTTTTAATTGAAAAACAGCGGGTTCATGTGCATTTTGCTAATCCCCTTTTCTTTCAGGTGACGGTCTTTATTGCCGTTTTGGCTCTCGACGAGCGACGACGAAAATCAAAGCGTTTGGACATTTTCTGTTGCATTTCGTACAACAATGCCAAAGACCCAGAAAACGACGAAGGCCTGCTGTACCACATGACAAAGCGTTACTTTTCGCGACTTCTACTCAATTCAATTGCTCGTCCATTCATAATAATCGTATTTTCCTTTATCGCCGCGTTTTCACTGGCCTCTTTACCTAAACTCCACATTGGCCTTGAGCAGAAGTTGTCCATGCCCGAAGATTCGTATTTGATCGACTACTTCGAGACAATGGCGTCTAGCCTTGAAGTCGGCGCTCCAGTTTACTTTGTTGTCAAAGACGGAAGCAACTACAATGAGCGAGACGCTCAAAAAGCCCTCTGCGGTGGCGCAGGATGTAATGACGATTCTCTCCCTTCACTTATCGCTGACGCAGCACAGATTCCAAGCTATTCTACAATAGCCACGCCCGCGATGAACTGGATGGATGATTACTTCGATTGGGTCAGCCCTAACTCGCCCTGTTGCAGAGTTTTCAACGAAAACGGAACTTTCTGTGATAGCACAGGTAAACTTTCGTTAACAAACCCAATAAATATCGGTTAATTCAGTACCGGATCGTGAAAATATCTGCACTCAGTGTCTTTCGGAGAACAAACGACCATCTGGAGAAGCGTTTGACAGATTCCTGCCGATGTTCTTGAGCGATATCCCTTCAGCTACTTGCCCAAGAGGAGGCAGTGCTGCATACTCGTCAGCTATTAACATCACTGATGGTCATATTGGTGCATCGTATTTTATGACTTATCACACTCCAGCGAGAACATCTGAGGATTTTATTCAATGCATCACTCATGGACGGTATAAAATGTATTTCCATGGCTTTTAAATAAGACTCCTCTTTAGAAAAATGGCGGTAGAAGCGTCTGACAATCTGAAAAACGCTACCAACTCCGACTCGGCCGAAGTCTTTACCTACTCCGTCTTTTACGTCTTCTACGAGCAGTATTTAACCATCGTCAATGATGCCTTCGTCAACCTCTCCGTCTGTATTTTGACTGTGACTCTGATAACGATGATCTTGTTGGGTGTTGCTACAGGCATTTGTGTGGCGATTACCATTTCGCTGATTATTCTGAATCTTCTTGGGGTCATGGTTGTCTGGGAAATTTCATTAAATGCAATTTCACTTGTCAATCTTGTCATGGCTACTGGAATCGCGGTCGAGTTCTGCTCGCATATCGCTAGAGCATTCGCCAAAAGGTATTTCTACCTTTCTTTATGATAATTCAAGCAGTGTTTTTAGTCAACAACAAGGTCGCGTGGCTCGCGCCAGGGATGCTCTTGCTGAGATGGGCTCATCCGTCTTGTCTGGAATCACTTTCACTAAATTCGGAGGAATCGTCGTTCTAGGATTTTCAAAGACGCAAATCTTCCAAATCTTTTACTTCAGGTTTTCATACACTTAAGCCTTCAATCTGTATAAAAATTGATTTCAGGATGTACTTGAGTATAGTCGTCCTTGGTGCTCTTCATGGGTTCTTCTTCCTTCCAGTTCTCCTATCTTATATCGGTATGGATAAAGTTTACTTGGTTTGTATCTGGCATTTTAAATTTAAGGTCCTACTGGAAGATTAGGGTTTAAAAAGGTCCAAAGCACTCCATCAGAAGATGAAAATTCGGACCAAAGTCCTATTGGAAATAGCAGAGAAGATATCAGGTAGCTAAGATCTTTCTTGGCCCTTTTCAATCATTGATTTCAGCGTCACTCCTGATGTCACTGACGAGAGATTAATTCAATAAGTTCAAGTCATTTCACCAACGCATCTTACATTCCGCACACCCACAGTAATACCGTCGAGGTTCTTCAAAAATATATATTTATAAATCCAGTTAATCAAGTTATACATTTATTCTCAAAAACGCCAAACAGCCGGGCCCTTTAAAATATTCTAGTCTTATTGAACTGTTCATAATTCACTTTTTCAATGCAACTTTTGAAGCTGTTCCTGCTCAAAGGTAGACCTGTACTTTTAATCTTATTTTTTTCTCATTTTCCTTCATTCTAGCTTTTTTAGAATATAAATAATGATACTCAGATATTTAAAAGATATTACTACAAAAGATATACCTTGATACTATATATAAACTCGCTGCACATTTTTTTATTCAAATTATTCAAAAGAAAACTCAACTTATGACGTGTTAAACTTCAAGTTAAAACACTGACAAATGCTTCTGTTTGTTTCACATATTTTCTTTCACTAAATGTAAACATAAATAAACTTATAAATAAAAAACGAACATCAACGACAGTAGTCAAAGGAAGACTACTGTTGTTCTACATTGTTGTACAATTTTTAAGTTGACAGAGGGAAACGAAATCGCAAATATGGTTACTATGTTTTGATGTACTGGCACGTCTGACATTTGGCGGCTACCTTCTGCCCTTTTTGTTAAATTTGAAATCGATGTCGTTAAATCTAGGTCACTAAAACACCCTTACGTAAGCCAATTTCTCTAAAATAGAGCTATTTTTGACATTATTCCGTGGATGATCAAATCTTCTTGCCTTTACAGGATACTGTACGGATGTAGCAGGTCATCCATTGCTATAACAGGAAGGAAAGCTTTGAAAGAGCCATTCTTGGATGTTTTTAGCCTCAGGCATGTCCCCTTGTATCCGAAGTTCCATAGTAGTTGAGGTGCTTTAACGGGTGGTTTGCTGCCCCCGGCCACGCCATAAAGGTTTCTGATGGACAAAGAAAACCTTCAGATAAAGTTGTAGTCTTACTTGACTTGAAAAATCACCAAATCAAACCACTATTCAAAATTTCGTTGGCAGACGAAATCAGATAGGAGATCAACGAAGACTAACTGATTCAACAAACGAAATAGTCGCTGAGTTAGAAAATTATTTGAGAGAGAATATGAGACTTTTCCAACTTTCGCGACGGCTTTTGTGTCAGAATTTAAAGATAACCAAGCATGTGAGAACTGTCAAGTCCCAGGGATTTTACTCGGTGAGTCTTTTTTGACCGATTTCTGATTTGTAAATGGACTTAGAAATTCGACAAAGATGGGGACGGGGAAATCTCGCCCGCTGAATTCAAGAAAATTATGGAATCTTCCGAGTACGGCGATGTTTACAAGCATTTTGACGACGACGGAGACGGAAACATCACCCCAGAAGAACTGATTTCCGTAAGTTTCCACCTCGTACTAAAAATAGTATGAAAAAATGCGCTTAGATCTTGGTCAAACTCGGAGAAGTCCCAATGGATCTTGCACTTTACTTCAACGACATGAGTAGCTCCAGCTCGACAGAATTCGCTGGTGTCGTCAACTTCCTTACGATTTTGACCAATTACTGTAAGTCTTTCAAACAACTAAATTGCAGGTTCATTACTTTCTATTTTAGGCAGATTTATGAACGGTAAGAGGTGTTTATTTTTAACGGAAATAATAACAAAAAAGAACCTGTGAGTTCCGGTTACTAAAGACCAACTACTGCACAAGTGACAGTTGTTAGGTGTTAAGAGGGTGTTACCTAACTTTTGGTTGATGCATCACGCACAGTCTATCTAATCTCGAGTAACCATGGTCAAAAATGCAACTTCTGCTAATAAACTTTACCTATTTCAGGCTCCATGAAAAACCCCGCAAAAGTGGAACAAGAAGTCCTCCAAGATTTGGAGCAGTTCGCAGAAGGCAGCGAAACCATCAACAAAGATCAGCTTCAGGACTGGCTCTTCAAAATTCACCCAGAATTCGACGATGACCTTCTTGACGGTGGAACGCTATAACACCAAGATTTTAATGAAAGTTTTAGCGCTCGCGGAGGGGGCTGATTTAGACGGTGATGATGAGATCAACTACATTGCTTACGTCCAGCTCGTCACTCGACAGATCCTCAAACTTCGAAAGGTAAAAGAGAACTTGATCGAGGCTTTTCTTCTCTTACTTCACTTTTCAATGACTGAAAAAATATTCAGTAAGGTGCCAAAAAGCGTTTACGGTGGCTACAATTTCAAAACAAATCGAGGTTAAAAATGATTTCGCCACTAAAATTCCTATTTATCCTGTTCAAGTTCAATAAGTACCAAACAAATACGCCACTTTCTGTTCATTTCATTTTTGCGTGTTTATTAGATAATAAAGAAACTTTCATTCTGCTATTCTTATATTCTTGAGGTTCCCATGTTTTCATCGGTTACCAACTGTACGCTGTTTTCAAAAAATAATCTGTTTGCGAGAATTTCTGCGTGGTCGAAGGCGTTCTTTATAAGATTTTTGCTGCTAGAATGAATCTCTTTGTCTGTCCACGGTTGAATTTCTTCATTCCAAAGGGTACTAGTGCTCTGTTCTCTTTGATTTCCGCGTTTAAAATAGACAGGGACGAAAGATGTTTCCTCGAGTTGCATGGTTTTCTCATTCGCAATGGTCGCATCAGGGTCAATTTCGGCATCGTTTATCAAAGCCTCTGTTCTATCAGATGCCTTTTCCGAAACTTCACTGCTTTCAACGGACTCAATTCTTTGCCGCTTTTGATTTTGTTGGTTCTCGTTCTCTGTCGACTCCCTAGGCAAAGATCTCTTCAGAGCATTTTCCGGTATGATGATGTCTTTCTCCACTAGTTCTGAGAACTCGTCGATTTTACATGCATCATCGTCGGAAAGCGTCTTGTCACTTAAGTTTGAAAGTTCATCTAATTCAGGTAAAGTATCTTCTTCGGGAAAAGAAGTAGCCCAATCTATTGTTTCTTGTCTGAAAACGGTCTTTTTCGTTGACGTTTCCCCAATCACCTAAATTTCGTCAATGAAAATCTTCGGTTATTTTTTCGTCTTACCGAAAATCCAACTTCTTGACCAAGTAATGGTCTCTCATGAAGTTGGTTTTTGATCATCTTTACTAACTCATCTGCGTTTTCCTTCGACGGTGGACTTAGCTTCGGAAGATCCGTCAATACCATCGTAAGCGGCAACTGAATTTTTTGACCATCTGGATCCTCGACAAGACCACACATTTCAGCCTCATCGTCCAGAAGAATGCCATGAACTCTCCGACACTCTCTTCGAATCGTCTTCCACGATTTGTATCCTTTTCCTTCCTCATTGTACTCTTTTACACCTAATACCTTCTTGAAGACACATTCTTTCAAGCTTGGCATGATGTAGCACTTTTGGTCTTTTAGCTTTTTTCGCTTCTTTCTTGTCGGAAGAATATACTCAGTAAAAATCGATTGCAACCGGATGAATGATACTCTCATCTTTATATCAAGCGTCCCATTGAACTAGAAAAGGGTTATTATTGAAAAAAATTGTAAAAAAAATACTCACAAGATTAACTTGAGTACAAGCGACCGGTCGCTGTTTTTCAGGAACGTAGTGATAAGAGTAACGATGGAAATGAACGTAGTTGAGGAAAAAAAGGTTGTCGTGGAGTTTGATAAACTTCGGAACCAGGTGGAATTGTATCCATAGACAAATGCCTTGTCTGAGAGTAGCGCTATCTGTCATTCCAGATTTTTTGATCTTCAGACCGAAAACCTTCAAATAATGATGAACAGTCAACTCTAGTTATGAGAGACTTACAGATGAAACGACAAACATCGTATCCTTGTCGTAGTCTTCTCTTTTCATCGTAAGAATCAGTTCGCCTTTATTTTCGGGTTCCTGATCGTTCTCTTCGTTCGAATTCGACCATTCATTTCTGTTCAATATACTCTGAGCTGACAACAGACGAGGTCGTCTGCGTGGTTTCACTGGTTTCTCTTTATCAAGGTTACAACTGGCTCTCAAGTATCTATCTTCGATTTACCGGTATATTGTTAACCCTAACCTTTGTAGGAAATGGTCGGAATAATTCTTCCTTTGCACTCACTGATTATTAATCTGCAGAGTTCGATGCCCCTGTTGGGCCACGTCATATCTGTAGTCTCAAATTTTTCACTGATCTCTGCAACGCAGGAAATCAAGTCCTTCTCTAACGGAATTTTCGCTGTTAGACATCTTTTTCAAGTCTCAACGATGCTTTCAAATTGAAAATAACTACATTTGGGACCTTCCTAAATTCATCTCCGTAGTAAGCCATGGAAAAATCTCTCAAGTCTCGTGATTCCTGATCGGGAATAGTTTATTCTGAGCTCGATCATTGTCGTAGACTCGATCAGTAGCATTCTAGTAATGGAAAAATTTATCGAATAAGTCTTTCAGACGTTTTATCTCTCAATAAGGGCATTTGATCTAGAGAAAATATTTTCACTAATAAATTAAAGGAAATGGTCTTTGTTTTAACAACTTTACATTCAAATAAAGTGATTTCTGTATATTAATTTATAAAAATTTATTGCATATATATTGAATAAATAGAGTGCATAATGCAATTTGTAAACATGCAGAAGGTGTTCTACTGCATCAGTATCGAACGCTTTCGCTGAGTAGTCACCTGATCGAAAATCAATAAGAAGGAGGTTGTCTTCTCTATACGGGCACAGAGCCGACGCCGGCTCTTTTTCGGAACACGGCTGCGGCGAGAAAGAATAAGAAATACAAGCAGATTAATCAAGCACCTCTTTTTTCGACGCTAAAATGGCCTGAAACAAGCCAATTACGACAGCTAAGAGCTCGATTTGAATAAGGAAGAGCGGGATAATTGAAGAGACAGAGAATGTTTTCGGACTACGCGTCAATTAAAGACAAGTGCACAAGGTAAGCAAATCTAGTTTAGCAAAGTCACATTCCAAGTGATATTCCCGGATCCGATTTTATGAACCGTTATCGACTCCCATCTTCCGACCGAGACACTTGTCTCATTTGAAATCTCGTATTTTCCTTTTGCGGCTTGTTGAACCACTCTTGCATCAAATCGAACTCCTCCATCTATGAATTAAAATATCCACAACATCTTCTAAAGTTTAAGATGTACCTTTATTACGTATCCTAAGTGAAGAAGTTCCTCTATCACTTTTGAGTTCTAGCTCCCAGCCTTGAGCCTGGATATTCAGGTCTTGATTACCGGGAAACTAAGATTCAATAATTATAAATAATTTTTGAAAAACCTACCCTAAAATTAACCCGTAGCTGACCCATTGAAATCATCTTTAGAATGTTTTTCACGTCACTTTTGAACATAGGACGTCTTAGATCCTCTTCTGTAAAATGGTCGGCTCCGTTCTTCGGTCCAAGGTCTCTGACCATCTTTGCGAGTTCAGAATCAGGATTAGGCTGGTTTTCTAGGGATGGAACAATCCCATTTCTATTAGTGGCTGAGTTATCGAGAAGTTGCTTTACCGATAACTTAGTATCTTCAAGTTGGGACTGGAGTAGCTGAATGAGTTTGCCCTGCGTTTCAACTTGTCCAAAGATTTGGGTTGTTTGATGTATCTTTTTTTCTAGTTCAGATGTTCGAGTGATTGATTTCTGTAGTTCAATTTTCGTGGCCAAGTTCGACTTTTCCATCACAGCAACTCTTGCTTGCAAGTTTTCTAACAGTTCAAGTGATCTGTTATTATCTTCCGGGAACTGCATCCCATCGATGTTTTGATTTTGACGGTCACATCCGCGATAATCACTTAAAAACGACTCGGAGTATACTCCGGATTCTCGTTCAGACATTTTTCTCTGCAGTTAAATTAGATGGTTTTGACGAAACTCGAATTTCTGGAGTAAAAAATCAACAAGAAGTGACTTTGTAAAAGTCAAGCATATTTGAACTTTACGTCAATCTATTCTTCATAACTTCCTAAATCTTTCGATGGTCTCACACTCATTTTGTAGGAAAAAAGACATTTCCCAAGTCACTGGCTCTGCTGGCGATAAAATCAGCCTCAAGAAACTCCTCACAACCCTGGATTTGACTTCGCTCGGTGTTGGAAGCTGTAATGGAACAGGAATGTACGTGGTTGCCGGGCTGATCGCCAAAGAACTCGCTGGTCCGGGTGTCGTCTTTTCGTTTCTCATCGCTGGCTTAGCCTCGCTGCTTTCAGGTTTGTCTATCTTGCTTATCATCGCTAAGTAATTTGGGCCCCCAATTTGGGGGGATTATTTTCGATACCCAAAAATCATCAGTTTTTCAAATCGCTATTGGCGATCAACTTAGCATCGATTCAAAATCTTCTTCTGACAGTCCAATTTCCAAATTATGTCAATTTAGGCATCTGTTATGCAGAGTTCGGCGTGCGTGTGCCAAAAACATCTGGCTCTGCATATACTTACAGTTATGTGACGATAGGCGAGTGTACTGCATTTTTCATCGGTTGGAACTTGATCCTCGAGTATCTTATTGGAACTGCTTCTGGTGCTTCAGCGCTGAGTTCGATGCTCGACTCGTTGTCTAATCGAGCTATTTCTAAGTGGTCTTTGGAGAATTTGGGAAAACTTCACGGAGTCTGGCAGAGTCCCGACGAGGAAAGGGCTTGTTTGTCTGTCTATACAGTGGTTGCATTAATCAATTATGCGTAGCGGTGTGAAAGGGTTGTCTTATTTTTCGCAACAGCGAAAATAGGAAAGCGTACGCATATTTCAAGCCCGAATGAAGGTCTCGTACCCAGACTTGGTCGCCATGGGCATTTGCATGGTAATGGTGATGATCGTTGGAGCTGGACTGAAGAACTCGATGCTTTTGAACAACCTTCTCAACGCTGCTAACATTGTCGTCTGGGCGGTCATCATGGTTGGAGGCTTGTTTACTCTCAATGCAGAAAACTGGAACCTGAGTCCTCCAAATGGCACGGATGCTTCCTCAGCTGAGATCAAAAAGTACGGAGATGGTGGATTCTTGCCATACGGCTGGGAAGGTGTCATGCGAGGAGCAGCAACAGCTTTTTACGCTTATATTGGCTTCGACATCATTGCAACTACTGGAGAAGAGTGCAAAAAGGAACCGAGTTGAAGATTTTTTTTAAATAAGGAGCTTGGTTTATCTTTTATTGGGGCGTCCTAAATACTGTTTTATGGGCGCACTGACAGTAAAATAGTTTACAACTCGGTGCAAGCCACATAAATCGATTCCGAAGGCGATTGTTTCCTCGCTAGTCATCTGTTTAGTGGTGAGTTTAGCAGTTTTGTATTTGATGAGCTTAAAACCGTAAACATCAAATTGTATCGAAAAATAAATTTCTTATAAATCTACGAACTTTTGACGATTTTTACGTATTGACAACGTTCTTCTGATTGTTATGATTCTGTTTTTCTAGTGCTACATCTCCACCGCCATGATGCTAACTCTGGTCGACAAATACTGGGAAATCGACTCAGAAGCTCCCTTGACCGAAATGTTTGACCGCTGTGAAGGAGATACGTGCCACCCATTTATGAAAAAGGTAAAAACAGTCACTGGTGATTAGGCTAACTCCTCTTTGTCTTTAGGCTAAATATTTGATCAGTGTGGGTTCATTTTGTGCCCTAACTGCTTCACTTCTTGGATCGTTGTTTCCCATGCCACGAATTATTTACGCGATGGCGTCTGATGGCTTGCTCTTTCACTTCTTGAGCGTTATCTTTCCCCCAACTGGTTTGTACTAGCGTAATGAATAAATAATTATCGAAATAAGGAACACCCTTGATTGCAACTATCATCGCCGGATTGTTCGCATCAGTTCTGGCGTTGGTCGTGTCTCTTCGAGATCTGATAGAAATGATGTCCATCGGAACACTTTTGGCTTATACACTCGTGGCAGTCTCGGTTCTTGTTCTGAGATACCAACCAACTATTACCTTGGACAGAAGTTTGGCCGATGAAGATGACGAAGAGTATCAACAGGTACGTTTTTATGACATCAATTCTTGTGACAATCTTTCTAGAGAGAAGCAAACAGAGCATTTGATATGGACGATCGCTCTGTTCTCGTTGAGGACTCTCGCCCGACACCTGGTTACGGAACTGTAGTTGAAGGAGAAGAGCCACCACCGAGAAAACCATGCTTCCTCGACCCACTGACAGATCGCCTTGCTCCAGCTATTCATTTCGGAAAAGTAACATTCGGTCTTCCAGTGGAGACTGACAAGCCCACGGAAGAAACAGGAAAAATTGCTTACAAGAAAGTCATTCACTTCGGTTCGTACTCTTCCTTGATTTCTAAGAACTAATTTTTTCCAAAGTTATTTACACTTTTATTTACAACGTGTTTCATGTTGTGAAGCTTCCATTTTGGATGAAAGCAGTTGGCTTTCTTCCTTCCACTGCGGTGCTGCTTTACTTGATGCTCAAAATTGCTCAGCTTCCACCTAACAGGTTAATTTTACCTCGCCAACGGGTTTCAACACTGTCTTTAGGACAAAACTTCCCTTCATGGTTCCTTTTGTTCCCCTCCTGCCTATGTCAGCTATTCTCGCAAACATCTTTCTGATGTGCAGACTTTCAACTCTTACGTGGATACGATTCACCATTTGGTGCATTATCGGTGAGTTTTCTCTGTCCATATAATATGGACCATATTATCATTCTTGCTAATTTTAATATTTAGGCGCTGTTATTTATTTTGGATACGGAATGAGGTTTTCTAATTTGGAGCTGCGAGCTCATCAGCCCGCCACTTATAAAGTTGGACTTGACCTGGATTCTGACTTTGATCCTAATTTCCAGACACAGGTAATCATCGACTATCAAAGAGTTGACTCAATTCTTCATTAGCCAAAGACGAAGAAGGGTGGTTACTCGGAGTTCCACAACGAGGAATAACTTCTGTATCATTTTGTATTTCAACAACTGTACCAAGACCTTGTCGATGCCATATTTTTCGTATCATATCCATACTCTAGTTTAATATCCATATTATATTATTATTTGAAGTTCTCAATCACTGCTCGCTACAATCATCTTCAATCGGTGAAGTGCAATAAAACTGATTAAAAATCTCAAAACCATCTTTTCATTCAAACAAGTGTTTATTTCTGAAACTGTTCTTCGAGCGACTTCAGGAGAAGAATCGTATTTCCTCGGCGAATTCGCTTGAAAAAGAGGTTAAATTAAGGCTCAGTTCGAAAAAAGGGGTTCTTACATCTCTGGTCATTGACTGGTAGACAACTGGTTTCTTTTCGATGGATTGAGAGTTAGAACGTTCATGTTTACCTTCTAGCTTCTTCAGTATTGATGGAAAACAGGTTAAATTTCTACTCTTGACTTCAGGGGTAATTTTGGTATAAATAATATCCGATCACGTTCCTTCAACGATTCATATCGTTCAACCCGACGGGCGAGATCGTTAGGGTCAGCCTTTGGAATCATCTCTCGGAGAATTCGATACTAAAAGTGCGCTTAAGACACGACAGCCGCTTATTTCAACTTTTTCCAACGAAAAGGGAGTCGTTGGAAAAATTTGTTTACCTGACTGAGTGTCCGAGTAGCTTCGCGATCGATTCGCTGGATGTTTTCACGTAGTCGAACGATCTCACCTTCGTAAATATCCTTTTCATTTTGCATTCTGTCCAACTTATCGCTCAAGTTCTTAAAAATATGATGAAGAAGATCTCGGGCATCTTACTTTCCGGTCTTCTTCAAGCTCGGAGATGAGATTATTCTGCACTTGAAAGTGCCTTTTTGTTTGAGAAATTTCTTCTCGTTTGAAGATCTTTGATTTTTCCTCTTCGTCGGCTACGATCTTCAAAAAGGATAGAGTAGATTCTAACGGTAATTCTAGATTTCTAAGACAATCCCCTCCTTGAGCCGCTCCACCTGAGGAGACGGAGGCGCCTCCATCATCACTGATAAGAGCTAAAACAACGTGATAATTATTATGTCTAAGTTCCGAAAGAGTAGGAAAAACTCTTATCATCCCTTTCGCGCTACCTTATAATTCTGGATTAAGTCAACCACTCGTTTCGCTTCGGAAGAATTCTTCGCAGTGAGGCTCTTCTCCCGCCCGCTCCTAAATCTTGTTGTAATTACAGATTTCATGATCGTCGCTAGAGACCGAAGTTTAATTGTTATTTTCTTGTCGACTTGCGCGGCTGAGCGAATCTCCGCCCATCGGAAGCTGGGATTGATGACTAAGTTCGTAGGGACTAGGTTCGTGGGACTAGGTTCGTAGGTGGTTATGCCAAAGTATGCAAGATGGGGTATGGTTTCCTTTCTATAAGGAACAATGTGGTGCGACTAGGTTCGTGGGACTAGGTTCGTAGGGGTGCTAGGTTCGTGGGTTTTGAAAATGATATTTTCTATAAGTATTATAAAAATTATAAATTTTTTTATAAGGAACAATTGAGTGCGACTAGGTTCGTGGGACTAGGTTCGTGAGTTTTGAAATTTTTTTATAAGGAACAATTGAGTGCGACTAGGTTCGTGGGACTAGGTTCGTGAGTTTTGAAATTTTTTCATAAGGAACAATTGAGTGCGACTAGGTTCGTGGGACTAGGTTCGTGGGTTTTGAAATTTTTTATAAGAAAAAGGAGGGTGGGACTAGGTTCGTGGGACTAGGTTCGTGGGTTTTGAAATTTTTTTATAAGGAAAAGGAGGGTGCGACTAGGTTCGTGGGACTAGGTTCGTGGGTTTTGAAATTTTTTTATAAGGAAAAGGGGGTGCGACTAGGTTCGTGGGACTAGGTTCGTGAAGACTAGGTTCGTGAAGACTAGGTTCGTGAAGACTAGGTTCGTGGGACTAGGTTCGTGAAGATTAGGTTCGTGAAGACTAGGTTCGTGAGACTAGGTTCGTGGGACTAAGTTCGTGGGTTTTGAAATTTTTTTTTATAAGGAACAATTGAGTGCGAATAGGTTCGTGGGACTAGGTTCGTGGGTTGTAAAATTGGGTAAAGTTGAATGGTAAAAAAATGACTTCCCCACCCCCCACCCCCCCCCCCAAAATAAGCCGCTAGGCTCTTTAACTGAATTTCTATGTTAGCGCTGAATAACAATGGTTGCCTTAGAAGAGTTGGTGATAACTATAACGGAAATATTTAGCAAGATAATTTTTTGAAACACGATTCTAGTCCCACGAACCTAGTCGCACTACACTTTTCCTTATAAAAAAATTTCAAAACCCACGAACCTAGTCCCACGAACCTAGTCGCACCCCACTTTTCCTTATAAAAAATTTCAAAACCCACGAACTTAGTCCCACGAACCTAGTCGCCCCCTCCTTTTCCTTATTAAAAAAATTCAAAACCCACGAACCTAGTCCCACGAACCTAGTCGCACATAATTTCTCCTTATAGAATAAAAATAATTACCAATTAAAAACTCACGAACCTAGTCCCACGAACCTAGTCGCACATATTTTTTCCTTATAGAATAAAAATTCTAACCAATCAAAAACCCCCGAACCTATATTTAGATAACAATATTATAATATATGATCATATATTTACAATACATATTTATAAATATATATATACTTATAAATAGCACTTAATCATTATAAATAAAAATATACATATAAAATCAAAAACTCACGAACCTAGTCCCACGAACCACGTTTTCCAGCCAGCCACCCACGAACCTAGTCCCACGAACCTAGTCCCCACGAACTTAGTCATCCCACACCGGAAGCTCTCCTCATCCTTGAAATCAGCTGTGCTCAGCGTTATCGAGCTCGGGCTGACGCTAAGTAATTTGTGGGGCTCAAACTTGGTGCCGATTTCAAAGAGCGCAGTTCCGTATCCACGCACATCACGTTCTGCTGTTTTCAAGTAAAACATCATCGCGTCTTCTCTTTATTTCGGGCTCATTTCCGTGGTGCGAAAGAAAATCAAATTAATTTATCTGAACTTTATTCAGCCCGGAACTGAGCATAGTCCCGCGTTCTTTATGCATCTTCTTGACTTTTTCTTCCAAGATCGATTTTGGAAACCCAGTCGAGTTGAGAAAGCTCTCCGGAAAAAGCTCCTCGATTTTCAAATAGCGATCTTAATTACCTTTTTTATTCGAAAAAGCTACTCTCTTACCAAGGAAAGAGTCATGAATCTCCGGTAAAAATGGACCGAATCGCTCTTGAGCTTGATATCCCGCTAGAGAGACAAGCGAGTCAACATCAGCATCATAGAATCCTGATAAAACCTTTGCCTTCGTATGCAAGTAGAAGAGACGAACAGTGATATCTTGAATTAGATCTGTTTTATGTTCTAAAATAACTTCTTGAAAGAAAAACTGAATGATGACGTAACATGTCCTTCAACCCTCAGCGGGTAAATTTTCACATCAAAGCTCAATTCGACGGGTTCCGTATTGAAGGGCACTTGAAGACCGAGTTTCTTCTTGTTCTTGACCCACACTTTGTGCCCATCAAAATCAGTACCCGAAAGTCCAAACCACCAAGTTTCCTCTACGCCTAATGCGGCAACCACTTCATCGAATATTTGCTGGCCTGTTACAGCGTAAGGAACGGCAATTTCAAATCTTGTGACGGCGGTTTCTACTGCGATTACTACAGAGGTCTTCTGCAACTTTTAAAAACCTTTGAGAGTCTTAAATGCTTCAGTATCATACCTGGGCTTTTCTCTTAGTCTGCAAGCATTCCATGATCTATTTCTAATGCTCTGTCAAGACAAAAATGATGCGCGATTCCATGTGAACGGGAGTTTTAAGTAGTTTCATTAATTTTGTTATTTTTGGCGAAGGGTTTATTATTTTTCGTCAGAAAAGTAGCAAAGTGGCAGAAATCAAACAGCGGAGGGTAGTATTTACAGTATTTTGACGATGTGATAGGTAAGAGGATAAATTAGTGGCTCCAGTTATTTTGGACTTTTTGGAGAAAGTGGAGATAGGTTTCGCGATCCATCGTCGATTTCTGATCTTCCCATAAATTGGGCTCAAGATTCAATGGCGTCATTTTTGTCTTCTCTCGACCGAGTTTGTCGAGACGGGAGAGGAGTTTGCCGCTTGATCTTTTTAGCGTCTCGTAGTATTTTGCTTGAGAACGTCTGTGAGAAATCTTGTGTTGAACAATTAGAGAAACGTAATCAGCAGGAGTTTGTGTGGTCCAAGGCTCGTGGATTTGCTCATCAGTAAGTTCTCTTACTTCGGGGACCCATTTTCTGATGTATTCCGCGTCGACTTTTGGACATTTGTGAGCCACGTCGTTTTCACACCACGCACCAGTTCCGCTTGCCCAGGCGGCATAGCCCTTCGCAAGTGGCAGATCTAAGAGGCAGAATTCTGACATAAACTGAACAGCAATATCCGGAGTTTGCCAGAGAACACCTCGGGTAAGGAACCAAAGAACTGCTTGACGGAGAGTTGGAGCGACCCAGCCTTCTGTTCGGAATTGACGCATGACCGCATCAACCCACGGGAAACCAGTATTTCCTTCGAGCCAGGTACGGATTCGAGCTTCGTCACAGTCGAAATTCACGTCAAGATTGAGATCTTCGCCAGGGACGACAGCAAGGTTATAGAGGAAATCGCGGTGGAGCGATGAAAAATGAAGCTTGAGAGTTGCTTTTTCTCCGAAAATCTCTTCGTAGACTCTGTTCACGTCGTGATAAACCTGGCGGACGGACAGACAGCCTTGGACGATGTACGGAGTGACAGCACGGAGATCCGGGACAGCTTGCGTCTCGCGGTTGATCAACCAATGTCGCAGGGAAGACATGAAACGTGCGCGCGCTTCTGTCTCACCGCCGGCCCAAGGAAAGTCCAGATCTTTTTTGGCGAGAATTTCGTTTTGCGGTGCTTCATCGTGGTCTTCTGAAACTGAGCACATGACAATGTCACTTTCTGGCACGGAGATTGGCTTTTCTGGTTCAGGAAGTTGCGAGGCAACTCCGACAAAGCTGGGGAAAGTAAGTGGGGGCATGCCGCCGGCTGCTTTTATTATTTCGCGTGGAGGGTACAAGCACTGCGGCGCATCTCGGTAAACAACTTCCACTCCATGTCGAAGAGCAAGAGACACAATGGCTCTGTCTCGTCGACGCATTTCAGTACAACCGGGATGTGCAGAAAAACCAAGACGGACGACGTTCCAGTCCGAAAATATCTGCGGAAGTCGTTCAGAAGGCTGGCCTGAGAGAACATGAAGACGGGAACCGAGCTTTTTCAATTGCTCGTCAAGATCTGACAGAGCAGATTTGATAAATTTCCACCGTGGGCTGGATTCGTTGATAAATCGCTCGTCAAGGAAGTAGCAAAATCGGACTGCCTTGCAATCTTTCATCGCTGCTTTTAGCCCGAGGTTGTCATTCAGCCTGAGTGCAGCTTCGGTAAACCAAAATAATGTCACGTGTTCCGGGCTGCTGAGTCCGTCGATATCTGATCTGTCCGATCCAGTCGAGGCTGGCTCCGGGGTCGCGGAAGAATTGGATGATTTTATCTCGTCATTGGATTCTGTCGATTCTCTTTTGGATTCTTTCTGCGACTCTTTGCGCAAATCGGTGGCGGGTCGTTTTCTTTGGAGACGCATTGGCGATTCGCACCGCGATGTCGATTCTTCTTTTTCCATCGCTTTTTCTCTTTTTATAAATTTTTGCTCTTGGTAAAACTTTTGTTAAAAAAATTACAAAATATTTTTTCACGCTCTGGGTTAGACTACTGGAGCGAGGGTTTTAAGAAATGGGGAGTTCGGAGTAAGAGAGTTATGTAAGTTAAGATTGGCGATTGGCAGCCGCGAGCGGTCTTACGACACCACCGCCGAGTACCACACCGTTTGAAGGAGAGCGACGGCGCTCTATCCTGGTGCTCGGCCCATTGCGCCAAACACCACACCACCATAATTGGTGATGTAAGATCGGCAAGGCAACGCAAAGACCCAAAGGCGAAGGCCGTCTCACGTTTAGTGTAACGTGAAATCTTCGAAGTTATTTCGCAAAATGAAGAAAATTTTTAGTAGATTTCATGCTGCATCAAAGTCAGTTTTGATAATTTCCAGTGACGGGCAATAAATATTCGTTCGAGCTTTATTGCTGAAAGATGGGAATTTTCGAAAACATTTATTGAATTCTGACCGAAGGAGAAAAAAAAACGAAAAATAGTGGCTAAATGACCAAATTAATGAGGGAAGTTGCACTGAAAATAATGAATGTCTAACTGTGCTTTTTTAATCGACTGTGTTCTCGCAGTAAAAGTCGGCATATCCAGCCTGGATAATCCAGGTATCGATCCCTAAAATCCCTCTATCCCGAGACTTGATCGTTTGTAAAGCTTTTCGCTAGAGAATATGAGAACTTATTTTGGGCGGATGTGAGAGCTATTGGAAACAAATCGTTACGGAAATTGGGAGTCAAGTTCAAAGGGCGGAATGCGAGGGGGAACACGTTGCTGGAGGATTTTCCGCTTCAATGCGTAGATAGCCTCATGGACAGCTGCGACGCCAATGTCAAGGCCACGTGATGCACGGTGATTACTTACACTTGTACAAGAAATATTCCGAACTGAGACCTGTAACTTCGAAGCTTTATCAATGCATCATGAATTTCTACAAAAAGAAATATCATGTTGAATTTATCCTTATTAATTTATTCGTCGAATACATGAAATCATTTTCTCTCGAAAAGATCGTTGAAATTGCCATGTTTAATGTTTAACTTGCCATTGACATGAAACATTAAAACGTAACAACTAAGTTTTGCCGAGCATTTTAAACATATCATGCAGGTACAGACTTGGCATTATTACCTATTAGATAAACATGGATTCCTACTTATGAATCAAAACAAAAATGATGCCTTTACTTGCTGCTCGATTACTACGATCATTGTTTGATGATGAACAAGCGCCCGTTTAGTTGGGGTCTGCGGTAGTCGCGGGCAGATTGGTGGTGTCATTGGCGGTGTAGTGCGCTATCGACACTTTTTTCGCGCAGGGTGGTGCCCCGCTGCTCCACCGCCGCTGCTCAAGACTTCCAAGAAGGAGTCCTCCAAGGCCATGTGAGCGACTAGCCGCAATTATTTCGTCATATCAAAACCGCATCACATTTGATAAAACGGAAATAAAATCAACATAGAAAGCCTTTGAATTTATTTAGACTTGTTCTTTTGCTCAGCATGAGATTTCTTGATAAGCTTTGCCATCAGATCCCACTCTTCATCCTTAAAAATCTGCATTTAAAAAAGGCTAAAGCAAGCAGTGTGGAGAATTCAGTAGTACAGAATTGGGTTTTTCATCATTTTTCATTTTATAATTACACGATGCTTAACAAACCTTCACGCGTCTTAGCCCATTCATCTCCCCAGCAAGCGCGTTGAATTCCCCTCCATCAAACACCACGGTATCTCCACTAAGCCACGAGGCATAGTCTGACACCAGATATGTTGCCAAGTTAGCAATTTCTTCCACTTCGCCGAGTCTTCCCGTTGGGATTCCTTTTACTCCCTCGTTGATGAAATCACCAGTGGGATCGAGTCGCGAAAATGCTCCTTCCGTGTAAATCGGACCTAAAAATGGAACTGATGAATACTCTCTAAGAATCGAGTTTTACCTGGCGCAATGCAATTGAATCGCATTCCGTATCTTCCCCATTCTACGGCTAGTGATTGATGCAGAGTTTCAACTCCTGATTTCGCGCATGCTGACGGCACAACAAAGCCAGATCCGTATTTTGTATAATGTGTTGTTATCGCTAAGAAAACGCATGGCTTGTTCGCAGCAATCGCTCTTTTGCCAGTTTCTAGCGTAACATTTATAGAACCCTGAAAAATGGACGAACTAAACAGGACAATTACAGTAATTCTGTTACCTTGAGAACTATGTCGATAATTGAAGAAAACGCGTTGGTGGACAAACGTTCCGTCGGCGAGATGAAATTCCCAGCTGCGTTGTTGATCACAATATCGGGCACAGATGAATTGTCTACGATATGTTGTACGGCTTCCTTAATCAAAATACTCGTAACTTGCTAATCAAATTATGCAACAACCAGAAATCCGTGTTATGCCACAAACCTTTACTGCTACTGGGTCTCGAACATCGCAAGAAGTGAAAAGAACTTGATTCCCAGTCTTCTCCTCAATTTCTTCTGCTGCTGATTTCAACACAGCCTCCCGTCTTCCTGTGATAGCAACAGTAGCTCCAAGAGAAGAAAGTGCAGTAGCCATTCCTTTTCCGAGCCCAGTTCCACCACCAGTGATAAATGCTACTTTTCCGTCAAAAGTTCCTTCAGGAAGCATCACGTTTTTCTTGATCGGGAAGCTTGCCGCTTGTGGCATTTTTATGTAACTGCTGGAAGCCTTTCTCAGACTCCGTGCAAGCATGATGAGTTCTCTTGGTTCCTTTTCAAGAAGAAGAATAAGGACCAAAACGTGAATTGTTGTAAAACTTTTTTGTTCAAATATTAGACCAAGAGCTTGCAAGAGCCACACCCAGGGTCAGCATAGAGCAAAGGAGTGTTACTACGAGTCCTTGAAATTATGTTGTCTCTTTCCATTGTTACAACAAAAAATAGTATCTGTCAAATGACATGGAAACAGAAATAAGTAAGGGGCGATTTTGAGTACTCGCAAACAATCCTACAACCATCCTGCGACTCGTGTAGAAACGTCAATAAATACGTGCTTGACAATAGATAAGAGTCAACAATCTGTAGGAATCGACAGTTATTCTGTTGACCATTCGGCCAGTTCTTACTTAGGAACCAGAGAAAATGGCAGAGGACTCGATTAAAGTGGCCATCCGGCTACGGCCGTTCAATACGCGGGAAAAGAAACAACCTGGTGGGCCGAAGCTTGTTATTGGAATGGAAGGACCGAATCTTGTTATAAGCGAACCTTCAAAAAGGGACAAGGTGTTCAAATTCGATCATTGGTAAGAGTCAATGTCTAAAATCAACATACGAGTAATTTTGTAGTTTATGGTCGCATGATGGATTTAAAGAACAGCAAGGGGGATATTTTGCTCCATCAGGATTTAAGTCAAAATATGCCGATCAAAACTATGTTTATAAAGAATTGGGAGCACCCCTTCTCGAAAATGCTTTGAAAGGATTTAATTGTGCGATCTTTGCTTATGGTCAAACTGGATCAGGAAAGTCATACTCGATCTTCGGAAATGAGAAAAATAAGGGCATCATTCCTATGATCATAAATAACTTATATGAACATATAAACAAAACGCGATCAACTGGTGCTATCGATTTCTCTGTTCGTGTAACGATGCTTGAAATATACAATGAAGAAGTTCGCGATTTACTTTCTAAATCAGGGGAAAAGAAGAAATTACAAATACGGGAGAATAAGAAAGAATTCTTTGTTCCAGGTCTTCAAGACAAACCAGTTTTTTCATACGCTGATGTTGATTCGTGGCTAAAAATTGGCGAAAAAAACAGAACAATTGGAGCGACAAAAATGAATGAAACATCCAGTCGCGCGCATACTATTTTTACGATAAAAATAACCCAAAATGTGGTAGAAAGCGGAGACGTAAAGAATTCAGAAATGGTTTTGGTTGATCTTGCTGGCTCTGAACGCACTGGGAAAGCTGAAACTACAGGAATTCGACAAAAAGAAGGAATAGGCATCAATAAATCACTAACAACTCTTGGCTTAGTATTTCAAAGCTTATACGATATGCAGAAAGGTAAACCAAATGTCGTGATTCCTTGGCGTGATTCTTCCTTAACAAAACTTCTGAAAAAAGCGCTTTCTGGAAACTCTAAAACTGTTATGGTTGCCGCGATTTCACCAGATTTTAATAATTATGAAGAAACAATGAGCACACTCTGGTACGCTGATAAAGTAAAATCATTAAAAACAAAAGCTGTTGTGAATGTTCAAACCAGTCACCGTGCTGTTGATGAATTAGAACGAGAGCTTGCGCGGCTAAGACAAGAACAAGCAAATCAGCCGAAGATAGTTGAGGAGCAAATCATTAACCTATCCGACGAGGAAAGAAAAGAGCTTGAGGATGAAATCGAACGTCAGCGACAAGAGCTAGAAACACAGATTAAAAACACAGAAGCACGAATTAACGACCTAACTTCAGACTATGAAAAACGGCTCAAAAATCATCGAGCTGAGTCTGAGGCAAGAATCAAAGAGCTTGCCGACTTTGAACAGAAAAAACGCACGGAACCACACTTATGGAATCTTGCTAAAGACAGCAGAGAGACCGGAAATATTGTTTATTTTTTACATCGAGGTAGATTTCAAACTATGTCGGACTCTACTTTTTATTTTTTTTAAAGGAGTTACAATGGGTGGATCACAAGATAATAGCGGAATTCAACTAAAGTTTCCCGGAATTCGACCTCAGGAAATTGAAAAAAATATTTATTTCAATCAATTGATTATATTTGATTAAATCAATCAAAAAGCATATACGAATTACAAATACAAAGAACAAGCTCATCACTTTAGAATTCACTCAACAAGGACAACAATCAAGATTTCCTGTCCATATCAATGGCAAGTCAGTTTCAACCAAAGTCAAGCACACTTTGTATCATGGTGATCAGATCTCTTTTGGAATGGCACTTGTTTTCGTTCTTCATCACCCTCAAGACCTTGCCACAAGGATTGAAGAAGGAGAAAATGCAAATCGTATGAATTTTAGAGTTTTTAGTTAATATTTTGATATAAGGTGAACATAAAAGCTATGATGAAATCATGGAGGAAATCGCGGACTTTGGAGAACAGATAGAGAAGAATAAACAAACAATTGCTGACAGCAATGAGAGAATTCAACTTATGCAACAAGTTGCGAAGGCTAATTTTATCGGTCGAGAATTGTTCAAAAATGTCTTCTACGAAATTGTCTACCCATCAAAAAAATTAACTGATAATCCACATTGTGGCATCAAAAAAACATATATCTATGCACAAAATGATGATGGAGTTGGCTACTACCTCGAAAAAGAGAAGTTCGAAGATAATTTTGAGCACATGGAAGAAATGTACACTGATTTTCAAGAAGGAAAAGATGTCGACCTTGAGCCTGGAACGGATCCCTTCGTGAAAGATAGCCTTGCTTGTAATCTTGTGGGCATGGCTTCTATCAAATTAAACCCGATCGGATATGTTGGTGAAAAGTGGCAGTCGATAAAAATTAAAAATCTTTCCGGCGAAGACCTCGGAATCGGAGGAGTGAAGCATGGACCATGCGATGAAGTCGGAAACAGACAGGATGTTTTCCGAGGCCACGTGAATTATAGTGTTGAGTTCAATAAACTTCGATTCTCAAAGCTCAAGTAAATATCTTTTGATTCCGATTACTAATTCGATTATGTTTTTAGGCCTAAAACAACGGAAATTCGATTTGTTCTTCTTGACAAGGAAGAGAGAAAAACGAGGCCGAAGGCAAAGGAAATTCCTGACTTTGAAGGTGATAAGAAAATAGTACCTCTTGGTCCAGAAACAAAAAACCTGAGAGATCAACTTGCAGGAGGTACTCTTTGGATCCAGGTTCATGGAATTATCAAAGGAAGAGAAAGACTTGGCCGTGAGATGACTGGGTTGGAAGAACCTCAGGTTGATGAAGAAAAGGAAAACATGAGAGTACTTCTTGAAGAGTTGAAAATAAAAATTTCTGATCAAGATGGGCAAATAAATGATCAGCAGAAAATAATTGAAGATCAGAAACGTTCACAAGAAGAACAACAGCGGCGCATGAATGATCAACAGAGAATGCTCGACGAGCTGCTAACTGGACAAAAGAAAATGATGGAGGCTATTGAACGCGAAAAAGCTAACCCACCATCTCCACCGAAAAACTATGATTCTAAATTTGAAGCTATTAATAAAAGGCTTGATGATATCCCTCGTCAGCAAGCAAGTATTACCAATTTCAACCAAACGATCATTAATCGAATGCACCAGGACAATAGATACATCCACAACAAGTTAAACTTTCTCATTCAAGACCAAAAAATTTCAGGTTATGAGATTTATTCGTAAAATAAATCAAACCGTTCTAGTGGCAATGCGTAACGATGTGACTCGATTCATTTCAAGTACTCGAGGATGCCTTCAATGGCTGAACCCTGAATTCTTCCGAAAATTGATGCAGGAGATTTTGATGATCCACGCTAAGGTCGACAAGTTGCTCAAGTGCGCTTGCAAATGTGATGAAAAAGAAATCAAAGAAGTGGTCGCTGCGATCAACGGATTCACTTTTCCAGATATTGATTCAACAGAATCAATTGTTCTAGAGGTCTGGTTTTAATTATATTTTTCGGTAGATAATAATTTAGACACCGACGGTGGAAAACGAAGTGAAGACTGACCAAGAGAAGCTGAAAATACAGATTAATCAAGCAAATGGATACGAGCAAATGTCATATGAAGAACTTCGTCGAGCGCAAGAATCAGGTCATTCTGAAGTAACAACTGGCTTTACGACTTATGAGCAAATTCCAAATCCAACTCCTCGTCCAAAGAGTGCAAAAAAGGCAACGACTCATAAAGAGCCACAAAAAGCTTCGCCAAAAACGAAACCACTTGCGATCGAAACTGTACCAGATGAATCTCTTTCAAAAATAACTCCTGCTTACGAAAACATACCTCAGAGGCCTTCTTCGACGAAATCTTCTGAAAGCTCCCCGCCAAAAGATCCTTCGACTAAGGACAAAAAGGAAGACAAGAAGTCAAAGAAGAGCGACCCAACTAAAGAATCAAAGAAGAAGCCAAAAAGCGCCAGCAAAGAAAAAGACCTCCGAAGTTCTACTCGTGCCGTTTCCCCTCCCCCAAATCCTCCTCTTTCTACTGATCAACAAAATCCTCAATCAGAAGCCTGTGCTATTATGTAATCGCCTTCTTGATTCAGTAATTGAAAATAAAATTTATATTCTGTTTTGCTACCGAGTTGCCCTCTTCTTACATAAGACCATTGTAAATTGAAGAAGAGAATGTGCAGAGATAGAGGTAATTGTATTCAGTAATCTGAAGGGTCATAAACTTAATTCGTTTTCTGAAAGGTATGAAATTACCTTACAGTATTGATGAGCGGCCTTGGAGCGACACGTTCAATAAATTCAAACGACTAAGATAGAGGAATCTAAAAAAAAGCGAGAGAAAAACTTTTTCGACGAAAACAAAACCATTAGCTTTTGGTAATCCAATAATTCTGCAATAAACGATGACCTCGATGATCCCGTTTCCGTCAACTGGCGAGGTGGCGATCAGATGACCACCGAGACGATTTTTGCTTTTCAAGTTTTCCGTTTTGTTGCCCAGCGTGTCGCTGGATAGAGATGGTCGTCCCTGCGCAGATCCCAAAAACGCGCGTTTATCGCAAAGCTCGCGATTCTGATAAAGAAGTTGAAATTGAAGCAAAGCGAAATGCGAGAAATCGAGCAAGGAAATGATGATCACGTTTTCTTCACTTTTCTATCCTCTCTTCCAAATTAACCCCCCAGCGGATTATCCGGACTATAAGTAGTTCTCAATGAACGCAGTTATTCAATTTGAAATACAATATTCACGTGCTTATAAATGTCCCATTTGAAACCAAACGGCTTCTCTGCGTTTTTCGATTTTTTTGTCTTTGTTTTTGAATTCTGCGAATTTTTCATGAGAGGTAACGCTGTAAATAATGAAAGAGGGCTGAGAAAATTAGCTTTGACCGAGATGCCCGTCTCGTCTTTTTCCTCTTTTTTTTTTCTTTGAGAGTGAGTTTGAAAGAAAGTTCTTAGAGAGCCACTTGTCCGAAAGACTGGGAGCATGTGATCATCAGTATGGAATCAGCAAGCCAATGCCGGACGATGTTATACTAGAGAGGATCCGACGAGCTTCCGGAATCTCCGAAAACACGAAGCTCAACATGGAATACATGTTCAGAAAACGGGTAAGCGATAAAAAAAATTGTGTTTCTCGTTGACAATGAACCCATTCCCGAATTAAAAAGAGAGAATCAGAACATGTTAAATTACCGAGCAAAATGAATGTAAATGGGCTCTTTAAAATAAGCCAGAATCAACAGTTCTTTATTCAGAGAAAAAGGATCAAATGAGGGTGACAAGTAATTTTGATGAATTTCTGAAAAGGAATTCTTTCCCTTTTCCGAATATTCAAAATTTTTACACGCTTCCCATACAATCTGCAAGCGTAACGAGCAAACTCAATGATGTAAGTTATCAGTTGCAATTTCAATTGAAACTTGACCTTGTAATCGCTTAAATCAGCTCAGTCAATCAAACTTATCAGAGTACAACATAAAAGATGCGTTACAGTCAAAGCTGACTGTACTATCGTTCTGAGCGTCTTCATAAAGTGACAAGTTAATCAATTACCAATCTCTATCAGCCACCATAAAAAGCTTTGTGCGAGATGGAACCCGGGTTTTATTTTCTCGTCGAGATCATTTTCTTAATTCGCCCTAGCTGAAATAAAAAAAACAGCAAGTATCGAAATATTTTCACCTGATTTTTGCGGACAACAAAGAGAATCTTCTAAAATGCTCTTAACCTGATTACTCGGTCATAGTCTTAGTCGATAGCAAGATTCTGATCATCAGAATACATTTGCTTACCACGAAAAAACAATAAGCATCTCTCGTATTCTATTTTATCTATCTCGGCCCTAACGAAAATTAAAAATTAAGAGAGCGCGCAGATCGAATTTTTTCGCGTGTCTTCGTTCCTTTGAAATGGACGGAAGGGAAATTTAACTGGCTCAAGAGAGAACACAACGCAAGAAATAGTAGCCATGGGAAGAAGGCTTTTCAAGTGTAAAGGGTTGACGATGATCTGCTGGTTCTTGGCTTTAGAAATCTAGGAGCATAATTAATATTTGAAGGGTGGCAATTTTCGAGCAAAGAAATCTAGCAAAGGGATTCGGATGATTCAGTACCAGTCTGTTCAAGAATCGATAAACCGCTTTTATCAGTACCTAACGCAGCTCGATTCGCGCTCCTTATGCTCATCTTGAAAATAGACAATGAGTTTATTTAAAGAGTCGCTTACAGAATAGAGAGTTCACAAAAAGAGTCTTCGTTGATTTCATTTTTTGAATGACAGTCAGTCAAAATAGCAAATTCTTGTCCGTTGTCGACCCTTTTCAAAAGGGGATGATGGACGAGGATCGACTCGAAGCCATAGTCCACGAAAAGCAGCGCCTTCTTAGGCATAATCCCTCGCCTAACCCTCAGGTATTTTTCATCATTATTTCATGCCCAAGATCTCTAAGATCATCTGCCGTGGCTCAAGAACTCATTTATAAACGCCGTTCTGGCTTATTTTTTTGCTAATAATTAGAAATGATGAAGAGCACAAGGCAGATGCGAGTTCAAACAAAAATTATACCAGTGATTTTTTCTGCAAATTAAAAAATTTTTTACTGAACTCTTATTTTTGACCGGAATTGGTATTCCCCTCCCGATTTTCATGCCGATGATAGCATACAACCCAAAACGCCGCCTTGATGTAAGTTTTTTTTCTTTCAAAGAGGAAGTTTGTTAAAAAGTGTTAATTAATTCCGTTTCTTCATTTTCCATGTGCGAGCGAAGCTTTATCTTTATCAATAATTAACTTTTTTTTGCGTTTCAACAATATATCCAGCCACATTTGCGTATTCAATACACGATGAAATTTAACAATTAAACTCAAATCTATTTTTGATGAGAAAATAATTTTTATATAGAAAAAATATCATAACTTAGGGTTCATTAATTTTTGACAGTTCAAAGAAAATGAGAAAGAGAGGAGTTTTTCTTCGTAAAGAAGAACGATTAGCGGTAAAGTAACTTCAATCAATTGAGAGATTCATTTGAGTTCAAGAGCTCCACTTACTTTTTAATCAGAGGAATAGCGGTATATGAGCTCATTAGAGTGCAAATCTGCTTACAGTCTTGTCTACCTGCGATTGGACTTATCTCTAAGACCCTACAGTAGTTGTTTCAGAAACACAGTAAATTCCAATTGGCGATTTACAATCAGCAGAGCAGAATGCTAATTTGATTTTGTCGCAAATTCGCATCGACTCATTGACATATCAAGCAGCTAGTTTAATCCGACATGCCCTGAGGGATGTGCATTGTTCAGTAAGCCAAGTCGGCAATTACTCTTTGATCTCTCAATACAGACTTAGAGTCCAGAAAACTCGGTTTATCGGATTTTGGATTATTGGATCAGGGAAATCGAGAGAATCCCTCTGATGGGGAACGCGAATGCTGGGTACAAATCGAGACTCGATCGTAGAGAAAAAAGGTCGAAATTTTATCGTCTCGCCAAAATTCAGGTTTTCTTTCTTTTTCTTCAGTGCATGAGATACAGAAAAAATGGGAATAAGAGGCCATTTTATGCAAATAGAGGTAAAAATAGATTTTTATCATTAAAATCCGGAATCGAATTATATTAAATCAGCAAATCTAGCTTTATAAGATAAAATCCATAGAATAAACTTGATAGATTAAACCGTTTGACCCGTGTTAATTTATCAAAAAAGGTCAGTATTTGTCTTTTCGAAAGCAAATTATTTTCTTTCCCTCCCTTAGAGATTGAAAACATCGATCACCGAGCAATCACCTGGTTGGCGATTTCATTTTAATTAAAAAAAACGGGATTATTTTAAATCCCTTATTTCTGATTTTTGAGCTTGAGGATGTTTTCCAGTGGCTCATTACCAGAATCCAAAAAGCCAAGTCCAAAAGAGAGTGATTTTTCGACGCCTAAAAGGAGGAACCCGAGAAGGAGGGTTGTGAATATTCCGGCTTTGAATGAAATGAGCGCTTTGTCTAGAGAGAAAAGCTCAAAGTGCCATAACAAAGCTGTTTTCACGAGGCCAAGTCATCTGCAGGTCGAGACCTTTTCCCTCGATTTTCATAAGGTATTAACCTCTGCAATTAAGGTTCTATCGCTGGGCGCTGATGTCCTACCAGAGTACAAGCTTCAAAAGCCTCAAATTTCTCCATTCACGATTCTTCACTACTCGCCTTTCAAGGCAATATGGGACTGGGTCATACTGCTTCTGGTCATTTACACTGCCATCATTACAGTAAGCGCTTCGATCCGCCTTGATACTTGAGTTCTAAGCCTTTCATCGCCGTCTTCTATCTCAACCTGGATCACGAGAATATGCCCTGGCAAGCGATGAATTTGAATTATCTCAATGGCCTCAATAATCCGATCGTCATCATAGAGCTCATCGTCGATATTATGTTCATCATTGATATCGTGATCAACTTTAGGTTTGAAAGAACAACCATGAGGAATTAAAACCCTTCTAGGACAACATATGTTAATCAAAACGATGAAGTGATTTCCAATTCCTGGAAAATAGCAATCCATTATTTCAAAGGCTGGTTTCTGATCGACCTCGTCGCCGCGGTCCCTTTCGATCTTCTTGTTCAAAACCAGGATCAAGGAAGTGACTCGAGGTAGATTTTTCTTTCCAAGGCAAAGAATAAACCTTATTTCAGCCCCGAACAAACGACACTGATCATCACCCTTTTGAAAACTGCCCGTCTTTTGCGACTTGTCAGAGTAGCGCGCAAATTAGATCGCTACTCCGAATACGGTGCTGCCGTGCTATTCTTGCTGATGGCAGGATTTGCGCTGGTTGCGCACTGGCTGGCGTGCATTTGGTATGCAATCGCAAATGCCGAACGGCCTGGCTTGACAAATAGGTAGGTTTAGGTTGAAAAAGTTCATTTCTTTTTGACGTCAAATAATTTTAAAAATAGAATCGGCTGGCTCGATCAACTTGCGAACACAACGTTGCAGCCCTTCAATGACATCGTCGATCATACTGGGAAGATTTCGAATTCCTCTGGAGGACCTCCACTTAGCGACAGGTATCTCCACTCAAAACAGATCAAAGATAATCAAATGATCAAAGGTATATCACGGCTCTTTACTTCACGTTTTCTTCGTTGACTTCTGTTGGCTTTGGAAACGTCAGTCCGAACACGAACAATGAGAAAGTTTGTTCGGTCCTCATTATGCTCATTGGATGTGAGTTAATAATCCTTTTGCCGTGAAATGATGTTTTCTTAGCGTTGATGTACGCTTCCATCTTTGGAAACGTCTCGGCAATCATTCAACGACTCTATTCTGGAACCGCTCGGTATCATGCTCAGATGAACCGCGTTCGAGAGTTCATCCGATTCCACCAAATTCCGAATCCTCTCCGACAGCGACTAGAAGAGTACTTTCAACACGCATGGTCGTACACAAACGGAATCGACATGACAATGGTTCTCAAGGGATTTCCTGAATGTCTCCAGGCAGACATTGCTCTTCATTTGAATCGAAATTTGCTCAAAGGATGCGAGGCCTTTGCTGGCATGTCGCCTGGATGTCTTAGGTATAATTGATCATCGAGAGCCTATTTATACTTTTTAGGACCTTGTCACTGAAGTTTCGAACCACACATGCACCACCCGGCGATACTCTTGTGCATACAGGAGATGTTCTTACTGCGATTTACTTCATCTCAAGGGGGAGCTTGGAGATCTTGAAAGATGATCAAGTTGTGGCCATTCTTGGTAAATACTCACTTTCATCAAAAATTTAACCGTTTCTTTAGGAAAGAATGATACCTTCGGTGAAATAATGAAGAACAATATCAGAGGCAAATCAAGCTCCACTGTTCGAGCGCTGACTTATTGCGACCTTCATAAAATCCACGCGGACGACATTGCGAGCGTTCTGAATATGTATCCAGAACATGCTTGTGATTTCTGGGAGAACTTAGACCTGACTTACAATCTTCGAAAGGTAGAGTCAAATGATCATTCGAATGCGAAGGGATTAATTTCAGGACTCAACTGACCCATCGTTTCAATCAACTCCTGTCGGTTCACCAAAATCATCTGTTTATAACTTGATTAACAGCTCGATCGATATTGATAAAGGTGATAGAACTGAATTCTGCATTTTCTCATATGTTCAGATGATAAAATATCAATTACAGAGGAAGATGAGCCAGTGAAGAAAGTAACTGGAGAAGAAAAATACATAGAACTATCACCAAGCGTATCTGAAACCCCGCAAAAAGAAAACTCTGATACTCTTTCAACAAGAATTGCAGTCATTGAGGATAGACTTCAGCGACTTGAGTGAGTTCCCTTCGAATTATTACCTTGCTAATAGAAATTTTAGCTCGAAACTAAGCAGTGAGTTGAGCTCTATAAAACTGTTACTGCTTGAGCTCACTCAAAAAGAAGTGACAAAAAGTTCAGAAGAAAAAGGATAAAGCCTGCTTTGATCAAATAACGATTTTTAAATTATATTCATCAATTTTCGTTCACTGCCGATTTCTGTTTATAGTCTTGTTTATAAATTATTATTTTAATAAACTTTTGGTATGATAAAATCTGACTCATTTTCTTGACTTCCTGCCTGCTTCTTCTCGCAATAGTTCTCAAAAGGAAATCAGTGAGAGACTTTGAGCATGCCACATCAAGTGCCACAGTGTGGCGAAGGTAAATGATAATAGAAAAGCCAAAAAGTAAGCGCTAGGTTCTGGAGATTTCGACGAGGGATGGCTCTATTATTTGCCCGATAGAACTCATGGTACTGCATGGGTTTGCGAGGAAAATCGAGATGTCATTTTGGCGATCTTCTGGATTTCTTTAATCCAATTGATTTTCGCCTCGTTCTCGTTCTTGAGCTCTTTCTGGGATGAACAAGCGGATCTCTTCTCGGTAAAAATCAAATTTGAAATGATTCTTGAGCATAAAAGGATGATGACGTCTCAAGAACAGTTCACATGGAAGATCCAGAGATTGAAATCAGCACAACACAGACGAACATCAGCAATACTCCAGTTATCATTGTCAACCGAAGGCAACGGAAAATCGTTCAAATTTATCATCGCATTCATACCAGGTTATTTCCGCTTTGCAAAAAAATGCATCCAACGGTGTTTTTAGCTATGGCCCAAGAATTCATGAAGTCATAAATGTTATTGCTCCTATCCTTGGTATTTGCGCCATAAAAGGAACGGATGTTTGCCGATTTTTTAACTATTCAAGCGATTGATCTACTGAATTATATTCTAAAGCGGTCTTATAACATTCGTTGAAAGTGAACTCGCTAGAAATTCTTGAGGCTTTCTTTGTATTCACTCTATTTGCCCTATTTATCGGACTCATTGTTGGCTGTCTCAGTGGACTTGAAGTAAGATTAAATGGCAACAAAAGAGCTATTGATTCTTTAGGCTTGCGAACGAACTGAGCGTATTCATGGTCCAGATGCTGCAAGCTGGTTAACCGCCTGCATCAGTATTGCAATCATTATCATGGTCGTTCTCAACCTTGCTATGATTGCGCTTAGCGGATCTGTACTCACTACTCGTCTATACTAAGCAATAAAATATAATATTTTAAATATTGATTCAAACTCGGAGTTTTATTCACTGAATGACAAAAAGAACAGCAGTAAATGCAGCAGACGCAAGAGCAGCTTCTGCTCCACTTTCCCCAAGAGCTTCGTTAACAGCATCGTTAACAGCATCGTTAACGCCTTCCAAGTTGATTCCATTCAAGGAGTCAAGAGCACCGTTTGCAGCGTCGATGATATTGTCAGTGTTGATTGAGCCGAGAGCATCTGATGCTGCATCCAAGGCATCACTAAGGAATAATTATCATAATAGAATAGTTATCAAATTAGACAAAAAACTTCTTTTACCTGATATCCTGAGAGTCGGGAAGGATCTGGCCGAAAGTGCCCGCAACTAGGCAAAAAAAGTTGGAGAGCTTCATTTTCTCGAAACCCTGATGATTTAATGAAGACTTCTTTATTGCCGCTCAAAGTGAAGTGTTTAGTCAAGCATTGATGGACACAAAGATATGTTATTCCTGCGCTCTTTTGTTAATTTTTTCTGGGATTTTCTATGAATAACTAGATGATACCTCTATTATCTGTGTGAGTTCGATAAATACGGTTTATTCGCTGACGGTCGCAGATGATACCGTAGTTCCGTCTTAGCCAAGGGCGAATAGCCTTCAACAGGAAGTTCGTTCACAATTACAGCTATTCAAGCGCAATGCCGGGTAAATTTGACTTCTACCTGGTTTGAAAGGATCTTGAGATAATACAGTAACGATGGTCACAATATAATTTAGCTTTGTCTGCCGATTCTGGTCTCCAGTCGACTTACCGGGCAGACGAAGTGTTTTCGACATGAGCATACCGGCTTTCGCTGTGTCCTCGGCGTTGAAAGCCTCCAATGTCCTGATCGACAAAAAAGAGACTTTCACGATAAAGGCCATTTTTAAAACTGATCGGTTTGTTACAAATACCCTGACTGCTCTTCCTGCCATTGCTTTGGCCTCTCTTCTGGTAAGAAATAATTTTATTGACAGGCAAAATAAATTTAGATCATTAAACCCTCGAGTTTTACGGTGGACATAGTCACCTGTACCATCAGAGCAAAGCCTGATGCAAAGTCACTTTCTGGAGTTCTTATCCATGACAACTCACAACTCGCCGATCAAAATTTCATCAACGCCTACTGTAATGCCAATTTGTACAATTATACAGTCGCCCCAGATGGAACTGTCGGTGCAAACAAGCCAATGTCTTACAAATTCGTCAAAATGTTTCCCTTTTGCTTGCTAACGTTGATTATTCTTGGCGTCTGGGTAAGTTCTTCGACTACTTTCATATTTTACTCAATTCAAGACCGGGCTTTGCTGGGAAATAACAAGTAGAAAACGATTGAGCCAGGCTGAGTATCTTTTCGATGGCTTGGAAGAAGCAGCAGGAGATCTTATAAATGCGTTGCGGTCGATTTCGAGTCTCTTGGCAGCAGGGCCAACGAAGAAAGTGATCAAAGCTCCTCAAGATGGTGGATCGACTAAAATGAGGATTAAAGCAAATCGTAATGCTACGGGTTCGAAGCTTTAGTTAGAGGGAAATGAAGTTTTTCATCACTGAGACTAGAAAAGGTCGTGACTAACCCAGAAAAGCAAGAGCCTCGCATCGAATAAGTCAAGCTATGAATCTCGGAAAACTTGACTCTTTTGGCCCGTCTGATGTTCCAGCAAGACCAACTATTACAAGACGAAACAATAATAATGGCTATGACTTCGATTCTGATAAAGATTCCGACAAGTTTATCGTCAGTTTCATTTTTATTGAATAACCTTCGTAAAGTGGATTTCAGAACAGAGATGCTCAAGTGGATATGAACAACAAAGAAATTCAGTCCTACAAAAATCTTTCCCATAGCATTCAGGAATTGAAGGTCAAATTCACTAGCAAAGATCTTTTTTACATGATTTTTACCTTCAAAAAGGTGTCTCTTGACAAATACTTCGCGGAAAATAATATTTACGCAAAGTTCATTGAGTTTGAGGAATATCTTGAAATCCGTGCTTCATCAAAGCAATTTATACGGACTGTCAGATTCAACAGATTGAATACGTTTCTGGTGACTTTGATTTGCGCCGGTACTTTGGGGTATTACTACATTTGGAGACTTCACTGTAAGCACACGACCTGTTATCACAAATAAAAGTCTTTTAGGGGTCTCAAATGCTATCAACTGCAAGTTACCTGAGGTTTACTGGTATAAATACGCGCCTAAAGTGGAACCTTTAGAAGAGCAAATTTGGACAACCACGAAGTGCTACTTCAAAAACTTGGGGACTTGGGAACGATTCGCACAGATTCTGTTTGTCCTCTACGTTTTCATGGCTCTGTTTCAGATCATTTTTGCACTGAGCTCTTCAATTAAATGGAAGAAGGCTGACAGACTGATCAAATACCTTCCCTTGAACTGCGCTCTCAATCGGAATTCGATTTCTGATCTTCATCTTTTGGTCTCAAAAGTTTCAGAAAACGAAGGTGCTAGAAAGGTAATGGATAAAAATGACTTGTAAAGAAAATTCTTTTTAGTCCCTTGCAATGTGCGACAAAGTGCTGTCAGCGCTAGAAAAATTTGAGCACGAAGAAAAATTCCTGCCAGTATTGATGGAAGTAATTGTTTGGAGCGAGACAGACGAACGAGTCGGTGACATTGTCAAGAAAGTCCTTCAGCCAAAGAGCAATTAGAACAACTATTTCAAGTTGAAATTTTCAACCTTCAATTTTTATCCTGACTCTAGAATAGTACTAACTTTTATAAGGACGCATATTTGTGATCACAATTTTGTTTTTATATTTGTTAGTAAGAATCTTGGATAAATTAGCAATTTACAGTGAGGGGTTTGAGTACAATTAGTAATAATCCCTGCATAATTTTGTTGTTTTTCAACTTATGGCAGTTCTTGAGGCTGGCGAGATGGGTTGTTTAGTATCCAGAAGGAGCGGTGTATCCCCAACCGGGTCGATCAGTTGGATACCAGTCTTTTGTGCAGCTATCTGTCTCACAGCATTGTCGGCAGACTAAAAGATAGTCAGGGATGTTTCATTATTGAAAAGAAGTACCAGAGTGAGTGTATCCTGGCTCAGGTCGGCACTGGGTCCAAGCGGCAGGGTTCGGTAATTTGAGCTCAAGCTAAAACTCATTTTGGCTAGACGCTCAAATTTCCTCAAATTGAGAACTCAAAGTGACTTGAGAAATCATTTTGAGAAGATTTGAGAGTTTCGAGAGTTTTGAGTTTTTGGGAGATTTGAGAGTTTTGAGTTTTCAAAACTCAAATTAAGCGAGCGCTTCCTTGATTGGCTCATGGATCGCCAGAATTGATTTCTCACGTGAGCTCTCATCTCTGAGTTCTCAAAACTCAAATTAAAAAACGTGAGTCTCAAGCTTTGTTTCCTTGAGTTTTAGCGTGAGCTCAAATTACCGAACCCTGCCAAGCGGGATTGTTGCCCCAGAAATTCTGCATCTTGTTGTTTTCACATGCCATCTTTTGCTTGCATCCCATTCGGATCTGCTCGGTCTTTCCTTGTCGCTCTCGGATTTCAAGCTCGCAAGATTCCTAGAAAGAGCTTTCGAAAAGAATATATCAGCAAGTTTTACCTGGTTAGACTGGCAAGCAACGAGAGAGCCCTGAGCATTGCAGTCAGCCATGGAGTAAGCGTGGCAAGTCCAGCAGCTCAATTTCGCAGCAGGAGCTGGGTAGTTGTCCTTTCCATAGGCAGCATTGTTTCCATTGTAGCCAGTGTTGGTATTGTACGTGTTGCCTCCGCTGTAGGCCGTATTGGTGTTGTAAGCAGTGCCGCTGTTGTAGGCGCTGTTTTGATTGTTGTAGTTGTTGCTGTAGGTCTGGCTGTTAGCGCTCGGCCAGGTGTTCTTAGAAGCAGCAGGTTTCTTGTTATTGACAGCGAAGTTGTTTTTGCCCTTTCCAGCTGGAGCGACAGTTGTAGTTGTTGTCGTCGTAGTTGAACTAGTAGTCGTTGTAGTCGTCGCTGTTGTTGTCGTGGTGGTTGTTGTTGTGGTCTTTACAGAGTTAAAGAAATAAGCTAAATATCAGACAGTAAAATTATTTCAACTCTTTCGCTGTGCAGTGGTAGTTGTTGGGAAAGTTGTAGTGGTGGGTTCTTCAGTGGTTGTTGGAGCAGGAGTCGTTGTTCTTGGCTTTCTCTTCTTTTTCTTGTTTTTCTTGAATCCAGCTCTGGCATCGATGTTGAATCCACCATCGTCTGGCTGAAGCCCGTAAGCACTGTCGGCATAGCTATCTAAGCTGTAGTCGCTATCGTAGTAGGAGTCGTACTCGTATTCATCTTGAGCGAGGACAACTAGAAAAGGTTAACTAATAATTCTCTTATTTACTATCAATACCAGTAGCAGACAAGGCAGCGATTGTGAGGCTAGAGAAAATCATATCGATTTTTTGTGCATACTTCGACTGCAGAAAGACCTTTTATAGATAAGAGAAGATGGCGCTGTTTCATTCTTTCCGAGCGCTTCGCGACGGCGATCCAATTATCGGCAATCAAAAGCGAGTAATATCGGAAAGGTAGCGCTTTCTTCGCCTGCAGAATTCATAAGTTTCTACTTATCATGATCTTTACATCAATTGTTTTTCGTGATTTGATAATTCTATTTTGCCATTGATTGATGGGTTATTTGTTAAAGCTTTTGGCTAACACCATCATTATTAAATTGAAAGTATTGAGAAGAATCAAATACTGTGTTAAGCAAAATACAGACTTTATTAGCTATTATATTTGAAATGCAACTGCAGCAATTTTATCAAAAAACTGCGAATTCTAAAAAAAGTGCGCAAAATATTTAGATTCCCATTTTTTTCTAATTCCCGTCGAATATCGGTAGTTATCGGAATTTACTCGACCACGTCGCCTGTGAGAGCCGTTACAAACTTTGTTAAATTATTGCGATCTTATAGCGTCAGGGCAATCTCATAGAATTAGGGGCGAACAAAAAGCAACAGGAGCACGAAAACAAATGAAGCAAAGGTCATTTCAAAGAAGTGTCCGCATTTCCTTCAAGAAAACTGACCTTGCAGAACGGAAAAGGTCAATTTCGACGGAGCGATCGTCGGAATTAGGACGAACCTTCATTTTCATGGAAATCCGTATTTGCTCGAAAATTGAAAACTAAATAACTTTTGATACTCTCTCAATTTGCATTTACCAATAAATATAGAAAATGACGCAAGTAGAGAAATATAATAATTTTATTTCGACTTCGATTGAAGTTTTGCAAAGTTAACAAAAACTTAAGTTTTACAAGAGTATAAATGTTATGTTTCTTGCTATAAAATTTTATGGAAACGCACTTCACTTTGAGCAGCAATCAAAAAAAGCCTCATTCTAACATCAAGGTTTCGAGAGAATGAAACTTTCCAAGTTTTTTTGCATAGTTGCGAGCAGCTTCGGGCAGATCCTCCCGGGCTCACAGACCATCAGGTAAAGGGATGTATATATTTTTCAACAATTTATGCCTAAGTGATGCTTTTGGTGCTGTACCAGATGCTCTCGGTTCGGTCAACACCGACAACTTTTTCGACGTTGCGAACGATGCCCTTGGCTCGATCAACACTGACAACTTTTTCGACGTTGGGAACGATGCTCTTGACTCCTTGGATGGAATCGACTTGGATGGCACATTTGATGATGCGCTTAATCTGGCTCAAGAAACTATTGTTGAAAACGGAGCAGAAGCTGCCGCTGCTGCTGATGCACTCACTGATACTGCTGCGAACGATGCTCCTGTTGACACCTTGGAAGAAACCAACTTGGAAGACGTCATTAACGATGCGGTCGATCTGGCTGACGAAGCTGCTGGAGAAAGTGGATCAAAAGCTGTTGCTTTCTCAGCTGCAATCACTTCACTTCTATTTCTCTTTCAATAAATATAACGCAGGAGCTGAATCAATTATTTTACGCTCAGGAAAGACAAGTTGTGAGAGCAGTTCCGCTACAATTAAAAGGTCTTTTTCGACAAGTTGTCGACAAATTGTCAAAAAGCACACGGTTTACGAGAGTGAACTTGTATGTTCAATGCACTTCCCTTTGAGCCACCATAAAAAAGGCCTCATTCAAACATCGAGGTTTCGAGAAAATGAAGTTTTTCAAGGTTTTTTGTTCTGTCGCAGGCGCTCTCGGGCTAGTTTTTCCCAACTTTCAGAATATCAGGTGAAATAGAAGTTTATAATGTCCAATTCATAAACGATATATGCCTAAGTAATGCTATTGGCTCAATCAACATTGACAATCTCGTCGATGCTCTTGACAGGTAAAAAAGAACGTCAATCTATTAAACGAATTGCGACTAAGTGACCCGATCGATACAGCTTTAGACGATGTTGGCTTGATCAACATTGGCAATGTTATCAACGCTACTGCCAATGATACTCTTGACCTCGTGAATGAGATTGACTTCGAAGGCCTAGTTAACGATGTTGTTAATCTGACCGAGAAAGCTATTGAAGAAAGTGGAGAAAAGGCTGGCGAAGAAATTGGAGCAGAAACCGTTGGAAACGATGGAGCAAAGGCTGCTATTCCTTCTGCTGCATGCACTGCAGTTCTATTACTTCTTTATTGAAACTCAATAAATAATCTCTAGGAATCAATAGACAACTGACAATAGTTTAAGTGCTGCTGTAAAATTTGCAGTGTAAATTCAACAAAAACGAAAACTATGATCATAAAAATCATGAGATTCTCTTCCCCACTTTTTCTTTCAAAAAATTTTAAAGTCAATAAACTTTGGCCTAAAAAGAAAATGTATTCGTCAAAAATCTCAGATTCATTTTGAGATCTTGACAAAATCGAGATGCAGTGCTGCGGCTGCCCACAAGTTCAGTGGCGATATGTAGCAATGTTCATTGTGTCGTGGCTTTTTATCTTTTTCTCAGGTAAAAAAGAAAGTGGAAAATTGATAAATATTTTAACTAGGCGTTCTTTTCGGCTACTTCATAATTCCAGATTGGATAGAAAGAGACTGGCTTGAAAACGATTCCGCACATGATTGAAAAAAACAGAACTGAAAATAAAATTCATTTTAGAACTGAGATTTTTAATTAAACTATTTATTTATCCAACCATCGATTCTCTAGAACTTTCTTTTCTCAAGATTTACAAAATCAGCATTTGCTCATTAGGCGAGAACAAAAAAAAGAAGAGATGAGCGACTACAAGTAACAAATTAATAAATTTATCAAGGAAAATAAAAGTATTTCAGTTTCCGTACATCGATCGCTCTGAAGCCTAACAAGAGCTTCATGGAGCTAGAAGAGGAAAAGGAGAATTTTAGTCGAGCAATGACGAATATCATCACTACTGACTTGGAAGTACTTGAGCCTGAAGAAGTAAGAGTCCTGAAATTTATCCTATTTTTCAATATAATTTATATTATTTATATATTATAGATGGAACGATCAGAATCAGCAATCAAATGGGAAACAAGGGTTGAGATTTTTTGGTCACTGCTTATCAACGGAGCTATCGCTGTGTAAGTCTCAAAATAAGGCTAGAAAAGAAAGCGAAAGAGGAAATTTTTAGTTTTCTTTCGCTGATAATTTACATCTACTCAACTCGCGAATTCGAGCCAATTCCACCGCCACATGTCGAATACACTCCAAGAGAGACGATTTTCTTGAAATGCGCTATTCACGTGGACAGGGATTTCCTAGAGGGTAAGTTCTATTTGCTCAAAGAACAGTAAAAAGACTCCTTTCTTTAGGAATTTGGAACACTACGGAAGAAATGCCGCCAACATTGCACAGCGACTACCGCGAAACACTCACCTTAGGGGCGATCACGGTCGAACAACTCATCACAAACTACACTTGCGAATACTGGCCAGAACACAAAGTCATGACATGAAGAAACGATTTTACGCTTTTAAGAGAATATCACTGTTTTAAATATATTTTTTCACATGTAATAATAAATTTTCTCAGTTTTTATGGGTGCAATAATTTCTGCGGGTGTCGGTGTAGACGCTTCATTTGATGAAATAATGTGGAATATAGGGTAATTTGAAAGTTCAGGAAAGGAAATTTTCAGATTTAATGAATTCTCATACTTTTAAAAGAGATGGGGATTGTTGCTAGCATTACTGTAGTAGGACTCGCTCTATTTTATAAAAAATCATTCTTCATCTTATTTATTCTCATGAAAAGGAGGGCAGACCGCCGCGAGCCAATCCGCGCGGCGGAATTTTTGTTAGAAACGCGATTGAACCCGTCTAAATAAGAGGATCTTAGCAGAAGAAAATTAATCAAGAATAGCGCTATAAAAAGACTAACGTATTATTTCATGTTAAAAAATCTTATTGTCTCTTAGAATAACAATTTTACAATGAAAATTGTTTGTCTTTCAGAATGGTATTTGGAATATCAATCGGCTCGACAACCCTATCGAACGCAGTTGTCGCTTCGGGGCGTGCCCAACTGGTAGCAAACGCGGACGGACACCACAGGCCCCGAGCTGTCGTGGCAAAAGTGGAGAACGAGTTTTGCGTTGGAACTGCCGCGCTCAGTGCCAGAAATACTCCCCTCTTCAAGAATATTCTCAAGGAATTTATACAAAATGGGCCAACTCACATGATTCAGTGTCAGGTAAAGTTTATTCAATAAAATTCCATTAAAGTCGATCAAGCATGGTAGACAATTTTTTGGCTCATTTTACAATTATCCTCTAGTGAAATCATTTAATACTGGGCTTGGCGCAGTGGCCACTCGCATTTATAACAGATGATTTTCCTTTCTCTGAAGAAGTTTCATTTAGGTCGATCAAATATTGTCCGAAATAGGCAAATATTGTTCCAGTCTCTAACTAGGTTATCTTCAAAAGAAGGATAAAGATCTTCGTTGTGAGTTTATTTAGTTGAATACAGTACAATATATAGATATTTTAAGCTCGAATGGCAATAGAAAAAGAGGACACAATTATTGAATCATTTTTCCCTTTCATTTCATAAAAATGACATGCAGCAGTTCTCTTTATACCATCTCCGCTATTTTCATGAAGGAAGTGTTTTCAGGCCAACCAAATATTTATTAAAGATTTTACATCGTCTGATTCTGTTTCTTCAGGGAAAAGATCTGCGAGTGGACGTCTGCCTAGCTGCCTTAATCCGCGAATGCATCGCAACCTGCCGAAATTTCAATACATCGGCAGAAAACGTCAGCCTTGTCATTCCCGATGAGTTCAGCGAAGAGCAGGAAAAGCAGTTCGTGAAGATATTCGAAACAGTTTCCGAAATGAAAGTGAACAGAGCGATTAGACGGTCGGCCGCTGCCCTGGTCGCTGCCAGACAGAATGGATCACTGGAAGAGCAGGAGATTCAGAAAGGATCGAAGAATGTTTTGGTTGTCAGGATTGGAGGGTTAACTACGACAGGTACAATTTTTAAATACCTTTTTGTACGTTTTTTAATACCTCTCTACCACAAGCAGCTAAACGTGTCTTCGAAGAAATGCGCTAAAATCCCTCTTTTAGGAACTTTATACCGAGAAACAAACGGGCTGTTAACAAAACTAAAGCAAAGTCACAATCAAAGCGGAGCGGACGTCATCGTCAAGCATCTCACAGACTATCTGGTGCGCGAAGCCAATCGAAAATTTCGCTGCGATCTGAGCGAGTCCAAAAAATCAATGAACAAAGTCGAGCAAGAGGCCCGCCGAGCGATTGAAGTGTTGAGCAACAAGGACTCCGTCAATGTCCAAATTGACTCGTGCTTCGAGGGCATGGACTTTCAAATGGTCGTCAATAGAAGTCGAGTGACTGCGACGGCCCCTTACAAGCCAGTCTTGGAGGGAATTTTTAGTGATTTTGAAGGAGAAACTGTCGATGAAGTTTTGATGTGCGGAGGTGCTGCGAAATCGCCTCCATTCCAGGTAAAATTAGGGAATAAAAGGATTGGATTAAAGCGTTTTTTTCTTTAGAAAATCGTGCAAGGAAAATACCAAAACGTTATTGCGCTGCCAAACGCGGAAGAACTCATTCCCCTCGGCGCTGCAATCCAATGCCACATCACATCGAGTGGGAACAAGCTGTCCATCAACGAAATTCCGCGCAAAATCGCCCTCTCTTCCTTCTCCCTTCGCAACGGTTCCGAAACTGTGATCGAAAAGGGAACGCCACTGCCATTTTCGTTCACGACGAACAGCGAGAGCAGCTTCACTATCCCCGAGCTCGGCGAAGACGTCATCTTCTCCTCCGACGGTCATGTGACTGGGAATCTTAACGAAAAAGGACTCTTCTTTACCTCCGGCGAAAAGAGTTTCGAGCTGCTCTTCTGAAAATAGTCATAATTTATACAAATACAGTACCTTTTCTTTTTCTCGCTTCGGCTGAGAAATTACCCCAAAAACAGCAAAGGAAACAATCTCTGCTTTTAGAACAAACATGACAGAATGAGAAATCGAATAAGTAAAAAGTCGAGAAATGGAAGGATTTCCGAAGATACCGAGATTTTTAAAGAATCCAGGTGGATGGATTGACTTTGAGATTCACTTTTCCGATGACCTGGTTCATTGCGCCAGATACCGGTAAGTTATTATTTGAATTTCTCTGAATAACAAGTTCCTCAGCCGCTTGGGCAAGCTGTACATAGATTGTGTGCGCTCCGTCCGAATCAATGCCAAACTACGCCAAGAAAATACGAGCATCGCCGGTCTACCTCCTTTTCCTCCGAAAATCGTCTTCATCAACCACCAAAAGCTCGAACGCCGCCGCGCGCTGCTCGAAGAGTGGCTCCAAGCAATTTCATCGCTTCCTCAAACTAGCTGTATCTACCAACAATATGCCAATTTTGTCAGGTAACGCATTAAAACATTACAAAGGATGTGAAAAACCAACAAACATCTCTTGTCTATCTCCCCTCTCTTCTGGCTTTAAAAGTAACATGAAGATTAGCGAGTGCAAGGCGAAATCATCCTCTTGTGTGGAGAAAAAAGAGATTCAGGTGTTTTTCTTGGATGGAAGCTTTGTATCGATTGTTACAAATGGAAAACGATTAGCTGGTAAAGTTCCCCTGTCAATGTCTTGTTCAGTTTAAAATTTTAGAGAGCGTGTCAAAAGCGTTGAACTTCCCACCCAATCTCTGTCGAAAATTTGCCATCTACCTCCAAATCAATACTTCCACTTCCTGGCAGTTGCATAAAAAGCTCAGATCTTTCGATAACGCCCTCGATTATCTGAAGCCGAGGACGAGACTTTGTTTCACGAGAGATTTCTTCTGTCCTTCGATTGATTATGAGCTTGGTCAATTCGGTAACCATCGATTCAGTCTCATTTTTGCTTACTTTTTCTTAGAGGAGGGATTCCGCTTCTTGTTCAACGAAGCCAAGCATAACTATTTATCTGGTACCTTGATTCCGCGAACCCAGCTCGACGATGACTATTTCAAAAGGTTTCTTGGAGAGCAAAAGGAGGAAAACTTTCTCGAGCTTGCAAAATGCCAGCCATACTATGGCTGCTTCACTTTTGGACCTCTTCTTTGGTGAGATCCCGTCAAATCTTTCACTTTGACTAATTTATATCCAGCTCTCTGCCGAATGAAGAGACAAAGTGTATTCTGACCATTGGTGATTTCAAAGTACGAATACGGATCTTTCTCCACAATGCCTTAGAAGCGACAATTTCCATTCGCCATATTGCCTACACAAGCGTTTCAACTGATTCCATGAGCCTGAAGCTTCATTTGAAACAAGTGAGAGCTTCAAAGTCGACTGAAATTAACGCTCTCTTTCAGGACTTTCCAAAAGTCTCGTCAATAATTTTTACTACATCTGATGCTCAACTTATTTCTTCGATGATATCTTCAATGCTGGATCCTTTCTGAGTCCCCTTATTTCATCTTATCTTGTATATAAAAAAAGCTTTTAAAATCCTTAAACTCCTCGCTCCATTGTCACATCTTTCTTATCTTCAAGTACCCCTTTCTTTATGTTCAATCTCAGATTTAATGAGATCCTTTTTCGAGTTTCTTCTGTCGGTATTATTGCACTGTATTGTGAGAGTAAAATTATTTATTAAACTTATTCAAATAAAGTGTTCTTTTTGGTATCTTTTTCTTTTTTTTGCAGATCAGTCGATGGGTAATTCGAACAGTCTCCCGGAGATTCCTGGCGGTGGGTACGACGGATATCATGTCCTTCGAGTCCAGGTAGACTTTATTTTGGTGACAGCAAGGGTAATTCAGTTTAGGAAAACTCCCCCGGACACAAGGCAGGCCTAGAGCCCTTTTTTGACTTCATAATTTGCATCGGCAACATTCGACTTGATCGTGACGATGATCGGCTCAAAGAAATGCTCAAGCAAAATGTCGAGAAGCCGATTCAACTTCTTGTCTCTAGCAGTAAAACCTTGACTGTAAGATCGATTTTGCTTTATTCAGACTTATTTATTTCCATTTTAGGTTCGAGAACTGACCCTGACACCTTCAGGGATTTGGGGAGGACAAGGATTGCTCGGTGTTTCCATTAGATTTTGCAGTTTTGAAGGTGCTAATGAAAATGTTTGGCATGTTTTGGTAAGATCATTAATTTTTCTCATGTCATTTATTTCATTCTAACTTTAGGAAGTTGAATCAAACTCACCTGCTTACCTCGCTGGTCTGCGGCCCTTCACAGACTACGTTATTGGCGCAGACTCGATTCTTTCCGAGCAAGAAGATCTCTTCACGCTGATCGAATCAAATGAAGGAAAACCGTTGAAACTTTACGTCTACAACTCAGAAACCGACGCCAGCCGCGAAGTGATTCTTACTCCTAACTCTGGCTGGGGAGGCGATGGATCCATCGGATGTGGTATCGGATACGGATATCTTCATAGAATTCCAGTTGAAGAAATCGCCGCTGCAAATCAAGCTCCAAAGCCCACACCATCTGTCGCTGTTCCCGCGGCCACTACTGTTGGTTTGACACCAACAGCAGCTTCGCCAGCGATTCCAGCAGTTCCAGTTGCCTCGGCTGTTCCATCCGCGACGACTTCTGTTCCTGGTGGAGCTGTTCCTGCTATTCCTACTCTCGGTAGATTTTAATTCAGAAACTGTCCCCTAATTGATTTCTAAGGAGGCCTTCCCTCGACTGGAGCACCAGCAGTCTCCGCTGTTGGCTTGCCAACAATTCCAACTCTCGCCACCCCAACCCTTCCAACTCTTGGAGCTGTTCCCACCCTTGGCGGACTTCCTACGGCCTCTGCTGCAGCTCCGCAACTCTCTACTGGATTGCCCACTGCTTCTACAAGCACTGGTTCGTCCTCTCCAATTGTTTGTTTTATAAATTTCTCCTAAGGTCTTCCCCCGATCTCCGTCCCAACCTTGCCTCCTCTCTCACTTCCGTCTCTCAACTTGCCCACTTTGAATACAGCAAACTCGACTGCACCGTAAGTATCAACTAGTTTTCTCTTTCTGAAATAATTCACCAGATCAATTATTTCACGTTGAATTTATCAATCATTTATCAATGTCGTTTATTTGCATGTTGATTATTCTAGCAGTTTGACCTTGCCGTCAACTTCCTTCAGCTCAACGTTGCCTCCATTGAGCCTTCCCTCGTTGAACCTCCCCACACTCAATCTGCCAAGGTTTGATGATTACTGCATGATTTCTGTTTGATTCAACATGGAGCATTGGTTTAAAATCTTCTCTTACTCTTTTTTTAGTTTGACAACAACTGCTCCAATCACTACTCCAGATTTGAGCAAGCTCAACTTGAACATACCAAGCTTGAACCCAACCCCACAGGCTGAGTAAACGGTAAGACATCACAATCTTTCTTGTTGCTGATCACAGTTTAGGACCGAGGATAAATTTTCAATTGTGAAAATTACCAAACAGAGAATCAGCTTATTTTCTATAGAAGAAATATTTAGACCAAGTACCGTGGTTTTCCATCTTAAGAGCGCCCAACTTAAGAGCGTTTTTGCCAATATTTTCCATATTTTGTCATCTGAAAAAATCCCAACTTTAGAGCGTTTTTATGAATTTTTAATAAATAATTAGAATAACGTTTATTTCAACCTGAAAAATCATTGAAAAAAATTGTTTTCTACGCTTTTTTACAGGTAAAATCATAGCCTCTGATTCAAAGATCGAAATTTTTTATCATAAATAGGTAAAAATGACCTCAGATGCATTTTTGGAGTTTTGGAAAAAATTCATTTTATGCATTTTCATTCATCATTTTTTCCCACTGTCATCCAAGTTTGATCGTAAATTTTCCAACTTAAGAGCGTTTTGGTCTACCCTTGTCATCTGAAAAACGCTCTAAAGATGGAAAACGACGGTATATATAAAAAACAGTATTAAAAAGCAAATAAAAAGTTCTGTGCAATAAAATTCCTTATCATCTGCTTATTCTATCTAGCTGTTTCCTATCTCCACTCTTTTACGTGTGAAAACAGAAATCAACAAGCAATAATTCCGTTTATTAACTGAAATAACTTTTTTTTATAATAATATGAGAATCCGTCGCCATTTCGCGAGGTGCGAGGTTTCCCTTACCTTCGTCCCTTAAACTCCCTGTTTACCTAATATAGTTTGGTTCTTACATGGAATGGCTCTATCACTGTTTTTTTTAGGTTTACTCCCACTTTGTCCCAACCGTATTCAAAATCCTTAGGAGGAAACCCCATACAACTATACGTTTTTAGATAGCCTAGACCCTGCTGCGTGTCCTCGTCGGAGTCTCATGACCTCGGCGAGGTCACGTGACCTCGAATAGCTCATTTGAAGAGAGGTTATGCCCAAAATGGCCTATTTTATATGTAAAACCGAAGAAATTTTCTCTAACTCTAGCATAGGCAGATCCTTGTATAATATAGTTTTAGAATCCCCAGATGACGGGGATCATTTTGACTATTGATGATAAGGGGTACCTCATGCCCTGAGGCAAATAAATGGGGTCTGAAAAAGTGGGAGCGAACCTAAAAAAAACAGTGTTTCTTTCATAAATCATATTTGATTTTTCATTTTTTAAAGAAATGCTGCGGACTTTTCGAAATCGGCTTTGGAAAAGCTCGCTTAGATATTCCAGCGGGAAGTTTTCAAATCTTCCTAAAGATCTTGAACCAGAAGAAACCGTCGATTTCGATCTTACAGTTGAATATCCTGGCGATTTCGAAATAGCTTTAGATAAGATTCGTGAAGAAACTTCAGGCATGGATGAACAATTTGAGCGCTAGAAAGCAGTTTCCCTTTTTCTAAGTCTCTTAATAAATTGCCATCCAAAACTCGGATGAGGAAAATCTCCTCAAAATCTTCATGGACAAAAGCTACGCGAATGAAATGGAAGCCTACCTGGCCGATGCTGAGCATTCATACATCCAAGAAGCCGACAAACGAGCATTTTACATGGCAGTGGAGCTTTGGAAAAAAGAAGCAGGGCCCGGCAGACAAGGACATAAAGATTTCATCGTGATGGCGATTCCCACTATCTCTCAGCTCGGCTTATCCAAGGATACCAAGGCTTACATGACGCTTCTCGATTGCTGGCCAGATGCAAACTACGTCTTCGCCGAAAAAAGCCCTATCTACAAGCAAACAACTTCGCAGTCGACCTTCTTCATCGAAAAATTCGAGTGGACTTCAGACGCGAATCTCTGCAAGCATCTTTTACGCACAATGGAGCGCAATGGATGTCCTTGTACGAATGAGATTTACGCCAAAGTCACTGATCTGTTCGGTATCTACAGCGATGCGAGTGTTTTGGCGAGACAGCAAATGCTGTTCAACAAAAGATTAATGGAACGAAATCCGTTTCCTATTGAAATCCCAAAGGATCCGACAGAACTTGCTGCAGCCACTTTGAGACAGGCTTCCCCTGGCTTGGATCGGCAGTACCACAGATTCCCGATCAAACAAAGAGACGGGAAATGGATCAGAAGCGAGAAAGATGGCGAGTTTTATGAGTCTCACGACTCCGTGATCGTTTCTCAGTCGCCCGAACAACTTGATAATCTTCGAAATCACGATCCAGACGAACCAGTTCTCATCGAAGGACCGATTTCTATCTTCATGAATGGAAAAGCGACAGAAATCTTTGTCCTGAGGAGCGAAAATCAAGTTGAGAAGACAGCTCGCGAAAAGAGAAACGAAAAGTTTGATAAAAAGTACACAACCGTCATATCCAATAAAGAATGGTTCGCCGATTTCTATGGTAAAGACTTAGAAACAGGAATGGAATTGCATGGTGGAAGACAAAGGACAATGAGAGCCTTCGGAGCGCAAGGAGCGATGGATCAATTAGATAAAAGGTAGGAGAGAAAATTCCTCCTACGGTCTGACTTATTTGAGCAGCGTTCTAGAGCTCGAAGCAACACACGAAAAACGCCTCATCTTTCCAAAAGAAGAAGAGCCAATCTATGAGCAAATCGAGTACGATCTCTCCTGGAAACCGATCACGGACTTTCGCGGAGACTCCATCCCTGAGTTGCTGAAAAGCGGCCACTTGAGATCGGAAGAGTTCGCCGATGAAGTCCAACTTGGCAGGAGAACAGAAGCTAAAGTATTCTGCCTCGCTCATATTGATTGTGAACAGAAACTTTTGCCAGATGCATATTCGGTGAGTTCTTGAGTTTATGAGATTGATAAACAGCTGTCTTTCAGACTTGGATTCGTGGAATAGCAGAAACAGTCGAACCAAAGGTTCAAAACTTCACAGTCGTTCTCCGAGAAGACTGGACACCGGAAAATTCTGACCATCTAACAATCGACCCAAGCCCTGGCAATCGCGGGTACAATCAAATCGAAGAGGTGCTGGAGTCAGAGCAGTTCGACGAAGAACTTGAAGAAGAAATCAGACGCGAACAGATTGAGCGCGAAAAAGCGAAAGAAAACAAAAAGTCGTTCTTTTCATTTTTCAAAAAGAAGGATGATAATTAGTATTTAATAAATTATTTGTAAATAGATAACTATAAAATGCACTTTTTCGTATTTGAAAATTGCATTTTTTTGTTCTTCTTTTGAATGCTTGTTGGAAATTTATTGAAGAAAATATTGAAGAATCTTGAACAAGTAAAATCTTGATGATTTTGAAAGAACAGAAATTGATGAAAAATCAACGTGGGTAGAAGCAATTCTAAGACGCATATCTAGCAGTGATTTCATTAGCTTGAGCAGCGTCACCCGCTTGTTGCGCAAGTTTGTGGCATTTGGCAATTAGGTCGAAATCACCAAGTTGATGAGCTACAGTAGCTGCTTGAACAAAGGATTTGAGATTGATGTGAGCCTTGACTTTCGTTCGGCCTTGGCATTTTGGAAGCCACTTTTCGGCTTCGGGCTTGTTGCCAGAGTCGTTGATGATTTTGATTATCTGATCAGGAGCTAGGGGACGATTATGTCTTTGAATTCAAGAGAGGACTTACGCAAAGAAGCGTTTCTTTTCGTTTTGGCGAGCATTTTGTCTAGTTCTTCGTATTTAGCATTGCCTGCCAAGAAGACAGCTTTCATCCTCGTGTAAAATTTTTCATTGAACTAAACTCAAGTCAGATTTTGAAACAGAAAAATAACACAAACCTTTAGCTCCCGAGCAAGCTTATCCGCCGCCGCCTGATCTAGAGGAATGAGGATTTCAAGCGTTGTTTTTAACGGTTTTCCGATAAAGTTCAAATGCTGGTAGACCTTCTCCAGTTCTTTCTGCGCCATCAGAAGCTGCTTTTGGCTGGAGATATTGACCAAAGCGTTGTCATCGACGGCAGCCATTCTGAGACTGCGTTCCGCTCCTTCGAGGGAAGCGATTTTACGCTCCACGTCGGCTTTTGCTTCTTTGGCGCTGGAAAGGTGACCCATCGCGAGATAAACGGAGTGCTCGGTGGGATCCTAAAGATTTTTTTTTTTGATTATTGGTAGAAAATAATATCCGTGACATTGGAAGAAGATAAAAAAGCTGAGTGAATTCCCAAGTCATCATTTTTCAAATGAACTTTCTCGATAGTTTGTCGCAATAACAGGAACCCTTTCTTTATTTACTCGTATATTATGTATAACAAACCTGTAATTCTCCCAACATTCGTTTGTTATGTTCCTTGCAATAAATAGCATACTGAGCAGCTGCTGCGGGATATTTCTTCAAAACTTGTGAGTACTCTTCCTTCGGCCTCTTCGCATGAATATGAAGCAAGCAGAGATAGATCAGATCAGGATCTCGGGATTCGAGAGCACATTCAAGAGCTCTGTCGCCTTTTGGACTTATTTCCAGCTAAATATCCCTTATTTTCATGCAAAAAGATTTATGATTTACCAGTAGCTCTACTCGAGGTCTAAATCGGGGTTCAAGCTCGACCAAATTCAGCCCTAATTCTTTCTTTCCACTTCTTGAAGCTTCTCTAGCGATGTCAATAAAAGAAACGGAGCACTACAAATCCTTTAGCAAAATGATACCCTAAGTTTTTAAACCTTGAGCTGATCAACTTTCATCGAAATTTTCCTCGTGACTTTCTCATACTCATGCTCTGCACAGTCTCTTACGAGCGTTCTCGCCCAATTTGTGAGCAGATCTTTCTTGATGTTTGGAAATTTTCTTTCAAGATGAAGATAGTCCATCACCGTCCAGCAGAGTTGATAAAGCCCTCGAGATTGGAGTCTTCCGACAATTCCCATTGGACCTAATTCGCGGAATTGGTCGATGGAGATGGCCAGACCAGGGGCGGCGCGAAGTTGGTTCAAGACTCGCATTATTCTTGTTATTGATATCAAACTTTACCGACAAGAAAGCGGTTTTTGCAAAAGCAACTAAATAGTAAAGATTTGCTATCAGTTCCTGTTTGTGTTAGCAAAGACATTCGGGTCAAAATCTTCCGTCAGAACAAGCCCAAAACTCGCTGCTTTCAGATACTTCTTCTGCATTGCCGGGTCGTATTCATAAGTAGCAGCTGTCATGCACTGTTCAATCCCGTCAACGAGAGAGCACTCTGGAGAGTTTTCATCTCTCAAAACAGCGATTATTTCTTCGCCCCTTTCGTTGTTGGCCGCAATCATTTCGTATCCATCAACCAGCATCGCTCCAGCGCCAGTTGGCAAAGTAACTTGTTTGGTTGATTCAGAAACAGCGGTCAGGAAATCTTGAAATCTGCTTCCAACGATTCTTATTCCATCTTTCTCTTCAAAGATCGTTGCGAAACTTTCCAAGTCGTAAATGGCCCAATTCTTATCGCAATCGAGCAAAACCAGGAATTCCGTCCAAAGAAGTGCGGCAACCGGTCCGAGATTTTCACTCCCTTGAGTGAGTAAAGCCGCGGCTAGCGGAACAGACTTTATTTTGGCCGCAGTATTGAGTTCCGTGATGATTTCGAGTGTCTTCGAGTTCAAGATGAGCTGAATGCCAGAATCGGTCGTTCCAGCGCAGAAAGATCCGCAAAGAGAGGAGGTTATTTGGAGAAGATTGTTGAAAGGCTTGGAAACGCTGATCGGGTGTACTTCTATTCGACTTGAGCCGTCTGTAGCGACTGTGTAAAAGTTTGTCTTTACCGCAGAAAGAATGTAGCTGCGCTTTTTAGAAGTTATGACAGTCCAGCAATCCGGAACATTCTGTGTAATCGGCCCGATATCAAGTCGCTTCAACGAGTTTTCATAATTCGGCAAAACTGAGAAATTTCCGCTCATCGTCAAAATCACCAGACCAAGAGTGGAATCCGTTCTGAACGTCTGCGCCTCAAGAATTTCCTCAGAACTAACTGAAAAGCTCGTGAGAAGTTTCAGCAGCAAGTCGTATTGGTACAACTTTCCATCTTCAGTCACGATATTCAAAAGCTCCAAATCGAGCGCGAAGAACATGAAAACGATTCTTCCGGATTTCCAGAGCTCTTCGGAAAGAAGAGATCCATCAGGGTTGAAAAGACGGACTTTAGGGCGATTCGCAAGAGTAATCGTATCTGGCTCGATTTCGGAAGTGGCAAAGACTCCAGAACAGGAGCAAATCGCTGTGTGACATCCTCGAAGATCCGTCTTTCTAGCGAAGGATTTCAAGCGCTGTCGGCGTATTTCTCGCTGTCCGAGGGGCTTCCAGTCGTCTTCGTTCATTTTTTACGACTCTGAAAGATTTATTACTAAAAAGAGTGTCTTCAGAAAACGTTCTTTGAAAACTCTTGCTGTTGAATAATTCAAATTCACACAGAAGGAAATATTTACATTTCCCCTTGACGGGAGTATTTATTGAGTAAACAGATGAGTTACTATCAAATTTGATAGTTGATATTTTCCTTTTTTGGAATGTCAAGAAAGTTTTCATAAGAAGGGATTGAATGGTTTAGGTCGAAAAGATCCCATTAGCCAGTTTAGGTAAGAAAAATTTAATAATAATTTTTGAACTTTGTTGAACTTTGAATTTGGCTCTTGCCTCAAGCTCATCCCTTTTGAAGGATGATTTTTCTAGAGGTTGCTTCACTATCAGCCGTTGCGTCGCACCGCTGGCCAAATCTGGCAGCGGCGGCACGTGATTGGGCGAGCCCGCACGTGAAAATATGGTCCGATATTCTTCACAGAACTGAAATCACCCAATACATCGAACCATGCTCTCATTCTGCTTCTTGCTTGAATCGCGTACACCCAGAGTTTTCTCTCCCCAAATTTTTAACCCCTGATTAATTGACTTTTTCATCCCCTTTTTTCGAACGTAACCTTGAGAGTCAAACAAAATGCCGAAGCTCTTGATGCAACCAGAAGAACACCGATTTTTGGTAAGAAATTTTTCATCGGTCAAACGAGTTCGAAAATTGAAAATTTTTTAAAAATCATTGAGAAAGAACAAGTCTGAAATGATTTTATGAATCGTTCCTGCCGCTAGTACTAAATAACGTAAATCTCGATAGATTTTTAAGAACTCTTATTTTCACTCAATAATACCGTAATTTACTCAAGTTTTTTTTAGAAATTCTTGACATAAAAAATACTGTAAAAATGTATGTTCCGTATTTATAAACTTTTTCATTTCTAGGCCGGACGATACCCAGAAGAAAAGAAAGATTCCCCTAAAAATTCTGATGGTTTCCTGATTTACAAACTTTCCCTCGCCATCTTGTGCTCTAGCATGATGGCCTACGGTTGGTGGGACCAGAAGACGAACCCTAAAGATGTGCACGGTGAGTTCATTTTTTAAACTGCTGATGCTGCATCAAACCGCGACGCTCAGACAGCGTTTCTCGCCGCCTTTCTCCTGGGAGGATCACTGGTTCATTCGAAAGAATTCAGAGCGATTTTCGTGACTTAGAGCATCATAAAGACTTTGAGTTCTTTCTGATCGTAAAAAAGCTTTATAGACTTCGGTCTAATTATTTGACTATTCTTTTTGGTTTATGTTTTTCTTACATTAATTTTCAGGCTCTCACTCCTACACCGACTACGTTTCTAATTGGAACGACATTAGCTGCACCGCCTGGTCGATCATGAACGCGATTGTCGCCTTTCAACCTGCCATGCCCGCCGCTGCTTACGGTCTTCTCTCTGGAATGAACGCCATCGCTCCAACTTTCTCCTGCGGAGTTGCCTTTGCCTTCTGGACCCTTCTTCCCGCCGATCGACAGTCTACCGACTTGGTCTCTCTTCACCAGCATGCCTTCCTCGCCATTATAACAGTTGTCGATTTGTTCCTCGTCGCTGCTCCGATTCGATACTTTCACATCATCAGCACCTGGATCTTCGCTGGCTGCTACGCTATAAACACTATGATCGTCTACTTCCTCTTTGGTAAGGGCACTAAATAGTTGCGTGTTAACATGTAACAACTTGTAATCAACGAAGAAAATCACCAAGAGATCAAAACATTTCGTCGACAGTCGCACGTAAGGGGTGGCTTCTGATGGAAAGACAGATTTTCCTCGGGAAGCTTCTTCTTTCGAGCAACTGTTGAACCCAAATCGACAGCTATCTATTCCACAATTAGCCATGTGTGATTCCGTGTGCGCTAACCCTGAAACAATGACTGTAATTTAGGTGAAGACCGCGATGATGTCTACCCATTCCTCAACTACTCCGACAAGTTCTCTAACGCCGTCAAGTTCGACCTGGCCATGACCTTTGGCCTCCAGACAATCATGTTCTCGCTGATGTACCTCTTCTCCAAGACGAAGTTCTGGGTGCATCGAAAGATCACCACCGTCCCAGAAGTCGACAGCCCCGGCGAGTCGAAGACTGAACTCTTGGAAAAAGGAGATGGTCGTGCAACTCCCAAAAAGCAACTTAGACTTCGAAAAGTTCGAAAGGCCGACTAAGCCCTCAACAAAATTTAGGCTGAATCTTTTTTCTCAAAAGTCAAGTCCACATTTTCTCTCCTGATATTTATTTATTGGATTATATACAGTTTATACCTTGCTAGTTTCAGTTTTCTGCCCTGAGTTTCCCTCCACAACCGTTCGAAAAAAATACATGTTATACACTCTCAAACTCGCTTTTGTCTACTTTTTTTTGCACAACCAGGATCAAAGACATCGTCAATTACGAAGCATAAACCGCATCTGCAGCACTTCAAGAAAATAGCCGAGCTTTGTTTTAGGAAAGGGAATATTTCAGCGCAGGAAGATATCGTCAGAACTTTTCCATTGGGTGGAAAAAATATTAATTTCACGAAATTGCAAAATCATTTCTTCGTTAATTTTTTAAAAATCTGACTGGATGTCGTGATAGAGTAGGTCAAGTTCTATATACTCAAAGAAAAAAATCAAAATCGAAAATTTTTTTTTTGCCGTCTAGAGGACATTGAAGTAAATTTCTGCTGACAGCGATTGTGCAAAAAGTACCCATTAGGGACTCCTATTTTTCGACGGAAATATTTTCTAGAGAGTCTGAACTAGGGCGCCAGCTATTTTCTTGTCCATTCTGATTAGTTTATCACCGGTTTATCAGCAATCAAAGTTAGGTGAAAATTTCGCTGTGGCGATGAGCGCGGCGGTGACTAAGCGGCGTGGTGGCGCTGTTGCCCACCCTACCCTGTTCCTCGAATCGAAATCGCTTGAATGAGATTTTCACTCGTGCCTGGCTAGGGTGCGCCACAGCGTCACCGTGCCGCATTGTCATTGCCGCGCTCCCCGTCTCATCACGATTTTCGTCTGACTTTGATCGCCGCCCTCTTCACAGCTACTGTTATGCTGCCATTATTTCTTTATATAAACTGTTTCCGGAAGTTATGCCTGCTTGCGGGTATAGCTTGCCACTCACTTTCAAAACTGCATCCAATAAAATACCAAAAAAAAAATAAGAGAAGGATCGCGTAATCAAAACGAAATAAAAAATAGCCGGCGTCTTACTTCAGACGCTCAAGAATATATTTCCGTCAAAAAATATGCCGGTCCAATGAATACTTTTTACGCTAGAGCCGTCAGTAGAAATGTACTTCAATTGCCGTTAGACAGCTTTAGGACTTTTAAATTTCAGATTTTTTCCTCGGAGAATATAAGACTTGACGGGTTTTATTAACACGTCTAGTCAAAGTTTGAAAATATTTAGAGAGAAAAGATTTTGTAATTTCGTTAAATTTATATTTTTTCCACCCATTCGCTTTATGGCACTCCTTTTGACTATGAAAAATTTCCCTCGCAGCAGGCTTCAATATAAATCGAGCTTTTTGCAACATGACCTAGCCATCAGGTCAAACCAGGATCGTCTAGTTCTGACTTCAACGCCCCTGTCAACCCCACCCCTCGACCTCTTCAACAAACTCCCGAATTCTTACATCTAGCGAAATTCACACATCATTGCCATAATATTTATTTATTTCACGATAATCTACAATCCTAGCGCTACGATCTTAGGTTACTGTACCCGTTTTGTGCCTTTCATACCTTTCAGCTTTATACAAATCTTCTATTTATTCAAAACCAGGTTCGTTTTTGAGTCCTAATAAACTTTTTATCTAAATCATGTGTCGTTGTTCAAATATTTTTGCAGGTATTCTGCTGAATCAAGCAACACTACTCTCTTCCTTGATTTCAACTCTTGAGGAAGTCTGTGAGTCAGCTCAAGGACACGTTCTCGCTAAGCTCTCTTTTGTCCAAAATGGCACGATCATTACTGGGAACAACTCATTTCGCCTAAAATAATAAAATCCACCATTGTTCCTACCTTTTCTCCATGAGGTCATTACTTTCCTATTCAAATCTCTCGTGGAAAATCCACAAGCTGTTTTGCCCCCGATAGACAGCTCAAACAGCCAGATCATAACTGGCCAAAGAAACTTGCAAGGTTACGAAATTTCTGATACAAAATCAGATTTGGCGCTCCTTGTCCAGCGCGTTAAAATTATCTGCAAATCGCAAATCTCGGACTAAGAGAAACTAAAAAGTGAACGACTCTACTCCCTTATTGCGTAAGAGGACATTTCCGGTTTGTTTAATTAAATAACGTCTATGTTGATTGCCGTTAATTGACTTTGATCCGTCGAGAGAAATATGGTGTTGGAGAATTCCAAGTACGTAATTGTCAAGTGCGCTAAAGGCTAGAATTATTACATTATTGAAGTAGCATAATCTTGCATGTCATTTGCTTCTTATAATAATAATAATTATAATGAATTGCTAAAATACCACTTGATCGCCAACAACAATGATGGTCTTTTCTGACGTTTACTCAGAAACAATTATAAATTTATAAGCACCTGCAATTTTCATCTTTGCACGCTATATTTTATTATACATTAATGACAGCATTCTAGCTCCGTTTACATGGCGTCCATGCTTTCCACAGCGGATTGGGTCATGCTCTGTGCTTACTTTGTTGCAATGGGTGGCATGACCTTTCTTGCGTACAGAAAACAAAAAGGCCCGGCTCGATTATCTCTATTACCAGAAACTGCCACATAAGATCGAGCCGTTATAAGATCAGGACAACTCAGACGGTTACTTTCTGGGAGGTCGCACGATGAACTGGGCGGTGGTCGGTTTATCCCTCTTCGTGTCGAATATCGGATCCGAGGTGAGCTAAAACAAGCCGATTAAATTAGAAGCAACCTTGAACTAGCCAGAAAAGGAAACCTCTTTTGTAGCACTTGATCGGCTTAGCGGGATCAGGTGCGTCGTCAGGCATTTCAGGAACACGCGGTTTCTGAACACACATTAACCGGAACTAACCTTGAGAGGCCTAGGGTAGCTCTAAAAATTTGAATTGCTCAAAATCTTTAAATCTGATCTCTGTTGAAGAGAGACTCTTTGTTTTTGGCTGAGTTAATCCCTAGTTTCTAATAGTACACGCTTTGGACAACCGTCTTTCTTGAGTTTGTACTGTATATTAATTTTAATGCAATAATTGTGCATTCACGAGCGTTTTCTTCGCAAGTCCTGTGCTCACTGCCATAAATTATGGCCCATCATTGACTTAACGGAATAATTGGCCCAGCAATTGTCTCTACAAACATTCGGTTAACTCACTTGTCGCCAATTAAGGTTTGCATAAATATAATGATCGATTCTTTGATTTGTACCATGTCGGCCAATGAGATTGATACAACATTGATAACCTTCGTAAGTGAGCTTCGAATTATAATGTTTCGGAAAGCAGCAATTTATACAAACGCTCACATTCCTACTTTTGCAATATCATAAACCCGCAAACAGTCGCGTCGTATGAGCTGAACGCGGTTATTATTCTCCAACTGCTCGGCCACGTATTTGTGCCTGTTTATATCGCTTCCGGAGTGACCACTTTGCCCGAATACCTCGAGAAGAGGTTAAAGAGTAGAAGATTGCCCGTGGTGTTTTCAATTATGTCGCTGGTCATGTATGTTTTAACGAAGATTTCTGTGAACCTTTATTCGGGTAGTTCCTTTTTCTAGCCTTTTTTATATCCTTCTAAGGCTCAATATTCATGGAAATGGCTCTCGGCTGGAATAAAATGGCCTCTTGCGGACTGTTGCTTATTCTGACTGCTCTTCTGACCGTGGCTGGCGGACTGTCCGCAGTTATGTATACAGATGCAGCTCAAGGAACGAGTTTCTTTCTAATCTGTGAACCGAAAACACCGAATTTTCTTCTAACAAAACGTTGAGCTTTACTTAACTCAAGAAACAGCTTTCATCATGGTAACGGGAATGGTTCTAATGACCGTTTTATCGTGGAGACATACCGGATTGAGCAGCATTGAGTAAAGGGTGCAAATTTTATAGGATCTTCGAACTTGAGTTTATACCCGCTAGAATCAAATCTACGCGTCAATTAATCTCCCAAATTTACACCCGAATGTCAGAGGAACTGCAATCCGCCTTCTTATCAGCGCATAATAACGTTAGCTCCGTGTCGGGCGAGATTTGCGCACAAAATTTACCTTCGGAAGCGTCCTTCAAACTTTTGCGGTCCAATTCTGACCCTGAAATGCCGTGGATGCCCTTCATCTTTGGCCAGACTTTTTCAAGCATTTGGTATTGGTGTACTGATCAAGTGATTGTCCAGCGCTCTTTATCTGCTAAGAACTTGGCGCATTCTCAAGGAGGCTCGATTTTGGCCGGCGTCTTGAAATTTCTACCTGCATTAATAATGGTCTTCCCGGGGATGTTGGCAAGAGTACTCTTCCCTGAAATCTTGGGCTGTGTTGCTGGAACTGATTGCTTTGAAAAATGCGGAGAAGTAGCGAGCTGTGCAAATCATGCATTTCCACTCGTAGTCCTTCATATTCTACCATCTGGTGTTCGAGGACTTATGTTCTCCGTTGTCATTGCTGCTCTGATGTCGGGACTTGACTCAATCTTCAACTCTGCCTCAACTCTATTTACAATCGACATTTGGCTCAAGTTCCGTCCGAGTTCTTCTGAGCGCCAACTGATTCTGACTGGAAGAATTGTGGTTGTTGCTGTTGCTCTTCTTTCGATACTGTGGGTGAGTCTTGTACAAAAAGATGCCCCCTTTCAGCCTACTTAGTACTTTCTGAAAGGAACTTGGCTCTTGAGACACTTGTAACATACTAAGCCTTTTAAAAAGCACTCTTCTTAGGCGACTATTTCCACCGGCACGCGTTTTTAGTTCCGTCTTAACGATATCTCCGAGTATTTATGTTATTGTATTTGTAGCTTCTTTGTTCGTTTAACTTTTAAACTCGAGTTCTCAAAATACGCAAAGAGATAAGCCGTCCGTTTTACGTAAGTCCGTAATAATTTAATAACAGTAGCATGCTTGCGATTTCCGATCCTTTAATCCCTAGCGCAAGTCAACCCCTATCTTCCAGCGAATCTGGAAGATTCCTCAAACGGTTTTCCGACCTCAGAATGATTTTAGAAATTCCAGCTCATTTATTTTAATTTTCGATTTCAGATTCCAATGGTGGAGAGTCAGGGGTCAGGGCGATTATTTTATTATGTTAACGAAGTTTCCAACCATTTTTCGCCAGTCATCGCTGCTGTTTTTGTTTTGGCTGTCTTATGGGATGGGCTCAAGGAAACGGGTTTGAAGTAATTTGAAAGAACAAATTATTTCGCGTTCTGAAACGTGGCGCAGAATCATATTGAGTTAGACCTTTCAACCGCTCCCAAATCGTAGCTTAAAATTACGCTAGAAAACTTGGTTTACCGAACAGTATATTTTATCGAAAAATACAGAAGTTCTGTGTTTCAACCTAAGATAAAGGAACGCGGAGCGTTTTGGGGCTCGATGATAGGCTTCTCGGTCGGTTTGCTTCGTTTGATCCTGCTTTTCGCTTACCCAGCTGACCCTTGTGTCGACTCTGATAAGGTAACCCGTCTGTTCACATTTCTTTTTACCTGCTCCTGTAATTGTCACCCTTCTTTCATGTAAATTTCCAGCCCTGGCTTATTGAAAATGTGCACTACATGACGTATACGGCGGTTATTTTCGTGGTGACACTTGTTTCTACTCTGGTGATTTCGCTTGTTTCTCCCGGCGCTGGAGAGTGTAGCAAAGGGCTCACGTTTTTTAACAGGAGTGGGTCGGATACATGTTACGTTGTTTCATGCATCATAAGAAAATTGTTACCCCTGAAAGGTATGAAGGCGTAAAAGAAGACAGAAGAGACCAAGATTGCTTTGAGAAGGAAGAGTTTCTTGATAAACCGAATTCAGACCTACTGTACATTCCATCAGCTGGCCGCTATCTCATCAATTCTGTTAGCATCGGTTTATGTTTACTAGCCACATTTCTGTTTGCATATTATTCTATCTGAGTTTCAACATGCGCAATTCAATTCTACTGAAAGAAATAAACACTGAATATCTTCAATATGCATTTTCGGACATTTTTCGAGTTGTTGATGGTTTTTTTTCACGGGAGAAGAATGTTATGAGAAATGCTTGGCAATGAAATAATATGCAGATAAACTCAACCTTTGGTGAACGACTTGGAAATTCTTTAGTGCGTTGTGGCGACGCGCTTCGGAATTTAGAAGTCGTCGACCTAGTTGCTATTCATTGTCTGAATTCTTACGTTATTGAGCTATTCTGAGATTAACCTTTTATTAATACGGCAAGTTTTATTGAGCCTCGAAATACTAATCTGTGCAAAATTTCGATCATTTCAAAATAAATTTACGATTTCCAAAAGAATTATAGTCTATAATTTATAGAACGCATGTGTACATTTTGGAATGACGATTAGGCCAAGTCACGACACGTGATTACGGTGCCAGTGCCCTGCGAGCGGTTGTTTGATTGCAAAGGTCAAGCAAGTGAGCGACTTGCGGCTCCAGCCACTCATCAAGACAAAGTAAATCTGCGGTCAGTCCTGATGAACTTGTTTAAAGTCGCCGAAAGAAACCCGCGTCTCAAATAACCAACTCGATCAACCGAAAACTGCGGTATCTACTCTTTCATAAATAAACGAAATCAAGCATTTTCAAGAAAAAAAAACGTGGTCGAAATCTAAATTACCGCTAATTTGGTTTGAAGACTCGTAAAAATCGTAATGTCGATTTGCACGATTGATTACACTGTCGTACTTCAGCGGGAGCTAATATTTTCCGCGAAATCTCGACACTTTTGACATTTTTTCTTTGCGCGTTTTAGAAATTTGAGATTTGGATTTTGTCATTTTAGTTCTAAAAAAGTAACTTGTAACAGGATGAATTACGGAAGTTGGATTGCGAAGTGAATTCCCTTCCAAGTGTCCACGTTCATCTGTTTCTATTTTCAAGGAGCCCTCTTTTTAGTGATAAGGACTGATAAGCGGTTTTTGTGAAAATTATTGCAACGGAATTTTCTCGGAGCCGCTCACCCGAAGAAACAGCGAGGAAGGGAGGTTCTAAGGGCAAATATATGCAAAAATGCGTCTTGCTTGACGCACAGGGTAAACAAAACGTAAATTTGGTTTAAACAAAAGTGCGTAGATAGCTTTTAGCATAGAGGAGATTTAAATATGATGAGGATGAAGAAAGTGCCAGTGCCTTGGGTTAGAAAATAAGAAAAAACTGATTATTCAGATTTTTTTTCGAAAAACAAGAATTCTTGGTTTTTGGATTTGTAAAACATATTTTCTTAAGTTCGGTATTTCAGGGGAACCTGGCTGTATATCATTGGGGAAGACCATTAGGGAGGGGTCAGGAATCTAACCACATCCGGCCCGGTTATGAACACGTGAGGCCTATTTTTGACCCTTTTCTTGAGATGATGCAAATGTTCCAAGAGTTTGTCTCACTCCTGGCGTTATGAGGGACGGATAAAAATAACGTCTTTTGCCCTCAATCCTGTTCTTAAAATAACAGCTATTTTATCCAGAAATGAGCTCAGGGGCAAACTTTAAATTCCTAGCAGAAAAACTCGTTGATCTCGAGGACGTTTCAGTCGTTTCTTGGGATTATCCTGGACAAGGCATGGGCTACAGATTACAATGAAATCGGTTCCATTAGAAGCGAGCTCTTAGAACAACGAAATTTATTATTCGAGTAAACCTTTTGTAATAACTGCGTTAAATCGCGTACCCAAATAATCCCCGTCGTGGGACACGTGCTCCTGCGGTTTTTTGATTTTTCTTATTCACTGTAGCCAAAACCCAAGGTCGATCTGATTCTCCAGCAATACATTTTCCAGCGACCGGAGTTGTTCCATTCGCCCTCAGGAGATGGTTATAAATCGATGATGTCCATTTTTCATCACTAGAAGGACCACAAAGTGGCTTTGCCTCCACGAGCGTAATTTTGTTAACTTTTAGATAGCACACTTGACGTAAAACCCTCCAAGTCAATTAACAGATATAGAAAATTTACATTTACGAAGTCACAAACACTTGTTAGCACTCGTAACAACAGCGAAACCCTTGTAATATATATCTACCCCATCAATATTCAAAACCACGAAACAAGACTCCTCCTGAAGGAGCTAAACTGGACCGAGGAGATAAACATGGTTGGACATAGCATGGGCGCTTATTTATCAACAAATGTAAGTCCATAAAATACGAAAAAAAAAATATTCCTGGAAATGATAGAATCCAACTATTAGCAAATCGGCAATTAAAAAAAAAAGATCAAAGAATGTCGAAATACTTGAGGACTCTTAAGGTCTTGAAGAGGGAATAATGCTTCACTTTGTACAGCTCACCGGGTGCCGCAGCAATATTCACGACTCTTCTAATCTCTTATTCAGTACTCTCTTCTCTACTCGGAAGAAATCGCCAGTTTGACTAATATCGCCAACGGTTTACTCTCCATTTTATGATTAGCATCGAAAACTTGACAAATAGAAAACCGTAATTTGAAGATGGATTCTTCAATTTCGCCATGTCCTCGCAACGCGGCCCCCTTTCAAAATACCTCAGAAACGAAATGAACGAGATCGTATCACAAGCTCCATCAAAACGAACTCGACCCAGCTCACCAGAAAAGATTCGCGCAGCGCTTCATCATAATTTCGAACTATCTCAAGTGCCACAGGACGTGGCAAATGACATTATCGGTACGATTCTGATACTTGGTGTAAAAATTCGCTACTTGTGGTTAAGATCACGTTCTGGAAAATGACTTTGAATTAGACGAAGAAGGACTAATGCGGCAAAGATGGAACCCGCTCATGGCGAAAATTGGCTACAATTACGAACCAAACGTCTTTGAAGAGCTAGCGAAACGAGTTCGTTTTCCAATTCTTCACGTTACCAGCAAAATTTTCAATAGGACTGGGTTCAGATTCAGAAAGTTCAAAAAGAGACAAAGATTTCTAAGCAGAAAACAATCGTTATCCCGTACTCCGGTATATAATTTCCATCAACCCGTCAAGTCCTCAATCAATATTTTCTTACTCTCATCCGCCGTTTCCGGTTGATATGGATGCATGCTTATCCTCTGTGGATGTGATGGAAGATGCAGCTGTTAATAACGACGTGAACTTCGAGAAAGAGTATCTTGATGGATCGCATAATGTAAGTTCTTTCTTTTTTAGATTCTTTCTTGGAAATATTCATTATTTTAATCATTGAAAACTGAGTGTTACTGACTCATATTTTTGCGAAATGAGAACTTATGAACATCCTCTAATCCTAATTCTACAAGGCAAAAGTACAAACCACGTCTCTTGTACAAGTACCTTCCCAGAGCCAAATCTGGATTTCAGAATCAAGCCGCCGACACAGCTTTAGAAGATTTTTGTTTGGACTTTAATTCCCAAAAGCATCCACAAGTAGCTCTATGCCGCTGCACTTACGTGGTTTATTCTAGTATTTACAGTCCTGCCAAGTGAAGGGCGGAACTCTTGAAAAACAATTGTCGAGTTTGAGGCTTGACGTGTCAAGAAAATAACAAAGATTTTGGGCGTTTTGAGGCAGATAAAAATGCTAGGACTAGTAACCACTTATGTAACAATTAGCGGGGCAAATTTTAAACGCCTTAGCCTTCTAAACATTTGCTCCGAGTCATTTCTTACAAGCTCCTGATTTTCAGTCATTATCGGGCCCCTGAACTTCCAAGTTTGATAATTTTCGAAAAATGGAGCCGATGTTTTTGAGTCAAATTACTCTAGTGAAACCACAATCAAATTCAACCCCTTAAAAATGAGACATGTCAAATGTTTGACTTTATCTGTTTTCTCAAGGCCAATAATCTCGTTCAGTTGCACCTGACGCACGCGGCTGAACTGGCCGCTCTCCTCCGCCGCCAGCTTCAGCTTGATTCAACGAAGTAGTATTTATTTTATTTCTGTCAAAACACAACCTAAAATCATCATGATTGGCGGCCCAGCACTCGCTTGCCTCTCCTGTGAATATGGTTTTTGAAAATAAACGAATTCATAGCCGATTTCAACAAACTCAAGACCTACTGTTACTTCAAAGAAAAAAACATCAACAGACAAAAATTTGAAGTTATCAACGAATAACTTTCTCAAAACCACAAGTCCTATTCGAGGTACTTCTTCCCTTGCCACTCTGTCTAGCGAGCTTGCGTTGGTTAAAACAAATCCAAATCTAAAAAATATTTCAATTTTTCATAAATTATGAAGAATTTAAATATTAAGACGCTCTAAGCCGCGTTTACACCAACACTCGGTCGGTTTATTGCTTCTAGCTTGTTAAATTCACGAGTTACTTTAGTAGTCATACTCTCAGTTTTGACGTTAGTTTTTGAATTTTTTTAATTGTTGAGTACCTTGTAACGAAAGGAACGATTGTTTTTGGTGATGAAGAATGGAATGACAATTGTGCACGCGACGTATTCGCACCAGTTTTCGGCAACAAATGCTTTTGGTTGGATAAATCTCATTTTCTTTTGGTTATGGTTGGATTAACTCTTATAATAAGTAAGAATTTCCTTTCCTGATATAGAAACTTTGTATCCAGAAACATGCGGGCTGCCTTTCATTTTCTTTTAGAGAACAAGTTATCAATTACTAATTTAAAATTAGAAATTCTAGTTTTTAAGAGTTTATTTTATAAACGAGAGCTTCAGTAATATTCTAAGCAAGAAAACTATCAGGTGCCTGCAAGAGGCGACCGCTAGCTACATTCCACGCTCTGAAAAATGACAAGTTGTAACTCGAAGATGGGGCATTCTTTCATCCCGCTTTTTAAGACGGAATCTAGGGGAGATTCTACGCTCCAATGTTCTCAAGACTAGAATTTACCGTAGGCGAATAACTTATCCGGAAAACTGAATTTATCTCAGTTATCAATGATAAAGTATCATTTTTCAAAATCGATACTGAAATATCCAGATAACTAATCTTTAGTCCTTGTCTCCAGCTGTAAGCGCAGATGTTAGAGCAGATGTTTCATCTTTTTTGACAGTGAGACACTTTGCGCCCTCTTTTGGCAGAATCCCACATAAATACTCATTTAGCCGTCCAAAAAGTCATCAATCATAAAATGATACAATAATGTCAAAGCAATATCGACATTCGCATTCAGCCTTTTCCATGTTCGAGATATGCAAAAATAAAAATTCAATGTGAAAAACTGAATTGTTATTCTAATAATTGGCGAAAAAGAGTTCCTGGTTCTCGTTTCCTGACGGGACGTAGTTGGTGCACTCTTCTGCGCAAAACACCATCCAGAGACCGACTATCATCTTCGGCAGAAAAAACAACAGACTGATTCCGACAGAAAACGCTAGAATAATATCAATTTCCAATTTACTTCTAGTTTGCGTCCGACTCGCCCTTTTAATCAAATTTGACCCGGTTCGAGCGAAATTTACCTTATTTGCATATTTTCGCGTTTCAACCCGCGAGTTACAGATTTAGAGCTTTATTACCAGAGTTGAACGCAGTTTGGACACTTGGTTCAAACATACCTAGTGACCTCAGATATCGCCGCTCGTGGTTGATTTGTGAAATTCTTGCGGCAGAAATCTTTCGCAGTTTGCTCACCGAGATCATCATTCGGGCGGGTTGGGGCTTGGTCTTTGCTTTTTAAGAATTTTTCGAAAAGCATAATGCTGATTTTTTCATGAAGTTATTGAAATTTAATTTTCCGAAAAACATGATGTTAGCATTTTACCAATTACAAGACAGTCATCGACGTACCTTAAGAAGCTAGACCGCTATTTATAAATTGTTATCATAATGGTGGATAAATAATCTTAAAAATATACTTATTATCGAAAAACTCTCCTGAAACAATTTCAGGTAGTTCAGCTGCGTACGGCTCCACTTAATATCAAGTTAATTACTTTTGTAAAACATGCGGCGGAATTCCGCAGCTATTATAACCCCGTAAGAACCCGCGTGTAATCATTACCGTGGGTCACTAAGGTTTACCTTGAATGATATCGTCTGAGGACGTGCTTGGCCGCTCCAGCATATCAAGCGAATTCATCCGGCTTTCTTGACTCAAGGTTGATAATTCTGGTTCTAGGAAGTATTCAGCGAGCGGTTTTAGATCTATTCAGAAATTCCGTGCTTCAAATTAACTCCACTTCTTTCAATTTCAACCCTTTGTCAGTGTTGTTATCAGCAGGGATAAATTTCGCTCTATCTAACTCTCGAGTTCCTCAACACGAAATTATCTACATCAGAGATAACTAAATCCTTTGTTCCCTCTTTGCTTAGCCCTCTTTAGAAGACGAAGAACGGTAACTTCAGCTGAAGGCTCTCCGTACCCACGTGCCGCAGGTATTTTTACAGATAACGTATTATGATGTTAGAACTCGGATCTTTTCTTGCTTTCAGGAATTTGTAAACAATCGTCGTTCGTCGCTGGCTGGGTCCACCTTTGTTGTTGTGATACTGGGGCTTCTTTCTTTTGGTACCGACGCTTTTCTTGCGTTTTCGTTTTTGGAGAACTTGACTGGGATTTTAACCATACTGTGAGAATGTTAAAGAACGTATGTTAAAGATTCTTGTGCGAGTCGCTTTTTGAAAGGCGATTATTATCGTATTGTTCTTAAAGAATTTAAGCCACCACGTAAATGTCTGCCGAAAATCTGACTGCGGCTGGTAAAATCCCTTCTTTGGCATAAGTTTCGCTCTTTTTGTTGAGTTCCTTAAAACGCGTAAATTGGATGAGAGATGAAACGCAGCCGCAGACCCAACCTTGCGGAGGAATAATCCGACGACGAACGTGATCGCAGATGGTATGATCAGCGCTAGAATATAATAGCAGAATAGGCCCCATTGGTTTACATGGCTTTTTCGAGGGATCAAGAAGGCTCTTATTGCCGCTTTTATTGAAAATCGTAGTAATGACTCTCCCCTGAATGGGAGCAAGATCGATTACTAGGGCCCTTAGTCTAGCGGTCATTTATATAAACAAATTATGTTGATTATTATGGGAGGTGCTCAAGAGTTGCTCTTGATCCCCTAAGTAAGAATAAGATGTCCATTAGAAATCGTGGCATTGTGATAACAATATCCTGAAAAGGACTCAATAATTGATTCCTGAAGAAAAAAGATTAACGGTTTTTCTGGCATAAATATCAATCTTCCCTCGTATTGATAAAAGTCATAAATAGCAGCTGCCAAAAGAGTGATTCCAGCGATGCAAATACTCCACCCAACTTTGTGTCAAGTAATAACATTGGTGCATTGAATTATTAATGTTCGACAAAAGCAGAGAAACCTTCAACTAACTCAGTTCGAAAGACTCGAAAAAATTTCTACAGACATGACAAAATTATCAATAATTGAGATTCATGTTTAACCCCTTGTATAACAAGGATCGTAGGTCAACAGTGAGCTTTATCAACAAAGTAATAGTACTATTACTGTAATACTCTTCCTATAAGAAAAGAGTGAGTCAACGTTCTGGAGCTGTGGAACTTCTTTATTCCAAAAGTGATGGGATGTTTGATTATCTTAAATTTCGACTGGAGTTTTCTTCTGAACGAATTTTCTATTTTATTTACCTTGTACTTTACAGCGACGATAACAGTCGGCATGTAAGTGGCAGTCCGAGGGGATAGAAATTCTAATCTTTCGATTTCGGTACTCAATCCTTTTATCCCTTCCTATAGGTAAACAAACGTACTGTAATGTCATTGCGCAAATGCATTCGTAGACGGAAATGTTTTGCCTGAATCATAAATAAAGAAACGTGGAAGTAAAGTTTTTAAGACATAAAATTGGCTAAACGGGAAGGGGCATGTTTTCAGGCAATTTTGAATATCCGAACAACTCCTTTACCATGTTTACGCCCAAAACAAAGCGGTCACAAAAGAATGTTATAGTTATTTTTCGACCTAAATTCTTTCCACACTCAAAAATTTTAAGAATATAAAAATAGAAACAGCATGAGCTGTACTTCATGAAATTCTTTAGAAAGAGCACTTGAAAACCTGAGAACGAAGCGCCACATAAAAACAGGAATCGGGTAAAGAACAAGAATTAAATTCGCCAAGCTAACAAATAAAATGTAAATCCACCCTGGACCAATATCTCTCCTGACTTTTCTGAGGTTCTAAACTTTTCACTTTTATGCTGATAAAACTCCTCTTAGAACCAATCATTTAGTGCCGATAAAAATAATATAACTGTTTAAAAACGCTGCAGCGAATTCAATCATCATCAGAACGGTCAATCCGAAGGGATAGGTCTCCATTTCTCTCATTTTTATATGTTTTAGTTGACTGTTAAAAATCTCGATTTTGAATAACTGTTCAACTTAGCATTTTGTCTAGTAAAAAGAAAAATGAAATGACAGATGTCTGGCACTTGTGACACATTATGCTGCTCTAAGAAGATCCTTGATAATGTTTCATTTTACTGTCACTTTTGTGCGACCTGTAATAATCATTTTGTTTTCTAAAATTCGTTCCGGCTGCGAGGATCTGTTGCGGTAAACCTCTGCCCTGTTGACTTTGCTTGACAAATCCACCTCTTATCATTTATAGAACACGACCGCAGTGAAAATAGTGCCACAACCGTCTTAACTGACGTCGTCTTTTTTTACTTTTCAATATTTTCAAGAATCACGATCATTGATCTTTTCATAGCAATCAAATCAAAAATCGTCCTTTTTCAAAACTCGTAATCTTCATTATCCGAAGCCCAAAACTCGCTTTTCAACCCCGCTGAATGCGAATTGAGGATCAAGAGGCCACGACTTGGCTTACCATTTACTCGCCCAACATGCTACTTATTCTAGAGCAGCGCTTTTCTGAATAACCGCGAAGGCCTCAGTGATTTTTACCAATGAACTGAGTACTCAGCTATGCATAGCGGGGATTCTTAACAGAGGCAAGGACTTCCGCTAGTAAATACTGGACAAACACTTCTGATAAATTGCACTTGACTGCATTTAGAGGGCTAGAAGAGTAGCTCATTTTCACTAAAAATCAAGCAAAAACGAAAGTTCAACATTTCAACGATATTTTAGAAAGTTTTTGACTCGAAAATTTTTCTTTATCCGGGGAAGTTCTACACTGTAGAATCTACAGCCTTCCTGCTCCTTATCCGGTTTTGATAAGAAAAGCCGATCATTACTAGCCAACTCTTTACTTATTTGTAGAGCGATATACATTGAAGTCAATTTGACATGTCTTGGCCCTGTTATTACAAGTCACCCCGGCGCATTCTTCTTTCTTCGCCGCAACAAGTGCTCCGCGCAAACCCCGGCGCAGTGTCTCACAAAAATTACTTTTTTTCATGAAAGCGCGTTGGCGCCCCCATCGCGTGCGCGCCCTTTTCAACCCATTTTTGCTTTCTCTTATCTTTTTTAAGCTTTGAGAAACGAATCCTAAAAAGAAATTTAAGCCATTATTTTCGATTTTATACAGAGAAAGATTCTGAATAAATATTATACAGAAGACAAAAAGAGATTGAAAGAAGAAAATGAAGAAGCTTTTGTTATCCTTACTGGGAATAGAAAGTATATGTGGCTACTCGATGCACGACCTGAACAATAATGAAAACACGTGGGAGATTGCAGGTGAGCTAACGGGTTGATTTTACCCACGTGGGTACAGAAAAAGATGCGTTTTGTCAAGGGTAAGGTCAAAGTCGGGCAGGGAATTAATTTTAAGAAACGGGAAGTGATGAGAGTCGCCCAAAAATAATAGCATAAAAAGTAAGGTTTTTGAATTAAAATACGAATTTTCAACGCTTGAAAATATCTCTAATGAACATTTTGAGAAATTAAGGTAGTTTTTGGAGTGCATGTTGAAGAATCTTGATCATCGAAAATTATTTCCTATATTGACATTTTATCATCTTTCTTTTAAAAATTTTAGACCACGTGGTTTAACATCATATTTCTAAACGCTTTTGACCCGTCATTTTGGGTTCCTTCATTATCCGCTTACACTTCGTGTTCAAAACAACACTCTTTCTGTAAAATCTCCTGATAATATAAACAGAAAAATGGACTTTTCTAACATGTTGCGAGCGTAGCAGAAACACGTGCTTCTTGATTTTTGAGCGATACAAAATTACTAGCAGTAACTGAGGTACAAATTTAATTTTTCAATATTATTGCGCGCGGGATGCGAAAGTTTTCAAAATAGGATGCTGCGATTTTGCCACGTGTGAGCGGCGTTTAATAGAGTTGATAGGTACTTATCTCGCAATTTAAAAATTTAAAATTTTCAAAAGAACCAAAAGCTGAAACGTGGCTTGTCTGACGAAGATCCCCTAAAGACCCTGGGACCGAGCGAGCATTATGAGTATAACAGTCGGATTAAGGGTGTACCCCTGTCATGTTCGTTGCATCTGGCTCATGATTTTCTACTGTATATTGTTCGCAATCTAAACAAATGGTTAAGGGTGTCACAGCCAACCGATTCGCGCAGAAACGAACGAAAAATTTATCGTCACAAGTGGATTTCCAAATATTTACTCGCAAAGGATGGATTGCACATGGAAGTAAGTAGAGGCTGATTTCTAGCGCATTTTATATCTTGTGTGAGCATACCTCTAAACTTATCTTTTTTTAAACAAACTATCTCTCTCTTGAATATTTGGTATTTATTCAAGCGAAAGTGCTGGGAAAATTATTTTCTTCGATTACTTATATAACTTCTCAGAATCTGAGACTCAGATTTAATGTTTGAATCAAAACCGTAAAGTGTCAAAAATTCAGAAAGATTGCATGTTTCACGTGCCCTCTGACACGATTTTGACAAGCTCCAAATCTCGTTTATCGAATTTTCCGCGTTTTGAAATTTCTTTTCTTTCATGAAAAAATCCATTTCCTTATCATTTCTCAAAAGTTTTGTTAACAGACACTCGTCTACCATGAATTCAATAACCCTAAAGCTGGCGGACTGTTTTGACTTCAAGTCACAATAAAAGTTACGAAGGCCCTACGAGCTTGTAACGAGCGGAAAGCCGCTATCTCCTGCCGCGTCTTATCACTTTCGGAAATCTTGCTAACTTATTTAACTATTGCCTTACGGTCGCACTGAAATTTTAGAAAGCTTTCTAGCATCTTAAAAGTTCGATAAGATCACTAACTCCTCCTTTTCAGAATCCAAACTAAGCCAGGCCAGAAGATCGAAATCACCTTTCCCCATTTCCAAGTCGACTTTTGTCAAGCAGCTGGTGTTTCAGTCTACGACGGCCAAAAACTCGAAAGCAAAAAGGTCGACACGTACTGCGGGATTGACAATCCTGATACATTCACTTCCTCGGGCAACGAGGTCCAGATTCAGGTCGGTATCCTCAAGCATAAAGCGGAAGAGGCAGTTTACTGTTTCTCGTAATTTTAGACCAGTTACAAGAGATTCGTTATGATATATCCAACTGGTGACACGAAAACGTGGGGTCTTCGACCCTAAACACACCATGTTTTTGCATTAGATTGCATCCTAAACACGAGTTCTTTTTAATGACGCAAGACAGAAAGCTTTGGCATAATAAATGAGATTAATCTAGCTAAATTTCTCTAAAACGTGAGATGAATCAATTTATAATCATCACTCTAAAATAATTACTCTAGGCTTATCAACAACAGTCAAACAACCCCGGAAACGGAATCTACTTGATGATCGGCTATCGAATCGCCCCAGAAGCACCTCGAACGCCGCCTCCGTCTCAAGTTCAGCAGATGATGATGCCTGGTCTCAACCCCGGCCTCAATCAGAACCAGATTCTTATGGCTTACGGGGGAGCTGCTTTTCCCCAACAAGCTTACGGGCTTCAGCCAGTTGGGCTCGCAGGTGGTTATCAAATTATTGGCCGAGCTACTACTCCTCCACCACCGCCACCTCCTCAACCAAGAACACCAGGAATGGGTACCAAAATGCTCTAAAAAGTTCATTTCTGAACTTATTTGCCGAAAATTATGCTGAACCCATCAAAGCCCCAAAACGAGCTCCAAAGAAAAAGGCGCCTCCAAAGAAGAAGAAGCCGTCAGCTAAAGGAGACTACATCAAAGCTGGAATTCAAAGAAATCTTGCTGGTAAATTCACTCAAACATTATTTTGCTAAATATTTCTTTTAGCTGAAGCTCGCGCCCGAGAAGCCGAACTCGAAAAAGAACGCGAAATCAAAGCCAAGGTAAGCTCGAGTGCATAGTTCGTTCTCTCAAAGTTTTCTTTAGGCCAACAAGGTTCTGAAGAAAAGGCTTGTCTTCTTGATCATCGGTCTGGTCATCGTTACAATCGGAAACGTGTGGTTCATTCTTCACAGAAGAAAGATCGCGCTCGAAAAAGAAGCGGAAAAACTGGGCGAGAAGAAGGGTGGCCTTTCTAGCGACAGTTGTAAAAGTGACGAGCCGATTTACTCTTCGCTGGATCAGATCTGATCCCTTTTGACCCCGCCCGAACTCTTCACCTCAAACTGCCAAATAACTCAAGATACTGTAAATTATTTTATAAAAAAGTCGCTATTTATAAGTTAAAAATAGCAGTGCTACTGTAAGATTTTGACTGTACAAAGTGACAACTGATGAGCTGTTCTAAAAAGACTGTAAATATAGATTATTTATTCATTCAAGAAGAAATAGTTTTTGTTTTATTCGTCAGGTCAGGTTGTTACATCAGGTTGAAAGTCACCATCGTCATCATCCCATGGTCGGATTCCAGGAAGTCCTTCAGCGCGATCTCATCACCAGCGGCAAAAATCTTATAATTACACGCCGAGCTATTGTCACGTTACTGTACCTGTTCTAAGACAGAGTCAAGCTCGGCTTGATCAGAAGCTTCTGGCAGATTTCCTGTGCGTCTTTACCCGGATCAAATTTGAAATGTGAAAACAACAACGACTACCGTTCGAAACTTATTGTCGATAATGAGGATTTATAGATCCGTCGTTGAGATGATGAATAGCGAGAAATTGTTTCATCTCGATTCTTGAGAGCATTCCGTTGCCGTCTTTGTCGATGAGGCCGAAGAAAAGTTTGGCTTGAACTTCCATATCTAAAACCAACAGAGTTTTCAGCGCGCTTTCGACGACTAACCATCGGTTTCCATAAAGCCATACGCCTGAAGAACCTCGTCGAAAGCAACTTTTCCATCGCTATTGCCATCGAAGAGGAACTGAAAGACTTTCGCCTCGACTTGATCAGCTCCGATCGACGCGATAAAATCCTTAGTCGGCACTGATAGATCATTTTCGTCGATTTTACCCTCGAAAGTTTTCGAAAACTTTTGGAACTCCTTGTTGATCCACATTTTCTTGAAGCCAAGCTCGATGAATTTCTTTTGAAGCTCTTCTGGTGCCTGGGCTGATCGAAAAGGTTTGAAAAAGTTCACGAAATAAACTTTTTGCGTAGTACAAATTAAACCTTTCCTAAAGACATGTTCGGATGTGTCTTACTTGGACTCTGAGAATCTCTATCTGATTGCTATGCGCTAAGCGAGGCCGGCTAAATCCGCCTCGATGCAGTAAAATGGATCAGCACTTGCCCTTAGTACTTCCTGAGGTCGGATCCAAAATGACGATTTTCTAGATCGCCAAACTTTGTTTTGTACTGGAGTAGGGATTTACTCAGTTTGAAAAGAATTGAAAGGAATGCCAGTCAGTTCTTTTTTGATTCCCTCGCGGGATGGTATTAAAGAAGGAGCCCCAAAGATGCCAAGGAATGGTTTATCAAAGTCAAAAGAGCAACGGGCTAAAGAATTAGCTTGGTAAACCTGAAAGTGCATTTTACTGGACGCAAAAAGACGTCGCTGCTTGGATCGAAAAGCTCGGCTACCCGCAATACAAGCTTAGTTCATAAAACCTCGATTCCAAAGACAATTCTTTGGACGAGATTTTAGAACTAATTAAGCCATGTTTAACTCTCAACAATATTGATGGACGAAAACTTGTCTTGGTTGAGGCATCGACTTTGCCGAAAATCGGCATCCATGATTTCGAGCACATCAAGCGAATCTGCGCGGAAGTTCGGGAGTTGACGCGCTTGCCAATGCCAGATTGTCAGTTGTCGATTTCAAGGGAGAATTTGAGCACTGAGAATAAACTTTGGTACCAAAAGAGTCGATCCGGTAAGAATTTTCAAAGAAAACTTTTAATTCAAAGCTTTCAGGTCCAAAGGCGATCGCGCTTTCAATGAAAGACATAGAAGAGTACAACATCCGAAATGGAACGCATACTATTCCTAAGTAAACTGTTTCAACTTTACAATCGCTATAAAAACTGTAAATAATTTAAATATTTTAAAAATCTGAAGCTTGTCTTAACCTTAAGGGGGTAGAAACAGCTTTCTCGATTTTGGACTGTAGCTACATAAAAGAAAACATAAGATTTATTTATGTGAACGGAAATTCCTCATAAATGCTCCTAGAAAAGGGGTCGAGGTTCACAAAACTGTGAATAAAATTTGTTTAACTATCAGGTGACTCGAGATATTCGTGTTTGAAAACTGGCGAAAATCGAGAATTTCGGAGAGATGAATTGCTTCTGAGCCCGCTTACTCAAATAATTGATGACTAAAACAACTTTCAAGGGAGATGTTCCTAGATCTAAGATGTATCTATCTAAAACTGAAGAGAAAATTTGAAAATGTAAGATTCTTTTGTCTGTAGCGCCGGTCAAAAATCGCCTTTTTCTGAAAAAAGCTGTTTCTACCCCCTTAAGCAAAAAATTGAGAACCTAATGGTGACTGCTTAATGGCAGCCGATTCGACTCGAAAAAGTTACTAAGAGCGCCTAGACAAATGAGGTTTTTTTCGTTGAGAGAAAATTGAGAGAGTCGCTATGAATGAATAACCTGTTTAACTGAATAATATAAATATCAGTGAGTATTCTTAGTGCAAAACATTCGATTCAGATTCGAATAATGAGCAGCCAACAGAACAGCCAAGAAAAAACTTTGTCAGATCTTGGGTGGTCTGAAAAAAGTTCCCAAGATCAAAGGGACTCGTTGGCTAATTGCAGAGAGAAAATGCACTTTTCAAGAAGGTATCGACAGCTTCATGACACGATTGCAAGCGAGGTAAGCTTATTGAAAGTGATAAAAAGGAATTAAACTTTTATTTAGCGGCTTTTCATGCTCAACAAAGCTTTTGATCGCAGTTCCATCTTCGACACTGTCGCGAGAACACAACTTTGTCAAAGAATGGACGATGTTTATGACTCTCTTGGGCTTACAGGAGGTCCATCTGGTAGAAAATGATAACCTTGTTTCTTTTTAAAAAAAATTAGGTCCTAAGGCGATCGCATTCCCGATGACAACCCTTGAAGAGGGACGGCCTGACGTAGGGCAACTACAAGTGAAGGGGCAAAACAATATCCGAAGCGAAACTTACAAGAAAGAGAATCACAGTGACTCGACGAAATAAACTGATTCGTTGATCTTCGTTTTGGAAGAGGAAAGCAATGAGTTTGCTTTATCAGCAGCTCATTCTCTTCTTCATCCGATTAACCCTTTAGGCGAACGTGGCGTTTTAAGGATATACGGTATATCATATACCCGATAAAATTAAACTTTCATAGCGCCTAAATACGAAGTCTGATCATTTTTATTTCAAAAGCAATCCTACTTAAAATTGTGCGTTAAATCTAATTCTGGTACTTTTTTAGAAATTTTCATAAGAATTTTCCTCTTTAGAGCAGAGTTGCAAATTTTGTGAGCTAGCTGAGCTGAGCTATCTGAGCTAGCTGAGCTACAGCTCAGCTCAGCTCAGCTCAGCAATTTTGAGGTGAGGGTCAGCTCAGCTCAGCTCAGCTCAATGGTTCTTCGAAAAGAGCTAGCTCAGCTCAGCTAGCTCAATTTTGACCTCAGCTCAGCTAGCTCAGCTCAGCTCAGTCTATTGAGCTGACAAAGATCGAACCACTTTTGATTGGTCTTTTTTTCAAAAACTTCGACGTATTTTCTATTCATGCTTTCCTGTTGGTCAATTATATTTAGAAATAATTCGAGTTTTCTTTGAAACAAGAGAGAAATTAAATAAAAAAGGGCTTCCAATAAAAAAATAATAAAGTACAGATGGTAAATATGTGATTGCGAATGTGAGAGACTGGTCTAGGGGTGTGCGAGGGCAGGGGCTCCCTGTCCATCTACGCTAGAAGGTTGAAACATTGGCTCATCCACATAAATGATACCACTGTATAATATTTTGGAGGATTCCTTATTGTTAAATGACAGAATAAATTTTTTTATGTCAAAAAAGTGCGATGTTGCGAGTGAGATGCTGGTCTAGGGGTGTGTGAGGGCAGGGGCCCTTGTCCATCTACTCAAGAAGGTTGAAATTCGCTCCAACACATTTTTTTGACATTTTTTGCAGTAAATATAAATCAGCTTTCTCCGCTCAGCTCAGCTAGCTCAGCTCAGCTCAGCTAGCTCAGCATAAAAAATGGTCAGCTCAGCTCAGCTAGCTCAGTTTGAGAGATCGTCAGCTCAGCTCAGCTCAGCTCAAAAATTTTCAAATATGCCCCAGCTCAGCTCAGCTCAGCTCAGTTGTTTTTTATGAGGAGCCAGCTCAGCTCAGCTCAGCTCAGTTTCAACCTCAGCTCAGCTAGCTCAGCTCAGAAAAAAATTTCAAAAATTTGCAACTCTGCTTTAGAGCGATTTGAAAACGAACTCTCTCGATTTCTCGAAATTTTTCCACTAAATCGCTAAAATTGAACCGTATTCTGTATTGCAATTATGCTAAGCTACAGAATTGATGGGATCAAATTCTTAAACTCGATCGAATTTTCATTCTAGTGTTCTCTTCTTTTATACCCTTGTTTTTCCTCTCTGCGCATTTTTTCGCGTTCTACCAATCAGAGCGGTGCGCTCGACCACGCACTTTCTCTCGGAAAAGAGGACTCGAGTGAGCGAGCTCCTAGCGCGCCGCTTTGTAGAGCTTTTACGCGCTGAGTAGCCCTCAATGAAATGGCTCTAGAATCGGTTTTCTTCGGAATTAACGAAAAGTAAACCATCAAAATTATAGATAAAGGTCTAAAGAACTTATCTATCGAAAAATCTCGACCGATTTAGTCCAAAAATTTCGAGAAATCGAGAGAGTAAGATTTTAAATCGCTCTAAAAAGAAAAATTTAAATGAGAAAATTTAAATAAGTACCAAATTTGAGTTCTACGTGCATTTTAACGTAGAATTGCTTTTGAAATATAAATGATCCCACGTCGCATTTCGACACTATGAAAGTTCAATTTTATCGGGTATATCCTTAAAACGCCACGGGATCTTTGGCGGACCATTTCTCTCTGAATTTCCGGATGAATTGATAAAATTTTTACTTTTCTGAAAAATTCGGACATTTTTCTACATAATGGTCGCTTCAAAATAAAATTATCGCAAGAAAAACTTCTTCAAAAATCAAAAAGAAAAAGTCCGATTCGCCAAAAATAGGCTTACTCACGCGCTTTTCCCTTCAGAAAGGGAAAGGAGAGGGAGAGCGCGCTGCGATTCCCTGTTTTTCGGTCTAACTTTGCTGATCATTTACAGATATTTAGGATTTATGAATAGAGATAAAATTTACATTTTTAGACAGCCCAAACGATTTTCTAAGTATCAGTCATTTTAGAATCAGAGAAATTTACAAAGAAATACTTGAAAATAGGTAGGGGAAATCACTAATATTTCGACTTTTTTCTGAGCTTAGTAGGGTGGGCATATTATACAGTTTTTATATTATTACAGGAGCTGGAGATCATTTTGACTATTGATATTGGGGGGTGATTTCGTACCCTGAGGGCATTTAGGTACCTCTGAAGTCCCGAAATCTGGCCAATTTCGGAAATCCGGCTCGGAATCTCGCCAGAACGGGTCATTTGATCGCGCGGCTTAGCTAGAATTGTAGCTAAGGCTCTGACGGTCATTTTGAGGGGTAGCTTAGTACTGATTACCCCCATTCCAGAGCCGCCAGAGGGCCTAGAAGGTTGGGGTCCCGACCGAAAATCTGGTAAATATGCTCCCCTTCTTGATTACTTCCCAAAAACGGCAATATTGCGACTGTATCTGCATCACTTCTGACCTTAGAACAAGTTGGGGTCACCTGGGGTCACTTGGGGTCAAGTTTGTCTTACAAAGTTCGAATATCTATCTTTCAAGAAAAAAATTTCCAAACTTGACCCCAAGTGACCCCAGATGACCCCAATTCGATTTTAGGTCAGTAGTGATGCAGATACAGTCGCAATATTACTGTATGAATGATGAAATCAAGAAAGAGAGCATTTTTGCCAGAATTTCGGTCGGGACCCCCACCTTCTAGGCCCTCTAGCGCCTCTGGAATGGGGGGTAATCAGTACTAAACTACCCCTCAAAATGACTGTCAGAGCCTGGGCTACGATTCTAGCTAAGCCGCGCGATCAAATGACCCGTTCTGGCGAGATTCCGAGCCGGATTTCCGAAATTGGCCAGATTTCGGGACTTCAGAGGTACCTAAATGCCCTCAGGGTATGAAATCACCCCCCACTATCAATAGTCAAAATGATCCTCAGCTCTTAAGCTTTCTGAATCTGTATTATATGCCCACCCTACGAAGCTAGAAAAAAAGCTCAATTATTAGTGATTTCCCCTAAAAATAGGGAAAAACTTCGTGGCGTTTTAAAACGCCACGCGGTTGCCAACCAATAGGGCCAGGCTTGCGCCCAAAGGGTTAATTATCCTTGTCGAATAGAATAAAAGCTGAATCCAATCATCCTCGTTATAGCAGTAGAAAGGTGTACCTATACAATTCTGATCAGATTTCTTTGGATTAAATGTCTCGCTTGTCAGCAGGATGCAAATTCAATTTGGCGCGCTGCCAGCGGCGCTTGAATTTCTTTTAACAAAACGTTCTCCGAAGAATTCGCGGGATTAACGATGATCCGCCAGATTATTTCCAACGATAACTTTCAACATAAAATGCAGCTTCTTTTTTAAATAGCGTATTTATCGATAACGATTTAACCTGATCGGTTCAGGCTGAACCAGTGGAGAAAATCGAAATTTTTCAAGGGAACTTACTGATGACAGTAACTTGTCGGGGGTATAGAGTGCGAAGTACTTGGCAGAAGAGTTTCTGGCAGACTTATCAGGGGAGGAGAAGCCTGTGGGCAACTGAGTAAGCTTGCGCGGCTGAGTTTTGACGAAAAAGCTCGAACGTGCCCGCCGGCGATGGTGGGGGTGCAGTCGGCTCCACCAACCGAACGCCGCTGCAGCACCAAGTGACACCGACTCCAGTGACTTCGACATAACACCGATTTTCACCCGAAAGAACTCGTCAAGAGCACCCTACCGAAAGAGAGCGCCAGAGGATTGAACACGCCGCAGGGCAATCGTCAAATCAAGAAACAAACAAGAAAACGCCGCAACTGCTTGGCGAAAATGTACAGTCTCAGTTAGAACCACATTTTTCTGAATGGGCAAAGGGTTATCAATTCAAATTAATAACTAAAATTTTTGTTAAATTTTTTCTTTCAAATTTTCTAACCCCTGAACAGCCCCAAATGACAACTTCAATTTTGGAGATATAATCGTGCCAAATAAGACATGCGCTCAGATGAAATAGAAAATTTTGTATGTTTTTCTAGCGTGGATAATTTTAGAACGGCGGCTTCAAAATGCCACCACGCTCATAGAATAAGGTCATGCAATTTGTCTGGGCGTTGTTATCCTGCCTGGGTGATCGAAAAAACGAAACATTATGCTCTTAAAATATGTATCCAATGTTTCTGGATGATAATTTTGAGCGATCATTAATTAAATTAGCTCTCAAAATAAGTTTGGTCGAGTCTAAAAATGATTCTAGTTTTGTATTCAAGCTCTGAGCGCGGCGACAGATGCACAATGGGCACTTGAATGTGAACGGAGTGTGGCTTCCAACCAGTGTCAATGGAAACGTAAACGTAAATGGAAGCGACCAGACGGTCACTTTTGCTCAGCAGATCCGCAACGTCAATGGCGCAGGAACGCCGAATCCTCTGGTGCAACAGGTAAGCTAGCGCAGTGATTATTAATGATAATATATGTTTTATAAACAAAAACTCAGATAAGAAATTTGGCAACATAAAACAAAAAAAATCGGCTATCGATATTTTCATAATATAAAATTGTAAAGCAATACATAGTGAAATTAAAAAGCTCATATAATTATGACTCAACCGTATCGTTAATCCCTTAAGTAGAACTAAGGCCACGACACCTAAAAGAGCCATGATCATTTTCATACAAAATGGTTGTTTTTTCTTTCTTATGATTGTTGTTAATAAAAACTGCAGGCGCAGCAGCTAACTGGCTCACCCTCATCGTCGCGAGATTCGCCGTATGGAGGAACGCAAGTCAGGTAAACCATTTTTACTGAGCCAATATTCACGCTTTCTCCAGCGAGCAAAATTTATACGGGACGACGTACTTCATTCCCGACGCTGCCAAGCAACAGACGATCATGTACCCTCCGTTCATGGCGTATCCGGGCTTCAATGCGGACACCTCGCTGGCCTTCCTCGAGCGAACGGTACATCAAAAGACAAACGCGCGCACTTCGTTCTTCATGGGTGATGAGTACCGGCAATATCTTCTCAGGCAGAGCGGACAAAGAACTTAATCATTTTCTTGCCATTCTAATTTGAACTCGATTTGAGGGAAATTAAACTGAACATTAGAAGATCCTGTGATCGCTTACCTGTCACGTGATAACACGCTAGATTTGCATAATCTCGTTTTGCGAACTTAGGGCTTCTCTATCCCTCGTTGTGAAAATTCATTTTGAAGCTTTTTAAAGTCGTCACATCGAGTCCAGAACATCGGTCCAAGATCACTCTGTCGACGGCGTTCTGACGAAAGGTAAGAATAACTAAAGTTTGTGCGGCTAATAACCGGTACTTTTTGCAGCCTTTCCAGATATAACACCAACGAACTCTGCTTCAAAGGAAAGCTACCACTCGCTTTATCCACTTGAGCAGCTTCTGGAATCGAAGAGTCAGACGCTGTTGGCGCAGACTTCGACCTTCAGGGCGACGAGGGTCGAAGATGGATTGAACTATTGTTTGAAACGAATTCACGGTAAGAATCTTCTGTGGACATTTGTGCTTACAGGACTCTATTTCGGTCATAGATTTGAATATGTACGAGTCACGCGTTTTATGTTTTACCCAAAACAGGATCTGAACCGTTTGACACGCCCCTTTGTTTTCAACTCTAGAATGTTTTCAACCTTTGTTTCAGGATGTCGGAACTACTCTCAAGACGGCTTCAAAAACTTGACAAGATGGCAGTCCATTCGACACGCGAATATCGTTACCTTTCATACAGCTTTTACCATAAAGGTAAGCCCTAAAATAGAAAATAATACCCACAATGAAGTTCGACCAAAAAGTAGAGATCCGTTGATAGCGATCTTCCTGGTAAGATAATGATCCCTTTTGGCTGAGATGAAAATCTACCGCAGAAAATTGTTGCGGTTCTTGTGAGAGGATAAGCCCAGTGGCGGATTTGCCTAACAGACAGATTTATGTCTACATCGCTCACGTGCGGATATCTTATCAGTGAAGCTTTTTCGAACGTGCACCTGAATTTGATCCTCAGCGCTCAGCCGTGGATTACTACTATTTTTTTTTGTCTATCAAGATCAACAGTGTTCACTTTAGGCTTTCGGGGATAGTTCAATCATGTTCGTCTACGACTATCATCCGACTGCGGAGACGCTCATGCAGCGCCACTTCATGCCGTCAGCAAATCCGTGGAAGCAGAAGCGGCAACCAGTGACGGAGCCGGTGGTCTGGAATTACATCGTTCAGCTGACATCAGCACTCCGGACGATTCATGCCAAGAACTTAGCTTACAGACAGATGTTCCCGACGAATATAATTGTCACTGGCAAAGCAAGGTAATTATTTACAAACGACAACAGAGCTATCAATCTTTAATTCAGGCTTCGGTTGAATTATTCCGCTGTGCTAGATATGATGTCTGGCTCCAAAGAAGAGCTTCAGCGGCACAAACAAGATGATCTTTTCCATCTCGGTCGGGTACGTTCCAGAATTATTCAATGTTCACCTTTTTCTAATCAACTTTCAAGCTGCTCTTGGCTTTATGTTGCAATTCAACGCAACCCTTTCAAGGAGACCCTCAAGTCATGAATCAGTGCGCCGAGCTGGTCCGGAAAAGTTTTAGCGCTGATCTGTTCAAATTGATATCGTGAGTACCTCCTTTGTTAGATCTTTGTAAAGATGACATTTCTAGCTACCTGCTGAAACCAAGTGCAACGGGAAAGAGCGTAGACGCTCTTATGCCCATGATTGGAGCCCGGTTTTATACTCAATTTGACAGCTCACTTCTTTGGGGTGACATGATAGAAGGTGAACTCGAGAAGGTAATATGATTTTCTGTTTCATCCTTTTATGCTATTTTGAAGGAGTTGGAGAATGGACGTCTCTTCAGGCTCATATCGAAGATGGGCATGGTTCAATGTCAACCACCAGCAGGGGCGGCGCTTGGTCAGGAACAGTCCTGGTCTGAGTCCGGCGAAAGGCGGCTGGTCCGACTCTTCCGAAATTATTTATTCCGCCAGCGCACGGACCAGGGCAATCCTTTCCTTTCCCTTTCCCATGTCATATCATCACTAAACAAGGTAAATAGTAAATAGAAGCAAAAGTCTTACTGATCCCTAGCTCGACGTGGGGTCCGATGAGAAGATCATTCTGAACTCAAATGACGACCGAACAGTGATCCTTGCAACGTACAACGATATCAAATCAGCAATCAACAAGGTATGACACCTTTGAAAAGAGATTAGCTTAGTCCCATTCCAAGTGCTTCATGGATCTCTGTGCATAAATGGCGAGCTTGCTTTCTTCTCCGCGCTGCCCCGACATCTGTTAACCTTCGACTGACTTCTTCCGACGTCCAGCCCTATCAGGCAATGCCTTATTCACCAATTCTTGCCCTGAGTTGAGGCTTCCCCTCTCTCTCCCCAGTAACCGACAAAGCTTCAAACACACACCTTCTATTTATTATACCTAAGCGTTGAAACTAACGCGTGTGTTTGTAAATCTTCGTATATAAACATCAGAAAAAGGTGATTTCTCCCCTTTTTCACGCACCTTCCCTGCCACGCCTGGTCAACCTTCAACTTCTTATATTTTTTCCAAATTTCGAGAAATTGTAAATAGTGATGATGACTCGTCGTTGATTTCATCTCTGCCCCGACATCCCCAAACATGGTGGTTTTAAAAACCCCTACCTCGGGGCTTAGGTAGGAGTAAAAAACAAATATTGTAATTACTGTAATTTTTTGTCACTACATTTACTGTACAAATCGCTTACAAAAACAAAAGTCTCTTTCAACCACCTCAGGAAAGAAAACTCAGGCATTAATTAATACCCCCTAGATCCCCCTAATTAGAGCCCAAACGTAGGTCAAGGTCAGTTAGATATTAACAGAGCAAGATTTCGCCTGGTACCAAAAGTTGGTCCAGGAAGCTGCTATCCGCCAATTTCTCTTTGAACCCAAGCAAAATTCGTTCCAATTTTACTTCCCAGTTACTCTTTTGTCCAACAAGGACTTTCAGAAATTTTTCCAGGGTGATTTTCTTTTCCACAATTAAAACTTTATTTAAACTTATGCAACACTTTTTTTTCTTCCATTTCGAGCTTATTTTATTTTTTTCAACTAAAGCAAAGAGGTTCTTCTTTTCTGAGGATAAAATACTATCAAGCTTATCTTATTATTATATTGTATGTACAGCAAAACTGATAACTCTTCCACGAATAAGTTCACCAATAATTAACCTGTTTTAATGAAAATGCCAGTTCTAGTCAACATGGACGTATCTTGCTATACTCTCTCTCTCTTTCACCAATAATTACCTAACGGAGACTAGCCGAGATACGCTCCTAAAGAACGTGGCCAGGTCACGTGCAGAGCCATAGCTGGTTTAACCGTCGCTCGTGACCTAAATGACTCCTGTGCCATGGTGCCCAAATCGTCAACTTTATTTTTCCTTTTCTTTCCTTCCTATCTCTAAACAAACACGTCAAACAATTGTTTTAACCCTCTATCACCATCTCTGCCTGATCCAAAGATGGCAAAGACCGAAAAAAGCGATCACCAAAGGATCGAAACCGACAAAAAACTCCAAAAACACTCGACGTTGTCAGCGGTCCTTCATGATTCCGCGCCGTCGAGACAAAAAAATTCTAAAATCTTTTAAAAAAGGTGAAATGAGTTAGATACAAAGAACAGTTTATTCAATTAGCTACTGTAGCTTCTTCACTGTTTTATCGCTCTTTCTGTGCCACGAGATAAAAATAATAAAATCGTGAAAACCCATCTTTATTTTTTATTCACAAAGTCCGCATGTCTTGGGGCAAACTTTTTCCGCAAATTCTTGATCAGAAAAACATCTTGAGCGTCCAGCTATGCAAGCAAATTGGTTCGCATCCTTGCATGTTTTTCTGCAGAAACCGCACGAAGATCGGCAGTTCTGTTTCATTTTTTCAACGTATTTTGGAGCATGGCAATATTTCTTCAATTTGGAGCATTTTGGAGAGCGGTCTCTTGCTTCCTCGCATGTCAAATCGACGATCGTCTGATAGAAAGAGTCAGTAATAACAGAAAACCGTTGAAACGCATCTTACCCTCTTTGTTGGCTCCAATGCTTGCTTCAGATTAACCTCCAGCTCATTTTCATAAACGCATCTTAAAAACTTTGATCATTTTGTTGTTGAAAGAATTCGCCCTACTGAAAAGGAATTAGAACCTCAGCCCGCTCAACAATAGAGCTTGCTGTCTTCTCCTTGTCTCTGATCGTATTCTTGTAAATAATGTGGCTCTCGTTCGAGATCCTCTCTCCGCCGCAACTTGTCAGTCCGTCTTAAATTCTATCAGAAAATCTTTCGTTGATTTTTCCTACCAGAAATATTGAAATAAGCAAAATCATCATGCTTATTCAGCATGCATTCTCTATCATTGAGGCTCAATTCGTCATGAAACCGAAGAGGGATGAAAAACAAAGGAACGACAACTGTTATAAAAGCGCTTTGGCAGTCGAGAATGATTTCCATTTTTAATGGAACAACGGGTCTTTGGAAGGAACATTATAAGTAGATGTTGATTGAGCTCGATTACACGATAATGGAGGAGGGGGGAAAATGATTATCTGGATCATCGATTCTTCTTCTTTTTCGCCCTTTTGGAGCTACTGTTAAAACGCAAATGGCAGCTTATCGCGCTCTAAAACAGTACATCCCAAGTGTGACCTTGCCAATCCATATAATCTTTTATTTGTGGAATAGAAAAGAAACTGAAATAAATAATTCCAACACACCTCCTTTCTTTCTCACGGACACCACACACAAGAAGATGAACTTTTGACCCAATTGCAAAATTTAAAGTGACCCTAAATATTTAAGCTTGACGACGAGTCGGATGCAATTTTGAATGTTTCAAAAGACAGAATGGTTCGTTTAACTAGAATTGATTAATTCTGTTAAATAAGATTAGCATTTAAAATCATCGATAACAACCAAATTTAATGATAAGAAATGCAGTTTTATCTTATTTAAAAAAATATTTTATATGGGCATTCATTAGTGATTATAATACCGTATTATATAATATGCTTATAATACAATCTTATGTAATGATATGGCAGAGATATGAATATTCTGTCAGAAAAAATGAGAATATGTCCGCGCGATCCAAGAACGAGAAGGTCTTCCATCAAATTCTTCAATCAGGAAAAGTCCTCCCCTTTCTCAGCCACTTTCCCAGAGCTTGGAAAATCGACAGAGCCGCTGAAACCCTCAAAAAGCGCCGAAATAAAACACCTTTGCAGGATTATCTCTCGCCCTGCCCTTGGCCCTTTTGTGCCCCTTGCGGCTATTGGCCTCGGAGCGACCAATCAGCGCCGCGTTCTTCAGCTCTTTTGACTAAACAACCAGAAATCCCCAGCGCAAAGAGCTGTGTTCATCGAAAACTCGCGAAAAACGACGAAAACGCGCGATTTTATTTCATTTTACGTTTTGAGAGAAAAGCAGCAAACTCTAGAATAGCGAGAAAACGACGAATTTGCTCAAGAATAATACAAAAATCGAAGAAAAAGCGAAGAAAGGCGCCAAGTTCATTTGCAAAAGAAAGAAGTTGAAAGAAGAAGAATTTTAAAACAGTTGCGAAAACGAGAAAACCAAAAAGAGAAAAATCAGAAATTGCGGAAATCATAAAAGAGGAAATTTGGAAATAAATGGAGCAGTAAATGACAGATGGACGCGATGGCTACGAATTAGCTCCAGCATGGCTCAGTAGCAAAAACTTGCAATCTGTAAGTACTCACTTTATGCAGTAATTACTTCGTACAAAAAAATGCGTGTTGGGTGGGTGTATTTTGATTCAATTGCATTTTACTTGGCCAAATTACAGTATTTGATCGTGAAAGTGTTTTTGGATCAACAGTTATGCTGATATCATATCATTCATAAAAATTGATGATAACTTTCTAGCAGCTATTCTCATATTTTATCATCATCAAAACTGACGCCAGTTCAATGTGTCTTTCCTGAAAAAGGGTCCAATATGAGAATTCATTATTAATCATTATTTAGTATTTTTTCGTCCATAAAATTGGCTTGCTAACCCGCGTAAAATACCTGAGTCAGGCGATAATGAGCGGCTTTTGAAGCTCTTTAGAACCTGACTCGGGTTTTTCTCGCCAGCTGCCGAGCCTAGTCCGGAAAAAGTCATTTCCTTACAAATGTAAGGAAAAGAAAGCAATTGCTTTCTTGCCAAAAATGCTCGGTAGTTAATTTGATCTAATACTCCTTTGGTTTTGAAACTGATAAATTACTCCGTTATTTCAGAACGGAAGATCACGACTAAATTCAAAACCAGCAACGGCCAGCGATTTCTTCGCGCGTGCCCCAGTTCAAAGAAAAACAGAAAACGTCAAACGACCAATGTAAGTTTACAGTTACTGAGTAACGAATCTCTGTACAAACTGCGCTTTCTAGCACCAGTACAAGTAGTCCATCAAATTATCCGCCGCTAAACAAAAATCTCGGCTTCCTGCAGAAAGGACCACAGCATTCATGGGGTAAAATTCTTTCAGAATCGACAGTAACTAAATCTGATTTACAGGGCAAAGACAGAACAACGACCGCTTCCGAGCGGCGGCGGCGACTTCGCCAAAAGCTGATGCAGGCTCATCAGTAGTCGGGACCGCGCGGCTCGCCCCCAGGCGCGGTCCTGGAACAGCCCAACCCGAGCAGGTACTTTTCTATTTTAAAATGACGTGTGTTTGCATTTGAGCCTCTTTAGTTTTGGAACAAACCCAAGGGAAGACCTGGCCCTCTGTATGCTGCAAAAACAACTCCGGAAAAGATAATAGGTACAAATTTATTTGACTTTACCAAACCAGAAATTGAAAAGAACTTGCTGCTTTTGCTTATGTTTATTTTATGCTAAATTTGTAAAAGCATAGAGGAAAATTTACCAATTGATTTCAATCAATAATTTGCTTAATGTTGGTTTGTAGTGCCTGTTAATGCGGCTCAATCCCAGTCGACTGGCTCGACTGGTCAGATGCAGTCGCTAGAAACCAAAGTCTTCAAAAAGCGCATCCCGCGCGGCTCAACCTCTTCACTTGGAAACTCGTTCGAAAACAACAATGACGAAACGGCGAGCAGCGGTGGCGACAATGGCGATGACGGTGACGTCGAAATTCCCTTTGTCGCCGTCGACAACCACACAGGGCATGAGGTCGAATTCTTCAAAATGCTCGCGCATGATTGGGAATCGGAGCTCAAAAACACGCAGGAATGGGGCTCTAGATTTCTACAAAATGAGAAAATTTGGTCTACCTGGGTTGAATTACGTGAATCATGGTCTTGAAACAGCTTAAAATACAGCCGCGAAGCGGCTTTAAAAAAAGCGAAGCCGCTTTGCGGCGTAGTTTTTAATCTAGAAAGGCTTGCGTCTTCTGTCATAAGAGAAATAATGAATGATTTCTTATTAATCTTATTCATCTGTCAGCCACTTAAGCATCATTTTGAGCCCTTTTAAAAGCCGCTGTCAAGGCGTGAGATTGAGCAGTGGGCGATTACGCGTCCAGACAAGGCCCGGGAAAAGTTAAACAACATGAAGTACGTGTCCCTTTTTTTATTATTCATCCCCTTTGCGACCGGCGCAGCTGATGTTTTATTTTTAGGGCGCGAGGACTGTTCGATGGATCTGTGCCGATTCTCAGCGCCGCACTGGAAACGCTCCCGGTCTCTGTCTGAAGAAAAAAAAGACTCTTTTCTTGTCGTTGTTAATCACCATCCACATTCTGTATGACCTTCAAACTCATATTTTTTGAATCCCTTTCTCAAGAGAAATTGAAAGAAGATGAGTTGGGTAAAGTTTTTATATTTAAAAAAGTGTATAGGCGGGTTTTCTCTCTTTTCTCTTGAAAAAAGGTTCAAATGATACCTTTAACCTATTCGCGAATGCTAGCCAATCTTTTGACAGGGTCGAAGAGTTCTTTTTTGACCATGCAAAAGAATCGGTTCAGCATGCGTCTATGAGTTAAGCTACAGAAGAGAGCCGATCAGGCTCGTTCTCCCTTTCTCTTTCAGCTTCTTTATTATTTTTAGTTCATTGGTCATTGTGTCCAGTTCAGTTTTTACTATTTTTGTTAATTATTTCAATCACAACCAAACTCACCATATTATTCATGCGTGAACACCAGCATTTAAATATATAAAAATATATATTTTAATTTTTCCAAGTCCCAACATTGTAGCCCAGTGTCGCACTATTTCTCCTACAAAAACAAAAATGACTCAGACAAAATACAACTTATATTCTGACTTTATTTACATACACACAGATTTCTAATCTAAAACTTAACAGCATTTTTTGAATATTAATCTAGTTATCTTTATATATTGATATTTGATTATTTGCTGCTTGACAAAGCCTATCACCGAGTAAAGAATTATTTACTTTATCTAAGCAATACATATTCATATATAAAGATACGACAGAATTAAAGATAAAATTGGGTACTTATTTGAACGGTCTAATTGCTCTTAGATGTCCGCATTTTAACGGATATATTCTTCCTCGAGAAAGTTCCTATTTTAACGGATGAAAGAGCCCAAGGCTTGTTGAAATTCCGTTAAAATGGCGACTTTTTCGAGGAAGAATAAATCCGTTATAATGCGGTCATCGGAGAGGAATGCGCCCGTTGGAATGGGTACCCCAAATTTTTGTTAATTGAATTGAATCACTTCCAAAAAATAACCCTTCCTTACAGTTACAGTAGATAATCGTTTGTAGAGCGTCAAAGAACGCTACTTATTCGGTACACATTGGTGTAACAAGTATCTTTTCTTAAATATTGATCCTGAAATTTTAAAATAATCATTGTGTTATCATTAGAAATTTTATTTCCTGAGCTAATTGATGATAGAATATTTCTAGAGCTTTACTTTTTGTTTTTTGCTTCACTTACTCTTTTACAAGAGATTTTGTACAAACAATAACTTGTAGATGACAGATCAGGTTCGTCGATTTGATTGAAAATTAATCATAAATAAGGATGGGGCGTAAGTGATCGGTTTTCGAGGGCAGATAGTAGTGATTTCAATTCTAGAGCTATTCAGGGAAATTAATGAGCTATGAAATGTCTGGCGATCGTTTGCCAAGATCTAATTATAAAGCCAAATACTGAGAAATCAATATGGGATGGAATGACTCATTTCCTGCTGAAATTGAGAACCAAGCACTCACTATTATTACCTTCAAAAACAGATACACCAAGTCGTTGAAGTCCTCCCTTTTTTATCCATGAAAATTTCAACCATCCCCTGTGCCCGTTTTTTTCCTAAAGTTCAAAAAATCAAATTAAAAATTTTCAATTCTCCTCATTTACTATTCTCTCATCTTTTTCTCGCAACGAAAACAAACAAAAAACAGAAAGAAGTCGTTTATTTTCACTATTATTATATTCATGAAAAAATAAGTTTTTTGACGTTTTTTTTGTTCAGAGGAAATCAACTGATTCAGCCGTGGAACATGATATGAGTGATCAGGAGTTCGTCCTGCTCGATGAGATCGGCCAGGGCGCTTTTGGAAAGGTCTACAAAAGCAGGAAGAGCTCGTCGAAGGAGATTCTTGCAGCAAAGGTACAATTCTAGCGCTACTCTAGAACCAAACGAATTCTGTTCTTCAGATCGTGACATGCTCGGCTCCGGAAGGCATCGATCTCGCGCTCGCGGAAATGTGGGCTCTTTCAAAGGTAATTCTTCTTTTTCTGTTCATTTCATCAAAAAAAAAACTTAGCTGCCGCATCATCCGAATGTCCTGCGTTTTCACGGGGCATATCTCGAAGCCGACGGAGAATTCACATATCTCAAGCACGGCGACAAAACCAACTCTGCTTATCGTCGTCTTATTGAGGTACTAATACTCGAATGGCTGTAGTTCACTAATTTATCGTTTAGTCTTGCCTGAAAGGAGAAATGATGTGTTCGGTAACGCGGGACTCGCGCTTGTGGTTCATGACAGAGCTGTGCTCTGATGGCGACCTCAACCGATACATCCTAAAGATCCAGGAATCCAAGACAGCTGCTGAAAATAGTCTCATTAATGCCCAGATTTGTATACAGATGCTTGACGGTTTAAAATTTCTTCACCATGTAAGTGCTTCCTTTAGAAACCATAGAATGACTCATTCTTTCAGAATACAGTCGTTCACAGAGACCTCAAACCGGAAAATATACTCGTGGATTTGGCGGACGAGTTGCGCCCGAAGATCAAAATCGCAGATTTTGGCCTTTCCACGGTGATTACCGAGGAGAACTCGCGCTGTTCAAGCGCATGTGGGTCCGATTACTTCATGGCGCCAGAAGTTTGGAACGGACCGCAGAAAGAATACCAAGTGCGCACCGCTTTTCTTTTTCATCCGTTTTAAATCGAATTCAGGGTGATCTGGCGGATGTTTGGTCTGCCGGAGCATGCTGCCTCGCGCTGACAGACAGAGTCTACTTCCGCGACTCGAAGAGTAAAAAGAAGCTGCTGGGCATCTACTACAAAGACGAGGAAAAAGGAAAAGTAAAGAGCCTCGGAGAAACTCAGGTAGATAAAGCCCTTATTCTCAATGAATCCGGATTAATTTTTATTGAAGTTGGGTAGAGCAAACGTTGATGTAGAAGAATTCGTCGAGAGATTCAAAAAGCCAACGAAGCCAATCGGCTGGTACGGCAAAGATGACAAGTTCAGGAAAATCGTCGTCAAGGCTCTTTCTCGCGAACCCAAAGACAGGTACGCACGCGCTAATCCTTTTCTTTCCTCAGCATTTTTAGACCTACAAGTAAAGAATTCCATCACCAGCTCGTGCTCGCTGGCAAGGCGAAGATCAACCGCTCAAAGAGCGGCAACATTCGCGAGAATTCGCCGAAGCCAGTGCCCGAATCACCGCCGCTGAAGATTCGCCGCTTTGCTCGCGTCCGAAGACCACTGCGAGACGTCATTCCGGTAGAAAAACACAATAGAAGTCCTCTTCTATCGCATTAACTTGAATTTAACCGGTGACCATTTAAATCTATTCTAAGTAAACGGGTCGAGAAAGGTAACCTTCGATTGATTTTTCAAATTCAATTTGAATCAATTTATTTTCAAAGGGCCTTCTCGCCCCGTTTACTTATTCTGTCAATTATCTGTCGGTGAATTTAGCCTCCACTTCCTTTTAATTTCCTTATCTGTGTACTGCCTCCTGACGCACTGCATTATTTTGTCTATAGATTGTATTCTCAATTGAATTTTCAAGGTCTTGAGAACTTCTCTTTTTTGAACCTATCCTAGCTCGTATTCATCTAGTTATTATTCCGAGACTCAATAAGTTGATTGAAATATGTCAATATTATATTCAAAAAGTATTATTATTTCCTACAAACTGTTTACTTTTTCTTTTTTGCTTCGCTGCGAGTCGTTTGAATTTCAATTTTTTCTATCAACTTCAAGTTGTCAATTAAAAGAAAAAATTGGAGTTTCGCGATCTCAACTTTTCCGGTGCTAATTTGATGATTTAAAAAAAAATTTCGCGGGCCCGGAAATCGTCAAAAAACTTCTTGTCTAGATTTGTAGAGCTCGTCGAGACGAGTCGAATGATATATAAAACTCCTGACAGTTTCAAGATTTTCCGCCAAAAAAAGTGATAAGAAGGTGTCTTATCAAAAATTTTCTGACCGGCGCCGTTTTTGTTCTAGAAAAGCTGAGGTGATGCTTGACCCCGGAAAATGATCCTCATGGTCTGTTCTATTCCGGCAAAAAATTTCAGCTCGTTATCATTTACCCAGCCGAGTTTATCGTTAACCCGATAACGCGAGTTTGAAATTATACGATAACGAGAGCGGGAGCAGTTAGTGCACCCGGGCCATCTAGAACAATTTTAAGCAAAAAGAGCGCAAAACTGCTTGTTTTCTTGGTCTGTAAGACGGCGCTTTCGTCGGATTTTTGAAAAATGCTCGGTCTAGAACTCCTGAGAACTCTTTTTTGTGAGGAAAAACGCGAAAAGAACGCGCGCTCTCTTGATGAATGTTATGTAACATTGAGTTCTCGAGACGAATTTCCAAAAATTTCCTCCTTTTTTGTAAAAAATAGGGATTAAATAAAGAGTATGAAGATTTCTTAAAGTCAAAGTAAGTGAGGAATAGGTGCTAGAATCTAAGTTTTTTTGAATTTTTGGATTATCTTCAAAATTGAAGAAAATCACAATGCAACAACTAGCTCTGGGAGCACTAAGTGCTCCCGCTCTCGTTATCGGGTTAAATTTCATTTTCCAAGGAAAATGGGACTGTAAATGGGCCGGAAACTAGGAACGTGCAGCGACAACAAAATGCACTAATTTTTTGATTTTTCGCTGATAAGCACAGCAGGATATGTGAGGACGAGCTGAAATTTTTTGCCGGAATAGAACAGACCATGAGGATCATTTTCCGGGGTCAAGCATCACCTCAGCTTTTCTAGAACAAAAACGGCGCCGGTCAGAAAATTTTTGATAAGACACCTTCTTATCACTTTTTTTGGCGGAAAATCTTAAAACTGTCAGGAGTTTTATATATCATTCGACTCGTCTCGACGAGCTCTACAAAACAAGACAAGAAGTTTTTTGACGAGTTCCAGGCCCGCAAAATTTTTTTTGAAATCATCATTTATGCTTTCTGAAAATATTTCAATTTCAATGTAAAAACGGACGTTTTAGTATTATGTTGACGATAAAGGAGTCCGAATTGTATTCTGGTGATGTTCACACAATAACTCGAAATCAAAAATCATTCAAATAAACAACAACGACACTGTTCTTGTTTGTACCATCCGCTGACAATCAAATCACCAACAAAACAAATCAAGACAACCCACTGAAATTCACCTAATATCACCCACTATTCTGTTCCTTTCCAAAAAATCGATTCTTCTTCGTCAATTGTAATAAATCATAACTTAAAAACTGCGATTGAAACAGAAATAAAGACAAGCCATTTTATATCACCTTCCAGTTTTGAAACATTCTTGTTTATTTCGCCACAGAAAATATACTTGATAATAACTCGGTTAATTTTTAATGTGGCCTGCCAGACACAGGGAAAGGCAACAAGTGTCTATATCAACTTTTAGTCAAATAGATACGACACAAGTTTGTTTTTGAGAAAGACAATTCAGAGAAATAATTAAGACTGAAGATGCGATTATTTTTTCTCCTCGTTTCATCTGCGTTTTCTTCGCTTGTTCAAAAGTCAAAATTTCAAAATGCTGTGAAATTTCGGGATTGCGGAAGCAATGGGATGGTTGTTCAAAATGTCGAAGTCACGCCTTGCGACGTTCAGCCCTGTGAGCTTTTCCATGGGCAGAATTACTCGATTTCCGTCGACTTTACAAGCCAGGTAAGCACTTTGTAGAATTGGTACTCTTCCTTGATATCAATAATGATCACTTCGAGTCGTCTCTTTCGCAATAGAATCAATACATAGTATCACCATCTATCTACGAGAATCCCAAAATAAATTGCTCGTCTTTAATCGCTATCTATCATTATATTTATTTTCACGCTTGAAAATACGCCGCATCATCACTTTTTCCATTTTCGACAAAATCAATAGAAGCCCTTATCTCTTCTCGTTTTTGACTTTAAACTTTACGATCGCCTTGGGGCAGTGGGGTCATGCAGGCACGTGCTGACCTGTCAAGTAAGGTCTGGTGACATTGGGTCTGACTTAGAGGCTTTTCTTGATCACATGACCGCATTACGCAATCCGCGCGTTTTTTGGAGACGCGCCCGATTCTCTATCTTTCTGAGCTCAGAGCTCAAGCCAAAATGACCAAAAAGAGCGAGAGAATAGAAAGAACAAAGAGACCGCGCCGCCACGCGCTGAATAAAGATGGATTCTGAGCGTCGACTTGAGCTGAAAAAAAAGAAGTTGATTTTTTATATAGAGCGATGACTTTGTTTCGTTCAAACTTTGTGGACAATTGGGACCCGTTTGTGTGCCCTTTCCAACTGGAGTCAAGGACTTCCAAGGTAAGAGCCTTTCCTAGAGAATATTTATCGACAAATGAAATATTGATTTATAGATTCTTCATAGAATAGGAATAATCTAAAATAAGAATCATTCTAAAATATAAATCCATTTTTTCTAGTGACTGCCGGCGCAAACAAATTCTCTTATTCAATGCCTATTCTATCGAGCTATCCAAACATCAAGGTCGTTGGAAAATTCGAATTCACGTAAGTTCACTCCGCCGCCGGGTGAGATCATCGCCGGCACGGTCAATTAGCCGGATACTTCGTTTTCTGGTTCAAATGACATCTTGTGTTTTTCGTTGAATGTGATAGAGTTTCTGAGAAATTTAACGGCGGAGAATTTATTTAATTGATTTGTGAGCCTACCGCCGGTTTGGAAATTACCACTAAAGAAAATATTTATGAGCTCATAAATCAGCTAATAAATCTCCAGAAAACGACTCTTATCGACAAGTAAACTTATAACTGTTATCTTCAGTGGACAGAGCAAGGCCTGTTTCATGGTGCCGCTGAAGATCATGCCTTCAAAAATCTCCGAAGAGAACGTTTTCCGACTGGAAAATATTATCCCAGGTCTTGACTCACTGTCTCGTAAACAGTCATCGGATCATCACGATGATGGAGATGAGCGTCTCTAAAACAATGCCCGAATCGCGCGTCCTAGTCATTCTATCCACAAAACTTGTTCTCTCACTGCTATTTTCCCTTTTTTCTGAAAAATTTCTTCACAGATTCGATTTCGACAAAAAAATCGTAAAAAGAGAATTTTGATTTCAGAAGTGGGATAAAACAACGAAAAAATGCGAAGTGAATTCAAAAACCGAAAGACCTTTGAAGACCGCGCTCGAGATTCGGCCGCCATCAGAGATCAACATCCAAACAAAGTGCCTGTAATTGTCGAGCGATCTTCCTCTGAAAAGTCGCTGCCTATTCTTGACAAAGTAAGTCGTGCTTCAGCTTTCTTGGCCTAGATTTGATTCTGACCTCTAAAGCGAGTCAAATAAACATGTCGTTTCTTCAGACAAAATTCTTGGTCCCCGATCATGTGACCGTCACCGAGCTGATCCGAGTACTGAGGCGGAGGCTCAACCTCGCCCCTGGCCAGGCATTCTTTCTCCTATCAGACCGAGGACTCCCCCCAGGAACACAAACCCTAGCCGAGCTTTGGGAGGGCGAGCATGACGAAGATGGATTCCTCTATGTCTTCTACGCCGCTCAAGAGTACTTTGGCTAAAGGTAGACATAAATTATTCACGCCCTTATTAACGAGATCCTAGATGATCTCAATCGATGATCGGGCTCTCCATTCTCCAACCAAAAATACCATAAAAATTCAAAAAAGCTCTTGAAACTCATCAAAAAAATGCTCTTTTCTTGCGCCTCGCCTCCCTCTCTTCCCATTACTAATGGGGCCATTAGCGAACGACGAATTATGGATTGAAAAAAAACATCAACCAAATACACATTTATCTATATCAAGATACTCATCCCTTTTTTATCTATTTGTCGTATTCTATCAGTATCATTGAAATATCGCTAAATTTTGGTTATGAAGACCTCATTGTGTCAAAAAAGCAGCCAATTTGACCTCATCATCAACACAGGACTATTTCTACTCTGTCTTTTACCAGTATTTTCTTATTTTTATTATCAGCGCTCCGCATAATTATTCAGAGCCCCCACTTCACTGTACATTTATCGCTTCAGGAAATTCGCTTAAAAAAGGATATTTAAAATTTTTTGTTCGCTGCGAGGTGAGGTTTTATTTTGTTATTTTCTTTTGCGTTTTGTTTTACAAAGAGTGAAGCCTCTTTGCTCTTGAGTGAAACTATTCTTACGATTCTCTTTTTTTTTCTACAAAAAATCACAAAAAAGGATTCACTATCGTAGTGAACGGAAAAAAGGTGTTACCGCGATTTTCGTCTTTTTCAGGATTTTCTCTGTTCCGTCTATTTCAAAATAAACTTCAACAAAATTCGAAAACCAGTGTTTGGAATCGGCAAGTTTATTAGACAAAGTGCAGTTGTTAGTTGAAAGCAGTGATGGAATCATCAGCAGTGACGATAGAATACGTATCTGATTAGGTTGAACTTTTTTAATAGCACTAGTATCTGCTCGATACTAAGTTGGCTTTGGAACTTATTCAGGTGCAATTTGCCAGGCATAAATAGGCAGTCCGCTTTCTGAAAGGCTTTCCATCGATCCGATAGAAGTTTCTCTTTCTGAAGCGACCCTATAGGGCCTAATAATCACTTGTGGATCATATGTTTCTTGCCGCGAATTTGTACTCTTCGTTGATTTCTCAAAGGTCTGCTCAACCCTTCCTGGGAAGTTTCTGACGTTCTTTCGTCCTTCGACTTTCTTGTTCAGTTGCTCGAGCTTGTAGAGATATTCTTTCTTTTCTTTCTTTAGGTCGTCTTAACAAAAGATTCTCACAATTTCAAGCTGAAAAAAACCCTCACCGAAGAACATCTCTGACTGTCGAAGCTCCCACTTAGCATTGTCTCTCATGATCTTTTCCAATCTTGGTTTTTCCCGTTCTCGTTCCACTTAAAATCAGTTGGTTGATTGCTTAAGTTTCTATCTACCTAGAAGATCTTGCTTCTCTCGAAGGCTTGCTTGTCTGCTCTGCTGTTCTAGCTCGAGCCGCTGTGCAGTTTTCTCCAGCTCTCTTTGCGCCTTTTCGATTTCTGATTTGGGAATCTTTGGCTTTGCTTTTTTGGCCTCGGACTGAAGCCGACTGACAGTTGCGTTGAGTTCCAAGATTCTATAAAAATAAGACAGAACCAAGTGAACTTCTCGATACCTGGACGTAAGTTTCTCTTGGTTCTTGTCGAAAATCCCTTTGTTCGAAGGCGTTGTGAATTCCTCGTTTAAATTTTTGATCACTTCAGAATCGTCTTCAACATCTTTGATTGCTGCATTTACCACGCTCAACTCATGGTCAAGTTTGTCCAGCTGTTCTTGAAGTCGTTGATTATCGCGATTGACTTCCCCGATTTCTTTATTTTGTCGATCTTGAGCAAGGCTAAAGGTGCGTTCTTTCGCCATGTGTTGGGAAGAAAGAGCTCTGACTTCATCTTTAGTAGCATTTACGCTCCCTGATTTGAGTTTAAATCATTTCTAAATCAAGTTTTACATCTAATTTTGAAAAATGCAAAACTCTCCTTGAATTTCTTCGATTCCCTTTTGGAGCTTCGCGGATTCGCCTTGAATGAATTCCTTCTCCTTCGTTATAGTCGCCAAATCTTGCTCCAGTTGAGCATGCTCCTGGATCAATTCTTCAAGCTCCGCTGTCGCTTCATGAGACCCTTTCAGTTTTCTTCCCATGGTTCTCTTATTGACGAAAATAAAAGAAATCTGAGAGACGTTAGATTAGTCTAAGAACCGTGCCTATTGTTTGCCATGATCTCGTCTTCAGCTATTTCTGCATCATTGATTGTCTTCGTCGCACGATCTAGCTGATCTTGAACATCTTTGAGCTCTTGCCAGAGCTGCGCTTTAGATTTTTGAGGACTTCCAGAAAACGATGGAGCTGGTCCTCTTGGCATTGAAACTGACTTTGTTTGACCAGTCTTTATGAATCAGTTTGAAATATCATAATCACTTTTTTCACTAACCTTCATGTCGTTAAATGTCATCCCCTGAAGCATGTTTTGGAGACCTGCTCTTGACATGCTTGCCGAAAATAAGCTTGGAACGCGAAAGAATATGTATTTCTCTTGTACTCGTAGAAAAATGCCTCGTTACTTTTTCTCTTTTTGTTCAGATATTGAGGCGCTCAAATCGTCGTTTTACGACCTTTTGTTCATTACGAGCTTTTCCCTCCTTTAGCGAAATTTCAAACTATCCACTTATTCGCTTCTTTTTTATTATGAAATGAGTCCAAAACATCTGAATCGTTTTCCGGGATACTGTTGATTACTTCAAATAAACGTACAAATCTGACTTTTCTGGTTATTTATTATCAATGATAGGCAGTTGCAGCTAGTCAGGAGCAGGAAAGATATCAATTAAGTGGCCTCAATTGCTCAGCACAGAGAATATCATCAGGTCCTCGAGTCTCTCTAATCTTTCGTGTTTCATCGTCAAATGTGAAGAGTCCTTCAAGTGGAACTCCCTTGAACTTTTTAGCACCGACTGTGCTCTTCGAATGGTCGTTGATTGGATATGTTGGCCATCCGAGACCCCATGCTTCGGCGAGGTGGCTAAGGAAAATGTTCGTCAACCAGCGATGAGCATGGGCAGTCCAGTGGATTCCATCGTTCTCTCGGAACTGTTCTTGGCAGTTTCTGAACCAAAAATTGGCGTCTAATACATCCCACTTTTTCTCGTTCATGATTGGGATCAGATTCAAGTTGCATCGCGCGATATCTTCTCTGTACATCGCGCTGTTGTTTTCGCCTACAAAAACGACAAGGTGAGAGGGATCGGATGAAGCAACAAACCTTTTCCTTCAAGGACGCCTCCTTTAGTTTCTGCAGCGATTGGCATGGAAGTTCTCCAGATTTTCAAACAAGGCTGGAGAAGTGTGCATTTGTTTATTGCTTCCATTTCCTTTCTCCGAATAAAATCACAGAGTCTTTCTATATTTCGCTGGAACGTCGGGTAATAGTTGAATCCTGCAGGATGGTTTAGAAGAAACTTTTAATATGGAAAAATACCGTTCTTGTCCTTGGAAGGGCGAACTTCCTCCCATCGACTGATGTCCCAAAAGGTCGAGTTTATGCAAATGACGTCTGGAAAATGGTCTTCTGTCAACACGTTCAATAGCTGCTCAACATATTCATTATAGGCTCATTAGGAATTCTTATGCGTCTCTGACGTGGACTTGGGCACACGGCGCGTATGAATTTAGGCACCGCATCGCCACCGCTACCAGGCGAAAGCGTCGAAAATGAAAATCGTCTTTTTTTCGAAATCAACGAAGAGAATTAAAAAATTACGAGTCCCTTTCCTCGAGTGATAAAACCAAATCGGATAAGAATCGAATCCGTCCAGTTCCATTGCTTTTTCCGGGCAAGCTCTTTTTCCTGAAAAGTAATATCTAAAATCTTTTCATTTTAACCCGCTTTTACCTCATAAGTAAGTGGCCAATATCCGCGATATTCGCGAACTTCCGTGAAATTCGTCTGATTTGTCAATTCCGAAACATTCAAGCACACATCCCCACGATAGCTATTTTCGCCCTTGGCTCGCTTTTCGGCATCTAAGAAGTTGGATAATTAAGTTAATATTCCCGTAATCAAGTCGCCACTTGTTGTGACGTTGAGTTTTTAGATTGGCGTTTTAATGAAAATATGATTGCCATGGAATGACCAATAAAGCTGTCATCGTAACAGATGAAGGTTTTGAGATTACTACCTTGTCCACTTGATCTTCAAAATGAAAAGGGAATTTTCGGAAGATCAAGCTAGTGAGATTGAGCTTGAAAAAGTGGATGATGTAAAAATTTAAGCCGCTTTTTCCTATTTTTTTCATCTTTTGATGCTCAGAGGCGTAAATATTTAATCTGACAGACAGTTGATGCTCTAACTAGACAATCATTCGTATAGTTCTGAATTCTTGGCTCGGCAAACTGTGTAGAAAACCTAAGTAAGGTTCTCAGAGAGCTCAAATTTCCACTAGGTGGCTTTTCGTGAAAGCTCTTCAAATCCTGAGGATTCCCGACTCAGGTTTTCTACACAGGCCGCCGAGCCCAGTCTGAATTGGGAAGGGCCCCAGACCGAGTAAAATGGGAAGGCCAGTGTTGCTCGCGAGAGAACCTGTCGGACAACACCTCCTATCGATACCATCGATCAATATTTCTTTGCCTATAATTGAACAGTCCAGCAAAGGGTTTATTCTTCGTCCCAACAAAAAATTAACAAAAAGAGAAAATAACGAACCTCCCATAAGATGACCATCGTGGACAAGGGCAACCAGGTCTTTGTACATCCCTCGTTGAACAGAATCTCCAAGAAAAAGAATATAACGCTGTTTTAAAAGAATCCGCGCTTGGGTTCTTTTTGAGGATAACAATCGTACTGTAAATACGACTTTGTAATTGACGCACGATATCTGTCATTTCAGACGTTCGAGCCCACAGCGTGTCTTTAAAGTTACAGTGTACACACACTGATTTACTGAATAAATGAACTTCCTTTTTTTTGCACGCGAATCAGGATATTTGCATACTCAGGTATTCATCTTGACCTTGAGAAAAAAAAGAATCGACGCTTGATTGTTTTATGATGAAAAATAAGGGATAATGCAAGATTATTAATTGAAAGTCAATCATCTTAAAGTTCAATCTGATGAAACTACGTCTATTGAGCGGAAAAACGCATTTTTCACCAATAAGATTGGTATTTTAGCCGATTGTTCGCCCGTAGGTAGGTTTAATCTGCCCAGGCAATTGTTAATCAGGCCCTGAGGCGAGTTCGTTCCAGAGATTTTATCCCCTTTCCTGAGAAATACATTCCCAGGTTGAGCCTTTTCCGACATGAGTCCGTCCTAAATAATTCGCTTGCCCAGTTCTTCAATACTTCAAATTCTTCCAGAATTTCGTTTTCAACCCTTTTTTCTTCAATCTCTCCACGGCGGCCTCAGGAGGACTCGCTAATTGGCCGCGTAGGTAAATAACGCGCGTCCATTGGCCGTGAGGACGCGCAATGGGCGCAATAGGTGTAATTGCTCGACTCGAGTCGACTCGATTTCCGAGCCAAAAAGGAAAACGATCGACTCGAAAACTCAGAACTTCCTTGAACTTAGATTTTCAATCTTCAGAGTTTCATCGACCAATCACAGGAAGAGAAAAGTGGCTGGAGGAGCCCCCTCTCCCTCTAGTGGAAGAATTACTAATTGAAGGACGATTACCACTTTACATAAAGAGTTTTTACGTCCATTTATTACAGCAAAATTAAATTAAGACGTCGTTAAAGACATAATAAAAACGCGATTACTTACTATCAGCAATGTTTTATGACATCATTTAGAGCCCCTTTATGGAAGGCGTATGATTAGTTTACGGAATTTGTTATGTAACGTACCCCACCCCCTTGCTCGCTCACATTTTGTGAACATTTTTCCCTTGCCCGCTTAGTTAAATTTCATCAAAATCCCCTTGCTCGCTCTCATTCTTTTTTCAGCGCGCTCCATAAGTCGCCACCTTTCTTTTCACCACGCGTGCCCTTGTTCGCTCCTCCTCACCCATTTATCCCTTGTTCGCCGCGAGACCGCCAAAGCCTAGCTCGGCTTGGGTCGCTCTTACTTTGGACTCAAGCTTTTCATTGGGAGCTATATTTTCGATTTCCATGAATATTTTTACATTAACTAAACTTTATTTTCTCTGATTTAAGCGTCCAGTTAACTTTATTGTAGCATCGCTGAACTAATAGTACCTAATTTAGCGTTGCGAAATGTGCTAATGAAATGTGCGTTAGTCAGTCAGAAATGCCAACCGCGGTATAATGCCATTAACTTGATTGTGTGACTTCATAGGTACATTTATACTCAAAATAGTCGGATCTTCAAGTTGAGACTGCTTAAACTGGTTTATTTCACCTTAGCGTTCTACAAGGTAACCCTGCAAGGTACATGTAGGTAACCCAGATTTTTCCGTCAATTCTTTCCAAAAATCTCAATAAATGAATTTTGAGAAAGAAGACATGAGATTTTTAATAAAGGCAGTTTCTAAGTTTTAATCCAAGTACTTCGAGTACTAATTTTTACTTGAAATCGGGGGTCAAAATTTTCCTCTTATGAAGACGATATGAAATTTACACAAAATGGACCTGAAAGAACATAAAAAGATAAGTTTCTTTGGAAAAAAAATCATGAAAATCCAATTAAAAAAGCCTGTTCAAAAGTAAAAACGAAGATAAGCTATGCATTATAAAGCGTTCTCGCGGGGCTTCACGAGCGAACAAGGGATAAATGACGGAGAAAGGCGGGCGAGCAAAGATGCGCCGTCGAAACCAAGGAGAGCGAACAAGGGGGCGTAGAAAGCAAAAGAAGGAAAGTGACCAAGGGAATTTGGTAACAAAAAGCGAGCGACCAAGGGGGGTCTTGTTAGAGTTTAACTAAGCGAGCAAGGGAAAAATGTTCACAAAATGTGAGCGAGCTAGGGGGTGGGGTACGTTATTTAGAGTTTCCAACCGTTCATAAAGAGAAATTTTTCTTGGGAGAAAATCATTTGGGAAAAAGAAACAAAAAGAGAAAAATTCCTGAAGATTTTTTGCCGATATCTCGAGTATTGTGAGAACCCATTTTATGGCCAAGTGCATTTGAGTCCTTTTGGGTCACATTTATTTCAGAAAAAGACCTGAAGCAAGTTCAAACATGCCCGCGGGCGAGGGCGGAACAAGGTCGCCTCGAGCTATTTGCTTAGGAGTATACTTTTTTGAAATTGACGTCACCCGCCGCTGGGCACTGTTTGATAAAGAAAGAATACTTCAGGAGGATCTTACGCACTCTCCCTCTCGATGATGTGATCATGTGTACAACAAGAAGACTACAGCAGTAGTTGCGTGTGCCCAAGCCCAGTTAGAAAAAAAGTATTGGAGGCGAACAATAGGGCTAGGGGAGCCCAACACGGCGCCCTTGAGCAAAGTCTTTACATAGTTTTTTCTCTTTCTCTTACTCCATTTCTTTGAGACTGAAGGAGATAAGAGCCTGAGAACCGGCGAGAAAATAGTCTTTGAATTCTTGAGTTTCTTGAAATGGAGCTTGGCAAGAGAGTACTTTTGGGCGAAGAAATCAAGGAAGAGAATTTTCTTTTCTTAGGGAAAATCTGCTGATAATAATTACTATGCGTATGGATAGATAGAGTTATAAACAATAAGAATTTCGTTTATTCTGAGAAATTATCCAGGAATTTAAATAGTTTTCTTCGAATTCCGGAAGAGCCGGTTAATCCTGGATAAAAAGTATTTACGTCCTGGCATTTTTACGAGTGGCCCCCATTCACGGAAATTACTCGTGTATGAATTCTGTCTCGCATTCAAATTTATCCAAATCTTATGACAGTCGATTACTATTCTGGAGAGACAGCTTCTCAACCTTAGAGGAGAGCTAATAGCGAACATGCATAAAAATCATCGTCGGTGTTAAATATTCATCCCCAAGCTTTTATTCTATATTTGCAATCGATATTTTCACTTTATTCCATTTTCTCGCGTTACTCAGTGAGAATAAGGCAATTCATCAGCATAGTCAGTGAAAATCGGTGATATCGATTGTCATATCCACCCGGGACGGAATAATCAACCTAATTATCATCTATATTTCTCTAATGTTCCTCAATTGACCATGCTAAGCGGATGAACATGATGATGGCCCTTCACTAAAATTGGCTTGATAGCATTTTTGGAACGATCCCTTTCGGTGATCCTCCTTAAATTTTTTATATAATGATGTCAGAAAAAGTCTATCAATGTACATTAAGAAATAAGAGTTAATTGACTAAGGTGCGATTGTTAAAATTTCGAGTGTATCCCTACGTCACAACCGATTTCCTCCCCGTTGACGTCACGATTATATCGAAATATTTTCTTGTATTGATCGATATAAGTTGTAAAAAAACGAACTTTCAAAAGGGCAGAAGATAAAACAATTTGGCATTTTAGACAAAATGTGTCAAAAACAATAACCAAAGGGACCCTCCTGTCTCCGCCGTCTATTTTGGCAAATTGATGGCTCACAACAGCGGGGTTTATCAAGAGTCAAAGCACTCTCGCATTGATTTATTGGGGGAGAATTTGCATTTTCTCAGCTGCCCAAAGGCATTTTACAGGCACGCCCTTAATATACTGACAGTTTTAAGAGGGACTATCTTCTCTAAATTCTATTGCCAAGATATAGAATTTCTATCCGATAATGTTCGGTATTTTCCCAGCGAAAGTAATCCGTGTCGTTATCTTTATTTTATGTGAATGTCAACTGCATCCATAACCGTAATACGCCTCGTTAGAAAACTACTCTTTTCACGCGTTTTCGCAACCTTTTCGCCGCATAAGTTTTTATTACTTTCAAGACCACAATTTTTCCTTGAATTCATACGCCCAATTTATCCAAATGTACATGATTAAATAGAGAGTCCGCTGAGCAAGGAACTCTTAGGGTAGAGCTTTACGTCTTTTACTGATCCTGCGGGATAATCCTAGCCTAGAGACTATTTGACGTCGTGGAGGAAAGGTGCTCTGAAAGAAAGTGGCCACGTCGGCTTATTAAAAAGGTCAAAGAGAGTTAGGATCATGTCAAGGTCTTCACTTTTGAAATGCCAGATAGTAACGTAATTATCGTTGTAGAAAAATCAATACCTATTCCCTTAACATCATCTTCAGTTTATTCACCTTCCCAATCCCCTGTCTGACTAGAAGTTATGCCCTTTTTACTGTTCCTCATTTTATTTATTCAATTGAAACAGTCAAGTTTTGTTTAGATCATTCGAAGTTGTCCGAAATGGCGACTCATTGTTTCTTTGTCATCATGAGGTCGTTATAATATGGCTGTAATGATGGACATGGAATTAGAAAACATAGTGGCCAATACGGTCCTCCTAAAGGCCAGAGAAGGTAAATCACGAATTCCAGTGAAGAGAACTTAATTTATTTTAGGAAATAATACAAGAAAAGGAAAATCCAAAAAATGGCGAAAAATGTTGAGCTTCCCGGCAGTCAGCGACGCTGTTTGCGAGTCCCTCAATCAAAGCATAGGTGCAGTATCAATGCTGAATAATAGGTCGAATGTTTATTAAGAGAAAACGTACCCAGCAGTTGTTCAAAAACAACCGATCGGGCAGCGGCTTTTCACCGAGTTCTGTCAGAGCAAGGAAGAGTTGAGGAATTGCGTTGAATTCCTCAAGCTAGTGCGGCGCTACGATTTGACGATCGAGGGAAAACGCGCAATTGCGAAGCACATACGAGATGAATTCCTCATTCCGCGAAATCAACTTAAAGTTCGGGATCAAAATCATTTATTTCCAGTGGAAAATTGATAATTTCGAGAGTATTGCTTCTAAATCTTTCATAATTTTATCCCCACTTTGAAAAAGTTCCACAAGATGTAATTAACTCAACCGTCGATCACCTCAAAGAAGAATTCGAGTTCAGTTCCGACGAGAGCGCGGACGAGAATCCGTCGAGTCCGCGCGAGCGTCCCGCCCTTCCCGACCTAGAGCTTCCGCCCGATCCGCTCACCGGCCAGCCGATCAGCTCAAGCGATCCCTCGAGCGTCGCAATCGCGAAGAAAGAGCTCGACCTACTACTCAGCAGCGAATACCTGAATGAGTTTCCCCACACGGATGACAGGAGGGATGAGATCTTTACCGACGTCCGATCAAAAATTAGCTCTTACCTTTCAAAAGACCCATTCCAAGGTAAATTTCAACCCCCTTTTCATGGTTCAAAACAAGCTTCATTTGAGAATTTAACCCCACTTGAGAGGAGTTTTTAACCATGAAAGCGCTCCGGTTCACACGAAAATGACAACAACGCTCCTTTAGAATTCCTCCAAAGCACATACTTCAACAGATTTATACAATGGAAAGCGCTCGAGCAGCAGAAAGTGGACAAAAACACTTTTCGGCAGTACCGCGTACTGGGCAAGGGTGGCTTCGGCGAGGTGTGCGCCTGTCAGGTGCGCGCTACCGGAAAGTTATACGCTTGTAAAAGGCTCGAAAAGAAGCGCATAAAGAAAAAACACTGCGAGTTCGCCGCGCTCAATGAGAAACGCATACTTGAAAGCATCAATTCAAGGCAAAACTTGAACTCTTTCCTTTTTCAAACTTCTATTTTAGATTCGTCGTCTCACTGGGCTACGCATACGCAACAAAACATGCCCTTCATCTCGTTCTAACGATCATGAACGGCGGCGATTTAAAGTTTCATATTCACAGTATGAAGCATATCACCGAAGAATGTGCGATCTTCTACGCTGCACAAATTTGCTGTGGCTTGGAAGGTACTGTATGAAAGATTAACAGTGCCCTTGTAAAGAGCTGTAACCAGATATTGTTGAATACGAGCTTGACGTTTTATTTTACCTCAGTCAAAAGTTGAATAGAATGACGTTTCTTTGAAAAGTTAACCCCGAAAAGGCAATCTTTAGATCGACTAAAGCCCGACAATAAGCTCTGGTCTTGTAAAAAATAGCTTATAAAGCTATATATTTAGATCTGCACAACGAAGGGATCCTGTACCGTGATTTAAAGCCGGAGAATTGTCTACTCGATGACCGTGGAAACGTCCGCATCTCTGACCTTGGCCTCGCCGTCAAACTAAAAGCCGGCGAGGACACTGTTAAAGGCCGCGTCGGCACGATTGGATACATGGCGCCCGAAGTCATAAGGTCAGCAAGCATATTTCTCGCGCTAGGATACTAAAACACAAACCGTAAATCTTAAAAGGGAGGCGATAAAACACCAACAATAGCTGCTTGGATGAAGGGTTTATTTCTTTCTTCAGCGACTTTTTTAGAAACGAGCGATACTCATTCGGAGTGGACTGGTTTGGCCTCGGATGCATCCTCTACGAGCTGATAACTGGCTTTGGCCCGTTCCGTACCCGTGGAGAATCCGTTAAACGCGAGGAAGTCGACAGAAGGGTTCTGAACGACGATCCAAACTGGGAACGCATCCCATCAACAAACAAGTATCCTTCTGAGGCGAAAGAAATAATCTCCAGGGTTAGTTACAATTGATTTTCGAACCCAACACCAATAGTGATAAATAAAGATTCTTGATCCTTTTCTTCCATTTTCGCAAATTAGCTAAAATTCATTATTCAGCTAATCTCGAAAGAGCCCGCCACTCGATTGGGATGTCGGAGAGCGTTCAAATCAAATGCCCGCGAAGTTCAACTACACCCCTTTTTCAAATCCATATCGTTCAAAAGACTCCGTGTTGGCCTCATTAATCCACCCTTCAAGCCTGATGTAAGTAAGAATTCTTAATAGAGAGGCATTCTATGGGTCTTTCAAAGCTAATCCTTAGGCGCGTTGTCAGTTTAATTTGAGGGGTAGTAGGGATGAGACTCATCCGATGAGTTGGAATGTACGTCAGGGTTAACTTACAGCTCATCAATTGGTAAATTATTTATATAAGTCAGATTAAGCTTAAAAGGATCCGCCGTGTGGGCACATCAGGCGTGACTTCAATTTGCGTCAACCCCCGCCAGGGTTCGAAATCGGAGCGAAAAATCAAAAGGCTAGGCTAGGCTAGGTTTTCTGAATTTTTCGCCTTTAAGGCGAAAAAAGGCTAGGCGAAGGCTCTAGCTCAATCTTCAAGGCTAGGCTAGGCTAGGCGAATTCGCCTAAGGCGAATTTAGGCGAAAAGGCGAAAAAATTCGAAAATTCTGAAATTTCTAGGCGAAAAGGCGAAAACAAGGCGAAAAGGCGAAAACAAGGCGAAAAGGCGAAAATAGGCGAAAAGTCGAAAAAGGCCAAAAGGCGAAAAGAAAGCTTTTAATATGGGGATGTTTTCAAAAGGCGGCCGAGTTTGTGTCCCCGTTTTTACACAGCTCAGGAAACAGGTAACACAGGTCAGGGCCTGCGTTGACAGGTCTGAGCAGGTCAAAAAACGGAAAAGAGGCCCTCTGTCTGGCGAAAAAACAGGATATTTCAGTGAAAAATATATCAAAAAATACAAAAAGACACGAATTTTTTTTCTGGCTTTTTTTTTACTGGTTAACTCTTTTTACGTCTTTCACTTTTGATTTCACTAAAACTCTTACGTAGTCCCTGACCATGGAGGTCAGGACCTGAACGGGAAAAACAGGCCTGTTTTAGTCAGAAAAAGGAAATTTTTACCCTAATTTTTCACAGGTACACAGGACAGGCCCAAATTTTGACCCGATTTTGGACAGGTACTAACAGGAAACAGGACGTGCGACAGGTTTTTACACAACTAAGTTTGCCGAGCGAGAGGTTAGATTTTCCGTGAATTAGATTTTCCGTATGTTAGATTTTCCGTATATTAGATTTTCCGTAACTCACGGAAAATCTAATCTCACGGAGTTTTTCCGTGAGTCACGGAAAAATCGAATCTACGGAAATTCGAATCTCTGAAGGAAAAGTATGGCATTAAAAATTACTGAATGTACAGTTTTGACGTTATTTTCGAAATAAACTTTTTCTGAATCAGGGTTGTTAATCACCCCACCTCGACATCACCTCGGACTTTGAGTGGGTTTTTCGAAACTACCCCACTCCACCTCAAAAATTTTCGAGGTGATTTCAAACCACCCCACCCCACCTCATTCCAGAGACCTCATTCCCGAGACCTATTTTTTTCAATCTTTTATAACAAAAGAGACATTTCTATCTCAAATAACGTTTCTTTTATATGTTTAACTTGTCGAAAAGACTGTTTTGAACTTAGTTAGATATAAATTATAAAAATATAATTATATAATTATAATATATACGAATATTTTCATATTTTCTCTTTCAAAGCACCCCACCTCGACATCACCTCGAAAAAATCTAGCTAAACTCAATATAACCCCACCCCACCTCGAAAAAATCTAGCTAAACTCAATATAACCCCACCTCACCTCGAAAAAAACCGAGGTGATTTCAGACCACCCCATCCCACCTCAAAAAATATCGAGGTGATTACAGATCACCCCACCCTTGAGGTGAGTTGGTCGAGGTGATTTACAACCTCTGAATTTTCAGAATCTGAATTCTCAATCTCAAAAAGACCACAAAGAGCTCAATTTCCATTTCAATGTTACACAGTATATTCAAGTGTTTTTAAAGATAAGGTTATTAAGATAATGTTCGATTTTCCGTATGTTAGATTTTCCGTAACTCACGGAAAATCTAATCTCACGGAAAATCTAATATACGGAAAATCTAATTTACGGAAAATCTTGCCGAGCCAGCTTTTCGATTGCAAAGGCAGCTGAGGCTATTCCCTTCTGTAAAACAAGCTAAAAAGAAACTACTGATGTCTAGAAGAAAACATTTTTTCGCCCTGATTTCGCCTACATTCGCCTAATATCGCCTAATTTTCGCCTAATTTTCGCCTAAAATTCGCCTTCAAGGCTAGGCTAGGCGAAAAAAGGCTCCAGCCTTTTCGCCTAAATTCGCCTAAGTCGCCAATATTTTTCGCCTTGAGGCTAGGCTAGGCGAAATTTTTCGCCTTGGAAAATTTCATACCAAGGCTAGGTTGTCTAGGCGAATTCGCCTAACCTCGCCTAGCCTAGCCTTCTAGGCGAATTCGCCTAGGCGATTTCAAACCCTGACCCCCGCGTTTAAGTTTTTTGTTTTGACCTAGAGAAGATTTGACTTTCATAACGCAAGAAGAACCAGTTTTTTTCGTGAGATCATGCGCAGTCATCTAATATGCACCGAACATAACGCCAATAACTATAAAGAACATTTTCAGCCAAAAGCTGTCTACGCCAAGGACGTGCTGGACATTGAGCAATTTTCCACTGTGAAAGGGATCACGATTGAGAATCGAGACGAGGAATTCTACTCGCGCTTTGACACCGGCCCCGTCTCTCACGCTTGGCAAAAAGAGGTAAAGTTATTTCAAGATGCTTGACGAACTGATTGTATACAGATCCTTGAAACTGTTTTCGATGATATCAACAATGCCGAAGATCTTCCAAAGCCCGTCGAGAGACCGCGGAATAGCTTACGAAGAGCATTCCGCATCGCGTTAGACGTAAGTCTTTCTTGATTTCAACAATCTAGCGACATTAGTAACGAACGCGGACAGTTAATAAACTTCGAATTAGTGCTTCAATACGAATTCCACCCCACCTGCCGAAACGTCTCAAACTTGAAACTCCGAAAGTGTCTTCATCCAAAAAAACAAAAACTACATTTCTAACTGAATCTTCTTAACTACTTTCTACCTTTCTTCCGCCGCGATTTCCACCGTGAGCAACTTAAACTATTATTATATAAATCTCAACATCTCAGAACGAGGCGCTGTTTATACTGATTATATATTCCTTTGTACATCCAAAAATAAGGAAATGCCCGTCTCAGAATATGAGAAACAAAAAAGAAAAGAACTAAAGCAAAAACGAATAAGCATTCATTTTGATCTTGACTGAAAAATTATTCAGCAGACCTTCTAAACTTTCTTTTTCAAGAAAAAAACTTGTGTAAATAAGATTATGTACATATTTCCAAGCTAGTAAAAAGGCAGGTATTAAAAATTAAGTCATACTTTTTTACCCCTTACGAACAAGAATGAACAAAATGAGTGAAAATAGAGTCTTTAAAAATCTTCGATTGTAGAATGGACAAGTTTATCGGACTCACTATTCAAGTTGAATCTCATAATGGAAAGAAGCTTGAAGGCGTTGTCGAGGAAATTGATCTAGTCAAGGGATAGAGCATTAATGAGCGCGTTATGAATTTGACTTTGTTTGCAAAATTAACCTATTGGCGCTTATGCTAATTACCTAAGCTAATCCCTTCGCAGAAACTTCATCGATTTCGCTGAAATCGTGTTCTGGTCAAGTTCACCAAATCGATGCTAAAGACATCAAGGACCTTGAGGTTCTCGAGTCAACTCCTCCCAGGTAACCCTTACTTGTCTATTTTTTCAAAACCTTTATCAGATCAGCCGAGGACTCCTCCACTTCATCGTCGAATGAGCCGATTCAATTTGATGATCCGTCGATTTTGAATATTGGGCCGATTCCAGAAGAACTGAGGCTCAAAAATCTTGCGTCGCAACAAGCGCCTGCTCTTGAAGTTTCGGCATCGGACAAGTTGAAAACAAGGAAATTGTGGAAAGAAAATTTTAAAATTACTAGGTTAACTTTTAAAAATACAGTTTGAAACCCACTAAAAAGTGACCGAAATGGACATTCACCTCCAATGACCTTCTACCACGAGCCCTCATCCTCTCATCAATACCAACCAAACGCCCGTCCCACTCCCCAAGCCGCCCAGGCCTACACTTGGCAGCAAACAAACTCCCTGATGATGAACCGGTGGCGGGAAAAGAACTCGCACAGTCCCAATCGTCGCAATGGACAACGACAAAACGGTAGAAACGGGAGGCAGAACTTTCCGAGAGACGAGACTTTTGCGACTAATGCGGCGGATTTGGCCGAAGATTTTAACTTTGAAGCATCGAATCAACTTTTTGACAAGCAACAGGTGTACGGGGAGATGAATATGAATGGATCGGATGATTTCAAGTAAGCTTCGTAAAAATTTTTCGCTCTTAACACGCTTTCTTAAGCACTAGACCTCCAGGACGCCAGGGCGAAGTAAAATTCCGCCACGATGAAAACGTCATGGACGCATACAACGCCAAGTATGGCGGAACCGAGTACGAATCGACACCTGGCACCCAAAGCCCCGTCACCGTCCCCCAATGGCGATGCAAAGACAATTCAAGAGATCGAATAGCGGCGCACGGGAACGCTCACGATTTGCGTCAGAAAATTTTCGCCTCGCTAGTTGCCAAAGCCGACGAGAGAAGAGATTTCATTCATACTCTTGCTACCACGACCACATCGTTTATCGTACGATTAGTTTTGATTAGAGCGGAAGAATAACGCTTGATTCTAGCTTGAAAAAGTTCAAAGTCAAAGTGACATCTTGTTCTTTCTCGGTCCTACTGGATACGCCGGCGATATCTCCCTAGTTATTTGCAAAATGGCCTCGAAACTTGGCCACAGATGTTACATCTACACTTGTCCCTTTTTGGAAAGCTCAAATCGACCCTTATCGGATAAGCTCAAAGGTCTAACTTCACTGCCCAACATCGAACGCGTGTTCGACTCAAACTTGCCAAACAAAATCGACCTGTTCATCTCTGCCGCTGCGTCCGAAGATTTTAAATTTCAAGCTTGGTTCCTCGAAGTTCAAGATACGCTGCGTCAAATGCATGTGAAGAATAAAATGGTAAGTTTTATTATGAAAAATTGCGTAAAAATTGATGGTGTAAAGGAGAGTGGTTTAAATCAAAGGAATGATGATGTTGATGATCGGTTGTTTTCTTGTCGATGAGTTCTTCATCGTCATGATGTTCAGGATCATCATGAAAATCTTTATGATGATTTTTCGCTGTCGAGCGCCAGTAATTGTCTTAGAGGGTCGAATTATAATTTACAATAGCGCAGGGACAGTCAATTTGACCTCTAACCTTCCTGCTATATGAGCAGCTTCAAAGTGGAGGTGTTGGTCGAGCTCAAGCATGAGAAGAACATTCATCAGGGTTTTCCTGAGCGGCTCCTCTTTAGTCGGAAAAGATAAGGTGTCACGAGTGCCTTAAAAAGTGTTTGTCTCTTAGGAAGGACAAATTCAATACTTATCGAGAGCGGATATCGAAATGAAGACTGACTGTCTTTCTCTGGTAGAAGTTCGCCGTCTGATAGAGCAGGGGAAAAAATAAAGCAGCCAAAAATTGCTGATAGACAAACCATACTGACTGGAAACTCGCTTGGAATGTGAATTTTATATCAAAACCCCGACACAATTTTAAAATTAACTAGGTGTACCGCAAATTATTCCAAGATTTTGATTCTGACGCTGTCCCTTTAATTTTATAAGGCTTTACCGTCAATTTTATCGAGGAAAATTGACAGTTTATCGCTTCTTTTAAATAAATTGATTTTTAGCTAATCGATCCATCCGGAAAAGATCAAGTCTTTTCTTCTAACGACTGGGCGATTTACTCTCTCCTTGCGCCTTCGGTCGACTTCTCCAGCTTGGTGAAGGCCTCTTTCATCCTGGAAGGATGCCTCGATGCAGCTTTGTATCCCGATGATGCTCAAAAACCGCCACTAAGGAAGCTACTGAACCAAATTTACTGAAGCCAATTGAATCAACCAGTTACTTGTGTATTTTAACCTTTACCGTACTCTTTATTTGATGGACCCCAGAATTTTATTTTTATTTTGTAAATAGATCGGTTCCAAACCACCCTATTTTTTTCTTTTCATTCAATTTTTCAAAAGATTGGACACACGAATTTAGTGCTTTTGACAAGTTGAAGCTTTTATGTAAATTTTTCTGTCTTTTGAGTTAAGAATAAGGAATCAATTCTTATTCGATTGACACATTTTTACTGGAAGCATGAGAAATCTAAACTTCCTTCAAATTATATTATTAACGGATATAAATTTATGCTGCTTTGATGCCATTTTTTGCTGGAAATACTGTCAGTAAGGATTTTCCGGCCACTTTTTTTGTTCTGCAACCAGAAGAATACGCTACTACTTTCACCGAACGATCTTTGTTGCTTGCTCCGTTACGTCATCAATAACAACAGCCTACCTGTATTCAGTAAACTGTTAGCTTAAGACGTGTTTTACTATATCAACTGTTGCTTCCGCAGGTTACTGCCAAACTGCCAATTTATGTTTTACCATCGTCGCGCTCTGAAATCAAAGAGGAGTACCACTTGATGACTAAACATTTATTGTCTTCAAAAATTCTGAGCGACTTGCAAAAACGCTCATTACTGCCATAATATTCAACCTTTGAACAATTCGACAACCAAAAATAGAAACTCCCAAATTTGAAATAGAAAGAACTTACGCAACTTTCTGAATGAAAGTGCTCTGAATCAATAAACAAACAATTCGGCCTATATTCAACTTCTTGACTTTTGTTACCAACAGAATGGCATTGAGAAAGATACGCGTTTTGGAACTAGCGGGGCAGGGATCTAAATTTTTGCCGAAAATCAATTGCGATTGCGACGCAAAATACTCCGGAAATTGCGATGCGATTGCGATTTTTGTCGCAAATTGCGAATTTTTCGCGAATTGCGATTTTGTCGCTATTTGCGAAATTTTAGAGAAAAAAGTAACTTTTCATAGAATTTAAGAAAATTTTTTGAGGTCAGGCTTTCAATTAAGCCTTAAAAACACAGAACATAGGCTCTGAGTCAAAGAAAACTCATGTCAGAATAACAAGGGAGCACTTTGACAAGACCGAAATTCGCAAAAAAATCGCAATTTGCGAATTATTAGCGAAAACTGAGTTGCGATTGCGATGCGATTGCGATTCGATCAAAAAAGTTTTTGCGATCGCGAATTTTCTGCGAAATTTCGCATCGCAATCGCAAAATATTCGCAAATTGCGATTCTCGCGAAAAAATTTAGATCCCTGTAGCGGGGTTAGCGCCAGTTCCATATTGTGGGCAGGTCTTGGCGGATTTAGGAGCGGAAGTTATTCGAGTTGATAGAGCTGGATCAGGTTTTCTATCTCTAATGGGCTACTTAACTATTTTTAGCCTTCAACATTGATCAACAATCCAGAGGAAAGAAATCCATCGCGTTGAACCTCAAAGACCCTTCTGGCCAAAAAATCCTTCGCTCGCTCGCTCGTTCCTCCGATGTTCTCCTTGATCCCTTTCGCCCTGGTGTCATGGAGCGCCTCAACTGCGGTCCAGAGCGCATCGCAAACGATCGCCTCATCTTCGCACGGTTGAGCGGTTTTGGCCAGACGGGGCCAATGCGCGACGTAGCTGGACACGATATTAACTATTTAGCGCAGTCGGGTGTTCTTGATTCCCTCAGAGATTCCACTGGCAAACCTTGTCCTCCGGTGAACCTCGTCGCGGATTTCGCTGGTGGAGGAGTTATGATGGCGCTTGGAGTAACCTCAGCGATTATCGAGAGGGGTAACACCGGAAAAGGTCAAGTTCTGGACCTGGCAATGTCAGAAGGAGCTGCGTACGCTTCAGGCTTTCTTTGGTCAATGAGAAGTCTTTTCCCGGGAGCAAAGGGAACCAATATGTTGGATGGTGGAGCCCCGTTCTACGGGTAAGCAACCCAATTTCACGATGAATCATCATCTTCACCATTCAGCGTTTACGAAACGAAAGATGGCCGATTCATGGCCTTGGGTGCAATTGAGCCGCAATTCTACCAAGTATTTCTTGAGAAAAGCGGGTTGAAAGAGCTCGATGATCTTCCAAATCAAATGGACCAGGAAGAATGGGGAAAATTGAGGAAAATCATCGAAGAGAAGTTTTTGGAGAAGACTCAACAGGAGTGGGCAGATATTTTCGATATGACTGATGCATGCGTGAGTCCTGTGATGACCGCTGAAGAAGCCGCAGAAAATATACATAACAAAGAGAGGTTTTAATCGAAATAACTTCTGTTTTATTCATTTATTCTGTAGGAATTCATTTCTTCTCGATGAGCACGGCCAGTTCTTTCCCCGTCCTGTCCCAGGATCAAGCACTTCTACCGGCTTCGTCCCAACAATCCAGCCAAATGTCGGCCAGCACACAGTTGAAATTCTATCCGAGCTCTATTCAAAACGCGAAGTCCGCAAATTCCTCGAAAATGGCATCGTCTCATAAACTTCTATTTTCTTACAGTTCATAAATTTAAATTTATTTTTATTCCTCCTGATGTTCAACCTCTTGCCTGATTTCTGTGATTGACCTTGATTTCTTCATTTATTTTCTGACGCGTTTTCCTTTAGAAGTCAAAATGGGATGTTGTTGGGGTGGTAATAAAGACACGCTGCAAAAATGGGATGTAAAACAGAAGAAATCATGCACCGACATCATTTGTCTGGTGATTTTCATTCTATACGTCGGAGCTATGGCCTGCATCACGGCGTTTTCCATCTCTACTGGCGGTGCCGATAGAGTTATATACGGAAGTGACTCGTATGGAAACATCTGCGGCCAGAACAACACTGGAAAAGGCGTAGGAACTCACCAGTATCATGGTCTCGACATGACTTACAAACCTTACGTCTTCTTCTTTGATTTCGTAGCTGAATCAGCCGAACTGGTCTCCAGCGACTTACCAAATACGTACTCCCTCGAAGCCTGCGTCCACGAATGCCCTGATGGACAATACAAAGGCGACACACACACTCCAATGGACTACCTCGTCCAAGAATACCAAGAAGGAAACAACCTCTGTTTCAAAAACTACGATCTCGAGCAAAAAAACTTCGACGCCAAAGCTGAGCTCCGAAAAGCTCCAACTGGCAAAAATTCTGTCTGCCCCGCTCTACCGATCAAGGATCACACGGTCTTCATGAACCGCTGCATCCCAAAGAGCCTTGGCGAAACCGCGTCCACCGTGGCCGAGTTCTTCAACAACATTCCAACCGTAGAAAAAATTGCTATTGATTTGTATTCTGCTAGATACACCCTTCTCTACACTTCTTTGATTTCTATCGCGCTTTCTTGTATTTCTGTTCTCTTGCTTCGCTACTTGGCTTCTGTTCTCGTTTGGGTGGTTATTGGCGGGCTTTCGTTCGCTTCACTCGTTGCTACTGCCCTCTTGTGGTACTCGTATGCGATTAGTCAGGGAGCGGTTGAAAACGAATTCGAGCAATTGGATCAAGTTGTCAATCCTCTCAGGGAAGGCTTTTGATTCTAAAGGTATCTGTCTGACAGATTATCTGTGAAGAATCTTCACTGAAGATAGCAATTCTAAAGCCAGATAAGTAATCACAAAGACATCCTTTACTTTGCAATTGGTGTCAGTATCTTCTCCGTTTTGATGATTTTATTCTGTCTTGTTGCGATCAAGCGAGCAAAACTCGCCGCAGCTCTCTTTGCCGAAGCTGGAAAGACAGTTTCAAAGATTCCATGGATTCTCATGCAAGGTTTGTATTCACGGGAAAGAATAATTCTGACGTCTCAATAGGTTTTTGGATGTACATCGCGCTGATCTCCCTCTGGTCCCTTTGGTCCTTTTCTCTTGCCTTCCTTGCCTCATCGGGCGAACAATCTGTCGATCCATCAACTGGCTACGTCACAACTAACAACAACAAAGACCTCTGGTGGGCCTATTTGATTCAAATCTTCGGCGTTATTTGGCTCACTGAAGTAGTCTTTGCTTGCCATCAATTTGTCCTGTCTTCTGCCGTCGCTTCATATTATTTTACTCGAGATAAGAAACGATTCGAGCGAGGTTAGGCGCTACTTTCTCTTAAAAACTCATGGGTTTCATTAGAATCTCCATTGTTGACGGCGGTTCTCCAGTTAGTAACTTACCATTTGGGCTCAATCTGCTTCGGTGCTCTTCTTGTTGCCTTATTGAGAATTCCACAAGCCATTTGCTCGTACATCTACCACAAAGGTTTTTTTACATTCTTGACGTCATTTTTAACTCTTTTACAGCGAAACAAACGAACAACAAAGTTGCACAGATTCTTTCCAAAGCCTGCATTTGCTGCCTTTTCTGTTTCGAGAAAATCCTGCGCTTTTTCAACGCCACTAGTTATGCCATGATCGCCATAACAGGACAGGTAAGATCAAGTTTGATGAACACAAGCATTTCATTTCTTAGAATTACTGTTCTTCTGCCTGTATGGGCGCGGCAACAATCGCCTCTAATGCCTTCCGAGTTGGGGCTATCGCTGTCGTTGGCGGACTGACGCTTTTCCTTGGAAAAGTGCTGATCGCCGTCCTCTCCGCCATTATCGCCGGAGTTCTTATTCAAAATATACCCGATCATCCAGAGATTAATTCAATCGCTGTTCCAGCTATTGCCGCTGCGATTGTTGGATACATCATCGCCGCTGGTTTCTATGCCACTTTCTCGACCGCCGTCGATACGCTTCTACTCTGCTTCTGTGAAGGTAGACTACGACATTCTATTCTCTATTCTTAATTTGCTCTTAGATGTACGCGTTAACGACGGAACGGAAGTTAAGCCTTATTTCATGAACAAATCGTTGATGATTTTCGTCCAATACGCCGACGCCCAAGTTTCCCACAAAGGATCCTCGTACGAAGAATCCGAGCCCCTACGAACCATGTGATCTTACCAAAAAACGAACCAATGCTAGAATTTACCTCCGCTACTGACCTAATCTTAACTTCCAACTCTTCTATATTTTACAATTCAATCAATTATTTTTCAGTTTACGTAAAATTCTCTTTTACGAACATTTTCATTTCTTTTCCTTGCAAATACTTCCTTGCTCTTACTACGAACCCCTTTTTTGTAATTTCTGCCAAGATATCTTTTCCATTTAAAATACATGTGCACTTATCACACTAATATAAATGATAATTATTTTTCTGTGGTATTAATAATTATCATAGTCAATGTTTTTTGCAGGTTACTTTTATAATGAATTTCATCTTGAATTTTGACGAATGAGTAATGACAGTTTCAAATTTAATGAAAGTCAATGTCCTCTGAGAGGACTCCTCTCTGTTGATTGAGAATGAAATCAACAAGGACGTACTTATGTTCTCAGCTCAAGCTTATTCTATCAAGAAATTTTGCAGAACTTATCTCCCACGGATTAATTTTAAGTTGCAAGAGTTGTTTGTCTTGTGTTTTGCAGTCGCTTCTTGCTATTTTACTAGAGATAAGGAGCGATTTGAACAGGGTAAGCGCCCTCTTATTCCGATATGTTCGATAAGGGGATTTCCTCGAAGAGCGTCTTTTCTCGAGTGGTCTCCGTTTGCCCAAGTCGCCGTTTGCCCAAGTCGCCGTCTGCCCAAGATCGCCGTTTGCCCAACTTGGGCAGACGGAGACTTGGGCAAACGGCGATCAAATTGAAAATATAATCATAATTCAATTTAAAGAGATTAATTCAAGGTTTCAGAAATTTATGAGCGCAAAGGAGACTTTTATTTCAGTTTATAATTACTAAAATCGGAAAAATTTCTCATCTTGAATTATGAAATCAAAACCAGCAGGATAGGATAGATTTTTAGTGGTAAGTAAAATCGCTAGTTTTACTTCCGAGGCCTACAGATTGAGGAAACGATGGATGCGCCGAGTCCTCACAAGCGCTAATCCCCAACTTGGCTGAGTTAATGGTCACATATTGATGTTTCTTGTGATTCATTATCGGTTCGTTCTATTTTTGGAGTTATTTCTGATTGAAACTTAGGTAAAACAATCATTGTGAGTAGTGAGAAAAAGAGAAAAAGGGGAAAACTGATGAAACTCTTCCCAAAACCTCCTCCAAGCGAAGAGGAGTACTTAGGCTTGATTTAAAAACATCAAATGTACAATCTTATGACAACCGAATAAGTTATTCGGAATAACGATCCAGTCTCAGTAAACCGGAGCCTTTTTTCTTCTTGATAAACTCTTCCGCGAATAGTATTTTAGGACTTTGATTGAGAATTTAGCGACTCTTATAATTAGACCATCCATTACGAAGGCTCTTCGTTATCAATGTAAACGATGTCATTTCGGAAAGCTTCCGTAGAGTCCACGATACTGTATTTTTCATTTCGTCTCTTATTTATGTGTTTATTCTCAAGAATTTATTCGAAAATCGGATATAACTATTGAAAAACAATATAAGAAAATTGTGGTGGTCTTGTCAAGAATCCACGGTTAATAACCGTTCAAAAGACATAACTGGACAACCTTTGTTTTCACCTGAAAGTCTCTGCAAATCAGACCGCAATCAGCAGACTCAGTGATGATAATGAAATTGTCGCCTTACTTCTATCATTTTATGATCGATCAATTTAATAAAATTCACATCGCCGTTTGCCTAAGATCTCCGTCTGCCCAAGTTGGGCAAACGGCGACTTGGGCAGACGGCGACTTGGGCAAACGGCGACTTGGGCAAACGGAGACCACTCTCTTTTCTCATCACTCTGCAGAAATTTGCCGATGTTCTTGCTCTCACGATTTTTTATTTAATAAAAAGACACAGTTTTAATCAGAAATATTGATAAGAACATCATCATCTTCTGACGTTTCTTTCTTATGATTGTTCATATGAACATGAAGAGTCCGAGCTTGGCAGAATCCTTTACCGCAGATCTTGCATTTGAACGGCTTTTCGGCCGCGTGAATGTATCTGAAGTAATTTTTGTTATAAGGGAACGAAGGCTATTTGCTAAGGATAAGAAGAGCGCGTTTGCTTTTGAAATTTCAGAAGTCACTTTCGCGTTCGATTTTATGTTATCGTTGACGTTTGCTCGTCGGTGGGAAAGTATTGCTAAGCTTCTCGCCTCAGGCACTGTTAGTTCAGCTTGGGCACGCGCTTCCTTGAGAGACAGGGCGGCACCAAGAGGATTAAAACTTCACAAACGCTTTCACAACGATTTCAAAATGGCTCAAACTGGCTGTCACGAAAAAGTGTTAAAATTTATTGCTGTCAACCGATGTTCTCAGCTTTGTTAGCTTGGAGATTGTGTTATTCAGCAGGTTGATGGGAATAAAGCCAGAAGCTGCGGAAATTTCCTACTCATTACACACTAATCATGGGCAATTTTTACTTGGGAACAGTTCGCCCTATTCAAACATTACTCTATTTTGCTACCGGATGCAGTTAAAATCGTTTAAAAAGAAATTAAAGAACATAAAGCTCTTCTACTGAATGCAAATCAGACCTCGGTATCCTGTAGGATTTAATAGATATCCTGGACACTCCCAAAAACCAAACTTACTTGTGATCTCGAAGATGGTCTTGTCTTCTAAAAGCTTTCTGACAAATATCGCACTTGAAAGGCCTTTCGTCTGTATGAGTTCGTTCGTGGATCATCAAATTATAACTCTTTGTAAATTTTCGTTTGCAAAATCTAATCAATAGTTATTTTCTGTTGAAAATTTCTGTGTGAAAATCAAATAGACTTACCTACAAATATGTTGCTTCTTTGGCCTCGTTTTCCTCTTGACTACTGTCTTATCGACTGTGGCGGACTCGGCAAGTTTGTGAAAGTCGAATTTCTTTCCCTCTGAAGATTCGGGTATTTTCGGGATCACTGAAGACATAGAAGAGAACGGAGGGACTCCCATTCCTTGAAGATTAATAAGGGGAAAAGATGGATGGATCTGACTGCTCATTTGTTGAAGTTGTGAAGCTTGGTGGATAAGATTCTGTTGGTGTTGAAGAAATTGAAGATGGTTGAGGTAGACATTGAGGGGACTTTGTATCTGTTGTTGCATAAAATTGGGTTCTAAATAAAGACAACGACTATATTTAGACTTTTCACAACTTGTTTAATACCTGTCACTGGGAAAGAATAACAGCTCATCTCTGTAGTCAATTCGATTTGTAGTTTCAGTAGACTGGCAGGTGCAGATGCTTCGCCAGAACAAGTTCAAACACTCCCAATGGTCAAACAATCGCTCTGGAGCACCAGAACTCGTTGCTCCATAGTATGGAGTCCAAACGCTTGATAATGGAAGATTAAAATCACCAGAAATAAAGTATTTCGGAAAATATTTACCTAAATAAACTGTCCTATTTATCGGTAGCGACTACTTTCCAAGAATTTCTTCGGAAAAAAGAACTCTTTCGCCAGGCTATGTAGGTACTTTAAAGCCTATGCAGTCAATATTTTATTGACATAAATTTACTATCAATAAACCATAATTATCTGTTGACAAGGCTCTGACTTCAGAAGGCCCGTAAATTTACCATGGAGTTGAGCTCTAAGGGGAGATTAGAGAATCTGAGCGACCCTGGGCCAGGGTCCCTGGCCCTGAGAGTCGCTCGATGTGCAGCGCGCGCAATTTCGCGGCAAGAGCACCTAGTATTTTCTTTATTCTGGATATATGCTCAACAGAAGAAAGACGCTTACACGAACAAATATCGTCGGAGACAAATTATTTTTCTTGTAGATATTTCTAAATGTTCCAGGTTACCTGGAAAAGAATTCAAAATTTCAAGATCACCGTCATTGTCCTATTTAGCGAGTCTCAGCTGTAGCGTAAATCCGAGTTGGCTTAACCTTAGCCCGCCAAGCTACACCACAACTCGAGAACCGGCCACTTATTTGCTCACTGGGCTGGACGTTGAAAGTTTTTTTGAAAATTGAGGAAACGTTGAGACGGCTTTATCGATTATCTATCGATGATGGACTTTTCAGCCTTTTTCTGACAGACCTTAGCGTCGGTAGACCCTTATTTTTGCAAAAAGTCCCTACACCATATATGGTGTCGAGCTACAATTGTTGCTACACCATATATGGTGTTTTTGGCGGGTACCCCAGCTTTTTCCCAGCGATTTTGCCGAAATTTTACCCCGGTTAGCTTCTCTGATCCTCAATTTATGAACTTCTCTGAGAGAATTTTCGATTAAATGAACTTTGGTATGATGATTGGAGCACTATTATTGAACAAAAAAATTATTTTTCAGCAAAGATTTTTAAAAAAATCATGATAAACCAAATATGGTGCAGAGCTTTAATAGAGGATGCACCATATATGGTGTTCTTGGCGGGTACCCCAGAAAATCCACTTTTGGCGGGCTAAGGTTAAACCATTTGGCACAGTAAATACTTGCGAGAAAAAAATTCCAACTCTAGCGGTAGCGTTTGGAGCACTCGGATGAGCTCTCGAGCGCGGAGAGGAAGTCCGCGGCGCTTTCATCTCGGCGGCGCACGCATCTGAAATAGGAAGGAAAACAGCACTCTGGTAATTTATCGTTACTTCCGTTCTCACCGGAAAAAACTCTGTCATCATATGAATAAACTTTACCACTGTAAATAAAATCATTTCAACATACTTTTCGATCACATTCCAAATTGGAATTGGATTGAATCTATCCACCATAAATGCGTTAAAACTGTCATAGACACGCAAACATCACTCTTAGCTGGTTATTTATATTGTATCTTGCAAGAACAGCTGCAACAGTAACCTTTTTGAACAAGCTCATCCTGTAAATTTATTGCGTGAAATCAACACATTGGCCAGGTCAATGGCCATATAAAGTATTTTTCATTACTCAGTAGCTTATCCACAGCTTATCACCACTGATTATTCCACAGAGAGCGGCCTAGAATCAGTTCTAGCTATCAAAGCAGAGAGCATGGCTGGTGAGTTTACTGCCTCTTTTATTTTTTAAATATTTCCGAGCGAGATTTTTATGTAGCTCGGTAGATGGACATTCTTCATAGTACAGTTGATATAATTTTGTTTTAATCTTGATACACCGATTCACGGAAATTATTAAGACGAACAACCTGCCGCCGCCCCCGCCGAAGAGGTGCCCGCTGAGGCTGCCCCAGCCGAAGAGGCCGCCCCCGCCGAAGAAGCCGCCCCCGCTGAGGAAGAGCAAAAGATCGACCCTGAGTACCCCAAGCCCGATCCCTTTACTGCTTCCGCTGCTGATGTCTCTGCTCCTGAAGCTGGCTCTGCTGTTGCCTACGTCAACGTAGCTGGTGGTATCCCTGATGCCGCTACTTCTGTTGTTGCTGACGGCTTCGAAGTCACTGGTGCTGCTCCTACTTTTACTTTGACGAAAAAGAACATTGGATTTGGCGATGCCACCAAGTTTTCTTACACTGCTACCTGTGGCGAAGAATCTGATAACGGAAGCTTCAGCATCAAGGTAACACATTATCACGTGATAAAAAGGTCAACGATACACTTTTATCACTTTTTAGTTTTCGTTCAACTATTCTCTAGGTCGGCCCAGCTGCTGCCTACGAATACGAAGGCAAGTACCCTAAGGGAGTTGCCGCCGAAGATGCTGAATTCCGAGCCGCTCTCCGAAAAGTCCAGAAATTCTCTATCGGCAAGAAGGTTTCTGATGCTAAAGAAGATATTTGGGCTCTTCTCAAGTCCGCTAATCCTCGTGAATACGATAGAATCGCATTCAACTGGGGCATCAATGATTTGCGAAAGCTTTTGAAAACTCTTGCTAACGCTAAGAAAAACAACAAGAAGTCTACTTCTTTCCCAACTAAGCTTGACGATACTCAATGCAGCAATATCGGTGACAAGATCACTCTCGCCGTCGTTACCGCTAATGAGGCCATGAATGTCAAGTGGGTATGTAAAATTGAATTCATTAGAATGGGTTTATTTCAATCATTTAGAGCTTCAATGGCAAGGATGTCGGCAAGCTCGCCCGACCTCTCGCCAAGGGCTGCAACAAGCAGCTCATTATCGACTCTGTCGGTCTCGAACACCACGGTCAGTGGGCCGCTACTGTTGGTGAGGACAAGACCTGCTGTGAAGTTTTCGTCCGAAAACCAGCTGTCACTCTCACCTCTGGATTCTCTGATGTCCAGGCTTCTGCCGGTGAGGAGGTCACTTTTACCGCCACTATGTCCGCTGATGATGGTCGATACAAACTTCTTAAGGACGGTATCGAGTTCGGTACTACCGACAAGATTTCTGTTACCCAGGAGGGTACCAAGATCACTGCTGTCGTCCACAAGATCACCTCCGAAGATTCTGGCTTCTACCAGATCAAGGTCAACGGTGGCTCTTCTTTCGCTGAACTCATCGTCTCTGGTGCCGCTGAGGCTCCCAAACCATTGTACCAGATGAGCGTTTCTGGTGATGTTACTGTTGCTTGCGATCTTGCCGATGAAAAGGCCGCTGGCAAATGGTTCAAAGGAGGCAAGGCTGTCGCTGAATCTGATCGAGTTGTCATCGAGGCTGATGGAGTTTCCCGAAAGCTCAATATCTCTGCCTTCGCTGCGATTGACGTTGGTACATACGAGTTCAGAACCGAGGGTGCTGCCAAGCCAGCGACATCTTTCTCTGTGACTGCCAACGGTCTTTCTACTTCCCTTGGGCTCCCACAGGTTGCTCTTTCCGCTGGCGATCTTGGCCTTACCACTCGAGGCACTGCTTCCTTTACCGTTGCTGCCGCTGAGAAGGTCGCTCTTACCTCTGAGGGCAAAGAAGTCTCTTTCGACGGTGGACGTATGAAGTTTGTCGAATCCCCGACCGCGATGATCATTGAGAACGCCTGGGCTACTGACTCTGGCAAATACGACTTCGGCGACAAATCTATCAACGTCGCTGTCTTCGATGTCCCCACTCAGCCTGGTAAACCCGTCATCTCCGACCTCACCGATGAGACCTGCCGAGTTGACTGGACCCCACCTAAGTCCAACGGTGGCTCGAACATTACCTCCTACACCGTTCAGCGAAAGCGAAAGGGAGAGACTACTTGGGTCTCAGTTGGCTCTGCTACTCTCCACAACTACCTCGCCCGACGACTTGTCGATGGGCAGTCCTACCAGGTCCGAGTTATCGCTAACTCCGCTATCGGCGCTGGCGAGCCCTCTGATGTCTCTGAACCATTCACTCCTCTTGCTCCTTCAGGACCAGTTACTTCTCTTCGAGCTGGCAAGCAGACTGATACTGCTATCGAACTCAAGTGGAACATTCCTGAAGAAATCGGTGCTGCTGGTATTGACGGATATGCCATCCAACTTCAGATCCTCCCAGGTGGTCTTCGAGATGCTGACCCCGCTGCCGCTACTGAGGAAGGCTGGAAGGAAGCTGTTGCTGGCTATGTTGACGCCACTGAGAGCTCTGTCAACCTTGTTCGACTGACTACTGGCAAGAACTACATGTTCCGAATGACCGCCAAGAACCAGGCCGGTTCCTCTTCTTGGGCTACTCTTGGTCCCGTCTGTTGCGCTGCTAGCGTCGAGGACCCCAAGATCCTTCTCCCACGAAACCTTAAGAAGACCCTCAAGATCAACGTCAATGATAAAGTCCACGTCAACGTTCCCTTCCAGGGAGCTCCCAAGCCAAAGGTTACCTGGACCAAGCTCGTCGAGGTCTGGCCCGAACCCATTCCAGCTGCTGAAGAAGGTGGTGAGCCCACTCAACCTCCAGCTGAGATCAAGGAAGAACCACTTGATAGCGCATTCACCGTCCGAACTACTAATGACTCCTCTGTAATCTTTGTCCGAAACGCTTCTCGGGCTGAGACTGGCACCTACAAGATCACTGTCGAGGTACAGGATCTCTCTGCTTCCGCTACAATCGATATTGCCGTCGTCGATGTTCCATCTAAGCCAAGAAAGCTCCAGATTGTTGAAACCATCGGCACCTCTGTTCAGCTCCAGTGGGAAGCCCCCAAAGACAACGGAAATCTCGATATTCTCGGATACTCTGTTGATAAACGAGACAAGCGATCTGGCCCAGACAGTGAATGGTATGTTGTCTATGACAAAGTTCGACACTGCAACGCTAATATTGACGAACTCATCGTTGGAAACGACTACCAGTTCCGAGTTCGAGCCATCAATGAAGTTGGCGCTGGAGAAGGCACTGCTACCAAAGAGTTCGCTACTATTGCCAAGGAAACAACTACCTACACTAAGCCCGCTTACCCAGAGATGAACTTCGACATCACCCCCGAGTTCACTACTCCTCTCAACAACAGAAAGATCATGCTTGGCTATTCTGGTACTATCACCTGTGCTTTGAAGGCCAACCCCAGACCAAAGATCCGATGGTTCAAGAATAAGATGGAGATCATCGACAACCCCAAGTACAAAATGAGCTGGGGACAGGGTATCATTCAGCTTGAAATCCGACGCGCTCGACTTGGCGATGCTGGAACCTACACCGTTCAAGCTGAAAACGATCTCGGAACCGTTACTCAATCCTGTGAAGTTGCTGTCCGAGAGGCCCAGAACTTCAGTTTCTAAATAAATTTCTAGTGATATACAAACGACTCTGTACAGTTTTCATGCTTTATAAACATATAAATTGCACAATCTTATAAACTTTGACATTTCATTGCGAAATTAATGAGATGCAAAAAAAATTCAGCCGCATTAGGTGGCCAGCTTATGCAAAGGCCCCTCATTAGCCTCAATAAGTCCTCGTGCTAATTTAATTTATTCAGTTTTGACATAAGTAGAATTTACTGTTACTCAGAACTCATATAAAAGGCATATTTGACGAAATAAGCAGTTTTCATATCAGTTTATAAAAATGAGAGAATGGGCTCTAATTTTTATCAGCGGAATTTCATGTCAGTTCACGACTGTAGCTTTTTTTGACGAGTTCACGACAATCGATACACCTGATCTGACAACAACAACTAATGCGCCAACAACTACTACAACAGGAACAACAACTAGCGTCCCAACGACTACTATAACTACTACAACAGGAACAACAACTCGCACCTTCGGGGGCACAGAAGTAGCGTTTACAACTGCCGCTTTTTTTGACGAGTTCACGACGATCGACACACCTGATCTGACAACTATTGAGCCAGCAACTCCTTCAACAGGAACAACAACTAGCGTCCCAACAACTACTATCCCTACTACAACAGAAACAACAACTCGCACCTTTCAAGGCACAGAAGTAGCGTTTACCACTGCCGCTGTTTTTGACGAGTTCACGACAATCGACACACCTGATCTGACAACAACTATTGAGCCAACAACTACTACAACAGGAACAACAACTCGCACCTTCGGAGGCACAGAAGTAGCGTTTACCACTGCCGCTGTTTTTGACGAATTTACAACAATGGACAATCTTGATACAACAACAACACTAGCAACAACTACTTCTACTGGCCTTGGATCCACTGTTGGCTTCACTACTGATGTTGTTCCCGATGATGAGTTTACAACATCTGGCGGCTTAGGAGGCGCGCCTGGAACAACTGAAATGATTTACACAACAATGCTCCCAACAACTACAACAACACAAATCACAACAACTACTACAGAGCTTCTCACGACGACAACATCTTCGGCGTCAACTATCGCAACTGATACGACTTCAACAACCTTTCCTGAGTTTGACACTGACACAACAACTGCGGTAAATGGAGATGCAGGTGCTACTGGAATCGATCAATATGCACCAGGAGCAAATGCAGGAGAGCAAGTTTCGATGATGCCATACGGAGATGATGATCAAGCAGTTGCTGGCGCTTATGGCGATCCACATTTCATGGTCCGATCAGAGCACGGAGAGCCGATCTGTTTCGATTACAACCCTCTTCTTGCTTCTAATAATATGCTTCTGCTTACTGATCCACGAACATCCCTTACTGTTCTTGCAAAACCAGAAGAGCGAGGCGATACTGGACGACTCTTCATGAGTGAATTGACCATCATGACACCAAATGCCGTTACTTTGACAATCAACTCTGCTGGTATTTTCCTCGACGGAGAAATCGTTTCAGAAGTCGGGGCAAAGAGTGGAATCCATGTCACATCCGATTTGACTTTCAGAACAACCTGGGCGAAAGACGGTAATCACGAGCATACAAACGTCGAAATCGAAGACGGTCCAATTTTCTTGATCAAAGGAAATCTCAAGAAGGAATCGCTTTCCTTTGCGATTATGGATGCTTCTGGAATCTCAAGAAAAGCAAAGGGAATTATCGGAGGTTTTATTGCGGACGATTCGTACATTATCCACAAGTCTAACGATACACCCACTCTTGGAGTTGTTCAAGCTGGGTAAGATCGATCGATTTGATTTCCGTTGAAATAGAAAATATTCTAGCAAAAACTATGCATCCACTGAGTTGAAGCACTACCATCGCGAAGAAAAATGCTGGGTCATCGATGAAGAAGACGCCCTTCGAATGATCAGCAAAGTTTGATTGCCTTTTTTTCATGTTGTTTTCTATGTTCTTTTTTACGAAATAAATTGAATAATCAAAAGTGATGACTCTGCTGTTTATCCTTGAAGATTCTAAGATCCGAAGGTCGACCTTGACCTGGCTGGTTTCGTAAAAACAGACAAATGCCAGTCTAAACTGGGTCTTTCACAATTATGTTTTCGAAATTTCCGACAGAGCATTCATTTCGTATTTTATGCTTTTGGCCGTTACATAATTTCATTGCTTCGTCTTGGGTGCGTATTTGAGCTCCCCTAAATGGCCTCCATATAAGGTCGTGTGTTTTCATGTTCTGGTGTTTGCCCAACTCGCGTGATCTGGTGAAGGTTATGCAAGTAAATAGTGAAATTGCAGACATAAATAGCGCCGCGTTTTTCTCCGACTTCTCAATACAGACTTTATCTACGAGTCGAATCGCCGTTATAAAAACTACCGCGTTGGCAAACCAAACGCCATTTTCCAAAATATTTTTTGTTGCAGAGAGCCTGAAAGCAAAATTAAAACTACAACATGCAGAAGTCTTTGAAGAAAGTTTTAAGCGCTGTCCAGGCTAGACCAGTTGCCCATTCTACCATCCGCCGATCGCCAATTCCATCTGGAATCAAAATCCAGGTAATAAACCGCTACTTTGACATTTCTAATGATTTTTCTAGCAAATGTTCCGCGCAATGTCCACTCAAATGACTCCAGGAAAACTCACCGACTTCCAAGGAGAAGAGTTCGACGAGGAAGCCTTCCATCTTTCCGAGGAATAAGCCCGAAGACAACAAAAGACGCACAACCTGCTTGCCAGAAGCATCATTTATTTTTACATGCCATCAAGCAATAAAATTCATCCTTGATAGAGTTATTTGAATGCTGGAATTGTTTTATTTTAGAATTAATAGCAGTTTCTGTTCAGGAAGATTTTGTGTATAATTTTGAATTGTTGGTTATTGAAAAGGTAAAACGCAGGAAGCAGAATCAAGAGAAGAAAATAGAACAGTTTGAAAGAAAAAAATGTACAGTAAAGAAATATATACAAATAAATTAACGCCTTCTGGCTTTTTTCAAAAGTCGAGCTTGTATTCCACCCGGGGATATAACGATTTGCGACGATTTCTTTTAAAAATAAATAAGTGGAAAAACAAAGCATTCTCAAACCTGTTCCCAAGGCTCGCCATCAACTTGAACAGGAATATTCGACAGAAGTTGAATTCTAAAATGCGTCCCTTGAGCTATTCTGATGCCACTTCGGACAGCACTGCTAATCGCGGCGAGATGGGAAAAGCCAGTGATTCCTAGAGAGGGTAGTAACAGTCAGCTATTGAGTTCAAATAACTCGTGAGGGGCGCGTGTTTTCTAAGGCGTGGTGGCGTGGAATCAAATGCAAAAATCAAAATGCAAACGCATGCAAGAAAAACGCGAATATGGTTCGATATGATACTGATCAAATATCAGTGATTTCCGATTGCTTGAGTTGATATTCAAAATAAGCTACTTCTAGTAGGAGACTTCCCATGTTATTAATTCGAATCTATAATCTATGATGAGAATCTTAGATCAGTGTTTTTCTCCAAAGAAGCGCTATTTCTTTTTACCTATGCATTCTAATACTCCATCGGAAATATTCTGCGGAATCCACTTGCCCTCCTGCGATCCAGACGAGTGCGGCACCTTCCAGACATCATTGCCACTCCCCCAGGAGGGAATGTTTGTAAAGATCAGTCCCTGTATTTCTGGAAGCGAAATTTCCTCGCCATCGCATGTGAGGGTGATTACGTTGTTTATGTGCTTTGACGGACCGTTGAATTTTTGCAAGCCAGCTTTGCAGTAGTTCAACTTGTTGAAGAAACGAGAGTTGAATTTGGACGGGTTTTGCAGGCGATTCCGGTGAAAGGAAAGGGCGATTTCTGCGTCTAGGCCAATACCAAAATAGTTGCTGAAAACAAAACTTGTAAAAATATCTTCTTGACGTCAAAGAATGCCACTGAATGGCGTTCTTCGTAGATTTAATTTCTCGAATTACCTCATTGTAACCATTTTGACACCCCTCTGAATACAACTTTCACAGTGCGCCTCCGGCACTTCTGCATTTTCGATATCATAAGTTCTGATCGAATCACCAGTAGCTTGCGAGACTCCATCCCCAGCAAACGAGACTTGAACATCGACCTCGGCTTGGAAAGTCATTTGCCGCTCGAGTTTCATCTTCTCGTTGCGCTTGTAGATCTCCATTTCAGAATTATCAGTAGTTTGAGAGTCGCTATCGTCGGTTTCCGACGAGCGGCCTAGTTGGGCAAGATCAGCAGCGATGGTTGGATCAGTAAATCGTCCTTCGAAACGTTTTTAATTGTGATTTCGGGGAACAAGCCGAAATATAAAAATTTAACGTGATTCACAATTAAATTTCATATTTCATTCAAAGATCGCTTTTCGAGCAATAATAAGTTCAGTATTTTGTTGAAAATACTCAAGCTCAACCAGGTAAAGGAAAAATATAAGCCCACTATATTTTTGATACCTTTTTGCTTGGCTAAAATAATTTTTATACCACGAAAATATTCCACTACTAACCTTCACACTTATCGCAACGTTTATACGAGTCGATGAGAATATTCCATCTGTCCAAGAAGCATTTTTCTGCGTTTTGAATACATTGAAGAATAGGAACGAGGTCATTTCCCGTGTAGCCTTTTCCCCAGCCCATAACTCGGGAAAGGTCGTTTCCAGTTCCCAGCGGTAGAACTGCTATTGCTGGCTGACTGCACTAGAATCCAATGATACAATCGTGACAAAGACGAAACGTCATCAAAAAAGGGGTGTACTTACAGTCAAATATTTATGCAGGTCCTCCACACCTTGAAGAACCCAGCCAAGCGTCCCATCGCCGCCGCAAACAATTATCCTGAATAAAGAATAGATGACCCAATCGGAAGTGACGTTTCGTTGCAACTCCCATGTTCTTGTTTATTATTTACCTAAACTTGGCTACGTTTCGGAAGGTAAACAAGCCCGGAAACGGACCAGCTTCGTGGAGCTCAAAGACTTGGTATCTGGAGAAGTAGTATTTCAATTCTTCAGCAACTTTCTTTCCCTGCCCACCGCCAGACTTGGGATTAACGAAGAATAGCACGGGCTCCCGGTCAACCATTGTTTGGCCTACAATTCTTTCGTCAAAAAAATTCGAGAGGGCGTTAATGTTATGACCCGTTTTTCAAGTTCAGCGGGTAATTAAATCAGGGCTGCCCAATCGGATCGGAATCCGATCGGAAATCCGATCCGATCGGAATCGGATCGGTAATCGGTCGGATCGGATGAGGAGATTTTAGTCATGTCCGATCGGGAAAATCGGTTCCGATCGGTAAAATCGGATCGGAATTTCCGATCGGAAAATTCGGATCCCCGTCGGATCGAACCACTAAAAAGCTACCAAAAATGGCGCCAGGGACTAAATTCACATAGGCCAAGGACTTAATTCACATAGGCCAGGGACTTTATTCACATAGGCTTTTTTGAAGACTTATTTTTCATCATTCTGCTCCAAATTGGTGGAGGTGTGAGTCGAGATATTTCAATTCTCTCTTTTGCACCAAGTTGGTGAGGGTCTGTAGTGTGTTAGATAAGCTTTTGGTGTCAACACCATAACTGGCGGTGGAGTAATCAGCTGCTCAAAAATACACTAAAACCATAGGAAAAAATCTTGATGACGTCATTAATCCACCACCAACACTGGTGTTTGCGCCAAACATGTCAAGAATGTTTGATATTGATGTAAGGAATACCCCTTAGTGATGAAATTGCAGATCTATAGACTGTAAGCACGTTTCAATTTTATTATGTCCCCCACGACCAGTCGGAAATTCCGGATTCATGACGTCATTGCTCCACCACCAGTGATGTTGAAGGCACCAAAAGCTTATTTCACACTACAGACCTTTCTCTACATGACACAAATGAGAGAACTAAAAATTTTTGAATTTAAGGTAGTCAAAAGTGCTCCACCATTTTGCAGCAGTATAAAAAAAAACCTGTTTCTACTGTCGCCATGAACACTATTGAAAAAACTGCCACTTTTTGAAAATTGAAAATCTTCCTTGATTTTTCCGATCGGAAAAGTTTCCGATCGGACATGTTTTTCCGATCGGAATTGGAAAATCCGATCGGAATCGGTAATCGGATCGGAAATCGGTCGGATCGGATGAGGTTCGGATCGGATCGGATCGGAATCGGATCGCCGAGACCAAGATTTCCTGTCCGATTGGGCAGCCCTGATTAAATATCGTCATCGAGCTGTGACGTTAGTTCAAATTTAACCGAGCTATTTAAAATTCAACTAAACTTACAATAGATACTCGGTAGAATTTCAAGCCTCAAGTGCGGCAGCTCTTCTTGGAACAATCTGAAGCTCAAGAACGCCGCTTTCTTGCTCCAGAACGAAAGAAAAGCTGTCCCATGCTGCGTGAAAACAGGCCCAAGATGGCCATGCTGAACTTCTTCTCCCTCATCTACGCCGCTGTCGTCCAAGTTGAACATGTAGTTCTTCAAGTAGTTACTGTACCAGGCTTTTGGTCGACACTTCTCCATGCCAGAAATGCAAATGATGCAAACGGGGCTGTCTTGATCGCGCCGGCTAACTGCAAAATTGGAATTTTTGAAAAAACGCTGGGAAAACTAACCGAATCGCTGATTTTCGCCAGCCGCCCCTCGTGTTATTCGTCATTTTGTCTGGGTCTTCGTTCTCCGGAGCGAAGCTCAGAGCGCATCTTTCCGAATCCACTTGAGGTGCATTGATCGAGCTAGCAGGGAGCTTCATATCATCCAGATCTCTTCTGATAATTTCTCTTGCCTTCTGGATCCGAGCCGAGGCAGAATGGTCCATGCGTTGGACCACCTTAATTTTTTTCGTTTTACTCTTTGCCAGTATTTTCTTTTGGAGGCCTTTGAAGCACATGCTTGCATTTGCACTGGCCATGTGTCCACTTCTCAATTATGGCTCTCTTTCTCTTTCGAGTGAGGGGGATATTATATTGTTTCTTTTAGGTGGTTATAAAATCATTGGGCCTCTGGTGACGTCGGAGTATACTATTCACTACGCGCCACCAGAGATGCTCGGGGCGTCAAAGCGCCACGACAGATCATGCAACTCCAAAGGCGCATACAAGCATAAATGCTTGATTATTCAGAAAAGGACGCAATTGAATGCCCTTGGACTGTCAGAAATGTTCGAAAAGGCGATGTTGGAAGACAAATGACATCAAAAGACTTTTAATTCTTTCTGACGATCCCGAGCTAAGTAAAAATCTTTTCTGTAAAATAAGAAGATGCCTTGGATATACTGATAATGATTGCATAAGAACCCCGGAAATCTACGACCTTCTCTAGCCAAGGCGTGAGAAATGTCAGAAAATCTTTTAGGCTTTGACAGATAACACAGTCTTTAACATAAGTTATGTTACATAACCTTTCGCTAGAAATTCCAAGCATCTTATCATTTTTACAAGGTACAGCTAAGAATAAGGGAAACTACATCACTTCTTCATCACATCATCACTTTCTTGTTCAGAGAAAGTTAATCACCAACTAATGATGATTGAACATCTCTTTTAAACACACTCATTTTGATTGAATTGAATCATGCAACTTTACAGTGAATGGCCGGTCAAAAGAAACAGGGTTTACAAAAGTGATTCGGATGCCTCTTTTTTATCTGGGCTTACCTCATTATGTTCTCTATCGCTTTCTAGTGGCGTGGAAATACTCCTCGGTAGCATAGGCGATCCTATCAGTGGTCCCCTCTTGGCGAGTGCCGCGAAAAAGAGCACATCTAGCGTCGACGAAATCACGAACTCGACTGCGGCCCAAATGATCTGAAACTTACTTCTAAATCTCTCATCTTCTTCCTATCTCTATGAATGATTAAACAGATAAAGTTGTACACGTCACTAATTGTTCCATACGACAGTTTAATCATATTTAAACAGAGCTCAGGTAACTCAAGTTTGAAGGTCACTTTAAGGGTGGCCACGTATGCTTTTCTTTTTATAATCATTCGATTTTAAGGAAACCCGAAGCGATAATTTCATGCGAAAGTAACTAAAAAAGGCGGATAATAGTCGTAAAATTATTGTTCTGTGAAAGATTCCTGATTCAACGCTCAACTCTATCAATGAATATTAATAGGATTCAGAATACAGTATTCTGAATACTTAAATGTAGTCATTTGTGATGATTACAACTGTAATCATTGTACCGTTTGATTTGAGCTTTAGAGAAATCGTGGCGGGTGCTATTTTCAAAGTTGGCGCGTAAATTTCAAATCGGGCCAATAATTTTCTGTGCCAACAAGGCAGGCGAGGAAAAACTATCGTCGGTCGAGAATTGTTATCTGAGAAATTCAATGGCGCATAAAAGCAAGTACTACAAGGAGCTGAACGATGGAGTTCTGGATCTGTCGATGCAAAATTTAAAGACGGTTAGTTGATTGAAAGGTGATGAGAAATAGGGATTACAAGTGGTTTTTCTGTCAATAACATGGCCCTTTAGCAAATTAATTAACTCAAATTCTGATCCATTTTTTAGTTCCCTCTTGCCGACCTTCTCCCTCTCGCGGACCGAATTAAGCGCCTGGATCTCTCGCGAAATAATCTCATTGACCTGCCTCCTGAAATTGCCACTTTCAAAAACCTCACGGAGCTGGATCTTTCTGGTAATGCCCTGTCAATACTGCCGAATGAGATCTCAAAATGCTCGAAAATCAGCAAGCTGATCTTGGAAGGAAATGCTTTGACAAACCTGCCGGAAGATTTCGTTGAACTAAAGAGGCTCTTTCATTTGGATCTACGAGGCAATCCTCTATCGCCGCATCTTCAAAATGCCGCTGGAGACTGCCAAAGTAAAAGGTACAAAAGATCTGAGATCGTTTACTGATAGATTTTTTAGAGAATGCGAAGTCGCTGCGGGAAGAGTCATGAAATTCCAAGCTGTTTATCAACAAAAATGTCAAAAAACACGAAAAGAAGCAGAAGCGAAGAAAAGAAAGGAACAAAACAGGGCCAAACGAGCGGCTAAGGAGGCGAAGCTTGCTGAAAAGGTAAAAATCAATCGAAAATCCCGGTTCTTGATAAGAAAAATTATTTAGGAAAAGCGAAGAAAGGCTTGGGAACAAGAACAGCTCAGAAAAAAGCTCGAATCCGATATTTTCGGAAGTAACGAAGGAGAGTTGAAAGATGGAGAGGAAAATACAGAGGAAGAAGAAGAAGCGTCAATTGAAATGGATATTGAAGAAAACAAGAGCTCTACTTATTCGATGAAGATGTTTATTTTCGCGATTTTGGCCGCTATCTTGGCAGTCTATTTCGAACTTGTGCAGATAAAATATTAGCTGATGTGCAATTTCTAGGGTTTTTCTTTGGACAGATAATAAATAACGAAAAATAGATTTATTCGTCAATTTCATGCAGGTCGGTTTCCCATTCCATCTCTTCTAGGTTGTTCATTCGCAGGTAAATTTTCTTCGCCAGCATTTTCTTTGATGAGCCAGTCAGTGGGACCTTCTTAATTTTGTATTTGTCGAGCAACGCGTTGAAATCGGCATTTGAGAGCTTTTCTATTTCGTCTTTTGAGAAATTTTCTTTTTCGATTTTTTCAATTTCGGTTTTTCGTTGATTCTTCGGCTCTTTTTGAAGCTCCATCAGCTTCTTTTTGTAGTATTTTCTTGTAAAATCGGAAATGGGAGCGCATTTGAAACCGGCTTCCTTGCAGGCTGCTCGCAAGTCCGAATCGGTCATGTTTTCAATTTCACAATTCGACATGCTGGAAAAGACACTTTTGAAGGTTTTATGAGAACTTTATTGTTATTCAGGGATGTTGCTATTTGAACAGACATACATGGAGTTGTTTCTTTGAACTTGACTTTCAGATTAACTTTGAATAAATTAATTTTGGTAAGGAGCTTAGAAGTTGATTGGCTTTCCAAAAGCGGCGGAACCGGCAGCTTCCTAAACAAAGGGGTCGAAAAAAGCAAACGATAATTTCCTTTACCTTGAATGCTTCGGACATAGTTGGATGAGCGTGGCAAACTCGGGCAACATCCTCAGCAGTAGCGCCATATTCCATCGCCAGGACACCTTCAGCAATCATCTCACCAGCAATGGGCCCGATAATGTGAACACCGAGGATCTTGTCGGTGGCGCTGTCGGAGAGAATTTTGACAAAACCTTCGGAGTCGTTGACAGTCTTTGCGCGGGAGTTGGCCATAAAGGGGAAGCTTCCGATCTTGTAGGAGACGCCTTCGGCCTTGAGGTCTTCTTCAGTCTTGCCAACCCAGGCGACTTCGGGGTGGGTGTAGATAACAGAGGGAATGCAGTTGTAGTCGATGTGGACATCTTTAATTAAGCAATAACGTTTGAAAACAGGTTCTATTGTTTACCTTTGCCAGCAAGATGCTCGACGCAGATAATACCTTCATCTTCAGCCTTGTGGGCCAACATAGCACCTCGGATGCAATCACCGATTGAGTAAACAGATGGGCAAGAGGTCTTAAAATAATTTAACCCGGTAACACATCATATCTTACCTGGAAGTTGTCATCAACTGGGATCTGTCCCTGCTTGTTGACTTCGATACCAACGGTTTCCAAGCCAAGGCCTTCGGTGTAAGGTCGTCGGCCGACGCAAACAAGAATGACATCTTAAAAATCATGAGTACTCTTATCGATTGTTTTCATCATACCAGCATCGATGGTTTCAGTCTTGCCACCCTTGGCAGACTCAAGCTGGACCTTGTAGCTACCGTCAGCCTGCTTCTCAGCTCCGGTGACCTTGGTGTTGAGCTTGAATTTCATGCCCTGCTTCTGGAGGGATCGCTGGAAGTTCTTGGAGACTTCACCGTCGATTCCGACACCACCGATAGACCCGAGAAACTCAACAGCAGTGACCTTGGATCCGAATCGGCTCCAGACAGAACCAAGTTCAAGACCAATGACACCACCGCCAATAACGACCATTCGCTCGGGGACCTTGGAGAGAGAGAGAGCTCCGGTGGAAGATACAATGGTTTCTTCGTCGATCTTGATTCCACCGCCGGGGAATGGAGTGACATCAGAGCCAGTAGCGAGGAGGGTGTACTTGGTGTTGATGGTATCGGTAGAGCCATCAGCGCGAGAAGCAGTGACCTTGTTTGGTCCCTCGAGCTTGCCGTGACCAGTAACATGGGTGACACCATTCTTCTTGAAGAGATGAGCAATACCGCCGGTAAGGGCCTTGACGGAGCCATCCTTGGCCTTCATAACCTGCTCGAGGTTGAGCTTGACGCCGCTGACCTCGATACCTCGGGATTTGAAGTCCTTGTGGGCCATGTGGTAGAAGTGCGAGTTTTGCAAGAGCGATTTCGAGGGGATGCAGCCAACGTTCAAGCAGGTGCCACCGAGAGTATCGCCCTTCTCGACGCAGACGGTTTTGAAGCCGAGCTGTGCGGCCTTGATGGCAGCAACGTAGCCACCAGGACCACCGCCGATGACGGTCAAATCGGCGTCATAGGTGGCCAGTCGAGTGCTAAGTCGAGAAAGGGCGGCTTTTCGCAGCATTCTATAAATAAAGGATGAGAGCTCTTGTTGATATAAAATTGAAAACGTGCAGGATAAAAATTATGTTTCAACTTATGATAATTTGATGCTTGGTAGAACATTTCTCTCGAATTCGTGAGAAAAGAAAGATTACATAACCTTATCGAGCACGATTTCAAATGGGCGGCTCAGCGCCTGAGTCACAACTTTACTCTGTTTATAATTCAATAAAAAGCGTTGTCAGTCTTTGATTTTGAAAGTATTTTTTTCTTGAAAGTGAATAAATGAGAGGACGCTTTAGCTGCTGCGCATTTGTGCGAGAACGCGTTTGAAAAAGGTGGATTGCTCGAAGATTTCTTCGTTGCCGGAAATGTTGGGATCGTAGATTCTGTTCTTGAAGAAGTTTGGCTCTGAAAAAATGATATGAAATAATTGAAGATATAAAAGACTCACCTATCCAAACACAAGTATTCGCATGACCATTATCAACTAACGAAGCACTCAAGTCGACGTTTTTAAAAAGCAAACAAATGCCACCGGGAAAGGGAAACTTCGAGCAGGTTCTTCCCCATCTGTCAAAGTAATTCTTCGGTGGTTCCATAATCTCGGATCCTGCGAAGAGCGATTTAACGGAAGAACCAACATCGAAATCGGCGCTTTCTGCGGGGATGTTAATAAAAATGTTGGCTTCTTTGCTCTTGTGGAAGTTGTAGCTTTCGACGGCAACTGTGGTGACGCCTGTTTCTTCATTGAACCAAAGGCCGCGCAAGGGTTGTCTCGCGATCTAAAACAACAAATAGCCACTCTAGAATGACAGGGAGTCTTACTTGATTACCATATGAAAAGCTGAACATCAATCCAGAATACAAAATCGCGTTAATCGCGCCAAACCAGATGCTCAACGTTGGGAAAATGATTAAATTTGACATGCAAAGCATTCCAACAATCCCTGTTACTCCCACAGATCTTCTTGAAAACGATGTTTGTAATGTAGTCGTGAAAGCTTGGATTTGAGCATTATGTCGCGCTGCTTTTTCGTCCTCACTCATCCCAGATGTTTGAGCCGCGTTTGGCTTGTTCATCATAACTGCTTGATACAAGCATTTCGGATTTCCAGGGAGCTTGTGGGTAGTCCAGATTTCCTGGGGACTTTCGGTAGTATCTATTTTTTGAATTGGCGTTCTGTTTTCTTCAACTGGTCGTTCAGGCGCGGGTCGACCTCCTCTTCCTCGACCATACGCAATATTCGCCAGCGATAACGGCCGGGAACATACGATAGGCGCGAACCTATTTCTTGTTATTCCGATTAAGATCTGACTCATCTACAAAACAATAATAAGAAGAAAGAAGGGGGATATGAATTCGTGTTGTTTTTGTGGGAACTCCAAATAAATAAAGTTTAAAAGAATGTACAGAGGAGTTAGAAGCCGTTCTCGAACATGTCCAGAACTTTGGAATTTTTCTGGGGGTTTGATCTTTGACGGGAGAGATTGGCGAAGAGTGCGTCGAGCTCGTCTAAAAATAAAACCATCATTCGAAAGAGTGGTGAATATCCTACCCAAAACAGTCTCTTCTTGGGAGTTGCGGTGTTGATTGTACGGACTCTGGTAGCTCTCTGACCTGTGCCACTTCATGGAACTATAAACAACTGATCCTTCTGATCTGATAAGTATGCGCTGATCATATTCAGCTCGCTTTTGGGGATGAGATAAAACGGTAAATGCTTCGGTAACAATTTTGAATTGAGCTTCTTTTGACTCATCCCCAGGGTGACGATCGGGGTGCGTTTGGAAAACGAGCTTTCGGTAAGCCCGGCGAATTTCGTCTCTTGGGGCGTCTTCGTCGACCCCTGGGAGAAAAGAAAAAATAAGCTAAAAAGAGAAGTCGATTCCTTACCAAGGGCATCGTAGTAGTTAAGGGTTTTTGTACAAAACGCCCTTTTCGCGACCCCCCTTGTAATCAAGCCGAGGACCATCTGAATCAACAAGTGAAGAAGCTTCAGTTCCAGAACCATGTTATATTTTCTGTTAAGGCACATGTAAAATATGGCGCAAGAAAGAACAGTGAAAAAAGATGGTGATGGTAAGCTGATGGACTTTAATTTAAATAGTTTTTACTGAACTTTGTGAGTAATCAAAAGTTTGAAGTCAATCGGTGTTGGTGCGTGATCGCGATGATCGGTCAGGGGTGGAGTGTTGGCCGCGGTGGCCGTGATGAAGGTCTGATTCGGCACGCTGACGAGCTTGGTAGTTTTGGTACATTTGCATCGTGTTTCTAACGAAAATGATTGATGAAACTATGCTTATTTGAATTTATCTACCTGACGTTCTGATAGTACTGAGATTCAGCTCGGTTTAGTCTGTTGACAGTCGAGTTCAAATCATTTCCGTGCTCGAATTTTAGCTGGGAGAGGTTGTGATTGAGTAGCACTCCGCTTTGATTTGCCAAAGGCGACATGTGACTTTGGTGTTGTTGCATCGCAAGCTGACCATGCTTTTTAGTTCCTCTGTTGTAATCAGGGCTGCAATGTACCTGGCGATCCCCGTCGAAACGTCTCTGATTGTAATTCTTGAAGCGGATGTCATGTTGGTAATGATTTTGATTTTGATGTCTTTTATCCAAGTCATGCTTAGGCGCGTTTTCCAGGCGATCATGATTTCTGGAATTTCGTTGTTGCCGTTGATTCTGGCGATTCTTGAGTGGGCAGTCTTTTTTCATATGGCCGACTTCGTTACAAACAAAGCATGGTCGAGGTGGAGTTTCAACTACTTGGCCATTTTTCTCGGCAAGACGACGGTTTTTCGCTGACATTGGGCAGTCTTTGATTTCATAATTAGAAGTGACTGATATTAGAGTGAACTACCTTTGATAAAATGACCAATTTTGCCACAAATTCTGCAGCAACGATCGTTAGGAACCTCTTCGCCGTTTGTGAGTAGCGCTTTACTCAGCAAAATGTCGCAGAATATATCGACATTGAGATCTGGAGCCATGTGTGGAATTATCATTCGTGTATACATGGAGATATCGAATGATCCGAAGACATGCCTGGCTCTTCGTAGGACAGAGATGATGAAATTTGCCATTTTTCGAGAAACTCCTGCGCCCAAATTGTGGTTGTGGTCGAAGGGATCTTCAATGGAAATGCATTTCGAGGTCCATTCCTTCTCGAAGAGTGACAGTCGTCCACTCATCTGGCACTGGACAACATCTCTTTCAAAGTTGAAGTCTTCAGTGTAATATCTCAAGAACTTGACCCAAAGTTTCGATAGACAGTCGTTGATCTGAGAGTCTGATCGATTATTCATAAATTCTGCAATGACAAGTGGATCTTCCTGAAACCAAGTATTATAGCCTTCGACAATGTATGAGGGTCTTTCGTCGCCTTTGTGCAGCTCTTGAAGCACTGGGAGAACGCCTTCGTGTTGCAGGAAGTGAATCACCATCAAAATGTAAGCTAAAATGTGTTTTCAGCGATATTCAGAACATAAAGCTTACCATAAGAGCTCAAGGATCCCCTACTAGCATCGCCGATTCCGATTTCTTTCACCATTGCTTTTACAAGATAACCAAGAATTTCACATCTTCGATCCAACAAGCAATAAGTTCTCAACAGTTTCGTATTTCTTTTTGCAAGAACATTATAATACGAAATATCTGCCTCGAACTTGATATGATCAGCTAAATGCAAGTCGAACTTCACAATTGGCACTTTGGCTTGAGTGATGGCAACAATATTGGAGAAGACAGTGTTGGTTTTGAAGGCTTGGGCAATACTCTTAATGACTTCAACCGGGTCGCTGTAGATTTCTGGCGGTTCCGTATCGTGTCCTGCAAACGTCAAGCAAATATCTAAATCAGAACCAGAAAATCCAAAACCATTCCTGCTCGAGCCAAAGAGCTCCAATCTCGAGTTCTTGTCGTAGTTCATCTCCATGAAGTTTTGAATGAATTTGAGCGCACGCTCTCTTGTGTGTATTTCTCTATCAGCGGGTTTCTTTCTTGCAAATACTCTCATCAATACTCCGTCAAGCCAGGCGTAGTCCTGTGTTTTCATCTCTGGAAGACGCTCGAGACGGACTCGGTCGATGTCATCTGGGCAAGCGTCACTTGCGTGCTCGTCTGACCGGCAATGAATGCACTGTCGTTTCGGAAGAGGACCTCCAGCCACGCACTCTTGGTCAAAGACAGCAGTCATGCGCTTGAAAATAGGATCTTGTTCTTTTTTTACCATCTTTTTCACTTTATTCTTCGCTGAATCAATCATATCGTCATCAATTTCACTGTTATTTGATTCACTACCATCAGAATCATCCTCAGACGGCTCTTCTTCGGAATCTTTGAATTCATCTTCGGGATCCGAGTACACTTTCGATTCGCTTTCTTCAAGTGTCGACTCTTCGGATGCTCTTGGAGTATTCTCACCATTTTCTGGGGATGATAACTGATTTTTTTCGATCTTCGATTCTAGTGTTTCTGAACATAAAATCGGAGAAGTAGTTTCTGATCGCGGGGAAGTCCTTGGCGAAGGTGTTCTACTCTTGTCAGACGCGATATACTTGTTGATATGATTGAGCAATCTTGGGTTGAGTTTCACGGAACGTTTCTTTTCCTGGTCAGTCTCTATACTCATTTTGCGTACCCTGTCGGTCAGCTCGCTTTCTCCATCTTCAACGAAAACCTCTAATCCAGCGTCAGATTTTACTTCGATCAATTTGTTATCGCTGCTTTCCCTGATAATATCAAATCTTTCTTCTCGGGGTTTCAAATGCCCAAATTTATTCGCATGGATCATCTTTCGCAACTCATTGGGACCGATAAAGAGCCTGCCATAGGCAACTCGAAGCCTTGCTTTCCAAAACTCAAAGTTTCCTTGTCCGGTGAGAGTTCTAGCAGCATTCCTCACTGGAGAGTAGGGATCTTGAATGGCTATCCGCCTGACACCCATATTCAGCGATGATCTCGTCGCAGTTTGGTCGATGATGGAAATCAGTTCTTTTTCGTAGTTAAGTTCGTATGCGTAAAATTCAAGGAGATCAACAAGTAGTCTCGCGAGACACATACTTTCAGGCACCTGAGAAGCCTCTAAGAGAGACTCTTCATCCTCTAATTCTGCTTCTTCACTACCCTCTTCTGTTTTAGCTTCGATAGTTGGTGTTTCTTGCTCGATCGTAGGAGGTTCCGATGTGCTTTCGATCGTTGGCGGCTCAGAGTCTATTGTATCATCCTCAAAGATCAGTTCTCGGGACTCTTCTTCGTCAGATGATAATCCGGAGCTTTCATCTTCATTATTTGCTTCTTCTCTTTCGTCGGAACTTTTTGGTTGACTTTTGGTTGTTTTCTCAACTGGCGGACTATTCGTTGCAGAAGATTTTTGACTGGATTTACTTGAAAAATTTGAGGAAGCAGATGACTTTAATCGTCGAATGAAGCATTTTCCATCTTCGAATCGATAAGGAATATTAACGAGCTTAGGGAGGAGTAATTTTTGGTTAGAAAATGACTGTTCTTACGTTGCAATCTGTTTTTTCGTTAAGAATTGGAACCCATCCTCTTCTCTGGAAGAAGTAAATGACACAAATAACAAGAGTAAATGCTGGCAAAGTTCCGTTATCAGGTTCATCAAGGCCACACCAGTTGGCCCACTGCCTGAAGATCAGCGCCAGTTTTTGTATTTTCGGCTCGTAGGTCAAGTAAAACTAGAATATTTAGGCTTTACAGGGTTTAATCTGTAGATTTTTCTCACGTTTATCAAATTGGCAGTTTTTATGCGCGAGGTTCTAGCATGATCAGCTCCAATGATTGTGAATTTGACACCAGTTTCACAGTCGATAGCGGCAACGTTCGGCATAAAGGTTGATCCAGCCTGTGGCGCATAAAAAGTGTTCTTTACTGATTTTAGGTTCGCATCTGGGTCGTTTGAAAGGTCATGTAGGAAGTAGAATATCTGGCTGAGGAGAGTATTTGCACGGGTTCTTTCTCTCGAGACGCAAATATTGATGTCTGATGATTCTAGCACGGCTTTATAGGCGGTAGATCCATAGAGTTGGACATTAATATCAGGAAGAAACTTCTTTAAAATTGCTGCAATCCTAGAATGTGATGAGAAATGACGCCCCAATATCATTATTACCTCTCAAAACAATCTGATCGTTTGTTAAAGTCAACAGAATTCAGTCTATTGTCTAACAGACTGTTCAACTCCGCATTGAGCATTGCCAATCTATCAGGATTTTGATCAAGCGGGAATTTACTTGCCGCCAGCTTAGCTACATCCAATTCCAAAACTTTTGTCTTCAAAAGTTTGTGGTAACTATCTTTGTAGCAGTGGTGAAGGGCGTTTTCGCGATTTGGGAAGTCGATCAAACATAGTTTGCAGCTATAAGATGGGCTGTCTTCGGGACCTTCCGTGTCAATGTGATGAGTTCTGAAGTCGTGCAGTGCGTAGGCATCGGAAACTGTGTTGTATTTCTCGGAGCCTTTGAAGAGCGCAGCTAGAATCAAAATAGATACGACCTTTTTAACCGAAATCGCTTACGAATATACTGTCGATCATTTTTTAGCATATAAGCAGCTAGATGGACGAAAATGAACTCATCATCCTAAAAGAATTGTTATAAAATCTTAATTCGCGGTGGACTTTTACCTTTGATATACTTGGATTGCTGTAAGATGTCAACTTTGGCGGATTGTCTCGACGTTCCTTTGCCTTTCTTCTTCTCTCTTTTTTCTTCATCATTCTTGTGGGTTTCTGCTTTATCTGCGTACGTGATTCCATCTCTCTCAACCGGTGTAGCTCGAATTGAAGCAGCTCGGCGCGTAGATAGTTCTTCACTTGTTTAGGCTTCAGTTTTTGTTGCTGAGGTTGCTCATTTGAGGTTGAGTTCTCTCGCTCGCGTTGCTTATTTTATTTTTCAGATAAGAATTAATCATGACTCTGTGCTACCTTGATTCGTATCTTTGGCTGGTCTGGTCCAATGTCTTCTTTGTTTTCGGAAGTGCGTATCACCGTTCTATCATCCTGAATAATGCTTTCAAGAGTCTACATATAATATCCAATTGGATTTCCCGGATCAAGATCGAATCATAAAAATAAGCACTGTGTCGGTTACGAAACACTTTCAGTGAACCGAGACCGCTATCCGTCACGTATTTATTGAATAGATTCTTTACTTAACAAGCTTATCTACTAGCTTTACTTACATCTGACTTTTTCGGAAAACGAGCAGCATTTTGCTTTTTTCTACTAGTCCTCTTGCCGCCCCTCTCTCGCTTGGAATTTTTCTTATTTTTAGAGGAGTTTTCGCTCAGCTCGTCTGATCCACGTTCTCGTCGAGGAGTGTCTTGTGGTGCTTTCGACGAGTCCTCGTTGACTTCATCAGTGCGCATTTTTGAGAAATGCCGATTTCTAAATCCCTCTTTTGTCAGTTTCTGCTTTTTCATAAGACTGCATTTGGAAAAGATTTTACGAAATCCTATATCTATCTAGATTCTAGAATATCCTGCAAAAATTGTTCCTGCTTGTTTTCGCAATAGTGAGCCTTGTTTATGCTGCTTAGGAAAAGATGACAACATAAAAAGTGTTTCAGTTTTCCGTTGAAGGAATATACTTTCATATATTATATTATATACAGTGAAAGTGAAGTGTTTGGAGGAGGGTGAGACTCGACAGTCGAGCGGCAGTTTTACTTGTGTGAACTTAAGCCGGCAGTGAATGTGCACTTTATCTCCCGGCGGAAATTTCGATCCTATCGGACGCTTTTTCTAAGGAAACTGTTACTTTTCTATTGGTGAGATAATGCGGCTTACCGAGTGGACCTTCTAGGAGTGTTCTGGGCAGGTGGGGTACCGGGGCGATGAGGAGGATAACGTCCGTATACCCGAAACTCATAAAAAGACGACGACATTTCGGCGATGAGGGTCCAGCCAGAAGTTTCGCCTGTCCAAGGCTCAGGCTTGGGCTCTGCGCCTGAAGACATCGTCTTTCGACGATTGGGACCCCTTCTTGCTGGAGTTCGTCGGGACTTGGGCGCATCAGGAACGTCGCTGGTGGTCTTGCGGCGTTTGTTCTTTGCGGCATCGTCTTTAGAGTCTTTCTCAATCTTGCGCTTGACGGTGCGCTCTGCAGGCACAGGAGTCGTGAGAGTAGAAGCTCGCGATCGACGGTTTCCTCGGCTTGGCGTAGTTGTAGCTCGTGGGTCGATTTTGGTTGGGATTACCGCGACAGCTTTCGATTTTGCTGTTCGCGTTGCCCGCTGATTGATCGAATGATACAGCGCAATAGCGGCTTGGCGATCATTCATCATAGATTCTTCAGCCGAACCTTTTCGTTTAACCGGAGATCGAATAGACCTCTTAAGGTCGACTCCTAATAGAGGGGTTGACTCCAGAGAAGAAGTGTCGAGTTCGGAGCCTCTTCGGGGAGTACCGGGCGTCTTGGGACGCGGTTTTCGCTTGTTGTAGACGTACTGCGGTGTTGACGAAAGCCGCCGACTGGATCTTCGTGTCGGGAGCTCGCTACTTGCAGGCTCAAGATCGAAAGCGCCCTGTTGCTCTGCAGCTGGCTCGAGCTTGTCCCCTGTCTTTTCGGCGACGATGTTCGGAGCAGGGATGGGAAGCTCTTGAGCTTCAGAATAGCTAAATAAATGATTTATATTTGTAACCTAGGGTCGGCACCGACCCAACCAAAAAACCCGACCTGGTCGGAAATGGTCGGGTTTTTATGGGCACCAACCAGCCCGACCTCAGATTTTGTACCTCGATTTTGGATGGTCGGCTTTTGGTCGGTTTTGGTCGGTTTTTTTAGTCTTTTGGTCGGGTTGGTCGGTTTTTGGTCGGTTTAAAACTACGCATTTGAGCGATTTTTTTTAAATTTTCTCCGGCGACAAGAGAAAAATCGGCGGCGAGTCCGGGCTAAAGCTCTTTAAAATTTAACTTTTCATGGCGAATCGACTACCACAGTGATGATTTCAAAAAACTTTTTGTGGGGCCGGAAATCGTAAAAAATCTGCAAGTGCAGTTTTCTTCAGCTCGTCGAGACGAGTTGAATGATGGGTCTTACTCCTGATAACTCTAAGGATTTACCGGTTTACCGGCTGGTTACCGGAAAATACGTTGTCAGCGGCCGTTTTTGTTCTAGAAGTGGTAAACAGATGATCGACCCAGGAAATTGTTCCTTATAGTCAGTTCTACTGCAGGCTAAAAGATGAAAGTCGTATCATTACTCCGAAGAGAGTTATCATTAAAAATAGTAAATTTTACATATCTTTCGTAGTTGCTGCACGTTCCTGATTTCTAGTCCCATTTCCGCCAAAAATAGTATTTTAGTGATAACTCTCTTCAGACTATTGATACGACTCTCATCTTTAAGCCTGCAGTAGAACTAAGTATAAGAAACAAGTTCCGGGGTCGATCATCTGTTTACCACTTCTAGAACAAAAACGGCCGGTGACAACGTATTTTCCGGTAACCAGCCGGTAAACCGGTAAATCCTTAGAGTTATCAGGAGTTAGACCCATCATTCAACTCGTCTCGACGAGCTGAAGAAAACTGCACTTGCAGATTTTTTACGATTTCCGGCCCCACAAAAAGTTTTTTGAAATCATCAGTAAAATGCTTCGATCCGAGGCCCTCGAGGGCTGTGTGCGATAGAAAAATGTTGACAAATGTTAATTTTGCTCTTTAAAAAAACCGACCAAAAAAGCCGACCCGACCGACCAAAACGACCACGGATTTGGCCTCTTTTCACGGGGACCGACCAAACCGACCACGAAAAATGGTGGTCGGTGCCGACCCTAGATTTGTAACAAGGAAACTATCTTTGACTTACTTGGGTGATACTTCAGGTGGGGTGTCGTTTGTATCGACCTCCATCGCATTCTCGTCTCGTTTTACTTCATCCTTCTGATCCACGATTTCACCCTCCTCCTGATTCTTCACTATTTCGCTCTTATCTGCTTGAGGGTCTTCGTGGACACCGTTTTCTCGGGTAGAGTCGCCATTGTGTCCATCATCGGCGGAATCATCCACGGGAGCACCATTTTCCGCTGGAGTATCTTCTGAGTCGGAAGGAGCATTTGTAGCTGGTGAATTGACTCCTTGCTGTTTTGCGGCTTTCGCTTCTTCGGCCCAAAGTTTCACAGCTTCATCGAAGTCGTCAATGTAGCCGTATCTGGCGGCTAGCCCCTGCTGGTTTACAGGTTCGCGATCAGGGACGCCGACGAGTTTGTCGAAATAACGCCGGCACTCGTACTTGAAGGCGAATAGGTCACGGAGTGTGAACCATTTCTTCAGCTTGTCGGGGTGTGAGTCCAACAATGGCCTAAAATGTGAGTATTCCTCCTTGATTTCTTCCAAATTTTACCTGTCCTTGTCGAAAAACCTCCGGATGTAGAAGAGTGTGAATGGGCCACAGTCGAAGTCATTCGCTTGGTGGGGACCTCGTGGTCTTCCGTACTTGAAAGGAAGTAATTGCTTGTGGAGGCATGGATCCATGTTGTAGCAACGGTTGCAGGGGTGGGGATATCTCGACAAGCTGCGTTCCAACCTCGTCTTGTTGCAGAAGTAGATGGAAGGCTTTCGGCCACCGTTGACGATACGCAACCTTTGCCTGTTGTCCTCGGCGTTTTCGTCTAACTCGAGAATCCCTTCATCAATCAGCCTGTCTTGGTCCTCACGAAGAGCCTCATTGTCTCTGTCTAAAGGACGTTTGTGAAGAAATAATTTAAAAACTCAAGCTTACCCAAGAATGCAGAAGTCAAAAACTCGCATGCCACTTCAACCTTCTCGAACCAATCTGGCGCGTACCCCGAGCAGAGCAGGTAGATTCCTGGCTCGTCTTCTGACGGACATAAATATTCTTTCTCTCTCTGGCCAACTTCGTCGTGAAATCGTTCAAACTTTTCTTCGTCAGTCTCAGACTGTTCCTCCTCATCATCCTCCTCATCATAAGACGATTCGTCTTCTTCCTCCTCGTCGCTCATCTCCGGAATTCGGTCGTAGGGAAGTTCGCGCTCTGGATTAACTTCTTCCTCATCCTGACCATTCGCGATGCTGTCAGCCTCATTCAGCGATAGACCAGAGAGTTCCGCAGCAGCAGCCTCATCACTAACTGGACTATCGTCGTCTAGCGCATCTCCAGTCTTCTCAGGCGACTCGTTCGCACCAGAGTCGTTAGTTTCGCCCTCACGGGGAGATTCTGGGACCTCTTCGTCGCTGCTTGAGTCGAGCATCCCGTCTTGATGAATGAGCTTCTGAGAGATACCCTCACTCTTCTCGACCTGCTCGCTCTCGTTCTCGCTTTCTTCGAGCTCACCGTCTTCAGGTTCTCCTGATTCAAGACTCGTCATTTCGGGTAGAACGGCATCGGCAACCTCGTTACCTTCCTGAAAGATTTGGTTAATGATTTCGTCTCAGAAACAATGGTGAAAATGTAAGTTCAAAACGGAACACTTACAGCTGACAGCTTCTCACTGTATTCAGGAGGTTCCGGTTCCTCCTTTTCAAAATCGCCTTCTAACAGCTTCTGCATGATCAGTCTTGGCTTGTTTATGACTATCAAGCTCCAATGGGCGTCTTGGTTAATAGGCAGAAAGAGGACGTCTTTTTGGAAGAGATTGAGCATCTTCTGTTGTTTCTTAAGTTAATAACTATATTTTTTGATAGGCAAGTTGAGGTTTACCTGTCTTCGATCAGCATAACTCCTCTTGCCACGACTAGGCAGCCAGATAACCTTCCGGACGATTTCTTCATACCGGTAAGCCATCCCGGCTTTGTGCTCGATCATGATGCCCCTTGACTGATCTGCGCCCTTTACATCTTCCTGTCTGATCGCATTCCAGGCATTGATGCTGAAGACGTAGGCATTTTTATCCCGAATCTCCTCTTAAAGTAAATTTAGACTATGGAAACAAGAAAAATTGCCTTACCAAGAAGCATGTTAAGAATCATGTGCATGTCCGTATCCTGGAGCCACATGTTGGTACCGAGCCCTTCCAATTGAAGGAGTCTATTTCGAGACTCCTCGTACATGATATCGTCAGGCTTATTAAAATACGGGAAAGACTCGGTGAACTCGTATTTCTCTGGCGCCGGCACCACCGCGTTCGCTAAGTGGGCCCATTGATTTTCGTCTCCGCCAGCGTTCTTGAAATTTGTTAGATTTTTACTGAAGATTGGCAATTAAAAAACTTACCGTTTCTGTTTTCCCGTTGACCGGCGGTTCGTTTATTGGGATGTTGAGATCGTCCTCTTCAGGGATGACGGCGTGGACGATGTCGCCAGAAGCTTCCGTAGCAGCAGCCGGATTCGCTTCTACCCCGGACGAGTCGACCATGTCGAGGTGAATCGTGGACGATCGACCCAGCGGCTCGCTCCCATTCTCTGTAGTTGTCGAGTTTTCTTCCGACATCGATGAGTCTAAAATTTGTACTGTCGGAAGGAGAGAATCTGGGTAAATATAAATGTCAGTTCTAGAGACAGAAGAAAAACAGGTCAGTGGTAGGATGATCGGAAATTTGCATGGGGCTAGATATTTTCAACTTTGAGATATTCTCAATTCCTTCTCAATCTCCAATTGGGCTGAAAAATAGTCGTAGATGTCAATGACTGCGATTGGGCGGACGTTGTGAAGAGGGTTGATCATGGAAAGGCAATTTTCGGACTCGGGCTCAGGGCAGATCGTGGTTTGGCCGTGCCTAAATGCGTTAATTAGCAAAATATTTCCAATTCATCACAGATAACTGCCACTTAATTTCAATTTCACTACTATTCTTGTTATTTAACAATCAAGATTAATTTGAGTTGATATTGCTGTATGTACCTGTTATAAACATGTTGAAGCGCAGCAACGCCTGATAACGCATAGCAAGTGTGATAGTAATCGCGGTGGCTCCCAGGTCGATCAGCAAACCCACCGGCAACGGAGTTTTTCTGCCTCACTTGACACGCAAGGAAAGTGTAATCCATCAGCGCTCTGGAATCGCAGAGCCAGGAGTCCTTCGGCGCATGGTCTTGGTCGAGGAGGCCGTGGACGATTGGAAACGAGCCTCCTTGCCAGAAGTTGTAGCAAGAATCAACCAGTTTGTTTGCTCGACCTAAATTGGTTCAGGTCATTCTTTATCAGCGAGATTACAACACTAACTACAAGAAAAAACGTGAAAAGAGCGAAAAATCATCCCTCGACTCGAAGAATTGCGAATCGCGCGCGCGCTAAATTCAAAATTTCACTCACCATCGAACCCTCCTTCCACACTCTTTTGTCTGTTACAGAGCCATCTCACTAAGCTGGAAACATTGGGAATCGCGCTCGTCTTGTTGAGAAGAGCAAGTGCAGCGAGACTTGTGTACGTGAAGCCTCTGAATTGCTCATTTTTACGTTGTTTGATTTTTATTTTGTCTCTGAAGTGAGCGCGCTCTGGAGTTTGCGTGGCGCTGGGCAAGCGACGCGAAATTAAAGCGTGGGCGACGCGGCCAATGACACGTCGCCTAACCTCTGGCGCGCCCGTCCATTGGTTAGGGACAGTGGAGGACCCTGACTCGAAAAGATGGCCAGGATGGAGCGACTTCCATCAGAAGGCCAAATCAGAGATTTTATATCTCTGACTTGCCGTGGCGTTTTAACCTTTTTTTATGGCAATAATTTTTTAATCTGATTAATTGTTAATTAAATAAGCAGCGCACGGTAGAAATAATTTGCATCTTATAATAATCTGAGAAATTTTGACTTATTTCATAAGGAAAATAGCTTTAATAGAACAACCGTGCGTTTAAAAGATTTACCCATGACTTTCTGCTCCCGGATTGGGTCCAAATCCACCGTCCCAAGACTGACATTTGGCCAAATATTCGTCAGTCTTGTCGAACAGCTTATCTTTGTCTTCAAGCTGAAGCATTGTTGCGACACTAGCAGCACAGTAGATCGCTCTGGTGTCGGTTTCCCCATTCACATGCATGGCAAAAGACCCATCAGTGTTCTTTCGGAAAGGATTTGTAACAAACAGTTTAACTTTCCTCCGGGGGCCAATGAAGATTTGTACAGGGGTGCCAGGACGAATCTTCATTGGCCCAAGGATTTCCTTATTTTACTAGAATTATCCCTATAAAATGGGAGTCTCGGGTGAAGAAACCGAAGAAAAGATAAGCTAACGATCCTTAACACTGTATAAAAACTCCTCCAATTTCTTCACATTTACGATCTGATAAGCCCTCTCAAAGCCACCAGATCCGAGTATCGCAATCGCATTCATCGCTGCATAGGTCGTCGCCAAATGTGGCATTTGCAGTGGCCCACCACCAAAGCCTCCATTTTTTGATTGGCAGAGTTCTAAGAACTGTTTTACAGTCATTTTTGAAACATAATCAGAGCTGTCAGTGGAGAAATGGAACTCACCTCGCAGATTTCTGTCTTTTTGTCATCCGAAAGGACCACATCTAGCAGATCTAGCGCGTGAGTTGTCCAGTAGACTATCCAAGGCCTAAAGATTTGTAAGAACTGTATCCTATATCGAAATTAAGAACCTTGATGCATCTAAGGACTCATATGCCGGTCCCAAACTGGAGAGCCCCTTCGACGCGTAGCTAATATGTTTCCTTACATCAAGCCTGAGCTCTGTTTGAATCTCTAGTTTGTCAACGAACTCTTGAAATAGCCTGACGACTTTTCCCTCGGTCGCGGACTGACTCTCTGTACTCGTTGTGAAAACATTCGGAACCGTGTTGTCATGAATGGCGAGTCGAGCTTTCAACCGATCATGTTTTGCCATTCTAGAGTTTCTTGTAGAGAAAAATACGGATTGAAGGATACAGAAAGGATTGCACTTTTCACCAGTATAGAATTGAAAAAGATTGATACGGAAGATGGGCTAACAGAGTAAACGTTTTATCTGATCAGGAGTTCTTCGGAGCAGAATTTCTTTGTTGTCGTAGCAATCTGTCGATTCTAGCGCTTTGTAAACTGTCAGATAGGAGGCAAAGACCAGCTCCTGGCTCGCTTTGAGGATGTTGTTTCGGATGATCGGCGAGTTGAGGAGGTTGAACTGTGGAAGTTGGTGAACATCGGGGTTGGATAAGTAAGATTCGAACTGTGACAGGCCTGTCGTCAAGCTTTCTTGATCCAAACCAGGCATACTGGAGAGCTTTTCTTCCGATTCGGGCTTGAGGAAGAGTTAAAAATGAAGAATTATGAAGGCTTTTACCTTGTATCGATCACAAGTCGCATAAATCGTGGCAATTCCTCCTCGGGTCAGAATAAACGCAGCTTGCTCATTAGATAAAGTTGAAGCGTGAGCATCGATTTGACCTAAAATATCGTAATTTTCGTGAGAAAGGTCAAAGAAGAAATGAACCTTGAAGCATTTCAAGCCGATGTTCAACTCCAAACTCGTAAAATGAAAGTGTGTTGACGATGGATTGCAACGAGTTGATCATGTAAGTCGACATATCTGCCATGGAGAGATGGCTTGCAGACAGCTGGCAGTTTTGCAAAAGTGGATCTAGATAATAAAGTTCATTTTCGGGTTGTTTTAATATATCAAATGGTACCTAAAATAGTGGTAAGAACCGTCTGAAAGTCCTTCTTTCGATTCTCCATCGGTGCCACATTTCCGTCTTGAATAGACAAAATGTCTCGCAACAACTTGAGCGCAGAAGTCAGCGTTTGATTACAACCCAAATCTGTTGGGGGAGCGGCAACATTTGAAGTAAATTTTTGCGACATAAACGTCAGCGAGTTGAAGAACATTTTCTTGCAGAGCTCTTGGAGTTCGTTCAGAGTCTCTAAAATGTCATGCTCGAACTTTTCCGCCGTCGATTTTTCATCGAGTTTTGTTGGTGCAGATGCAGTGTTGACGATTTGACTTTGGTGAGTTTCTTTTTGATGATCGATCAATTTGCGATGTAAATGTAAGAATCGAAACTTTCCTAATGGTGCGTTGGTAAAACTGAAGCAAGTTCGATAACTTGTAAAGTGCAACTGGCCCAGGTTCGGCGACGAGAATCTGTTCCAGACGAATCTTCAGTGGTCGACAAACTCCTTCGAGAATTTTCAACATCATATCGCGCCGATGAGGAGCTACAAGATGCTCTGGGCACTGCTTGACAAGTTGGTTGAAGTTTTCTCGCTCTGTAGCAGCGCATTGATGGATCCAAGCAGCCATGTCGCCGACGTATCTAAGAGGGTCGTGCGAATGGAGCTCGATCGGACGAGGTTGAGCTTGATCTCGCGAGCCGCTAGAAAATCGCATTGATTTCAGTTGCTAAAACTGATTCTCACCGAGTTAGAGCTTCAATAAAGCCTCTGACAGTAGTTGATTTTCTGGCGTTGGCGTATTCGTCAAGTGTGTATCGGAAAAGAACAGCTCTGTCAGAAAGTGCTTTCATAGCGCGTTGCAGGGTTGAGTTGACTTCGATTTCTTCGCTAGTGAGTGATCTGGTCTGAGTTTGGCCCCAGCGATAGAGTCGTTCGTAACCAGCTTCTTGGAAAAGAGCCATTTCCTCCATAATTTCCAGACCGGCTGTTTGCTGATTCGATCGAAGCAGAACTTTTACTGAACAGAACTTTACTTTTGGAATGAAAAATGACGTCTACCTTTGGAATGAATTTCTTGAACACGATCAAGCGCCGTGAAAAATTCTTCATTTAGCGGCTCATTTGGCCCGGCTCGAAGAGTCTGAAACTGTACGCTTGTCAGCTGGAATTTTTCGATAAAAGTAGAGGCTGCTTGTTGTCGCATTTCGATAATTCGACCTTCTTTTCGCAATTCCGATGTGTTGGAAATCAAGCTCGCGGTTTGAGTTTTCGCTATTTTGAGTCTTTCTGACATTTCTTCACAGCACTGGCTCATTCCTGCAAAATTTATTAATGATCTTTTCAGGTTGATACAAAATCACCTTGAACTTCTTGTGTGACTTGATCAATCTGCTCCTTGAGGATTCTGTAATCATTCAAGAACTCTTGGTTGATTTTCAATCCTCTTCTTTCGATAACAGACCTCAGATTTTTACGGTTTCGGAGATTATTCTCTCCGAAAAAGGTGGAGAGCGATTTCATTGCTTCGATGAGCTCCTTATCCGAGTCTAGCTTCATATCCAAGATCTTTTTGATCTTCCTGCTCAACGGATTTGCTACCGCCGTGTCCATTTTTATTTTCTTAAAAATAGGAGTTTGAGACGAGAATTGACTTTTGTTGAATTGTATTTTTGTTAAAAGTAATGTGAGGTACAGTTAAACGAATGGCTCTGTTTATGTTTCGGCATGGCCGGGAATCGGGAAGGAAGAGGCGAAAGCGTTGACTTTGTCGCCAAGAGCCTTGACTCGCTGCTGGACTTCGGGATCGGTGTAAAGGGCGTTTTTGAATTCCTAAAGGGAGATTTTAGCATGTACTCAAGCTGGATTGACTGTACCTTGAGAGGAGCCTTTGCGCCGCCTTCGAGCTTGTCGCAAATGAATTGAGTAAGTTGAATGGATTCATGAATGTATTCGGCAACGACATCGAAGTCCTCTTCCATCAATCCTCGAGTAGTTAGCGCTAGAAAAGAGTGATGATTACTAATCATTGATTAGTGAGAAAAATAGCGAATTCTGTACCTGGAGATCCAAAACGCAACCCACTTGGTCGAAGAGCAGATTTATCACCAGGGCAAGTATTCTTGTTGCAAGCGATGTGAACTGCTTCAAGGACTTTTTCCGCTCGGTTTCCATCCAGATTTTTGTTTCGCAAATTTACAAGGATCAAGTGGATGTCCGTGCCGCCAGTGACAATTTCGTAGCCAAAGTCCTGGAGAGTCTTGGCGAGTCGTTTTGCGTTGAGAATGACCTTTTGAATTGATTAAAATCGGAAGGACAGGGATCAAAGTACCTGTTTTTGATATTCTACGAATTCCTCTCGCTGTGCTTGTCCAAGAGCAACTGCCACGCCAGCAATTGCATGATTGTGAGGTCCACCTTGAAGGCCAGGGAAGAGAGCTTCTTTGATTGGCTTTTCCAGGTTGTAGCCTTCGCCGATTCGGTAGAAAATCATTCCTGATCGGGCGCCTCGAAGGGTTTTGTGGGTGGTAGTGGTGACAATGTGGCAGTGTTCGAAGGGACCAGGAATGACGTCGGCAGCGACCAAGCCGGAAATGTGAGCCATGTCAGCGTGGAGCAGAGCGCCGCATTTATCAGCAATTGCTCGCATTCTACGGTTTTACGTTAGAATCGTTTGGTTTCAAAGCTCTTACCGTTTGTAATCCATATGTCGAGAATAGCAAGACATTCCGGCAATAATCAACTTTGGTCGGAAAAGCATGGCGTTTTCTTCCAACTTGTCGTAATCAATCAGTCCGGTTGTTTGATTAGCTATGACGAAAATTCTAGTCATGTGGTTGAAAAATCTGTTACCTTTGTATGGCATGGATTCGAAGAAAACAGAAGTGGCAGATATCTTCTTCTGAGGAGTAAAGAAACCGTGGGTGAGATGACCACCGTCGGGGAGATCGAGTCCCATGATTCGGCCACCGGGACCGACGATGCCGGTGAAAACGGCGAAGTTGGCGGGTGAGCCGGAATAGGGCTGGACGTTGACACCCCATTCATCCTTGTTCAATCTTAATATGGGCTGAAGTTTTGCTAGATAATTTCGTCAAACCTGTAAACATCAAGCGCTCTTTTCTGACAAAGCCGCTCGAGGGCATCGATATTTTCAGTTCCACCGTAGTATCGCAGTCCTGGATATCCCTCCGAGTATTTATCGTTCAAGCATGAACCCATTGCCTCCAAAACAGCCTTCGAGGCGAAATTTTCCGATGCAATGAGCTCCAGACCATGACGCTGGCGATTCTTCTCGTTTTTGATAATTTGAAAAATCTCGGGATCGTTAACCGCTGAACATTATGTAACTTCTAGTAGCAACATGCTTATTAGGTAAGTGACTCTTTTGGAAAGTCAATACCTCGTGGATTGAAAAATAGGCGTGTCAGGGGACTAGTTTGAGACGGTACTTTGTATTTTTTCGCGAGACCATGTTTGTAAACAGGTTTATTGCGTTATTTCGATAATGATACTTTCATTTGAAATGATCATAAAAAAGGGCTTAAATTTGAGGGAGACGGGAGCACACTGCTAAAACTTCAATAGTTTTACTTCTTTTTTAAAGAGTTGAGATTGATAAGACTTTATATTGGCCGAATACTATTGGGAAACTATGTAAAATCGATGTGTTATTCTTATAATTATGATATTTATTGAAGCATATTAAATATTTACACTCTGTATGACTTACCAAGTGGCTCCTGGAGCATTGCAACTGATGCTTTACCGGACATGACGGATCTTCTGGCGAGTCTAAGAAGCTTTTTTGAAATCATTTTCTCTGAAACAAATCCCCTTTTTTCGAAAATCAAATTTTCTATTTAATGAATGTTCGATCTTGGCACTAGCTATTTATACGCAAAAGTTGTCACACGTCTGGCTAGGCGACGCACAAGTTGCCAAAAAAGGATAAACCTGCGCTCATGATTGTTGTTTTCACCATAAGGGGTTTGGATTTTTACGAGAAAAAAAGGGAGGATCCTGTTTTACCTGGTTCAGGCGCAATTTCTAAAAACTCTCGAATGAGGCTATTCGGGCAGTGTGTCCGGCTCCTGGGGAGAAGGCTGTTTTTAAGAATGCACGGTTGAACTCGAAAATATTTCTTTCCTCCCTTATCTAGAATCGATTTCGCCGATTTCGCGGCTACTTTTGAAATAAGAATCGGTGAGGATCCTTATTAGGAAGGTGAAAATTAGCCCTTTGTACTGCAAAAAGTCTGCAATTTCGTTTACCTGTTGATGTCTCGCTGGATAAATCTGAAAAACAAGTCCACGAGTGGAATTATTTACTCTCGATCGACGGGCGTGCCCAGGTAAAACGTAACGAGCCAACATTTTCGTCTGATCAATTCTGAAGATTATGCGTTTTGCAGCTCACTTTATTTCGTTTTCATGATTATGATTAGTTACATAACTAGTTCGGGAAGCGTACTTATGTACAGGAATTTCATAAATGGGCATATTTACTCTTCATCGTTGAAACTAGTTGGCCCCAGTCGTAAGTGTGTCGAGAAGTTTCGTCAATGACAGGTGCGAAATGGGGCTGTAATCAGCATGAGCACGAGGGTCATCAATCTTTCGAAGACTTGTTTCAGCTAGATAGAAGCTCGTTTCGCCTACAGTAAGGCTTTCTTCAAACACCCGAGCGTTTTGTTTGACATCATCTGAAAGAGCATTTTTTATCAGTTCTCCTCCTTGCTTTCCAAAAACAACCAAAATCTAAATCATTCAAGCTAAACAAACGGAAATAAAGATTGGGGTTGGAGAAATCATTCTTGCGTATCTACTAAAAGCGGATAAAACAACTCTTTAGAAGATTCTATTTTTATTGCGATTTTTATCGCACCTGGGCTAAGTTGGTTATGTTTCTGCTTCGGCGATTTCTCCCCATAAACTCAGAATCGAACACGCCAATTTTTCATGGCGCTCGAACCAAGTGGTTTGGTATTTATACCGATCATGCCCAGCTGGACAGCATTCAGTTTTGCTCCCAAGAGAAAAAAAAAAGAATCAAAAAGAGAAGCTAAAAGCCTATTCTACCAAAAATGAAGCTCCTCAAGTTTTTCTTCGCCGGTTTGGCCGCTGGAATGAACATTGCCCAGCACTACCTCGCCGACAAATTCGCCGACGATCACAACGACAAGTTGATGATCCTCATGAATCCTGCATTCAAAGATGCCAGCTTTGATCAGTCGGAACAGATGAAGATGATGCTTCCACTGCTTTTGATGGATGCCAAGACAAACGAAAACTCAAAGCTGCTTATGATGCTCATCATGCAGGATCCCCAGTGGCTCGAGAACAACGACAACCACATGCTCTTCACTTATTTGATGAACGCTGAGGATGACACTCTTGATTTCAAGACCATGTTCCTCATGACAAATATGTTCCGCAAAGGTAATTCTAAGATAAAATAGAGATCTCTAAAAATCTTCATCTATAAAAAGATTGCAACAATATGGGCGCACAACGAATGAACAGCATGATTCCCCTTTTGCTCGGAAAGGCTGAAAATGGCAACAGTGGTAACGCTAGCGACCAGCATGATATGCAAAGCATTCTTACTATGATGATGTTTATGTCCTCTGGCGAAGCTGGTCTCGATACTTCCGCGATGCTCCCACTTCTCATGGAAGAAATGGTCTTCGAAGAAGGTAAAAAATTCAATGTAGAGCACCGAAACAACAATTTCAGGTGATTTTGATCACGACAAGAAACTGCTCTTCTGGGTTATGATGTCGATGATGTCCGGCGGCAGCCACGACCAGCAAGGATTCAACAACAACTTTAACATGATGCTCCCTCTTATCATGCGAGATTGCAACGATGCCGCCTGCGAAAAGCAAAAACTTGACATCATGACAGTAATGATTGCCATGCAATCTAATGTAAGATGAAAAAAGTACAGCAATTCTCTAACAAATATATTTTAGGCTCCCAACACCGCTTTCGGACCCGATATGATGATTCCCTTGATGCTTATGGGCAACACCGACAACAACCAGGAGCTCATGTTCTTCATGATGACCCAATTGAACAACAAGGCCTGCGATGCTCCTGTCTACTACGGAGTCCACCACTAAACTCCACACTTTCATTCGAAAAGGACCGACAAAAGTCTATCAAAAAGAAATTTTCTAGTTTGATATTTCCTGTCTTTTACTTTTTTTCACTTTCTCTCGTGCCATTTAACTTGAAAATAAAGCACCTACCTATCAAAAATATTGTAACATCCAGATGTAAATCTCCACCAAGGTCAAAGGGATGCTCAGTTTCAGTAAAAATATCAATTCTCGACGGCCTCATTGCAGATGCCCCGGCGCCAGTTGCTTTGAGAACCGATTCCTTCACCGCCCAAAATCGATAGAACTCGTTTAGTTGCGCCTCGACATTGTTTTTGGCCATGATTTGATCCCACTCGTTCGAGGTGCCCATGGATTTGTTCAGACGAAGCTTTGTGATGAATTTTTCGGGAGAGGATTTCCAGCTTATTGGCTTGTTTCGCAGAGCTATATCTATTCCATATTCGGCACCACTGTCTGTACTCGCTGTGCTATGTGGGATATGAGGAGATTTCTAGCGTTGAGTTAGATTTTACCAGACGCAAATTTGATGCTCTCCAGTAGTCGCTGCATGAGAAACGGAAATGCTCAAGCCATCAACAATTGGCTTTCCATTCTCCCCAAATCTCACATTTTCTTCAGAAGGAATCTTCCCAAGAATAACTTTCGAGGAATAATAAAGCGACAATCGACCAAGAATCCTCCTCAGCTGCGCGTTTTCTTCAGAAATCTCCAGACAATATTTCTGCTCCTGCTTTTGAAGAGAACTCAACAAAAGAGGCCGAATGCTCTTTTCCGCGAGAAGATAAAATCGTAACAAGGACATTCTGGTGATGGATGGATTTTATTGGTTTCATAAGTGATGATTTTCTGTGTGGAAATAACTTTGATTTTTTTCGTGAAGAGTTGAAATTAGAAATATTCGAGGGATGAAGATTCAGTGATGGATTGGCCATGTTGGACAGAATGGAGAGTTGCTGGCTGATTTGTGTGTGGGAGAGGCTTGAAATCGATGTTATTTTCAAAGAGACAGAACGAGGATACCTTGAAGACTCGTGCGTGGACAAATTTACCAGCTGCCGAGCATTTTATAAAGAAATTTGTGCCCGCAACGGTTTGAGTTCTGTATCCATGAATTACGAAATCTCCTTCGACGCCAGTTTTCGCCGCCAAATCTGCTTTAACTGCCTCGAGAATGGCTTTAACCTCGTCGTCGACAGGTTTTACATCTGATGGTCCGCCGCAAAGCATGATTTTCTACAAAATAGATGGTTGTTTAAAAGATTTTTTTTTTCGAAAAGGTGGCAGTAATTCTCTATTTTTGGCAGTTTTTCACGATAAAATGACGATAAAATGTGTGTTTTTGGAAAGAAGCGATGATGACATTGTGTGAACGATGGTTTGATTTTTGGTGTGTATTTTAGCAGTTTGAAGAGAGACTGACTCAGAGAGGAAACGAAAGATTTGTCTTTTTTCATTTTAACGAGTCTTAAGGAGATTTTCTATTTGAGGAGATGCTTGACGGGCGCGACGTATTTGTTGTAAAACGCAAGCTCAGCGTCGCTCATCTCGTGGGGATCTTGCTCGCTGTACTGTTTCAGTACTCCGAGGCTGATCTTGGTCAGATCATCTGTTCGTGCGAGCAGGGTGTTCATCGTTTTCTAAAAAGAGGTTGGTACCATCAGCTTGGTAGCCCAAGAAGTTGCGCAAGGTCCGGCTATAATATTGATTCCTGGAAGCCGCAAGCGGCTTTTCGAGTTTACTGTAAGAAAAAAGACGATTCTCTAGATGAAAAAGGCTTGATTTCTAAGAAATCCTTAGAACGGAACATTCTCTAGAACATCGAAGATCTCCCGCTGTTATTGATAAAGAGTCATTAGTCGCATTTGCGCGACGGTGAAAGGTCCGAAAAGCCGAAAATTTCAAGTAAGTACAAAATATGATTGACATTTCGAATGAGAATAAATTAAGGTTGGATTCAACATGCGTAAAGCTCGAAAAAGTCGAGCGAGTTGAGAAGCTAAAGTTGCAAAACGCAACGCACATCAAAGATATATTTTCTGAAAAGTCTGTTGACACAAATAAAGCTTTGAAAAAAAGCTTCAAACTATCAAGCATCAACTCCTAAAATTCTTTTGTGGAAAAATCTCGCTGTTCGAGATTTTCCTAATTTCTTGGATTTTGTTTCATATCAGCAGGGCAAAAATAAAGAAAATGGTAAACTGGCGAACCTCTTGAGCAGTTGTTGTCTTCGTCTCGGGAAAATCGTTGCTAGCCCCTTGAGAAGCTGGCAGACGTTTTTCAGATTTGGCCTTGAGTGCAGCGATTCGCACTTGAAGGTCGCGCAAGCTCTGGCCGAGGTCCATTCTTTGCAACGATTTTCGCAAGCAGGAGTAAAATTCGTCTTGATCTACAAACACCATTTTGAACTTTTTATGCTTTATCTCCGGTTATTAAACAATAAATTTTAATGAAAAAATAGAAGGGAATTAAATCTTTCTATCCGAAGCTTGGAAGAAAAGTTGATAACTAAGGAACTTACAGTAACAAACATAAAACAACAAGAATCTATTCTAGAAACGGTCAATTTGTCTTATTTCTAGGTAATAATCTTGCCCTCTTTCGAAGGAAAATTCTCCAGGGACTTGCTAAAGAGTCTCTTGTCCAATCCATCCGGACAGAAGACGCAGGTAACACCGAGTTTTTTCACGGTTTCGTGGTTGTTCATTTGGTTATCGTAGAAAATCATGTCGCTAAAGTCGATTCCGGATTTGCTTTTCAGCGCCGCGAAATGACGGTCTTTTTCTTTCTGAAAAGAAATGATTATTTATGAAGCAATTGCTGATCTTACCCTGTAAATTTCAACAAAAGAAAAGACATCTTCCAGCGCCAAATCGTCCCTGATTTTCATGTCTTTCATTTTCTTCTTTCCTCTGGCTGGAAAACCACTGGAAGATGCCACAGCTAGTTTCGCCCCTTTGAACTTTTCTCCTTTGTAAAGTTCAAGTAGAATCTCTTCAATGTCCTTCAAAAAGCCAACTGGCTTGTTCATGTAAAAGTCAAGTTCGGGGCCCCAAACGGTATCGTCCAAATCGAAAACGAACAGTTTCGGAATTCTTTGGACAGTTTTTTCTTCCATCTTTTCTTTCTCTGTTGTTGAAACGGTTTTTACGATTTTGATTTTCTTCTGGTGCCATTGAAAAAGACTTTGAATGGAGCATTTAATGGACGGTGATTAGGACCCTCTGAAAAGAAATGACAATTACTCACTAGATCAAGAATCTAAAACGGGAGAAATACGAATCGTTTAAATGTCAATTACAGTATTCAAGATTTAGATGTAGTCAAAACCGGCACTCTTTATCTACAGATGATAAGGGATATTCTTTTAGATATTGAAGAGGATGACTTTTATATAGGTAGGTAGAAGGAATTTGGAGGCATAGAATGGTGAAAATGCAGATTCAGGGCATGGCAGTTGAGGTATCACGTGTCCTATCATTCAGTACAGAAATAATATACACAGTGAGGGCATTGAGGACAAAGTAAAGCCTAATTACGTCTGAACAAGGTTCATAATCCCACCCTTTGACCCCCTAATCCCTCTGCTGACGACCACGAACCTTCTGCACCTTTCTCACCCCATGAATCAGATTACTCATGTGTTCCATCCTTTTTTAACTAGGCCACGTGTCCCCCGGGATGTATGGTCCGATTGTAGGATGACGACATGGCGTGATTGTAAGCCCTTTCTCCCAGGAGGACGAAAAAACAAAAATGATTCGATTTCTGAATCTGCGACCAATCAGGGGGCTTGGAATATGGTCCGATGTTTCTGGCTTTCGTCGATTCGACATTTTGAGTCATTCTCTTCTCATTCTCGAATTCCGAAAATCCGAAAAGGGGAAAGCAGGAATATAACGAAACGAAGGATTAAGAGATCTTATCAGTAAATCCCCTCTTATCACCTCGATCATTTCTCGTTTTTACTTGAACAGAAGAAAAAAAATAGCACCAGAAGACTGAGAAAATATGGCTCTGGGCGACATAACAAAAGGTAACTGTAAATACGACAGAAAATGGGGTAAATATTTGGAGAATCGAACCAATGGGGTGGGATTTATAAGCTTGAAAACTTCAGACAGCGTCAAAATATTGCCCCAGGGAAGAAAACAAAGGCATTTTTAGGCTTTTGAGCATTTTCTCGATAAAAAAATAGGGAAAGAGTAGAGAAATTTTGGATTTAGAGTACCTTATTTCAGTAATTTTGTATTTCCGGAACGCTAAGTCAGAAGAAACGCAACTTTTTATTAGATAAACATCTCAAATTTGTATTTTTGGCCAACTTTTTGGTAGGTCTGAGAGTTTTCCGTATATTCTGGTGAATAAATTATCGACGCGTGATTTGACATCAGTCAATTTTTGCGTTTTATAGCCAATTAACCAATTTTTTAACCTCCTGGAATTGGCTCTACGTGCTATATAATTTCTCTCTTTTTTCTTTAAAAAATTCTTTACTCAATTGAATGAGGTCATTCTGAATTTAATAATCTTGTGATTCACGCAAAGTTCCTTTGTTCGAGCAACAAATGGCCTGATTTTTAGCCTTTATTACACTCAACAAAAATACGAGGCCAGTTGTCTTTCTGACAGAGCTAGAGTTTTTACGATATTGAGGAGAGTTACGAAAGTAAAACCATCGGTCTTTTTAACAAGAAACGACAGAGGAAGAGCTCCTCTTTCTTTGAAATGGTTGCTCATGATAATGAAGGATTCAATCGTAAGTTTTAGCAAACTGTTTTTGAAGAAATTTATTAAGGAAAAATTATCAAAAAATTTATATTTTATCAACTGAAATATTTTCTTTTTATTAGGAAAAAAGTTTGACGCTGAAAACATATTTTCAAAAAATAGAGATTTGAATCTTAGTCTGTCAGATTTCCATAGATAAAAACCAAAGGGCAAATAAGTTGGAGTTTGAAACCACAAGTTTGAAGCTCAAGCTTTACCGCCACTTTTTTTGCCGGTAGGAAAAGCGCTGAGATCATTGAATTCTTGACAGCTTCGCTTTAGGCAACAGGTTTTTAAAAGTTTCTTTCTAGCGCCTGATCGAACAGAATACACGCCCGTCGCAACGCAAAACACTGCATCAGAAGACTCCATCAACGGAAATGGATTTGGCGAGAGTGATGTCGCCCTCATTTCGCGCCAGAAGAAGCCCCCACAGTTCTCCAATCTGCAGAAGTATGGCACGCTTTTGGTACTCTTCGCGATCAACATGCTCAACTACATGGACAGATTTACAATCGTGGGCGTTCTTGCCGCCGTAAAAAGCGAATTCCAGATTGACAATAAGCGCGCCGGTCTCTTGCAGACGGCTTTTATGATCAGGTGAGGAAATCACACTCGCTTTCTTTTTCGCTTCTTGAGCAAAAATTCTAGTTACATGTGTCTCTCCCCTGTGGTAGGCTACCTGGGGGATCGATACAACCGAAAAGTCATCATCATTTTGGGAACTCTCTTCTGGGTTTTTGCCGTTTTCTTTTCATCCTTCATCAATGGCCCTGAAAACTTCTGGTGGTTCGTCATCACCCGATGTCTCGTCGGCATTGGCGAGGCGAGTTACAGTTGCATTGCGCCAACTATCATTACAGACATGTTCGAGCCAGAGCGAAGAAATAATGCAGTTTCTTTCTTTGTCATCGCCATTCCTGTTGGATCTGGCGTTGGTTTTATTACTGGTAGTCAGGTGAAAACGATCCATGCTTTCTTCGTTTAAATAATCATTATAGATGGTGAATCTAGCCAAGAAAATGGGCTGGGGAGGATGGGAATGGTCTCTCCGAGCGACTCCTCCTCTTGGCCTTCTTTGCGTTCTTCTTCTTTGGATCATCATGCCACGAACAGTTCCCCGAGGAAGCTCAGATGGCGTCATGAACGAGAAAGATACTGGTTACGCTGAAGATCTCAAATACTTGCTTCGCAACCGATCCTGGTGCCGCATTACTGCTGGTAAGAGCAACTAAGTTTACTTTCTATCAGTGCATTTTTTCACAACCGTTTCTCATTGCCTTTCTTCAGGTTTTATCGGCGTTAGTTTCTCCATCGGTGCACTCTCATACTGGTTCCCACAGTTTATCGCCTCTGCATACGTCCTTCGAGGAGAAATCAAGCCCTGCGTCACCTCTGATTGCGAATACTCCGATATCATGTTCAAATTCGGCCTCATCACCACCATTTCCGGACTTGGAGGCGTCGCCATCGGCTTGTTTTCCTCTAACAAGTTAAAATCGAATCCTGATCGACCAAAGACGGGAGATGCGGAGATCTGCGGAATGGGACAATTCGTTCTTGGGTTCTTTACATTCATCGCCCTCTTCAGCTGCTTGAAAAGCGCGAATTTGACCTGGTTCTGTGGTTTTACCGCGCTCATCGGAGGATGCGTCAATTGGGCGCTCATGGTGAACATGACGATGGAAACTTGCGTGCCCAAACGAAGAGCCACAGCTAACGCGGTTCAGATGTTCCTTGGACATGCCCTAGGTGAGACTCTTTTCTCGCTCGTTCGATTTTTAACTTGTTTATTCCTGTAGGCGACGCTATTTCCCCAGCTTTAATCGGCATCATGGCAGATGGCATGACCGAAGCCCGCGGCTTTTCCGCCGATACTGAACCATTCCTCCTTGGCTACCACGCTCTTCAGTACAGTATGCTCATGTGCCCGCTTATGTCACTCTTTGGCGGAGCCATGTTCCTCTGGACTGGTCTTTCCATGGTCGAAGATCGAGAGAACGTAAGTTTTTTTTCCTAACATTTATTGATCAAATTTTGCTTTATAAACTACTCTTTCAGGCGTTATTAATTGCAAAAGGTGATGAAAATATCATGCTTCAACAACGTAAATGCACAGATGTGCATGTTTTTACGTTTAGTATGTGTACTGTCGGAATGTTTCATTGCCGGAGAATAATCAAAAACTAATTCTAACTTAGAGAATCTCTAACTTGCAAGAAAATTAAACAATAACTTTTGGATATCTTTTGACTACTCGTATTGGCTTCTATATTTTTTCGTCCGTATAGTATTCGTAACTGTATATTATGTGATTGTTACAGCATGAAATCTTAATGTAGAAAAAACGGTTCGTTTTCTACTTCAAGTAACATTTTCTTGTTCAGGTGGAGAGGTACATCCGAGCGGGCGGGGACGAGAGTGCCCTGATCAGCGGGGGCTCGAGCCGAACATCGTCCAGCAACGACAGTCATAACAGTTCTTCATTCCGTCGAAGGTGAAGTCCTCTTCATCGGTGATCAACTCCCGAGATTTCTCCTTATTCGATAAATCTCGCTTTTGTTCAAGCAGCCACTTTTTCACTTTACCCAAATAGCCCAAAATCCTGTTTGCGTTTTTGATAGATTCATGTATTCTTATGTACCAATGAGCTTAAAACATTTTATTTATTATTAAAAGAAACTAGTTCTACCGTTTCCACATCAATATCACGTCATGACTTCATTTAATCTAAATAACTTCAATCAAGAGCATAGATCACACGCCCACTGTTTATTTTCAATTTTAGTTAATATTTTGGGATGCTAACTATTTAGTTTATTTTATTATTTTATTTGTTGAATACTTACTTGCTGTAATCGTGACGATTCAGGTTGCGATTTTCGCGAAGGCTCTGGGGCGCCATCATCCGCCGGGTTTTCAGAGTTTGATTTGCCCGGGCTGGGTTGTTACTCACCTGTCACCTTCTGTCACCTTAATTTCAGTCACTTCACTGCCTTTATCTCTTTACAGTCACACATGCATTTCTTTATTACACGCCTGTAACTATCAACTTTCAATGCGCCGGCGTCATTCAATACTCGGCCCAAAAAACTAGCTTCTGATGCTTTATTTCAACAAGCAGCAACTATTCAAAACGCCTGTTTTTATACACTACCTTAGTACGCTGTTTCTCTTGGATAGATAAATATCAACTTGTGTTTCACTATTCTAGCTTGCTTATTATTACTGTTAAAGATAAACAAATAAAGCGTTGACGAAAGACTACCCTGTGATTCGGAGTTTCAATGTCAATGAGATGATTTTTATTCTGGTAAATTAGGGTCGGCCAAAAAATTTTTTTGATCTCCAATTCTTTTGAAACCAGTTTCAGTGGATTCGCGGTGGTCAAAAACCTTTATAAACCAAAAATTGTTGAGATCCGATGTTCAGGTCTCATTCAAGGGCATTTTTTCCAAAAATTGGGACTTGAATTTGACATACTTGCTTAAAAAAATTAAATTCACTATATATTCAAGGCAAATGATATATTTGGTGGGAGAATATGATAGAGAAGGGTTCAAATTATACAGGTAATTAACAGAAAAGAGATTGAGTACTCATATACCATTTTTATGGAAGGGTGTTTTGTGCCAATTACCCTTATATATGGTTAACTCAGGTATTCATTCATCCATAAATCAATAAAAAAAGATGTTTCAATCCCAAATTTTTGCTCATAAGTTAGATTAAACACTAAAGAATAACTTTGCTCTTTCCGAATGCTTATATGAGTTGGGGAATTTTTTTTAATAATTTTTAAATAAAACTACTGGATATTTACGAGAACTTAAAAATGAAGAAAAAAGTCTTATAAGAGGACAAAAAAGGCTCAAATTCTTATCTATATGTTTGAACGATGATAAGAAATTATTAACTGAGTATTGTGTGGATATTATGAGTGATATTCATGAGAGTCTATTATCAGAGGATCTGTTGGTCTCTATCTGTATCATTAAGAGGTCTTGAATGACCTTCAGCACTATGAATGTAGTTTCTAGTCGTTCAAATTACACAAAATGTCTTTTTGAATTATGCTAACATCATCAGAAGTCCTGCTACTGATACCTATGATCTGTAAGGTAATGTCTGTATTAGAAACGCTTAGTCAATGACTCCGAAAATTGCATACATTCATTAACAGGGCGAAAGATGCCAAAAATGTCTTTTTGGATAATCGTCAAAGTATCAGAAGTCCTCTAACTGATGCCTATCATCTGTAAGTCAGTGTCTGTATTAGATAGGCTCAGTCAATGACTTCCGAAATTGCATACAGTCATAAACAGGGCTAAAGATGCCCAAAATGTCTTTTTGCATAATCCTCAAAGTATCAGATGTCCTCTAACTGATACCTATCATCTGTTAGTCAGTGTCTGTATAAGAAAGGCTTAGTCAATGACTTCCGAAATTGCATACAGTCATAAACAGGGCTAAAGATGCCCAAAATGTCTTTTTGCATAATCCTCAAAGTATCAGATGTCCTCAAACTGATACTTATCATCTGTAAGTCAGTGTCTGTAATAGAGAGGCTTAGTCAATGACTCCGAAAATTGCATTCAGTGATAAACAGGGCTTAAGATGCCCAAAATGTCTATTTGAATAATCCTCAAAGTATCAGAAGTCTTTCAACTGATACCTATTGTCTGTAAGTCAGTGTTTGTATTAGAAAGGCTTAGTCAATGACTTCTGAAATTGCATACAGTCATTAACAAAGTTCAAGATGCACAAAATGTCTTTTTGGAAAATTCTCAAAGTATTAAGAGTCCTCTAATGTTTCTCACTGGGGCACGCCAATAAAACCGAAGATCGCCAATTTTCACTCATTTGCTCATGCTGACTCATTTTCACTCAGTTCTATTTAAATGACTGTTGCGTTTTCCTAACTGTCTTAAAATTTTTTAATATTGTGAAAATGAAATGTCAAGCTAACGCCCAGTTACCATAGAACGTAGGCTTACTTTAAACGCATGATAGTTTAGCTAAGAATGGTTTGATATGTTTTCTGAAATTTTATTGCTGTAATAGGATTTGTCACGTATTTCTCAAAATAAAATCTCAAAGAATTTCGCTTATGGGGTTTTATGAAAATCATTGATAAAGTGGTAACAGCCAGTAATCCGAAGTTATTAGCGCGCTTTGCGGAAATCGTTTGCAAACAAGCCAAAACAATGTCTCAAAAGCGCAAACACCCGTTGTGGAACAGATCCTAACGCCCATAGTACGGAGGCTCACTTACGGAGGCCAGCACCCTTTCTTGGATTCAATTAGGTACGGGGCCAAGCCGACTCGTAGGAAAGGCCAGCCTTATCTCTTGAATTCGGTTAAGTAAGGCGCAAAAACGACCCGAAAGGGAGGCCAGCCCCGACTCTTGAATTCAGTCGGGTAAGGGGCGTAGCCGACCCGAAGGATAAGAAAGCCCCGTCTCTTACATTCAGTCAGGTAAGGGGCGACGCCGACCCGAAGGCAAAGCTTGCCCCGTCTCACAATTCAGTCAGGTAAGGGACCAAGCCGACCCGTACCTAACTGTATCCAACAGACGAGGCTTGGCTCCCCTTCGGCTTGGCTTGGCCCCTTACCTGACTAAATTTAGGAGAGGAGGCTTGCCTCTCGTCCGGGTCGGCTTGGCTCCTTACCAACCTGAATCCAAGAAACGGGGCTGGCCTCCCCCTCCGGGCTGGCTTGGCCCCTTAACTAACTGAATCCAGGAAACGGGGCTGGCCTCCCCTCCGGGTCGGCTTGGCCCCTTACCTAACTGAATCCAAGAAACGGGGCTTGCCTCCCCTTCGGGTCGGCTTGGCTCCTTACCTCCCTGAATCCAAGAAACGGGGCCAGCCTCCTCTCCGGGTCGGCTTCGCCCCTTACCTACCTGAATCCAAGAAACGGGGCTGGCCTCTCCTCCGGGTCGGCTTGGCCCCTTACCTGACTGAATTAAGGAGACGGGGCTTGCCTCCCCTCCGGGTCGGCTTGGCCCCTTACCTAACTGAATCCAAGAAACGGGGCTGGCCTCCCCTCCGGGTCGGCTTGGCCCCTTACCTAACTGAATCCAAGAAACGAGGCTGGCCTCACCTTCGGGTCGGCTTGGCTCCTTACCTCCCTGAATCCAAGAAACGGGGCCGGCCTCCTCTCCGGGTTGGCTTGGCCCCTTACCTAACTGAATCAAAGGAACGGGGCTGGCCTCTCCTTCGGGTCGGCTTGGCCCCTTACCTACCTGAATCCAAGAAACGGGGCTGGCCTCCCCTCCGGGTCGGCTTGGCCCCTTACCTGACTGAATTAAGGAGACGGGGCTTGCCTCCCCTCCGGGTCGGCTTGGCCCCTTACCTAACTGAATCCAAGAAACGGGGCTTGGCCCCTTACCTAACTGAATCCAAGAAACGGGGCTGGCCTCCCCTTCGGGTCGGCTTGGCTCCTTACCTACCTGAATCCAAGAAACGGTACTGGCCTCTCCTTCGGGTCGGCTTGGCCCCTTACCTGACTGAATTAAGGAGACGGGGCTGGCCTCCCTTTCGGGTCGGCTTGGCCCCTTACCTGACTGAATTAAGGAGACGGGGCTTACCTTCCCTTTTGGTCGGCTTTGTTCCGTATCTGACTTAATTCAAGAGACGAGGCTCGCCTCCCCGTCGGGTCGTTTTCGCGCCTTACTTTACTGAATTCAAGAGAGGGGGCCGATGTCCGCTTCGAGTTGGTCTTTCACCCGGGTTCCCTCGGAAGGTTTACGGCAGATAGTGAACGAAAGTGGCTTAATGTGGCAGTTTTCGGCCAAGCAAGGCTATTTATATATTTTTTTGAATATTGGTCTTCAACCAGTTGGTCTTCTAGTAAGGGGGTCCTCCGAGAGGTCCTCCGGCAGAAAGTGACCGAAATTGGTCGAATGTGGCCATCCAAAGCTTTTTAATTTTTTTTCTATTATTGGTCCTCCAGCAGTTTGTCTTCCAGTAAGGGGTCCTCCGGAAGGTCCTCCGGCAATAAGTGGCCAAACTTGACCGAAGTCGGCAACCACTTGCCAATCAAGGCTTGATATTTGGCGTAGCCAAAAATTTGATATTTAGAAACGTCCAAGATTCACGTTTTAAGTGACGAAAATCGCGATTTTCAAAAAATTCTAAAAAAATTTCCCCAACTCGCACAGACAAATGGTTAGTACCATTCGAATCGTCTCGTTCTCCTCTTTCTAACAAGGTATAATTCGTAATTGAAACACGAGATCGATTTTTTTTTGGCCGACCCTATGGTAAATGAATGAAGAAAAGTTTTCAAGGGCAAAATTTTAAGCCTTTGCTGTCTTCGGATTTTCAGCATCGAGCTTCTTGAAATGTTCCGTCGAGACTCCGTTGATTCTCCGAGAGCTGTTCGCGATTCTAAAGACGATGTTTCTGATAATTTTTTTTGTACGATTTTACCTATTTGCATGCTCTTCCACTTCCTGGTCGTCGGTTTTCCTGGTGATTTCCAGCGCGAACCTCGAAATGTGTCTTATCATTTTCCACATGGTCTTTACGTCTCCTTCAAGCTCTGCGAGATTTTCATTCACTCCCTTGAGCTCTTCCGTAATGCTTGGAATTTCTTCGTTGCAACTCGCGATGGTCATTTTTCCCAAACTTTTCTAAAAGCGTCAAATTTTAATGAAATCAAAGAAAAGTGAAAACAATCTCTTGAACAGGAATCTTTTATGAACTAAGAATTTTCCAATGACTTAGTTGCAAAAAGAATATCTAGAAGATAAGTCACAAAGTCTGAGCGACAAACGCGCTGAAATCAAGGAAGAGTTTTTTTTGAAAATCATTGATTTTCACTGATTAGTAATGTCTTGAAAGCAGTTTGAACGCATTAAACTAAAGTACTCATTCTTGCTTACATTTTTTTCGTGTGTGCACTTCCATCAAATAAATCTAGTTGAACACGCTCGTCCGTGATTATTCCAGTTCCCTGAGCTGCGCCATGTTTTCTAAAAATCCGGTATATTTGTCGTTCTTTCCTGTTCTCGATTGAACTAAGGAAAAACCAAGAATTAACAACTACTATATTTATGTGATTGATGCAAAGCTGCATTATTATTTTATTACCCAGTTCGAAAAAAAGAATGAAATCATTCGAACTTACTGTTTTTAAACACAATACAGACAAAGAAAAATAGAAAATCAAATCAAATTATAGTAGTTATTTTTCTTGACAATAGATTGATGGAGCGAAAAGATATTTAGATATTTTGGGAAGTTAGGTTTTCTCAAGAAAAGCGCCGACCCTTGGATTGTCGTGTAACTAAACATGGATTCACATTTTTTTCTAGCGAAGAAGAACAGAAAGTTCAGCTTTGCAGTTTAGTCACAAACATTAAAAAACCGCTATCTTTGAATTAATTAGCCTTATTCAGAGCTACAAAGAACTTTAGTAAAATTTCTTTAGTGAGCTCCTTTCAAAGCGGAACTAGGTTAATCATTCGCCTGTGCAGCTCATCGAGTGTTTTTTCGCCACTCCCCGACTCGAACAGCAAAGTACCTTCATCCTCTCGTTATAGCTATCGAGAGTAGTTGGCCCTTGAATAAAGTTTGTGGAAGTTTGATAAAAAAGGAACGCAGTGTTCATCTTATTTGTATACTAGGCTGATAGACGAAAGTGTAAAAGTTCAGATAAGTTGGTTTCTTTAGAATTGGGATATTTATCTCATTACTGTTCTAAAAAAGATCCTAATTGATGGATGAAAGAATTCCTCCTGGGGAGGGAAATCGAGAGTTGTGACATCAAATCGTTTGAATTAATAATTCATTAGCTGTTTCTCCAATAGATTAGAGACTGGGGCGGGTCGGAAGTTTGTGGTGCGCCGCCGACTATTGACTAATGCTATCTGAGATGGGCCTTGAAATTACGCCAGAGCGGGGCGGAAACCGCGTTACGCACGCCGTGGTTCATTATCTCGCCCCAAAATGGTCGTTCAAGGCACGTTCGACATCATTGATGCTCATTTAGAAGATTTTGCAGCTAACGGTGGATGAACAGTATTTTTTCAAATTTCGCTAGGGGATCTAAATCAGTAGATCAGTCACGATTTTGAACGAAAAAAAGCTACCCAGCACACGTTTCTTGTGGCCAAAAATTTTTTGAAAAAGTAATGACGGTTTGAGACTTGGAAAAGAAAAGCCGGATCAGGTTGGGTATCAGGGAAAAATTGAACCGGTTCAATTCACGAGGGCCCGTACGGTTCCGGATCACCACGGAGAACTTCGGAAGTCAAAACGAATATTCTCTTTTTCTAAAGAAAGCGCTGCGGAAGCAATTCCTTGTTTATCATTATATTTCTGTTATTCCCAAAGCTTTTCGATGCCTTTTTCTCGGCCCTTGTTGGATCTGTTTCTAGCTGACGGGAAATTTCAAATTTGCAATGCAGAGTATCTGAATATAATCCGCTTCGGAATTCGTCCAACGTGGAATCCAGAATTCAATCGAATACATTTTAATTTAGATGATCATTTTTGGCATTTTTCCCACGTAGTCGAAAATTTTAACTCAGAAGGCAGAGATCTTGAGATATTTTAGAGTCGTTTGGAATCTGAAATTTAGGTGGGCAACTTTGTTATAAATGCTGAAATGAGGAAAACAGACGGAGTAAAAAACGGTCTGCAAGGAAAGTTGGCTGCGTGCCTGAGTATTACAGTAGCTCTGTTTGCTTTTGAAGTAGGTTCTTCTGGGAAGCAGTTGTTTGTCTTTGCGTTTAGTGTTTTTACTGGCGCGGCTGGGTGCATCCACTCGCGGAATCGATCGTCCGCCCTTCAACTTCAGATTTTTTGACAGATGCAACTGTTGCACAGTTCAAGTACTAAACAATATTGGGAAGCAGCCAAGAAATCCTCGTACTGGGTGATGAATCATCACTGATGATAAAGAAAATAAATACGGAAAACTGTAGTTGGAGAAAATCAATGAAATTAGCTTTGCGACGTTGTTTTGTTTTGTTTCGAGTTCCCGATTAATTGATGCTTTACGAAACGGGTTAACGAAATAATTGTTTGAAGAACTATTATTTTTGATGAAAAAATTTTTAGATGATGTAAAACCGCCGCCCTTCCGCCTCCTTGCTTTTTAGGGTTAATTAAATTTCCGTGTATTTTCACCACTCTATTTGGTTTGATCATTATTCCGCTGGATTGTGACTTCCGCCTGCAGCTCCATTCGGTTAGGAGCATAAATTTGGCCCATTTCCGGCGAAGTTGGTAATCTTTTGTGTAAATCGGCAACTCAAAGCAAACTCAACCGGGCCAAGCGAGGACCTTGTAAGCCGCTCTGTTCACCAGATTTAAAATTGGTCCTTCTGCAGAGTCTGTTAAATAGAATTTTGTTTAGATCAAATAATTATACACAAAAAAGAAAAATTAACGACGAAAAGTAACTGGCTAAATTTGGCTCTCCATTCAATCACAAACACAGTGTTTGAAACACTAACAAGGGAGTGGTATCTACAAGTTATACCGTACAAATAATGAGTATAATCATTCGTCGTATAAACCAATTTATGATTCAGTAGACTTTTGGTATTATTATTGAAAAAATAATTTGGAAGGGACTCTATCAAAAGAGACCCCTCTTTGATGAAAACGATAAGTACGGTTGGATAATATTGAAAAACGTAGCTGCAATGCGTTATCAATATGATTAAGCCTGAGGGATCATTAATATTTCATACTGTTGTAAGGCTCTTGATCGGTTTTTGATATCTGCACGCGATCAAAAAGTATCGAGTACGATGGGCTAAGACAGAAATCCTTTCTATCGCTCAATTTTCAATATTAAAGAGGCGCTTCAAAGACTTACGTTAATATCGCACATTTATCGAGCAGATAGTCTTAAATGTGTCTCGCTTCGTTAAGGAACTATCGGATGTTTCGTTTAAAACTCGACTCTCTGGTCCATATCTAAGAGAGTATCGAACAATTCGAACTATAACTATACAAATATCTCACCATAGCTGATTACTATATTATAACTATTAGGGAAGGGTTAGGGTTAGAGTTTGGGTAAGATATGGATGTGTTAGGGTTAGGGTTAGAATAGGGGGTTAGGGTTTAATAATGACATTTGGTTTTTATTATTCCTAAGAACTTTGATTCAGATAATAATATGTTGCTCTGATTCGTTCCTTGTAAAGTTTGTTTGGGCCTAGCTGGACGGACCCTTTCCTTTTTAGATTGAAATGCCTCCGTCTGGAATGGTTAATTCCAGCGGATTATCCATCTCCTTGAGGATCACTGGCGTTATCAAATTTGGACAAAATGGAGTAAAGTTTGAAGGGGATAAGATTTGAAACAACAAAAATTAGCTTTGCGCTCAAACAAAATCCCCTTCGCGCATTTTTTACCAATATTTGGCCACTCGCACTTTCCGTGCAGTAAATTAAACGCTCAAAAGCTTTGTCGTCTGGGCACACAACATTACTCTAAATGAAGACGGACACGGGAAATTTATGGGGCTTGCTTTTGTTTTTCTCAGAAAAACATTAATTCCAACAATTAAAAATTGTTTCTCTTTTGATTATAATACCCTCTTTTTTGAACTAATTTTAAGAGTTTACATGACTAAAGAAAAACAGCCCACAGCACTTAAAATCCAATACTCATAGTCTTAAGACTAGAATACTCATAATTTTGACAGTTAAATATACCACCTGGAAACACAATAATCCTTGGCTTTATTTTGAGTGACATTTTGGAATTTTGAAGGTTCCCAACCTTGTTGATTATTCATTCCTCCTAACACAAAAAAAACTATTGAAGTTCATTTTAAATGTTGAGTTCTGTTTTTCATTTCTCAGAATTGTGCAAGCTGCATATTTTGACACAATTATATATATATTGGTATAAACCAGGAGGTGAAAAAAGGTTGTTTTCAGATTAAGAAGAATCGAATTAGACTGCCAAATTGCTTGGGTTGCAACGAGTTGAGTATTTGGAATAGTTTGTCGTTTTGGTGGAAACATTGGCGGGCACCTACAGCCGGAATGCCACAATAAAGAAACTCTTTTTCTTGTTCAACAGATTTTCCCTGCGAAAATTGGTTCAATGCTGCAGTATAAATTTTTTCGGTCGAAATCTGTCTTGGGATAAAATCAGAAATCAAGTTACCGAGGCTTCAAATTATTAACCAGTTTGAACTCTAATAAAGGCAGCATATTGTAAATTCTAAATTTAGCGGGCGTAATGTCCGTGCCAAATGTGCGTCCCCTCTGTCATTATGGTAACTGTAGCTTTAATTATGCAGAGTCCATAGTCGATAATATAAAAATTAACACGGATTGTCTAAGGGCACTTCTGAATCTGTCAATCTCGGTAATTATCAATCAGAATCGTTAATACAGTATTTATAGTACAACATTCTGGAGACCGAAATAATTACGCATATGGACATTTCTTTCATATTCAAAAATCTACCAGCTCGTTTTTTTTCGTTTCGTGTCTGAATAAATAATAAACCTTAACACCCCCAGAAATGAATGGACTGAATAATTGCTCGTTTTTTTATTAAAATAAAAAACTGGGTGATGCACTTTTTAGCTGATGAATATTTTATTCGAAAAGGACCATCCTTGACGAAGACTGTCTATTTTTGCTGAAGCGATTAAATTTTGTAAAAATTAAACAATCGTATATTCTCTTTGGACGCAACAACTCTACAAGTCTATTAAATAATATTAAGTCTGTTTGATTAAAATCTCCTTACGACCATAATGAGATAAATGATCGTTTGAAATTATCGAGCTAACATCAACACGTACCAAACATATGTACTGTACCATGTATGCGCACTCGAGTCTTCCCGCTGGGTTGTTGATCTCCTTAATCAATTCTCTCCAAGTTCACCGCCATATGCAAGTGCATACGAATTAGTACTCGTTCAAATTTCTTGGCGCCTCGCCAAAATCGAACAGGTTGTGAAGCAGGCGTTTTGTGCAGTTACTGTTGGACAACTTGTAGTTACAGTTGCATGCTGGAGTGGGATCAGACGAAATCGATTCTGGCCGTTGAATTTTTTCTCAAGGCATCGAATATAATTATGTCTGTGTTCAAATCACGGTGTAGAAAGAAAACAGTTGCTTCTGGAATAAATTATTCCGAATAATTTTATTTTTACCCAAAACTTAGAAATTGTCTTAATCATATTTTGAGAGCAGGATTCCAGCGAAAACATGAGAGTTCCAAATAACACTCTTCAAGTGCTGTTTTCCTTCCCTGTTTTTCAGTCATTTCGAAGCCAGAAGGAGCAGATCTCGGAATTACTAAGGTTCACCATTGTAAGCGGCAGTTCTGTCGGATTGCTGCACCTTTAGAGCGGCTTAGCCCTTATGCGCCCTACAATTTAATGTTTTAGATTATAAGCGCTTAGATTTAAAAAATATAAAGCTTTGTCTATAGAAAAGGAATAGATTCTGGGCCAATCTGTTGAGTGTTTAATCTTTTTAAACAATATTTACTTATAAAAACTTGTAACAGCCAAATTTACTATTGATAAAAAATAATTTTCATCTAAAGAAAAAAAATTTTAAGAAGCAAAGTCTGCTTGCCATTTGACTAATTTGTAAGAAGGAAGCTCAAATTATTGCTAAACAGTTGTCGAAATGAATTCGATTAGTATTCGCCAAGCGAATACAATATCATCACTATTATAGCAACTTGTTTACGGCAGAAAAACAGAGTACTGGCTACTTTATTAATAGGTGCAACAAAGCCGGATTATTTGGATAAACTAATAACAGTCGATGTTTCGCGAGAAACTCTTTTTACAAACGCATAGGCCGGTGAACAAAATATCATTATTGATATTGCACGAAAGATTGAGTTGTCATATATCAATAGTTATGACGCGAGTTGCTGACAAGTCCAGCCAGAAGCCGGAAGTTATTTCTGTCCACAGCTCCATATTTTTAATGTCTTCATTATTCTGCACAAGCATGTTTGCTTTTTATGGGGAGAGGGTGTTGTTTTCGGAGCTCCAAAAGTGAGAAAATCGCATAGAGCTGGGAGTAAGTTATATTGTGTGGCGATCCATTCCGGAGGGATAAAATGCACATCGCGAAATGCAAACTCACACCTTTGCATCAAACGACTCCAGTTTTCTCGATCTAACTGCTACTTGCTAAATGAGAATCCTATGGGCCTCAGCTTCGGTTTTTTTAACCGTAACCTTTTTTTCATTTTCTTCGTAATGTTGAATCCTTCTTCAGGAGTTAGCGCCCTGCATAAGGAATGTTTAATATTAGACGACGCTCTGAAGAACCTTGCGTTATCGCACAAGCTGTTCGTCCTCAGAGGTCTGTTGGCTTCATAATCTACTGGCACTAAATCGTCCCTAAGCTCATTAAGCCAAAAACAGGTTGCCTAAATCTGAATAGCAGTTTAAATCAGTAGTTTATAAGTAGTAATTAAAGTAGATTCTGTAGAGTTTATGGCGACATTTTCTGTGCGACAAACATTAATATTCATCAGAGGACTTATCAAAAATAAAATTATATAAACAACAGTTACAGTAGTGAATTATTGATTCGCAAATTACAATATGTCAAATGGAAACAAAATGCACGATGTGCCTTTAGACTGTTTTTTTTGTTTTTGAAAAGACATTTCAGGACAGCTAATATCCTAGTTATTGAAAAGGATGTAAAAATTAAGCGAAAGATAAGCGAGTATATATTGGAAACATAAAAACGTGTGATTAGTTACTTTCTTGTAGCGCAATTATCGACACGAGTTTTAATTGAATTTTAGACAGATTATGAGCTTTTCATTATGTTTTGTTTTAGCCAAATAAAAATGACCCAGTCTTCAGCGAATCGATACCATTTTCTTCGCTTTTCATATTCAAGGAGCATTTATATAAGCAACTCTTTCTAACTCTTTGGATTGGAGCGAGTTCTTCAGCTTAGACAAGTTTATGTAAAGTTTATCCCCTTCGAGCGCCCGAGGCGAGTGGTTTTTGTGGGAACGCGCTGAAACGAACGATTTTGGGTTCAAATAATATACAGACTTATATTGGATCTAAAATATAGAATATGCAGCGGTATATAAGGCAATTTGAGTTAGAGGCAATTTATCAGGCGACGAAAATATGCCCAAGGGATCAGTGCTGGTCTCAGACTGGAATATTGTGTTGGGACGCGAGGGAGGGTCTTAATTATGATGCTCTGCCTTAAAATAGAATATTCTCTTGGCGTAACAATCTACAATAGTTTGATGAATGACGATTTTGTTTATTAGACTTTAATTATTTTTCATTGTATTGGCAGTACAAGAGAGCGCACTATTGCTTCCATTCGAACTTTGAGAATCGTACTTCAATAAATCATCTGAAATTGAATAAAAATGGTAGGATGACAATCAATCGAGAACGTGAATGAGTCAAGGACAGGGCACCGCTAAATTGGAGCTGTTATGCAAGGATGTTGGATTTCGCTTCCGTAATTACGCGCAGCGACCTTCTAACCGGTCGGGTCATCATCATCAACTCCGTGTCAAATTGTCACTTTGACGTTTTCTGGTTTTTCAGATTCCAAATTGATCAAACGGGTCCTTTTGGGTTTATCTTTGGTCAGTGATGAAAACTAATTTCGTAAAATAAACGCGTCCAAATCAAATTGATTTATTGTAAGAAGACCTGAAAGTTAAAGATTTGAATTTTCATAGCTGATGCTTCATAAGACCGCGCCTTAGAAAAAGAATAAGATTTTTTTCATATTATTTCGCGCTTATTAAACCTATTACGGGTCTATTATTTTAACGCGTATTGCGCCCTGTGATAGCAAATTTCTTGCATCAATATTATGATTCTTGAAGTATCCTTGGTTTAGAAGGACTGAGCCTGGAGATGATCCCCGTGTCAAATTGTCACTTGGATTCCAGCGTTTGATTTTGGATCGAAGAGGATGGCCCTCAGAAGAGCGCAACGAAGAAACGCGTGCACGCGCGAACACGCATATAACGCGGCGCGTATAACGATCCAGGCGGCGCTGGCGAGTTAACTCCACGCGCGGCGAGTTAAAACTCCAACCGCGCGAGCGCCACCTCCAAGGCGCTCAGCTCACTTTCTCCAAGCCCTTCTCCAGCTACTTCTCTCTACTTCACACCAACCGCATATTCTGACATTGAGCTATATTTATTAGACGCTCTCAATTTTTTTAGAAACTTGCGTTGAAGAATAACCTTTTTTTATATAAATTAACAAAACGAAACTTCCAACTCGGAAAGACAGAGATTAACCCAAATGAAACAAGAAGACATGCAAGTGGTCGGCACTCCCGCCACGCAGACCGAAGAACAGAAATCATCAGTTCTCTGGGGAGTCCCTGATGACGTCCTGATTCTCTTGAAGCAGTACAACTTTGAAGGACACGATGCACCAACTTACACCGTGACTGGATCGCCAAATGGGCTCCATTTTATCGTCGTCTGGCCGACCAAGGATTCGAATCTGGGAGACAAAGTCCTTCAAGATATCATGGAGATCCACCAAATAACACAACGAGAGACTAGAGAAATTTCCACTCAGACTGACTCAGCAGGTTTTTATTCTCAAAATTATTTAATGAAAAATATTCGATTCCTATGAAATTGTAGGATAAAATATTTAGTAAAAATTCTTCACAAAATTCTTTTAGACTCTACTTATGCGTCTGGAGACTCCTGCGACGAGCTCGATGTTGACATCGAAGATGACAATCACTCGCGCTCAAAGCTTTCAATCAGCTCGGCCGATTCTGGGCACGCAGAGTCTGGGCACGCCATGCAGGTTGATCAGGAGCAAAATGAAGATGAGCCCCTCCCGCTCCCCGGCCGCCATCACTTGGAGCATCTCATCAAGAAAGGTAAAAAACGGTTGAAAAGGGAAATATAGGATTTAGCTAAATCTACAAATATGTTGACCGTAGAACCTGCTGCTTAATATCCCAACTTTAACAGCGTTCGGGTTCAATATGTGTGCCTAAAAGGAGTTTAATTTAAGATAAAAGCGGGCTAATCCTCGCTCGGCTTATCGTAGAAAAAGGGCAGGATGCTTGTATACGCTCCTCGATTTTAAAAAACTATATATTCATCCCCCTAAATCCAGATCTGATTATACCGTCGGGATTTGTCACGCCGCGTGTGCCCAAAAAACGCGTTTTCTGACGGATTGGCCGATTTCCACGTGACTTACAGTCGAATTCGGACACGGCACCGTGCCCAACGCAACTCGCTGGGTCAAAGAGGCGAAGGCCGCCTTGCCAAATTGCCGAGCGCAAAATCACATGCCCGGGGCAATCACAGATCCGACGCATTAGCCTTTGCTTGTGGAATAGGCTTGGCGACCGGCCAAGTCTGATAGAACACGCGTAGAATTGAATGTAATTTATAGCTTGGGTCGTTTTTCGCTGAAACGAACCCTCGGGACTCTGCATCCTCTCTTCTTCTTTGCCCAGGATACAGTAGAGTTTCATTATTAGACGATCAGATATTCGCTACTTTGCATGCTTTAGGTGTTTAATTGTGGAAAAACGAGCATTTAAGATTGTCATCATTCAAAAAGCTATAGAATTCACGCCAGTTTAGCCATACTTTGAGCCTTTGGATCGAAAATTGTAGCCGTAAAATATAGTATTTTGGCACGGGAAGTGAAAGCGGGTAATGCTGAGCGACACTAGTAAGAGTCGCCCGGTTGAACGCAGTCCAACTTTGCGCCAGGCTCAAGATTTTTTAATGAGCGCCGCCTGAAAATCAGAGTCGTCGGTGCAGTCGTAAATTTTGAAAAGACCCCCAAACGCGTAACCATCGACGGGCACGGGGCCAGCATGGGCACACTGCCAGTCAGTTTGTCCGACACCTTCAGAAAATCATGATCGACGGATTAGACCGTTACATTCTTCATAAATACGACCCAATCAGCATAAAATACCGTTGCCCTATTTTCGCGCTAGAACTAGTACAGTTAGTAGACGTCGTCTAAAAAAATCGCCACGTAGGTTCCATCAGGAGGCGTATAATGCGTTTTCACGTTCTGGCCTGTTTGATCTTTTGGAATCCCAGGTCTCCCAGCGTATTGAGCAAAAGTTTTGCTCCAGCTGCCCTTTTCCCTTTCCCCAAGCGCGGTCCAGTTGAACTTTCATTCTTCTGAATTTCGCCGCCCCAGCAGCTTCGAATCGTAGTTCTGCCTACTTCTAGTGACAATTATCATTTGAACACGTTAATGCACATTCGTAACAATGCGTTGAATATTTGTGAAATAGCTACTTGCGCTGGGTACCAGTTATTGATTGACACCGATCAAAAACTGACAGTTAGACATTCGCGAATTTCTAGGATTGACCCGCAGATCAACAATCCTGCATGATCTGTCCACGTTTTCTCATTTTTTGATAGACTCCAAGTTCGCTCCTAAAGTATTGACCTTTACGAGGAACATATTTTTCGCTAGTCCAAGGAACTCGGCCGCCCGCAGCCGCGAATCTGTAGCGAAAGTTGAATCCAATTTGTCAAAAATCCACAAATTTGCCAGCTGATTCATAGGACAAATGTCAGTCCAAAAATGGCGGTATCGGGATTGAACGATTGGTAAAATTTTTTGACCTACTGAAAATTTTGACCAAACGTTTGGCAAAAATCTTGACATGGGTTGTACTGAGGTTTTAGTTTATGAAAAAGGTTCGTACGATCATAATAAGATCTGTGTTTGCAGTTCACCTGAATCCTGGCAAGGAACCTTACCACCCCAAGACTTGGACTCATCTCGTTTTGCACTAAATACACTCATCTAATTCGGGCGCGATTTGATTTTTAGCAACCACATTTAGCGGCTAACTCGATTTCGCAAAAGGCGGGACTGTACGTGCAGGATTTGATTAATCGAGTGAGCGCAGTGTTTTTGGGGAAAATAGAAAGCGGCAGAGTACCTGGTCTTGATGCTAATTACTCCCGCTCGTGGGTTGATCCACTTTCATTGAGCTGGAGGGACGCTCAGCACGCCCTGGTTAGCCGTCCCTTATCATCGACTTTACAATGATAAGAACCCTTAGCACGCATAGAGGACAGTGGAATATGTGAGCACGTAGATCCAGATTAAGGATCGCTCTCCTGGTTCCGCTGGAACAATGTAAACTTTTTTTTATAAGGGCGTCAATAATGATGATATTCTGAATCGATAGACACTTGAGGATTCAGGTGGCGGGTACCGAAGCAATTTGCCGGGTGACTAGGTTCATTTCCGAGCGATCTCGCTCAGAAGGGCCGCCACGCGCGCTAGAATCCAAACCCACTGGATTGCGCGACGATGTTTACGCTTCCACTTGGCGGTGGCCCTTGAGCCTTTCAAATTTGGAGTTTTCTAAACTAGGCTGAGGTGCTTTGATTACGCCAGCTCCTCCACCAGGCGAGACACGAGTCGATACTTGAATTACGTCAAGAAAAAGCTCGCTGATGGATGCCGTCGAGATTAAGTCGTCTGACATTTCCAATTTCGCACTGTTTTGTTAAGAATCCAGATCCAGTTGTCATTTACGACCAGATCTGTGGGCTCTTTCCAGCTTCATTTTCGAAGAACAATCATCAAAGAAGTCGAAAGATACGCGTCTTTATGAAATAATTTGCCAAATTGCGCGAATAGATAATATATGGCGAATATAAAATACAAACTTTAATTCAACCCGGCTCTTCAACGAATAATTGAGCAAATTTGCTGGATTTGCTATCAGTAATTAATATGCATGTTGGCTAGTATTGTCAATATAAATAGCTGTGTATCTTGGGGTCTCGTTTTTAATAGATTTATTAACAAATCGTTTCGTTTCGTGAACGTGCGTTACAAAGGTTAACTCGTTTTGGCGTAAACAGCTCCCTGCTTCTCCAAGGACTGATCTGTTTCCAAAATACTCAACTAGGCCTCTTGAGTCGCTCGGATCCCTCAAGGAGGGATTCACTTACTGATCCCCTTCTCCCGAAATTCGTAAAATTTTCCACAAGGTTCATCCCTCTTTCACCCCGGCCGATCCATGACCTTCCGATTGTGATGAATTTTGCGGGCAACATATTGAACTTCAAATCTAATCAAAAATCATAATTAGCGGAATTCCAGCAGACACTAGGCGCCAAGTCCGCAATAAGCGTTCTTAATCACTGAAATATTCGAATACTGAGTTTTTATCGATTTTGGAAAAGAGTCTGCATTTAGCGCTCTAAATTGTGACTTCATGAACTTGTAAAACGCGTGCGCCTGGTGGCACCTTGCCAATGGGTTGAACGTAATTGGCTTGTGAAATGAATCAGATCGATCTCAAGAAGACAAATGAACATGTCACTACTCGTCTAGGCGATGGTCCAGTATTTTTCTCCCAAGTCTACGTGCATCTCTATAATCACTTCCAGCTGGCGAACACGCTCGCAATCAACCCCGGAGTCTGTTTCTTTCCAGAGCCCGAGTCATGTTTTGAACATGAACTCGTTGTTGATTCCATCAATTTATACGTTCCCATGTCTAAAGTGGGAGAGTCTCCCGTTGCCAGCAAACCCAGTTAGCCGTTGTATATTCCCTAAAATCTAGATGAGCCCAAAGGGATCATCCATTTCTCGCCCCGAACCGACTAAGTGATTAGGCCGGCGGCCAACTCGCGTGTGCCCAAGGTTGCAAATATTGCATTTGTAAATCCAGTATTTCTGTGCGTTGCGCAATCTCCGCTGGGTTGACTTTAGAAAGTCTCGGCAGGCGCGTCGCCAAACGGAGCCGAGTTTGGAGATTACAACACGCTAGAATAATACACAGATCCCTATCATAGCAATCCGAAGGCGCTACGAAAATATCCAAGAGGTGTACTCGCCTTAGAAGCTCTCCAGTAACATTTTGAAAATATTTGACTTAGCGGGCACGTTGGGTTAACCAATTCTTTGGCGGTCGCATCATTACACGACTGGGGCCACTTTCTAAACGTCAAAAGTGACGCTGATAGCCGGACGCGGCGATGGGTAGCTAAGACATCCACCGGTGTCATAACGCCACATTAGAGCATCAAAAAGTACGTTTTTACGAAGAGTACTCGAAAATTATTTAACATGCTACTGTTTTGCTCTTTTTTTTTAATTTTGGGGAATGGTGGTCCTCAATTTTAATTCACTACGTCTCAATTGTGATATCAGCAAGCTAGTATGACTTGGACAGGCGTAAAAACAGCGTAGCACCTTCTAAATAAATCTAAAATTCACGACTTGTGAAAGCACAAAGTGCTCCAAGTACCAAGGTACGCGCCTCGCATAAAGTGGAGGAGGAGAAGTCCAAGTCATTACGCGTGGTGTAATTTGCAGCACGTGATGTAATCTTGGACTCCTTCATTATCATAATCAGACTGGGTCGAGGTTTTAACGAGACAGCTCAAATGGGTAAGGGCGAGGAGGTCATTTAGGTGATTCTCAAAGACAAATTAAGGATCCCCAACGTCGTCTAAAGAGATATTATCATCAAAGATTCTTGTGTCGGAGCTCGAGTCTGGGGATAAATGATTTCTCGGAAACGAAAGTTGCGATTAATTAAACTTATTGTTTCTCGTAATCCCGAAAATGGGCGTTATTCTTTTCTCAGGCCCAGTCTGAAGCTTAATGCTTCTCAAATGCTCTCGGTCATAAATTTGCTTGTGCGATAACGTGTTTTGCGATAAGGACGTGGGAGCGTCCTGGTATCCCGCTGAGACCTTGGGTAGCGGAATTACCTGGGTACTTGAAATGTTTGACATTCCAGTAGTATCCAAAGGCTTCTAACATTACGAGACGGGACATTCCAGCCACGATAACCCGCCAGGAATGTCCAAATATTATCCACGACGTCGACAGATAATACTTGAGACGATGACTTGTACTTAAACTCTCGCTCACTTTTAACCCATCAGCATCTATCGAAGATAACAAAGATATTAAAAACTTCCTTCAGACATCGACGCAGTCGAATCCGACATTGAAGAAATTGACTGCGAAACGAAAAAAGCTCCAATCTCTCCTCAAGGTTTCACTCCATTCACTCCCTACGCGCCTTCTCAAATCGACCGATTCCGACAGATTTCTGCCAACCCTGTTTCTAGCTATGCTCATCAGGTAGTTCTTATTTCCCTTATTCAAATTTTAAACCATCTTCTAGTTCCAAAACATGCACCAACAATATTCTAACCTCGCCATGTTGAACCACCAAGCTATGCAACGACAGCTATCCCACTCTGTAAGTCCCAAAATACAGTACCTAAGTCAGGTTTTTTTTATGTATTAACAAGATGTTTTCTTGCCCTTTGATTAGATAAAGGGCTTTTAAAGCAGTTTTGGAGGAGTTTTAATTCATTGAATTATTCAGGCTTTAATCGCAAAATCTGCCTCCGAATTCGCCGTCGGACAGACCTCCCCTGTACACCATCCTATCGTCTCTATGGGCGAACCTAATGTGCGACAACATCTCAATGAGGTAATTAAATTGTTGTCCCGATCGGATCGACTCTTACACTCTTCGTTCAAAGATAACATCACTTGTAGCGAAACGCATTATTTTAATTTACAAAATTTATTTCCTAATAGCCCTAATTTACAAAAATTATTTAGATCTATCGCAAATACAACATCGTTCCCAAACGTATCCAAGGAGGCACTCTCGAAGAGGTGCTCCGACCGCCACTCAAGTCGCAAGGCCACCGAACTGCTCATCAGATTCATCTCATGGTAACAATCGCATGAAAAACTCTCACGGATCATCAAGCACTCATTTCACAAAATCAATCATTCCTCATCCATCGAGCATTGCTTTAACAATTTAATTCTAGCGTCGAATGCGAGAAGTCTCGTCGAAAATGAACCTGACTGATTGTACCAACCCCAACTACGAAGATGCCGTCTCAGTGGTAAGTAGCAAATCAAGCTTTCTTTTTCCTTGAAATCAGTAATAGAAAAGTTGGCAGAGAATTTAACGATTGCTTTTTTAGCTTTTGGACTCGTTCGAAATCACCGCTCCCTATGTCAACGCATCAGATTATCGGTAAGACTCGCAACCTTTCTACAGACCTCTAGACTTAGCTGTCTAATCATCGAGACCTTTTTGAGTAATTTTGTCGCTTAGTATTGTAGCGAATTCAATAACGAGAACTTACGATTGAAATTTAACACTTTCATTCAGCCGCAAAATGAATTTCCTGCTTCGCAAGCGAATTAACAACCGCCGGTGGTTCTTGCGAAAGAAAGCCAAGGGAGCCGCGGGAAACAACGACGAGTCAGAATCGACGCCCAACGCGCTTCCATCTCCCAACCCCGCCGCTGCTGAAATCAAGCAAGAAGCTCCAAGCACGCCAGCTGGCTTCGCTCCTCATCCAGGCCTGCCCACTTCCGCCGCCAGTCATCTCCTTAGCCACATAATGCGCCCAGTCCCAAGTCTAACCATCGGTGGCACGCCGATGATCGACTCGTCTCACAACGCGCAGATGACGGTTAAATAAGTTAATCATCATGTTCTTCTGTATATTCTTCGCCAAAAGACACACAAACACAAAAAAACACACTTTTCTGTTCAATACACAATCTTACCTAAAGTCTTTACAAAACAAAAATTTATACTTAAAATGGAAAATCTTCGTCAAGGAAAATCTCTCTTTTCGGAACATTGCCCTGTACATAAAAATATTCTCCTGCAATTTTATTATTCGGCCTGAATAACTGTAATATTACTTTTATTTTGTTTACTGTGAGTTTTGAAAAATACATTTCCACAGTGACCTTGAATTGTATCGGACTTCAATTTATTATTATACGCATTTCTGAGCTTGCTTGTAATCGACCAAAAATGGCTCTGGATAAAGTGTAAAGTTTGGTAAGTGCCATTCAAGCTGAGTACGCGCGATACCGGCGGCATCTTGGAACGTCCACATTTCCACGTCAATTCCAACATCTGTAGCGTTTCTCCCGCCAATGTGAAGAATTATGTATCCATCCACTAAGACCGATCTATGTTGTCCCCGCTTAGTGAGCAAGCTTGGTCCCTTAATCCACGTGCTTCCGCCATCTATAAAAAATTTTATCGGAATACAGGAGATAGTCTTCCAGTGTGTATTTCACAATTCAGTTTGTTTACCTTGAGTAAGAAATGTACTGTCAATAGCATTTGTCGCTCCCCATCCGCCAAAGACATAAATAGCTCCAGAGTTACCGCCTATCACAACGGCTGAGTGGTTATCAACGACAATCGGAAACTCTCCAATCGTATTCCATGAGCTTCCGTCAAAGGCCTCGACGCTTTTTCCGGTAAAATCTTGATCGTCTCCAGCGATGATGATTCCAAAATGTTGAAAAGTGACCATGGCCGCGTAATTATGCTCTTGATTTGTGCTTTCTTGGTATAACAAGGTCAGACATCTTTCTCAAATGTTGATTCTCTCAATAATAGACAGGGTTTATGTTTATATTCATCTGTTATAAGTTCCTTTGAATGGCTGTTATGTTGTCATTGCCCTGAAACATGAAACACAGCTGCGGCTCTACAACTGAGCCACACATAATAACTCCAGCATCAACAGCAGAGCACGAATGTCCTATCATGTCGTGTGGCAACTTTGATCATGCGCTCAATTTTGATGCTGCTATGTTGGTATGTATCATTTAATGAAACGAGGTGGAAAGGATATCAAAGCGATAATATCGTAAATTATCCATGAAAAATTGAGAGCCCAACCTGTGTACTTTGAAACAATTACAATTAAAATCAAGTTGATGGTAAATAATGGACAAGATGATATTCTTTTGTTCGAAAATAAAATTCATCATTTCTATCAATCAAGGAGTATAAAGAAGAATCTTATAAGGGTTCAAATAAACTACTAAGAATGTAAAAGTCTTCCTGAGAGTTTGAAGCTCACATCCAACAAGCTAAAGTGTAAGTTTAGCAAACCCACTTTATTATTATAGAGAAATGACGGTTACCTCGCCGATGGACTTGGGATTTTCATATTGAATGAATGGATTTACATCATCACCGCCGAAGAGCAACATGCGTCCGTTATACACAGCCGAGCAGCCCTTGTAAACTTGGTGTTTCTGTTTGTAGTCGAAACCAGTTAGCTTTTCTTAAAACAATGCAATTCTCTCTTAAGAAAAAGTTCCTTTTGAAAATTTCTCTGGGACACTACTTACGAACGTTTCCAAAGCCTGGTAAGCCAAGGTTGATTGCGTAAGCAGGATTTGAGAAATTGCTCTTTTTTCAGTTCATTTTTATGATTGTCTATTGAATATTTAGGACGATTTGAGTATAAAATTTTAGACACTGGTGTGATTGACGAGATTACAAAGATAATGCCGATTTAAAAACTGTCGCCTGATTGAGGATTATTAGGGACTCGTTGAATTGAGCAAGGCATATCGGAATTACAAATAAAAAAATTATCATGATCTACTTTCTCTCAAAAATTGCCACGGTCTATTATCCCCTCGAAAGACCCACATATGAATTTTTTCCCACGAAAAACAGATCTCCAGTGGCTCCAAAAAGAGTAAATCGAGCCGTGTGAATTGAAAAATCATCATTTGGGCCAGCTCAGAGGTTTCGTGAAGCGCTCATTAGAGACGTTGAATTAGCAGGTGGCTAATTAGGAGCCACAATTAGCAAACCTCTTCCCGTTCCCCACTTCCGGTCTTCTAAACTTATTTCTTGGAAAATGGTGTAATTTCCTAAACTGGCTCGTGCTGGGTCTAAAATTTGGAAAGCCATTTATTTGATATTATTTGCCCAAAAGCATGGTTCTGTGGAAATAAAAGGGGTTTTTTAAGGGCAGCCGCAAACCCTTATTCCTCCTTTAAAATCTGTTTCGGCCAAAACAAACCCATGGTACAGATGAATACTCTGAGCAACATTAATTTTCCCCCCTTCTTTGTTACATTCCGGGGAAGGGTTTTGCGGTACAAAAACAAGCGGCGGTCTGTTTTGCCCGTCAATACTCACTTTCCAAACTTGGCTGAAAACTGTGTTTTGGCCGTAAACGAGCGGAGCCAGAATTCGTCGCGATAAGCTCCTACACGTTGCGTGCTCAACCAAAAATACGACAGCCCTAAACACCTATATTATTACTATTGATTCACACGTTTCCAGCATTTCTGCTGTTTTGGGCAAACGATTTTCCGAACGAGAACCGAGTAATAGAGCTAATCTAGTTTCATCGAGAGTTTCAACCGATAACAGCTACTTCAGATGTCGTTCTTTAGAATTTAAGACACTGTAAAATGATTGAATTGAAATCAACGAGGCACTCCTTATATGGGTTCTCGATAAGAAAGACAGACGACGCAAGAACGTCAGTATACCGATACCGCTAAATAGGGGTCGATGTGGTGCATCATAAAAAAGCTGTTTCGCTCATCTTTGATTGTGGCTTAATCCATTCTAGGGCTGCTTATCTCCGGCACTGGGGAGCGCTTTATCGCGCTATTGTGGCGTTGATAAGGCTCCATCCAACGTGTGCAAAACTGCCTCGCTTCAAAAGCGAAATCAGAAAGTCACAACACACTCTAGCCATAATCAGCGAACGGTGAAGGACAACTCTAACTAGTCCTTATCAGTTCTGAAGTATCGTTATCTTACTCCCTGGGAGGGAGCATAACAGAACGCGTTAGCTGAATATTGTTAACTACCCAATTAATTATCCTGATTCAGAATAAATGAATCAAGAAAAAAATGCATAGATGAAATAGGTACTCGTATCTCAGCCTGTCTGGAAAAGAAGAAAAGAAGAAGTTAGAACTTTCCACGTTATAATATCTTGATAGCAGTAGATTCATTGAGATACAAAGGAAGAAATGCTATTGATGATACTAGGCATCTTCAGCCTGCCAGCAACTAATTGTCCGCGTCACTTTTGTTTTTCATTCACAATCGTTTGCTTTGTTGATATCAAGGAAGACTCACATACTGGCAAATTAAGGTATTCTTCGAAGTTCTTCGATGATGCTTTCGAGTTCCAAAGATTTTTATGAACAAGATAAAAAGGATTGAAATTTCGAAATAAATTCGATACTTCGGTAATCGAGACGCGTAAATCCATTTTGAAAAGTAAAACTATAATTATCCTCGTCACCGTAATCGATCAGGCCCTTGGGCGCTTTCTATTGCTGACCAATTCACGCGTTATTCATAAGTAGCATGCCATACGGTGAGAGACGCAAGAGAAAATGATTTTTCTGCTGTTGATTTTTCTGAATACTGGCGAACCATGCGTTCAAAGACCAGCTCTAGGGATATTGATGAATCCGTGTCTAAACCTCGATGGAAAATGTAGAGTTTGCGAAGAAACAAATTTCAAATTACCTGCTTACCTTCAAGAATATGAAAGACCGCCAAGAGCAACTCCTAAGCAGAGAAATCCAGAAGATCGTCAGCGATTCAAAGTCCAATTTTCAAATTTTACGTTCATTAATAAGAATGGGGTCTGCGAAAAGAAATGCATCAAGAAACTTCGCCAGTCTAGCGCACTCTATATTCCTGATGATGGCTTTTCCTCGATGAAAGTCAAATTGGATCGTAAATTTGCAGATAAAATTAATCTTACTTCTGTGCGACGAGATTTCGAAAGGATACACACCTGGCAGCGAAAAATCATCATGGCTTACTTCCTTTACCAAGTCTTTGAAATTCCAGCAGAGAAGAAAATTCAGTTGACATGCGAAGAAAGCATCTGTGACCTGATAAAAATTATAGAGGAGACAAATTATCCAATGGGAAAAGAAACCTTCGTGCAGATCGCAACCTGTCTCCAGAAAATACTCTTTCGCTTGCAAAACACAAACCGGGAGTCTATGCCAGTATCAGTCAAAAGAAGATCAAAATTTACAAAGTGGAAGTTTGAAGACAACAAGGATTCGAATGAAATCATACCCACCAAAGTCAACGCTCTCATGGCGGATTTTTTTCAAAAGACCTTCGACTATCCAGTCTGCATAATTCACTCTTGTTTTTTCAATAACACATTGGCTAGTAAAGAGGGAGATGTTATTCATACTAGTTGGGTAAATGACTTTAATAACATAACGTATTCTTTTGAAAATTTACCGCTGTCTACTGCTTCTTTCGAAGTTGCTTTCTACGAAAATGAGTTCGTGTATTTCAATGAACACGTGATCAAAAAGCATGGCGAAGTTATCATCTTGGGAGAGACTTTTGAAGAAGCCAGTGAATCTCTGCCCGACAAAGATGATAGCTCAGAAACGGAAGTTAACAACGATTGCTCTCTAGATCAAGATGACATCTTTGATGGAACATCGGACAAAATTTATTACGATGACGAATCGACAGAAAGTAACTTCAATTATGATGCAAGTTCTCATTATTATACTATTAATGAAGATTCCTCAAGTCTTTGGGATCAATTCTGGTATTTTTATTAAATAGTTTTTGATAATTGATTTTGTGTGATCTTTTATTTGTAGGTAAAAATAGAGTTTTGTGAGGGTAGAAAAATATAAAAATCTAAAATGCAAAAGGTGTAGTAAAAAATATAAATGGCTAGTTAGTCGTCTTCGTAATTCATACTTGCTAGTTCGTCCTCTATCTCTTTCATTATCGTAGATGAGTTCTTGACGGTACTGGCGCTAAGAGTGATCGTGGAATCTTAATTGTGAAATCCTTCCTACCGTTGTCTTGAAGGCTTTTTCTCGATGCCTGTGATAGATAAAGAGATGGAGTTCTGTAGCAGGCTCGAAGATGAATTCATTGAGGCAGAAGCTGGACGTCTACGAGACCCAGGCTCGAACTTGGATGCACGCTTTGTTATGTTCAATATTTTTCTGCTAAGTTAAAGTGGCTTGCATTATGAGAACATTTCCTGAGATGCAGTAACAGCTGATTGTGGCCTCACGGAGACTCTTGGGTTCTTTTTTATAACCGTCTTTCTTTTCGAATTTTGATCTTCTTTCACCTCTTCTTCATTCTCAGTAGGGACCGAAGCGGAATAAGGAGACCATTGTTTCGGTATCTGATTCGGTGTGGTTCTTCTTTCAAAAACAGTTTTCCTATAAACGTTAAAGTGAGTCTAAACAAAGTACGCACCTTAGCGCGGAATAGTCGATAGTAGTAAACTGAGACGATTGTCTCTGCCGTTGATTCCATGCTGTTGAATTTCTATTTTGACGATATGAACTTTCATTTACTAATGGAGCATTTTCTTCTAACTGCTCGACTTGAGAGTAGAGTCGTTTAACATTTTCATATGCTTCAAGTTTCAGCTCCCTTTCTACTTCTAGCATACGGCTTGTTTGTTTCAACGCCTATAACGATATAGACTTTGTCTAGATAAAAAAGGTCTTACCGTTGTTTTTTCGTCTTGAAGTTGGCTTGTCGCGAATTTCAGCTCTCTTATTTCTTTCTCCAATCTCTCAATTCTTTCATCTTTTTCTATGATCTGCTTCTCATACTCAGCTATAAGCTCATTTTTGACACTGTCGACTCGATCTCTCCTCTTCGAACTGATGCTGCTTCGGCTGATTGTCGTCGTTGTTGATGGCCTTATAAGATCTTCGACTGATGATTTCTGGGGAATTTCTTCCCTGAGCTTTGTGATGACTCGATTCTGCGCTAAAACCTGCCCTTGCAGACTTGAAATCACATCCAAGCTATCCCCTCGCAGTTTTTGAAAAGAAGTCCTGAGTGTTTCGATCTTTGCTGCGGATGATTTCTCAATTTCGTCAGCTTTTGCTTCTGAAGCTGCTGCTTGTTTTCTAAGTCGCACTTGCTTCAAGACGTTCCATGCAGCGTATGACTTTGGAGCAGGGGCAATCGGTCTCGTTTCGTTGTTGGCGATTTGACTGAATGTGTTTTCTTTTACGCCTTGAACAAGAGACATCAGTTGATTATGGATCGAGTTTTGGTAAAAATTCAATCTCGCGGCCATTTGCAGCATAGCTTGATACTGAGCAGTAACAAGCGGTCGAAAGTGCTCTTTCGCTTTCGCTCGTTCATCTTCTCGGACGTCGTTCAATTCTGATTTGAGCGAGGCATTTTCTTGCTGGAGTCTGTGAATCGTATTGGCTTGGTCTTGGTGTAGCTTGAGCATTTTAAACTTTGGATTGTCATCGGGAAAGTAAGAGATTTCATCAACATCTGAGCCGCGAATGTCTTTTATTCCTTGTTGAAAATCATTGTCAAACTGCTTCTCAACGCGTCCCCATTCTCTTTCAATCTGCCGGAGGATTGTTTCTTTGGAAGCTTTTGATAAGCCATGTTCCTGAAGAAGATCATCAAGCCAAAACCAGAACACAGGTTTTATCTTTGCTCCCTCTTGCGCAGATTTCTTCTCTTGCTTAAGAAATGCTCGTTGTTGTTGTATTGCTTCTTGGTATTCCAATTCCATGAGTTTCGAAATCTCGCAGACCATGATCTCCAGTCTCGATACTCGATGCAAGAGCTTGTAAATCTGTCCTATGTCATCTATAACAACAGGTGCCTTGGGTGCCCTTATGGTCACGTTTTGCGTTTCGCCGAGTTTTCGCACGAGTGGCATCAGAATCTCATTTCGGAAAACGCGTTCAAACTCTTGAAGAACTTGAGGATTTTGATAAATGCTGCCGACTTTGAGCTTCCTTGCGCCCCAACGAGCTTTGAGGGGGATCAAACGCATGTATGTCGTCAGAAATGATACTGTGAATTCAAGAGCCTGGAAAAATGAAGAACTCATATTGTCAATAAGTTAAATTACCTCATCAGGTTGAAAAATCGCCAGTTTGTCCTTCGCCCGGAGTCGGTCCGTGATTGATCCATCGTGCGTCTCAAATGCGCTCAGCGCTTGGGCCAGGGAAGGTTTGGACTTGGTGATGCTGACCGGTACTTTCCCTATTAGTTTGAAAAATTTAGCAACGCCTCTTTCTAGTCATGGTGTTTTCATGCAAAGTAAATGATAGTGAATGGTAAATGAGAGAAGATTCCTATCTGCGGATGGAAAAATGACGATCTCGTCGATTTTCAAAGAATTTAAAAATTGAATTCAGCATGCGGCAGAAGGTAAAAATTAGATAAATGAAAAAGTAAATGAGAACGATAATGAAATCCATTTGCCTGCATTTTGTCGTCGGATGCCAATAGTACTCTCGCAGTCGATTATTGCATCTTCAACGAGAACTGAGACAGATAAAGTCTCTGCATGAGCATTGTGGACATCAGTTCTTTCCAAGGGCGCAATTATTTGTCCGAGACATGTTTCAAAATACTTCCAGGGCTGGACGAAGTTATTTTCCGTTGGATATCGAACCATTTTAAATGCTTTCTCAAACGAATTCATCAAGTCCAGTCCGCGTCTCATCAATCCTCTCTTCACGAAGCGCTCCCTCAGAAATTCAATCGAAAGTTCATTTTCCAAGAGGAATTGCTGCCGAGATAGTACCAATACTTTTTTAGACTGCTGTGGGTCTTCGATTCTGTCAAGATGTCGTCTGAGCTCTAGGAGGTTTTGATGAATGCCTTCCGCTCCGCCCCATGCTCCTTTTTCGCCAACTCCGAATTGGCCTAATCGAGATTGGCCTATCCAAAGTCCGACTATGTCTGCCAAACTGCTGATTTTTGTTGACCATATCTCCAGTCCAACAAGAAGCTCGTCTGGTTTCAGTTTTCGTCCAGCATTTAAGATGGTACTGTAGTGAGAAAGTTTCCAAAGATCATTTGGTCCGTTGACCGTCATAACATCGACCTGCTCAGGATCATCCTTTAGACTTGTCCCCATCGTAAAATGACTAGAGTGGTAGTCTCCTTCCCATTGGTTTCGAATTAACCAGAGCAATCGATTCGTTTCTTTGATAATTGTCACCCGGTACCCGATTTCGTCGATGACATCGTCAAGAACTTTGAGAAGAACTTTCAACGCTTCCTTTTTGGAGATCGATATTGAAATCATAGAGGAAAGCTCAAAGTTATTGAAATTTATACAACAAAACCTCTAATATAGGCGGCCTATATCAATAAATTTTAGATTTGTGAGTCGAGCCCCATTCCTGTCTAACTTTTTCTTGCGATCCTGAAGCATTTGAAAATGCCTCATTGTACTTTGATCGAACCCATTGTCTCTCCCACTGGATCGAAAGAAAGGAATCTGCAAACGCATGTTTAGCTTTTCCCATTCCATCTCCAAGTGCGGTCGTGGCCGTGGTGACGGTCCCGCTGTCCATCATCGAGACAGTACCTTCCGGGCCTGGCAGTTTTTCGCCGTTTTCTCGTGTGTCGCTGAAGATTGTTGGCCCTTCCCATGTAGCCATGATTTCGCAGGCTTGGCAGCAAAGCTGTAAAAGCTGATTGTGCCGGTGTTGGATTTTCACTGTGACTTCTAATTTGTTCAGTAGCTTGTCTTCCTGAGCGATATGAAGAAGTTGCTGAAGACTTGAGAAAGTGAGTCCTTTTGTCAATGTATCGTCAAAATCCTGAGCTGCGAGGGAAAACGAGCCTGGTCTGAATCGGTCCATCGCACGCTCATCTGGCGGAACAGATCGAACCCCTCGCAAAACCTCCGGTCTATCTTGACCAGATCCTAAAGATGGCTGCGCGAGACGAAGAAACAGATGCGATTTGGAGAATCCAAGAGTTTCGGCGATTCCTATGTAGTTATTATTCAGGTAAAAGGTTTCATTCGCCAGGTTTCTGAGGTGCAGAAGACTAAAAGTTGCCTTGTGAAGATTGATCAAATCGGGAGTTTTTAGGTTTTCGTTTTCTGATGCAGCTTTGACGAGTGCTTCTGGAGAGAATTTGAAGGAAAGAAGATCTTTTTGGATCGACATAGCGTAGTTCATCTGGTCCTCGCGCTTCGGTACGACATTGTAACATGCTATCGCTGCATCGTAAATGTTCACAAGCGTCTGGCTCGATTGCATCACAGTCGACTCACCAGAGCTCGTGTTGAATTCGATCTCGGCGGCATTCTCAATGTCGTGAAGTATTTCGAATATCTTTGGAATCATCGGGTTGATTTCGAATAGTTGAAGACGATCAAGTGACGAAGTGTCGAAAGAAGGGATGAGCGCCATTTTTGGACCCAAGTCGTTTTCTGAGTTAAAAAGTTGATTGATATTCCTCAGCTCTTGAACTGTAGCTGTTCTCTGTTTCCGCAAAAGTGTGAGTTTCCGGTGTAGAACGCGCAAATGTTGAAGCATGTGAATTTTGGAATGTGGATGGCCGAGGTCGTGAAAGAAGTCCGCAGTGAGTAAATGATTGATATGCTGGGATAGGTTCTCCAAATCTTTTAGGCTCGTCGCGTTGAAAACTGCGTCAAGGAGAATTTCGCAAATTTCGCCTTTTGCGGCTAGAATTTCGCCTGTTCCAGCCCAAATGTCGTGAAGAAGTGCATCGTAGTCAACGTTTACCGAGTTTTTCAGAGTGTAGTTAGATGATAATGCAATTATATGGTGCTTTTCATGGTTACAATTTTTGTGAGATAATATCAGTTTTTTATGTGTTGTTGCAACCGCCCTCAAGCTCATCCAGTTTATCCAACGCAGCTTGATATACAACCGGATGTCCGTTGTAATCCTTGACGGACATAACTGTACTTCCGTAGATTTCTTCCCTATCGTAAAAATCCATGAAGCATTTCACTTGGTCCAATTTGTCGACTTCTATACTTTGCAGTGCCTCGATTAATTTCTTACAGGTTCGCTGGGTTGAAATTATGTAATTGAAGTGACACAAAGAAAGATATCTGAATCGACGAAGCTCGAGGAATCGTAAATGTAAGAAGCTCAAATATGCGCCTGAACCAATACTCGCATCTTTCTGTGACGATTTAATCTTCATTTCCGCATCTGTTCCATCGGAGAGTCCAAGCATTTGGTAGCTCCTAATGAAGTCGTAAGCACCATCGCCCGTGTAGTTCGGATTGTCTTGCACGGTCTTTTCTGGCTCTAGACAGGCGTTGAGTGTTTTTAACCACTTTTTATTGAGATCTTCTTTTTTCCGCCTCTCGGATACGTCTTTTGGTATGCTTTGTTTTCTTGGAGTGCACTAAAGGAATGTCTGAGGCCTTGGAATCAAGATGAGTACTTACGGGGCCATCGCCATTCAAAGACACTTGAGACTGTTTAGCTGCGAAAGTTATATCTTCTATGCACTTCTTATACCAACTGGTCACTTTTGCTGGATCTCGAATTTTCGCAAACTCTGACAAGGCTTCAATATTCCTGTTGATCACATCTTTCTCAATCAGCAAAGCAAAACTTCTAACTGTCGCCATTTGTGAGGGAAGAACATCGTTGAGTGAAGTCGGCCAGTCAGTTTGCTTGAGAACTGGCTTGTTATAACTCGGATCGGCAATATTTAGAAAGACAAATTGTTCGTTTTGTTCTTGATGGATTTTTCGGAACTTTTGATGAGTTGAGGTGAAGAGCTCTAGTTCGTCTGCAGCTGTGCGCAATTGCTCGGGCATTTCGATGTCATAACGTCTACAGAGAAATTTAATAAGACTTTACTAGCGATGAAAAACCTCAGTAGCGTCCGTAAAAACGGTAAGAAATCATCTTTCGCCATTGAAATTCTCCTAGGTGAGCTCTCTGCCAGCGACTGAGTATCTCGATAAAACATCGAAACGGTATCTTCTTCGTCAAAGAACCTAAGAATCTTCTCCTGGCAGAATCTCAGCGGATCCAGTGCTTCTGGTGGTGATGATTTTGCGTTTCGTCCCACGATTCTGTCTGATAGCCGCGAGCTTTTGTTCCGGTCCCTTGAACGTTTTGGCTTTTCGACAATCATTTTTTGAAGTGGAAGGTTTTTGAGCTTGAGACGAACTTCGCTGAGCTTAGTGTTGAGTTGCGCCTGTAAGCATTCATGTTTGGTCCAAAGATGGACATCGTTGCTCCTGAGCGTGCCCTTCCACTGCTCGCCGACGAGTGTCGCGTCGAGAAAGCTTTGCAAGTGCTCTTTAACATGTTTGGCGTGTCCAAGCTCCTGTCGTGTATCAGCCAGAGTGCTTCTGTATTTATGACTGAATACACACATGTCATCATTTGGTGATAGCTGCAGAACAAGTTGTTTACCTGACCTTGTCGAAATCCTCCGCAGTTCGGTGACGCTTGGACACAGCAAAACGCCGCCATCTTGTGGATAGTTGAAAGGACCTGTTCGAAAGCTCGGAGACAGTAGCTTCCGCACATTGTGCTCCCACAGAGTTCAGGCTTTACTGAGAGAATAGTTAAACTTTTTCTATTCTAGAACAGTTATTTTTCCAGGAATCTTTTGAACCCGGGCCTATTTCTGCAGCAGCTTCTTCAATCGGGGTGTCCCTTCCTGGTAAAAATCCCTTCCTGGTAAAATTCCCTTCCTGGTAAAACTTTTTTTCTTTACCAGGAAGGGATTTTTACCAGGAAGGGAATTTTACCAGGAAGGGATTTTTACCAGGAAGGGAAAATCGAAATGTCTAATAAGTCAAAACATAAAATGAGATTATTGACTTCTGAATTTACTCGACCCCCCTCTGAGCATATTTTTATTGATTTTTAGAATTTTTTATTATATAAAATAATTTAGTCTGCCAACGCCAAGCGTGCCAGAAGGCCCAACCTTACGTTTTGAACGCACTCGATACAGGTTTTCATTACAGTTTTTTATGGAATTTCTGGACATCAAATTTCTGGACATTTTTCGAATTTTAAGGGGTTTAATTGGGACACTTTTAAAAACCAAAAGTATCAAATTTCTGGACATTTTTTCTCAAAAAAGATTTTCGACTCCGAAATTTATAGTCAAATTTGAGTTATGAAAGGTTATTCTATTTACGAAGAAGACTTTTTCTTGTAGAATCTTAGTATTTTAAGCAAAATTCGCTGCTTCATCGCACTTTATTATTGTTTTTAATCAATTTTTTGAAAAAAAAACGTTTAATTTTCCTCCGTGAAAAATTTTAAGCAATTGTGGTGGGACATTTTTTTCAAGGTTATGTATCAAATTTCTGGACATTTTTGTGAAAAGTGTGCGACAAAAAATGTCCAGAAATTCCATAATTAACTGTATTTTGTTTTTTTTTTTCATTAATGAGTTTGTCAAATCATTACGAATCATTCATTCAGGAATGCTCTTTGGGTTGAGTTCAAAGTCGCATTTGGGCTCGAATTGAATCCGACGGATTCGCACTTGGATTAGAATCAGGGCTCGGGAAAGGGCTCTTGTTTGGCTTTTGATTTGCGTCCGGACTCGAGTTTGGGTCAGGATTCAGTTTGGAGCGGAAACTTACCTCGATATTTCGACGTACGGAGGGGTTTTTCATAAAGTTCTCTAGATAGATCCATGTTGGGTTGCATCTGCTCCGCCCTAAACTGAATCGTCACCCAAACTCGAGTCCAGGCGCAGATCAAGAGCCCTTTTCTGAACCCTGATTCTAAACCAAGTGCGAATCCGTCGGATTCAATTCGAGCCCAAATGCGACTTTGAACTCAACCCAAAGAGCATTCCTGAATGAATGATTCGTAATGATTTGACAAACTCATTAATGAAAAAACAAAACAAAAAAATTCTAAAAATCAATAAAAATATGCTCAGAGGGGGGTCGAGTAAATAATTTCAGAAGTCAATAATCTCATTTTATGTTTTGACTTATTTGACATTTCGATTTTCCCTTCCTGGTAAAATTCCCTTCCTGGTAAAACTTTTTTTCTTTACCAGGAAGGGATTTTTACCAGGAAGGGAATTTTACCAGGAAGGGATTTTTACCAGGAAGGGACACCCCTCTTCAATCGTCTTCGAACTGAGTTTTCTGTCAAAGCTATCTCTCGCTAGTTTGTTGATTCTTTGCAGCGTGCAGGGATATTGATATGGCGGCTGTAAAACGATTATGATTTTTGTATTTGATTTGTGCCAATTTGATTGTTAAAAAATGGTGCGATAAAAAATTTTAATCACGGTGCCTTTTGAACAATAAGATTTGCAAGTTGTGCCTCGCGACGTGCGCGTAAAAGATTGTGCCGGTGGGATCCTTGTGCTGACAGAGGTTTTTCCAGATCCGACTGAATATAGAAACAAGTGATCAACCTCTCCTTGTGCGGTGTTCTGTGATGAGTCTTCTATGTTTCCCGATTCGTTTACCTCGGCAGCGAATTCTTCTTCTAACTCTCTGACTTTCGCCGTGCGGGCTTTCTCTATCAGAACCGCTTGAAAACGGTCCATTTTTGCCATTTTCTCTCAGACCGGGCCAAGGAAGGAAATAACTTCGTCGCGATTTAGACGGGGCTCTAGAGAAACACAGGAATATTAGATCTTCTGACAATCGGAAGAACGCTTGGAACGCAAATAGTAAAACGTATTTGACTTTTAGATTTATATGCAAACCGTAGAGATTAGTGCTGAGCCAGCTTGTGAGTACAGACAAAGTACTTCTAAGTCAATAATTGCAACTTATCGAAAAAAGTGAAAACAAGCTTACTCAGCAGTGATTTTTAGAGAAAAATTCTCTGAGAGTATCTTGTTAAACTGACCCGCGAAAGTTTGCCTGTGGCATCAGAGTCCATTCTCTTTAAAGATTTGGGCACACTTCTCTTCCATTGTGAATCGGCTGTGGGCTCTAAATCGTGATTTTGGAAAGTTGAAAAACGAGAGCTTAGGGCACAAAGACTCCCAAACACAACACCCTCTCAATGGACTACGATTGTAACCACTGTTTGATCACTCATTAAAGCCACTCTAGCGCTTTTAAATTCCCTTCCTGGTGACTGGAAATTTCATGCTTGTTTAATTTGGCTCATCATTAACGACGATTTTATTATGTTTTTTATTGATAAACTTGTAGGACAATTATCAAGAGATGTTCAGGGGCAAAAAGCAAAATTTTAAAACAATGAGGACAAAGGGTATTTAGCAATATGGGTTTGTGATCTTCTCGATGAATTTGGAAACTCGTTTCACTTGCTTGGCTTTCTTGCCGTCAGTGCAGGAGTAGTTGTCGATAAAAGCTTGAAAGCCTTCTTTAATTTGCGTAGCTTGAGTGCAATGATCGTCGGAGCGGTCGTGATCTCGGTCCCAGATGGCAAAGTCATTACTTTCATATTTCTCTTCATTGTATGGAGACTTAAATATTGTGAAAATATTTAAGCTTTTCGAAGTTGATCATTTACCTTGCAGTTTTTCTGGATACTGTTGAATGCATTTCGTGCGAGCTTGCCAGTTCGAAGGGTGAATTTTCCGACTCGGTTGTGGTCTTCGAGAACATTCGATGTCATTTCGATCCATTCTTTGAGTGTTCGAACAGCATCGGAGTAGGCCATTGGTGGCCAAATGCATTCATTGTCGTCGTCCTTGGTGTATCCATCGTCACAGATGCATTCATAGCCTCCTTCGTTGTTCTCGCAAGAAGAATTCGCTCCGCATGCATCGTCTGAAAGACATTCATTGATGTCAGCGCACACGACAGCAGTTTCAGCACTGGAAAGAGCATGTTGGTATCCGACGGGGCAAGCTTCAACTTCCAAGATGATTGTCATACATTGTCGGTCAGACACGCGGCCGTAAGGATCGTAGACTTCAGCACAGTGAGCATGATCGCGTTGAATCGCCTGAGCAGCTGTTGGTGTCCACGTGCAAGTAGCCTCGCCTTTATCATCAAAAGCAGAACATTCCATGCCATCTGGCATACTAAATTGATATCGAGGGAAATCATAAAATGTTTGATTTCCCAGTTTATATGATGCAGTCCATGTAATCGTGATTAGATTCGGATTTTCGTCATCATCAGTATTACGGCGTTTTCTCCCAGCGCAGAGCCAAGGGTAGCAATCCGGACCTTGCGACAAGTTTATCCAAGTAAAGTATTTTTGTTGTTCATCTGTAAGATCATCTCTGACAGAGATTGAGGGTGAATTTGTACAATAATCTGGCTGTGTAACAGTTTGTCTTCGACGTCGACTATGGTCATGCTCTTCGTCGTGATCAGGGAAGATTCCGGCATACAATTTATCTCCCTCTGGGATCATGTCACCTCTAATCGAGTCCATGTCGGGTTCAAAAGTGACAACGATGAAAATAAGCGGAACTGAGTGAAGGAGATTTCCATCGGAATCAAAATCTTCAACTTGAAGGGCAATCGGCTTATTACTAGGCCCCTGCTCGTCGAATTCAGGGTGATATGTGACGACACAATTCTCTTCGTCAAGCGAGAAGCTTTGCATATTAGCTGGATCGTACTGGAAATTGTATGCCTCAGAACTGTCTCCCCATCGGCAGCGCACATCGTCTTCGTCAGTGACTCCTATGTGATACTTCTGGTCCACGCAGCCTTTCATGATTACCCAAATAGGTCGTGCAGCGAAACGTGGTGCGCTATTTGCGACATCATTTACAGTTGCCTTGAATCCAAAATTTCCTTGAGCAACACTTCCCGTATCAGTTGAGAATGGGATCGTGCAGCATCCACTCCCTGTATGCGTGAATGATGTCACGCCAGTCGTATCAATTTCAAACGTTTTCGTTCCGAAGCACCAATGTGATGTGAAATGAACCGATGGGTGGTTCTCTATATTCGTGACCGTGTAATGCGATGGAAAAGTCCCGATTCCGCTGATGACTTCATTGATTCTGGCGTACGACGACTCGATATTGTCGTCAATATCGGATTGCTCGCAGCCGTTGTATCCATCTGAGTCCCAGTCCCATGTCGAGCCATAAGCATCACCAGGCGCTCGTCGCCATCCAATTGACCTTTCAACGCTGAGGATATTATCCCGCACATGCCGGTACTAATTAAATTTGATGATATTTAATTAATGTATTAATCTTATTATATTCATTTATTGAAAAAAAATAAGTTATTATAACGATTAAAATTTAACCTGTAAAGAATACGCTCTGAAGTGAGTCGCGCTCGCAAGCGAAAAAAGAGCAAAATCAATTTGAATCATAATGAAAGTCTCTCCAAAATGATGATTTCAGCAATGAAACACCCGCCTTTTTATAGGGCACTCAGTTATGGTGCGGTGCACGGTGGTGCGCGAGCGCAGGAATTTCCAAGGGAATATTTTGACGCGGGTCCTCCGGATTAGCGGCCACATCCCATTTTTAGCTCCACGGTTTTGCTTTATCTAAACGTGAGTGCTCTCAGCTTCTTTTTTCCATATTTATTATGACATCCTTTCAGAAGACTTCCGGAACGTGGAAAAGATTCACGGTTCTAAGATGTTCCTCCGATATTTTTTCAAGTAAAATATGATAATTGATGTGGATAAGCAACGAATCACAAAGTTTCTAGGGAAAAACGTTCGTGGAGTATTATGAGTAAAAGACTTGAATATCACTTGTTACAAGTGACTTGTATAACTCTAAAATTGCGAATTCCCGAGAAAAAGGTCGCGCCGTCAAGCACTCAGCTTTATTCTACCAACAAACGATTAGTGCGTCATTTTTCCAAGCAGGACTCGCGTGGTGTATCTCGTGCATAATATTCCACCTTCAAATCTGCTTATAAGATCGAAACGTCAGCAAAACAAGAACAGAAAACGTCTTATACGACATAAAGATTAAAATGGAACTGCTGAATGGTACATTTTTCGCGCTAAAACTGGGCAGACCGTGGGGGTAATCCGATTTCTTGAATGAGGTTTGCGGGGAAAAAGAACCGGAAAAGAAAATTTCGAAGTAAATCAAAAAGTTCAATTTTGAATGTAAAATTATTTTTATGGCTTCAACTCCGGGAGTCTTAATTTTGCTATCTCGGTCCAAGTAGATCCGTTCTCAACCGCTTTTAAAATCGGATAGGCCTCGGAAAAATCTCACTTCATCAGATCTTCATTCTTTTTTCCGAGTCAAGTTAAAATCTGTTTATATTTTTATCCGCTGAAAGTCGATATGGGCACTTCGTAAGACATGGCTTAGAGCATCTAATTGCTTGTTCAATATTCAATACCGCAAAAGATAACAAACTGAGTGAGTATCAAGATCTAATGGAAGCCATTTTTTATTTTATTTCAGCGGGGCTCGTAACTCAAGATTTGTCCTTGAGCTGAGGGAATCGTTAAAATACTCAAAACAACCAGTCAGAGACTGAGAGAAGTCTGAGAGAAGAAGAAAAGAATGGGAAATTATTTTAGCACAGAAGTTGAGTAATTTACCAATCTATCTATGAAAATGAAAATTAAGCCCGATCCCGCCCCGACGAATGTTGGGCCAGGCCGCAAAAGTAAGTTGAATATGGAGACAAAAATGACTTACATATTCCGTTTTGAGGCACTTTTTGATATGTATCGCTTTGAAAGATAATGCAGCTGCTTATAAGCTTCTACTTGCTACTTGTGCTCTCGCTTCTACTCACAATTTGAGTTTCAAGTGATATTCATTTTTTAAATGCGTGTCCGAATATCACCAAAATGTAGTCAATAGTCTGATTTAAGCACTGATAGGTGGGCTAGCCACAAGACTCGCCGGAGGTCACCAAAAGTAAGAGGTTCAAAAGTTGCTCAATTTCAAGAACGCTAAAAAAATGAGCAGCTTTTGAATATCTCTCTGTAGCATAAGAAGGCAAAAAATAAAACCATAAACGAACTCAGCGAGGAGGAGAAGATGGAAGAGCTCAAAAACACTTTTGATTATTTCGACAAGGATGGATCTGGCGAGGTAACTCCTCGTACAGAATCTTTTTTATAAAATCTAAGATTTCCATCGATGAAGTTCGCTGCGCCCTAAATGCTTTTGGCTTCTTTCCATCTGAGGCATTTCTTCAAGAGTGCCTGGAGAAGTTTGACTTGGACAACAATTGCTTGATCGACTTTGACGAGTTCAAATTCATGTATGCAACGTTGATGAACGATACGCCTAAGACCGTTGCCGCGGAACTGTGTGAAGTTTTCAAGTAAGGTTTAAATCAATGCTGAGTCTTCTCTAATCTCTAGTACTCTGGAAGTTATCGACAAAAGAAAAGCAAACACTGTTGGCTACCACGGTATGGGCAACGACGAAGACGGCTTCATTCCAGATAGAGAGAACCCTCTCTACTTCTCAAACTACCATCCAACAGGAACTGTAGCGGTCGAAGATGTCGTCAGAATGCTCACGATGACCGGGACTAATCTGGACGAAAGCGAGGAGTGTTCAGCTATTAGGTAAAATCGGTTGAAAAAAGGTGAAAAAATGTTTTTAGCGAGCAAGAAGCAAGAACTTTTCTATCGCTCTTTGACAAGGACGAAAGTGGAAGAGTCAAAACATCACATCTTGTTGGATATCTTACTGAGAGTCATTGATATCGAAATAAGCGCGGAATAAATTTCTTCTTTTTATGTGTGTCCTTGTCACTCACTTTATTACTATTATCTTTAACGATGGTCACATCAGCATAAATATACATTTGGACTGACATAAAGGTCGAGATACAGTCTACCAATACAGACAATATGCAAAGTAATAGCAATAGGGCAAATGATCAAACTCCCCAAGCAAAAATGCAGTGGAATTCGAAATTTCGCACCCCAGAGTTGTCCGTTTTCAAATTCATTTTCCAGTTGAGTTTTGAATTGTTGCAATCTTATTAATAATGATTATAAAAAATTACGAGAGTCTTACTTGACTGATCTGGCGATGAGGATACCAGAGATAGCAATGAGACTTCCGATTTCTAGTATGAGCAATGAGAATAGAAATTTTTCGTACGACTTATGATACGTTATTGCCAGATAAATAGGGTTCGCGCCCAAAAAAACTATCTTTTGATAGACAAATCGAATTGTTTTCAAATTTTTACAGGTTAAATGAATCTGTTTAAAGATTAAAAAAACATATTTAGGAGAAAAAAAAATTTAAGGGTTGAAGAGATATAGGTCAATTAATGTTCAAAAACAATGTTAGTCAAATGCTTCCCAGAAATTTTTTAGATATATATATAATTTCGATTGAGGAGAACAAAATTCAATGAAAAAATTATGGGAAACAGATGACTAACATACTGTAATTGACATTTGAAGGTCTATTTTTGACCATTTTTGCGCAGCGCGCAGCAGTAGTTATATCTATGGGTGGGTACCTTGCGATGCAGGTTGTCTGTGATTGGCTAACACCGTTTGGCGCTCAGTTTAAAAATTGTCTACTTTTTGCTCCCTGCTAAAACGCCTCTGGTTAAATACAATACACAAGTGTGGTAAGTTTTTTGGTGTAGTAGTTTATTTTTAGTGTAGTAATTAAAATTATTGTTGCAGTGTAATTAAATCACGTGATCATAATGACTTGTCGTGTTGGGTAGAGTTCTTGCGCCCCGAGCCAAAATTCTCTCATGTAATCGTATAGCTCTTCTCCTTGAAGATTTCTGTGATCTTTAACACACAATATCCAAATCGGTGGTGTTGGGCTATAAGGCATTTCTTTTAGTTTTGAATAATCTAAATATCTTTTAACAACAATAATAAACTGTTAATGAACCCTTTCGCACAAGCTCATCGCTGCTGATTTTTGTAAGTGATGACATTCTAAAAAATGACAATATTTTTCAGAGTCTATCTTGCAGAAAAAACCGATATAATTACGACTGCCGCAGGCGACAACAATCAACAAACGGTTTCAATGTAAGTTTTTATTTTTTCATGCTTATAAAACACCAGTTAATTGTTTTTAGTATCCATTTTCTCTTCAAGTTCTTTGTTGATTTCAGCCACAAGTTCTTGGATGGTCATTTGATTGCTTGGTTTGGGAAGAGGCATTTTCTCCAGTCTTATTTTCTTTGCTTTGGAAGGTTGAATCATTTTTCTTTTTTTCGGTCTGAGAAAAATAAAAAATTAAAAATATGCTGTTGCGTCTATTGTTACAAAAACGCGACTGAGCTTACATTGTAAAATTCACCCGTGGAAAGTTCTTCTTTAATCATTTCCAGGTAACAGGGCCAGAATTCCATTCGTTGTTTCCTAGAAAAAGCATGTTTCGGCACATGTGTGTTTTTAATAATTACAGCTCCCGTTCAAAGTATTCCATTGATTTCGCAAGTGCATCGTAAGAGCAGTCACTGGTCTCGATATTCTGTTTACAGCACATGGCCAAGAAATTTAAATCAAGTATGACTCAATGAATTTCCCCTTTCACTCTAAACAGAATGCCGAGACCAGGGCAGTCGTCGCAATATCCTTGATCTGCAATTATTGGAATTGCTTTTGTTTTAAATTTACAAATGACATTATCGCATCGATCATCTTTCAATATTTGAATTGTGTGAAAATCTCTTGGAGTAACTAAATCTTCAGCATAAGCAAGCGCCTCATCGGGATCAATTTCACGAGCCTTTTCTTCGAGTTCTTGTTGTGAGAGCAGTTTAAATTCATAAGCAAGTTCTTTCTTGCGTTTTTCAATATCCTCTTGTTTAAGTTTGCTGGTATAAGAGCGTCTATACATTCCGGAATATCGTTGCTGGTTGTAAAAATGGCTCATCCAATTTTTATATTCCTTGCTATTCATTTTGCTATTGTTTTGCATTGATATTTATTGTCGAGTGCATACTGTGGCTTTTTAAACTCTTAAATTCATATTTTTATTTTGTAATACCACGTGGCGGCGTGTTTGTCGCGCGCCATTGGTGGCGCTGTTTTGCAAATTGCCTTTTCAATTAAACGTTGTAGAGTAAAGATGATAATACGATGACCATACGATCTATCTACTTTGTTTTTAATTTCAAGTCAATAGATACGTGTCGTCACGCATGTTTACATCATTGGTAAATCGTCGATTGGTGCGCATATTCATCATTCAAGCCGGTTAGGACGCCTTTTTAAAATGCTTTTATTTAAATAAACGTCGCCTTCCAACTGTTATGATAAATGTCATTTGTTTTGACGATTGTAAGTGACAATTTGAGGACTTTCAAATCCGACTTTTTTTAACTTGATCAAAAAAGTAATGCTTGACAGGTCCTTTTTTTGTACACTTTTGTTCTTATCACGTTCTCTCTCTCTCTCTCTCTCTCTCTTGTCTCTTTTTGTCTCTCTGGCTCTCTGGTCGATGACTTTAATTATGTTCAAGTTAGCCTATTCCGATTCTCAGTATTGTATAATCATTTGAGTCTCAGTCTTAGGGCTAACGGAAACAAAATAAAAATGTGTGAATTGTAGATTTGTGCCTACATTAATGCGTGGCATCTAATCTTCAACTTCCATTTATCTTTTTTGAAAATTGAGGTATTAGTGCCGCGTTATAATGTGGTAAAGAATAAATGTAGAGTGGTCGATGGTATTCAGAAAGCAGACTGCACGAGAATTCTGTAAATAATTTTACTAGAACTAACGAGCAGACTGTTTTTTAAATGATTCGCATGATGTAGTTTGTTGACAAGAGTAGCCAAATAAAACGCTAAAACAACGAATGCGAATTATTCCTCTGTCTTTGCGCATTACTGAGCTAGCTATTGTCATTTTTTGGGTAAATGAGGTCTCTTCGTCGATTGTGATAATAAGTTGAGTTGTGCTCCGTCCACTTTATACATTTTAAAAGTTTGTACAAAGAGTTCTTTACACAAGTCGCATAATTTTCATGCAGCTTTCGTCGACTGATCATTAAGGATCAAAGTAAAGCAAGCGCTGGTTCTATACAAATTCTCATCTAGTAGAGACCCCACGCATACTAAAATTTGATCTGTAGTAAGAAGCTTGGTTGTGAGTTTGATCACATGTCGACGCGCTTTTAAACTATTTTTGGGTACTATCAGCGCGATGGCGCTAGAGGATAATATTTTTTTGCCGATGTCGCACTTGTTTTTTCCTCGCGTTTTTAAAGAAAGACAATCGGGGACCAAAATTCAAAATCATGTGAAAAAGAAGAGAGCTTCGCCCTTTTAGGGTCGGCAATTTTAAGTAAAAGAACAAGGTCCAAGATTCTTTCAATTTCGATAACAAAAATAGCGAATTTTGTTGACATGTTTGTAAAAGCCTTCTTCTGGCAGTAGCGGGGTTTTTAAAAAAGCGACAAAGCTCGTTCAATTACGCCAAAGTCTTTTGGCGCTGTATATATGACCCAGTATCTCAAAAACATCTTATCTTCAAAAAAAAATACAATGTACATATATACTATCATTGACAGAGCGTAATGGGCAACAGCAAGAACGCAGCTGACATTGATAGCTTTTTTGAAAAAAACTCCGTTTTATTGTTGATTTTATTTCTTTAACTTATTATCGAGATTTTATTTGTTTTTATTTTATTTATGCCAACGTCACTGTCATGGAATATAGCAGCAAATGAGGATATAGGAACTTTAGGAACTAATGGAAATCTTTCTTGACAGCAATGTAAAATTTGCGGGCACCTTATTTTACTGCGTTGTCTTTTCTTTGTTATCAAAATTTTGAATCATTGGTTTTTTATTTTAAAGTTGTCGACCTTAAAAAAATTTTCATTTGCGCTGTGAAGCTGGCAAGTTGAAAAATTCTTACGTGTTAGTATAATTGCATGTATGCACACACTCATTCCAATTTAAGCGCGCTTGATGATAAAATGCTTTCAAAATCATTTCTGCTGTGGAACAGCCAAGTTGAAAAATTCTTACCTGTAAGTATGATTGCATGCACTTGTGCACACTCACTCTTATTTTAGCTCGCCTGATGATGAAATGCTTTCAAAATATAAAAATGCAAAGAAATGAGTAGAAAAGGAATTATGTGAATATAAAAAATGAAGAACAAAATCGTCAGAAGCATCCAAATTAAACAAAATGTTGTCTTAAATTTCATGCAATTCGTTGTAATGAGTTATCATGTTATTGAAAATATTGAATAAAAAGGAAAAAATCGAAAATATGGTGGTGTTGTTGACATGTTTGCAAAAGTGACAAAAAATCTCTCGAACGTGCGCAAAAGTTTCTAGAATTACTGTTGTTGTGTAAAGCATGTTAAGCATTTTTCGTCAGTTTCTCAAAGTCTTTTGTAGAAGCAAGACGCAGTCGTCGATTTTACTACTGTTACCATGTCCGAGCAACCGGTAAGCAAGCAAGGTTTTTAGATACAGAAATGTAGGTTTAATTTTTAGTCCCCAGCTGGGTCCTTGATCAACATGGTCTCCCCCACTCGTAGCTCTCATCCTCATCCCGAGGAATTTCTCCACCACAATTGGGAGGACGTTGACGTCACCCAATTCACCGAGTTTGCTCCTGTTGGCAACCTTGGCGACGCTGAACTCGTTTCAGTTAGTAGCTTTGGTTCCAACTTGGGATCTCGGGATCTCCTAGAGATCGACGAGTTGGACGAGGAGGAAGACCGAATCTCCCGCAACATTGTGGGCGATGACTCCGCGGCTAACGATCCCACCAACTTCGCCGCCGATCACCCCTTCTTCACCGACGGACCACCTCGACACGTGGACCCCGAGCAGCAGGCCGAAATCGAGCGAATCGAGAGGGAGGCCATTGCTCGACGCCGACAACACGCTTCCACGGCCAAGTTGATCAAGGGCGTCACCCTGTCCAAGCACCCCAACCGATTCCCCGAGCTTCTTCGATACGCCGATGGCGCTTCCTTTTCCCAGTGGGTATGGAGGCCATACGACTGCAGGCTCTCCGTGGAAGATCTCATGAAAGATGTGCCTTTCGACGAGAATGATCAATGTAAGTTATTTTCAAAAAGATTTAAAAATTAATTTTATTTTAGTCATTCCAGCGCGAGGCGAAGAAACCCCCACCGCGCTTATGCTTCTGAAGGCATTCTACAGAGGCATGGTTCGCGAGACAACCCAGCTGGAGATGGAGCTGAACTCCGGCGCCTTTGCTGCGCACCTGGAAACCTCCAAGTGCACCATCCCCCTCGTCAATCTCCAGTTTGGCCACATCCCGCTCTCCGGCAAGAAGGGCTCCATTCGACGTGGCCGAATCTTCAAAAGACAAAGACGAAACTAATGAAAAAAATCAAATTCATTTGATTTTTTTCAAAAAAAAAAACCCTTTTCTGCGGTTCATTTATTCTTTCAAAAATAAAATTTCTTTGAAATTTACATAAATTTGATAAGGATTGATAATGATTCATCATCATATCCTTTGACCTCGTGTATTTTCGATAAAGCGGTTTGATTGGTGGTTGATTGTGGAAAAGAGGAGTAGTTTGGTTCAGATTCATTTTTTCAAAACAAGTTGACTTCTAGAAAGATTGGTTTTGCGGCGGCGTCGGCGGATCGCGCTGTGATTTTCCAGATTTGCTTTTCCGAACGGGAATTTTTCGAGAATTGAATTGAGGCGCGAAAAAACGTTTAATTTTACAAAAAACCGCTATCAACTGAAAGAGAATATATTCAGAAGAAAGAAAGAATAAAGAATTTTTTAAATCAAGCTGATAATTTTCACCTGCGCTGTGAGAAATTGACACACTTCCGTTTTTGATACAGTGTTTTACAACTTTCTCACTGTTCGTTATCTTTTCAGAGGCGGAATCATGGTGGTCATTTTTAGCAAGCTTCGAAAAAAACCAACCGTTGCAGCGCCAGAAGTGGTTGCGCCAACGCCGTATCGAGCGTGTTGCTCGCCAGAAAGTCACCGCCTTCGCCGAGAAGCAGAGCTTTCTCTGTGAGTGATTTTAAAGAGATTTATTATTAAATTTTTTCTAGCGATTTTCCCGTTAGACGACCACGGCCTATCTTGATGCGATCCACAACTACCAACTCCGCTGATCCCACTACTACGACTCCGACGATGAGCGATTCCGCCAAAGAGGTAAATTTAAGCGGTCTTTTGGCAAATTTCTTGTACTTTACATAGACGCCAACTGGTGCTCGCGGCGGTGGTGGCAACAGATTGGCCTCCTGCGAGCAATTCACCACCAAAGCGACTTTCTTCTTTTTGGGCAGTTTTTTCGCCTTGTCTGTCTACTTGTTGGTCGCCAGCTTTCAGCATGTGTGCAACTGGCCGACGGTCAAGACTGCCAAAGCGAAAGGCGAGGAGGGAAATATCGTGCGAAACCGACGCGAAGGTAATCAACGGGAATAATTTAAAATTTTTCTAATATTTTATAGGCGTTGAAGAAACCATTGCAATGGTGGATCTTGGCGCCGTCGCGGCCGATTACGAAGGCAGCGTTGAGGGAAGTGGTGTCAAAGAAGATGCAGCGGGGGCTTTGGCGGAGGGCTCCGGCGGCGACTCTGCTAGCTCTGGTCGGTGGCCTTCTGAAAACGATGAGGACCCAATGTGCTCATATTGTCGCGATTATTGCTGTGAGTACTCTCAATTTTTTTTCTTGTATTTACACGCTTTATATAGACAAGATCGATCCGCGCAAATCTACCGCTGCTTCATCCTTGAACGGTGATGGTGGTGAAGCCGCCCTCGCCGTCGCCGCCGCTGAAGATGGCGGGCCTGTTGATTTGAAACTTCCCAAGTTGGCCATCACCGAAAACGAGAGCAATCAATTCCCCACAATCAACAACGCCCCAGACAAACTCGAAGACAACTCGCTTCGCTCGGCCAGCTCTTCTTCCACTCTCGACTTCGAGTTTGTGGATGGAATCTTCAATGATTTCACATCCGACGGATCTGCTCTCATTCTTGAGAATAATCTCGGCGGTAGCGGCGATAAATACGGTTAGTTTTTGTAAAAAAATAGAATTTTGAATTAAAAAAATATCTAGAAACTGATGCTGTTTAATGACGCCGAAGATCGTCTCACTCTGCTGTCGCTACTTCCCCGCCGCGCCGCCTCATCGCTGTTAGAAGCCTCCTTCCAAATAAAAACCTTTTGTCGCTCCATTATTTTGCTCTCCAATTTTGTTCCCTGCGTGATACCCTGAATTTAGCGCGGCGGCGACAGCAATGTCCCCCAAAAAACACAAATTTCATTTTGCTCTCTTTTAGAATGGATAAAGCAATTTTCGACTTTATCCTCAGTTCATTCTTCAAGAAATTCAAAATAACGGTAAGCCGTGTTCGCATTTGACAAAAAAATTGACAAAATATAAAGCTCTCACTACTGGCGGCGGAAGATCAATCGACGAATGACAATGACGGCCCGTGTTTTACTTTACGATTGTTCGAAAACTATGCATATGAGGTAAACAAGATCATTTTTACAAACATAATATTAAAAAGAAAATGTAGATTGATGACGTCAATACGCGACTTGCCGTCATGTGGATCGAAGATGACAATCGTTTCAAATCGTGGCGTGTTGAGAATTGGGTTCATTCTCAGCGAATGATTACTTTGTGTCCGATCAGAATCACTGGCAGACCAAAGTACTCGCCGCGATATGATCTTGAATGGGAGCTAGAGTTTCTTCGCGATTTTTAATCTGTTCCCAATTGCTGCTACACAAAAATGATGTCAACTGCCAATATTATCTGCTAATTTTTGCTTTTTTAGGCTTTTGAAGTATTATTGTCATGGGTCGGGTCGCGACAAATGTAAAAAACGAGTTTGTCGCTTTAACAAAGTAAGTTTTCACCGACCATGCAAAGATATAAACAAATTTTTTGTAGCGATTATCTCGACAAGAAGATAAATAAGCATGCCAAAAAAGTCGCTTCAAAAGCGTACTCCATGGCCAACAATTACCAGAGCGGTAAGCGACGGCGTGGATCACCACAGTACTATGCTCATCGTCGCCACTCGCCAAGTAAGCAAATTGACAGTTTAACTGATTGTAAAAAAATTTTTAGCTGGCTATTTTTATGATCAGCAGCACGCGCTTTTTGCTGATCGAGCATCGCTTACACCTTCCCCAGAGCGAAAGAAGCAAAAACTGGCCAAGAAATGCAAGAATGCGGCCATCCTTTTTGCGGAAAAAACAAAAGACGCAATTCGCGGTAAGTCTTTGTAGTTCAAGCTCTGCATTTTCAATTTCTTAGAAATTGCTTCCGCGCCGCCCAAAATGGCTACAGCGTTTTCTTTCGGCCCGTACGAGGCCAGATTCGCTCTCTGCCCCAAGAACACAAGCGAGGCTGATGCAATTCCCTCCCTTCGCGAGATCACCCACGCGATCGAGACTCAAGATGGCGATCGACCGATGATCATCCAAGGCAAGGGGATTTTTTTCCCTTTTCATCTGTTCACTACGCGGAAGATGAATATGGAATCTCTCTTGCCTGCGATCGCAGCAACTGAGCATCAAGCGCCGCCGCCACCTCCACCCGCTCGTCGATCTATTGCCTACACTCCAGGTAATTTTTTTTTGCTTGCGCATTTTGTTTACTTGTATTTTTAGTGAGCAGCAGCAACAACAACAACATCATTGATGATGATGATGATGAGTTGGCTCACGAGGAGGCGGTGGTAATGGAAACATTGCCGCTGCCAAAGATCAGCTCTCAAGATCAGGCGATTTTGGCAATTTCTTCGGACAATGATTCCGAGATTGAGTTTAACAACCCATTGCTCCGCCGCCACCGCCGCTCGACTGCTCCACCCGCTCGACCACCACCACCACTGTCTGCCGGAGAGACACCAATTCAGCGAGAACAGCGCCGCCGATCTGCGATGAAAAGTCGCTCGGCTAGAAAGTAAGAATGCTTGCTTCTAAAACTGCCATCGGGTCTTTTCCAAATTTATCACACTGCTTCTAAACTGCTTGCTCTGCTGATTTGCTTCTTAATAATTAGCTGCTTATTCCACAATTAATTAACCCAATTACTCATGTTTATGGCATCAAAATACATCATTTCGGTGTTGTTCAAATTTAATTGTTTTTATCTTTGGCATTTTTAGATAATTGAAAATAAAATGGGGCGCCCGATTCGTCGCGCGCACCTTGAGTCCTCTGAAAGCGATTCCGAATCGCAAGCAAGCAATCTCATTTCGCCAGGGTCCTTTTCACTCCAACTTCCACCATCATCGTCGTCGAGTGACTCTGAGACAGCGGCGTCGTCGGCGGCGGCGGCGAAAGTTACTCCGCGTCGAGCAAAGACATCTTCTTCGCGTCGAGCAGAAACACCTTCTCCGCGGCGAGCAAAAACACCTTCGCCTCGAAAAACGTCTCGACCTCCTGTATCACCTCCTTACAAAAAGATCATTTCTGGTCTTTCGTCATCGATTTTGCACTCTGCTGGCACCAAGAAAAATGCCAAGGTAAACGTTTTTTGTAAAAAAAGCTCTTTTTAATACTTGATTCTAGCAAATGAGCATTTCTGATTATATCAACAAGAAGCCAAGCAAGGAGGTGATGGAAGGGGTGGTCCCACTTTCTTCGTCTGACGATGAGTACGAGGAGAAACAACAACAACAACAAGGCTAGGTTCAATATAGAGCACGCTTATTCTTTTTTGTCGTTTTAAATTGTTGTTGGTTTGAACCCCATCTATTAGAAAAAAAGACGAAAAAAAAGAAGGCCAAAAAGAGTGCCAAGACTGCAAAACCAGCAACGCCGCCGCCGCCATTCGAAAGTCTGCCAGAAGTTGGCATCAAAAAGAAGCAGAATCGAAAAAAAAAATCTGCTAAAAACACGCTTGTTATTCCACCAGCTATCCGCGATCTTTCGAAGCCGAAAAAGAAAATCTCTGCCGCTCGATCTTCGCCCCCAAAGCTTTCACCGATGAAAGATCCATCCAAAGAGGTTATTGAGCTCTCGTCAGAGACATCCGACGCCGAAGAAGAAAACACCGCTGCCGTCGCCGCCGCCGCTAATCAGAGCGCGTTTTTCAAGCGACCTTACGACGAAAGCGAAGGCGAGTTGGTGATTGACGAAGAGCACGAGGAAGTCGCGCAACCTCCAAAACCTCGAAAAACGAGCAAGGTGCAGCGAGTTCCTAATCCGCCAAAGAAAAGAAAAACTGCGAATGCGGCAGAAAAAGCAGCGAAAAAATCGACAGTGGCGAAAAGACGAACCGATACTCCTCGCCCGCGCCGATGCAAGCCGGTCCCTCCAAATTGCATTTCGCAAATGGACTACAATCGATCTCGGCTGTTTCAAAAGGGAGATCCAGAAACACCAACAAATGATGCGGTCGGAAAGCCAACTGAGCCGCGTATTCTCCCTGTCGTCGATAAAAAGTCGACGGTTCCTCGCGATCCAATGCCTAATTTGGAAAACACGGTGACAATCGAGGAGGGTGAATTTCCGCTCATCTTGCCAAGTGATCCCAAGGTGGATGAAGAAGTTGGCGAGCTTCTTCGACGAACGGACGCGCTCGAAATTACGGACAGCGAGGACGAGTCTACCGGCGAAATTAAGAAGAGAATCGAAGCGTTCAAAAAAGAGGCACCAGTTTGGCCAATGAATCGCTACGCCTTGCGAAAAGCTTTTAAATTGGCCTACGATTCCAAATATGGGGTGCGACCGACAATGGCTGACTCTCGAATTGGCGCTTGGTTGCAGCGAGTCGCCCGAAAGTACCACCATGCAAAGCGCTATGGTCAACCGCTGAACGAAGCCGAATATCGCATTTTCATTGAAAATGTAAGCAAGGGCTCCTCGCTCGAAAGTTTTTTCAATGAGCCGGGGCTCGAAGTTGGCCCGAGAGTCGTCTGGGATAAGATTGGCAGCTTTTTTCCCATCTTCGCCATCGATGGATTCGTGTTTTACTACATCAAGGATCTAAAAATTTGGGTGAGTTTTTATTTTGTTTTCAAAAATATAACGACGGCCTTTATTAGGTTCACTTCGAGAAGAGCGGCTGGCGACTTGTGTCAATCACTGACAAAGATCTCGGCCATCCAGCTATTGTTTTGGCAACGCTCAACGACATGCCGCCAATGGTTTTTCCGTGGCCCTTTCCGTCGGCTGAGGATCCTTACGCAAAGGCGAAGTCGACCATTCTACTCGTTTGTGGATTCATCCCTTTGGGTGCTTATCCGGAATACGCGCTTGAAGCTGTCGACATAAGTAAAAAGGTTTGCACGCGCCCAAGTACATACACTCTGTTATCATAATTGTTTTCAAGGTTTTACAGACGCTTTGCATCGAAGAGCAAATCACTCAACCGCCCTCAGCTGACCAGATGATCGCTCTCAACGAGCGACTTGAGAATAAGTGCTACAGGATGGTCAATACAGCGTTCAAGATGGATCTCTTGAACCCCGAAGATGGCCTCACCGATGAGGAAATTCTAGAGGTGCGATACAATGGCCTCATTCTCAAAATGGACGAGATGCTTGGCTCTCCAAAACCACCAACAAAGCTTCCTCTGAAAAACCGCGATCCATTTGAGGCAATTGTTGGCGCTCTCCCGCGTGTTTTCACTGAAAATGAAGATGTCTGGCCTCAGAACATTTTCATCAAAACGCTGATTTACGCCAACTCGTGCCAAAAATTTACAGAAAATCCTGCAATGATGCAGCTTGTAAGTGAATTGTTTTTTTTCAAATTTTAAAATTAATTTTAGTTTGGCGTCGGCGAAATTTTGCCAGCATCAGTCGTCGCTTGGCAACAGTGGCTCAATTACCCGCTGCTCGATTTGAAGATGAGCACCGCGGAGAATAAGCGAGCTCAAGTCAACTTGGAGAATTTCGTCACCAATTACAAGCCAATGCCGCCGACTACGTCTTCCAAAGACTCCACCACTGCCACGAATGCGCCAGATCCGACTAAAGACGCCCAAATCCGCAAGAAAAAGGCTCGAGCGCTGACTCTTGAGCAGATGGAAGAGGCTGCGACTCCGTACGGGCTTCATGAATCCGACGATGAAAACATTTCCTCTGTTCCTCGCGCAAAAATGCCCTAGAAACTTTTTTGATATTTTCTTTTATTTAGACATTTGAAAAAGGGGGGATCATGAGTCGCCAATGGCAGCCGAGTCGATTGCTCCTCATTATATTCATGTGCATGTATGCACCTTTGGCGCGAAAAAGAAATTTTGCCAATGCATCGATTATCATTATGACATCATCTGATAATTGGTACCCGTTCCCATCGTGCTTCAATGCGCATCCTTACATCCCTCATGGCGATTTTTGCGAGTTTGAACACGAGCATTGTGCTGCGGTATTGGCACCTTCGACTTCGACTACGACAACTGTTCGTTCGAAAACGGAGACAGTGGCGAGAACGACAACGACGACTACAGAAGCGTCTACCTCTACCACCACCTCTACCAGCACCACCAGCACCACCAACGGCCTCATTACTACGTCGGAAAACGTTACTGAATCATCTGGTGTTGATGGCGGCACGACTGCTGCTACTGACGACAGTGATAAAAAACTGTTTCCAGTGTTGAAGCCGGACCAAGCGACAATGCCCCCCGAGATTCGACCCAAAAAGAAGAAAAATGAAAAAAAAGAGCTGGAAAAAAAATTTTCGTCGACCAGGTAAGACTTGAAACAAGGGTGGGTTTTGGAGTTATGTGGCATTTGGATGCATGGTGGTAGTTGAATTCATGGTGTCTTAAACACACATGTGGTAATTTTTGTAAAAAAACGCAAGGTTTTGCCACCCCGCGTTTCATACCACCCCGCGTTTCAAAGCACACCTAGTTTCAAAACACACTTTGAATTACAAAATTTTTTTTATCATTTTTTTTTAGCATTTTCTTCATTATTCTGGCGTCGATTATCGGAACGATTTTGGCTTGTTGCGGAATTGCGGCGGCTGTGTTGAAATGCAAACACCAGCACGAATCTTGCTGCTCAATTTGGCGATATGTATTCTTTACTCTGCGTGAATGGATTGGGGCGTTTTTCAACGCTCTCTTTGATCTTTTGCGATGCCGAAATCCGATTCAAGAATACAGACGACGTCAAGAATATTTTGACAATATAATCTACTCCGGTCCAAATAATCGTCTCCGTCGAAGCTCATTTTTACGTAAGTTTTTCAAAAATCAAAAATTTTCTAAATTGTCTTTTCAGGTCGAAGGCAGCATTACGAGCGTCAACATTTGCTACCTCCTCATTTGGAAGCTGCCTTCCAGGCCCAACAAGCTTATCACCAAGAAATGCGAGATATGAATTCCGCCGCTGCCGCTGCTCCTCCAAGACGCTCCTTTTTCCGACGGTTTTTTAATCGTTTTACAAGTAGACAAAGATCGAGGGATAACGAGCAGTCGGCTGGTGATATTGTTAATTTGGCTGGAAGGCGACGGCCAACTCCTTCTCAAACACAAATCAATCAAGCTAATGAGCGATATGCTTGGTACAGAGGACGAAGCAACGGTCAGCAGCAGCAGCAGCAGCAGCATGACGTGCCACCTTCTTATAATACGGCTGTTTTTGGCCGCAGAAACCAACCCTGTTCAAACGCAGCTGCTGCTGCTGCTGCCAATGATGTAAACAATTCAACCTCTTCCCCCTCCAATGCCTCTTCGTCCTCCTCCTCCTCCTCAATTTCATCTGGCGACGAGGGCGAAGATGAAGCAAGCAGCTCTAGCAGCTCAGACGAGACGGGCGGCGGCGGCGGCGCAGACGAGTCAAATGATAAAACAAAAATTTCGCCAGATGTTTATCACGAGATGGCTCTCAATTCTTTGGTAGAGGTGCTTTTGGCAAAAGTTACCTACAACACGGTGGAATCTGTTTTTGAAGACTTGCTCAACTCAACCTGCAAAAAAACAACACTCGCCGAATTAGATATTCTGCCAAAGGACGACAGCGACGATGACTCCAAGAGTTACGATTCAATTGAGCCGCTCAGCTCGCCAGCGATGAGTCCAATTGTAAAATTTCAGCACAAGACCGATTACCAAACGCCTCGAGTTGAAACTCGCTACTCGGTAAGTTTTAGGGCACCGCACGTAGCGCTGTTAGAAAATAGAATGTCGCCGCGTGCAGCGCTGTTTCTTTTCGATGCGCTTATTATGGCGCTGTTTGAGCACAACGCGCGCACCATAATTACATAATTATACAAATCTCACAACAATTTTATCAATTAACAACATAAATTGACAATTGAGTGGATCTTCTTGCGTCTATAAAAAATCGCAAAATTACCTAACTACCATAAAACGCTTATGTGAACAATATTCAAGTATTTTAAATCAATTTTTCAAATTGACTCTAACCAATAATTTTTTTGCGCGATTTTAGCAAGTTTAACTACAAAGATCAAAACAAAAAACTAAAAATTTCACACTCAACCCAATAACAAACCAATGCCACCCTGACGAGCCTTTTCCAGCGCCGGCGCTTACACTCATCCCTGACGGGCTCCTCCGCCGGCGAAGCCGGCGCTTACACTCAACCCTGACGGGTCGGCTCCGTAGTTCCCTGACGGGCCCCTTTTCCATGGCCGGCGAGGCCGTACGGCGTCGCCGGCCATTCCAAAGACGGGCCGTTCCAGCGCCGGCGAAGCCGGCGCTTACACTCATCCCTGACGGGCTCCTCCGCCGGCGGTGCCGTACGGCGTCGCCGGCTCCGTAGTTCCCTGACGGGCCCGAAGGGCCCGTCCGCGAGGCGTAGAACCTGCGCATGCGCAGGTTCAAGCGAGCCAAGTTCGCGCGAAGCGCCGGGGCGGGCGCGGGCCGCGGAGCGGCCCTGGCTCAAAAATTTTCGCTCGCGAGCGACCGCGTACGCGCTCGCTCGCTCGGCTCAAATTTTTTCGCAACCTTGTGCGCTTGAAAATAACAAAATGTTTTTAGATTTATGGCGGCGTCGGCGGTGGCGGCGATCAACAACAGGACAAGTTCTTATCAGCTATCATTTCCTCCACAACGAAAAAGGACAATGTTATTGTCTTTGACACGCCGATTACTCAAGAGCAAGACAAACAATTTGCTCAATCACCATTTCGAATGGTTGAACTTGTCGCCCAACATTGCGCCGACAATTCCGAGCACATGACGATGATTTCGGCAGCCACTTCACCACTGCCATATAGCAGCAGTGATGATGATGATGTCACCGCAACCGCTGCCGCCGATGCAACTGTCTTTTTGTCTGCATGTGACGAGACTCTGCACGCCGAAGCTGGTGATGATTCCGCCGGTGATGATGCCGCCGAAGCTGGTGATGATGCCGCCGGTGATGATGAATCTGCATGGAGTTGGATGACAAAAACTCCGCCACCAAACACTCCGCCAGCTACACCACCGCCAACGCCCGCTACAGATGACGAATGGTAAAAATTTGAAATGAAAAAATTTTGTTTTGATCTTTGTGTGTTTAGCAAAAAGAAGAAGCAGCAGGAGCAACCAAAAGCTGGAGATGAAGAAAAGGAGAATCAGCAGCCAAAAGCTGAAGATGAAGAAAAGGAGAATCAGCAGCCCCAAGAAAAGGCCCCAAGGTATGCGTACGCGCTCGCGCATTTTTCTCCAATTATGTCTTTAGCAAGAAGAAACCAAGAAAGAAACGAATGGGGGCTGATCAATTGATTGCAAATCAATTTGGAACAAGCACACCGATTCTTGAACGCCGCGAACGAAGACGCAAGATAAAAAATAATTAGGAAAATCACACACACAAATTTGCACTCACACACACACAAATGCCGCTGCACGGCGCTGGTACACTTGTCAACGACGACGGCGGCGGCGCCCCACCACTGACTATTTTTATTCCTGTCAATCAACTTTTTGTTAGTTCAAAATTCTTGAATAAAAAGTTCACTCACACAAAAAAAAACGCTGAGTCTTTTAAAATTTAAACGCTCTTCTCTTGTCGGCATTTTGTGCATGCTTTTTGCTGAAGCAGTTGCAGCAGGTGGAAAAGAGCAAAAAAATGAGCAACGAAGTCGACGATCAAAAGCACCACCAATTCGGAGTATCTCACCACCACCATCACCATCCTCTCAAGTAAGCATTGATATTATTGTATTTTTTTATTTACATGTTTGCAGAGTGGAGCAAGATCGTGTTTTGATGTCTGTAGCGGAAGAAGAATTAACCCAGTTTCCACCACCACCACCAGAGCAGAGCGATCGTCTTCTACAGACAATACAGGCCTCGTCGTCCTTACTCGATCCTCAGCTCGTCTCCGCAACCGTAAACAATCATCAGCAGTCACTAGAACGGAGGAACCAAAAACCTCTCAGCAGCTTGGTATTGAATCGATCGAAACTATGGAAACGGAGATATCTTCGCCGCCGAAGAATCCAGGAGCACGAGAAATTGGAACAAGAGAGACTTCAGCGACAGGAAAGAGTAACATTGGAAACGCTGAGAGAGAGACGATCCTCGCTACAATCTCCACTTCCACCACCACCACCGCCAAAGTTGCTGTCTTGCAACCGCGACGATCAACCATTTGTCAACGTCGACAACAGAGCAATGACAATGACGCTTCCCGACCTGCGAGTGATCGCCCAACCACCACCACCACCACCCCCACCATCGTCGTCGATGGAGAGCTCGCTTACTCCAGTAAACAGCCCAGTGAACAGCCCAGTGATGAGCCGACGGAGCCGCCGCGGCCGACGGAGCCGCAGACTAGGGTGCAACAATTGCAACAACTTCCTAATGAGACACCTGGCAATTTGTTTCACCCTTATGCTTTGCGTAATATGGTTAATCGCAGGTCTGAGCGTATTAGCAATAAAAACAACGCAGAAAAACATGCAGTCGAGAACACAGCTGGCTCACGAACTTGCCGTCAAGATGATCGAAAATCACTCTCGATTGAAGACTCACCACTCTCATCACCGTCAAAAGCCGTCAAACACTGTGTCGTCATCGACGACGACGACGACAACTCTGCAACCGATGATAATCAGCGAAAAAGGTCCAATCTTTGGAGCAACGACAATCAATCAGATTCCTGTTCAAATGACAAGCGAGTACGAAGGGGAGGGGAGCGGTATGAAGAAGAATACAAATCAATAAGTAATCGACGAAATTATGCTCACAAGGTGGTGGTGGTTTCCACCGCCACCAACAATCAACAACAACAAAAACTTTCAAAAAAACCAAAATACCAAGTCAACTATTCTCTACACCAAGTGCACGCGAAGAGATCATTAAGACATACAAAAAAATTCCGAGAAACTTTACATAAACTTATTTCCGAGAAATCGGGAATATTTGAAGGATCACCTGCCAATTTTTCCATTCGAGGTAAACGAACTCCTCGCTGGTCGAAAGCGCTCACTCACGACGAGTGGTGCAGATTACGAGATTACTTTTTCAATTCGGATGATGGCCAAGTGTTGATGCCATTTGATTTTTACAATTTTGAACGTGGCAGCGGCGGTGGCGGTGGCAGAGTGGCAAAAAAACCTCGTTTCGAGGAAGACGACGACGACGACGATTATAACCTTGACGAGAACGACGCGCACGTAGAAGGAAGTGGCTACAATGTCAATTACGAGGATGGCCGCTTCAAACTCATCGATCATGAGTCAATTGCTTCCATGATTTCAATTGAAAACAAATCTGCCATTTTAGCCGTACTGGAATTTTTCTGGGTGATGCTTGAGATAGATTTTCAATCGCCCCCGCTCGAGACCGTTCATCATTGGAAAAGTGAACCAAATTTGGACAAAACCGACATGAGAATAATCGCCAACTCGATTCGATTGATCAACCCAAATTTACCCAGCAACTTTTTTCAAGATGAATTCTCAACTGCTCAAGAATTTGAACAAACAAACTCTGCCGATAGCTACACAAATGGACTCGATGTTACAAGAGAGATTCTTCATCTCCTCTCAAATAGCATTACATTTTCCTACATATCGGCAAAAATGGATGGCAAGCACTCGGCGCAAGCTTATCAACAAATTGGTGGCATTGCCGAAAAATGTGTTCTTGAAAAACCAATCCACATGAGTGACATGTACATGTACTTGGTTTATCTCGAGATGACAATTAGAGAATGCTCACCGTTTTATGAATTTACAACTTTCTTGACGGATAACAAGGAAACGATTGTAAAAATGCCTGCGAGTATTGTCGCCGATTGGCGCTCAGATCGACCACATCAATTTCGCGAAAATTATGTTCCCACTGATAACGCGCCAAACAGTGAAAAAAGGCATGGATTGTGGAGAACATTTTGCTCGCAGGGACCTCAATCAACTGCCGATGTTAAAACGTCAAGAAAACGATCGCTGTGCAGCACGTATAGTGAGGCGGTTGACACTGAAACTCTCAACAAAACACTTTTTCGACTCAGCATTTTAAAACCAATGACCAGTCACCCACAAATTGCCTATTTGATGACGCTGAAACGTTTCTTTAGCGGATTCTGTTTTCTTGAGAAAAAGAAAATTGAAAAAATTTTAAAAATAACTCCCTACGAGCAAGAGATTCTCGACACGCGGCTCCTTGGCAATATGGAGAGTGAAGAACAGCGTGAACGTCGTTTCTCTCTTCAAAATCTGATGGTTAAAGCGCGAAAACACATTTACTATCAGCATCGAGCGCGTATTAAAAATTTGCTGAGAAGAATGCTCGAAAATTATGTAAATTTTATTGCAACTTGCGGCTCTGCTCCAAGTCTATCCAAATGTCGACTTCGCCGAGTACAAACTCAACCGACGAATCCGATTGCCTTCTTTGATGATCACTACAATTCATGGGAGATACGCTGCTCAACTTGCATTTCCAGTTACAATAACGATTACAATCGAATCGAGGGTTTTTTAAACCAGCTTGGTCATAACCACGATTTTAATCTCAAATCTGAGTTTATGTCAATGCGAAGAGCTCAGCTGCATCGGTAAGTGTGTGCGCGCGCGATTGCAATCACGCACGTGCGAATGCACATTACTTCCGATTTAATTTTACTTTTTAGCGTTATGGAGAATCACAAATCAATTTTCGATTTTTTTACTCATCATAAACTCAACTTTGGTCTGCTCAATGTAAACAACAGCAGCATTCTTGCAACGGCCGCTGAAATTGCTGAAATTGATCCACATTGTGAATCCGCGTCGTCACCGCCGCCGCCGCCGCCGATGGGCGACGCGGCAGGAGAAATTACATCAAAAGAATCTCAATCTGCTGCATTTAACAGTAGCAGCAACAATGCAAACAATGATGATGATAAATTGATGATAGGTAAGCAAATCGAGTTCATAGCTCCTGTCTTCTAACAACATTTGTCAAGAGCCGACTTCAACAAATTGGGGCGGCAGCGGCGGCGGCGGCAACGATGGCCCCATCATTGAGATATCATCAAGCTACTCTTCAACTGATGATGAAACTGACGATCCGGTAAGCGCCACCATGTGATAACCGCGCGAGCGCCGCGCGGCGCTGCTTGTTTTACTTTAATATAAAACCAATCATCAAAACATTACTTTCAGTCAAACAAACAACAAACAAACAAACAAAACGAAACTTTTACAGCAACACGCAAAAAACTCTTGAAGAAGCAGCGAAGAAATGTCTCCACTCAAGCGGCTCTTACAAGCAACCTGCAAGAAGAGCAGCGATTTAGAGCAAAGTCTAAGCGATTCGGAGGAGGGGAGACTAGTGATTGTCGAGTCAGATTCAGAGGAGGAAGAGGAGGAGGAAGACAAGCGAGAGAGGAATCCCAAAAGACCCGCATCGACACCACCATCAAACTTGTCAACAGATCTACAACAACCAGCAAAGAGAGCAGCAATCGAGCGCCCAGCAGCAACGACAGTGCAGCAACCAGTCAAGCTACGGCTAAAGGCTTTGAAGGGTGTTGCGAATCAGTGCCAATATTCGATGGGCACTTCAGAAAAATTGGCCTTAAAAAAATTCACCCAAAGCCACCAACTTCCAAATCAAAAAAAAATGGCGAGCATTACCTCCCCGGAATATATTTCAACCCAAACTACAATGGTGAGCGGCGGTGGCGCAAGCAAAACCGACAATCAACAGACCGAGGACGAGGTAATTTATTTTTTTTATAAAAACAATATCAAGAAAAAATCTAGAATCTTCCGCCACCACCAATTCCACCACCAGTTGCCGAGTCAACTCCAACCAAGTTCACGACAACGCCAGAGATGAAAACAGTCACCCCATCGTCAAAAATCGTCAACTGCAAGAGAAATCTAACGCAAGCAATATTTGGCAAAAGGTAATTTCAAAGCAAAAAATAAAGATAAAAATTTGTTAAATTAGACAAAAACAATCGCCACCGAAACAACCAAATGTGCAAAGAATTCAACCGTCGCCAATCAAGTCAACAGTGACGCGAGAAACTCAAACAGACTTTCCACCACCACCACCACCGCAACCGCCGCGTCAGCAGATTCACAACAACTGCAGCAGCAGCAGCAGCAACCCCCCTCAATTCATCATAACAATGACAAATTATGGTCTTTTGATGACGCCAGCCAACAATTCCAATATTCAAGTGAACGCTCTCAATCTCCCAAAAGCTCTCCACCCCATTCCTGGAACAATGCCTCAAAACATTGGAGCCAATCGTCTTTACATGAACGTGAGCTCTTCACAACAACAACAACAACAAAAACAACAACAACAACAGCGACCAGCAAAACCACCCCGACGGAAGAAGCAACAAAAGTCCACAACAAACTCCCCGCACCACCATCACAACAGTTCAACTGGCAGCAACAAGACTTCTGGCAGCAGCAGCAGCAGCAACAACAGTACTACTACTGGAATGGATCAATCGCAGACCATCAATCACTCGACTACAACCCCTTCAACCACGGCAACTATCACAACCACCACCACCAATCCTCTAGATACGACCAGTCACAGTATCAACAGCGAGACCAGCACGACCAGTCACAGCAACGATTTTACAGCAGCCGACCAATGTTTTCTTCTTTCGGAAGAGAGGCAGAATGTGGACAGAGCAATTTTGGAGCAAATTTATACCGACCAATATATCAACAGAGTCACATCGACTACAGCTCCTTTTATTCAAACGACGCCACGCCACTTTCAACAACGTCATATTACCCAACACCACCACCAACAACAGCAACAGCACCACCACCACCACAACCACCACCAACAACCAACACAACCAATCACTACAACAAACACTACCAGCACGGCGGCAACAATCAACAACAACAACAACAAAATGTCAAACAAAACAACGGCTTACAATCAACTTTTCCCAACTACTACGGCGGCGACGACGGTCAACTATCGCAAAAAGAACACTTCCAACATTATGAACAAATTGACAAAGGACCAGCTTGCTCACTATTTTCAGCAGCAACAGCACATGTTGGCGAGGGCAGCGGCGGCGGCGGCGGCTCAGAGACGACAACAGACAACCAATTCGACACCACAACAAATTTTTTACCAACAGCAATTATTCAACCAACAAACATTCAACAGTTGCACCCATCCAAGCAGCACCAATTCGGCACCACCAATGCCACCAACAACCAGCAACAATTCATCGTTTCTACAGCAAATTCCACTATCTCAAATTCTGAATCAACATCAGAAAACCACCAACCCCGCCCAATTTCAACACCGATAATTTTCACAGATATTGATACAGGAGGTAACAATTTTTTACAACAACGTTTTTATTTATGCTATCATTTTAGAAATCATCTGCAACGACAGCATCGAGTCAATTCTTGAACTTTAAAAAATACTAACATTCTTTCCACGTTATTTTGCTTCGAATCTTTACTAATAATAATGCGGTGTGCTTTTTTTTTCTAATAAAACAAACAACAAAATAATTGTTTTGTCTCAATTTATTTATACATCCAGGTCAAAGGATAACTCAAAATGGCGATTTGATAAGCGAGTATGCGATGAACACGAACATTTGATTCTTTAAAAACATTGCGCCGATGAAAGGTGTTTCGCAGGATTCCATCTCGAAAAACTTGTGGCTCAATTTCACTAAGCAGTTGTTTTGCATCTTCAGCAGTGCGAATGTATTCTGTATCGTTGACTGAACCCCATCCATTGGCGTAGATTATTTCCGTTCGTGTTTTTGACTCCTTTTCGCCAGTCACGTGATTATAGACTACACTTGTTGATTTTGTGCTGTAAAAAGCGTCAACACTTATCCTTAAAAATCCAGATAGATTTTTCATAAGTAGTTCAGTAGCTTCGACAACGTCGCGATTGTTCAAAATCGTAATAACAAATCTATCGCACATTTGACCGCCACGACCCTGAAGATCCGCTCCGGCAAGAAATTTGTTGTGTTGCCATTTTTGTTCTAAAATTTTATAAATTTTTTTATATAAGCAATATTTACAAACGAATATAATGCTTGATTGGAAATCTAAAAGAGCTATTTCCACCTGCAAGCGCTTCGATTTCTTCTTTTTCAAAGTACGAATCGTCTGGCACAATAACGGGAAAAGCATTGTCCAGAAATTTCTTTTCTTGAATAAGAATTTCATCATCAATGTTTGCAATGTTGTCATCTTTGGAAGTTGAGCGTGGTGGAAAAAACCATTGAATCTGTGAAGGCGTCAAATTAAAATCTTTTACATTGTTTGAGTAAAAATCGAGAAATTTTTTTGGAATGTTTTTTGGCAATCCATCCTGTCGCGCTCGAAGTCTTGTCAATTTTCGAATTCTCTTAATTTCAGCAAATTGTCTGTTTGCAATTTCGCGTATCAACTGTTGAGACGGCTGCGGCGGCGGCGACGACGGTGGTGATGATGATGGTAGTGACATTCTTAATAAATTTTTTTGAAACAAAAATACCCGTCTATAATTTTGTCTAAATGAGCGTTCCATCCGCTCTACGCAATGGATAAGTTTGTATCTTGTCACAGTCAATTATTCTCTTTTTTAAGGTCGAATTTATAACGCGTTTTTTCATTATCCAAGTTTTCATTTTCTTGTTCTTCTGATCGTAATTGATAGTCGGCATGCTTTTCTCGATTCGCTCTTCCATATTATCAGAAAACAAAGCGGCCAAATACTCGTAATGACTAAACATAATAGCCTCTGCTATGATGCAATTTACTTACTTTAGTTTTATCTTATGGGCAACCCCTTTTGCTGACCGCTTCTTTGGGACTATATTTTGGTCATCGCCACCACCACCGGCGCCGCTGCTGTTACCACCACCACCACCACCACTGCTTGCAAGCGCGCTGTTATACTCGTCCAGTAATTTGTAAATCTTTGATCGATTTGCAGGATCCAACAATTTTTTTTCAAAATCACTAGTGTAGCACTCGCTCATAATGTAGCATTTTGGTGATAGCGCAATAAACCAACCGCGAGAAATTTGCTCTTCGATTTTCAATAGCCCAGGCTCCTTTTGAGATTCTGGCGCTTTTGTTGCAAACCATTTTTTAACAATAATATCGTCCCATTCTTGACGAAGCTCATCCCTTACATGCTCCTCGAGTGTCGGTCTTGTCAAAGCCAGTAAAAACGAATCAGTGTCACAATAACAGAATCGATAAGAACCCTCGCGCATGTACTTTCGTAAAACATCGAGAAATTTAAAAAATAGTAGCTTACTATTTTGATAGACAAAAATTTGAATATGAATGGCCAAATCTTCAATTATTCGCTTCTTTTTAAAGCTTACTTCGTGAAGAGGATCAACTCGATGGCCATCGGATTTAAGGGGCTCCATTTGCTTCATAAGCGGATTTCTCAAAGCTCGATACAAACCATCGGCAGCAATGATTTTCGTATCAGTAAAACGGCTTCGATTGACTGCAAAATTGCCCACACAAGAGTTTTGCAGAAATTTTGCGAGATTTGAGAGACTAACATCTTTGTCGCGCACAGCTTGCACGCGATCGGCAACCATTGATCTGATAAACTTGTGAAAGGGTTTTCGGCGAGTGTATTGTACAAAGTACTTCAACTTGAAAGCTATGCCCTTTTTTACATAGTAGAGAAGAGTGTCAGATGTTGCCAAATAATTCTCAGCATGATAGCAAAATACATTCTCATCACATGGAAAAAGATTTTTTTTTTGCTGATCAGACAAAGTATTCAGCAAATCGCCATGAAGATCTTCAGCGCGAAGTGTTTTCTTTACAAAAATCGGCGGAATTGCTGGATGATCGGCAATCACTTGCTCAGACGAAAATAGATCAACCATGGCAAAACCATAGAAGCGACTCTCTCCATCGGCATTTGTCTCTAGCAAAACTTTTCGAAATTCGTCCTCGGTGACACCCTCATCGCCCAACGCATAACCAGTATAATTTTTTTGAGCGCCTTTAAAAATAAATGGAATACTGTCTGAAGCTGGTGCCATGTCATCCATAACAAGTTGTCGCCACTCTTTGAGCCATTCGCAAGAATATTTTATCAAAACAACTGGCGGTGTATATGAATCGCCATCCTCGTTTTTAATGAATTCGCGAATAGCGATTATTCGTTGTGCATCGCGCTCGGCAAGTTCTTGAGCACTAAAGTAAATCGTTTTGGGATTTTTTGCATCCTTTTTGATCTTGACAACTCGCGGATTTCGCTTACACTTGAAGCAAGTGTGAAAAGAACAACCTCTGAATTCGAATATAAAGCGCTTCTTCAAACCAGTATCTTCATCAATTATTTCAGCATATCCATCCACAAAATAATCACCAATTTGCTTTTCTTTAAAATTGTAAGAGTGTTGAATGCGCCCATACCAAATTTTATTGCTTTGAGAGTTGAGATGCTCAAGCCATTGAATAGATTGAATCGAAGAATTTTCGCGTTGTTTAAATAAACCTCTACAGAAAAATCTTTTTTCATCATCAGCAGCAGCACTGTTACACGTTGTTGTTATCGACATTGGTTCGAAAATCATACCCGGACCGCAGGGTAAAAAATGTTGAAATACAAACGGATACAAAGCGTTGAAATCCAACAGCAAGCATTTCTTAAACAAATCGCCATTTGGCGCGCGATAAGCCGACTCTGGAACGTGTGGTTGAGCTCCATTTAAATAAATGGCGCGATGAAGCACTTGCGTTATACCTCCAGTGAGACTCTTGCGGCAATCTCGATAAAAGTATGCAAAATCGGGTGGGATCGAGTAAATTGGCGGCGAGTCTTTATCGTAAAGTGTAAACGCCAATCTATGAGCGATTTTTGTGATACTGATTTCAGAATGTATGCCAAGATTATACTTGGTCAAATACTTTTCAGCATATGCCGAAATCGACCCTTCCAACAATAAAACATCATTGTAATTGTAATTGATCAAGTATTTCATCATACATGGTCTTGGTGGAGGAGGCAATGACTGTTTCTCCATTTCGCTCTTTTCACGCTGATACTCATCTTGCATTTCATCCCACATCTTGACACATTCTTGATAAATTCTTGGCGAAAATTTGAAAAAATCGAGAGAAGTGGCATCACGCGCATCAATCACAGGATATGGTTGATCATCGAGTAATTTTATACACTTTCCCAAAATCAAATACAAGTGAACCGAATAGTCAAAACCATCTTCAACAAGCTTTAAAATAGTTTGGAAAATTTTTTTAGAAAACGTGTCAATGACACAAACACCATAACAAAAAAATTCAATAAGTTGCACAAATAATTTTAACTCTAAGACAGAAAATGAAGCAAAGCTAAAACTCTAGAAGTAATTTAGACACAAGAAGATAGCAATAATTTTCCAAACTACTCTCAATCGGACACTCGCGCTTTTCAAAGTACTCTTTCAACGCATAATCATCTCTCAAATTGCTCAACTTCAGAAAATTGTAAACATGATCGACGATTGTTTCACGTTTCCACCTTTTTTCGTCAATCTTTTCCTTTATAATTTCATTCATTTCGCTAATGAATTTGCTGTCCTTCATCGTCATTGTTGAATAGAAGCAAGTGTAGGCGCAAAATTTGTGTGTTTTATATAATTGATCAATACTGCTAAACCATTCATACGGAAATGAGCCTTTTGAATAAACATCCGGGTTGAGCCCACATGATCGAGCCAGACTTTCCAACTTCATCGGGCATGTATAGTTTTTAAAATCGCGAAAGCTCAGATTTATAGCATCAATCATCATATATCCAGAAGATCGCTTGATGATGTTGATTTGAGACGCATCGCGACCACAAAACTCAAAGAGCGCACAAATCAAAGCCGGAAAGAGAACCACTAAATCATAACGTTCGCCAACCCAACTGTAAATTTTGAGTTTTAAAAAGTCTTTTAAATAATTGAGCTTCTTTTTCATCATTCCCAAATCATGAAACGCCAATGTAGGATTCTTTTTTTCTTCTTCAATCTTTGACGAGTAATGTTCGATTCCGCTCTTAATACAAGCTGGAAGATTTTTTTCAAGCTCTCTTTGCAAGTGCATTAAATACTTGATAAACTCGGCGCACATGACCAAAGCAGATTCAAAATCATTCGTCTTTCTTACAAAGCACATTTTCTCCTTTTCGCTTGTATAAGTAGCAATTGTGGCAAGATTGTGATATTTTGATTCAGTTGAAAAGGGTCCATTATTCATTAAACATTCTATATCATAAACGGCAAAAAATTTTTGCACATAAGATGAAGAAGGCAAAAATTTTTCCTCAACAAGTTCGTGAACATGTCGATTGATGGTTTGACAATCCTCAACACTTTGACGAATGATTGATATTGGCTCATCGGTGCACGTTTCTTCATGCTTTCTCATACGGTGTTTTCTCGAT